CCAAAGACCGGGGAAACGGCCCGGAAATAGGGCGGCTACATTAAGGAATGTGATTTGCCAATCTGTTTGTTGATGTGGTACAAAGAAATATCCCAAGGCGTACGCTCATCACTGCTCTGTGTGCACGCAGGTGCCTCCAGGACTCGTCCTTACGGCACCTGCACTGGATAGAAATTATTTGCGGAAGGGAAATGACAGCGCCTACTGAGGCGTTTTTCTCTTCTTTGACTTTCTGCCGTCCACGTCATGTCAAGGTTGTGGGCGAGCTTTATTTGATTGAAAGTTTCTAAATTGCCGCCATCGCAGCTTGTCCAGGGAAGTATAACAATTTCCAGGGCTCCATATTTGGTTCGCTGAGGCGAGCCGCTATACTTGGACAGTCCCGCGTGACCACATCTTAATACCACATATACTCCAACTAATGTTGTGGCTATTTGTTCCGTCAGCCAGTCCCGGGCTAGACTGAACTTTGGGGCATCCAAATAGCGCCAGCCACATATTTGATCATATGTAGTATGATGATTTGATTCATTTGTTCAGGAACCCAAGGATGCGAGGCATTGTCTACTTCACAGCCTGCACGTAATCAGAAATGGCACCCTGGCCAAACATAGATATAGTTGGGTCCGATTGATCTGCTGCAGGCGGTCCGATCGGGGGGGTATCCCATTCAGTCAATGCCAATAATACGAATCAAGCACTGGGTACTCCCCTGGAATCTAAAGTCTCGGGCCTACAAAACTGGCCCACCTGACCGGGTAGCCCCCTGGTGCGCATCATTGGATCCGACCGGTATCTGTCATCACAGCCCCAAGCAACGGGTAATCCTAGGGCGAAGCCGCATCCCGCATCGCCCCCTGACGGGATGCGATGCGGGCTTCACCAGCTCAAGCCGTGAGAATCCAATGAAAGCCAATTTCACCAAAGAAAAGGCAAAAGTACGTCAGCGTCACAGGCCCCTGCCGAGGGCGTTCCTGGCGTCATGTGACTGCAATAAGCTCGTGACCGTCAACTCGGTTTCGCCACTCACGGCGACATCCGGATTGTTCGTGTCATCTCTTACTAAGGAGTATTGTGGGCGCGGGTTACGGTCAGGGGTAGTCAGTATTGGATTACCTCCCTGGCGTGATGGGATCGACGAGCGTACGATCTGAAGCGCGCTGCCCGGCCACCTGTCAGTCAATCAATACCACCCGTACGCCCCCGTACAGTAACCAGGGCGTGCCCATTCGTCTCCTAGTCCACCCGCTTTGGAAAACGCATTACTTATCGTCGGCACGTGTGACAGCTCTCTACGGAGTATGCAATTAAATTACAGATATTGACCTCGACAAATGACTCCATAGATTCTTCAACCTCGCCTCGGCATTATTTTCCCCAGCCTACCTAGGTTGATCCTCGGCCTGGATTTTTCCGTGACAATATCCCTTGTAGATGGGGGTGTGACTCGTCCAGATAGACCGTATCATCAATACAGAACACAAGATCAGGAACCTGGGCAAATCCTTGTCAAAATGATCCTAGGAAGGGCCTGGTAGAATTTTGGGGGGGTCCTCCGCACTACGGAAGTCCATACCGCGACTTCTCTTGAGATCCACCTGTTGGGTCCATGTCGATCGAGCCTGATGCAGGATCGACAATGTCACCCTGGTACCCCCCGACCACAGAGGCCGGAAGACTAGATTTGATAGACTTCGCTGCTGAGTCGAAAATTGGAAAGAAGCTATTCTGAACTCATTCTGAGGTCATCAAAGCATTGAGGATGGAGATGACCACGAAAGATGATGACGGGCCTCTGTGCAATCAACGGCAAGTCAGCGGTTTTCCAACTGGATCCTGCACGAGTCATTGAGTGCTTTGCATCCTGTAGGTAATCGATCGGCTTGTGTTCCACATCCGCAGGGAATAATCTGCTAGATCCCAGGGAACTGTTTTCGGCGAATCAGGTCAGACCGAGTCAGATTGTTGCACCTAGGACTCGGAGTAAGTAACAGCTCCGTAGTTGTAACGATATATACAAACAGTCTAAGTTCAAGTTCAAGATTCATCACCCTCCCCAACTTGAAGCATAACTAACCACCCCACCGGAGGACTCCTATTTGGCTCCAGACTAGGCAACCTTGGAAACCGATATCAAACGACCAGGAGAAAAAAAAAGTCAGCATTTCGGGACCACATTGTGGAGCCAGTCCGAGTTCCCTTTTGCCTTGCAGACCGACTGTTCACGGCCGGTCCCCCGCAATTTGCCTCCCCCCCACCCCAGAGAACCCCAGATGATGAAGGACAAGGAGGCAGGGAAGAAAGAACAAGCAGATTATGGTCCACATTTTCACCCGTCTCTTTTGTTTATTGATTATTTCCTCCTCACATGATGAATGAAACGTGCTAGGCGCTATGTGTACCCCGGGTGAGCCAACGGGTAAAAGTTGGGCGTTCGCGTTCCCTCCCAACGCCCCGGGAAGCGAGAGCCCACCCCCGGGTATGGATTTGTTTGACTTGGCCATTCCGCCAGTCCGGGCCACTCGCGGAGGCATCACTGTGAGTCCAAAAAAACAAAATAATAAAGAATAGTCTTTCTCTCCAGGTTTGCCGTTCCCTCTGTATGAGGGCTTTTTTACTCTGTGCTATTGCCATCAGTAACTGTAGAACCGTTGAACCGTTGAACTGTCACCAAACCAAGAAATGAAATTATCCGGTCTAGTGGAAGCATCATCTTCATCAAAGTAAAATAAAATAAAACAAATCATTCCAAAATTCCAAAATTCCCAAAGTAAAAAGTAAAACCAAAACAGACTACATATCACAAAGGCCCCTTTGCCAGCTGGCAAGCTCGTGACTACGGGCTGTGACACTCTGCCGTGTCCTGTTGGATAAAGACAAGACTGGGATGTGGCATCTCGGAAGATATGGGCAAAGAGGCGGTAAAGGCCTGGGGTGGCCACTGCGCCTGATGAGCCTTCCAAAACAATAGAAGCACAAAGTTCAAAATCCACTCGATTTGGTCGTTTTCAAACCGAAGCGCGCAGGGCGATCGGAAGTATAGTGCTGGTTCCCCGGTATGCGGGCTGGGATACAATCATCCCTTCCAAGATTCCCTGTTGCGCGCGGGTCCTTTTGCAGTTCTGCCAGTTGAGTTGCAGTTCAGCTAATTCAGCTAATTCAGCCAGAAATATCTTCTAGTGTAGAGTAGCTATGCATGTACATACCCCGTAGTACTCCTGAGATCGCCAAGCCAAGTTCGCACCAAAATCAGCCCCCACCCCCTTCCCACATCAGCTTAAGCCTTCCCCATACCCACGAAAAGGCTTCCTCCCCGTGTCCGTCCCCTACAGTACGAGGAATCCAGGAAAGTCTACGCCAAAGGGAGCATCCGTGACGAAAATAGTTTAACCGGTCCTATCAGTAGACGAGTCAGCCGGACCTGAAGTTCTTAGGCGACCAATAGTCTACAATGCGACAGTTCATCGGTCAGTCGATACTGGTCTGTTGAGGCGCAGATATCCCCAAAGTGTACATACAAATCAGCAGTGGCGAGGGCAAGTGCTCAAACGACCTGAGTTTGGGTGGCGTTGAAAGGAGGGCCCTTGGGGTAGGGAAGATGATTTACACGGATTATCCGTTCACCTACCCCTTAGGGTACGCACCTGCATCCGAAGCAGTACGAAAATACATTGTACCTTTTTTCGCCCCGACAGGTCACAGGTCACAGGTTCTTAAAGACTTTTCGGGCCTGTCCATCATTCTCTTCTGACCGAGGTACTCGTAGTCTTGATACTTGAATTAGTATAGGCTGTAGTATCTACTCGTACTAGTAGCGTTTTGCGTCTTGCGTCTTGCGTCTTGCCCCGTGAGATCTCTTTAGTTGCATTTGCCTTGGATCTACTCAGATCCAATCCGATTCCATGGTATACACTATCACCACCACCACCACCGGAAACAGACCGGTACTGTGGTGGCCGTCACGGGACCGATACCCGTTGGATACGATTCGATACCAAATTCAACCAATTCGGGGCGACCTCGGAAGAGGCAGCTGGGTGGAGACGAGAGAATACCGGGGTACGACCGATTACCAGAGTATGGACAGAGAAGTGTATGGTATACCGTACATACACTAGCTGTAAGCAGAGTGGCCCCGTGATGGACTGAGTTTTCCCAGGCTTTCCCAGGCTTTCCCAGGCCTTCCTTATGAGGAGCGCTTAGTCATTGCTACTGAGTGCTGGTAGTCCCCTGTATCGTCTGCGAAAAATACCGATGTTTCCCATTAATTCAATTTGAATTTTCCCCAAAAAGAAATTCCGATTAATTTTCATTTTCGCAATAAATCATTTTTTTAATTCCAAATTCGAATTTTCCATTTTCCATTTCCACTTTTCCCCTCTCCTACTTTACTCACAGCGACACACACTTTACGCTCTGCTCTCCACTGCCGCCCCCATCATTCTTATTATCGTTCCGCTCCTCCTCTTTCTCCTTCTCTCTCCCTTCTCCATTCACCTTTCACCATCCACTCACCCCGTCACCTTCCCCCCCTACTATCCCATCTCGAAACGCGACAATCCCTCTTTCGAACGCGTTCCGTGCTCATTCCGGTATCTATCTCCCCCCGGGTTTCCATACTTCCGACTTCGGTGGCGCCGTGATTAATCGAACACAACCTCGAATTCCCACTCTCCAAATTCCCTTCGCCCGCCGATCACTCTTTCTGCGACTGCGAAGATCTATCCCGTCTCAGCTCAGCCTTTCACCCCCAAGGCATATTCGAATTGTAGCCCAAGAGCTTTGAATTTCTGTCTCTCTTGACCCTTTTGTGCACCACACTGCACGGCTCCAACTCGAATTTTCAGACCCTTCCACTCAACCGCAGAATCCTTACGAACTTTCTACCACGGTTTCCAACCGCCGTACGATCACTCTCGGGGAATACGGCGACCCCGGAACACCAATTTCCCTCCTCTCAACCTACAGTCCTGCCAATCAGTAGCTGTGGCGACGCTAACATGCCTCTAACAACACCGGTTTTGACGGTGGATGCCGATAATATTCACAAGGTCGACACCGCCAATGCTCAAAGCCTTCATGGAATGTGGATGGGTAAGTGCTCTACTGCGTGAATGCCCTCAGGGCTAATGATGGCTAACGTTATACCGGTAGTATTCTCCAAATGTGCCGACTACATGGACCAAGGCCGTCGGCTCGAGAACCTAAGCTGGCGTCTATGGACCCGTGAAACCTTTTGCGTTGAGCCCGAGAAATCAAGTGAGGTCTCGGTCCTCCCGAAATTGCGCTCCGATGCTGGCGATCTCCCGGAGCTCTCCGCGAGTGTTGAGTCGGCTGCGTCCGATCAAGCCGAGCGCATTGAAGCTCATATCAAGCGCCCGCAATTCTCTGACTACCGACCCGCCGTGGTACGTGAAGACTCCCTGTCTAGCCTCGGCCGTGGCAAGGAGAAGCACATCACCTCGCTCGACCTCGAGCGTATGGTCCTCAACATCAAAGAGCGGAAATGTCTGGAGCCTCTGACCCCGACGATCGAGCCTGCTGCGCCCGTCGTCGATATCACCCCGCGACCCTCGACTCCTACTCCGACTCCTCCTTCGATCTCTACCGTTCGTCAGGTTCCCTCATTTCCCTCGACCTTCCCCTAGGCCCTCCCCGATTCCCCGTGAATCGACCGAATCTTGCTCAACAACCGCCCCCGAAGGCAATGACAGTGATACGGCCCAACTCAATGCGTCCGACACCAGTGTTTCTTCATCGGGCGTCCTTCCGACACGACCTGAACTGATCAAGTCTCCAAGCGTTGTTCGGGGGGTTTTCTCCGTCGCATATCTCATCGTCCTTTCGGTCGCAACCTAAGCTGTCTGTCGACCCGAGCCCATCCCGCAGTGCTACTCAACTCAAGCCGTCCCCTCTTAAGAAGAAGGGAGGTATGTTTATGCTCGGTGGTTCCTCCGGAGACGATGATGAGAGTTCCTTTGAAGACCGCATGGTCCGCCCGCAGGCACTACAACAGAAGATGCCCTATGGATCGTCATTGAAACCTACCACTAGCAACCCGAGTTCTTCCAAGAAGGTTGCCTCTTTTAGTGATGAAGTTGCCACCCGGACCATTCGACCTTCCAAGAGTCCCCTCAGCGCCGACGAGGATGCCATCGAAACCGACGACGAGGTCTCCGAGAGCGCCATCGAGGACGACGAAGACTCCGATTGGGAAGACTCCATTACCGAAAGTGGCACTGCGAGCATTGACGAACGACCGGAGATGTTCCAACGGGTGGATTCTCGTCCGAATTTGGTATCCCGCCGGTCGCTCCTCACCATGATGATGCACCAGCCGACCAAGATGAACATGAATGGAAACGCATTCCGGTCCAGTCCCGCCCTACAGCGATCTCGCCTGACATCACCCAATGGCCCATCTATCCCTACCTCGCCCCCCGAGAATGACGAGGAGAGCCTCACTATGCGTGGTCCTGACGTACCTCGATCCAAACCCATCGGCATGAAGGCGCCTGGACCTCAGTCAGTCGCTCACTCGCCACGTACCACCCGCCGAAACATGCTTGCGACCGAATTGACCGAGTCCCTTCGCCGACACCTTCTCTGGGAGCGCCAGCAAAAGAGCGCGACCGCCAATGCGTTCAAGCGACGCCACACCACCCACGACATGAAGAATCTCCAGGAGTACCCCGGCCCGAAAGGACCTCACCAGACTCCCGGAGGTGGCCCATCTGGGACTGCGGACACGAATGCGGCCAACCAAGCATCCAAGGATCTCGCTAAGAACGGCTCTTGGACCAATTACGCGACAGACTTCGGCCCCTGGGAATACCACGTCAAGGGGTGGTAAACAAACCCATTGTCATATCTTTTTATTCACTACTTCGCAACTCTTCTCATGATTTTTTCTCGCGACAGCGAGTTATTTTCACCGACACGATTATGAACATGCATTGCATCTAGGCGCACTTTTACGGCTCATCGTTTCTGGAACTGGGGTCTTCTCATCGGCTTTCGGGGTTAGGGAGGTGTTTATCCTGATACAGCATTCGCTGGACGTTGTCCCTGGGATTCTTTCTGTCTGGACTACACCTACGACCGAAGAAGGGGGGGTTTCTCTGTCCCTTACGAACTTAATATTTCATGTACAGCTCATATGCCACGTCCCTCTTATTCTTTTTTACTTTCGGGCAACAACCCCCCTCGAATGGATGATGAACCACGGACTTTAATTCCTTCTCGCTCTCTCTATCTTCCCAAGATATGTCCTCCAAATCGTTTCCTACTGGCTTTGTCTTCTTTGCCACGGAAAGTTTCACCCAAAAAAATTCGTCTTCCATCAGCGACTTCATCTTGCACTGCGCATGCCGTAAAATATTTTTTTCCCTGATATTTTATCTTTTCGGGAGGCGGCGGAAAACATGCGAGCATCTTTTATTACCCTGTGAATCTCTTTTTTCATTGCTGGGATGGGTCATTTTTTTTCAATTTCCATTCCCCCCCAATTACTTCCTCCATTTTCGATACCAGATACCATGCGCTTCCTTCCCTGATTTTTTTTTCTTGTTCGAAGTCTCTCGGGCCCTTCATGCAAATGCAAGCCCCGAGTTACTTGTCCCATGTACGCTACGCGACCTCATGTCTCTTCTCCCAAGCGCATTTCAAACACCCAAAACTCTGGAAATCAATGAAACCAGTTATCCAATTCCGCAAATTCTCCCTCCGAAAAAAAAAAAGCTACACCCCCTTGTGCATTCTCTCGTATCTTTTGGCCCTGGGCGTAGTCAAATAGATTGTTGTGAATGTTTGATCAACGCCAGAGGCTGGCGCCATGCATTGGGTAATTAGCGGTCTGGATGATTCTGAAGATGAGATCCCTGTAGCAGCCCTGGAGCTCTGTGCAGAAGGAACTAGTTATATAAATCGTAGCTACTTTTAATTACATTTCAATTTTTATTCACTATTAAGTTACTTTTAAATTGTCATTCAAGTTTATTTGGTAGTTGGGTAGGCATAACCTGTGGATGAACTATCACCCAACGTACATGCATACATCTATGGAGAGACAGCTAACAAGCTACTAGTAGCTAGCAAGAAACTACGTACACGCAGTCAATTCAATTGGCGGTGGACTCGCATACTACGTCTGGCATGACAGGGATACTCCGCATGGCAATCCCGAATCTGAATGCACAAGAGGTCCGCAAAAGGTTTCCCGGAGCGCGCAATCCTTGCTCATACCGACGCCAGATAAGTATCATGTGGGAAAGCCGGCGGTTCTGCAGGAGGGCTTGGTGGCGCTGACACGTAAGAGGGGAGATGACAAGGACAAGGCTAGAGCCCTTGTCGTGATTAAATTATGGTTACAGGTTACAGGTTACATGGGAGATTGGGTAAAGACAGGGCAGGACAGGAGGATGGGAAGATGGCGTGCAACCTGATAGTATGGGTCTTTGGATGTGTGACGAGATAGTCTATCGCCTCGACCAACCGCTCGGGATCCTGGTTATTTCTGTTCGCCTTGAAAGAGAGGCAGTACTACCTGCCTAGGAGGATATCGAGCAGCAGGCTCCCGGTCCCGACACCAGGGAGAAGGGAAGATCGTAAGGCGCCGAGGGGGTGTCAGGTGGTTGTTTGTGTTTTTATTATTATTTATTTGCTTTTTTTGGAGGGTCCTCGAATCTGTATCTCTTCACTATAATGTAGATAAGAGTGTACTACTTATTTGAAGGAAGTAGAACAGTAAACAGCCTAAGGGTCAGTGTACACAGTTATTGCATACTTACTCTTAGGTCAAGACTATCTAGGGTCCGAGACCTCTTGAGCTATCTATTTTTGACGAACTGGACAAAAGTACCGAGATGAGGAGTCGATGAGATCCAGATCTTTCCCACCCCTTCTTCCCCTCCTCCCCACCCTCAGGTACGTACTCTGGCGTGGATGGTCGCACAGGTCGCTTCACATGCGGAAACCATGACATCTGCACACATTAGTCCCGCGCCAGACCTGCCCCAGTGTGGGTGAGATGGTGGTGGTGGCTTCGCCGCGACTCGACCAGATAAGCGCTCAGTCCTATCGAGCTAACCCGATAACCCATTATCCCAATGAAGAGGGGGGGGAGGGGAGTAGTTCAAAGTTGTTGGCTTTGAGCCATGGGCGTTTATCCCTGGCGGCCAAGTACGATCTACACAAGCTGGGAGCTGAACAGGGCTGCTGATGTGTCTGTGCTAGCAGTCTTTGGATCGAGGTTCTAGACTTTGCCGGAAGTGTTAGGGCAGGTTCCCCGGGGGGGGTTGTGAGTAGAGACAAAAGCTAGCCTCACTATGACACTTATGATGCATGATTTCCATCAGAAAGGTGTCACCTGAGAAGAGAGAGCCGTCGGCCTGGATCCCGATCCAGGCACGGCATCTGTCCTTTGCCTTTGCAGGCGCCATATCCACCTTTCCTTACTTCGTAACTCCGTACACTGAGAAAGATGTAAGCTACCTTGGTCTGATTTCATGGTCCTGCCATCTTTGATGTCATCCCGTGATGGTCATGTGGCTCGAAAAAAGTGGATCAGGAGAGGAACACATGACTCCGGGGGAAAGGCGAGGGAGACAGAGAGAAAAGAGGGGATGGATCCTCTTTACTGCATTTCGCCACTGGCTGTTCCATCTCTGCGGAGTATTATGTTGTACTCGAGATCCATCTGTATCTGAACCATCTTTGAGATTTGGTCCAATCCTATTATCTCCCAAATCGTGAAACTCTATGTATCTTAAAAAAGGGACCAAATTATATACATCCATACATACTATACTCTTCACAACCGCGGCAGATCTCCCAATGACGTATCAGTAGGCTATGGACGCTTCCCCTTTGGGCGACAACCCAGAGATGTTGCATCCAGCCCAAAGTGGACCCCATCAAAACAAAATTGCTCCAAAAACCCCACACTCAGGCTCCTAAAACGCCCGACGGCTTCCTTCCCCAACTCGCGTCCGCCACTCTGGTTGGCCGTTGGTCCGGCGAGGCCCGATTCCTCGTGGGGCGGACGAAAATTTTCTTTCATAACATTATGGTACATAGAGAATTGTATCCAGGGCTCAACCAGTGAGGAGGTGTGTCTTTCTATGTATGTATTATTCCCTTCACCGAAGAGCCGCAATCATATGTACCGCGCACAAAGTGGTCTGGCCGCTTTGACAGGATTACATGGAGTCAGCGAGGGGTTGAGTTTGATACGAACCAAACTTGCAGAAAGATCCCAATTCGATGTTTTTAAGATGGACTTCGGGGTTGCGGCAATTAGTTATACTATATAGATAGGTACTAGGTACTGGTTAGCCTTAAGTGACTGCTACGCTACTCATTTTAGGCTTCCTTTAATCTATATCTTTCCGCCAAAACCAGCCACCTCCAGAAGCCTGGTATACACCTCTCCCTCATCCAGCAAGGTCCCGGCTCCTTCATATCCACTACAACGCTCTCCTGAGTCTAGTCGCTAGTGCGGGAAGCTCGATCTCAGCTCTCTTGTACTCCGTAGTCAACCGCCGAGTGGGAATTGTGGAGATCAGTGGATCAGCCCGATATTTTGGAGAGCGCCGTGATTCGCAGAATTCGGCCGTTCTGAAGAGGGGCTCGTTCACCGGTACTGATATTGTTTTACACTGACATTGTTTTCGGAACCGCCATTGCCATTTGGGAATCTAGGATATCTGGGTGGGGTTTCGAGTCCATCATGGTCGAATCTCTCTACCCCCACGAAATGAAAAGGAAGCTAAGGGTGAAAATTCGAGGCAGGCAAGGGCCGTGAGAGGTGAATTTAGTTTGCTGTGGGCTTGAACAAAGTTCGGGTGGATTGGGCTGCGAATTGGTTGGGTTGACATCTGCAGGACTCGACTCGGGATGCCGATGCTGCGGGAAGAGCTTGATTTAGATGTACTACTACCTATGGAACTACAAGGATATTTTCTATCAGTCTAGACTTGTCGCAGATCCTAGCCTCCGGTCATTTCTTTGTCTTAAGTTATGAGATAAATCTCCTGATTCGTAGAATGTTTCATTCTCTCACACGGGGGCAGGTCTTGTGTTCATGCGTTGCTAACCAAGCCTCCTGTTCAATGACATCCACTGCGGATCGAGGGCCAAACACCGGCGTCCTGACTGCCCTGGGCGACGGGGTTCTAGAATGGGTCTTGGTCAAACGGGATCGAACCGAGTCACAAGCGCAGGGACCTTATTTTCTTTGTTCTCCAGGGAGGTTTCGTCATAATGTGTCGGCATAGGAATATCTTTGATCTTTCACCGGTGATGGTCTGGGATGTATTCCCGAATTTTCTCCTAGCTTCCTGAGCTCGCCATTCAGCCTCCTGAGAGGGTGTGTGGCAAGGATGCAAAGTAGACTGTTGTAATGTACTGCATACTGTACATGATAGTATCTGCATGCATGTATACTGCCTACCGATCCCGACTATCCCGATCGCGTGGGATGCCGAGTCTTGGACAATACTCGGCATTGCCAATTCAAGCCCTGACCCCCATGGACTTGACACGACGCCGTGGGGGTACAAAAATGCACTCTTTGTGTGGATGTAGAGAATGCACTAAGTGTACGAGCAATAACGTGTGTTCAACAACGAGAATTGCGCGACGCGTGATTGGATCCGCCCGGCCTCCACCGGCGTGGGTCGGAGCCTCACGTGAACGCACAGTCCAGGAGCTCTGTCCTCCGACGAATCACGATTTCTAGAGCTGGCTCCATTGTCAGAATTACACTCGACAGATGTAATTTGTACATGATGGGTATAAACCTCACTGAGATTCAAGCTATGAGCTACTCGTATACCAAAAGATAATCCAAGAACCACGAACTAACTGCCGAGATTTCTACTTTCAGCACCATCTGTGCGTATGCAGCCGTGGGCGGTGCACGAACAATTCCATGGTTTTTTTGGGCTGGCGCTGGCTCGTTCCAGAAGCTTTCTGGAAGGCAGATCCGGCTCGCTTTTTTGCTTTCCCGGCGTGGCGCTAGTCCAGGTCCGGTATAGTGTTGTATCCCGATTGAGATTTATCTTTCATAGAATACCGCTAATGGCCACTTTGTATTACACTGTGGAGTCTCATAAATACATCCATTGCCGCTTTGGTTTCCTCCGTATCTTCTGTACTGTACACCTCTCCATGTACGTACTCCGTGGAACTCGGTGGATTTGACGTTGTAAGTTGTACGGAGTACGAGTATGCACATCACTTGTGGGGGAGAAGGAAGCTGTTGCTCGGAATTGCCTGTCATGGAAGAAAGTGGTCAGTACTCCAACACAACTTGAACTTTGTACACACAGTCTCCCGTAATATTCCGCATTCCCCGTACTCCCGTACGGGGAACAGGGACGGGGACGGGGACGGATCTCCAGCAGAGTCTATCGCAGCCACCGGGCTAGGGTATCGACTGGGGATTGAGGTGCGAGGTGTGTGACCGCCATGTGGCCGTGCTAGAGGAGGGGTCAAGCGCGCCAAAACAGCGATTCCTGAAAACAATCGGGCGCAAACCCCTGTTGCATCCAATTTCGGTAAACTTTAACCGCGTTCAGGAGGGGAGGGCTTAGTATGCGGAGATGACCTTTTTTTCTCGGTCGGAAGAATTTAGTATTTGCCGTAGACGTTTTATTTGCTGGAATAAGGTTGTCGGAGGTTTGCTACACTGGAGAATGGGGTAATTCCGTGCAGCGATGTATACTCTAGGGCGACGTAAAAATACTACTATGAAGCACTGGCAACTGCTAGTACCAATAGCAAGTACTTAGTTATATGCAGTAGCTACTTCAAGTTGCTTTATATTTTTACGTATCTCTTATCCATTCGGGAAGAATAGACTTGGCAACGTCGACACTGCAGAAACAGTCCCTGTATATTTCAGCCGCGATCCTTGGCCTTACTACTTTCTGCTATTTTAATGACGCTTAATGCGGTATGTCATTTTTGATCACCGTGCGGCAGACTGCATGAACGTATGATGTTGTGCGGCCTTCTCCAGGTCCAACCCTCCCTCCCCACAGGGGTAGAAATCCTGCGGGGAGAGGATCAATGCAGATTTATGAGTGGCAGAGGTTGAGAATCATTGCTCGTGATGATAGTACGCTAACTCGAACTCGTTCGGGGTCTCTACCCACTAGTTACTACTATGTACACTCTTAGTTATACACGAGGGCATTAAACGGTGGCGATGACAGGTGGGTTTGTCGATCATGGAACATTCTTCTTCTGTCGAACAAAATTTATAAAGAAAATCGTGAGTCACGATGGAGTCTCCCTATGGAATATTGTGGTTGATAGAAAATGACAGGGACCAATACCATTGTGAGTCAGGTTGAATCATGGCGGGGCGTGAGATCATCGCAAGTCTTGGCATCACCTGCCACAACACACAACATCCCAGCACTATATCTCTTTGGATCCTTCGCCTTCCTTCATATTTCTGTCTACCATCCAATTGCTAAAGTCTGAATTCGTCTTACGTATTCTATTCTAATTCACCATCCCTCCAACCGGGATTTTCCTCGCACACCGCGGCCAGCGCACCGCAGATCTGTCCTGTCGATCCCGGGCAAGGTCACCCGATCTCTGCGTTGGCAGTTCAAACGTTACCCTGAAGCACTCTCTTCGCCCCCAGTTCTCCCCCATTCATTCGGCTCTAGCTAGGCCCATCATCGACATGGAGAACGGGTCAGTTGACAGCCCTGCGGGTCCGGAGCCCCAGGTCCATCGTAAGTTCATCCCCCCCCTCAAAAGGCCCTCAACTGGATGGTGGACCCCACGATCAATATACAGAAAAGCTCTGGTTCGTGGTCTCAATCCGCTCGTTTCGTATTTTGAGCCCCTCGTGTGGCAGCTCCATATCCCCTTCCATGGCCATGCAACCCACCTGTCGCGTCCGCCACACTCCTCCCGTCATGGCCGCCACCTGCAGGTGCTTTTGCCAGCGCGCGGAGCGGTCATTGTGCATTGTTTCTGGCCTGGACTGGACTGAGGGCTGAGCGGACGGGCAGCACGACGGCCCGCAACCTTTTTGATCACACGCTCACGTTGATTACTCCTTAGGATCTGAACAGTTGCCCTCGACTGATGAGTTGGCAGCCTCGACGACTGCACATGGCGTTGCAGCCACATCTTCATCGAGCACTGCTCGCCAATCATCTTCCCGGCGACGGGGCAAATGCCGCTATTTTGCAACCAAGAAGGGTACGTTTCTTGCGCAAGGTTTATGCTGTTTCGGATTGAAGTTTGTTCTTTTGCTTTGCGCGATCGTTGCTATCCAGTATACGAAAGTGGAAGGTCTATGTTCCTCGGTTTTGTTTTCAGTATGTACGAATTGGAGGAACTGCAAATCGGACAATGACTACCAGTTGTGGCTAGTGGTGTGCCTTCTGTCCATGATTTGGACGAAGGAGGGAGCGGTGCTGTAAATCGTGCTTTGATTTGATTGATTTTGCTGCGATGTTTCAAACGCTATGTCCAGAGTTTGAATATTGATATCTAACTTTGATTTAGGTTGTCGTGCCGGTGCTGAATGCCCATTCATTCACGATGCTTCTGCTATCCAGCAAAATACTTCTCAGTCTGATCAGACGTCCAAATTACAAATGTCGGCTGATAGCTCCGAAAGTACCGACTCTAGTGTAGCCACTGGAGTCCAGAATCTGAGCGTCGGTCCAGACCAGCCGAAGGAAAAGTCGGCATCATCACATGCTTTCCAGCCTCAACGGCCCGTCTCGAAGATCGAGCAGAATGACCCAAGGGAGTTCCAGATTAATCAGTTGAGACGGCGATATCGCCCAGAGGAGAAGTCTGATGATAAGGGATCCACATTGACTTTCGGATTGACGCCTTCTGATCCGGACTTCCCGTTTGAGTTGGATAGCTTACAATGTGTATTGCATGTTCCAAACTCATTTCCAGGCACGGGGCGGCCTACACTGGCCGTCACGAATCCCGAAATGGAATCAGCGTATCAGCAAAATGTCAGCAGAGGATTCGACGATGCAGTCGATTTCACGCTGCGAACCAATGGCCGAGGGACCCTGCTCAACTGGCTTAACACTCTCGATAGGCAGCTTGAGCGACTGCTGACCACCCTGGAAAGGGGACCGAAGCTGACGTTCGTGGCCAATATCGGGGACAACTCTGGGAGTCGAGAGCCGATTCCTAGCGAGAAGGTTGCTTCCGCCCCGGCGAAACTTCCCGAGACTAGGGTACCTGCCCAAGCTCCGAAGCCAAAGCCAGTTACTGTGCAACCAAAGTATACAGCAGAACAAAGAGCTTCAGCTGAGAAACGGAGGTCAATGGACACAAAGCAGCTCGAAGCCCGTTTGGGAAGACTTCCTCTGTTTCAGAAACGATCAGAGAATTCCTTCATCATTCCCATCCAGCCAAACAAACCAGATCGTCTTCCCAGATCGCTTCAATCGGTGAAAACTGTGAGGCTTCTGATCCCTCAGCTGTACCCTTTGGAGCACAGCTCAATTGAGATCCAAGGAGTCGATAGCCCAGAGGCGAGATCCGTGGAAACCGGATTCGCTCAATGGTTCGAAAATAACACTCAGCTGAACTTGGTCTCGCAGATCAACTATCTGGGAAGTAACATGCATAACTTTGCGAAGACTCCCCTTCCCGAGGTGGCGGAGCAAATGCAGCATGAAATTATTCAAGAGGACGAGGAAGAAACTTCGCATCAGGTAGAGAACGAAATTTCTACAGAGCCTGTCGGAAATCGAGATCGACCTCATTTACACGTTATTCCACGTCCACCCGAATGGTCGGTTCAAGAGCCGCATAGTGGTAGCGACATGACCGATGAATCCAGCTACGACGAGGATGAGGATGAAGACGAGGAGGGCGAAGAGACAGATGGTGGTGCTCCTGTTCCCGTTGCTCTGGATACTCCTGGCCGGGGAGTTGCACTTTCATTCCCGTTCTTGGAGCTCTATGGAATTGAGTTGTTGGAACTGATCCACCTTGCCGTTACGATTAAGTGCGAGCGTTGCAAGGACTCTATGGATATCAAGAATGTTCCTCACCTGAAGGACGCAAAGGATACTCCCAAGGTCGAGTCTTGCAAAAAGTGTTCTAATTCTATGAGCATTGGTAGGCGATATGTTGGAATCCATTATTTTTTGGTGACAGAGCTAATAAACATACCAGGTTTTCGGCGACAGTTGATGCATTCCCATGCCAATCGGGCTGGCTATCTGGATCTAGAGGGCTGTACGATTGTGGATCTTCTCCCAAGGTCGGTCTTTCATCCCGCATCGTTAACTTGCCTTGATGGAGAAAAATACTGACTTGAAGAAGTAACTTCCTTCCCACTTGCTCCGAGTGCTCTACAGAATACCATGCCCCTGGCGTGTCTGCCGTACGCGCGGAAAGTGCTATGGCTATATGTCGTCACTGCCATCGCAAAATGGTCTTCAAGATCCCTGAGGTCAAGTTCCTGCTCGTGTCGAGTGCTGCAGGTAAGCGCATGCTTCAAACAGAAAGGTCTTTGAAGACTAATGAAATGCAGTTTCTTCACGCTCTGGCCTTGCTCTCAAGAAGAAGGTGAGTAAATATGCCGGCTATTCCTTTGTCAATACTAATAATTCAATAGCCCAAGGAAGTACTCGGTATTGTTGCTGGACAGGAACTACCTCGACGAGGTCGCTGCCAGCACTATGGAAAGAGTTATCGTTGGTTCCGGTAAGTAGACAAAAGGATCTTGTCCTCGTTTTCTACCTTTTCTCATCCTCAACAGATTCAGTTGCTGCTCCAAAGTTTTCCGATGTGACAAGTAAGACCACATGTCATCCTACTCTAGACTCACTGGAACACATACTCACGAAGCCTAGGTGTCACGATGCGGAAACAGATCATCCAAACGAGCACGCAAATCGCATGATTTGGTATGTCATTCCGCCTTGCGAAATCCCTCATTCGATCGCTAACACAAATAAGTGGCTTTTGCTCCCGGGAGCAAATATACAGGCCAGAGAATTGCGGAATCTGCCGAGCAACCCTCATTGGAAAGGCGGGCAGTGGATTCTGGGAAGGTGGAAAAGGAACGAGGAATCGCGCACTTATGAGTCGCAAAGACCCCCGAAAGTATAAACGCCGCGGAGCAAATGCTCCAGGCGGATCGAGCTCGAAGAAGAAGTAGACGTTAGTTGATTTCATCATGAAAGGTTCTGCGAAGAGTTCTTCGAGCTGCATCTTGCATCTTGCATACTGCATTTAAAAAATCGCATCTATGGAGTCTTAAACTGAAATAGTCACTGTGGAGAATCAATGTTGGTATGCAAAGAAGTTCATGAAATTTATGTAAACAACAAAAATTTGAAATTACCCAGTAGTAGGGATCGCTCAAAGCTCTAGACAGACTTCTCCAAATGATAGCGCCGGTATCTCTACAAGTTGGAAATCGACTTGCAAATCGACAGGCTGCAAAAAGTAATCGCTAGAAAGCGGGGAACTTGAATCAATCAGATCATCTAGAGGGTATTGATCATCCGGACTTGCCGCATATTCTGGGGTTCGAACCATCGACTCTGTTATTTCCTCCATGGCAACCCATTCCCTATTCGCGACTCCTGAAAAATAGAAGGCCATCCCTAAACCAAGTGCCCCAGCAGCCTCCAGAACACGCTGACACCAGAGAAATTTCTCCCGACTCTGTCGTTGAATATAGGTTCTAAAGACATTGCCGATAGTCCCAAAGACAATGTGCGTGCCCCATATCCGATGCATCGGCTGCATGCAGTAGGGAATGGCCCGACAGACTTGGTCGATATAATGGCTCGCCTTAACGAACGACTCATAGTTTGACGGGTCGGTGGGGAAATCGTCAGCAGGGAAGATTGCGTGATTGGCAGATACAACCATCATCTGTGCCCTGTAGACAAGCGTGTGGGCGAAGTTCATGGCTGTCCAGTAAAGGATATGAATCCTGGCATTATCCAATGAAGCGAACCGGTAAATTGACCCGAAGGGGTTATTCTCGAGTAGCATATTGTTGAATAATTTCGTGTCTTTCACTTCGCAGACCATCGGAGGGCCCCCGATTTGTGCTTCTTTCTCGGCGTACCAAGATGTTATTCGTTCTCGATATTCCACTATGGTTTTGAGTGACGCAAAACAGGCATTTGGGCTGATTTTTGGGTCATCGAGGGGTAATGTGTTCATTGCCTCGATTGCATCTAGGAGAGATCGACCTGTGACGAAGATGTCGAATAGGTCGTCTAGAGGTGTCTGAGGGCATGGGTTTATGAGGTGGCTATTATCATCTCCGGGCCCCCTGACTGCCAAAATACCATATATCTGAACATGTCAGTTGATGTTTTGTGAAACCAAAGAGGTAGGGTAAACAGACTATTGCTAGTTTTGCATGGCTACTGGATACATCGTTAATTAGGGGGCTGGTGCTTAGTTTGTGCTGATTTTCCTTAAGTAGGCTGCTCATTGCCTGCATATGAAATACCCAGGGGTCGAAGCCGTTCGCACAGCCGTGAACACCGCTTGGGCCTGTGCTATTTTTGACTGCTATGCATTTCTAGTCGAAGGAAATTGTTAATACAATGTAGTGTATATACTAAGGGGCACTATGTTCTATCCCTGGAATGGGGGTAGAACAGTGCCTTGGGAATTATCACTTACCTCAATCATCTGGAAGATAACAGTGGCATAAAGGGATTCTTCACTGTGAGTCTTCGTACAAAGCATCTTTGACATAGACAGCATCGAAGAATTATAAAGTTGAATGCCGTGATGAGATAGACGTTCGTCATCATTGATTCGACCGATATACACGCAGCAAATTGCTGAGAGCGCTCGCTGGAGCATCATGGTCTTGTGCGGTAATACTTGGAAGCTTGAGATGAGATATCGCCAAGAGTCCACATGAGTGTCTCCATTCATGCAAGCAGGGAAGTAAGCACCCATGAACGTGGCGAAAAGCTGTTCCTGTATCTCTGGGACTGAGTTGATATCGTCGAGACTCTTGGGCGTGGCCGTTCTCGAGCGGCCGACATTTTGTACTTGCATCGTCTTTTGGTCATAACTGATGAAAATGCGGTTTGCAGAGTACCCGCCGCATTCAATTCCTCGCTTCATGCATTGTATGCAGGCGGGTATTTGAAGGCCGCACTATACGAGAAACGAAACCAGTCAGCCCTACCAGGTACGCTGCCAAGCAATAGTAAAATGTGCGGACCTTAATCTTGCGTTTTCTGCAGGTCAAGCATCCTTTAGATGAATATGGAATTCCTCCCATGATGGTTTGTTGTTCTTTTTATTCTGAAGGAGCCGGGGTTTCGAGGCGAAGCGATGAGGCTTCAGGCTTTAGAGAGAAATGTGCAATGGATGCTTCTTTGCCCCTATCTTTAAATATTTCCTCCCTGAGGCTCGCGGGGAAACTAAATTCTTCGGCTTGCTTCTTTAATTCCGCCCCCACCATGCTGGTTGACGCATGGAGCCATCATTTCAAAGCATCGGCACCCAGTTGACTGGGGGTTGAACAGGTCAATCGCAAGGGATCACTAAATACAGTAACCAAATTGAGTAATCGAGTTGTAGCGAAGAAACTAAGCCAAAAGTGACGTTAGCATGCGCATAACGCGTTGTAGTGTAGACGGAAAAGCCAATGAAAACTCCTAGATCCCAGCCATGGTGGAGATTCGGAGTCCACCGAAGGTGGGGTCGAATGTTGTGTTCGAGGCTGAGAGATTTCTGTTGACACTCAGGTGGAGCCCTGTGACTCCATAACTACGAGTACGCATATAGAACATACAGATAAAAAAGAATGAACAGGTACTAGTATCATAATGGTTCGAGTTAAATGAGATGAACACGCCTGGAGAATGCAATTTAGGGGAGCCGCTGGTCCATGCCCCCCCCTATCAATAACGCGCAAATAAGCGGAAATTTTGAAAATCAACCCCTGTACAGCCTCAAATGAGGTTTCCGCGCAGTTCTTGTTCCCGCTCAATGGCCTCGAACAATGATTTGAAGTTACCGGCCCCAAATCCTTCAAAGTTGTGTCTCTGGATAATCTCAATGAACACGGTAGGACGATCCATTAGGTGCTAAAAGGAAAGTCGGATGTTAGCGGGCGGTGCTTGTTTACTTGGGGCGTTTTTTTGTGGATCTCCCCACTCACCTTGGTGAACAATTGAAGGAGGTAGCCCCCCTCGTCAAAGTCAATCAGAATGTCCAAACTTTTGATGGTCTCGAAGTCCTCCTTAAGGACTAGGCTGGACTTTTTAAGGCGTGCCTTCATGTCTGTATAGTACGTCTCCGGAACTTTGATGAACTCCACGCCGCGGGCCTTCAGGTTTGTGATGTCACGGATGATGTCGTCCGTCATGAGGGCGATGTGCTGTACACCAGCCCCATTATAGAAGTCGACATACTCCTCGATCTGAGATTGCTTCTTGCCCTTGGCAGGCTCGTTGATGGGCATTTTAACAATTTCGTTCGGTGACGACATGACAATGCTCTTCAGGGCGGAGAATTCTCTAAAATACATTTAGCATCTGACTTTCCTTAAACGGGCATTCTTAAAATGGACATACGTGCAGATTTGGCTGTCGTCAACGGACCAGAAACGGTGGAACCCGAGTGCTTTCTCGTAGCTGCACACAAGTTAGTTCAGACCTATCTTTTGGAGCGAACAGGCTCACGAAACGGGGAAACCTTACTATTCACACACTTTGTCCATCTCGTCCCAATCTTGGTTACCAACACAGTGGTCAATGCGCTTCAGTTGAACGGCCGGTAGGAACTTGGATACTGGGTCCTCAGGTCCAGTTTCCGCTCGATACCCGGGCAGGAAAACGCCACGATATCCACCCCGTTCGATAAGAGTGTGGGTCGTCTGGCCGTAAGTCTGAATCGTCGCAACCTTGACAGAGCCGTCCTTGTCCTTCAAGAGCTGGGGTGCCGAGACAGCTTTGGCGCCGTTCCGAGTGGCGGCAAGGTAAACCGCGTCAACGTCGTCAACTTCAAAGGCGACATCCTTGACCGCATCGCCATGTTGCTCGAGATGGGCATGAATCTCACGCAGTTCCTCTTGTTCCTCGGAAGTGAAGCGGTCGAGTTGGTTTTGCGAGCGAAGTGGAGAAGTCAGGATGAAAGTGATGTTCCCGTTGCGCAGAACGTGGGAGCAAGTATGGCGGCAGCCAGTCTCGAGGCCGCGGTAAGCGACTCGTTCAAAGCCCATGCGAGTAATGTAGTAGGTGGCTGCTTGCTTGGCGTTGCCAACGTACCAGTGAACGGAGTCATAGCCGCGATAGCTAGCCAGGGAGCCGGCGTCGTTTGATACCGAAGGCGGCGGGCTATTGGAGATTGCCGAAGGGGCCATGTCGATGATATCGGAGAATAAATCGATGAATATATTCTGCTGTCTTCGTGAAGATTTCGGTTCTGGGAATACTTCTCGGGTTTGAAGTTGCTGGAGGAGGTATTCAAATAGATACTGCTGGGATGGTTGATATGGAAGAAAGCCTGTTCGCTACCAGAAGTTGCTTTATAGGAATTAGTGATGGACCCTCGAGTAAGCGCAAGCTTTGACGGATATTCTTACTATTCCTTCGTCTCCATTCGCGCTTCCATGACGGGTTGCCACAATAGCCGTGGTGAACATCCTGCGCTTTCCTGAAATACCCGGTAACAGCCGGGCCGCGGCCGAACTCAGCACGGAGCTCCTACAATGAGATGCAACGGCAACATCGACTTTCTCTCTTTACCTTTATCGCCTTCACTAGTCTGAGACAATATTGACAAGCTAAAAATATTTTCTCACAAGGACATTCTCTTGCATGTTCGCCTACATCCCTTCAGACCAAACCCTACGAGCATAAAACATCATCCACCATCATGACGACTGTCAGTCCAGCTCAACCATCTCTAACGTCCAACGATGCGGCCGTTCTTCAAGCACTCTTTGACGCAGAGTCATCTCCCTCGTCCGGAGTGACGATCGAATCAACGCGTCCCTCCTGGCCCGCGACTGTGAACATTTCCGAAGCAGAACTCGCCTCCCTGAAGACCCGAGAGGCAGACATAATCCGCAAAGTCCAGGGCGATGACCCCAGCCAAGAGGTCGTGAAATCTGCGCTCAAATATATCGATACTCTTGTCAAAGAATACCCTTCCTACCCACCCGCCTACACAAACCGCGCACAAATAGTGCGTCTACTTATCGATCTCCAATACGAACAATCCCACCCAGAAAACCAGAGCAAGTCCCCAGACGATGCTCTCTTCACACCTGAAGCCGATTCTCTGTCCTCCCAAATATTCACAGACCTCGGGAAAGCAATTACTCTCGCCACGCCCGCATCTCCGGCAGATTCCTTGTCGACCGTGCAAGCACGACTCCTGGCCGACGCGCACACACACCGCGGGTATTTGCTTCTCAAAGCAGCGCGGATGAGGAAGAACGGGCCCCTTCTGTCGGAGGGTGTAGTTATTCCGGAGCGTCTGCGTGGACTCAGCGCGGATGAGCTAGAGGAAATGGCTAGTCGAGATTTCTTCCTTGGTGGGCGATTTGGGAATAAGGTTGCACAACAATTAGCTGTGCAGACAAATCCATATGCGAAAATGTGTGGAGCTATTGTTAAGGAAGCCATGAAAAAGGAGGTTGAAGGTGGTCAGGATTGTACTTAGATCTAAGATTCTGGGTGGTTGTTGTTGATTCCTTGGATCAAGAAATCGATATTTACTGAGTGCATACTTTGACATGAATCATGAATTGAATTAAATTGACTATTTCTCATTACAATCTTGTATTCCGAAAGGTCTTATCGTTCCAACTTCAGTGTCGTCAGTTCATACTACTCAAGCTATTTACACATACACAATCGCGATCTCATTTTATGTGTCAGAACCCCATTTACTTCTTGTTTGGGTTCTTGAAGTGGCGCTTCAGGGGCGTCCAGCTATGATCGTTGTACTCTTCCTGTATCTTCTCGCAGGTCTTCAGACCCCATTCCGAGACACCGACCATCAACGAGCTACATTTGATTATTAGCAATGCCTCCTGCGGCGATTGAACGGATATGAACATACCTCTCAAACATAAACGCCATACTTCCATCCCCAACCTTGGTAGGCTTGAGCTCAGCATTGCTGGCCCCCTCGAAGGCAGACGAGTCTGGACCGTGAGCACTCATTACATTGTGCAAGCTGGCACCGGCAGGTCGGAAGCCACCGCCAGTCTTTGCATCATAGTCACCCATAATAAGACCCATGAACTCAGACATAGTGTTACGATGATACCAAGGGGGTCGGAAAGTGTTCTCTTGGACCAGCCAGCGAGGTGGGAAAATCACAAAGTCGGCAATAGCAGTGCCGAGATGGTCTGAAGGACCAGTCAAGACGGTGAAGATGGAGGGATCAGGGTGATCAAAGGAGATCGATCCGATGGTGTTGAAACGTCCCAGGTCATACTTGTATGGGTAGTAATTTCCGTGCCAGGCAACGACGTCAAAGGGGGTGTGCTTTTGACGAGCAGAGAAGAGGGTGTTGTTGAACTTGCTGAACAGCTTGTACTCGGTAGGTTCCTCCTCGTCGTCAAAGTCGGCAACGGGGGCCTGGAAGTCCCGAACATTGGCCAAGCAGTTTGACCCAATAGGACCCAGCTCAGGGAGCTCATAGTGACCTTGGTACAGCTCGCAGATGTAGCCTCGCACCGGGCCGTCGGGGAGGGTTACACGGTATCGAACGCCGCGGGGGATGACGGCAATTTCATTCGGGCGTAGAATTATGCGACCGAGCTCAGTCTGAATATCTAGAACTCCGTGCTGAGGAACGATCAGGAAGTCTCCGTCTGCGGAGTAGAAGGCCTCCTTGCCCATGTCCTTGCCAGCTGCGTAGAGCAAAATGCCCAGACCTTGTTTCATTGTGGGGTCGCCCGACCCGGCGACTAGGTGCAGGCCATGTACCCAGTCTACCTTCTCATCGAAGTCAAATGGATTCCATCGTAGCTGGTTGGGAATGTGGTGGAGCTTATGTGTCTCGGTAGTCATGCGAGTGTGGTAGGAATCCGCATCCTCAGCGTGGAACTTTTCATGGGCGGCCGCGGGGAGAATACGGTAAACCCAAGTCTGCTTATTTTCATGACGGGGTGCTGTGAATGCGGTTCCTGATAGCTTCTCTGCATACAGACCGTGAGCCACCTTTTGGGGCGAGTTTTGGCCGATGGGGAGAGCCCCTTCGACGGCCTCGGTCCTGAGATTTTCTTTGTTAGCTATCGCGGGCGTACTGACATCACCTCCAAAATTAAAACCAAAAGGTAGAACTCACTCGTGATACGAGCCGAAGCCATTTTGGTAAGAGTAAGGATCAGGGTGGGAGAAGTTAGTGACGGGCATTATGGTGAAGGGGGCGAGGTGGTGGAAGTTGGGATGGATGGATGGATGATTTCATCGGGTTGAGGGTCAGCTCTTCTTTAATCAAGGAAATCGGCCGCACCTTCTCCGATGTACGCCAGAGCTGCAGGCCAACACGAGTTGCTCTTTGGAGTTGCCAGGGCAAATGAAGAAGACCGCGGTAATCCAAGCTGGCAACATCCGCGTTTATCCCCCGCCTTTTCGGATCATTCCGCACCCGCTTAACTGCGGGGAGCGCGGCCCAATTCCGCGCGGAAAGATACCCCCGGAACTTGTCAACAAGTTAAGTTCCCCAATGACACCCCTCCTCTTCTTTTTTTGTCCTTTGCAACCTCTTGTGATAATCATTCATCATGGCTTCCTGGCTCCAGATCCCCAAGAACTCGCCCTTTTCGTTGGCCAACATTCCCTTCGGCATCATCTCTGCGGCCTCATCGCGAGTCCCGGCCATTGCCATTGGTGAATATGCGTTGAACCTGAACGCGTTTGCCTCCTCCGGGGGATTTGCGCAATTGCCCGCAGTTCAGTCCCATTTGAGTGTTTTTAACCAGCCCACTCTCAATGCCTTTGCGGCGCTGGGTCGTCCAGTCCACCGCCAGGTCCGCGAGTACTTGCAGAACGTCTTCCGCGCCGATACCCAGTTCCCTCAGGTTCTCAAGGACAATGCAGCTCTCCAGAAGTCTGCGCTGGTACCCCTCTCCGAGGTGACCAACCACCTCCCCATGCAGATCGGCGATTACACCGATTTCTACGCCGGTCTAAACCACGCCTACAACATTGGTGTGCTGTTCCGTGGCCACGACAACGCATTGCAGCCCAACTACAAGCACCTTCCAGTCGCCTATCACGGCCGTGCATCTTCGGTTGTTCCGTCAGGTACCGCACTGCACCGACCCCAGGGTCAAATTCTGGCCAACCCGGCCGCGGATCCTAAGGTCCCGACTTTCTCCCCTTGCAAGAAGCTGGACATTGAACTGGAGCTGGCATGCTTCATCAGCACACCGAATGATCTGGGCAAGCCCGTGTCGATTGATGAGGCCGAGGACCACATCTTCGGTCTGGTATTGATGAACGACTGGTCCGCTCGCGATATCCAGGCCTGGGAGTATGTCCCACTAGGCCCCTTCAACGCGAAGAACTTCGGCACCACCATTACCCCGTGGGTCGTTTTGATCGATGCTCTCGAGCCCTTCCGTGCCACTGGTCTGGAGCCGGGCAACCAAGACTCTCTTCTACCTTATCTCCGTGAGAAGAAGGCTAAGAACTGCTATGAGATCCCTCTCGAGGTCGAGGTCACCAACAAGGGTGGTCAACCTACCATCATCTCCAACAGCAACTCCCGCAACCTGCTCTACTCCTTCCCCCAGATGGTCGCTCACCACACAATCACTGGCTGCAATCTTAACACTGGTGATCTACTCGGCTCGGGTACTATTTCTGGTGCCGAACCCAAGACTCAGGGTAGTTTGCTAGAGCAGACAAATGGCAAGACTCCTCTGACGCTGGCTGACGGCTCAGAGCGCATGTTCCTTGAGGATGGAGACACTGTTATTCTGCGTGGTAAGGCTGGAACAGAGGGCAACTATGTTGGCTTCGGCGACTGCGTCGGAACTATTCTACCTCCCTTCAAGCTCTAAGCTCTCCACAAAGCTAAAATTCGTATTGAGATGGATTGATGAAACTGGTATTTCTCACGCTGCATAGTACAGTCCTAGAAACTGCAATGATATGACCCGGCTATGAATCCGGAATGACAACAAATTTGAGCTTTGTAAATGTGAAAAGTAGTGGCCTTGAAAATTTGATACCATAGTAGGTACTTTGACATCTCACAAAATGGCCAGTTCGCTACTCGTACGACCTCAAAAGCTATACCCCAGCTGGTAGCACTACTTCTGCTTCACCCGAAACTCCTCGGGAGTATCAGGCTGTGTCTTCCAATGTCCCAATCGAACCGCCTCCTCCTCTTCCAGCCTATTAATGATCCCATTCGTCACAGGGTAAGCAGTCAAATCCACCCCGACCCGCTCGGCACCCCAAGCCGCGGGTATCAAGCAAATATCCGCTTGCGTGATTTGGTCTCCAACACTGAATTTGCCGGCAGACTTAGAGACAAGAGTCTCGTAGGCGCGTAGTCCGTCCTCAATCAAATCCTTCGACCAGACTGCTCGGTCTGCGCCGAGTGGAGCCACGCGCTTCAGGATGCGTAGGTTCGTCACCGGTTGTATATCGCATCCGATTATTTGGGAGAGAGTGCGGACAAGAGCGCGGGACTCGGCATCTTCGGGAAGAAGTTTCGGTCCCTGGGGGAAGGCTTCGTCGAGGTACTCTAGTGCGGCCAGTGATTGGGTTATAGTTACGGGGTTCCCTGACTTGCCCTGGGCGACTAGGGCCGGGACGGTGCCGGATGGGTTGATTGCGCGGTGAGCTTCGGAAGATTGCTCATCCCGTAGGAGATTGATGAAGACTGGATTGAAGGGGATTTGCTTGAGGTGGAGGGCAATGCGTAGTCGTGCGGAGCAGGAGGAACGGAAGTATGTGTAGAGCGTGACGGTATCAGACATGGTGGCAACTAGATTTTGAAGGGAAGATGATTTGATCTCACGATTCGAGAAGGGAGAGATCAGAATTCGAGGGGAATATTACGGTCTGCTGATTAGTTAAATGGATTTGAATGTATAGCAACTACTGCCAGTTGGTGATGGCCGTGCACCAACAAGCTCCGCGCGGAAAGCATTCCGGGGGTTGTAGAGTCCCGCTGTTAGCCGATTGGAGGGATGTCTGACAAAGACACTTGAATGACGAAATATCCAATAGTTAATACTAGTAGTAGCCCAGAAGGGTTGCCTCATTAACAGGACCGAATACCCACGAGGTAGGTTTATCACAGTAGGTAAAAAACCCTTCACCACCATGAATAAAGAATGATTTCCCGGCCTCCTCGCACGCCCGTTTCGTCCCTTGAAGCTTTGAATGACTCTTTGGGCTTTGGATCCCGCGCGCTTCAATATGTATTGCTGCCAAGTTAGGAAATTTTTCTGCACTAGCCAGCTCTACCAACTGCTCCATCGCATCTAGGAGCCCATTACCTTCCCTATTAATGATAAGATATAGTGTCTCTAGCGAGTGAGGGAGGACATCTAAAAGTTTTCGCATAGGACGCTTATTCTCATCAAATCCCACAAGATTGGGCACGAGGAGACATATGGTCTTCAAAACGGGAAAATCAGCGAAGCTCCCCATCCAATCGTCTTGTTCCTCTATGTAAACACCCTCATCAGGCTCGGCCCAGACAGACTCCAGTGTCGTCTTGTGAAGTGAAAGTGATTCGTAGAGTCTTCGAGGTCGAAATACCTCCCACGGCCCAATGTTCCGTGGTGAATCAACCGGAATGACTTCAATACTTTGCATGCCTGAACCCAGTCTCGCATTCCGTTTCCGGCATTGGAGTTTGCCAGGTCGAGATGGGTTATATTCGAGCTCTGCGGCAAGGGAACTTCTAGCCTCAGGTGAATAGAGTCGTCCGAATCGTAGTTATCCGAATCATACTCATCATCATCGCTGTCGTAGTCCTCCCCCAGACAACAACATCCAACCTTTCGCACTGACGGGAAACTGAAAAATGAAGTCATTCGGTGGGACGGAATTGAGCCCTCAGTATCATCCCACCAGGTCGCATAGACCTCTTCGAGATGACGAAAGACTGGCTCTTGTTCTCTGGCGGCTTTTCGCAACATATCCAAAACGTATTTTGCATCATACGCCCAGTTGATTAGAATTTTGCGGAGATCCTTCAATTGCAGGATGAGCAAAGCCAGCCAAGGATCGCAATCATCACCTTTTTCAAGATCTTTTAGCCACTTAGACCTTTCTTCTTCTGAGTATCCGGTTCTTTCGGAGACAAGTTTGAGTAGATAGCCACTATCCAACTCGGCTTTGTCCAAATGGATGATGCCATCTCCGCAATCCCAATCCCCCAGCCACAAGCACCGAACATAGCTAGCCAGTCTCGGGTCTCGGGTCACAGCATAAAGAAAGGTCACGACTTGTTGAGATGAATGATTCCGTCCGCAAAGAAACACCTCAGCATAGAGGTTTTGCTGTATGATGGTGTAGAGTCGACGTGATAAACATATCAGATGAAATATATCATTATTATTGAGATGGTGTGAAACTAGATGAAGTATCTCTGGCGGAAGATCTTCAAACATCATTGCGGTGATTGTTTAAGAGGTAAGTCGGCAGTAGAATTGAGGAATGTCTCTTTGTTCCGGTGGTCTCGGCGTAATTCACTTGGCATAGGCAGAAGTGGGGGCTAGCCACTTCTGCCTCATATACAATACTGGTAGTATTACCAGTGATTGTTGCATGTATTTGTTGCCAAGGAAATTTGACGCCACATTCAATAGTCGATTTCTGGAATAATCCCCAAGGTCGCGATTCAATCGCTGAGCTGGAGATATTTATGAGGTGAGATTCGTTTTCATTAAAGAATGGCTTGATCGTCGAATTTGATTGACCCTCTTGGAGCTTCCTGGCCAGGCAAGCGACATGAACGTTTGGAAGGTTAAACTTTCGGAAGAATAAAGGTAAAATCATATTATATACCTATTCGGAAAGTCAACTTGAACTCGAACCCCCTGAGAATGTTTTACCTAGGTAGTATCAATACTATCTGAAGATGTTGTAGACCGGAGCGTGGTTAGAATACCTAGGTAAATATAAATAATCGCGATATCCGTACACTAACCGTTGGGAGTCTCTCTTTAGATAAGGCACGTGCTCCAGGGCTAACATCGTCATACCGACTCAAAAGATGAGCTCGATTAGGGTTTCCCCACAAAGGCTGTTCCGTAGACCTCTGTCCCCATGATCTGGGGTAGATGACTTTATAATTGCCGGTAAACTCTCCCCTGGACAAATAGTATAGGGTACTCCAATCATAAAAGACCACAATGTACCACAATATCATATATTTAAACTTCGGAAACCATTCAATGCTTCGAGATGTTCACAATGGCCTAGGTAGTAGTTTGGAATCAATTATGGGTATAAATTCATGCTCTAATGGGGTATACAGTATAAACAGATGCAGATATTCGCGCTTTCATCCTTAGGTGATATGCAATTCTTTCCGAAACTTGCGTCTGCTTTCAATTTCATCAAGACACCACAACTAACAGCCCTGGGCGTGCTGCCAGGAGCTTTCAGCTGCGACACTGCCCATGATGAATGTTCCCAGCCAGATGCCTGCCAGGATAGACATGAAGTACCCGACATTCATCGTCATGACGCCGAGCATCCTAAATCAACCAGGTTAGTCTCATTGCTACCCGAAGTCCATTGCGGCCTTCAATCCGGTTCAAGAACTTACAGCAGATACGCCACACCCGCAACAACCACTTCGTAGGTCGCGCGACCAGCTGCAGGGTTGATTCTCCACCTCCTCCAGCGGGATCCGACCTCCAGAAGTGTCAGAGCCAATCCTGATGGGGGTTTGGCAGTCTGGCTGTGTTTTTCGTCGAGGCTGTCGAGCATAGGGTGGCCGGAATTATCGGTAAATACCCGACCTTCTAAGAGTGGCCGAATGACAAGTAGAACGCGCAATATGACGGCCAGGGCAATCAAGAAAATACATGTGCCGGCGTACTGGCCCTTGCTGGTCGGGGTCCAGGTCTCGGAGAAGAGGGGGGTCTGGAATGAGGTGAAGAAGGTCATCATCATATCAGACATGCTCATCATGGAGGAACCCGAACCCATATCCATTGAGGACATGGAGGTTGAGGTAGACATGGACATTCCTGTCGTGGTCGCCATCGACATTGTCGAGCTCATGTCCATATCCATGTCCATCATGATTGCGGCTGTGGACGGTGTGTGTGGGAAAAGTTCAACGCGATAAAGTATTGCCGAAAGAAATTCGGGTCAGATAGTATTTATTAAGATTATTCCCGAAGGATGGGAAGACGGAGCTCAACAACGAAAGAAGCTCCGATGAGTATATTTGAGAAGTTCAAGTTCCACGTCAAAAGGCGTTTGCCCTGAATATATCAGGCGCAATGTCCTCCACAAGTCCCCAAGGTTGAGCAACCTTGGCACAGACAGACAAGCGTGTTCCGAGGTGGGGCCAACCTATCGGGTGAATCGAATCATCGCGAAGAGCGCACAGAGGTGTGGGTTCGTACAGGCTTCGTGGCGCGCAATTCGGCCCGCTTTGAGCGAAACCTCAAACCTCAAGAGCCTCTGCCAACCCGCGCAATTCCTCTCATCATGACCATTTGAATGAAAACCCACACGTGGATATCTCGGGCCGCATCGCGTGGCTTTTCGTGTCTCCTCGATTTCAACGTGTGAACGAATCCTATCATTTTAGCGAACACAATCAATCGGATGCTGCCGAAAGCCCTTCAGCATGGGGGGGTCCACTTTGGTGCCACATTTCCGACGTAAACTCCCGCAAATGTGCTCACTTTTAAAGCGCGGGGCGATCTCGCCATCGCGGGTTGCGCGCTCTGATTTATTTCGAACTGGCTATTCGTACGAGTATTTGGACTATGTCGGTGTTACACTGATAGATCCCCTTGAGGCGATCTTGCATCTTTTATCTTTAGACAGCAAAGGCAGGTCAATAGACCAACTAGTAATATTGTATTGGAAGTAGCATATAAAATAGCAGAAAAAAAGGAATACAGTACGAAATACTCGTATGTGCTCATACCCCCACAGGCCAGAACACCGCGCTCAGGGACTACGCCAGACCCAGCCTTTAGTGTGAGCACATTAAGCATATGGACTGGGGGACCCAATGGGGCCATTGGTAAAAGCAATTCTGGGTGGGACTCTGGATCGGACTCTGGATGAAGGAATCCCATCCGAGACGCAATCCAATTGTTCTCTGGGTTAGGGCTCGGGCTATTAATAATGCCTGTCATCTTGGAACCTCCATCGATCCCACTCCGTCATTCTTCTCTATACATATCTCCTCCATATTCATCGTCGAGCTCCTACTTCGACTCGGACGCAGTCCACTCGCAAAGATGGATAGCATGATGGGAATGGTTCCGTTCCTGAGACCAACCGGTCATGTTGCACTCTGACCGGGATCCGGGGGAGTGCACAATGACCCCGGAACAATGTGCCTATAAATCTCAGTACTGGGTGAATTGGTACCAAGCAGACCATCGCTATTCCTTGCCGACGGTAGCTTTCTTTCTGGCTGCTATTGTTCTGTTTGCCGTTGGTCATTTTCTATCCGGTATCGCTCCTCAGCGAGTCCAAAGAAGCGCGATTTGGTCGCGCTCCGTGTCTTTTCTCCGATTCCTGTCTTACAAAAGCTGGCGAGTTGCTGGCTGGAACACTCAGTCTTTGGGTGTCTTCTTGTTGGGAGGTGCTGGTCTGGTCTTTTTCCTGGGTGAGTCACCATGTTCAACGAAGCATCCTTGCCGAGAGATAGCTATTCTAACCATCTCCCTCGATAGCGATGACACTCGGGCCTCATCCTTATTACTGGCCTAATACCAAGGAGATCAGCTACGGTGGTTCGCCCCCTATCGCCACAAGAACGGGCTTTATGGCCCTAGCATGTCTGCCATTTTTGATGTACGCTGCATTTTGTCCTCTCGTCGACTAATATGATGATATTGACCATTGACTAGTATTCTTGGTGCTAAAGCAAACCCCATCACTGCATTGACCGGCATCTCACACGAGAAGCTCAACATCTGGCATAACTGGGTTGCTTGGGCCATGTTTGTCCTGGCCTTGATTCACACCTTCCCATTCATCATTGTCCACGTCAAGAAGGGCGACCTTGTCATGACATGGAAGACTGGTGGCGTTTGGGTGACGGGCGTGGTAGCCCTCATTGCTCAGGCATGGCTCACATTTATGTCTGTCCCCTGGATTCGGTATGTGCCAACCATCAAACTCTTCAAATTGTGTGTTTCCCTCGAATTTACTAAATAAAACTATGTTTTCCTAGAAACCGCTATTATGAATTTTTCAAAGGAACCCATTTCTTCATGGCGATGGTTTTCATGATCTTCTTTTTCCTCCATTGTGATTTCCGTATGTCCTCCTGGGACTACTTTATCGCCACCGCCGTCATCTACACACTCTGCTGGCTCTACTCTCAGTGTCGAACATACTTCGAGCATGGCTTCAAGCACAAGGCCCGGCTGTCCGCTGTAACCGAAAACATCTTGAAGATCACAATCGACACAAGAATGGAGTGGGCACCCGGCCAGCATATCTTTCTGCGATTTTTGACCTGTGGTGCACACGCCTTCACATCTCACCCTTTCACTATCTGCTCTGTTTCTCAGAAGGGAAACAAGAATCAACTGCAATTTTTTGTCAAATGCAGAGGCGGCATGACTGGTCGCTTGATGAGCTTGGCTCTTAAGAACCCCGATGCCCAGGTTCCGGTTCTCCTGGACGGTCCCTATGGTGGTATTCCCCAAGGGCGTCTGGTTGATTTCGAAAGAAATCTCATTATCGGTGGCGGTGCTGGAGCTGGTTTGACGCTGTCCATGGTCGAAGAATTTGTTCAACTCTCCCATCTACGACCTAAAGACGAGATGAAAGTCATCGTCGCAACCCGTGATGCTGGTATGCGTTTCTGGTATCTTCAGGCTTTGGAGGATATTGCCCACCGGCATTCTAAAGACGAGACTATTCCTCGATTATCCATCCATATCCACGAGACCTTTTCCGAAGAAGTTGGTCGGGAACCTGGAACTGAAGATCTCAAATTGGAAGCCGGCGCCAAAGTTCAAAGAGTGGTTTCTAAGGAATGTAGCCAGCTGACGACGGAAATGTTTGGAGTTCATTTCTTCAGCGGCAGACCTGATCTCCCAGCCAGTACCCATCAAATGGCCGACCAGGAGGGCGTCTCTGTGGGTGTTGTGGTGTGCGGTCCCTCCTCTATGCATCATGATGTCTGTGAAGCAGCCTCGGTAGAACAAAGCAAAATCATGGCTAAGAAGCCTGGCGCTGCGAGGGAGCTGTGGCTTCACACCGAGAATTTCTCGTAAGTTTGTTCCTTGAAAAGTGGCTTCGGGATTATCAATTCGCTAACATGTCATTTCCAGGTATTAAAATATATTTGATCGCATAGCTGAATACCCCTAACTGATCTGCATTTTCCTGTATTCTTGTTAGACCACCGGGTCTAGATTTACGCATTAGCATATTATTTATACCCCCATTTGATTCGATCGCAGTATTAATTGCAACTGGATATCTTATTCTTTGCTTCTGACCATCAAAATCTTTATTATCCACAATACTAGTATATCCACAATACTAGTAGTCAAATGTGCCAGTCGGCTCAAGAAGTAAAGTACTATTAGGTATGCTTCTGCTGAAGCATAACTTGGCTCAGCATGTCTCTAGTTGATTTCGAGTAGAACAGCCGAGGTATTTCCAATTCAGGCATCTAAGCTGGCAATCGTCATATCTCCAAGCTTGTTCACATTCAAGCAAGCCGGGCATCATAAAATAATCTCTTATATAAAACTAATGTACAACAAAATATATATATAGAAAAATAACTTGAAATAAAAGAATGGAATGATCCTCAATATATAGTAGTAGTATAGTGTTGGCCCGGAGCATCTCAAAGAGCAAGCGCGGGGGCGGGCGGAAAACGTCGGCTAATCAAGGCTGCCAGCCTTCGCCAGCCATCACCCGCATCTCACCTCCAATATCCCTCTAAACAAATCCACAGTTGACACTGCGATACCCACTGAAACTGCCATTGCTAATCACGATCTCCTGATTCATCCGTCGGTATCGGGCACGTTGCAATGGACCGTGACGGCGCTAGGCCATCCCGCCCGGATCGGCCATATCAGCGCACCTACAAAGCATGCATCCCTTGCCGGGCACGCAAGGCCAAGTGCGACTTGGGAACGGGTCCAGATGGCTTACCGATCGGCCCACCATGCGCGCGATGTCGCAGAGAGATGAGAGAATGCGTCTTCCCGGAGAAACGAGCTTGGGAGAGGTCGCGTAAACGCGGTAAGTTGCAGACACCTCAATGCGCTTGCGCTGAGTCCGCTGGCTAATCGGCTATTCACCCAGGTCATTCGTTCGATGATAATGATCAGACGGTATCGCCTGTTGGGGAGCATGGGGTCGCTAGTACTTCGCCTGAGACTGTGAAGAGACAATTTACTCAAGCTCATCAGTCGGGCCACTATCCTGATGCCACAAGTCCCTTCCAGCAGGGCTGGTCCTTCCCTGGGCACCAGCAGTCCCCGCATAACAGTCATGGCTCTCAGGTGGGGATTAGTCCAGTCCAGGGTGCAGATACAATGATGCATGCAAAGCATTCTCCTTCCCAGTCATACCATGATCATCGACATCGGTCGAGTTCCACGCTCGCGAACTCAATGATGCGGACTGTTGTCGCCAGCGGCAATGATGCGCTGAATATTCTTTTTGAAGCCGCAACTGCCCAAGATCAGGAGGATAGTACACCCAATGAAGTGGACACGCCGCTCAGAGCTGGTTCGAAGTCGAGTGGACTGAATGGCAAAGCGCGATCTACTCCAAGGGATTTTGAAAGCCCGAACTTTGAACCAGCGCCGAGAAACGTAGGACCGGTCACCATTTCAGTTGTTGCACCGGAGACATTGAGCGTTTGGGAGGCCTGTCGCTTCGTCAGGATGGGTTGGTTTACCGCTAGAGAAGCGGTTACATTTATCGACCTGTAAGTGTGTGTGGTTGGGTATGGCAAGACACGATGTTTACTAACACAAAATAGGTTCTTCAAGAACATGTCTTGTTTGTCTCCAATATTGACGGACTTCTACTCCAACCACCGAAATCATTATTGGCTTATCTCTCGTGAGCCAGTCCTTTGCTGTACGATTCTCATGGTTTCGTCTCGTTATCACATCCTTCCTGGAGCAGGCGGCGACTCTAGGAATTTCTTCATTCATCACCGATTATGGCAACATTGCCAGCAATTAACTATGCGATTAATATTTGGCCAAGAGAAATCTACAAAATCCAAAGTCAGAAGTTTGGGGACCGTGGAAGCGCTTCTCATAATGGCAGAATGGCACCCTCGTTCGCTACATTTCCCTCCCGAGACAGACGGATGGGATGATGACTTGATTCCAAGTGCTGCAAAGCCTTCGGAAGAGACGGCTTCAGAATCCACAACGGCGAATCGATGGCTGGAAGACATGATTGAGCCATCAAGACGATCGGACCAAATGTCATGGATGCTTCTGGGATGTGCTCTTTCGCTCGCTCACGAGTTGGGCATCTTTGAGACCGAAGAATCTGATTCTCCTAGTGAAGAGCAAGAGTGGAAAGAGCAAATAGCCCTCCGGAGGCAACGAGTTCAACGCCTTCTTTATGTGTATATCAACCAGCTTGCATGGCGCATCGGGTGCATGTCTCCCATCCCGCAATCTTTAAACCATGCTGTTCTTGGTGGGCGGAAACCTCGGTGGCTCAGTCAGCCAGGTAGCACCTGGTTAATCTTTATGGACTCATGGATTGAATTGACTAAGCTGGCACAGTCTGTAACTGATATGTTCTTCCCATCCGCCAAATTCGCACGCCAACAACTGCATAGTGGCCGCTATGTTGGACTCCTGGAGCATTTCCGACCATTGCTCAACCAATGGAAAGATAAGTACCTGCAGCCTCAGGTGCTTGACAAAGCCTTCTATAATGACCTTTTCATCGAATATCATTTCGTCAGAGTATATACCCATTCGGTGGGCATGCAAGCCGTGGTCGAGCGGGTGCTGGCAGATGCCGACCCGGATAACTTTGACGAAGTGCGACCGATGACCATCGATCCGACCGACTACGATTATATCCAAGAAGTGATCGATGGCTGCTGCCAGATCCTGCAGAAGGTCGTCCACCTTGCAGAGGTGGGCGCACTACGATTCTCGCCCGTTCGCATTGTCCTTCGAATTACTAGTGCCTCGATCTTCCTGATGAAAGCACTCAGCTTAGGCACTCGGCAAGCCGTCCTGCAAGAGTCACTCGAAGTGCTCGAACGGAGCATCAGTGCGTTGAAATCCAATGCGCTCGACGATGTTCATCTCAGTACCCGCTACGCCACTCTGTTGGAATTGCACGTCTCACGCCTGCGTCGCAACCTACTGGCATCTTCTAAGAACCCGAAAACCAGTCGAGGTGCGACGCGACGATCATCAATGGGCCCTCCGCTGTGGCCAGAGAATGGCGATCGAACAAATCATCTCAGCACGCCCGTCTCACAAGAATTGAACTCATCTGATCTCGGCTTTATCCCATCGATCAACGAGATGGCAGACGATTGGTTGTCGCTGCCATTCGATCCGTCGATGGCACCATTTGGAATGAGTAACGGGGGGGCAGTTCCCCATGTGTGAGGGGGGCGCATTAGACTTCATTTGGAACCTGCCATCGTGAGAATTGGGACTAGAAAAACCGGGGAAAGTAAATAGTGGAGGCCGCCCCGCCCACGGTCGCAAGCCCATAGATAGAGAGCCAGGGTCATTTGAAAACCTGGGAAGAAATCAAGATACCCAAATTTTCCCTACTATGGGCCAAAATAGAAATGAGCTGCAGGTCGTAAAAGAAGAAAGAACTAGAGAAGAAAAACTCTGATGGCACTGCCACGCAGGAACGGTGTAATCCCGGGAATTCCCTTGACCCCTGCAGTGAAGTACGGGCAAAGTCAAAGGTTGTCAAAGCACTGGCTGGCACTGACTGGCACTGACACTGGCATTGGATTGGCTTGGGAGTGACTTTCGGGCGATCTCGCCGGGTGGCGCGGCATTTGGAGGGTCACGTGCAGTCACGCGCTCCGGCGAAAAAGTCGTCCTTATCGATTCTCCAACCTTCAAATCCACCTGGTTCACCTCCGAAGCTCTCGCCCTTCCCATCCACTCTTCTATCCCCCTCGACTCTCCCGACCCTCCCTTCGATCTTACACACACACATTATGGATCACTCCAGAGATCCCTGCCCCTGGGTCGCCCTGAGCGATTTTGGTGGTGCCTTCTGCATGGGTGTACGTCTCCTTTCGACCCCGACCCTTAACCCGTCGAGAATACCCTCATTTTATTGGACATTTTATCTAATCCTGTTTTCATTTAGGCCATCGGTGGTGCTGTCTGGCACGGTGTCAAGGGTTTCCGCAACAGCCCCTACGGTGAGCGCCGGATAGGTGCTCTCACTGCCATCAAGGCGCGTGCGCCCGTTCTCGGTGGTAACTTCGGTGTCTGGGTATGTTAAGCATCCGACTCTATATCCACCAAGCTTCCTTTTCTAACTGTCGCCTTGTAGGGTGGTTTGTTCTCGACCTACGACTGTGCTATCAAGGGTATTCGCAAGAAGGAGGATCCCTGGAACGCCATTATCGCCGGTTTCTTCACCGGTGGCTCTCTGGCCGTCCGTGGTGGTGTCAAGGCTGCCCGTAACTCCGCCATCATGTGCGCCGTCTTCCTGGCTGTCATCGAGGGTGTCGGTATTGGTTTCCAGAGAATGATGGCCGATAACACAAAGCTGGAGGTACGATCATCCCATTGCCAAAGCGCGAACATCATCCTTTGAGAACATTCAACTAACGCGATGCCGAATCTAGCTTCCTCCCCTCCTCCTTCCGAGCAGAAGGCTTTTGCTTAAATCACCCTTTTCTACGACGACGCTCACGCGATCGACTCCATTCTCCGGTGGCCGAAAGAAACCCACCTTCTCCTCTTGTTCTCATAACACAACACAACAACACATCAGCACATCCCCATATTGAGTCTCTCTTCTCAGGTGTTTGGTCTGGGTCATCATTCTTAAACGACACAGCATAGAGGTTCTTGTTTTGCTATACGCTTTTCTATTTTTTTTTGATACCGCCGGTCTGTTTTACTTTTCGGAGCATTGTATTTTTGTGAACGGCGGGCTCGATCTATGGCTGGTTTCCGAGACCGGCGCATGCTTCTTTTCCCTCAGGGCTTACGAGGCCCCTCAAAAGAATTTTCTCTGCTCATGCTGCAAAAAAGCGTTCGGAAGGGGACGTGGTGGATTCTTGTACATTAAGGCATTTGCTAACTAAAGGCATAATACGCATATTTTCTGACATATATTTTTGGCTCGTCTATCTCACTCATAAGTACAAAACCTAAGCACATCTACAAGGCCAATGAGGCCTCGAGTACGTCCAGACGACACTGGGACGGGGTTGAAATGTTCTCAACCTCTAGAGCTCCGCTATCGCCATTTCCCCGCATCCAGGTCGAATACCACCTCACACTTTCTCCTTTTCCAACGCATGCCAGCCCCGCCAAATTCGCTATTCGAGTCATGGCCAATTCCCCGGCAACCTTCAAGCCAGCATTAATTCTGCACGGGGGCGCAGGTGTTTATCAGCGCTCCAAGCTACCCCCAGAACTTTACAATGCTTACCACGCCTCGCTACAATCCTATCTGCGCTCAACCCATGAATTGCTCAAGGATGGCGCCAGCGCCCTAGATGCAGTCGTACACGCGGTTTCTTTAATGGAGGATGACGAGCTTTTCAACTGTGGCCGTGGCAGCGTCTTTACTACAGCGGGTACTATTGAAATGGAAGCTTCGGTTATGGTAACCTCTGTCCTGAGATGACGACCAATCCCAAGGCACAATGAAACGCGGAGCCGGCGTGATGGGCGTCAGGAATGTTCGCCATCCCATCCGTCTTGCACGCGAGTCACTTCTACGCACAGGGTACAGCGTTGACGGCCAGCCCATACGGGATGGAGGAGGTAGTATGCATTCACAGCTTGCGGGACCACATGTGGAGACATTGGCCCGCGACTGGGGACTTGAGTTCAAGCCTGATGAGTGGTTCTGGACGCAGCGACGTTGGGACGAGCATCGGCGTGGATTGGAGGGGTTGGAGCAGCCGGTCAATTTGAGCCAGGGCACTGTGGGATGTGTTTGTCTAGATCAGTGGGGGAATTTGGCCGTTGCGACGAGTACCGGTGGTTTGACTAATAAGTTACCAGGTCGGATTGGGGATACGCCGACTCTGGGTGCTGGTTTCTGGGCAGAAGCTTGGGATGAGGTGGTTGAGGATGAAGCTCTTGATACTATTTCATCCAGTTCCTCGCTTACCGATATCTTTGAAGAGGCGAGAAGCTGGTTAGGTGACTGCCTCCCTTCATCTCTTCGCGGGGTCACTTCGCCAGCCACGCATAACACACCGCACCGACTTGGTTCGGGCTCTGAGAAGCAGTCGCTACTTCAACAAATGTCATCTCAGCCCCGAACAAGGAAGCGGGCAATTGCTGTGTCTGGCACGGGCAATGGAGATTCGTTCTTACGCGTAGCGGCTGCGCGCACCACAGCCGCGATGCTACGCTTCTCAACGCCAGGTCGATTTCCAGATTCGCTCGCCAATGCTATTTCTGCGGTTGCTGGGCCGAATGGGGAGCTCCAACGCTCGGCTGGCCCACGCTGGGAAGTCACCGGGGAGGGAGAAGGGGGTATTATCGGTATTGAGGCAGATCTGATTGCTGGGGGTGGTGATGGATTACTACGACGTGGAAAGGTCGTATTTGATTTCAATTGCACTGGAATGTGGCGTGCATATATCGAAGAAGATGCTTCTGGGAGAGAAGTTGAGAAGATCATGGTTTTCCGAGATGAATACTACTAGTAGTACTCTTTAAATAACCTTGGAAGAACGGGGTTTCAAATAGACTTAAACTTCAAATTGAATCCATGGATTCTACTATTTCCCGAATGGTCAAATCGAATTTGGACTTGAACTTGGAACTTTCTATTTGAAGCTGTGTGGACTTCAACGTAATCGTCGACACCGTATTAGTCTATACTTGATTTTTATCCAAAGCCCTGCGGCAGATAAAATCTGTGCTCCCAAGTATCACCACTTCTCAAGTAATGCCTTGCCCTCCTCTTTAACTCGTCTTTTGCAACGAACGAAGTACAACATACGACAAGTTTTAGCAAGGTTCAGGACACTGCTATCCTCCAGGAACCTCAACACTCCGTCCCAGATCGGCTCATACCTTCCCATGACTTGGGAAATTTCTGATCGTATCGCTTAACTACAAGAGAAAGTCAGCAATGAAGAAGCATTCCATTATCAGGATTATACAGACCAATTCGATCCAAGGCAGACTTAATGTACTTAGCAGAAATAAGCTTACGATGCTGTGCTCTGGCTCCTTTGGGCAGTCACTCCGCTCTGTGACTCAAAGATGGACCACTCACTGCAGCATTGGCGCCCGAGTCATCGATCCGAGGCCTAGACACATAGTATCTGGGTGGAATTTCCTTGGCCTTTGCCTAATACGTGGCTGGAATGACAGGGGGGGGCTACTCAGGCGCTACCCAAACAACCAATTAATATGGGTTCAGAAAACAATTACGCGGTATCTGATATTGTTTTGTATGTTTATCGCTATATAATATTTTGCTGCTAACCTATATTATCTTCCGGCTAGAAGTCATATATTGCTTTTAGGTATGGCATCCTACAGAGACTGAGTCACAGTGATATAAGCGTCGATGGAAACGAGAGCCCTCTTTCAGCGACGCCCACGCAATAGGTGGTGGGGGCCAAAAGTCTCGTTCACCTCCTTGCAGAGTGCGCGAGAGAGGATATAGCCAACAGCCAAGACTTAATCATTGACTTCGTTATCTATATCCTAGTATCTTGCTCGACCATAGGAATATTACACATGCCGCTCATCGAGATTGAGCTAATTTCTACTAGCTCAACCTATTCTTCAGTGTCCTGTCCGCCTACCTTGCTTCGCCCGTGACGGTAAATCGAAGTTTTTCTCCCCGATCCAGGTACACAACTTTACCCTCCAATCCAGCCCTCTCAACCTCCGTCCTAAATTCTTCCAGTGAGCTTGCAAACACATAGTAATCATCGTAATGAATTGGAACTGTCAGATCTGGCTGTATCAGCCTGATCAGCTCCACCCCTTGTTTCGCGTCCATTGTGACCATCAGCGCGAGCGGAGCCAGGGTCGGTGATGGAATCATTGTACCACCCAGATGGGCTAGCATCAGATCGATACGCTTGTCTCGGTATAACTCTGGTATTCTCTTTAGTTCGTCGACCATAAGAGTATCGCCCGTTATGTAAACCCTAAACCCGCAGACGAAGTCATGGCTAGCAGGTCCATCATCTCTACCGAGTTCAAGCATCCAGCCATTTATCGGAGGAATCTATATAAGTTATCAGTTTTGGAAACAAAGTCTAGCTATTTCTTTTAATACTGACAGCATGAACTATTGAGTTCAAACTCTCCACCACTGAATTATCTGGTATATGCTTCCCTGGCATAGCCGTTATGCGAAGCTGACAACGTCCCGGTATAACATGGGCCCCAATGTCTACCATGATTGACTGGAAAGCATCTAGTGCTGATATATTCGTGAAAGAATCGGTACCTTTGTTAGTGAGTTGAGAATGAGCATGGGATGTAGTAATAATTGGTAAATCGCGCCGGAGTGAAGCTTCCACCTTCCGGTCGAAATGGTCTCTATCATTAGTTGACATTTAGTATTGTATATGGCAAATGAAATGGCCTGACGTTATCTTGTAGAAGATCAATACTCACTCATGATAGTGAGACAACAAAATCAAGTCAATGCGAGGTAGGTCGTGGAGACCAACGGCTGGATTTGTTCGCCGCTGGCTGGACACCCCTGGCCCGAGATGGACATGATCGCCAGCATGGAGAAAATTAGGCTGTAAGTCAGAATTATTCAATAAAGTTGCCTTTCCAGGTATGCCGAGGAAGATACTCACATCTGTCATGATTCGGATGCCCGCCCACTCTCTGTTTCATTTTAGTTCTAATCCATATTGGCTGTGTGCAGGCACTGACATGATAGTGGTGGCCGTTCCTACAAAATAAAGTGATGCATTTTCATTCCCAGTCTGAGAAGGAGCGAACTTGACTTGTTTCGGAGTCGGCAAGTTCTTCGGCGTTTGGGTGTCAGCGGTGAGATCGCGCGTTGCTGGACGATGATCCTCCGCGTCGATCCGAATAGTTTGCATAGTGTCCGGAACAATCTTGTAATGAGAAGAGGATCAACTTTGAATGCTCAAGAGAATAGGCCAAGTACGAGAGATAATTTGCTTTTTTAAATTAGACTGTCGCAAGTGCACACTTTGCTGAGTGGTGAATCCGTACCCGTCAAAACGCAATTAGCTCATCATGATGTAACAATATATGCATCTCGGGTGGGCTTGGTAGGCGGCGGCTGTCATGATTGGAAATGGGAGAGTCTTGAAATGATCAGAATTCATCCATGGATGTATTATTGTTTATATCTGTTAGGTACAGTCTTGGAAGCCAGGCCCAGCCGCCCTAGTTCGACAGCGTGTCTCGAATGATGAACGTACAAAGCTGCCACTTGAAGATCCGTCAAATTCGAAGTATAAGTGGTTGGCTTTACGTAGAAAAGTATTGAGACCAAAAGAAATCTACCAATTTATTACAAAAGCGACCAACACTCCTAAGTTCATATAATCTAGATCACATGAAATCCTTTTAACGTTTCAAAGGATTTCCACTGTCATCAAGTTGCTCGCTGTCCTCATCAATCCCTTTCCATTTTGGGATTCCATCGTGTATATCCCTCAAGCGGCTCTCGTAGAAGATATGACATCTATATGGCTCAGGTTAGTTAAGATTCTACCATGATTTGAGGGTGAGATTGACGACGGCAAAAATGTCGAAACACGCTCCCGTTGCTCCTCCGGCGAAGTGGAGAAATCGATCAACTGTGGAAATAAAAGACACATATTACGTCCTTCGTCCATGATTGGCGTCCTACAGGTAGCGCAAGTTACCTTCGTGGGCGTTTGGTATTTCGTATTTCTCTCTCGGGCTGCGTAGAACGACAAACCGTCTGTGCCATTGTCGAAACGAACATCCTCCTTCGGGAAGATTGCTGCCCACTGGAACGGCGCGCCATGCAAAACTTGACACCCGCGACAATGGCAGAATTTAGCCTTCAACGGTCGCTCACGCCTTAGACTGTATGACACTTTGCCACATTGGCAGTGGGCTCGCCATCTGATGTCACCGTACTGATCAAGCGGTGTCAGGACATATGGTGGCCGGTTGCTGGGGTCCTCATCTTGGAATGTATATGCATGACTATTTTCAAGGGACAGTGAAGGCTCGAGATTCTTTCTGGAGCAAGCCATGTCGTTGGAGCCCTATCCTATCAGAGACTCAATCCCTTATCCGTAAATTGACGAGAAATTTGAATTTTGGGGATCGAGCAACGACAAATCAATCGATTCATTTACTTATTCCGCAAGTCAGTGACAATGAACTCTGTGTTACTCGGGTATTTATATATGTTTTATTGCTTCGAAATGACCTGCAGGACGAGATAAATTCCAGGTTTGGCGTTTGAAAGTTCTCTTGCTCGCTTCCACCAATAAAACCCCACAAAAATCAGTTGTCGTCACGGATAGCTCATTTTAAAAGACTTGATTTGACCTGGGTGTCGTCCATGGGCCATCCGTGTGGATGAGCCAGTAGAAGCATTTCTGATGTGCTCTATCAAGCACTTACCATGGAAAGCGAAACGAGGAAAGTGAATCATGAAGAAATACTAGACTTTGTCACCAATCATACTAGGTATATCAGATCACTGGACACCATAATTACGACACTGACTGTATATAGCGCTGAATGGACGAAGGCAGTAGAAGGATGAGATTTCGAGGAGACACTGAGATAAGCTTTTGCATCGCGCTTTCAAGTTCAAATACATCCACTGAAGGTCGCACGTGTCGTGAATTGAGCTGTTTGATTGTAACTCCACCGTCTGACAATGCTTCGGTAGTCTTGGGCCTGTGATGAGCTGTCTCAGCCATTCAGTTATTTTCTTTTGCAAAATGTTGGTTGCGACAAATGTTCCGGCTATATATGTATTATGGACGTGGCTTATAATAAATAGATGCCTGGATAGAACGTCAACCTTGGAATATTCATTGACAGTGGACATTATAGTGAGTGTTTACTTTCCTCTATTCACACAAACCAGCCAAACAGAGAGCTGTTAGAATAATCTGGCTGCTCAATATAGAACCAGTTGTTAAGATACCTAGTTCTAAGGTTGCTAGGTTGAATGTATGGCCATGGCGGCTAGTAGTCTCTAACCGAGATAACCACTAGTCATAGAAATCTTTGCGGCAACACGAATTACTAGTAGTAAAATACTAATCCCACAGTGCTGTTCAAGATCTCTACATTAAAATGTGGCAATATCAGCTATCACACATTCGGCGGAGCCCTTATGTACGCTATTTAATTACGAATATCTTGCTTTGGTCAAGAAAAAAATGGCAGTCTTAGACGACTTGAGCAACCCAAACTCGGCCCGGGGGTCAGGAGCTATTGTTCACGATGCTCAAGAAATTACAAAAGGGCGACAGAAACTTGCTGCTTCTCAATATTCAACAAAGAAACAGGGTTTGCGCTGGAAACATTTGAAATGAGATATTGGTGATTGGGCATTGCTTCGTAGTAAGTGATGCTATACTGACGCGCTGACCATTTATTACCCGTGATTGGATCAGACCGGCTCAATTCAAGATATTCCTGACATTCTGCCGGCGGGGCTGCTTTTCCGGTATTCAACTACACTCAATGGAATTTGAAATTCCTTCTGGTGATTCGCTTCGGGCGGTAAAGGCTAATATATTATACAAGGTCGCAATTAAGCCACTCAAATTGAATTCCTGAATTCTCGCATAATGACGTTTCGCCATACAACCATTCTATTATAAGACGGTCGCCCTCACTAAGATTGTCAAGCAAAGCTTTCTACAATGTTATTCCGTTATTCACGCCCTACTGCTTTATTCTCAATAAGACACCCAATTTTAGTTCAACGGTGCTGCATATCTCGAACCGCAATGGCTGCCGGTATCAGTGACGCGATCCAGAAAGATCATCGGGAAATCGAAGACTACTATAACAAAATCCTCGCTTCCTCCACGGACAAAGAGAAGATCCAGTGGCAAAATCAGTTCACATGGGAGCTAGCCCGTCACTCTATCGGCGAGGAGCTTGTCGTCTACCCAGAGTTCGAAAAGAAGCTCCCCGATGGCCGCCAGATGGCAGACAAGGATCGCCAAGAGCACCTCTCTGTAAGCTTCCTCCGTAGGTCGTACCGCGTCACTAGTGCCTACTAATATAAAATACAGGTCAAAAAACAACTCAAAGCTTTCCAGAATATGCAACCATCTGATCCTCAGTTTGAGAATACCATCAAATCTCTCATGAAAGATCTTTCAGAACACATCAAAGAAGAAGAGTCCGATGATCTTCCGAAACTAGAGGCCCAGTTAACGAGCGATGAGAGCGAGGACCTCTCCAAATCTTTCAGCAGAACTAAGATGTTCGTTCCCTCGCGTTCGCATCCCAGCGCTCCTGATAAGCCTCCTTTTGAAACGGCCATTGGACTTATGACAGCCCCTATCGATCATTTGGCGGATTTGTTCAGGAAGTGGCCACACACCTCAGGCATGCCAAACCCGTCTACTAAATAGACCTACTACTCTCTAAACAAGAGTTGGCCTGTGCTTAGCAACAGGTAGCTCAAGTTTGCGTAGCCCTCTGGAGTCGAGAAAAAGGTTGAAATGAAGTTATGTCTTTTATCTTACGCCAATCTGAGTTTGTCGCCGTCATATCCCGAAACATCTATCTCCGCTCTATGCTTGAATCTTGCCAATGAATTTGAACTTGATCTGTAAAAATCAAATTGTCTATGTTATTTTGTCTACGAAAATGCCTAGGACACGGTGTAGTCTGAGTCACTATCCCGAGAGGTTTTACTGTAATCCTTACTTATGAATTGCAATTATCGGTACATGAAAATAAGTTCAAACTTGTCTTTTAGTGGAATGCCTTGCATCTATCGTGCAGTGGCGACATTGACAGAGTGTAAATTTCCTTAGAAGGAATGGGGATAGACGGCCCCGAATGATACTCACCAGCCGGGTGTATCTGTTCGAACCGTACGCAGGCCCCGTAGCTGACAAGGATGTAAAATAGGCTATCTTGGAATTCAGGATATGCAACAGAGATTGCTTTATGCGTCACTAATTTTGAAAACCAGCTTTCACCAGTCTTTACCCAGTTATGTGGCTTCAGTAAAAAGGTGTGTACCGATCAAACATCGTCGTTTGTCAGATTGCACCTAATAATACGCATATGACTGAAAACCAAAGTTCATAAGCTGGAATGTTCTAAAAATCTCCCTGAGGTAACAATGACACCCTAGATCCTACCAACCTTTTGCCGCGCCCCAAAGTGACTACTATGAACGTGTATGCCAACATTACCTTTCCATTTCCTGCTTGACTCGACAAATATCCTGATTTTGTGTATTTCTTAGCGGGTACCGAAATCGAGTATCGTATAAAAATTCATTGTTGTTGAGCATGGAAAATCCATCATTGAGCAAGCAACCTACCAACTTCTTGATAAGTTTCTTTGGTCATAGCTACACATATGATTTTGTTGTCGGCGGTAGAACTGTTGGGTACCTGGAGCGTAAAGGCATAAAGACTAAAATGTGAAATTGTGAAATAGAAAATTTATGGGCTCTGTGGAATAGCCAATTTGCGGACTTTCTGCCTCAAGAGAGCCTATGCCCAAGATGAAACACGCTTTCGCCGCCGATCAAGATATCTGATTCTCTACTAATGATTCCATGGCTCACTCAAGTCTGGCATTCCTAGAATGAGTGCATCGCCAGTCTCTGCATGTTCTCCAATATTTGAGACGACTGAATGCATAGTAGTGCGCCTCGACCTCCACTCAAGGAACTCGAGGAATGCTGGTTTCCAATTGTTCAGCCACCCAGAAGACTGAGGCAAAGACCTAGCTCCCCAAATCAGACATTAAAGACTATGACACAGGTTCATCACCAAATTTCTACCAATCAATCCCAAGAATCCAGCTCAGAATCAGACATAATCAGTTCCTAGGGACATAAACAACCCCATCTTATACTCTTCACCAATGATTCATATAGCCAGCACAGGTTCTGATGCCAAGGCATATGTGAGGACAATGATTAGACCAGTACAGGTCTCAGAATAGAGTGTGTGAGAAATGAATGGTGGGGGAGAATGGATGTTTGGTCAATGCTTGATACTATCGCTTAGCTCTCAAATAAGCCAAGTTGAAACGACTGTTGAAATCAGTTACAGTCGTCGCCATCAAAATAATCCCTACCAGATCAGGCTCCAGACGCAGGAAGAGGGCAGGCAGGCTTGACGTAATCTATAAGCGAGAGATCCTCATTAGTTCCAGAAGTTGGCAGATTCATAGCATATAGTAGTCTTCAAAGGCCACAGATCAAAGGCATCGGCATCTGTAATGGTAAAATCCCGGCCAACTGGCCCAGATATCTGGAAATGATCCTAAGATTCAATATCACAAAGGGCTAGCTCATTTTACACACCACTGTCGAAGCCAACAGAGGAAGTCCATCCGAGAGCATGGTGGATTGATGTTATGAGAAGCGCCAAAATGCCGACAAGGATAAAAGCTAGACCAGAGGTGTAGTACACTAAACCGACATAAGCACTATCGTACCAGTCCGATATGGTGTAGTGGCTAACATCGCCGTCTCTCACACGGCAGCCGGGGGTTCGATTCCCCCTATCGGAGTTCAATTTTTGATCTATCCATTATAAATCAGTGCTTTTTTGTGAATCGAAAAAGGAGAACATGAGGCAGGAATAAGAGCCAGGCTCACCGCCTGGACCGCGCTGGAAGCTTTAGAGTTATTGTAACAGGTTAATTAGTTTGTTAAGTTAGTTAAGTTAGTTAGTACATTGTTTGTTCCAACCAATGCCTGAGGCATTCGGGCATCAGGATTCAAGAGCAACTCTGATAAAAGGAAAATCCCCATGCCTAAACGTCAACCCCTCACGCATTTTTGGACTGACCTTCCTTCATGTCACATGAGTTGTTATTCTGCATGCTCGCCATCCACTAGTAGCATTCGCCGTTTTGTATCATGGTTCAAAGACCCCCCTGACCAGCACGTGTCTCATCAACGCACCCCTCATTGCCTGTGATTCCTGCTTTCACGAAAAGGTTGGAAGCTCAACCCCTCAAATGCCTCATGCACCCTAAAAAGGACCTGACAGCCTCCAGATAAAATGTTACCGCGACAATCTTCCATGCGAATGGTGTTCACAACAGGGCCTTCAATGCACCTTTAACCGAGCGCATCGCATCAGTAGGGTCCCTTCAGCCGCTGGACGCGTGTAAGTGCATCCGAGGTGATCTTCAATACCGAGCTTTAGAAATGAAGGCTAAGAGTTTCGCGCGAAGGGCGGTTTTTTTCTCTGCATGAACCAACTGCATCTGGAGACGAACGCACGAATGCGGAAAAGCCAATCTTTGATTCCAAGCGCTGAAATCAAGACTGACAAATTATAGGATCAGACAGGCACGCCCCGAGCGCGACCGCCACCAGGTCAATCTCCTGGTTGTATCAATAATATATTTGGACATGTCCCGATTAACCTTCGTGCGTCAACCGGACTTCCTTTCTTTGCTGTAGAAAGTCGGCAATGGATGGTGTCTTGTACCGGCCAAAATATCGATTTCGATCGGTTGAACTTAGCCAGTGTCCGAACGCAAGATCAAACTATCCATGATTTTGCATCTCTCAAGGAACATTTTCGACACCATACTCATCCTGACCTTCCAGAAAGGGGCGTTGTCCTTTCCGTGTTGCACAAGTTCATCTCCTCCTCTGCCCATCGCCGCTTTCCTTTTATACACCCTGGTTTATTTCATTACACAATGGAAACAGCCTATGAGAATCACCTTTCGGAATTTTCGCCTGACATTCCTAGCGCCAGAGCCTGCATATTTGCCTTCGTTTCCTTCAGCAGCTTTATGGTAGAAGGAAACTCTCTTGGCAACAGTATCGAGTCTCAAAGGTATATTCATGAAGCACAATATCTTGCATCTGAAATTTTGGATGGTCAGGCTACCCTAGACGGAATCCAGGCACTCTTAATGGTCGTAAGTTAACCCATTTGGTTTTCGTTCTTCAATCGATCCACGGACTCGGCTAGCCTGGAATGGTACGCTGTACCAGGACTACCTCCGCCATACTCTGAAAATTCTGGCGCAATGTGGTTTTTTGGCTCTTTGCCACAATTGCCCCTTTCCCTGGGTGTTGAAATGGTCTTCTGATTACTGATACCCGCTGGTCTAGTCAATTTGTCGACTAGGAAGAATTAGCACCATGAACTCAAAAGAGCCAATGCTTAGTACCTCGATACGCTTTATTTTCATTTTAGGAGGCCATTTGAATTCGGCCACTCAGAGCCCACCTGCTTTGTTTCAAATACATTGCCGATCACTCTTCTGGATAGCCTACTTGATGGACAACGAACTTTGTCTACGAACGTGTCGGCCGCCGGCAATTTGTACTGACTACTGTGACTTGACTTTTCCCAGTGCAAGCGAAATTGCCATCGAATTCTGCCTTTCCGATCTGCAGATCCCATCCATCCAGATAATTCCACACCTTTTTCCTACCGATTTGAGGCTGGCCTCGATTCAATCGAAGATTAGCAAGGCGCTCCATTCTCCTCGAGCAGCATCGAAATCAGATGCGGAACTTTTGAAGACTATTCGCGAAGTAGATGATGCGATTGATGACTGGTACAAGAATCTGGAACTATCATGTGATCTCTCTGCCTTTCCAGCTCAAGGTATCATGACCCGGGAGGAGGCCCTCGGGTCTCAATTTATGTTACATATACAGCATAAATACTGCATCGTTGCCATCCATCAGATGAGTACCGGATGCGCGGCATGGATTGCCGATCCTAACAGCCAAGCGCTGGGTATCAAATTGAGTTTAGAGGTTGCGGCTAACGCAAGCTGTGCTCTGCTTCAACAATTCCTCGGCGCAAAAGCCTTGTTTCAACTAGGTAGATTCTGGTAAGAACCCCTATTGCTCAAACTGCTGCTTTGGTTCACAGAGAAAAAGACCGATAGCTAATTATTTCAATGATCTTATAGGTTCGCTATCTTCTATGTTCTGACAGGTGTCATGAATCTATTCTGTCAAGTTTTGAGAGAACCCACAAGCCCACAGACCGAGAACGATATCAGTTTACTTGACCAGATGTCAGAACAATTCTCTTTAGCAGCAGGAGCACACCCGTTTCCCGAATATTCCAGTGATATCTGCTTAATGAGAGATTTTGTGGCAGGATTAAGACGTTTGGCTCGATGTGCCACACTGAAAGGAAGAAAATAATGGCTCGGTGAAAATTTATATTAAAAGTGTATATATCTAATTCTGATTGACCCCTGTATATTGAAGAGGGGCATATTGTTAGATTATTTAACTATCTCCCCAGCGACTGAAAGACGTGTTTACTAGCATGCCTTTGTTTCCTTGATGACCAACGGATGGTCCCAAGGGATAAGGGCTGTAAATGGTTCATCCGCGAGGATATAGTTCAAGACCAACGCCTTCTTGATCGCCCCGGCTCCATTCCCGGTCAATTTCAACATCAAAGTGACAATCCATGCACGGCACATGACGTATCGGGCAAGGAAATAGTACAATTTGTTCTCCCAGGCATGCATGCGTGACATGTGACGGGACTGATCGTAGTCTGATCGCAATGGGTCGGCCCTGGCTTTTTGGTACGTATCGAAAACCCTGCACAGGGTGGGTTCATTTGGTGACATGTCCTGGCTCGACTCCAGCATCTCATGTAGACCGTTGCACAGAGCAACTACGTCTTGGATTCCATTATTCAGCCCACGACCCGCGTTCGGCGTGAATTTGTGACACGCGTCACCCGCCAGGACAATTCGTCTCCAGCTCCAGCGAGTCAAAATACCCTCTTCCAGGTTCGTCATTCCTTGGGTCAATCGTGTGACGTATAAATCTTTGACCTTGAGTGTTTCCGTAACCGGGAAGTCAGAGAACTGCGTCGCAAACAACTGCATGTCCTCCTCCGTGTAGCGCACCCGCGCTGCCTCAGTCGACTCTGCCGCCTTTGCTGAGTTTTCCCTCGGAAAACGCTCATAAAGGAAGATCCAGCCTCGCTCTTTGCCAGCCAGAAACATGATGGACATATCCTTGGACTGTACCTCGGTGGCGTGGCCCGCCTCAACGCTCTCTGGCCGTGGGAAGCTGCTCCACATACATCGATATTGGGCTAGGAATGGGTCAGCAGAATCCCTCCAGACCTGCTGAGGATCCTGAGACATGGCCATATCACGCATAAGGGTCCGCGTCTTGCTGTGCACTCCATCCGAACCGACCACAATCGATCCCTGATATGTGCTCCCGTCCGTACAGATGACATTGACGCCATCCTGGGCCTTTGAGACTTCGATGGACTTGATCTTCTTGTTGAGTAGGTATCGGGATTGAGCATCAGAGGGCAATCCATCGTATAAGGCTTCGACGAGTTGTGCGCGGTGGAAGATGACCGGTGCGGTTCCGTGGCTGCAAGGCAAAGGTTAGATATATGTACATCCAATTTCGGCACAATCAAGACGGTGAAGCTCGGCTGTCCGGGTGCCAACTCACTTGGTTCTGAAAACGTGAGGAACCGTCCTGCTGTCCGCAAATCGATTCCCATCTTGTGTGAACGATGTATTTCGTGCCAATTCGCATCCAATTTTTGCCAGTCGTTCCGATAAACCAAACTGATGCATCACTCGCATGCTAGGCGGCCCCAGCACCAAACTGGCTCCCTGATCCAGAACAACCGAGTCGCGTGCTTCGAGGACCATGAAGTCAATTCCAGCATGGTGGAGGGCATGGGCGGCCGTGAGACCGACGGGGCCGCCGCCAACGACGATCACTTTAAAATGAGGGGATGACATTGGTAGAGTTGACAATTGATAAGAGATAGATCTTCCGAATGTAAATTTGGACGAACAGAAATTCTAAGGTTGAACTTGAGCTCGGAACTTGGATGCTGAGGAAGCCTAGATTCTCGATGTTAGTACTATTTATACACATTGCATCTATACACGCGACTGTCCGTTTTTAGCTTCAAACGCGGGCCGGTAGCCTCCCAAACACGAGGCTTTCGGATCCGCTTCATTCCGTTTCGCTTAGAAAATAATTATTGCAAACTAGCGGACCCCGCTGTTCCTCTTGAGAGGCTTTTGGAGGACATTAGTCCTCTGTAGACGGACAGCATCGCCTCCTCGCGTCTAGGGTAGTCCTGTTCAGGTAAACCGTCCGCTTATTCAGCTGATCGGAGAGCCTCCACTCGAGCTACCCTGATTGGATGGCGGTTAATTGACTATCCGCACTAAGCCGTATCTAGGAAATGTTTCCGCTTAGTCAATTGCCCGCAGATAATTCCTTGCTTCCTAGGGTTTGATTGCCTATCCTATGGGGGTTGACACGGTTGATTATCACTATTTTGCATGGCTTTCAATCACCCATTACCCATCTCTGGGACATGGGAAACACCCGATGACTACGTCGAGGCTCTCCTCTCTTTCTCCACCACGTCGGTGCTCTTCATGAATTTGTGCGGTGGCGTGCACATGGTCGACTTTTTGACCCGTGAGCCCGATCTCTATACAACAATCCTGCCAGATGATTGGAGATCCTTCTTTGACCAGCATGATTCTCAAGATATTATTCGCTTACTTCTGAGGGAAGAGATCGAGAGCTTACGAGGCGCCGACAAGTCGTCCGTAGATCAAAACAGACGTACTTGGAATGGAGGGGCATTCCCTCCCCAGAGTCTCCTAGACTACATTTCCAATATTCGCCAACTGGCACTCCAGCGAGAGATGGGTCCCTCCTCCTCAGAAAGGATTGATTTACCAAAGCAAGTCGCTATGCGTATGAATCGGAAAAAAGTACATGAGGTCGAATGCTTTTCTCAATACGTTGCATCTCTATCAGATACTGTTGATAACCGCCGAGCCGAGACAGTCTCTCATATTGTGGATTTTGGTTCTGGGCAGAATTATCTCGGAAGAACACTGGCAAGCTCGCCTTACTACAAGCATATCATCGCGATTGAGCGCAAGCATCAGTACATCAGCGGCGCCAAAACCATGGATGTCCGAGCCAAGTTGGCAAAGGATCCAAAAGCTCGGGATTTGCCTAAAGAGAAATTGCCATGCGACGAATGCAATATAAATACAGAAGCAGCTGCCTCTGAATCAAATGATACCCCCCAGCCGCCGGCGATACAGGATTCGCTGGTCTCACAAGAGGTCCCTTTTGTCGAGATGCTAGGCGACATTCGGCTTGAGCCCGACTCGGACGAGCAACTCGGATCTCCCGCCCAAATAACACAAACCAAAAAATTGCCGAAACCTGAGGCGCATAATCGTGGTACTCTAAGCTACATCGAACATGAAATTCAAGATGGCTATTTAGAACCTATTATCGATCACGTCATTCATCCATCCCCCGCCGCAATTTCTGACGAGATAGTGAAAAAAGAGAGCGATGCTAGATTGATGGTCGTCTCTATTCACTCGTGTGGAAATCTTGTTCACCATGGTCTGAGATCCTTGGTTTTGAACCCTTCGATTGTGGCCGTCGCGATGATCGGTTGTTGCTACAACCTGTTGACTGAACGTCTCGGCCCAGCCACATGCGACCTCCCTATTCTTCCATCTCTCCACCCTCGACTTGAAGAGACTGGCGCATCATACGACCCGCACGGGTTCCCTATGTCCAAGTACTACGAGGATTACCGAAGCCCCGGAGCAACGACCGGCATGAAGCTTAACATCACAGCCCGCGCATTGGCCATGCAAGCCCCATACAATTGGGGCCATGATGACAGCGAAGTCTCCTTTACCCGTCATTTCTTCCGTGCTCTTCTTCAGCGTATCCTCGTTGATCGCAGTATTCTCCCTAAACCGGAAGACACCACTGAAGATAGAACCGATTCTATCATCATCGGAAAATTGCCCAAGGCTGCCTTTAGGTCCTTTACTGCGTATATTCGCGCGGCGACCATCAAGATGAGTCGAGACTCAATATATGGTTCTAAGGTCCAGGAGCGTATTGCTACCTTGACTGACGAAGATATCCACCACTACGAGACCCAGTATCTCCACGCGAGGAAGCATATGAGTGTTGTGTGGAGCTTAATGGCGTTCAGCTCTCAGCTTGTTGAGTCTATCATTGTCGTGGATCGGTGGCAATTCCTTCGGGAACAGGACTCTGTTAAGGATTGCTGGGTTCAGCCGGTGTTTGACTACAGTTTAAGTCCGCGAAATTTGGCAGTCATTGGACTGAAGAAATGAAGTGCTGGAGAGATATAGGAGATCATCGACATTAGAAACTCGAATCAAATGTACATAGAGGCGATGTCACAGTAGAAAAACATAAAGTCCATATCGATTTTATACCCGTGGCCGATTATCAGAATCGAAGACACCACTCGAACAAGTAGCCAGGTCAAGGGCTAGAAATGCCTGTCATTTGGCTTATTGACTTGGGCCCCCAGACCCACCCACTCAACGTTCGGGAAATGCCTTTTGATAAATGAAACCCCCTCCCCTGACTTCCCATTCTTGTCATTTATGTCCACGAGCTCCTCCCGAAGGCTGTTATTCGCTGTCTCCGTACGTTCATAAATTGAAGCAAGTCGTTTCCCCATTGGCCGCGCTATTTTATTAAACTCATGTACCAATACTTCCGTCTCGAAGGGTGATCTAATCTCCATAAGATGTCCGTCCAAGCCAAGCTGCTTCCTTCCCAACAGATTATAAAGTCGGTGGAGGCTAGGGATCTCCTTATATGCCATCAGAGGTATGGAATCGCTACGCTTGGGTACGTTTCATTTCCGACGCCTACCGACACCTTAGTACTGGGACAAGACGAAAACGGTATCATTGATGTATGTCAGGTCCTACGTCAAAAAGGGGAGTAGTGTAATTTTAGGACCTTTTAATGCTTCAATAAACCCTATCTTAGAGATTAGTGTTTACAATATTGTAAAGTCGACGATAAATATGATCTTGCCACTAAAGGTTATCCCACAAGAAAACCCACAGGAAAGAGTACAACTTTCAACGTATCAAACAAAGCTTGACTTGAACAAGGAGCAAAGACGTGATTAGATGCATCGTACCATTTGTTTCCCGGTGGTCAAAATCGTCAAAGGGGTCGCGGGGAGCTCGGAGATTACGGAGATCGATGACTTCATGATCTCCCGGCTCCCGCTGCCCGGGAACCCTGAAATCTGGGGGTATATCGCGCGATCCACATGGTTGCACATTTCATATCGAGAAATGCAGCTCACGTAATCGGTGCTATTTTTGTTTCGTCGTCACAAAACAAGTGCAGTCTATCGTATTGAGCCGGAGATAATCGGTCTTTAATACTTGAACGGACTTGTCGACGTTCCGAAGCCGAGTACCGTAAACCTGCCGTGCGATGATATTTGACGTAATCACTACATTGGCAGATAGAAAACATCGCTTTTATCTCTCCGGTGAATTCTTAATTTGATGACAAGAGTGCGCTTACAATAACCCGATGTAAGCTGAGTGTCTTTGCCAACAGGAAGTTGGTTCACTTTGCAATACCATCGTCTTTATCCATCCGCCCGCGCACACAGCCAAAAGGAACTGCAGATTTCTCTACACCTGCCCCTAAAATGACGCGGAACGAGTCTGCAGAAAGTCTTAGCCCCCTGAAGGAGCAGGGAAATAATGTTTCCAGTGAGGCATCATCCGGGACCGCCAGGGCTTCTCCCAAGTTAGACCGACCAGAGAGTTTCGTACCGATTCAAAGCGGCAGCTCGGGAACTTCAGCGCGAAATACCCAAGGTCCACAACTAGATGAGACATACATCGCACGTACTCTGTCTCATCGGAAGAGCCACGCTTCTGGCCATGAAGGCGCCGAATGGGAGCAGATCGAACGTTTGATCTCACGGATGTTCGGACATGAACGCAAGGCCAATTCCGAAGAAGAGAAAACAAGACACGTCGGAGTGGTATGGAAAAATCTCACAGTGAAAGGGTTGGGCCTTGGGGCTGCACTTCAACCGACCACCGGCGACATCTTTCTTGGCATTCCGCGGTTCATCAAAGGTTTCTTAACACGAGGCACAAAGGGTGCTGGAGGGGGAAAGAAGGATATAAGAACAATTCTGAATGACTTCACGGTATGTTTTCAAGTTTAAATTGACAAGAAAATTGACTCATAGATATTGAAGGGTTGTGTCCGTCCTACCGAGATGCTTCTTGTCCTTGGCCGTCCCGGATCAGGATGCTCAACATTTTTGAAGGTAATTGGAAACCAAAGGTCCGGATATGAGAGTGTCGAGGGAGATGTGGAGTACGGAGGAACTGATTCCACTGCTATGGCGAAAAAAATATAGATCTGAAGGTATGTCGCACTGGGTACCATTAAGCTCCCCATCTTTCTGATTCAAAACCTGGCAGTTCTATATAACCCGGAGGACGATCTGCACCACGCCACGTTGACCGTACGGGACACTCTCCTCTTTGCGTTGAAAACACGGACTCCAGATCAACCATCTAGAATCCCTGGCGAAACTCAAAAGGAGTACCAGGAGACATTCCTATCAGCGATCGCCAAACTATTCTGGATTGAGCACGCACTGGGGACTCGTGTGGGCAATCAGCTTATTCGCGGGGTATCTGGAGGGTAAGCCAAAATTCCCAGTCCAACTGAGCGGTATTTCTGATCACAATATGGAATCCAGAGAGAAGAAACGAGTGTCTATAGGAGAAGCCATGGTTACAAAGGCTAGCACTCAGTGTTGGGACAACTCGACGCGGGGCTTGGATGCCAGCACAGCATTAGAATACGTCCAGAGCCTGAGAAGCTTAACCAATACGGCACAAGTCTCGACCCTGGTAGCTCTTTATCAAGCATCTGAAAATTTATTCAATCTTTTCGACAAAGTTATACTCATCGAAGACGGAAAATGTGCCTTTTTCGGGCGCTCAGAGGATGCGAAATCCTATTTTGGTAATTTAGGATTCGAGTGCCCACCCCGATGGACAACCCCCGACTTTTTAACCTCTGTCAGTGATCCGAATGCAAGGCGCATCAAGCCTGGATGGGAGAACAGAATTCCTCGCACCGCAGATGAGTTCCAAGCAGCCTATCGTGAGAGTGAGACCTTCAAAGCTATACAAGCCGACATTGAAGACTTTGAAAATGAGTTGCAAGACATCAAAGATGAGAGAGAAGCTGCTAGAGCACAAGTGACAACTAAGAATTATACTGTTCCGTTTTGGAAACAGGTCATGATTCTCACACATCGACAGTTTTTGGTCATGTTTGGGGACAGGGCTGCCCTGATAGGAAAGTGGGGGATCATCATCTTTCAATCTCTTATCATCGGAAGCTTGTTTTACAATCTACCGGATTCTAGGTTCGTATTGAGGTCTGTGCTAGTCCAGTCATATTGCACAAGGGCTAACATGCCGAAGCTCTGGCGTCTTCACACGAGGAGGTGTGATGTTTTTCATACTGTTGTTTAACTCTCTTCTTGCCTTGGCAGAAATCACATCTGCATTCGAGAGTCGACCCATAATGATGAAACACAAGAGTTTGTGAGTTTGGCCCTCTAATATTGCCTAGAAAAAGTGGATTAACAGTATCTAGCTCCTTCTATCGCCCAGCAGCATATGCCTTAGCACAGGTTGTGGTGGACGTCCCCTTGGTTTTTATCCAAGTACTCCTGTTCAACCTAGTTGTATACTTGTGAGTTCACATGATTAGAATGTGTGCAATTTCTCGAACTAAAAATAGTCTAGCATGGCAAACCTTTCTCGGACAGCATCGCAATTCTTCATCAGCCTGTTGATTATTTTCATTTTGACAATGACGATGTACTCTTTCTTTCGTGCACTTGGGGCATTGTGTGCTTCACTTGATATTGGTGAGTAACTAAAACCTTGACGGAGACTGAAAGAGTTGAAATTCTAAGAGTAACCAAGCTACTCGCATCACGGGGGTCGCGATTCAAGCATTGATCGTATATACGGGTGAGTCTTTCCCATGATAATTGATTCAAAAATTTCACGAGAGAAAACCCGTGAAAGCTTGTCTTTCTTCAGTTGAGAGGTAGTTATGCTCGATTACTGTCAAGCATGACAATTCAGGCATCCCTGAGGATTCAAGCCTACCCTAAGATTTTTGGGCATCTCAGTTATCTTTTTTTTTTTTAAAAAAAACGAAAATCACTAATGATTGGAATTGTAGGCTATTTGATTCCACCGTGGAAGATGCATCCTGCAAGTTCACTCTATCCACTATTCCAAGTGATGTCTTACTCTAACCACAAGACTTTCCAGTGGCTGAAGTGGCTTATTTGGATAAACCCAGTTCAATACGCCTTCGAAGCATTGATGGCAAACGAGTTTACCGGCCTTGATATTAGATGCGAGCCACCATATATTGTCCCTGATGGTCCTAATACGTCTCCATCCCACCAGAGTTGCGCCATACAAGGCAGCTCACCCGATAGTCTGATCGTCAATGGATCGGAATATATCCAGAACGCCTACACATATACCCGGGCTCATCTTTGGCGTAACTTTGGTATAATTATAGCCTGGTTTCTGTTTTTTGTTTCTCTAACAATGCTTGGAACTGAGATTCAAAAGCCGAACAAAGGTGGAAGCTCCGTTACTGTTTTCAAAAGAGGTGAAATTCCCAAGTCCGTCAAAGACGCGATTGAACATAAGCGACCACCTGGAGATGAAGAATCCGTTGAGAAAACACCTTCAGATCCTAGTCTTACGAGTGATGAAGCAGAAAACAAGGTTCAGGATATCGCCAAGAACACATCAATATTTACCTGGCAGAATGTGAATTATACTATCCCGTACAAAGGAGGAAAGCGAAAGTTACTACAAGGTGTCCATGGTTATGTAAAGCCGGGGAGGCTCACTGCATTAATGGGCGCCTCTGGCGCAGGGTATGTGTTTCAGTCGTCGGGGCACCCATCGTGTCTAGTGCTAGTGCTAACCAGATCCCCAGAAAAACCACACTTCTCAACGCTCTGGCCCAGCGGATTAGTTTTGGTGTTGTGACTGGTAGCTTCCTGGTCGATGGAAAGTAAGAACTGCACATTTCTAATACTGCATCCGAAATAAAATCTAATACCAACAGGTCTCTTCCCAAGAGTTTCCAAAGAGCAACAGGGTTCGCGGAGCAAATGGATATCCATGAGCCAACAGCCACTGTTCGTGAGTCGTTGCGATTTTCAGCTCTATTGCGACAGCCCAAAGAAATTCCACTCCAGGAGAAATATGATTACTGTGAGAAAGTGATCGACTTGCTGGAAATGCGCTCCATCTCTGGGGCCATAATTGGATCCACGGGCTCAGGACTGAATCAAGAGCAAAGAAAAAGGCTCACAATTGCGGTAGAGCTCGCCAGTAAGCCAGAACTCCTGCTTTTCTTGGACGAGCCGACATCGGGACTCGACTCTTTAGCCGCCTTCAACATTGTCCGATTTCTACGAAGACTGGCGGATGCAGGTCAGGCTGTCCTCTGCACAATTCATCAACCATCTGCTGTTCTCTTTGAACAATTTGATGAGCTTCTTCTCTTGCAAAGTGGGGGACGGGTTGTCTATAATGGAGCCCTCGGATCCGACTCGAGAACACTCATTGACTATTTCGAGCGTAATGGAGGCAAAAAATGCTCACCGATCGCGAATCCCGCTGAGGTATTCCATTCGAAGTCTTCCATGCCCCTCTTTATCTAATAAACCTTTTAGTATATGCTCGAAGTCATTGGCGCCGGAAACCCAGACTATAAAGGACAGGATTGGGGTGATGTGTGGGCCAACTCGCCTGAATCTAAGCAACTATCAGACGATCTGGAAAAAGTGATCACTTCTCGTCGAAGCATGCAAGACGATGGGAAAACCAGAGATGACCGAGAATACGCCATGCCTCTCTATGTTCAGATAGTGGCCGTAACCAAACGTGCCTTTGTGGCTTACTGGAGACTTCCAGATTATATCATGGTATGATGGTGAATCCGATGTCATGAGATAATTAGCACATACTAGTACTATGCTAACACTACCACCATAAAGGGGAAGGTAATGCTGCATATATTCACTGGCCTCTTCAACACTTTCACTTTCTGGCATCTAGGCAACAGCTACATCGATATGCAGTCTCGACTCTTTTCCATTTTCATGACACTCACAATCTCCCCTCCCCTTGTACAGCAACTTCAACCGCAATATTTGCATTTTCGAGGTCTTTACGAATCACGGGAGTCAAATTCTAAAATCTATTCTTGGGTCGCATTTGTCATGAGCACGATTTTGCCCGAGTTGCCGTACTCGATCGTGGCTGGTTCCATTTATTTTAATTGCTGGTATGTTTGCGAAGCATGTGATACAAGTCTACAACTGACTCAGTCCTACAGGTATTGGGGTACTTGGTTTCCGCGTGACTCTTTCAGCTCCGGGTATACATGGATGCTCCTCATGCTCTTCGAATGCTATTACGTCGGCTTTGGTCAATTTATAGCAGCCTTTGCACCAAATGAGCTATTTGCATCGCTACTCGTTCCGTCATTCTTTACGTTTGTCGTATCTTTCTGTGGTGTCATCGTGCCCTATGTTGCCATACCCCATTTCTGGCAGTCGTGGATGTACTGGCTCACTCCATTTCACTATCTCCTCGAAGGATTTCTCGGGGTCATCGCTCACAACGTCCCTGTTTCTTGCGTTGAGCGCGAAGAAGCGCGGTTCAGCCCACCGCCTGGCCAGACTTGCGAGCAGTATGCAGGATCATTTGCAAAGCAGTCTGGCGGGTATGTCCAGGATGCCAGCAATGGACTCTGTTCATTTTGTCAGTATTCCACAGGTGATCAATTTGTAAGTTTCCCGGTGGACTTGATGTCTTTAAAACCAAGGCTTGCCTGCGATTTTTTCAGCGGTATATTGATATGTGAGGGATCTAGACGGCCAGTTTCAATGTTTTCTATTCGCATAAATGGAGAAACTACGTGAGTCGGCCTTTTGCGAGCAGGGTTTCCACGGAGCTAATATTTATGATGCTAAAAAGGGAATTTTTTCAGCATTTGTGATATTCAACTTCATGCTAGTTTTTCTCTTCTCGTGGTTATACCTTCATGGAATTCGGAACCTCAAGCGCTGGCTTAGCAAACGCAAGACCGAAAAGGGAGATGGTAGTAGTGGTTGAAACAACCTGGATTATGCATGTCGATTGTTTTTTAATATCATGTATTTTTCCAAGGTTCCTGCTAATTAACTACTTGGTTGGCTACTTCACCTGACACCACCAGGTCTTAAATAATCGATGGTAAGCACAGCAAACCATAATCAGTGGTTAATGAAAAATGCCGCGGCTAGACTATAATCAATTTCTCAATACAAGATTCAGATCACAAGTAGAAAATGTTGAAGTGCATAACCCTACAACTATAACCCTACCGAAGTCACGTTGCATCCGCGGCTATAGAAGTCGCTAGTCTCGTCTTCGTGGGGGCGCTTCAGCTCTCCGCGTCAAAGCTTGGCGACCTCACCCGATCTTCCCTCGTCACTTTCACCTACGTCCCTTCAGCTCTCACCAGCGCAGAATATCATTACATGAAGTCGACCCGTGTGATGCTTGATTAATTCAACACCTCTAGTCTCGTTTCCCTCCCCCATCTTCCCGCCTCTCCGATCTGCGCCCCGCCTTACCCACCATGAAGGAGGAGGAAGTCCCCAGAGAAACCCCCGAGGAATCGCGCGACGACGAAAACTCTAGCTCGAAACTGGCCAATCAATCAGCCAAGGATAGGAAATGTCAATACTGCGACCAGGCCTTCACCTCTTCATCGCTGGGCCGACACCTGGATCAGTTTCTGTTCAAGAAGAAGCCTGACGGCATTCACGATGTCGAGGAGATTCGGCGCATTCGCAGTGGGATCACTCGCCGACAAGCCCGAACAGCTTCGGGTAGGCGTGAGGATAGTCCCGATTCTACTCCACAAAAGGGTCCCTCAGACACCTATGCAACCGGGGAATCGAGCACCAAGTCGCGGGACGCACCCGTGCGCATGATGTTCAATACCCCGACTTGGCACGCAACGGGCGTCATCAACGACATACCAAACCCCAATCCTAGTCGGCCTCTGGAAGGACCTCGCGTCACGCCTTCACAATCGCGGTCGGCGTCTCTGCAGCTTCCGGACTACGCGAGTAGAGGTGCCACGGCCAACAACCCGGATACCATGAAGGCACTGGAGCTAGCACTGCGAGAGGTGCTGGACAATATTAAGGCTGCTACGTATGCTTTCCCGCACCCTTCCCCGGATTTCTGAACTGACAAATTCTCCTATAGTTCTCGATTTCGCCCTCGTCTGTCCCCGTTCGACTTCGACATACAAGCTCAAACCTTCCCTGCGCTCTGCCTACATCTTCTTCCTCCTCCCCCGAGCCTGTTCAGCGCCCAGCCATTTCCCTCACAGACATCTTTCCCGCTACAGCCTCCTGGTCCGGAGCATGTGGAAATTCTTCGACAAGCACTCCGGTCCAAAATTTCGCAATGGCAGTCTGACCAGATCGCCGCCGACTCCACCGGCCATCCCAGACATTTGACTGGAGGGCTTGACCACAGCATGGTCTACCGAACTGCCCAGCAACACGAGGAAGTGAGCATGCGACATCTGGAGCTGGCCTTCAATCACTGGAGCAGTGTATCTTTTGAAAACCGTCGTGATGCTTGGCAGCTAGAAATCACCCGCGCATTTGCACGGGAAGCAGAGCAACGCAAGTCAGTGGACGACCAACTTGCTCGGGTCCAGCAAGAGGCGAATCATCTCCGCGCGCAGGTCGAGCGTCTAGGATCTTGCCAATGGCCCCGCGAATTCGCTCTCTTTCCACCGGACACACTGCCCCTCTCGCGCGACGTTGCGCGAGAGCTCGATGCGAAGGAGAGTCAGATCAGCCCAGAGTCTTCCCGATGGGATTATGACAGCGTAGTGACCAAATGGAAGCGCGTTGTCATGCACGATAAGAGTATGGGCCGGATTGGCGTGGGTTACAATGCGAATTCGGGCGGATTTGCCGAGCCGGATGGTAGCCACCACCGACAAAGTCCTGATGTTCGCCCTCCTCGTCCAGGGGAGGATACCTCTACTCATCCAAATCGCCTGCGGCCCCTCCAGTCTGCTGTTGTCATGAGTCCTGACCCAGGGGCTGCGTCGACACCTGCATCTTCTCACTACGCTTCTCCGTATTCACACAACGACCCCCGCAGCCCACAAACTGGAAATGCTAAGCGCCCGAAGCTCATGAATGGATCCGAAGGTCTACAGGCCCAGGAGCCATTGGCACACTCCAAATCCATGGGACCTGCCCCTTGGCCTTCCTCTACGCCTATTCTTTCCAACCTAGCCGCGCCGTCGAGTCTGCCGCCTCTGCCATCAAGCCAAACGCCCCCTTCGGGATCGCGAGGTTGATTCTCCTAGTCCTGTTAACTGAAGCGCTGTCCTTTTATGATTCATCTGATTGAATAATGAGGTGAAATACACCTCACCCGGCGTTGCAGGATGGTTATTTATATTGAACATTTTTCCGTTATAGATATACGGTGCACAGAAAATTGTATAGTGGCAAGGAAGTAACTGGCATGTCTTCCGCTAGGTCGTTTTCCTTTTTGCAAATTAGTCTCGTGGACATTCTATTTAAAAATAAAGCTCTGGAGTGCTGTACTATTTGATTTGATACGCTCTGACTTCCTGCTCAACCAATGTTGTTATCGCCTTACATCCTTTGCGATTTCCTCTCCAATATATTGCGCAAGGGTCAGCATCTTCTCCTCTTGAAGTCTACGGCCAACCAGTTGAACCCCGACAGGGGCCCCCATCGTAGGAATCGGCATCATCTGCCTTGCTGTTAGCGAAGCACTTGCAGATCGATAATCATAATAATAATAACTCACAATCCCACTCTATATGAGGCTCAGCCTCAGCCAAGGAGGTGCCGGTAGGAAGTTTGTCCACTGTCTTGTCCGCAAAGGTCACCGGGATAGAAATACTGGTGTAATCTAACACATTCACAAACGTGGTATATCCCACATGCTCATACTGTGTGGGAATGACAGCCGCGTGAGATGCAAGCGGACAAATGAGCCCATCCACGGGTCGCCCAGTGCCAGTGAGCTCCGCAGTACTGTTCCAGTAGTCCATATACTGCTTTTTATACTCCCGGCTGGATACGTTCAGCGCGGCAATCTGCGACGCGATCATCTCCGTGCCGCCTTGCGAGACAATGACCTGTGGTGCTTGTACCTCTCCAGAAAGACCAAACTGGTGATTTAGGTCTGTACCGCCGTCTAAATGGTATGCCTTGCTCTGCTCAAAGTCAGCGTTTCTCTCTCTCCCCATGCGATTTATTTCCAAGGCAACCATACCGCTAGTGCGTGAGCTGGCGCGTGAGAAGGAGGACTCCAATCAATGACTTTATGACCGAGTCTCTTCAAAGTTTGCACAACAAGCTTTAATCCCCGCGCAATGGGAGGATGAATGCGACCAACTCCGTCGAAAGGCATGATTGCAAAGGCAAGGCTCGAGGCCCCTGCTTTCGATTGCTCAATGGAAGAAAGTGTCTCTTGTACAATTGAGTCTCTCCATGGAAGCTCCAAAGCCAGTGGATCGTGATTCCAAGGCTGCTGGCTGAGAACGCTCTTGAACAGTAGCGTCAAGGTGCGAGCAGTGGGAGCCAAAGGCCCAATGACAGACATAATTATGTTCTGTCCGTCCATGGAATTTGCAGCCCCCTGGTAGGGCATTCTACCCGCCGAAGGCCGCAACCCATATAGATTATTGAAGCCAGCAGGGATCCGTACGCTGCCTCCGATATCAGTACCAAACCCACCAGGTGATCCGCGCAATGCAATAAGAGCACCTTCGCCCCCCGAGCTCCCACCACTGGAGAGGTTTCGCTTTTTGGGATTCCAGGTATATCCTATGATATTGTTGATTGTTTCGCCGGACATCAGAGTCGCCGGAACACTGGTCTTGCAGTATAGTACCGCGCCCAGATTACGTAGCTCCCGTACGAGTTCGCTTTCTTCCACGCCGAGGCGTGGATCGTCTGGTTGGCCTTGGAATGTATTGATCCAACCCACATATCCCATAGTAGTTTCTACCCCCTTGACATGGAATTGGTCCTTCAAGGAGACAGGGAGACCATGGAGGGGTCCGATGGGTGTTTTGTGCTCAGCGAAGTAGGCATCAAGCCGCTTTGCATCTTCGATCGCTGCTTCGAAGAATATCTCATGGAGACAGCTAACCTGAAAATATTGGTTAGCATGCATTGGTATTTGCCAACTCTGGTTTCAGAGTAGTGATATGTTTACCAACTGATGCGCCAACGCAGCACGATGGCAGAAAGCCTCGGTGACTTCGAGCGCGGTCCAAGCCCCAGAAGTAGTTTGCGCGACGATGTCGACAGCATCTGATTCTGTGATTTCGATTTCGCGCCTGTTCAGAAACTGCTGGATATAGGCCCCGGTAACGTCTTGTTGTTCTGCTGCTGAGGGGATCGGGCTTGTGATGATCCATTTCTCGGGAATGGCGTTTAGAATGGATTGTCGCTTAGCTTCGCCTTTAGCACGCCAGGTAAGCTCAGTTGCCATGTTGAGTGATAGGTGTTGCGTACCTCCAGAGGTACGTTGGAAGCGTGTTGGAGTTGGGTTTCCAAGGTTGGGAAGTGGGTTTTATGCGACTGTAGGTACTTATAGTGAGAGCGGGGGTCTTGGGGGTTTATGGGGTCGCTTGGGGTCGGGTGTACCTTCTGGGTTACGGAGATAACTTGCCTCGGCTCTGTCCAATGACATGCAGTCTACAGTAATACAGAACATCCACGAAGCGTAATTCAAATTTGTGACATTTGGTGAAACCAGTGATCCAGATCTATGGAGAAAGAAAGGTGGCTGACTGTTCTGCGAAGCCATCGGCTTACATGAAGGAATGCTCATCCTAATTCTACTTTGATATAGACGAAAAGACCGTCCGATTAGAGGAGCGGCGAGTGTTCTTCATGCACAAGCCATTTGCGAACGCCATTAATATGCGTACTCAAGCTTTAGAGAGCAGATAAGGTCCACAAAGCCGCTGTTGCGAACAGACGCGTGGGAGATCGTCGGGGTCGCTCGGACTTAGCCAGAGCAGATTCGGGTTGGAGATAAGAGTCTTGAAATTTGTGACTCGGAGGCCATATTCATGGCTTTGGGGGGTTGGTCATCTGTCGTACGTTCAGATTGATCCTTTTGCCAGACATCCAGCCTTTCCACATGGGAAAAGGGTCGGACGCAGCACTGGGCACATCATCCCCCTCGGGCGAAGGCCAATCTGCCAGCCAGCTTGGACAAGTGGACGGCAATATCTTCGGGACACCATGCCAGGCAAACCGAGAAGCTCCATTCATATAAACGGCATCCCCCGACCGTAGCCGAATCACTTCGCAACCGTTTCCGTCATCGTGGCTCACCAAGAAGAGACCGTCACAACCAAAACTGACGCTGATCAAACCGACGTCACAGTCTTCACTTACGTCCCGATGGACGCTCAGAGTATCCCCGCCGAGTACAGATTTAGAATAGCGGCCTGGGCCTCGGTTTGCGGAAATGCGGCCCGCAAGAGCTCGGCAACGTCTTGTGGAAAAGTCGGCGGAGCCTCCTCGGGGTAAACCTTCGCAGTCCAATCATACTGGCCACCCAGAGTAACCCAGCGGAGTTTCTTGTCAATAACATTTTGAACGGTCAAGGGTTTGTGGACTTGTGGATCTTTGGGCTGAATCGTGCGGGTCGGATCATCTGAGAAGAAGCTTTTTGTGGTAGTAGTACGAGTATCGACATCCTCCGATCCTCCGGGGTAGGTGACGTCGTAGTGCAAGTGTAGGTTGGTCTTGTGGAGAGGGTTAGAGAGATCTCGGTGGAACAAGCGGGATAGAAGCTCGGTTTGAATGGTAGGAGGGAAAAGGGCGGGGACGATCAGAAGACCTACGAGTTGGTTAGGATGAAGCTCATTCCCCTGCACGGGTTAGTAGTTTTGCTGACCAGAAATAGCATTATGGGTATAGACGGGAACGTTCTCTGCCAAGGGAGCATGAGTATCACCCTGCGCTGATTGCCCTGAATGTTCGCCTTGTATGAAAGCATCGAACGCGAGGCGAAGATCCTGACTGGACATGTATTGAGAGAGAGTGAGGCCGGGAGGAAATTGCGATTGCGATTCAGGATCTACTTTTTGAAGATCAATGATTCCTGGGTCATTGTCGACTTCAGACAGGGGGAGCCTGGAGTATTTCTTGTAGCATTGGCGAATGATATCAGGAGGACGGTCATGAGCGTCGATCCCTTTGATCTGCGCCATTGTGTGGAGAGTGCAATGGAGTGAGTGAGTGTAATGGAAGAAAGGAAGAGCTCCGGGCGGAGCGGAGCGGAGCAATCAGCAATCAGCAATCAGCGGGGCACGTGTTCACCACCCGCGCGCGTCCGCGGGGGTCAACAAACAAAAGTCTCCCCCCACCAACGCCAATGATCCTCTGATTTTGTGAATACCTTCAGATTGACTAACCCCTAGCGGCGTGGACGCCTTGTGCTGTAAGTGCTCTCAAGTCTTGACATCGTCGAGATCAGCCCGAAATTTCGTCCCATTGGACACCATTGGACCGCATTGATCCAATGTTGCCCCTTGCATCTCCATCCCACTTGTTCCCACATTCTGCGTCACTCCCAAGCCCTCGGTCCCTGTCACATTTTAACTCGATCTAGAATCACCCAGAACACGAAATCGCATCCGCCATGGAGAACTACCAAAAAATCGAGAAAATTGGCGAAGGTGAGAGGGTTGACGCCGTTGTTTACATCCGTTGCTTGGGCCAAAAAAAACCCGAAAAGCTGACATATTGAGGCTGCTAGGTACCTACGGCGTTGTTTACAAAGCCCGAGAACTCAGTCATCCCAACCGCATCGTTGCCCTGAAGAAAATCCGACTAGAAGCCGAAGATGAAGGCGTCCCAAGTACTGCCATTCGCGAGATCTCGCTCCTCAAAGAGATGCACGACCCGAATATCGTCCAATTATTCAATATCGTTCATGCCGACGGCCACAAGCTCTACCTTGTTTTTGAATACTTGGATCTCGACCTAAAGAAGTATATGGAGGCACTGCCAGTTAGTGAAGGTGGCCGCGGCAAGGCCTTGCCCGATGGATCGACAATGGCCGCCAGCTTGGGTCTCGGCGAGGATATGGTCAAGAAGTTCATGGCCCAATTGGTCGAGGGTGTCCGTTATTGTCACAGTCATCGCATTCTTCACCGTGACCTGAAGCCTCAGAACCTGCTTATCGATCGCGACGGTAACTTGAAGCTGGCTGATTTTGGTTTGGCCCGAGCCTTTGGTGTTCCACTCCGCACTTATACCCACGAGGTAAGCAATTGAGAGCAATAGGCTAATCGCAGCTGACTTACTTATGCTAATACTATGGATAAGGTTGTCACATTGTGGTATCGCTCTCCAGAGATTCTGCTCGGTGGTCGCCAATACTCTACCGGCGTTGATATGTGGTCCGTTGGAGCCATCTTTGCGGAGATGTGCACACGCAAGCCGCTCTTCCCTGGTGACTCGGAGATTGATGAGATCTTTAAAATCTTCCGGTGGGTTTCAGATTGTTTGCTTTGGGGCTTTGTTGTTCCGTCTCACTAATCTTCGGTCTGTCACAGCGTACTCGGTACCCCCGACGAAGAGGCATGGCCCGGCGTCACCTCGTTCCCCGATTACAAAGCTACTTTCCCCAAGTGGACTCGTCCCGATACAGCTCTGGTTCCTGGCCTAGAGGAAGCTGGGGCCGATCTCCTGGAAGCCCTGCTTGAGTTCGACCCAGCCCATCGACTGTCAGCGAAGCAAGCCTGCCAACATCCGTATTTCAGCCAGGGCAGCGCACACTACTCGACCCGTACCACGCGCATCGGCTATCAATGAGCTGAACTCGACGCCAATATTTTATTTTTGTAACCTTATTGACGGCGGATGATCACAGGAAATGTTGAATCTCCGAGGACATGTGTTTTCCCTTCTTTGTATCTGGCGTTTGTCGGGGAGCGACTAGGAGGGCTGGCTCTGATTTTGTTCCAAGTGCTGTTCTTTTCTTTTCTTTTCTTTCCTTTTCTTTGAGTCAATGCAAGGCGTACATACCCCCTTCGGAGGATTTTAGGACATTCTTGGCACGATCATGAGACTTGATATTTCCCCATTCCTCGACTTCTCCTAAATTGGTTTCTTTTTCATCGAAGCACCACTATTCGTCTGAACTCAGCCATGTCAGCCTCAACTCGGACGCAATGCTGCCAACGGACTTGGGGTTACACCGACAGATTGGAAAAGAAAGCCAAAATGCCATTCAGCCACTTTGACCTGCCAATCGCACTGCAAAACGGGCCATTCGTGTCCGAGCTGAGGCAGTCAGCGACCCACCCCGCAGGGACATCTCCGCGACCTGACATCTGTAATCCAATTTATTCTTGGAAAAACGGACCCAACGGTGACCCCTGCCTGCATACGCAGGAAACCTCCCAGACCCGGTTTCTGCAGCGCCCTTGTCTCCATCCAGCGAAGATGCCATTTGGGGGCCAAAAATCCGTGAGACTGGCTGAAAGGGGGGTTTTGGGGGCCAACGCTGAACTCGTCTCCGCAGCGTTTCATTCGCGGCGGGACGTGCAGTCTAATGCACGACCCTGCAGCCTTACGAACGCCCTGGGAGTCAGAGTCTCTCGGCGGGGCTGCTGGTGCGCTATCTGGTGCGCTATCTGGCCTAGCCGTCGGCGAGGCCGTGGAGATGGTGGAGAGTCTCTCGTGTGTTTAAATATTTGAAGTGCTGCGCTGCGCCTTCTTCTATCTTCGATCGTCGCTATTCCAAATGGGCGGTGCGATTTAGTGCGATATACAAATCATCCCAGGAGCAAAAAGAAATATAGCGGCTCCCCCACCACTCCCGGCAATAGCTTTATTTCTGCCAAGGTCCGAGTCCTGGTGTCTTTTGTTTTCCTCTCCCTACTAGACCGACCTCGACATAATGACTCTCACAGAGTATGAAGAGGAGATGATGATGTGCGGATCGTCGATGCCCCCTGCATCGTCGCGTTCTAACAGTCGCCCACCCGGCCACCGGGCACCTTCCCAAGCACCCCAGGACGCCGTGCGGCAGTTTTGGGAAGACTTCAACACCAAGTACCCCGGGAAGGTGTACACTGTGCTTCCGGATAACCCATATGCGCGTACCCGTGCGAAGCGGGTCCCTAACGGCGTGATCCAAGGCCACGAGGCCGTCAAGTCGTACGAACAGGCGCGTCATGAATGCCAAAAGTCAGTGGAACGCATTGTTAAGGAATGCGAGCGAGTAAATCAGAAGTATACCGATCCTCACTTTGACATCGAGCTCGATCTCAAGTCTGGTATGCGCCACTATCTGGATGGGCTGGATAAAACAAATGAGATTATGCGACCACGCGGTGTGAAGAGAGTAACGGTTCGTCTCAAGGCCCTCATGGCGTCACTCCGAATTTCTGAGTGAATGAAGTAATTAACAGATTATAGGAAATCTTCGAAAACCCTCAATTCTTTGTCAATGGGCCGAAGGCTTCGGACGTCCGTCAAGGATATGATGGCGACTGCTGGTTGATGGCTGCGCTGTGCACGATGGGAAACAAGACTGGTCTCATCGAGAGGATTTGCGTAGCCCAGGACGACAAGATTGGAATTTACGGATTCGTTTTCTATCGGGGTAAGACCGAATATGCAATTCACCCCACATTGATGTGATACTGACTTGACTTTTAGACGGCGAATGGCAGCAATGCATTGTAGATGATAAGCTCTATCTACGTGCTGCCGATTATGACGAGTCAATTGATGAACGCCCATTGTGGGATGACATTAACCGGACAGATACCGAAGAGGAATATCGCCGAGTTTGGCAGACCGGTTCCAGGGCGCTCTACTTTGCGCAGTGTGTCGATCCAAATGAGACCTGGCTCCCACTTTTGGAGAAGGCGTTTGCGAAGGCCCATGGTGACTACTCTGCGATTGAGGGTGGATTCGTCGGGGAGGGTATCGAAGACCTGACTGGAGGTGTCACATCAGAGGTTCTATCTAGCAATATCCTAGACAAGGACCGATTTTGGAGTGAGGAGCTTATGAAAGTCAATGAGGAGTTTCTCTTTGGCTGTGGAACTGGCTTGTTCTCCAACTGGTTGGACCCAAAGTATGATGGCCCTCCAAGAGACCGAAAGGGTATTTCAGAGAACCATTCATACTCCATTATGGAAGCCCGAGAGATCAAGGGACATCGCCTTCTACGACTTCGGTAAGTCTTGCTAGCATGTGATAGCAAATACATTCTTACTAACGCTGTCCAGCAACCCATGGGGAAAGAAGGAATGGCATGGTGCCTGGGGTGATGGGTCCGAACAGTGGACAGCAGAGTGGATGGAGCTTCTGGGTCACAAGTTTGGCAACGATGGGGTACGTTGCAGGATTTTTGGTCGGTTTCTGGACTTTGTTAACTCGAAAACAGTTCTTTTGGATCTGCTACAACGACCTGCTCAAGAAGTATCAGCACTTCGACCGCACCCGTCTTTTTGGACCTGAATGGACCGTCACTCAGCAATGGACGACATTGAACGTCCCCTGGTCAGCTGATTACCACAGTTCCAAATTCATCATGAACGTGACGAAGAGCGGCCATGTAGTCATTGTTCTTTCGCAGCTTGACACCCGCTACTTCAAGGGTCTGAGTGGCGAGTACAATTTTGTTCTCAAATTTCGTGTTCAGAAAGAGGGAGAGGAAGATTACATGGTGCGCAGCCACAGCAGCCATTTTATGGCCCGCTCTGTGAATGCCGAGATCGACCTAGAACCAGGCCGCTACCATATTCTCATGAAGGTCATCGCTTTTCGACACGAAGAAACCGAGTCGACCGAAGAGATAGTCCAGCGCGTTGCTTCAACAAGGCGTGAGAAGCTTGTCCAAGTCGGTCTTTCTTATGACTTGGCCCATGCTAAGGGTGTGGTCGTAGAAACAGATCGGGAACGATACGAGAGGGAAAGACGCAAAGCTGCCGACCGGAAGAAGCTTCGCGACGAGACGAAGAGAAGACTGCAGAAAGAATATATTCGCGACCGGAAGATGGCTGCTCGGCAACAGCGAATGGAGGCGCGTCGCTCTGGCCGGGTTCCCAACGGCGTCTCGATTGATCGCAGTCCCGAGCGTAGCCCTATTCAAGGACAGATCCTGCCAGAGACCCAGACCCAATCGCCCACCGACGTTGCAAGTATCTCCAGCGATGGCAGTGACCGAAGACAGACAACGAATGGCTCAGTCCCCACTATTCAATTCAATGGACTACACGCGAGACATGCCAGCAGTGGATCTCACCGAAGACGCAACGAGTCCCCACGTCCAAGCCTTAGTACTCGCTTGGCAACCGACAACTTGAATGGCAGTGATGTGGAGCTGCTGGATGGGTTTGAGTTCGACAGTGACTTGGACATGCCACCCGATGATACGGAGTGCAAGCCTCCAGCCTCTTTGCAGGGATCCAACCAGCCCAATGCCGATCCATGGAATGCTGTCTGTGTCGTTGGATTGCGCGTGTACTCCAAGGATGCGGGTCTAAGCCTGGAAGTGGTTCGTCCTGTTCCAGAGGATGATACTGAGGCCCCACTGGACCGTGACGATCCAGCTGCATCGGCCACTATTGAGAAGGCCTTCTGGGGCATGGACTTCGCTGTATGATGGGAAGAGCGAGATAGGGAACTTGAAATTACTACATCATCTGAGCGTATAGATTGAACAGCGATCGTACATATATCAATAACTACATGACTACTTACTGCATACTCTTCAAGACTGCTCTGCAGCTACCTGCCTGCTGTTTGCCGTTTCAATTTGAGAAATTGATACATTTAAGATAGGGCCCAGGTGTACATATTACATCCAAAATTCGTTATTCGTCGTCGGAAATGTCGCCAGGTTGAAGGCAGGGTCAGAGGCCCAGGAATAGTCCTCCATGCCTGCAATATACCCCATATCCAAACTTGACTGACTCGTCAACTCCGGCTTCAACTTCGAGTTCAATTTAGTGGAAAGTCCTCGCGCCACTAGAGATGCCATATCCGATTTCCTCCCAAGGCATAAAAGTGCTCGAATACAGATCTCACAGCCCAGACGGAATTGATCAACGGACCCGCTTGGTCCGCAATGGACAGAGCCCAATGAATTTTGCAAGTTCTCGAAAAATATGTATCCAGACTTGGCAAATGAGTGAATGAGAAGAACGGTGAAAGGCTCAGTAAGGAATGCCGCATCGTTGAGAGAGTCATGGAATTGACTCGGATGTGGCTTCATCGTCTCATCTTCATATATCGAGCCTTGAGCAAGTGTCGCCACGGCAGAGGCATTGTCTCTCTTGAGTGAACAAGCGAACTGTATAACATTCCGTGACTGGCGCTGATGCTCTAGGCTCAGGTTTGTTTGGTCGATATTTTCGATTAAATCTGCTAGAAGCATTGCACCAAGATGCCAATGTGCTGCGAGTACAACATACCATGACTGTACCCGAGGTGGTAAGGCTGCATGATTCGAAACGCAATTCAAAATGAAAATGTTGTAGGTGTTGTTCCAGTGTCGATATACCAGTAGGGCTTTCTGAATGCCTTCCTCGATCAGTTCAGGCTCCGCATCTCGGTAGATGAGTGTTTGAAGTTGAGTGATTCGACGCCACAGTAATACCTTTACTGGAGCTGCATCCGATAGTATTTCGGCTGCCTCCTCGTGGGAAAACGGCCATGCTGGCATGGGCTTATCGGGCGTTTGATACCCAGCAGGCTTTTGAAGGAGAAAGTCGCCCCACAAATCCTGCTTCCCGTTGTGTAGCTGACGAGACGAAAGACTGAACCCATCGAGGTCAAGCGAAGACTCTGTATCGCCGAATGGAGATATTTTCCAAACGGAGTCTGAAGCCTTTTGGCTATCTTCGTCTGAGACTACAGGAGGTCGTTGGTGCATGGCCGCGATTTGGGTGTCAAACATGATCCCTAGCCAGAAGAGAAGGTCGAATGTATCACGGTTCTCAAGTTCATGGAGAGATGGATCGGTACTGGTAGAGCTTGGCAGGGTGTCTGTTGTCTTTTCTGAAAACTTCATATTTCGACGACCTCCTAGTCGGGGTTGAGTGGCTTTGTATCGAAAGGTGAACATTTGACGAACAGCGTTTTCGAGAAATATGTGTGCCAAGTCTTGCTCAAAGAGACCGTCGAGTCCAATCTCTTCTTGATCCGTGATGGGTCTTTGGGTGAGAGAGAAGAGTATATTGGCAAAGACAAGGCGGAAAGAGGGTATTCCCACGGAAATCTCCAGTGTATGTTTCGCGTCGTTCCACAGGCTCTCCCGAAATGACTTTTCATTCTGAATCAAGGGATTTGACGAAATATGATTTGAGTCTTTTTGAAAGTTCTGGGACCATTGAGAAGCAAATGCCATAATGGACTTGTGTAGAGCCTGCGAAGCCTTTTTATCTTCAACCACGCTCAGAGATCGTCCCCTAATTGATGTTGCTGCGTAATCCAATCGGCAAACGCGTGTGCAAATTCTATTTGAAAAGGTTGGACCCCATTCACTTTGTTTTGTCTTCGGCTTTCCATCTCTAGAAATTCGGCTATATGGGCAGTTCCTTTCCGTGAGCCAACATGACAACGCGTTTTCCATACTGTCGTGATATATGCGAATTAAATTTTGCGTCATGGTCGAGCGAGCGTATTTCCTAGCGGTTTGATCTGAAAGAGAACAAAGAACCTGTCGGTTTGGAAGTCGATTTGCTGCGTGTCTCGAAACAGGAGAGTAGTAGTATTGAGGCATATTTTCACTTGCAAGGCCTGCTTGCTCAAATTGAACGAAGTCATTTATAGCTGCGCCCACCGAGCCTGGCAGTGATTCACTATGGACAGCTTGGGTGCCTGCTTCCTTGTCCAACTCTTGATGATAGTTCATATCTTCGCCAGCGGCTTGCCGATTGCTACTGGGAGGGATAGAATCAAGGGTGCAACGTGCTGTGTCGGAAAGTTGAGTGAGTTGATCTTCGTGCCAGGCCGAAAATTGGGAATAAGTGTTGGTGGTATCAAGGTTTTCGTGCTCTGGTTCATTGCCTACGCCATCGAACGGCGGGCTTCCATTCGAAGATTTGCTGTGACAGGTGGTAGTAGGCGTGTCCGTCTCTTCTGGTGGTTTGATTTTGATGGCTCCAGCTACTCTTTTCCGGCGTTCATGGCGGCTGTGCTTCCTTGTTGAGAGCCACTGGAACGTACAGTCCTTTTTGTACCTTTTGCAATTCGAGCAGGAGTCGGGCCGATCGTCATGTAGCGTCTTTATGAGATCAGATCAGATCAGTTGAATTCTAGGGGCATTCTGATCGTGAGATAGCACAAACCGGTGCGTCGCATCTCCTCTTTCCTTTCCTGCATTGGTCGCAGCTATGATCCGACCTCCGGCTGGGGGTCTCCATAGCTGACCTAGGGAGAAGAGAGCGACTTTATTTGCGGGGTATTGAACAACAAGATAGGAGATTACCGATCGCATCAAACTGGAGCTAGACCTTGGGTGGTTGTGGGGGTGAAAGAAAGAACTGACTACGCAACCCCTCACGGCTGCAAGTCAAAGTGGAGGGCGATCTGCGAAATTGTGATTGGAGAAGGATCTACCCCATGGGGTTGGGGTTGGGATTGGGATTTCTTCCCGAGGTCCCAGCCACACTACGCGTGAATGCACCATTTTTGTGGCGAGAGTTGCTGGTCATATTGATTTCTGGTCAATAATGCTAGCTCATAATTTTTGGTTGTTTGGCGAACGGTGTTTGCTAGTAAATGCTAAGGTATATATATATGCTTCCGTTACTCCGTACAGGAAATCCAACTGGTAGAAGAAACTCCTGACATAAGTAGAACCCCTGGACGATCACTCTCGATTTATAGAAGTCACCTAGGGTTGGCTGAACACGCATGCGGATCCTTACACACTATCAATGGTGCTATTCCCCCTTAATGAAACGGAACCGCAATGAGGACCAGATCTCAACTACGATCTCGAGAAGGCCTAGAATGCGGATCCGGCGAGCGGATCCGTTCAGCTAAAAAAGAGCCATCAAACACTGCAAATGCAACCAATCATACTTGCATATCGTGACTAGGATTTGCGGGGCCGTAACAAACGAGCTTTGTTATTGCGGGGACAGCAAACCACCACCTCGACCAAGATGAGCCAGGAACGCGGGGTATCGCATCCAGGGCTAAGCAACGTCTCAGTTTGCAAAGAAGAGATCGTGCCATTGGCCGTCAGTTCCTATAGCTTCATCATGTTCATCCGCATCCGCACGAAAATGGAATCCTTGTCGAGGTTACATTTTCGGCGATCACTCGTGCATATAATCGGTTGGGATGGCTATGGTATTTTAATGCCCCTGGAAGTCGATGATTCAGTCCGAAAGAATATTCTGCATCCTCCTCAATCGTCCTTATCTTGAGATCTTCAACCATGTCTTTCAGAACTGAACTAAAAGAAAGCGCCTTTCGTCGGGAAACAACCGGCCCCTACGCCGACAACCTCATCGTCGATGCACTAGTCGTCGGTGCCGGATTTGGAGGTATATTCTGTCTTCATGAGATGCGAAAATTGGGACTCAATACCGTCATATTTGAAGCGGGAAACGAGTTGGGAGGTACCTGGAGATGGAACTGCTACCCTGGTGCCGGGGTGGACTCGGAAGTACCGGAATACATGTATTCAATCCCAGAGACTTGGAAAGATTGGACTTGGTCGACCAACTATCCTTCCTATGACGAGTTGCGAAGGTATTTCGATCATGTGGATAGTGTTCTCCATGTCAAGAAAGACTGTGCATTCAACAGTGTCGTTGTTGACGCGCAATTCGATGTGAAGGAAGGCCGCTGGCACGTCAAGACAGCAGATGGTAGATCCGCCAGCGCCAGGTACTTCATTGTTGCGACTGGCTTCGCCGCCAAGCGATACATTCCAGAATGGTCGGGGATGGATCAATTCAAAGGAATTGTCCACCATTCCTCCTTTTGGCCCGACGAACATATTGATGTGCGTGGCAAACGCTGTGCAGTTATTGGCACTGGGGCATCCGGCGTGCAAGTAACACAAGCCTGGGGGCCCGCAGCCGGCTCATTGAAAGTGTTCCAACGAACTCCGAATCTGGCGCTTCCGATGAAGAGAAGGGCTCTTACGGTGAGCGAACAAGAGGAGGCCAAGAAGTCTTATCCTGAGCTGTTTTCTCTCCGTGAGAAGTGCTTTGGTGGATTTTTGTACACATTTGACGAAAGAGACACGTTCGACGATAATGAAGAGGAAAGACAAGCTTTTTATGAGAAGTTATGGGACGAGGGTGGATTCCGCTTCTGGCTCGCCAACTATAAGGACTATCTTTTCGATCCTAAAGCGAACCGCCCTGCTTACGACTTTTGGTGCAAGAAAACTCGCGAGCGCATCGGTGACCCAAAACAGCGAGACCTCCTAGCGCCTTTAGAGCCGCCGCATCACTTCGGAGTCAAACGCCCTTCACTACAATCCAGCTATTATGAACAATTCAATCGACCCAATGTCGAGGTAATCGATATCAAGAACAATAACATCGTGGGCTTCACAGAAAACGGCATTCAGCTACAGGATGGAGCTGTCTATGAATTGGACGTTATTTGCATTGCCACTGGCTTTGATATTTCGACCGGTGGTATGACTAACCTGGGGCTGAGGAGTATCTATGGTACAGCACTGGAAGATGAATGGAAAGCAGGCGCCTACACATATCTGGGAACCACTGTGCGTGGCTATCCCAATATGTTCCACCTTTTCGGTCCGCATGGCCCCACGCTTTTCAGCAACGGACCTACTACTGTAGAAATACAGGGTCGCTGGATTGCCCAAGCTATCAAGCAGATGGAGCGGCAGAATATCAAGTACATCAATCCGACACGCGAGGCTATAGAGAAGTGGAAGAAACGCATCAATCATCTGTCCGATATCACCTTATTCCCTACCACCAAATCGACCTATATGGGCGGGAGTGTTCCTGGGAAAGTATTTGAGCAGGTCAGCTACGCTGGTGGTGAGCCTGCTTATGCGCAAGAAATTCGCTCCGTTCTTCCAAGCTTCGACGGCTTTGATACTGTCAAGAGCTCAAGGGAGACGGGCCAGGTGTCTAGTAAGATCTGATTAGTGAACGAATTTGATTGTTCCATTATTTACAAAATGCTTACTTGAACCTCCGAATTGGTGTGCAAGATTGTAAATATGACTACGAGAATCGTATTCTGGTCGATACTAGTTAGTGCTATAACCAGAACACTTGAATCCACAATGGTGACTAGTAGTAGTAACTAGACGGTCCCTAATCAACCAACAATTTTTATATCAAAAATCATCTAATTTTATGGCCCTTGCGTTAAATTACTTACGGGTGCAGCTTGAACATGGACCCTGGACCTGTGCATCTGGGACCCACGGGACTAAATTTCGCACCAAATCCCAACTGCCAAGAGACTTACATAAGTGGGACTCCCATCGGAAGCTACGAAATCCCACTAATAGACCTACTCCCCCCTACTCCCGAGTCTCGACACCATGACGAAAACATTATTTCTCGGAATTATTGGTGATTTATGCAATAAAATACGCATATATTCCAGGTTTCAGAGCTGACGCATCTATATAGGAGTCGGAGGAGTTGGAAATGCATTTCTAGAACAGCTGGGGCGGCTCCCAACCCCACCTAAGCTCATTCTTCTTGCACGCTCATCGCAATCCCTTCTTGCCCCCTCACCGGGATATTCGCCATCTATCCCGATCACAAGTTGGAACAAAGCCACAGAAAAAGAATCATTAATCAAATGCGGAGCTCTCACCCCGGTCGAGATGGTCGAATATCTCGGCCGTGCTCCAGGGCCTACCATCGTGGTCGATAACACCTCCGACCTCGCCCTCGCACAGGCATATCCTCTCTTCCTCAGAAAGGGAATTTCAATAGTGACCCCAAACAAGAAGGGATTTTCACAGGATCTCGGCCTCTGGGATGATATTTTTGCTGCTGCGACAGAGGGAAACGCTCTCGTGTACCATCAGGGTACAGTAGGTGGTACGCTGCCGGTACTCTCAACGCTGAGAGATTTGATAGCGACCGGCGACGAAATCATCGGAATTGAGGCTGTTCTCTCAGGCACTCTATCGCAATTACTCGGGACATACATGCCCGCATCTGGAACATCGACGGAGAGTTGGAGTTCACTGGTCGCTCGCGCTCGAGAGGCTGGCGAGACGGAGCCAGACCCTCGAGATGATCTGGACGGCCTTGACTTTGCTCGGAAGCTGACCATCATCGCTCGCATCATTGGCCTCCGGGTCACCGGCGCAGATGAAATCCTAGTCGAATCACTTATCCCCGTGGAACTTAGGTCTTTGCCATCATCGAGCGAGGGCGTTGAACAGTTCATGAACCAATTACCTCAATTCGATTCCCGAATGGATGAGGCGAAGGAAGCTGCCCAGAAGCAGGATAAAGTCTTGCGCTACGTTGGTAGTATAGATGTACCGACAAAAACTATCAAGGTTGGGCTGCATCAGGTTGACAAGAATAGCCGAATTGCTGGGTTGGTGGGTACCAAATTTGTGAGCATGTATACTAAACGATACAAAGAGACTCCCTTGGTTCTACAAGGAGGCGGGGGAGGAGGCGAGATTACGGCCTCGGGATTGATGGCCGATCTGCTCAAGGTGATGGAGCGACTAGGATAGGTTTCATCTAGATCAGACAAGTTATAAGAGGAATGACCCGTCGAACCAAAACTGCTCACTCTTAGGCCAGGAGATAAATAAATCCAACTCATAGGATTGGTACTGGTCAACATTCATCGCTAATACAATGGGTTAAAGATCCGACCGTTCAACATCTACAAACCGATGCCGATTGAACTGGCATGTTTCTATAAGGTTGCTGATAAATTGCACCCCCCAAATCGCTACCACCAATATAACCCCAATCAACGGTCCCAGGATGGCAAAAGCAGTGAAACCAAACGAAGCGTCCTGGAAGGCCGGGCTGCTACTTAGACGAGTGGTGGCCAGTCCGACCTGCATCGCCGTCAACACTAACGCGAGGTAGATGGTCGCCGCCGTCAGCGGGGTCAGATAGTCGTGAAATATTTCGCCGTATGTGTGCCGGGTGAACTGGTACCCTCGGAGCACCTGTAGATGTCGAATAGCGTAGATCTTGTTAAGCCGAGACAGGCGCAACTCTCCGTAAATGTATCGCGGATTAATGTTTTTGGGATTTGTGGCGTCGGTTTTTAAAAGATGTTGGACTAATTTGAGCCAGGTCTCCCAGTCGAGATGCTCTGGTAGGAGTTGGTGAGCTCGGGCAATTTTAAAATCACTCTTGTACCGGACGAGGGCTATGTACGAGAATAGAAGCCCAAAGCCGCCTCGGGAGAGGTCTCTTGTACATTCTTTCATGGTTGGAGGTGCCTGGTCCGATCCGGGAATGCAGCATAGCCCTCGACAAATGAGATGCGAGTCCCAGAAGTGATGGTCAAGCAGATATTGCGGAAGAGGCTTGAGGTGAATGCGCCGTGAATGCTCCCAAACCATGTGCATGTCTATCCTCTCATCGACGGTGATTTCACGGGACGTGGCAACCAGATAATTCAGGGGCTGAGGGGGGCACTGGTCGGCCAGCGAGCCATAGGTACGGATGGATTTGGTTGAGTCGCGGGACTAAAAGATCGGTTTGCAGGAAGCGGTAGATGTCAATAGCGGGGATGACAAGTGCATGCTGGCGGTTGCGAGAAGAGGCAGGAAGCAAAAATGTCGCCGGGTCCAGGTCAGTGTTGCGATTCAATGCCTCTTGACCGAATGGGGCCTGGGGTGGCATAGGATAAGATTTTAATTGAGGCTAGGTAGTCTGTAGACAATAACTAGAGAAAGCTGGTTTGTTCAACTCAATCCTCGCTGTTATTGACCAAGACTGAATTTTGAAGAGATTAACTTTCAGGGGAGTGGGCTGGTGCATTTAAACCTTATAGTTAACTAAACGGGATATGGAACTAGCTAATATAGCTCTAGTTCCCCAGGCATCTTTCTCGTGTTCAGCCACCTAGATCAGCCATGTAAAATTTCCTTGCAGCAAGCGTAGGAGACAATACTCTTAAAAAATCAAAAAATAGGCAAGCAAGCGACGTGATAATGTCAAGTGACCTAGGACCTAGGACCACAGTTACAAATAAAAAAACCCAACCTTTTTTCGACGAGGGCATATTACCCTAGCACTTTAGATTTTCGCAGAGGAATGAGATAGTGAGTGGATTGAAACACGAGAAAATCGACACAAATCATTGGGATCCATGGTATGAGCAAAGTTCGCAAGAAAAGAAATTCTGAAATTCTGTGTGTGGGCATAGTGGTCAACTAAGCATAGTTAGTTGTGCATCGTTTTTGAATTCATGGATGCTGCTCTGAGGTGGATAGCTTAAAGTCAATCGTAAAGTCTACTCGGTATCAGGTGTGTTTTTTTCTAAGTTGAATTTCTCGGATACCCAGGTGGTTCAATACCAAGAACTCAGGATTCATCAATAAAATACTCTCGTCGCCTAATCAACTCGGGGGTTAGAAATGTTCTCCAAGAGACTGTAATGCCTATGAGTTTTCCTTTTTCCTCTATTTGGAGCCATATAATTCGCGCGATTATAGACAGTAACAGTGGCTCATTAAAGGTGGGATGAGTACTCTGGAATCAGCCGGTTGTGTTGTACCAGTAGTATGATCTTCTCAAAAGAGTCTCGTCTAAGAGTAAAATGACACATTACGACTGGGATCGACCCTGATTTCCACGTGTCATAGGCGGTGACTCATCTCTTCAAGTTGTACTTCAATATGTATGTAGTAAATCTTCAATTCAGTATACTGTTCAAAAAGTGCCTTCGGCAGCAGAGCCTAGTTCCGGCATGGATCTAATTGTTCAGCCAAGCTCCTACAGTAAATGCTGGTGGGCTTCAAAGGCCCTGAGCGAGTGAGTGGCAAAAGAATCCCAACGTCAATATCTTCAAGCTGTGTAAAATCAAATCTATCGGCGGTGAAGGAAGAACTCCATATGTCGTCAGCGATGACTTGTCACTTTGGGAAGCGGCAAGCCATGAGAGCGAGTATCCTAGGATGTTTGACACTGTCGCTGATAAGATGATGTACCCAGACACTGTGAGGGACATCATCGCAAAGAATTGCAGAGGATGTACTATATTCATCTAGTTTGCCTAGGTACCATCCAAATCCTGGCTGGTTTAGTAAAGGTCATCGCTGCCAAATAAGCGAATGATGAGTTATACTCGCCTCCATGTAAGCACCCTCTAGACAGTTGAATCTAGTACCATAAAGAGGGCCACATAGGGCCACATAAGGCAGCTCAGATGAAGCACCATGACAGAATGGCTGAAGTTAATCTTTTCAAAGGGGCCAGAACCTCAAACTTGACAGTCGTGGGGACCGAGCAGAGTCACCCTCAATCTTCTGGTGCTAGGGCTGACATCATAACCATCTCGGTCGTCTAGGATTGGCTCGTTATACGAAGCAGGATGATTGGATCCCGAAAAGTGCCAAGTGCATATACGCTCCCGCGAAGGGGCTAAATCCTGAAGAACCTATCCAATCTGTTAGATCCCAGCCGATAAAGGGTCTTCATTTATTTTGGCCCCCACGATGAGACGACCTATGTGGGCGGTAGATGAGGCCTAATCGGGTAAGAAGTGCCGCTCTGTTGGCTTGGCGAGAACAGCTGCAGATCCCCAGGCGCAGCAACGATAATCATCATCATCATATTTACGTGGTTGTTAAAATTAAATCTGGGAGCACCTCAGGTAGTATATAATCTATCTGAAGAGCTGCTGGAAATTGAAATCATATCAAACTTGAATCATCTCATTTTCTCATTCAATCCATCACCATTTCTCCTCTCTTCTTACTATCGACCTCCCTGCTGCATCTTACCACAATGGATGAAGCACCTCCTCCCTACAATGCAGCTATCGCTCCTCCCATGCCTCCAACTATGGCCCCGAGCATGGCAACTCCTCCCCCAGTTCATATCCAGTCTTCTCAATCACAAGCTCTGTTGGTCGACTTTAAATGGAGCAAACTTAAGTTCATCGTCTCGTCCGAGGCCGAAAGAGGCGAAGCCACGCCTCTTTACCACGTCGCCCTACAGGTAGTCATGGCTCCACATCTCCGATTCAAGGCTATCGAAGGCAATGGCGTCGAAAGAGAAGTTGGCACAGGCACAGTTCACACTTTTGGCATTTCACCAGATTACGAACTATACGGCAAACCCGCCACACTGAAGGCGCAAAAACGCTTCCGCACCTACTACACGCACATGTCGACCGTTTTCTCCGACACGCAAGAACCGGTCAAAATGACCTGGACTAGCAACACCGATTTCAAGGGCTGGGACTTTATCTGTGTTGACCACAACCAGGTTCCCGTTGCTAAATACTCGGCCAATCTCTGGGCTGTCAAGAAATTCGGCAAGATTGAACTCCTCGGCCCCAAGGCCTTTGACCCCGCGGCTAGGGATGAGATTGTTGTTCTCGCTGTTACTTTGTTCTATTGCATGTACCTCCGTGTGAACAATCCATTCAACCTGCTGGGTTCGGCTTTCATGTCCAAGGATAAGACCGAGCAATCGTCGTCTCAGTCACCACAAGCTGAGGCCAATTCAAAGGAAGAACGTGAATTCTTGGCGACCTCGAATGCCAATGTCCAATCGAAGCAGAAGTTCCGCGAAGAAGGAGCGATTTACTAAGCCTCGAGCACCTTTCTCAGTCGAATTTAGAGAAAATGCGACAGTATGGATCGCTGGGATGGAAGGCGTCTGATTGGAGCTTTTGATTAGCACTGTTTAAGATGATACCTACATTTCGTTAATTTCTATGCAAAATATCATATCATACAATAATACTGAAAATGTTCAAGTATTCTTTTTATTGACCAATCAGTTGGCTTGCTCATTGACACCTTTGCCTGGGTGTTGGGTTTTCATGTCATGGAGTTGTTAATGTCCGATAAGGTTGAAAACAAGCATTGCCAAAACGAGGGTAGCATGAGTCTAGTCGTCCTTGAAAGACCCATCGAAGACATTTCGAAACCAATGAGCTGCTTCTTGCTCAGAGCTTTCATTTGCGTGAGATAGGGTAACCCTGCGCTCGCCATACCCTTTCTCGCGGCCAAAGAAACATGCCCGCCGGAGCACAGATACCATTTCCTCGCTTTGTTGAGCAAGGACCGTCGGGGTAGACTCTTCCGAGTTGTGCAGCAAAGACTTATTGTTCCCCGAATATACTCTCACCCAGGGAAGAGTAACTTCCAAGCGACTAACTCCATGTCCTGGCTGAGACCAAGTATTTCCACTTGAACCGTAGTCAAGGCCATAAGGAGGCCAACGCGAGAGAGCCTTTCGGCGGCGAGTAGGTAGCTCGTTCTCGTTGCTTTCCTCGTCAGTTGGGTAGATATTTCTGTCCCAGATGGACGAATCAGCGGCCCCGTGTCGCTCCAAAGTTGCTACTCGAGTCTCCTGAAGGACCGGGATCGGATACTCCGGCCCCGTGAGATACTGCGGGAATGCTTTTGGTACATCTCGGCCTGCGGAGCGGAGAAAGAGAATGGGAGAGGCGAATGCGTCAAAGCAACGCTCGAACGACGAAAACAATTGTTTCCGCGCCTCGAGTAGGGGGACAAGATCGGGCGGCGCGACTGCTTTCGATGCTTTCTTCTTCGACCTCTTGCTAGGTCCGTCGAAAGTCTCTGGATTTCTGAGGCAGTATTCATCTAATCCTGGCCAATCACATATAGGGGCTGCGGCAGCAACGGCCTTGACTTTCTCTGCCTCGGTGAGTGCTAGCATTAGTGCGAGAGAGCCGCCAATGTGCGTGCCGAATACCCCCAGCTGTGCGGGCCGAAGGTTGTCTTGAATCCAATCGAATCCCGCGATCGTGTCATGAAAAGGAGTGGGGTATTGATAAAAGCTTGATCCCACCTCGCCTGTCGACACGAGTTTGGGTGAGCCTGGGGATGGGCTTTTTGAGCTTGTTATTGAACCGCGTGCATCCTCTTCGTCTACATTGCCAAGGCGGTATTCGACAGTCACCACCGTAGCAGCAGTCACCGATGCCAAGGCATGCTGCGGCGATATCTCTTTGGTGATTCGGGCTTCATTTTCTTGGTTCTGAACAGCACGCTCGGAATCTGGAGCAGAATGCTCACCCCCTGCGCGGAACAAGGGCCCCGGGGGGGAGATAGAGGATTACATTAGCCCCGGAATTATTGGACCCAGGCGGCGTATCCTGCAGCAGTGACGGACGAGTGATCCTAGTCAATGGTCAGCGATTGGCCTGCTGCTTGAATTCATAGACATCAGCCACTTTACCTAAGGTTTATGAGCCCATTGTTCCCGACTGGCAGTGAAACTGTCTGATCGGCGTAGGCGGCGAAGAAACGTGAAGTTTGAAAGTAGACGGCTGAGGCGCTGTAAGGGCGCCTACTATTAACGCGAAAAGCTCGACGGGTCGAGTAGCTGATCAGGGCGCGCATTGCGCCATGGAGAACCTTAAGGAGGATGAAGGGCGGCGCGGACGGGCGCGTCGCGCCCGGGCGGAAAATTACCGTGTGCTGTAGCGGCAACTTCAAGTTGAAGGCTTGGCGCGTCAACAGGCCGCTTTACGTTCTGAAAATAATTAATTTCCGATTCTAGTTTCTCGAATACATATTTGGAGTATTCTACAGTGCTGTGCTCGGCTTTGATTATCCTTTGTCGTTATTATGGGGAGCTGCCTCATATAGTGGCCACCACTCTCGAATTCAATATTTCGTACCTTTGAAACCTAGGTACCTAGTGAAAAAGACATATATTAACTGGCTCCACATTTGGGTCTAATTGTTCAAATTGCAAATTCAAGTTCAAGTTTCAATTTAGTACGGGGCTGGCTGTATATTAAAAAGAGATTAAAGCGGAGATTAAAAAGAGGGTGGGAAAACAGCTGCAATAACTTGAACTAATGCACGCTTGGGCAGATACTAAACAAGGTAGTGGTGAAATGCTTCAAGGTCACTACTATTCCCAAGGTTGCTACAACTCAATGTCGTCTGGATAAATTCTGTGTAATCCTGTATCTAGAAAATACTGGTTGGAATTTTATTATTAATAGCTAATAGCAAAGAGAGATGAACGGTTTTTAGAATGCCTTTCTGTAACTTGTACCTGGTAAGGGTTGTAGTGGGAGATCTCTCAATTTCCCAAACGCCGGACGCCTCGCTCACACCGTATTCCACATCAATCTCATGTAGTTTCATCAATTAGGCTTCACGGACAGAAATCTCTGAAGTTACAAAGACTTTGAGATTATCATCCCCGGAGAGTATATGCTCTTCGCTATCCGTATCCTTCATCGTCTTCCCGTTCCCGGATCCAACCACCGTGACTGTATTTCCCTCTGGGTCCGGCATTATATCGAATCTGCTTCTGCGGCGGGAATGTGCGGGTGCAGTGCGAGACTCTGGTGGCATCGAGCCGAGCTGATACGAACGGTTCCGGTAAGAGCTTATATTGGATGCGAACGCCTTGAAAAGCGGGCCGTAGGTGGGAATGCAGCAGACAACGACCTGAACGATTTTCTATGTTTTAGTTTCCATGGAGCCGTACGCAATGATTAAAGAACAGCTATGAAGAATGCACTTACCCCAAGACTGACCTCCACCAACGACCAAAGGACAATGTTTTTGCTGTCGGTATATGTCTTGAGGTCTTTCACAGTGAAGATGCGGATAAATTGGACAATGGTGACGAAAAATCCGAGCGCGAACAAGGCGACCAATAATACTTTCTGCCTGATTCGAAGTTGCAACTTCCACAGGACGGGGAGAGGGAGGGCGATGATTATGAAATCTAGGGCAATACTGGTGCCGCCCAAGGCGAAATAGAATGGCTGGGTTTGTATACAATGGCCTTTCAGCGACGTGTCCCATTGTTTGGCTACCTAAGTAAGCACTGCACGTTAGCGAATATGTCTTTCATTTTGGCGTGGAATGGTGACGACCCGTGGAATTACTTGCCGGCATGCACGAGATGGAAATGATTAAGGCAAAAACCAATTGATTGACCACACATAGAATGATTGCAGCGATAATAATCTTGCGGTATAGTTTTACCACGCCCGCAATGCGTAGATAGGAGGTTAGCAGGGCCACCTTAAACCCTAGCACATCGAGACAGTAGACTGGGCCGCCTGCATATTGGATCTGTGATTCGAAGAATGAAGTCAAGTTAGCTAGCCAAGTCAACCAGCCCATCGCCACACAGTCACCACCTACCTTGCTAAAAGTTATAACATTCTCCGGTGGAAAATACGCTGCCGTCAGGCCTTGACCCCATCGCGTTTCTGATGAAGAAGAGTTAACAACCACGACTCGTTTTCCCAGCTATTCTGGATCCAAAGATCGACGAATGACTCACGAGCCACCGCGATTCCTGCATATGCGAGTGTTAAGAGAGAGCTGGCCAGTGCAGCATAATCATCATACCACGGCAGACGTTTGCTTCGCATTCGAACATAGAATCGGAGACAAACGGCCAGGAGAGAGAAAATGGAGAACGCCAAGCAGATCGCGATCACCTCCGGGATCGAGCTGTTGGGATCTGTCTCTTGGAGGTTATATACCCAACCCATGGTATGATCATTGCTCTGTTAAAAGAAATGCAGTAGACATGGGGCCCTAGCAGGGGGTATGATCTTCTTATTTTCAAAGTAACCGACCAGGTATGGAGTAAATGCAGACTGCAGTACTATGCATGAGCACAAGCCCTAAAGGCGAAGATTCATGCGGAATAATTAGTTTCATTATTGGTCCTGCCGTGACAGGGATTCAGATCCTGTGGAAATCTTATTTAAAATGCTACCTCTCCTGCGGGATTTTGCTCAATCCTCCTGTGAGTCTGGAGCGAGGTGGCAGACTAGACAACCTTGTTCGACTTTCTGGCCCCATGGCCCCCAACTCCCGGACCCGCGGGCCGGCTCCCGTTCAGTTAGATCGAACCCCATCTAGTTAAACCCTAAGGTCCGCTGTGAGTCTGTGATCAATGTAATTCGAGGAATTATGATCCCGGCCTGGTTCGCTTGCGAGGTTGATTAGACTTTTCGGTCTTAATCTGTTTATTTGGCCGAGTTCATTGCAATTTAATAAATTTAACCGACTCGATAGCCTTGTGGCTTCGGTATACCCGGGAGCTTGGGACTCCTGGGGCCGTTTTAAGGGCTAGACCAGCCAATTGACGCCAGTTCCAACCCTTGAAGTTAAAGCATGCATTAGCTGCAATCACCTTGCCGACCTTCCATCTTCTAAGCGGGGTTCGACCTCCCCCTTCCCCCTGGATGAGATCTTAATACTTAAGTTCCGAACGGAAGGAATTGGTAAACTTACATGTTCAATTAGCCAATCGCACACTGATGTTTTCGCGTGCAGCGTTTGTTTCTTGGTTGCTGGCGGTGCCACTGGCATCAGCCTCGTCCGCATGCCGTTGCTTCCCCAGCGATGCATGCTGGCCATCGGACAACATCTGGTCGCAATTCAATAAGACCCTTGACGGACGCCTGGTGAAGACTGTCCCGCTTGGTGTACCCTGTCATGCTCCGAACTACAATGCCAAGACGTGCGAGGTCTTGAAGGATGGATGGTTATTGCCAGAGGAACAGTACGTCGTCCTGCATGCCCCAGATTCCATATTGAAGTCAAGAGCTGATCAATAATACCCGCAGCTATGAATCATCATCCTCGGTCATGGCCCCGTTCTTTGCCAATGGCACATGTGATCCCTTTCACCCTGTCTCGAAACCATGCACGATCGGGAACTATGTGCAATACAGCGTGAATGTCACGGCCCCAACGCAGATTTCCAGAGCCGTGAAATTCGCGACCAAGCATAACATTCGTCTGGTCATTCGGAACACAGGCCACGACTACAATGGCAGATCTACTGGCGCGGGTGCTCTCGCGATCTGGACGCACCACCTCAAGGACTTGGAGCTCCACTCGTACAAGGATGCGCACTACAGCGGCAAGGCCATTACCATGGGCGCTGGAATCCAGGGTTTTGAAGCGTACGAGATTGCCGATGCCAACGGCTTCCAGGTTGTCGGAGGTGAATGCCCTACCGTTGGATTGGCTGGTGGCTACACCCAAGGTGGTGGTCACTCGGCCCTTGCATCACGCTATGGCCTCGGTGCGGACCAAGTCCTCAAGTGGGAGGTTATTGATGGCAGAGGAAATTTCATCACGGCCACTCGCGATAACAAGTACTCCGATATTTTCTGGGCCCTCAGTGGTGGTGGCGCCGGTACCTATGGTATCGTCTATTCACTGACCTCTAAGGCGCACCCAGGTACCCCTGTGTCTGGATTCAATCTCACGTACACCAATGCGAACATCACGCAGGATACCTTTTACCGCGGTGTTGAGCTCTACAACACATATCTGCCCGAGATCGTGGACGCTGGCGCCATGAGCGTCTGGTACTACACCAACACTAGCTTTATGATCTCTCCGATCACCGCGCCAAATGTTCCTGTCGCGAAACTAGAGCAGATGCTCAAGCCTTTTCTGAAAGGTCTGGACAAGCTTGGCATTCAGTACACAAAGATGGCTAGTCAGTACGACAGCTACTACAGCCAGTTCAAGGACATGCAAGGCACCATCGAGGTTGGGACAGCTCAGTACGGCGGATGGCTGGTGCCACGGTCTGTAGTCCAGAAAAACAACAAGGCCCTGGTGAACGCCTACCGCTACATCACCGAGAACGGCGGTACCTTCATCGGCGTCGGCCTAAGCGTCGCCAAGAAGGTCTCGGGAGACGTCTATAATGCCGTCCTGCCTGCCTGGCGTGAGGCGCTCATCGACACCACCCTCACCACGCCGTGGGTGTGGGACGATCCCGCTCTGATGCTAGAGCGACAGCGCCAGATGACCGATGACTTTATCCCCCGACTGCGAGCATTGTCCCCGGACTCTGGTGCTTATATGAACGAGGTATGTTCCCATTCAATATTTCCTTTTAGTCGAAATAACCAGCGGATATGAACTAACCATTTTTTCGTTTTCGTTTTTTATAGGGTGACTTCCGCCAGCCCGATTTCCAGCAAGTCTTCTATGGCAAGAACTACGCCAAGCTCGAGAAGATCAAGGCCAAGTACGATCCCAACGGCATTTTCTACGCTAGGACCGCAGTTGGATCAGAGGCGTGGACGGAGCTTGAAAATGGCCGCCTCTGCAAAACTGGCCACTAGAAGCGTGGCTGGATCAGGCTAGGCACTGTATATTAATTTACGCGCTATCATCAATTTCAGATGAGCGATATGCCCTGCTCGGCAATTTATTTAGAAGTCTTTTGATATATTTGAGAATTCACAACCGGAATTAACCTTGGAACGTCGGGCGCAGCTAGCATATCTTCGAATACTGTCTGAGAACCACGGGAGGCTAACGGTGCGTATGGGTGGCGAGGCGACAAAGATATTCCTACGCCCTGAAACCATGTAAACTCTAGTAAATGCAATGCAAATTAAATCAATGGCCGCCAAAGCCGATAGGTATGTGCCCAATTGGTGTGAAACCCAATAATTGGAACTCAGATTTGCGATAGTGTCTTGCGTTCTTGTATGGCGTCTTACTGTCTTGGGATGGTTAATCAAAGCACCCACGGAAGGATTTAATAGGCAAAAGACAGGTTATACTAAACCCTTCCTCCTGATGCTTCTGCTTTAGTGGTGCAGATCCGGGTCAAGTTCATAATCGTCATAGAACAGCGATCTTTCATCTTGGTCCGTGCTTCCTGATTTCCGCGGGAAGTTAAGTGGCCTCGAGGTAACCCCTCCTGATTAATTGCAGTCTAGATGGAATCCCGTTGAGAATAGCCGAGACCGGGATGCCGAAAGAGCACACTACCTCGTAGACTGGGCATTTGACACTTAACAAAGGAATGAGAGGTGAGAAACAGTACAAGCAGGGTTTAACTAGCAGACCGGGTTGTACACGCCATTTTTGCCTGCCTCTGGTGAAAAATATTTATACAACACTTCCACCTTTAGATGTCCACTGCCGTTGGAAGGTCGTCTGGGGTATTCCAAGGTTGAAAATAGTTGCTAGCCTCCGCTGTCCAAGTATGCTCACTTCCCCAGATTCACAGGCTGTCCCCAGGAGTCGGTGTATTTACCCCGCCTTTTCCCCGCATGTACAGGTGGGTATTTTAGCAGGGTCGTCTTCCTATAGGCCGTAGAACTGTCAGATCGACAATGTAATTCCTGTAACTGGCCCAAAGCCAAGGTAAATCTTTTGGGGTTAGAGTTCAAAAAGATAGCTTTTCGGCGAATGCCGACTAATTATTTGCCAATCAATACCCTAAACATAGACTGTGGACCCTTTGCCGTGGATTGAGTTCTTGGGCTACCCACCCATCAGGTTTTCTATAAGAGTTGAACAGTCCATTCGACTTTTCTTTTGGGTATTGTCGTTGATGCAGTGACCTGATATCTCATTCGACTCTGAACAATTACTTTCGATTCAATCCATACTTCTTTGCTTGCCCATTCATTTTTAGAAAATCTGCCCACCTCAAACTTGAACAAAATGGGTCGGTTTAGAAAGGTGATAGAAAAGATCCAAGCCCCCACGGAGCCTGGGCTTTCAACAGCCCAGCTCATGTTGGTAAATGACGACCTTAAGCCAGGTAAGAAAATACAAATCAACAAGCTGCCAAACTTCTCGCGCACTCCCATGTTCATATTCGATACGATAAAATATATACTCGCGATTCGCATGCTAATTTAATTTTGCGAATAGTCGATCCAGAGCGCCGTCAATGGAGATGGCTCAATTTCGTTGCCTTTTGGATTGCAGATTCATTGAACGTCGTGCGTTTTTTCCCACTGCGCTTTTTAAATGAAAGATAGAAGTCCGACCAGGTCGGATTTCCTTCGCATAGAGGGTGCATTGGACTTTCTGAAAACTACTCTAACCTCGGCCTCAGAATACCTGGATGATTTCGTCCTCCATGATAGTCGATGGCTTATCCTGGTGGCAATCATGGCTATGCGTCTGGATTGGGTACACCATTGCTGGCCTTTTTGTCTGCTTGATCGGCCGAATTGGTGCCATTTACCGCATCCCATTTGCGGTGGCAAATCGTTCATCCTTTGGAATTTGGGGTTCTTTCTGGCCAATTCTCAATCGCGCGTCGATGGCAGTCATATGGTATGGCGTCCAGGTAAGCCTCTCCACACTCATTCCGACCCAAGCCAGTGAAAGTATTATACTAAACAAAATTCCCTGAATAGACATATCTTGGAGGTAGGTTCTTCGATTCCCGGGCGGAAACCGCTTAGCCATTAAGAGACACAGTGACTGATGCTCAACATTCTACTAGGTGAATGCGTTACGTTAATGATTCGGGCAATCTGGCCAAGCTACGATAATCTGCCAAATACGATACCTGCAGGTGCAGGTGTTACTACTCAGCAGTTCGTGAGCTTCTTCTTGTTCTGGCTGGGCTCGCTCCCTGCTCTATGGTTCCCAATCTACAAGATCCGACATCTGTTCACCGTGAAGGTAAATCCATCTCTTTTCTCCGCCACCACTTCTTCGCACTTTGCTTGAGCTGACATACTCCAAAGGCATACTTTTCTCCTGCCTGTGCCTTTGCATTTTTTGGTTGGGCTATTGCTCGTGCGCACGGTCTGGGGCCAATCATCACGCAATCCAATACTGCACACGGTAGCACTCTCGCATGGGTGTTTATCAAAAGTATTATGAATTGTATAGCCAACTTCGCTGCTCTTGTCATTAACAATCCGGATGTAAGTCTTGCAAGAAAACGTGGAAGTATCATCAAGGTACATTATACTAACTTTCTCAAAGTTCGCACGTTACGCTCGAAAGCCACAAGATGCTCTATGGCCACAGCTTATAACAATCCCAATCGGTTTTGCTATCACATCGTTTATTGGCATTATCGTCTCCTCCTCGTCAACGGTTATCTTCAATCAGGCTGTCTGGAATCCGTTGACTTTGCTAGGGATGTTCCTAGAAAACGCAACCTCGGCGGAACGTTTTGGCATCTTCGTTATTTCTAGTGGATTTGCCTTGGCTCAGTTAGGAACAAATATTGCCGCTAACTCAGTATCTGCGGGTACGAATCTTACTGCGCTTCTTCCTCGTTTTTGTACGATCCGAAGAGGTGGCTATTTCTGCGCGGCTATTGGGCTGGCCATGTGTCCTGTGAGTTACATTCAAAATGGTGGTTTTGTTTAGGAAAGATTCTAATAATGCAAAACCCTCAGTGGACCCTGGTTGCATCTTCGAACAACTTTACTATCTACCTCTCTGCCTATTCTGTGTTCCTGTCGTCTATCGCCGGAGTAATGGCTAGTGACTACTACTTAGTGCGCAAGGGTTATCTCGATATCGAAAGTCTTTATAGTGCACAGAAAGATGGCCCTTACTACGGTATGTATGGGGTTTCATGGCATGGTTATGCCGCCTACTTCTGTGGGATCTTGATCAATATCGTTGGGTTTGCGGGCGCCGTTGGTGTAAGCGTTCCCGCTGGCGCCGTCTATATCTACAACCTTAACTATTTCACCGGATTCATTGTCTCCGGAGGAGTCTACTGGATATTGGCTACGCTGGTGCCTCTTCCATTGACTAGCAAGTCTTGGAACGAGGTCCCTTACGAAGTATCTCCTATCTCTGATTTGGAGCTGAAGAAGCAGGGGGTGGAAGGAGTGGAGCACATGGAGAATGTGTAATGAGTCTAGATCACAAATCCATCTGAGCGATCAATTTCAGATAGGTAACCTGTCAATCATGATCCATTCGCCAGAAATAGTATATGGAATTTTAATGAAGTAAGTACCAACAGCAATAAGTAGCCAACTACCAATATAGAATCAGCCCTGTTAATCCCAATTAAGAGGATGCTTTTAACATGAGGATATCAAGACGCTGTTTAAGACAGATTCTGGCCAATTTAAATTCATTTTGCATCAAATAATTTTGATTGAGATGAGCGGCTCCTCCGTGAGGCTTTGACTGGTTGGTCCGGCAAGGTACTCCTCGGGTGTTTCTCGCGCCTGGACTAGAGGTTCCGCGCGATAAGGAGGGGAAAACATAATTGATACGAAGCTAGTGATCCTTTCTTCACCCAATCAATCTCCATCTCTGCTGCCAAAACAGGATCCCCCGTCAGTCGTCATAACTTCCTTTTGTGGTCAGCGGTCTCAACCTTCAATAGTCTCTTTGGGCTATGCTTGGTCTCCGCGGAAAATATATGAGGCCTTTGTTAAGGTTTGATCTATCGGCAGAGTTGTTCGCCTGTTCACAATAATCTGAAAGCGAACTTCTCATACGAATTTCCATCGAGTAATGGATAGATAACACTGCGGGGTCTGTGTCATCATCCCTGATGGATTGCAGTTTCTATCGAGTAATTCATTCGAGTTAATATTTTAGCCTGTTGCTTGGCGTTGGGGTCAAGGGGATAGAAACAGCCAATCGGCACCCGGGCCTAACTAAGTCACCAGACGACATCGCTCGGCTCTTTTTTTCTTTCTTTTTTTTGAAAGGGGAGTAGAGCTCCAGATACCCGAGCAGGCCAAGCTAGCCTTGAGATTATGTACAAAGGGCCCTATCACTCCATCACACACTAAGTAAATGCAGTAAGGCTCGACCTCTGCCAAGCAGCAGCTCCAGGTTCCTCATTTACCATCTCCTTATGTATAGCCTCGTCTGAATTAAAATAACCCATGAAATTTGTCGAGTTGAAATTATTGTCGCTTTCTTGCTGAAAGTACCTCGGCTATAAATTGGTACTTTGTCCGGCTCCACATTTGGGCATCGGCGTGCGGTTCGGGATTTGTTGGATTTTCAGAATCGAGTAATGATATTACCCATCTGCTTAACATTCAAGCTCTGAAATCCACGAATAGGCTTGAAAATCTCTGCCAACAAGTCCTATAATGAGGCTTCAAAATTCATCCTTGGTTCTCAACGTAATTCTACAAACTATGCTCGTGGTTATAATAATCAAATGGCGGGTGTTGAGAACTTCCCAGTAATATTCGTTAGATACATTTTACGCCCTGTGGGCTATACCAGAATTCAATCATCGCTTTGGGAAAGTTTACAGCGACTGACAGCGTAGAGTCTGGATAGATTAATCAGTCGAGATCTACTTGAGCTCTGGTATGAAGTGGGCTCTCAAAATCGCAATAACAAACCCATAACGGTCGGCTGGATTATTTTGCACCGTTCATAAAAATCCATAAAATGCTTTCCATGACAATTAGTTTTCGGACGATTCCGACCCATTACCGGGAAACAATGCTTAGCCAGCCCCTATCTCATATTGTACCATTCAATCCCCGGGCAGCTACCATGAATCATACAACGCAGCTCCTGGGTTCCGCTACGGATCCTGAAGACCGGGTTTCTGGGGACCAATAGCGCCTTTTCAATTCCGTGACACTGTTCAGACAGAGCAAGAAAAAAGAAATTATAAAACAGGATTCTAAGATCTCGTTTCCGAGAGGATCGCTCGGGTCCGATATCTTGTGTGCGGGAATTCCGTAACTGATTTTCGGAGGGCCACGCGGGCCGAGTCCGCCTTCTTAGACCACATGGTGGTTGTTTTCGAGCAGCACCACCAGAAGGAAAGTATTTTCATGTCTAGAGAAGATGTTGATAGCTCTTGGGTTTATGCCCGATGTATGGCACTGGTCGTACTGCGAGAGCCATGAAAAAGCACGGTCTCAGGCCAAGGTATGCAATGAAAGCTTCCATCGTGTTTGATATCTCGACATCCAGTCGGCGATTCAGAAACAATGTGGAGAATGAATTGACTTTCCGAGTACCCAAGCTGGTAAGGCTATAGCCTGTAGCTCAGATATTCTCGCTTTATCAACAAAAGTCGATATTACCCGGGAAACCCAATGGAATGCCCCAGCGCCACGAACGAGATGTCCTCATACTATAGGCCAGTCTCATGATCAAACTATATGAACCCATAGCCTAGCCAACTAATTTTTCATTCAATGCACTTTTCAACTCAAAGATAATTTTCCCAATCTTAAAATTTGATGCCTTGTCGAGAACATGGGTCTGAAACCGTTTCTTGGACTTCGAGGAAATGCCCTCCTCCACGCAACCCTCATGCTAGTTGTGTGTCCTACATTTACTTGCTATGGATATAATATGAGCGTGGCAGGTGGTTTGCTAACACTGACCGCGTTCAACAATCAATTTCCCAGCATTGATACACTTCATACAACCGGGGAGATCCAACAGAAAAACTCACAAATACAAGGTTGGTAGCGTACTGGCCTGTGGTATTGATTTATATTTTGTCTGACTGATATACTTAATTGCGCCAGGTGTCGTTATGTCGCTCTTTACTGTCGGCGGTATCTTTGGCGCCCTCTCATGCGTATTTTTCGGTGATCGCTGGGGCCGCCGTAAGGTGATTTTTATATCGAACGTTATAACTATCATCGGCGCCATTCTTATGGCAACTTCATTCTCACTCGCCCAGTTCGTCGTTGGGAGACTAGTTCTCGGTGTAGGAATTGGAGGATACGTCGCGACGGTTCCTGTCTGGCAATCCGAAATCTCACCAGCGCATCTGCGAGGCTCCAACGTGGTAATTGATGGGATTTTCGTCGGAAGTGGTGTTGCCCTTGCTCTTTGGGTTGATCTGGGATTCTTTTTCGTGAAAGAAAGCTCCGTCTCCTGGAGATTTCCTCTGGCCTTCCAAATCATTTTCTCCGTTATCGCAAGTATCTTTATTACGATGCTGCCCGAGTCACCGCGATGGCTTATCAAAAAGGGTAGAGTGGACGAAGGACGACAAGTATTAGCCGCATTACTCGACGTTGAGGAGCACTCCGATGTTGTGAATGACGGCGTATATGATATTGAATCATCACTTTCCCACTGCGGAACAGGATCTTGGAAGGACATGTTCACTAACGGAGAACAACGTCTCTTCCATCGCACATATTTGGCTGCCACAGGTCAAATGTTCCAGCAAATGTGTGGTATTAATGTCATAACATTCTACGCAACTACCATCTTCGAGCAATACCTTGGAATGAGTCCTGTGAATGCCCGTATCATCGCTGCGGCCATGCCTCTCACACAACCATTTGGTGGCTGGCTTGCCTATTACACCATCGACCGCCTCGGTCGGCGACCTTTGCTTATATGGAGTGCTGCAGCCTTAGCCGTTTGCATGGCAGGACTTGCCGGTTGTACATCGCCATCCGCAGCCAACAATACAGCTGCACTTGCCATGGCCGTGGTCTTCCTCTACTGTTTCCAATTCATCGCGACAATTGGTTACGCCGGCTTGACCTTTTTGTATGCCGCCGAGATCGCGCCTCTGCAGATTCGCGCTGCTGTCAACGCGGTATCTACCGCTACCGTGTGGTCGTTCAACTTCCTCCTAGCCGTGATAACTCCAGTGGGCTTTGCAACGATTGGTTATCACTTTTATATCATTTTCGCGATCATCAATGCTCTCATGGTACCGAGTGTGTATCTGTTTTTCCCTGAGACAAAAGACCGTTCGTTGGAGGAGATTGATGAAATATTTGCTCAGTCGAAGAATATCTTCGATCCGCCTTGCGTGGCGCGTGCGATGCAGCGGAAAATGCAAAAGGTGCACATCGGCGATGCTCATCCTGAGTCTGGAGATATTGTCGAGATCAAAAATGATGCTCTTCAGATGGATGTGAAGGCTTAAGAAAGTCCGCTGTGTGGCAATGAGGTTCTGAGGTTGACGATGGAAATTTCAACTCATACTCAGGTGCACCACTGACATCCGCGTGCATTTCACCGACCAGTCCCAGTTCACGTCTCTCAAAATATCTCAACATTACAGAGCAGGAGATTAATCACCTTTTACTATGTGCTTGAGTTATCGGGGTCATTTTGAATAGATATTAGATTCGAGGAAGTCTCCACCGATCAAATAGAAATACAACTAGAACCATCTTTTCTCCGCAATTCTTCGCGGCACCCAAACTCCCCTTCCAGTAAGCTCCGAATATTCAAACAAGACCCCCAGAAACATATGAAATGGATACTGTAGCGCAAGAAAAACAAGAATCAAAAAGAAACTCTCCCTCGGGGAATCGAACCCCGGTCTCCCGCGCTTATCGGTTTTAATGACAAGCGGAAATCATGACCACTAGACCAAGGAAGATGAAAATAGTCGAGTTACAGCTCGACCACTTGGGGGTGGTTGATGTGGCAGGTCAGTTAATGATGTTCCAAAATTATTACAGCATTTGCCAAAATATACAGAGTGAAAATCTATTCGTAAAAAAAAGCCAATTCTATCATGACCCTATACACCCAAACCATCTTTCCATTCTATAAATTCGCCCCACCCAATCCAGATGAATTACCGGTCGGCGACCACCATCCCTCAAGATCACCGAGATCAGGAAGCATGCCGGGATCGTTGGTGAATTGCGGTGCTGCCATTGCGTTTATGGCGTTGAGGTCGGAGTGATAGTTCCACTCGAGGTCATCGGAGGACGGGACGGTAAAGGGTTGTTCTTGTTGTTGATTTTTAGAGTACTGGTTCTGCTGAGAAGGATGTTTTTGATGATTCTCGAAAGATGTGTTTCCAGCAGGAGCAGTCATGGAAGTTTGTATCTGCTGCGATTGAGAAATATCAAGATGATTCGAGAGGCGTGATTTCTTCCGCAAGGAATCAGAGGCGAGACCATCATGACGACTCGAGTCACGAGTCGATGAATGTTTCTGTGAGTCGAGGGAAGCAAGATTGGCGCTGCTGAGATGTCTCTTTGAAGCTGGGCCTGATCGATGCATATGAGCTTGCCAGCGTCGTTGAAGAGTAACAAGGAAGTCCCTGGTGCGTTTCGCATTTTCGAAGGACTGGCCCAGCTCATCGAGGGCGCGGAAGCAAAGATTCAGATAGGCGACCATTTCGGCATTGCGGGGGTGTGGTTGACTGATTTCGCCGGGTTTGCTGGGCAGGAGTGGGGAGCTGGAGACGGTGACGAAGAGGAGCATCAGCGCAGCGCTGAAGATTATCGCCACGACTTGGTTGTTCATTCGGCGGAAGGAGTAGTGCTTTTCGTAGATGTGGAGGAGTCGAGCGATGGCGGTGGCTGATTCGACGCACATGCGTCTTGCGTGATGGTAGCCTGGTCCCTGGCGGGGACTGCGTGGTTGGATGTAATTCTTGGATACCCATGGCCGATGGAAGAAGATGATGATTTGATGGTATTGCATACTGCGAGAATGGTGAGCATTCTGAATGCGGACGCGTTGGAGTCTAGACAGTTTTTACTTACTGGAGTATTAACAGATGGGGTAGTCGCGGTGTTGCATCGTCATCAATATCGAGCTGGAGAGTAGAGGGCAAATTCGTTTTCCAGGCGAAAAGGTCTTCTGTCACTTGGAATGTAATTCTTTGCAAGTCGTGTCGAGATATATCCGAACAGCCGTACCTGGTAACGTGTTAGATATAGGCGAGACCCATTATATGTGGGTGCCACTCACAAGATGTGTCCAACGGGAGAGATCATCTCCCAAAGTATGACGAATTGCCGGCAAATCAGTTCAGTGGTGTCTCTGAGGCCGTCTCCAAGAGGATCTGGTGTTTTTGGGAGTCCGTATGGGTGCCAAATGGCGTCTTTATCCGCGCCTATCGTAGAAGCAGGTTTCGGGACAGTAATGTCTCCTGCAGTCATCCGGAATGGTCGGCCCAGGTAGAAGCCCCAAAAGCTAAAAAAAATAAGTATATGTATGATCGGATGATGACGAGAAGTGTAAAACTCACTGATCAGCGACATAGCTGCCCCAAAAAGCTGTTCGTCGAACGTCCGCCTCGAGGGCGCTAACTTCACCATTATTCACATAGGTCGTCATATCTAAATGTAGTCCAAGATCAAATGCAAGCCGCATCGACATCCCTATTGATTGATTAGAAAATAATCCTCGAATATGATAGCAGGTACCACTTACCGCTATAAAGCCAGCCTCGAGCGTCACGGTTAGATGCGCCCTCGTGGCAACTCAAAAGAACGAGTGCCTGAACCGTCGCAACACAAGGTGTGTCCAGTTCAATTTCTAGTAGAGCCTTCGCTCGATCTGCAAAAAAGTCGGCCAACGATTTAGGAAAGGTGATAAATGTGGGATGGTAGCGCGCTTCAAAGGCACTTCCGATTGCGCACCTATCACACAGTTAGCATTGAGCAATATCCCCGAAGAAGAAGACACGATTAATGGGATACTGACATCGCATTCGTAAGAACCTCTGAGTAAAATGGGGTATCGTCATATTCCTCTCGCCATTTTGTTCGCGCCGTCATATACATCCCCTTATCCACGACGTAAATGCTAGGATTTTGCCAAGTAAAAAACAGCTCAACCAGGTGATCCTCCAAAGCCTGATCAACCGGCTGACCAACGCGAAGGTGATTAAGGATATCCTGGCCATCATGACGCACGGTTCGCGCATCGGGCCGTTGCCGCTGCTGCGTCGCGGAAACATCGACCAGATTAAGATTCGAAGTGGCGCCATAAAAGCGCAAATGACCATCACCGGCGATTTTCAAAGTCCCGATGCGATTAGATAATTGCTCAATCACATCGCTCTCTGCCGGGTTTTCCTCATCACTGTCGGAATCATGATCCTGGTGCGATAGATTCGTCGGCGCCTGACCCAGTAAAACGCCTGGTTGTTGAACCATGTCCATGCCGAGTTGGAAAGTGTCCGGGCTGACACCTGGGTTGGCCATCATCCCTGATCCGCCGTTGATATTTGCGTATATGTTCTCCAGGCTTTCGGCGTTGGGTAGGGTGAATCCCCAATGTACAAAGTTTTGGTTGTCAGGCGCACCCCGCACCATACCGTAGGGGTTCCAGGGTTCCACAGAGGGAGAAGCCCCGATTTGTTGGTTCGCGACGATGCTGTGTGAAGGCGATACGCCGGAATTCTCTTTTTCGACAGAGATTTGGGACTGCCCGGGCTGAGCTGTTTGTGGTGGGCTAGTTGTCGGGGATGGCCTGGAGTGAAATGGCGGGCTTATCTCGTCTGCTGATTTTTGGTCGCTTGTAGAAAGGGCTGTGTTCTTTGCGACTCCGCGTGGAATTTGTAGAGTGTCCAAGACTCTGTTCATGCCGGCCTCGTCTTCTGGATCCATCGGAGGGGGCACTGAGCCTTGATCCTGGATGAATTGGCATAGCTGGTCAATTCTCGCTGAAAACAGCTCTGTGGCGGCTCTTAGAGATACCCTGTAGGACCTGTCAGCACTTGCACCTATACCGGAAGCATTTATATGGCCACATGGCTTTCTCCACCGCCATTTTGTTTCAGTCTGGGGAACGTGAAGAAAATAACTTACTTCCGCTTGTCATCGCCATGTTGGTACTTGCATTCCTTGCCCTTTCGTTCACAATTCTGACAATGCGGCATGGAACCGTCACACTGCAAGATCCGACTCGACATGTTAGTTTATGCGCCGATCTCCTTTGGCCCAAGATTTAGGCTCAGGGAAGTGCTGCAGGCTTACCCTGATTTTGCTTTCCCGGCAAGGGACACAGGCGGTAGTGACATGCTTCCGCGGTGTCTTTTTGGGCTTATCAGGGTCCGGCGACATGGTTGGAATGCTGTTCCTGCGTCTGTTCTCTTCTTTTTGCGGAGAGGATTTCGATAGCGAACGATAGACCGTGGGGGTGGCGGTTCTTGCGCTGGGCTTCGCGCTGGGGGGATGCGGTCGCTGCGGTCGCCGCTGGAATTAATGAAGCGTTTCAAGTCATGTCGAGTCAAGCTTCTGGATTTAGATTCCTCCTTGAGCAATCGGGAAATGTGTTCGAGTTTAAATGCGAAATTCGTATGGAGCAGCGAAATGTTCGTCTGGGGCGGGGGAGAAGGGAAAGCTTACTCCACCTCCAGCGCGCCCGCCTATGAGATGCGCGGGGGATAAGCCGGGCCCCAATTCGGTCTGTCCGGCTGATCGCAATGCCTCCAAAATGGCCAATGCGGGTTGTCATAGTCGGGAGAAGTTTGAAAGGAACAGGGTAGTATGGGTTTTGGACATATACTTCCCCTCCGATTGAAAGAAGTAGATTCCGCGCATTAGGGATCACCCTTTCGGTTTAATTTTTACTTGTATATACTTTGTAGTAGATAAGTTACATCGGCGCTTCACCAGTTGGAGGTGCGCTTGATCCGTTCATTTTGGATCACCTCAATCCAGTATCCATCGGGGTCCAGAATGAAAGCGATGTTCTTCATCATGCCATCGGTGAGACGCTTCTTGAAAGGCACCTTGAGGGACTCGAAGCGGTCGCATGCGCCTTGCAGATCGTCGGTGGAGATGCCTAGGAAGAGTACCACGGTAAGCACTAGAATAGAAAAGAGAAGAGATAGTTTTAAGAAAGCGAAGCGGCACGGTGACTTACAGATATGACCGAAGCCCTGGGGGGGCGGTGTTGCCGTTGTGGTACACGGGACCCTCCTGCTTCTCGGTGCCATAATTCCAAGTCAACTCTAGTAGTCCCTCCATGTCCGAGGTCTTGCCGTCCGCGGGGACCTTTGCATAAGCCAGGAAGTACAGATTAAACTTGTTGTCCGGGTTCTCAACTGTGCGAACCAAGGTCATACCCATAGACTCTTGGTAGAATTTGAGACTGGCCTCGGCATCCTTGACACGCAGCATGGAGTGGTTCATGCGGTAGGAGCCCGGATCGGTGGTGGTGGACAGATTCTCCTCGGCACGCTTAATGATCTCGACCCAGTATCCATCGGGATCCTTCGCAAAGGCGATGTGTCGCATGCGACCCTCGGTCAGCTTCTTCTGGAAAGTATATCCGGCATCCTCGATCCGCTTGCAAGCGACTTCAATGTTGTCGACGGAGATGGCGAGATGACCGAAGCCTCGGTGTGGCTCGGTGTTGCCGTTGACGACACTGTACTCGGGATCGTTCTCGGTACCCCAATTGTGGCAGAGTTCAACGGTACCTTGGAGATCGGTGAAGTGGCAATCTCCATTCAGAGACTTAGGGCCGGTATAGGCCAGGAAGTAGTTTGTGAACTTTCCTTCCGGGACGTCCATCTTGATGACCACGCTCATACCGAGGAACTTGTAGAACTCCAACGATCGCTGGGGGTCCTTGACCCGCAACATCGTGTCTATATGACATGGCGGTTAGTGCTCTGGGGGGGTATATTATGCGTTGTACTGCGACGAGGTTGGTGAGAGAGGAACGAACGGTTAAACTTATAGGTGGAAGGATCGGAGGCCATGGTGAAGGATCGCGCTACATCTCGGTCAGTGATTGGGTCCAGGTGAAGATCTGAATGTGGAGCTGGGGGGGTATAAGCATACTAGTACCTGTGACAGGAACAACAGAAAGTCTAGGGAAACGGAAAGGAGTGAGGACCCTTGAAGATAGACGGGCGAACATGATGGGAGGAGGGAAGTGGGAGGGGGAGCATTAGAAATCAAACGTGAGGAGAAGAGTGGGGCATGACGTGGTGGAGGACATACCACAGATGGTAGTTTGACTAGAGTTATAAATTGTAGTAGTAATTATAGTTATAGCTATAGTTATAGCTACAGCTATAGCTATAAATTCTAGAAAATATTTACTAATTCACTTAGATAGATATATAGATCATGCCCAACTGTGCATACCTATAGCTACCAGTGAGCTGTTTAGCTCCAGCTCCGCCGCAGCACCACCACCACCACCACCACCTCCTCCTCCCGTCTTCTCCCCTCTTCCTCTTCCCTTCTCCTCTCTTCTCTCCTCTCCAACCTCCAACCTCCAACCTACCCCCCCTCCATTCCCTTCTCCCCATTGGCCTGGTAAGTCTATATTTTGTTTTTCTTTGGCTTATTCTCCTCCTTTCCTCATTTGTCTATTCCCACTATCCATTAACCCTTCCGTCGTGGCCTTCGTTTGCCTTCCCTGCACTCCACAAGTCGTGCGCCCCCGCATCCACCGTTGATCGCCGCGTCTCTGTCATTGGCCTCCAACCCTTCCCCGGCTTCGTGTCTGACGCTCCCTGGCACAACCCACGACGCTCCTGGGCCCTTTTCTTTTCTTTTTCTTCAATTCTTTTACTTTCCGCGCTTAGCTGCCAAACATACGCCTGCTGGTCAATCGCATTTCCCCCAATCATAATTCCCCTCGTCAACACGTTCTCGTTTTCTCACCTCCCCCCCAAGGCAATCTGCACGATGGTCCTGGCGCCTCTGCCGCGGAGCCTCGCAGCGCATCTCATGACTGCAGTCCTACCCTGACTCCTACTATAAATTATCCTTCTCCCTCCGAGCTGGTCCTGTGCCACCCGGACACGGCGGGATTCTTTACGACTTGTCATCTGGACCGGCCCGTCCTGCATTCTGTCGATGCAAATCATCACCCCGTCGTCTCCCTCCTTCCTGTATTCCTCTGCAAGCCCGCTATGATAAAACTGCCCTCGTGCCCCCTTTTCTTTGATATTTGTGCCAAGGCAAGGAACGCCTCCGCCTGTCGCGTGTCCTTTTTCCCTCATGGGTCTCAAGATGGCTGAATGTGAACCCTTTCCAGTCTCCAACTTCTTCGACAAATCAAACCTCCCCTCCCATACCGACCCTCCATTTATCCCCTACTGGGCCCGGTGCCATACGCAGCGCGCAAAAAATCTCCTCGACTGTACCGACGAACCGATCGAATACGACCACGACGACGAGGATTACAGCGACAACTGCTTCTTTTTCCCAGAAGATTGCTCGTGGACACCTCCAAAAGAGTCGGTTGTTGAAGCGCATTTCAAAGCCCTCAAGGAGAAATCCGATATTTCAGTGGCAGCACCTACGCGGACCATCCCAGACGCTACCGGCAACATGATTCCTGGGCTTCCTGATATCAAGATGCTCGACTCGGAGGCGCTGGGTGACTTGCTGGAAGACAACCTTTCCCCGCCAGAGATCACCACAATTCTGTAAGTACCTGCTACCCTACCTGCAGCTTAAGATTTGTCACAAGCTCATCTGTTCTTTTCTCATGCAGCGTGTTCGCAACCAACGGTGCTGTCTTCGCCTACGGATCTACCCTTTCATCTCGCCAACTACGAAACCTTAGCGCCACATACGGTGCTGCCTACACGTGCTACGCAAAGACCGCCTCCAGCGGGAATCTGACTGGTGTGAACCCCGCCAGCCATCCGTCCTCCTACGTAACAGCCCAGTCCATGTCCCTCGGCGACGTAGGCTCAATCGTTTTCGAGCTTGACGACTCGGTAGCGGTGGTAACACGTATTGCTGACAAAGTTCTGCTGGCTGCCGTTGGCCCCTCTAAGCCGGATACTGGCGCGGCAAATGGAACTGGCGAGCATATCGGCGGAGACGGAGCTATACCCGGCGACCTGAGCAACGGCGCTACTTCGGACAGCTTAGGGGACGGCCATCGCACTCCAACAGCACCACCCTCTCCCAACCCACCGCCGCGCGATGGAAACGAGACGCAGCATGAGATAGATCGGAGTGCAGATCTGGCCCGGCTTGCAAGCTTAAACCTCTCCGCCTCGCCTTCTGTCTTGCTTGCCCTGGAGTCGAAGTGCGCGGCACTGGGGAGATTCCTTGGGTCAAAACTCGACGATTTAGACAGCCCAGAGGACTTCTAACAACGATGAAGTACGGCATGGTGATGAATGGGGGTCCTGGTCTGATATTTGTGGGACGTAATGTTTCAGCGAGGCATATTTTACGAACCTGAGCGAATTTATTCACGATGAATCGACGACAACCTGAAAAATTGAACATTTATTTGCTGAATCCAGTCGATGGGGCGAAACTTAGGCTAATGTACAGACCCGCCTAAGATCGCCTTCCATGTCGAGACACGAAGATGCTATTCCAACCCCTCATCAAATGATACGGCAAATAAATAACCTTGTCCCGACTTGTAAATACATGTGCCTTTCTATAGACCGTAGGGCAGGCACAGGAGCCTATCTACTAGCAACTATGAAAGCCTGTGACGTTTGAAGCCCCCACGGAAACACGACATCTACTAACCTGGCGGAATGTCAACTTTCTCGTTCCCGCATCCCACATGTCACCTAGCTGAGTTCAAGGATATCAACCCGCGTCGCCCCCGGCACGCCGAGCACCTTATCTGTAGTCGCTAGCATGGAAAGTGACCCCGAGCAAGCCTTTAGGACCAAAATCTTCGAATTAGCGTCAGCCAGTTGCTTGGGGAATGGGCAGACGCCGTTGACTGCGAACAAATTCGAGCCTACCATCGAAGCAGGTCAATCTAGCCTGGCTTTGTCTGTTTCTTTCAAGTTGAAGTTTAATCACGGCTTTGAAACAAATCGAAGCTGGGGCACTCAAGGAGAGCGAGGGGGGCTATTTCAAAGAAAATCTTCCCTTTGTTCGTCATATCTTTGGATTATTAGTTATATATTGCAGATATGAGTTGCTCTTTTGAAAAAGTCCCATCCATCCATTTGACTATCTTATTTTTTTTTCAATCACCTTCAATGTCACCCAACATGCCTCGCCAGCTTGCAAAGAAGCGCAAGGTGCAACCCGAGCCCGAGGCTGAAGACTCGTCCGGGGTTGAGGCCCCGTCAGAGGTCGAGGACGGACCCGAAGCTAATTGGTCCCCCTGGGATCCAACAGAGCGCAAAGTGCTTGATATTCGTAAGTTGGACCTCGACAAATCATATCACAATGAGGCTCGACCCAGGTCAAACATGACCAAGGTTAGAGTCGGCCATATCACCTCGAAGCCGCCGCTGGAACGGCAACGATGGCAGCATAAAGACAAAAGGCCCATCGAAAAGGTCGAAGATCTACCGGAGGGCTGGCATGCGACCGAGCCAGATCTCGATGAGGCGTAAGTTTATATGAATATCCTTTCTAGTACAAATACTCATGGGTTTCCATTTTTTAGGGACCTCGATGGTCAGATTGCAAGGTGTCATGAAAGAATTGAGGACAAGATCATGCCGAAGTTTTTCAAGGAAAAGCTAAAAGGCCTTCAAGCTTCCAAGGCATATTACGAGTAAGAATTTCCCAATTGGACTCTCATAGAGGCATTTAGTAATCAAATATGTTTTCAGCCGAATGTCCGAGAACGAGCCCGAGGATCTAAGCCCAGAGGTTTATGAAAGGATCGACTCCCTCAGAACAATCCAAAGGCAACTCAAGAAATCGGACAAAACCCACCAATCTCCTAACTTGCAGGCTATTCTGCAAGCATATCTGGATGGAAAGCTGCTGTGGACCCCCGGTCTGATTACCTACTGGTCGAATGGAGTCAAGTTATGCGAGCCCCGGCCATTCAACTGGGATGAATTCGAGGCGATCAACGCCGCACACGGCCGCGACGGATCATTTTGGACTGAAGGGGTATGCCTGATACGAAAATTGACCTATTGATTGTGATCCAAGTGAATTGATAACTGACGGATTCCTTAGCTTTCTGGACCAGGTCCTGAATTCCAAGGCGCAACGCTAGTTATCGGCTCAACCCCCAGAGCACTGGCAATCAACATAGTACGTGACACGATAACTTCCATCGGCAAAACCGATCAACACTAACATCCAACCCCCTTTTTGAATGATAGTACAGAATCGCTGTTCGCGCTCCGAGTAGTGACTGGTGGGATGAACTAGAATTCGTACACGACACGGGAGCGTCGATCATGCATATATACCAACACGACATACGACGAATAATCGGTCCGCATAGACGTCAAGCAGCTTCATTCCTTCCAGTAGTCAGCACCAACCAATTCCGAACTGCAAGCGGAACCATGACCCGAGACATCGTCGAGCTAGAAGTCACGCTCCTTAACCATTCGAGGAAGCGCATCCCTCCCTGGACCCGAGTCCAATGTGTCGTCAATCCGGATACTTACGTAGAAGGAATAACCCGCCGACTGGACGGGCCATTTCTACGAGCCATGATGTACACATCGACCAGGCCTGATGGCAATTTCCATCTGACGGCGTCAACTATCAAGAAGTCGAATCTTCTTAGCGATTTATCCCACACTATCCCATTGGAGGAGAGAAGTGTGCCAATGGCGAACTTTCTTCCCCCGGCTCAAGCAAAGGGGATATTTGCCACACAGCCCCCGTCTGAGCCGGAGAATGTCTATGGTTCGAGGGCTTTTCCCGATGCCCATATCAGCTGGTTTTGGAGTTGAGGTTGATATGCGCTTGTTGATTTCCTACGAATGCTTGATCATTCTTCCAAGGTGGGTCTGTTAAGCCATTGTTTGGACATCTTGGGTGATTGGTTATGCTTGGCTTTCTGTCCTTTCCATGCTCGAGCGAAAGCTCGTCAAATACTATAACAGTCATGATTTGCACGCGATCTTCTTCATTCACATTATTCTCCTGAGATCAATATTCATGCAGTTGTTTTAGTTCTGCTTTTAAAAATGTCGTTCAATACCAGTGGTACATGGCGTGAGTCTGCCAGTGGTGTGGTCTCCAACCCAGTATCCTACCCAGTATCATAAAAAGTTATATACTCAGCACCTCAATACTGTGAGGATAAAGGAAGTTGTGTATGTATGTAGAATAGCCCTAATAAAGCGGTTGCAAGACTCAAATACAGGGAACACAAACACTAGTAATTTTGGGGCGCTGGCGGCCTCGCAAGCCTACTGCTGAGCAGGTTGTCGCTACAGAGCGGCACAATCAGTCAGTTACCAGCCAGCGTACCTTAAAAACTTCTAATGCGCACTGCGTAGTATATTCAATTGGTCCCTTTCATTTCCGTGGCCAGGGTCATTCTGATTTGAGGAAACTATCATTATACGACCACACGCATGTCGGGCAGATCAAAGGAAAGTGACGAATGACCAAAGATATCTGGGTAGTAAGAACTGCAAAGATTCACAGGGCAGTAATGCTAGTCAAAGGTCTAGACTTGGCGATGGCATTTACAAGTCTAGTGTATCGCGTCTACAACTTGAACTACGGTGGAATGTCTTGTGTCCGGGCCTTGGGCCACATCATTTCAAAGAAAAAGGACACAGTAAAATAATAACATGTAAAAATACTATTTTTTTTTTTAACGGAGGTCAAGGCCTTCGCTGCCTCCTTGGCAGCTCTCGTCTCTGCCCGCTTGCGGGCCCGAGCCTCCTTCTGCTTTTGGGCCCTTTTGGCCTTCTTGGCCAGGGCCTTATTTCCCTTAGGGGCCACCTGTGAGGTCTCCTTCTCCTTCTCTTCCTCATTCTTCTTCTCTTCCTCCTTCTTGTTAATGTCCTTGGCCCTCTTGGGGGCCGGTGTCTCGTCCTCCAAAGAGGGGCCAGGATGCTTGCTGGCAGGGCCGGGGGCCGAAAGCTTCTGATATAATGTGTTAACTTGACATTAACCCTAGATAAGAGGCTGCTCTTACCTCCTCGGCAAGGGCCAGGCGCACTCGCTTGGCGAAGCGGCACTGATCAGAATTATGGCCGCATGGGCCGTGGATGCAGCAGAACTACAATCCTTTAGGTCAACAGTGGTCTCCTTGACACGCAATCAAACGAAATGCGATGAGAAACGCCTGCGTGTCCTCGACGAAGGAAAACGATGCAAAACCTCACACCATGGATGAAGAGTCATGACGCGTCATGACTTGGACACAGAAGAAAAGCATATATCTGATGCAGGGGAGCATAAAATAGATTCACTTACGGGCATTGAGATCGAGGTCGAAGTTGATGAGAGAGACAGAGAGAGCTTCTGTGTGTATGTGTGTGTGAATCGTTCCCAGCTAATGAAGATGCAGAGTGTTGAGAGGTGAAAGGTGAAAGGAAGGTAGAACATTAGGTTCCAAGTAGGTTCCAAGTAGGTACCTACCTAGGTAGGTACTCTGGTAGATTCTATACTGGTAGTTCCTGACGGCAAGTGCGATCTATATAAAAAGTGGCTGGTGGCTGGCCCAAGCGTACCTTCCTTGTCCTCAGCAGTACTACTAGTAGTCTAGTACTCCTCTGCGTTAAAAAGCAATTTCATATGATCCTCAAAATTCAATTAAAATCCAGAAGATGCTCGTCGATAAATATGGGCCCGGGGGTTGTGACAGTGGTTCGAGACAAGTAGGAGGTAGTGTAATTTAGGCATTGTAATTAGATTCCATCAGCCTCTCGGTATATTTTCCCGCTACTTTAAGAAAACTGCTTAACCCCGACTGAAATGGGTTGAACCATGTCTGCCGTTTGCCTCTCATATAACGAGCCCATTTGGTCGTTACCTTTGTGGCCTTGTTGGTTTGGCTGCCTAGATTGGATGGCATTCACTCTGGCACCCTGTACCTAGTTCCCACCTGGGCACTTCCTCTTCTTCTTCTCCAACCTGATTACTTTCCTCAAACCGCTACTGCAAATATCTAGTATCTTCCCTATCTTGAGAATTCCCACACCATACCACAAACAAACTGCAAGTTCATTCCATCCACTATTCCAATTGATATCTTACTCTAACTACAAGACTTTCCAGCCTTATCATCGACCATCACGCGTTTCTCATTTCTCTCTGACAACACCGCACTCTACACCCTCTCCTCTTTCCGACGCATTCCCAACAATGAAAAACGCCGAAGACCTCAAAATCGACAACGACAATGCCAAGCTCGTCAAACAAGCTCTCGAATCATTTATCAGAACAGCTCTCGCGGAACTGGAGTTTGACTACGATGATCTGTACTCGCGAAAGCATCACAGAAAAAAGAAGGCCACCGACGAGCAACATGAAAACCTCCTGATCGTCGCCGAGGAAGTCTGGGGTAACCTTAACGCGTCTCTGAAGATTGATCTGAGCTCGAATCGACATTCTTTTCTCGACAGCCCAAAGCAAAATGCCTTGAAACTTGCCATCACGCAGGATCAAACATTGACCCTTGGTTTCGTGACGAATTTTATACCTATCTTCTGGATAAGGTTCGTCGATCAGCGGAAGCAGCAGGAGAAGAGGGATCTACTGAAGAAGAAGCGAGATGAACAAAAGGTGAAGGAGGAAGAGAAGCAGAAGTAAAGATACATCGAGCAGATACAAAGGAAGAAGCCGAAAATTGAGCAGTGAAGCAGTGAGAGGAAAAGACCCGGAACAATGGCAATGATAACTGATTCCATGTTCTTGAAGGGAGAGGTGGAGTTACAGTCGCCCCAAGTCGGAATTTGTGGTTAACTTCTTGTATCCATTGCATCGACATGATAAGATAGCTACACAATATCGTCTTTCTGAAAAGATTTGATTTCCCTTTTCGCTTAGAATAGCTCAGCTATGGTCGGGAAGCTTGCAATCTTGGGTTGAGAAAATAATCGATATTATGAGGCGTAGCCGTACTCAGTAAGGCTTCTACGTACTCCCCGGCTGCTGAAGATGTCCCAGAATCTCTGCAATTCTCAAAACAGCTGGACACACCCGTAAGAAAACGACATACAACAAAATATCATGATCGACGTTTCTCAACTAATCAAATTAAAGAGGAAAATCTCCAGTTACTATGTGCAAGGCATTATCAAACAGAACAATTTAAGAATTAAATAATCTCTTTATTCACATCTCGGCAAGGCAAAATAAGTATATACAGAGAATAATGGAGTGCATGGCATCTTCTTAGAAAGAGACACTGTCGGAGGTACCAAGCACAGTCTCACCCTGACGGGCAACAACATGGATGGGGCTAGTTGGCGGGCTTGTCAAGCTGATCATAGTTTCGAATCCAGTGCGATTAGCAGAGCCGATCTGCTGGCTGTTCGCTGAGTCATTTGAGGCACCAGAGTAGACGACCCAGTTATCGTAGTCAGTCGCACCATTCCAGCTCATAAAAACATCAGCGCCATTGTCGATGGGAGTGACATTGGCCACGGGCGACCAGAATGGAACAGCGCTCCACTGGCATCTATAGCCTCGGTATGAAGCTACTACATTATCGTCGCCAAACTGAGCACTCAGCACCAAGTTCCCGTCGCCATCATATTCCTTGATCTTTGAAATGGAGCCGTAGTCCATGAAGACATGACCACTGGTTTCATTCAGGAGTTGGTAGCTTCCTTGACTCACAGAATGGATGGAGTCGTTGGGGTCAGTTAGGGAGCGAAGGCTGGTCACGGTTTTCTTGGTCAGATCAATAGCCAAGCTCACACCAGTAGTGGGAGACTCGGTATTGGTCGGGGTGTTGGCGTTATTGAAAAGGTTCAGAACCAATCCTTCGTCCGTCTCGTTGAAGACGCGCATGTCGTGTTGCCACGAGAAGCCAGCATCACCGATCTGTTTGAAGTCGCCACCATCTTCCCCGCTCACACGCCAGATCACGGTTCCGTTGTGGTGGAGGTAGTATCCCGACCACATGTGGCGTAAAGAGACGAGATAGCCATCGTTGGTGGTTGTGATGGCGTTGATGTGATAGGCATCGTAGGGAGCATCCTGAGTGCCGACGTCGCCACCGAGCACTTGGTGAGAAGTGGTCAATGGAATATCTGCCTCCTGCTCCAGGGCACTCCATGAATTGAGAATCTCGTTGGTGAAAATGTCAATCTCGTAGAAGTGACTGTCGAGCATCCAATCCGACGAGCTACCATTGATGGAAGTCAAATCGTGCTGGGTAAGGTTGTAGGCGGTAACGAGCAGAGTGTTTTGGGGAGTGATATGACTCTCGTGCAGATCAATATAAGAATCCTTGGTCGAGTTATCGGGAGTGACGAAGGCCCCCTCCAATGTCACGGTATGGATTTCCTTGTAGCTGCTATCGAGAATGTGTACGGTGCCGTAACCATAGCCAATGTCCATCATATCGCCGGCCCAGAAAGTGATAACGGATTCGTTATTCAGCTCTTGGACCATGAAATTGGCTGTAACCTCCTCGGGGCCCTCGTAAACCAGATTTCCTTCATCGTCATAGATGAGCGCAGCCTGGCCAGCAGTCTGCACACCACCACGAGGACCGAGGAAAAGGAATCCAGGCTCAGTGGTGCCGGTTTTGTTCACCACGAGCTTTGGCGGCTGGAAGTCGATCGAACTGTAAGTCGAGTAGTCCCAAGCTGCAGCACCGAGAGATAGCAGCAGCGTGCTGCCGGCAGTGTACCACCAGGGAATCATTTTAGGGTGTGTATACACTAGGTATACTTCGAAACGAATGAATGAGGCTCAAATAAAAGAATGGCGACAGTAAGAACTGCGAAGGCGTACGAATTGGATTTTCCGGGCGCAGTGATTTATTTAAAATAAAAGAGAGAAAAATCGGATCGAAGAATATGGCATTGCCGCTTCGCGTCCCGCAATCTCAAACTTGGCCCTGAAGATCATTGCCATGGCCTGGCGTATGGTGGGCTCTGATCTCGTCATTGGCCATCCATTTTTTATTTTGCCATCAGCCCAATCCACTATGCACCCCGGAAGTCGGGGTACTCGGCAATGAGCCATCTTGGCTCTCGTCATTACGGGCCTATCTATCACTTCATATTTCCAGTGTACGAGATGAGCGGGAATCGCATTGATCATGGTCAGGCGGCGACGTTGCCTCGACCCCTGGAGGGACGGACTAATTTCATGTAGCACATTGAATGGAAAGTTTGCGAGTAACAGCATGGACCAACCAGATTGTACTATTGGATAGATAGCGTAGCCAAGTGAAGGGATCGACTCGCCGATCGTTGTGACTCGATGCTTCTCCTTGAAGCTGAGGTCGCCAATCCCGGCCGGTACTCGCGTGGCTAAACAAGCCTCTTCCGTCGGCTGTCCGCGTTGCCACTCACTGGCCCGAGTGTGGGTGGAGTGTGACAAAGTAATGCGACTGGTGGTTCCAAACGGTGAGTATCCGTGGGAAGACCGGCGGCAAAACGCCCCTGGTGAGGGATCGGCTCCGAGCATGCCTGATATGGCAGGCCTTCAGCCGACTCTGGATGAACCGGGAAGAGCGGAAGAGCTCATTTCCTTTCGTTGGTCGACGGAGATCGTCGCAGATGCGACACCAGCTGCAAGTAGTGCATCCCAGCACGCCCTTCTATTCACTTGAATGACCCTAGAATTGAATAGGCTTTGTCTTGGAAGTTATAGAATATTGGCAAATACTATTTAAGACCATCGATCTAGTCCGACATTTAATAATCCTTTCAGATGTGATAGACTCACCAAGATTCTAGCCCAATCAGATAAAAGCCTCCTTGGCACCATGTACTACATCTACGAGTAGAACTAGTATGAGGACTTACGAATAATGTTGTGCCAGAATCTGATCCATTGAAAAATCCATTTTTTTTTTTAAAAAAAAAAACCAAAAAACAACCAACCATTAAGAATGAAACATGAAAACTCAATTTGCCTCAATTATAAAACACGGCGTTAGACATCTTATCTTTTAACAAGGCAGATTAAATACAGGATAAAGAACAGGAAACTTCAGACTTACTCTCATCATCCCTGCTGCTCGAAAATGTCAGCCTCTCCAAGCATTCCAACCTCGGTATCGAAGGCCACTTCGGTGGTCTCGTCTTCTAGAGTGTGAGTTATAGCTTACACAACCTCACATTATCCAAGACTTACTCTCCACATCCTCGACCTCTGGCTTTTCACCAACATTACTTTCTTTCCCATCCCACTTGGCCGTCTTGCTGGCTTCTTCTGGGGTCTGCATGAGGGTAATGTTGGAGAGCCCGCGCCAGCGGGGCATTTATGAGATCTATCATAATATATTATATTAGATATGCATGATCGAATGAACAACTTCGAAGACTTACCGTTATCCTCCTTCTTCTTTTCGGCCTTTTTGGCCTGAGCGGCGGCCTGAGCGGCGACGCGCTGGGGCTTCTTCTTAGCCCTATAGGCTTTCGCCCGCATGGCCTGCTTCGACAGGGGCCTTTTGGTTCCAGGGTTGTTCTTCTCATTCTTCTCCTCGTTCTTGGAAGGGTGTTACTCGTCCTCTTCAAAGGGAACTAGGTGGTTAGTCAACCTCCAGCTTGACGGCGTGGCTGATAGAATGATGCTCACCAACGCCCATTTTTATTGTCAGTTACGGTATTGGAGTGAATGTAGAATTTCGACTTCTCGATGAGGATACGAATGAGTTTGGAGAAGTGGACGAACAGCGCCTTGCTTCACTCTAAAGGAGTCCTGGCGTGGGACGCACCTTCCATGACTACTAAAGAGCCAGCCTCATTCCATCCACCGTGTCGGAAGATACTAAGGTATTCCTCGAGATCCTTAGGCCCCATCTCGAATGGTGTACTTGAAATTTGCCATGTAAGTGGAGCTTGTGTCCGAGGGCTGGTATCATTTTGGCGATTTGCTCGCTCTGTGTAGCGAAAATAGTACCAGGATGTCACTGCCTCCGTACCTGCCTCTGTGCCTAGCCCGTTCTGGGAGAGGGTTACTTGGGAGTGACCCATCGGAGTGCGAGGCAAATGGCGATTTTAAAATCTCAAGTTATAGCAGCTCTCTCGGGCTTAAGCAGCTAGTCTAGTATTGGTGAATTATAGATATAGTAGAATGGTGAGTATATACTTCGTGCATGTCTGGACGCAAAATTTAGTCTCAAAATTGTGTTTCTTCGCGACCAAGTGTTCAAGTTGCCTTTTCTTCCAAGGTTGTCGATGAAATAATTGAGTCACCTGTATAGTAAAGTCCTGAAAAGCTGGAGGTGACTGTGATATTGAATAATCATAAAAAAGGAAAGAACTATAAACTGACTAGTAATTGTAAAATCTCCGCGGTCATTCCCTGAGAGCAAACTTGAATTGCCGAACGCGTAACCTCTGCACCTGGGCAATATATATACCATATTCCAAGGTTTGGAGTACGCTCACCAATCGGGTTGTAGTGCTAGCTGATTCTTCAGTGGCATCAAAGATTGGAATGGTGTTTTCTTTCATTTCTTTTACATTTCGGTCAAACTATCCCAGTCTATTCAATTTACACAATTTAATACAGCAATATAATCTTTGTTACGGTCACGGTAATTAATCCATAATGCGGCATAATTTACCATTGGGATTGATTGTTAGTACAAACCCAAGAGCTCTATAGGAAGAGCAAGCCCTTCCCATCGGCTTTACTCTAGGTCCTCCTGTAGTTGATGCTGGATGTGAACAAAGCCCTGGAGGTAAACTGATGTGAATTATCTTTAATCAAAATTATGTTTCTAGATGCCTAGGTATATTGAATCCCCATACCCTCTTTCTCTCTCTTCGTATCGCCACTTTCATTCTTATGATTCATTCATTATCTCCTAGTAGGTTATTTCATAGTTTTAGCTAAAACTTCGTCACATCAAGCCGTTGGTAGCATAATACTCTTGAGAGCAGACACTGAACGACATGGAATTTAATGATGGGAAAGTAACACCGGCCGAACATTCATAGCGCATTGTCGGGATGTGGCTTATAAATTCTAGATCAAGTTGTCGGAAAATTCTCAAAACAAGCCACATGCCATTGTGAGACCAGCAGTTACAAACTGGATCAAATTTGCGACTAGGGCGATAATACCCGATTTCACATTCCTCGAGATCTTGGACTTCCCCCCCATCAATCACCTCGCAAGGTTGTATATCCAATCAAAGCTAGTTATTCAGGATCGAAGGTTGTCGCACACTCGAAATTATTGGCATCGTGTTATTGGTGCCTCTTCTCGGATGGCGACATGCGTCCTTTCTTCATTTCTTGGCGGCCCCAGACCAGCCGACGAAGGTGCGCCAAAACGCTATATTCTATGCCCGTGAGGATGTTACATCCCTCACATTGTCGACATCATTTCCCTGAGGTTACGTGCGATAATTTGGCAATTGTGGCTTCCGATGGTACTCGAGCTATAAAACAATCGTAATTCCGGGACCTAAAATCGTTCAAACCGCATTTAAGCTATTCACTACAAACCGAAAAGTTCAGCCATATACGAAAGAAGCAGCAGCATAATGCTTGTCACTTGTTTTTCACTTTTCTCTCTCGCCACACTGGCTCTCTCCCGTCCTGGGACTCCAATTGCAAACAATCGCGATGACCCAATACCCTACGGTGCATTTCCATCATCTACGCCCTCTTCTTCGGTCGTCCCGGCGGTAATTCCAAATATCCCAGACAACAACGCTTCCCCTGTTGGACGAGCAGTCATATACAACTCTTGTCGGTTTCCGATTTATGTGTGGTCAGTGGGATCAACAATTCGGCCCGAAACCACTGTCCTTCCGTCCAAGAATTTTACAGAGACGTATCGTGTCGATCGCCTGACCGGCGGCATAGCTTTGAAAATAACGACAGTGAAGGATGGACTCTTTAATAGTTCACCACAAACCATATTTGCATACAATCTTGACGGGCAGAAGGTGTGGTATGACTTAGCAGATGTCTTTGGAGACCCATTCAAAGGACATCCGGTTTCACTGCTACCTTCAGAGCCAATCGTATTCTGGCCAAGTGGAACTCCACCAGGTGGGAGTGAGGTTAGGGTTAAGCCATCGACCCAAGATTTAAGGTTATATCTATGTTGAATGATGGCATTCTGGTAGTGTTTGTTGTTGTTATTCTAATTATTATGGGATTCACACCCACGAGAGGGAGCGCCGGGCTGTCAAAAACTTTTTGGAACGAAAACTAGTGTTTAATATACGAATTTCCTGCGTTTTTCGAGCATTTTCAGTAGCTTTCACAAATAGTTGGATTAGGCCGCTTACTCTCCGAACTATTTGGTGCTGATGTCATTACCGAGGAACCTCGGCCCCGTCAGCTCGCGTACAGCTGATGCACCAGTTGGTTGCTCAACAATGACGAGAGTTGGTGGAGAAGAGTTAAACCCCAAAGTGGAACTGAAATTGGAGAAATAACAGCTTAAGCGGTATACTGGGCATAATTAATGGAGATAGTAATTGGCTGACCGACTTCGGTGTTCTGTCCGAGTACTTGAATGCCCCCGATTCCCCGCTCCCCGCGAAATTGGAGAAATAGTCCCGCTCTTGGTTCAACCTCTCCTTCTTTACCTCTTCCGCTTCTCTCGTCCACGCATCACACACACACACAAACACACACACACACACCACCCAAAAATGGTCGCTCCAGCAATCAGAGTGGCCCCTTCGGCCGCGAATCGCGCGTTGAATCTGTTGCGCACAGTGCAGTACACTCATCCACCCAACTGCCCTTGTCATTCCAACCCCAATCACCATCATCACCACAAGACCCCTTCAATGATGAACACCGTCCGCCGCCATCTGGCTACTCCCGTGGATCCCTCGCGCGAAAAGGAGTACGCTTTCGAAATGGCCGCTTCTAGCATCCGTTTCGGTCCTGGTTCTACCAAGGAGGTCGGCATGGACTTCAAGAATATGGGCGCCAAGCGCGTGTGCATTGTCACCGATTCCAATGTCACCAAGCTAGATGCGATGAAGCAAGCGGTGGAGGGTCTTACCAAGGAGGGAATTGCATTCACCATCTATGACAAGGTTCGGACTGAGCCTAAGGACAGCTCGTAAGCTCCCACACTTCAACCCATCGGGGGTGGAAAAACACAGCTAACACTGCATGAACCACTCCAGAATCAGAGATGCCATTGCGTTTGCCAAGCCCTACAAACCCGACGCATTTCTCGCAGTTGGTAGGTCAAAACAGAGGGCCAGAATAAAAAGAAGAACCCCTACTAACCCATAACAGGCGGCGGGTCTGTCATTGACACTGCAAAGCTCATGAACCTATATAACGCTTACCCCGAAGCCGACTTTCTTGACTTCGTCAACGCCCCTCTGGGCAAGGGTCTTCCCGTCGACAAGCCTCTGCTCCCTCTGGTCGCCGTGCCCACGACCGCAGGCACAGGCTCCGAAACAACAGGAACCGCAATCTTCGACCTCGTCTCGAAGAAGGCAAAGACAGGAATTGCCCACCGCAACTTGAAGCCCACACTTGGAATTTGCGATCCGCTCAACACCCGCACCATGCCATCCGCCGTTCACGCCGCATCAGGCTTAGATGTGCTCTGCCACTCCCTTGAATCCTGGACCGCTATCCCATATTACGAGCGTACCCCCCGCCCGACAAACCCTATCAACCGACCCGCCTACCAGGGCGCAAATCCCATCTCAGATATCTTCTCCCTCCACGCCCTGCGCAGCACCGTCAAATATCTCCCCCGCGCAGTCCGCGACCCAGATGACCACGAAGCGCAGTCTCAAATGCTTCTTGCCGCTACGCTAGCAGGAATTGGCTTCGGAAACGCAGGTGTGCATCTTTGCCACGGCATGAGTTACCCGATTTCAAGCCAGAACCCTGGATACAAGCATGCCGGATATGAGGTCGATCATCCCATCATTCCGCACGGTGTTTCCGTCGCAGTCACAGCACCCGCTGTGTTCAAGTTCACCGCGGCCTCTAATCCCGATCGTCATCTTGCTGCTGCGGAGGCATTCGGTGTTGATATCTCAAACGTCAAGCGGGAGAGCGCAGGTGAGGTTCTCGGCGCTGCGATCGCTGAATTCTTGGCTTCTTTGGGTGATCAGCCTCGCGGTCTTAAGGATCTGGGCTTCAAGGCTTCGGACTTGGAGGGACTTGTTGAGGGTACCCTTCCGCAGAGACGAGTCCTTATGCTTGCCCCTAACTTGAGTGAGGAGCTTCAGGCTGAAAAGGGAGAGCTAAGACGTCTTTTGGAAGAGTCCTTGGACTACTAAGGTGATTCTTGGAGTGAATCTTTCAGGATGTGATGAGGATTGGATGTTGAAGGTGTTGGAAAGTCAAAATGAGATGCTGTATATATAACGAGAATATTTCCACTCGTGACGAAGAAGGAATTGGATATCACTAGTTTGAAAATGCAGTTGCGCTGTGCAGCAAGATAAAAATCCCAGGACCTGCTTGGGTTTATTCAAAGGGTCATTCCGAGCGACAAAAATGAATCGTGAGGACCTCAATTCATACTCTCAGCGCGATGAGGACTCGGATGTCTCGGCAGAGGTGTCTTCTTCAAGACACGCAACGGAATCAGTCAACAGCTTGACACCCATCATCCCCATCGAGGAAGCAACGCGGTCTAGCCAAATCACGGCGCGTGGATCATTCCTATCAGTGGTTTGAGAAGGGCCTCGACCGAGTTCGGAGTATATACGGAAAGGAAGGGCGAAAGTCCTCGGATTCGTAGCCGGGGGCGATGGAGTGTCCACACTGGCATCGCTCGGTGTTGCTATTAGAGAATCCGGTGAAAGTTCTTCGATAGTGCGACTGCGCTTCTGATCTTCGATGCGGTCATGAAGCTGACCAAGTGTTTCAATAATGCTTTCCGATCCCCGGAGAAGCAAGGAGGGGCCCGTCTCTGGAAAGATTTCAGGCACAGGCCCAACAAAACTCTCCGGTCGTCGCACAATGCCTTGCTGGCGCTGACCATGGGCGCTAATACAAGCACGAAGCTTGATATTGAGATTATGGAGCGTTCGAGACGTGTTTTGGATGCGTTGCTGAAGCGCTTCAACACTATCGTCTTCCCATTCAGTCCGACCAGACAGGATGTCTTGAGATTCACTGATATATCGCGGACATTTGACAATCTCCATAAAGACCTCGTCCGAGGTCACTGCATAGGCAGACCACTCACCGGGCTTCTGTGCATCCTCGGCCATAATTCTCCGGGCATAGTTCTGCCACTCCCCCTGATCCAGAAAGCAGGGTGTGCCTTGATAGACAGCCGTTGCGACATGAAAGCCCCGAAATGCGATGTAACATGACCGTCCAAATCCAGATTTATGAAGTGCAGGTCCACGGCTCATCATCAGTCGCTTGACAGCGTCTGAATGGATCACCCATGCACCGGGGCTGGTTTGCGCGTACATCTCGAACACGCTCAGCATCATGGCCGTACAAACCATATTGTCGGACATAGCACGGTCGGGATTATTCAGCGCGCGAACAACTGCCTGTAAAGAAAGACCATACATGCGCCGACTTGTTCTAAGAAGAACTGGGTCTTGGGTGAGATGGGCGAGATACACAGAGCTCAAGCAGCAGATAGCGGAATCCATGAAGGCATCCTGGCCGAAATTCAGCACGATGAATTCAGCGAACCCTGGCTCATTGCCAGCACGAAAGTGATTGTGAAAATAAAGTGTAGGAAATGAGGCGCTGATAAAATCCAAAAATAATTGTGGTTGCGCTGCTTGGAATGTTTTGCGCACCAGAGACGGCGAGACACTTTCATCGAGTGAGACGGAGGCGGAATGTCGGCGCATCAGAGCTATGGCATTATCGCGCACAATTGCAGCGACGCCAGCGTCGTAGTCGACGACAGAGCCGAAGCTGTCGACAGAATCAAGAGGCTCTCGCTGTGAGGACGATGTTGAAGCCGAAGCCACTGTGCTTGGCGTGGTGGGCCCCGTTGAAGCCCCGCGGCCGCGCCGTCGTGGATCTCGATGGCGTCGAGCCAAACTGGGGCCCTCATCTTGAAAGCGAAATGTGCGACGATATCCCGGACAGGTACGGCCGTATCGCTGGCATTGAGTGCACTCGGGGACTGCTTCGTCACACTGGATTGCCCCTCAATCCGTCAGCAATCGAGTTCCAATGAGTAGCAGCCATGGATGTGCAGAACTCGCCTTGATGTGTCTGTCGCGACAGAGAGAACAACCAGTACTGTGCGGTACCCCCACCATGGTTGACAACGGCAGAATCAGTCCCAACTCATGACTGAAGTAGGCGCTGTGACCCGACAGGGGTGCGACTCTGTGCGTTTGTTGGCCCTTTTGAACAGATCACTAGAAGCTATTGCAGAGTGCAACCGAGGGTTAGAGGTTTGGGGGCGGAGGGGCGGGATAGAGCTAAAGGAGGAATAAGAACTTGAAGCTGAAGATGACAAGATGACAAGAGGCTGAATTACGAGCCGGAGAACAGCCGACAGGGCGTAGTGGGGATGATGCCTCCCTTGGCGGGCCAGCCGTTGCACGTTGTTGGGAACTCGAATACGGAGATCGTATTAGACCGTGGATCTGGGGGCGATCTTCTATTTAAAACTTCCCGACACGAGGTATACTTTTAGTAAACGGAGATATTATATGGGGAACCCTCCGTGAGATGAGACAAATATAGAACAAGATGCGTTATGGCCGTCCAACATTGAATATTTCCTAGTTGACCAGGTGCATGCCACTGTACTAGTACGGAGTAGTCCGTAGTACACTTGTACATAATCGAAACTGCCATGCATCCTGCAATCTGACGCTGTATGTATCAGGCTGACGCTCGGACCTATGATATAGGGGTATCTTAACCGGTTTCTGGGATCGACATCCTGTTGACAAAACTTAATTTCTTTGCTCTTGTCAGAGAGAGCAATATGTTAAACTTGAATGCTACTAGGAGTAGTATAGATTGGTAGAATTAATACCAAAAATAATCAATCTTGTATCGCATTTGCCGGAACCAAAGAATCGCTTGAAAAGCCGAGGCGGCAATTGTATAACATATAGTATCTAGCCATAACCTCTATCCGGGGTATCGGCTATCCTAGATTCCTATCTAGATCCTTCGGTCTCTTCGACTGTACTATGTGAATGGATGGAAACTCTTTTTTTCGAACTGGCGGACGGTGTCGCTTTGGAAAAGAACGAAGTGAGATGGTTCACAACCGACCCTTGCACCCCCCATGGTGATATCGAGAATCGAAAGTAGGTCGGCCGAGTTGTTTTTTGCAGGTTTAGATGGACTGCTCAATAAATATGGTTGATGTACCGGATTTCCCGGCTCGAGAATGCAACACTTGTGCTAGACAAGAGAGTCGACTTTATCGGATATATAACGACCGGGAACTCTCCTGTTCTCGAGAGAGCCCTCAATATTCTCGATTGAACATGTACTTCGCTGCCCAGGTGGTTCATAGTCGAGAGGCCTATTTGTGGAAATACATAAAGGTTTTGAGTAAAGTAAATAACTTGAACTTTGCACTCAACACATCAGGTGGAGTTGTTTTTCATTATCTGTTGTACCAAATAGCAGCGCATAGATGACGTCTAAAATTCTCGAACACTTTGGACAAATCAGGTCTTGCATCCCTTAGGACTGCTCTATCCACTTCTGCAGGACAGCAGCAACTTGCAAACTATTCTTCTCCATGAAGACCATATGTCCATTTCCATGAATGCCGACATCCGCCAGTTGGAGATGCTCCACTGGGACACCAGCCTGCTTCAGGAACTTCACCGTGCACCAGTCATATGGCGCGTGGTAAGACGATTCGGTCGTCATAACAAGGACTGGCGTCTGAGCGAGATTAACTAGTTGCCTGGGTGCGGGAGAATCGGCCTGGATGATGCAATCGCTGTACTCTGAGGAGTTGGAAGGAATGACGTGCTTCACGAGGTCGGAGGCATCCTTCAAGGCGGGCGAGTAGGTCATCGGGATATCAGTAAGCCCGTACGGACGACTGGAGGTATTGCTAAAGACGGCTTCCTGGAATGGAGGACCGGTGGGTTCGAGCGAGACGATCGAGTGGACGAGCTTCGGGCGCACATCCGCGATAAGCCAGGGCATGCATCCACCCTGGGAGTGGGAGAGAATGATAACCGGGGATCCGATGATGTCGAGTAGAGCAGCACTGGCAGCTTGCACAGTTGACTGCTGGTAGGTTGATGAGCTGAGAAACTCGACAGTTGAGGCATAGTAAGCGTCGAAAATGGGGTCACCCATGACACCCGTTCCATTCCATTGGGTATGCAGGGAGGCCTGCGGCCAAAGCATGTACTTCTCGGGCGCAGTGAAACGCTGCTGCAACACCTCGGCGCTGTAGGTGCTCAGAGTTCCATTGCCAGGGATCCAAGGACTCCGGCCGCGGAAAGTTTGATCGATGAGATAGCATTCATATCCTTGAGAGAGAAAGTAAGACGCCCAACCTTCTCCTCCATCAGGCTTGTTGAGCCAGTTCACGGCCGTCTGTGCCTGTCCATGAATGAACAGAATTGGATGAGGCTTGGTAATCTTCTCCGGGGTTAGTTTCTCGACATACATCTGATCCGCGAAGACATGCCCCCCTGAACTATCCAATCTGTATTGTCCGCCAACATACATGTAAGATCGCTGGGCCGGCACCTCACCACTCCAGCTTGAAGCTGTAGCAGCAATTGCCCCAACAATCAACAAGATCCCTGTCTTCAACATGTTTTTGAGAGTATTGGAGATGGGAAATGCAAAATAAAGCTTATCAGGGGCTCGATATATGCTAAGCCAAGACCTAGCCAAGCTTGCTGGATTGTTTTGCCGAATTTATCCCGCGAGCTTGAATGACAGTTTCGCCCCCACAATGGCTCCCCACTGGGCAGGTTGTACGAGGCTACCATGGTAAGACTGAATATATTCGAAGGGAAAGCAATTCCAGACGAACAGATGGCCGGAATTGTGAATAGCTTAACATCAACCCTGAAGACTCGGACTCTCGATGATTGCCAGTGGCTCGGCAGGGGCATAAAAAATAATTTTCTATTGTGGCCTCCTTATGAAATAAACATTGTGATAAATTTTATTAGGCAACAGAGACCCGCTATATAAATCGATTAGGAAATACAAGGGACTGATCATTGTTTTCATTTGCCAGGTTTTAAATCTTATTAACAGTTCGTAGCAGATTAATGAGGAAATCTGGCTCCGAGCTATTTTGACCCACTGCATCTTACGGTTTTTCCCGTGTCAAACCCTAATGATCGAGAAGATATGGGCCACAGGCTTTGCCAAGTGAACCTTGAATATCGACGGCGCCTTTCCTCTACAGCCTTGGTAGATGAGATGGGTCCTCACTACGTAGATGATTCTATTTAGGTTTTTCCTCCGGCGTTATGAGATACGAGTATCCGTACAGAAGATGGCTATTAGAAAATTCTCCTCGGTCATCTTTTGATATACTTGTCCCCATCTCAGTTTTGTTTCTGTCACCTTTCTGCGTTTCTTTGGGACCCTTAGAGGCCGCCCTCCGGAGATGGATTCAACTCTGATTATACATTGGGTATTTACCTGGCTGGCAGCCGGCTTGATCGTCTTGCGGCTTCTTATGCGGAAGCTGAAAGGATTGCCGTTTGTCCTGGGCGATTATCTTTCAATGGGAGCGATCCTATGTGTGCTCGCGCGCCTCGCCTTGGTCCATGTTATTCTTATATGGGGGACCAACAATATGACTGCCACTTTTCGACAAACACACCACTTCACTCTCGAGGAGATTCGTCGCAGAGAGATCGCGAGCAAATTTGTGCTCGTGAATCGCGTCTTCTACAATTCATAGTAAGTTCCGAGTTGAATGCGATTGACGTTTTTGTGGTGATGTTTCTCATTTCTCTTTCAGTCTGTGGCTTCAAAAATTTGTTCTTTTAGATACGTACAGAAGATTGCTTACCCAGCTTAGTTGGGAGAAGATCACGATGATCTCTTACGTTGGGATATTCGCAGCGACATATGTCACGGTCCAGATCGTGACCTTTACTGAGTGCGATCCTTTCTCTAACTACTGGCTCGTATTCCCTGGGGACCCAGGATCATGTTGCCAAGCGCAGCTCCAGTTGATCGTCCTCGGTATGTCCCCATTGGGAAAATCGCGTCAATCTATGTGCTAATTGTCTTAGGCGTGTTAAGCATCATCACCGATCTCATGCTTATAGCCTTGCCAATTCCGATATTAGTTATGGTCAAGCGATCCACCATCGAGTAAGCGTCACTCAACTTATATCAATATACCTAGGTATGCATCTCGCTAACGTCTTATCTATCTCAGAAAACTCCAATTAGCTGTTCTTTTCGGAGTCGGCCTATTCATCGTTGCAATCACGATCGCCAGACTACCCCAAAACGCCAAAAACCCCACCGCACAAGTTAGCAGAACAACTTGGGCGTCGATCGAGTTACTCGCCGCAGCTGTCGTTGCCAATGCCCCCGTCCTATACGGGCTACTGAAAGGACATAGACAGCGGTCTAAATACGCGGCGTCAGGAGCTGGATCAGCTGGACCGTCGTGGCAGGGACTACAACAAAGATCGGCAACAAAGGAGCCGGAATTTGAACTTCAAGGGACCACTCATAGTAAGAGAGGGTCTTCTCTTGGTTCAAAGCTATCATCTAGGAATTATGTAGATATCGATGGTCAGAGCAGTCAGTCATTGACACGAAGCCTCGAGAAGTAGGACATTAAATTAAGAATTAATACTAATAAGAGATAGACGATTCTCACCGCGCATGATGAAAAGCTAGCTATCTTAGCGATAAATGAAGTGTTTGAAGAGGCCAATTTCACGAGGTAAGGTCATAAAGTTTGCCTGCTCTATCTAGAATGTGCTCTCATTCATCAAATGGGCCATGATATCCTACAAGGATGTTGAGTTCTAGTTCTTGGAATTTATCCCATATCAAGGAGAGGTCATATCACTAAGGACTCTCGTCAATCTTTCATTCATTATTTGTCCTTTCTTCCAATTGTCCTTTCTTCCAAGTTCATGTTTTTGAAACATACCAGAGAGAGAAAATATCCTGTTGATCAACCAAAAGGATGCCAAATCCATGCTTCTCAGTCACTGTCAACTCAGTGCATCTCTAGAGTTGTTTAGCAACACTCCTTAGTATCCAACTGGCAGAAGCACGATGCCTTGATTGGAATGTCGGCTACTGCAAGAGCTAACTTGGTTGAATGCTCGATCATAGTAGCATCTTCCGTCTTGCCCAAGCGAAGAAGACACTCGTGATATCCTTGAAGCGACCAAACATTGTTGGGGTGGCGACGAGGTCGAATAACAGATTTGTCAAAACCCAGATCCGCGCGATATGTTTTTGCTGCTTCTTCGAGGTGACCTTGCTCCATCAGCAGGGCGGCATAGGCGTGGCGAACAGGCTGCATCCATGACCAAGGCTCACTGTATGGCAGCTTATCTTCAATGTCGATCGCGCGGCGAAGGGATTCAAAAGCCTTGTCGAAGTTTTGACAGCGGTATTCAATTTCGCCTTCCAACATTGCAGCAGCGACCTTGAGTACATCAACAATTTTGCCATTGTAGGCGCGACGGCTTTCTGGGACTAGAGCCCAAGTCTTTAAAAAGAGTTCCTGCTCTTTTCGCGCCGAGGGGAGATCGCCGGTGGCTGCGTATGCAATACCCTTAGCATAATGAGCGGTAGCAGTTGTACCCGCATAGAGTTGCTGATCATGGGGCAGATCCTTCTGCTTTAGCTCCTCCCACATGCCGAATCGTACCATGACATGCAAACGAATGCCCACGAACTGCTCCAACCAATCGATCATAGGGGGTGATTTAATGCGAAGTACTTCCTCGGGCAACGTTGATTCCATGCGAGTGACTGCATCAAGGGCGGCCTTGGATTTACCTGCAAACATGGCGGCATAAATCAGAGAGTGATAGTCGTGCATTCGATAAAAGGTATAGAAGTTCTTGCCACCAGACTTGTGGAAATATTTGTCATCTGCCACAGTCGATTTATAGTTTGAATCCAGAGATCTGCGCCAGTCGCCGACCAGTATATCGAGATGGGTAGGCATATGTTGAACGTGACCAGCATCCGGGATGAGTCCCCTCAACGCATCGGCAGGGTTGATACCCAGCTCTGGTGTTGGAGACATTTCGATGAAATGAATATAAAGGTGAAGTAATCCAGGGTTGCGGTATGCGCCATCTTCCTCTCGCGCCAATGCACGCTCTAAGACAGCTTGTGCTTCAAGTGTGCGGGCTTTCGGATTCGGCAGTCCAGTAAACAGATCCCAAAGGGCCCAGGGCGTCATGTTCATCAGCGCATCGGCATATAATGTGGCAACATTGAGATCATGGCCATGCTGGTCGTAGACTAGCTTCATAGCATCCGCGTAACCTTTGTTGAGAGCTGGGTAATCACTTGCAGGCTTGTCGGTCAAAAAGCGGTACTGAATGGCCTCGATAAGAGCTTGTTCGAGCGGTGTTGCGTTTGCCGAATGCTCTTTGGCCTTTCGCGATGCATCATATCCCCTTTGAACGGATCTGTATAGATCGACATGGTCAAAAGATTCAAACGGTCGATTATAATTTGGACCAACAGCATATGCCAACCCCCAATATGCCATAGAGCAATTTTCCTGGTAGTCGGAGGAATGTTAGCGCTAGTTGCGGGGGATGAAGATCATTTGGAAGTGGGAACTCACATCATGAGCAATGGCTTGTTGGAAACAAAAAGCACCTTCGGCATGATTGAATGAATACACCCAGGTCAATCCTCTATTGAACCAAGTCTGGGCATCGGAGCTGGCCGTGGTGACTGCGTGGCCAAATTCGCCCAGGTCATAGTAGTCGGCGCTAGCCGGGATTGGGGACATCTTTTCTTCGGTCATGACAGCGATGAGCTAGTAGGAAACCAAGAATCGATGGGTTCTGAAAAGGTCACAAGGCCTTTGAGGATGGGAAGTACTAGTTATTTAATGTTGTGCATGGTCGTGGTGGAGCATGGGCCACCTGGCATCGGAAGTGGAGTGGATGGCGCCACTTGACTCATCAACTTGAATCAAAGCCCGATTTAACCAAACAATCCCCGGTCGCCGTATTTTGGGACCAGCCAACCTATTTGCCATTGGAAAATATCTAGCGACTATCCGCAATTTCGATGTAAGGGGTCTGTTGAACACTGAATGTTGGACCTACAGTCTATAAGAACTTGTAGTGAGCACCATTCAATGTTTTTCTCGGTAAAGAAGGGCTGGATTTCGGTTTGCAAATTTATGTAAGTAGGCATTTTGGATATTATTATGAGACAACCCGCTTTCATGTCGCTATATGCCTGTTGGGGGCACAGTCTTGACTGTATCGTGGAATAGAATTCGTTCATTGTCTGCCTTGCCCACATCTCCAGTAGCAGCCCACGCAACTACTGTACATTGCCGTCATTGGTCATAATTGCCGTCGCGTAGTAGAGATTCTGGTATCTAGGCAATAAAAAATCCTTGGTTTCAAATATATCAAATCAAATATGAACGTGAAGTGGAGCCACTGTATAGAACTTGAATTCTATTTGATCCACACTGTGGGTGGGGTATAACCAACTCTTGAACCTCCAAGGCTCTCTCGAATATGATGATATTTTCTAAGTCAAATATAACTAGAAAACAGAAAGGCCGAGCGCTGAGCGATATCATGAATCATGATATTAAGGAGTCACGACTTGGCGTCAAGTCGATGTGGGATTTCATCACTCCAACATAATTACTGGGGGGAGTATCGGATATGGTATGAAAGGTTGAAACCATCTATATTGTGATCTTCAAGTAGGAATGTAATAGTAGATATTGGGCCACTGGGTAGCCCTGGGAACTATACACTATACTATACCATGCCTACTAGTTAGTTAGTAGGTACTACAACCAATCTGTTTAGGGACTAGCGCAGATCTACGAACTACAGCAACATTCAACTTAACCGCTGGAGACCGTTGACAGTTCGTATACTAGTAATATACAAGCTTGTCAGCCATTAATCTCCTTCTCTCGCTCCGTGGCTCTTCGGGATCAAACCATTGGAACCACCGACATCGCGCCGAGTCACCAATCATTGGCGTCATGGCCCAGCTACCCCGCGCGCTGCTCACTCGGGAGGCAATGTGATGTGACACGACGCAGCTGGCGATGATTGGGTAATTGCAGCGAGAATCGCCAGGCTGTCGAGTTTCAATGGGTTAATCTGTCAATCTGTCAATCTGCGATGTCGCTCCGCGTCTGGCGCCCAAATTCACGGGAAAGAACGCTGAACAACACAAGTTGGGAGAAAGCACGACGAGACCACCAAGGTCACTGACGCGCACTCACTCACTCCTCGTATAAAATTCTCAATTCTCCTCTTCGCCTCTCTTCACCTCTCTTCACTTCAATTCATTCATCCATCTACCGCCATCTTCAGTCCCCAGCATGCCCCTTTTCAAAAAAGCCCCTTCCAAGGTCCTCGTACCTGAGAAGTTGTCCCCAGATGGCCTAGCCCTCTTGCGGAGCTCCCTGGACGTGGATGAGCGGAAGGGCCTTAGCCCTGACGAGCTGTTGGAAATCATTCCAAACTATGAAGCTCTACTTGTTCGCTCTGAAACGAAAGTTACAGCAACCGTCCTCCGGGCAGCTCGAAACCTGAAGGTTGTGGCACGAGCTGGAGTGGGAGTCGACAATGTTGGTATGTACACAAGAGTACCACTCATGTGCTGTTGCATTTCTAACCTTCGATTATAGATGTCGAGGAAGCCACCAAGCTCGGTATCGTTGTTTGTAACTCACCATCCGGCAATATCGGGGCCGCGGCAGAACACACGATTGCTCTCCTGATGTCTATGGCTAGGAAAATACCAGAGGGGTGTGCCAGTCTCAAGGATGGTAAATGGGAACGAAGCAAATTCGTCGGGGTGGAAGTCAAGGGCAAAGTTCTAGGAATTGTGGGTCTGGGGAAAGGTATGGCATGGCCTGGCATCTCCCTTCCGGAGATACGTCAAATAACATTATCTGATTACTGTTCGATCTAATTTAGTCGGTCTTACCGTTGCTCGCCTTGCCAAGGGTCTCGGAATGAACGTCCATGCATTGGACCCCTATGCCTCTCCAGCCGTGGCAGCCTCGGCCTCAGTCACCCTCGTCTCGTCACTATCAGAACTTCTTCCGACCGTCGACTTTCTCACTATTCACACGCCTTTGATTGCTTCCACTCGTGGTATGATCAGCGATGCCGAGCTTGCTCTGATGAAGCCGGGCTCCCGGATTCTCAATGTGGCACGGGGAGGCACAATTGACGAGACTGCGCTTCTTGCCGCTCTGGAATCTGGCCATTTGGGAGGAGCGGCGATTGATGTGTTCACTTCAGAGCCCCCGGTGCCCGATTCGACTGCTGCCAAATTGATTGCGCATCCACGGGCTGTTGTGACACCACATCTTGGAGCCTCAACGGTTGAAGCTCAGGAGAATGTGTCAGTGGATGTCTGTCAGCAAGTTCTCGAGATCCTCGCCGGCTCGCTACCTCGAAGTGCCGTAAACGCACCCATCATTTTGCCAGAAGAATACAAGAAGCTGCAGCCGTTTGTACGCTTGGTCGAAAAATTGGGCAGTCTTTATACACAGCACTACGCTGGCTCGCCGGGAGGATCGATGACCTTGAACACTTTCGACCTCATCTACAAGGGCGAGGTGGCCGGTATCAACAATACGGCTCCTCTATTTGCTGCCCTCATCAAAGGTCTCCTGTCCCCGATTAGTAGCACGGAGGGCATTAACATCAACATCGTCAATGCTGAACTTGTTGCTCGTGAACGCGGAATATTTGTCTCGGAACAACGCTCTCGCGACCCAGCTGACGAATCTTCCTATTCCTCACTGGTCACGCTTGTAGCTCGACCACCATCCCGTGCTTCTTCCCGGGCTCCGACAGGAGATGTTGTCGGAGGTGCATCTCACGCCCAACATCAGCGCATCATATCTGGCACCTGCTCCGGTGACCAGCCATTGATCACACGCTTGGGCCGATTCGAAGCCTCCTTTGAGCCCAACGGAACTCTTCTAATTTGTGAGAACTATGACTCACCCGGAAAAATTGGCGTGGTCGGCAGCATTCTCGGTCGTGAAGGCGTGAATATCAACTTCATGACAGTCGCCCCGGTTTCTTCCAAGCTTATTGCCGGGGGTGAAATCACGGACATCAAAGCAACGAAGGATGGTTCCACTGAAGAAGATAACCCAACATCGAAAGAAGCCTTGATGATTCTCGGCATTGATCGAAGCGTTTCGCCCAAGGTCACGACCGATCTGGTCAAGGAAGGTGGCGTGCTCAGCGCTTGTGCCGTGACACTCTAGATGGCGCTTTCTTCCGACAAAGACTGTCAGATTTCCCTGACTAGGAGCTGATTAGTACGACCCTTTCCCCTCTATTACTCAACGCTCTCCGCGGATATTCTTCATACCTGAACTTCAACACAGCAGGAGTAACGTGGAACTTTTACGGTAACCATTATATCCACGGACTGCAACTTCAAATCAATTATCCTGCGCTGCGCTCTTATGCATAGAAACCTCAATAATAAAAAAAGCCATCATTCAAAAAAAGTATCAAGTTTATTTCATAAATAAACTACTTGTTGAGTCTGGTAAACCCATACATTTTGAAATCGTCGCCATTCTACTCGAATAACTTGAAGAGGTAAAACTATGTTGATTTGACTTCCTAACACTCTACAAACTTCACGGTAGCACCCCAAAGCCCGCTGTTCATAGATTATATAAGACAAACTAACAACAAGGTAGAAAATGGTGGTGGGTGAAAATAAACAAGAGGGGAAGGGGTGTAAGCCAAGGTAAAGCAAAGACTCAAACCGCCGGACACCATGCAATAGCCAATGTGCAGATCATACTACCACTAATGCAAGATGGGAACAAAACGGGAAATGGGGAAAGGGGAGGGACATAATCATCGAAAAGACATTCTCTTTCCATTTATTATCGAATAGGACTATTTACTCCCAAACATTGGAGAAAAGGTCGTCCGATCCACCACCAAACCCGCCAGCCGGCTTGGTTGAGCTATTGTTGGTTGCTGTCGTAGCAGGCGTGATGGGAGAAGCGCTGGTCCAGCCGCCGAAGTCTTCGTCCGCGGCCACAGTAGGGGTAGGCTTGGGGGCCGGAGCTCCCCAGCCACTGCCGACGTCGTTTGCAGTCAGGGTGTCGGGGACCTTCATCATGGACGCACCAGACGGGGCGGCCGGGGCGGGTGCGGGTGCTTGAGCTGGCTCGGGGTTGCCCCATGCATTACCACCCCAGGGGTCCATCATACCGGCAGCAGCGGCAGTTGCGGCGGGAACCGCGGGCTTCTGGGTCTGTTGGGGAGGAGATCGAACTGGCGGACTAGAGATATTGAATGCGGAGCTCATTTCCTGCTGGGGAGATGACACAGTAGGCTTGGGTGGTGCTGCGGGTGCGAGAGGTGGAGAAGAGAGACCCCAGAGATCATTGGAGAGTGATGAAGATGGCGGGTTGGGCTTGGGCTGGGGAGGTGGCGAAGAAAATCCTCCGAATCCGAAGTCTTGGGAGTTTGAGGAAATGGAAGTATTTCGCGACTGGGGCTTTGTTGCAGACATGGTTGGGGAGGTCAAGCTCGCGAAAAGGTCACCACTAGCGGATCCAGCAGGAGAGGTAACCTTGGGAGCAGCAGGCGTCGACTTGGCGCTGCCAAAGTTTGTGAGGTTTGCAAATGGAGATGGCTTCTCGGCGGGCTTGGCTGGAGGGGGAGAAGTTGTAGACGGGAAGCTGAGTCCACTGAAAGCGTCGGTCAAACCCCCCCATGTTCGAGGATGAGGGGGCCTGCGGAGATGCCATATCGCCAAATGAGTTGTTCCGCTCATGTTGGACCGGTGCAGGCTGCGGCTTCGAATATAGAGACAGGATCGATTGCTTCAAATCAGGACGAGACATACCGCTCGGCGCAGCGGGAGTGGATGAGGTGCTACTCGGTCGGCTTCCGGCAGGCGGTTGAGAGTTGCCAAAGAAGTCTAGACCAAGCAATGAATCGCCCGTCTTCTGGGTCTTGGGCTGTGTAGGCTGAGCTTGTCGCGGGGGAGGGGGCGCACGATTAGACGGCTCGGTCGTGCTGGGTCTAGGCGGGGCAGACATCATATCATCATCGGCAAAGAGATCAATGGGGGCTTGTCGGCGCGTAGGTTGGGGAGGAGGTGCAACTCGCTGGGAGGCGGAGCGCTCAATCTTCGCTTTTTCCTGGACAAGCGCAAGAGGCTGGTAGGGTCAGTGCTTGTTCGAAACATTGTTCGGCGCATGATCTCGGAGGCTCACCACATCGTCGTCCCCTTCACTCAGGGTGGAAGGATCAGGTATCCCACCCTCCATAACCCATCGCTTAGCCTCGTACTTTGTCCTAATGAAGTTCTCGATTTTCCTGAAAGTGTTCAGATCAGCAACTTATCCCCGCAGCTAGTGGCAATGCAATCAATCACTCACGCATCCGACGGAACATGGCCAGGTGCCAGCTTCGCTTCCCAGTACCTATACAGCATGAGTAAAGAACATATGTTGTCAATTCCTTGTCACTGACTTGTTGGCCCTTCCATTGCCCCATTTCAGCACACTTTGGACTTGCTCATCGGTCCAGGCATCCAAATCGACCGACTTGACCCGACTAATGTGTGTACCCATTCCTCGATGAATACCGGAGCAGCGAATGCAGACGAAGATTCCCAGATTCCAAGAGGCCCATCGTGGATCTATATTGAGCAAGTTTCAATGTTAGTTGGCACGTTCCCAAAACGAAATGACCTATCGCATGGCCGGCCGCTCGGAGACGAGGGGGGGAATACTAACGCTTGTTGCGCTTGCAGTCAGCGCACACCTTATTGGGCTCAAGTTTCAGCAGACTTTTGATGGTCTGCTGATTCTGGGCAGCTTGGCCCGGGGTAGCGCGTCGAGACATAATCTGTTGGCGACTCGAAGTGATGGTGAGAAAGGAGAAACAATGGCAACCCGCAATGCGCAGGTGGCGGTCGGTGCTGCGGCCTTAGGCTGTGGTCGGGGGTCGGTAGGGTCGGGCGGAATGCGCCAGATGCGCAGTTTGATGTATATTGCCAGTGCCACTGTTGGAGGTCATGGATCTGCGGTTTTTTTTGAAGCTAGATAAGTCGGACTCAATTCAGTACGAGTATATCGTGCGTGGACATACTAGATAAATACTCTAGTAATGTCCCCAAGTTCATTTTCCAGGTGTCGGGGTGTTCACTTATATATTTTCGCCACAAAACTACTATTGTAGTAGTGCGAGTACTACTAAGACCTACCACCTACTATTGAGAAGACGAGAATCCGATATCCTCCAGGGCTTCAAGTTGTAATGAAACTTCAAGTTGAACATGGGAAAATTATTTCGTTTCCACTTCACCTATCTTTTAAAGTTCACAGATTGACGGCTATCAATCCACCACACGGCACTATACACCCCCGAGGTACTCAAAACATGCTTCTCCGCCCAGTCCAATCAAGTCCCTAGAACACCGTGACCTTAAATACGTTTAGATGGCTTTATATCCAATTACGCCTTGGCCTTGGCCTTAGGATCAGCGTCCTCCGAAAAGCGCAAACTGATACTGTTAACACAGTGTCGCTCATCGGTCGGCGTCGGGAATCCCTCTCCCTCGAAAACGTGTCCAAGGTGACCACCGCAGTTGTTACAAACAATCTCAGTCCGCTTCATGCCAAAGGTGTTATCGACATGTCTTTTAACGGCACCGGGAATCGAATCGAAGTATGCAGGCCAGCCACAGCCAGACTTGAACTTGTGATCGGCTGTGTACAGAGGCGCGTCGCAGCCGGCGCAGTTATAAACGCCTTTGGAGGGATAGTGTTTGTCATATTCACCGGTACCAGCGGGCTCGGTGCCCTTCTCACGGAGAATCCGAAACTGTTCTGTGCGTAGACTGGCGGTTAACGACGTGTTCATCGTCGGCGTTACAGAGCACCAAGTTACTTACCGGGATTCAGAACCGTTCTCCATTGCTCATCAGTACGTTTGTCAGAGTACGACATGTTCTCGGTTGTATCGTTGGAATTGCTGCTTGAGCCGAATAGCGCACCGAAGAATGGCAAGGTTGGCGCAGCGCGTAGTGTTTTGGCACTCGTTGGACCGGGTGTCTTGCGTGTGAATATAGAGTATTGCCGAGCAGGAACTGCAGGCTTAGCGATGGTGAGTTGCCTGATGGGTGCTTGCAAGCCTCGGATTGTTTGATGTCGCATAGAGAAGGGCGTCAGCAGATTATGCAGTTATTGTCGTTGAGGGGCGCGATGGAGCCCGCTAAGACAGAGGTGGTTACGTCATCATGCGGGGAGTTCGATTCGGGCTTTATACAGTTTGTTTAGACCTCCTGTCAGTCATACCTTAGCAGAGAATGGATGCCAACTTGAAGTGCATAGAATATATGAGGTAATGAAACGCCAGTAATGCATTTGTTTATGGGTATCCTCTAGCAAAAGCAAATCGTGCATATATGTCAAACTCTCCCGATGTAGATGGTACCAACTGATGCCAACAAAGCCATAAGATGTCAGGTCTTCGCATGGAAATGATTTGCAGATGTTCAGATCAAAGATCATCACTCCAGTCCTGGCGCTAGCGTCGAGTAGCACCGAGAACTATCAAAGACCCCGGCGTGATACTTATACGCCATCCTTCGCTGATTAGCATTTTTCCAACAGCCGGGCCCAGTCTAGAAGTGCCATCCCGACTATGGCGGCCAATGCCGGTGATAATTTTATAGCCACCATGAACATCAATACCGCCCCCTCGAATATACCTGGCATCTCCAAGAGATTCCCACCAGGAAGCGACGCGCTCGCGAACGATGCGTTTTGCATTTTCAACAGTGACACCATGTAAGTCCAGGTCACACTTCGACGATTGTCTATCGACGAGCCGATCTGATGCTGCCGCAAGTTGATTCATTGCACGCTCCCGATGCTCCTGTCCAACTTGGCGATAGTATGCCGATACTCCACCGTATAAGTGGTTGGATCTTGAACGACGCGCAGCTTGTGCAGCTTGCATGTGTGCCGCTGAACTTGCAGCAAAATTAGCACTTGCAGTGGCTTGCATATCCTCGTAGTCGATGCTGTTATGAGAAGACCCCTTGGGATGATAGGAAGCTCCAGAGAGATCATTCTCCTCGTCATCATTAAGATTAAGTGGTGTAGGTGTGAACTTGATAAGTTCGCTGATCTCAGCCTGAGAAGGCTGCCGAAGCAACACGGCCGCCAGTTCATTTGCCGGCGTTACCATGTTGCTCGTAACCCGAAGCAAACCGATGAGTGTGGTCTTCGAGATGGTTGGATAGACAGCGGCAAGCTCAGCAACATGTTCCATTATGGCAGGGTCCTTGTCAACATCGGAATTATAAGGTTGGTCATCAAGAGCCAAAGCCTTGATCGTCGCACGAAGGTCCATCCCTTTGCTGTTGTAGATGGCCGAGATCTTCCCTCTGGGCAGATCAGGGACGCACGAGCAAATGAAATCTATATCAGCCTTTCCTGTCTCCCACTGGTTCGTGATAGACGCGTCTTGGGATGACGATGAACGTGCCAGGGGGATTTTCTGGTTCTTATTGCGCTTCTTGTTGCGACCCTTTTGACGACCGATGTCTGCATTTCCTGCATAGAATCCATCAATGCCCTTTGGCACTGATATGTGGCTGTCGTCTCCGGTGGTCAAAGTCTCGTTGAAAAAGGACAAGTTTAACAATACGTCCATTGCTTTGTCGACATCACCGTCGCTCTTCTTCAAGCACTGCTCTATGTCGAGAAGAGAGACAGTGGGGAACATTGCAGCTAGCAAATTCACTTTGTCGTCTGCCGATGCGCCGGTCAATTTCAAAGACCCATCAGCGGCGATAGTATAGGCAATGTTTGGGTTTATGGGTGATGCAATATTTCTGTCGGAACTTTCATCCGACGCAAAATATGACTCCATGCTAGTGACGTCGGTGAATGTGAATAGTGAATCTCCATGACCTGAGGTCCCACCCTCGGAAAGAATTCCTCCCATGTCGGTGGCAAGCTGATCATTTGCCGTGCCTGAAGGATCGAATGGGTCGTTCTCTTGGAGCTGAGCAGATTCTTTTAGGGAATCCAAAATCCCTCTTAAAGCAGTGACATCGTTGGAATCCGTGAGATTAAAATCGGATACAAGAGCAGCAAAAAGAGCGGAGTCTAACGGAGGGCAATATGTTTTCTCCAGTTCCTATGAATCAAGTCGCATCAGATACCTGACTGGGCCATTTTCCATACTACAGAGCACTTACAGATCGCAAAGTATCGCCGATATCATCCATGATGATAAATGTCGTCAACAAGATAGGAAATGTTGGTGGGTTCAAGTGGCATACCCTGCCTAAATCGGAGGTTCTCCAGCGCGAGAAATAAAAGAAAAGTTACTACTCGGTAGAGTTTGTCGTAAGCTCCATGAAGGCAGGGCGACGGGTGTGACGTCCCCCCCAGGTCCAGGTTGTGGAGGGAATATCTCCGATCCGCGTGGGGGGAGTCTTTTTTGTGCCCATCTCCACCGCCCACCTAATGGGCCCGAATTAGTTGGGAGCTTCTTGATTGGCTGCATCATGTTAAGTAGTGATGCGCTAAACCTCATTAGAATGGTGGGGTTTGTTGATGACGGACTGGATACTTTGTATTTCCAACCGAGTTCATTCTGGGCGCCTATCAATGTCAATGAGAATGTGCGATTCCGTCGCTTGTTAAAATCAACACCATAGATTATTCCTACTTCCTAGTAGATCACGTTCAGTCCAGTTACCCCTCCATATCCGACTTCCAGAGGATTTTACCAGCGTTGAATCAGCTACAAATTTAAATTCATCGTCCTGATTTGAAACCTGCAGAGGCACAGAAAGTTCTTAGAGTCCGAGTAATCTAGTATGAGCCGATCGGGTGCTCTAGTTCTCATTGCGTCGACGGCCTCTCGGAATGCGAAGTTTAAAAAGCCTCGAAATAATGGATCAGAAGATGTTGTTCTCGAATAAATAATATTGCCGTATTCTACGTCATATCTAGCAACAACTATAATATTCACTAGTAGTAGACCCATCTAGCTCAGTGGTTCTTAGGTACCGCATATCGGTAGTAAATAACTTGAATCCGGCGACGGAAGGACTATCGGAGAGCAAAGGTACGCGTCAGAGACCGAAGGACCACAACCTCTTAGCAAGAACAAAACAGGAATCCGAAGTGCAACATAGGACGCCGATAGACATGTTTGAATTCAATCTGAGGAGAACCCAATCAGGATGATTCCGATCTGGGGCTGTACCTCTGCTGTGCGAGTAATAATGAACAGTGTCGAAACTTATACACACTCGAGCATAATGCATGGAAGAGACCACAAAAGAGAGAACTATTCCTATAATAAATGTATTTTGGCGATTTAAAGAAGAGATACTCTTGCGCTCACAATTACATTCCGGTGTTGCCTGAGGGAAGAAGTCAGGTTGAAAACATAATTGGGCTCGGCTCTTGGCATTTGTCCTACATAAATTCATGACTTCCATCCGAGACCGCGCAGGGAATCCATCTGTTCCGAAGTGCTATGGCCTCTCAAAGATAATTATCCGGCCTTTCAATTGGGGTTGGAGCAATATCGTGCGATGAAAAGATAGCCTGGGTCTTGGGTCATAAGTTCAACATGGCGAACCACAATATTCACAACAAACGGCACAAATATAGATATTAGTGACTTGCCGGTTATGTGTGAGCTACTAGTTGTAATAACGCCAGAAAATGAGCCCAAAATTTCAAATTTCGAAAGAAGTCAGACGACATCTTATCTCTGCAAAGCTACCCTGGTGACCTATGTTAAATGGGCTGCAGCGGTGGTCCCAGTGACAGACAAGTTAAAAAAATGGGTTGGCCACAGAAGCTTGTAAAATGTAGCATTATCCCCTCATTTTCAATATGAACAGGTACTGCACAGGAACTATGACGCGCGGCCGGTCGCAATGGCTTTGACTGTGCTGCACAAATTTGCCGGTTAAAAATTTAAATTTGGGCCAACATTGGTTTGTTGCAGCTACAGATTTCATATCTTTGGGGAATAGAAGATACTATCCTTGATACACTACAGATTCTGCCTGGGTGGTGGAGGAGTACGGCCCTTGCTGGCTGCTCCTTGTACTCCCCTAGATATGGAAGCATGAGACATGACGCATTGAAGCATCACGAGTACCCTGGCTCAGAAAGGCTCAGAATGGAATCGGACAAATGCTGTGCAACGGGTGGCGGTTTTCTAGTAATATGAAACTTATAAAACATTGAAGCCCCTCTCAAGTTTGCTATTTTTCTCCTAAGCTGACCGTCTTCTGCCTCGATCCAGTTCGACGTTTTGATTGAGGATATTTTCTTTTTGTAAACGTTGCAAGAAAGGAAGGCTAATAAATCAAAATGCGGACTGCAATCATCTCGTTCCTGATCGCCTTCACAGCCACGGCTGCAGGTACGGCTTTCAATACGTATTCGACATACAGATCTAACAGACTTCGAGTAGGTCTCGTCATCACTTCACCCACTGTGGAGCAAAATGTCGACAATTCCAAGTCTGTGACGGTCAAATGGCACGCCGTAGAGTCTGTTCTCTCTTTACAATGAGCTCTATGGCTCGTTTGTTTTCAAAGTCACTAATCGCAAGCATAGAACCGACCCTGACACGTTCTCCATCTACCTCGTCAACCAGAACGTTTATCCACCCACCCAAGAGCTCGTGGCATCGGATGTACCTAAAAACAAGGGGTCATACACCATAAATGCCAAAAGCATAGACGGTGTCGATACTGGGTAACCCACATCGCACAATGCCAGTTTTTGGTTGGCAAACTTCTGACCGTAATCGTTGCAGCCGCGGATACCAGGTCAACTTTGTCTCAGATACCGACACCCAGGCCATTTTGGCACAGTCATCGCAATTCAAGGTGGCTGATCATGCCGATCTGACTGCCAGCTCTGGTAAGGAAACAGCCACTGCTACAGATTACACTTCTGCCACGAATTCTCTTTCTATTACCGATTTCACTTCTGCCACCGATTCCACTTCTGCTGCTTCTGAAACTACCTCTCTCTCTGCTACAACCTCTATGACTTCTTTGTCTGCGTCGACTACTACAGATTCTTCGACTCCTTCTTCTACTTCTCCGACCACTACTCACACATCCACCAGTGCGTCTACCTCTACCACCTCTCCATCTACTTCTTCACCTATTTCTACTTCTACCCATACTTCATCTTCTTTGATGACCTCTACTACTAGTGCGTCAACCTATTCTTTATCTTCTTCATTTTTGAGCTCTACCACTCCAACACCTACCACATCCCTCTCTTCAACGTCGTTTATAACGACATCTACACCCTCTTCCTCTTCTTCTTCCTCAATATCAAGCACCCCATCTACTACAGCCTACTCAACTTCGTCCGAGACTCCTTCATCTTCTACATTGCACAGTTCCACTAAAACGCGTTCTACCAAATCAGCTATATCTACCTCCACCTCTACATCTCTTTCTACCTCTACTTCTACATCCTCTTCTACATCTTCTCCCACCACATCTAAGCATACAAAAACTACCAGCACTCTCAGCACTTCTACCTCTACCTCTACCTCTACCTCTACCTCTACCTCTACCTCTACCTCTACCTCTACCTCTACCTCTACCTCTACCTCTACCTCTACCTCTACCTCTACCTCTACCTCTACCTCTACCTCTACCTCTACTTCCCCTACATCCACCTCTACTACCCATACCCGCACAAAGACATCCACCATGAGCACCACGGGTCAGTTATTGGTGCCACCTTGGGCTTCCAGATTCTTTAATCATTGCAATATGCACTCTTCAAGTTGTGACAAGTCGCTGACCCTCTCAATTTATAGGCGAAACCACCATGACAACAAAGACTCATTCTTCTACTTCCGCAGAGACTTCGACTACTACTTCGCACCACACGAAGAGCATGACTTCTACCACCACGGAAGGGGCTACCACAACCTCGAATGCAGCAGGGCTGTTGATGCCTACCAACCATGTCGGCAGTCTTCTTCTGGGCCTTGCTGCTCTGATGCTCTGATGACTCGCAACGATGGAATCTTATATTCCAAAACATTGATACGAGGTGGCTGGATTTGATCATATGAGGATGTCAAGGTGTCTGTTATTGTTCATTCGACATGGGTTGACAGACAGTCAGGGGGAAGAATCAAAGTTATTCGGGCTTGCTTTTGTTGCTATTGGGGCTTTAATTATTAATGAATTCTGCAATAATCGATATTTTGATGACTGACAAACTTTCTTCGCTTTGTGTGTACCTACATTAGTATTCGGGCAGGGATTATTCAACAACTTCAAGTAAACCTCGGCATCGGTGCGCCGATCCATTTCCCCGCAGCGAACTCATCAGTTCAATTGAAAACACCGCATATTCAGCAGCTAGCAACTAACCATTCTCTACACACTTGAATTCTCCAACAAACATCAATTATTTCACATTCTTACCTTACCAGGGTAGCCATGCCGATCTGCACTCTCCACCTCCTCGCTCTGAAGGAATCAACAGACGCACAGTCCTACGTCCAAGAATTACAAAAATCAACCAAAGTGATCCTCGCCTCAAGACCCCGACACATCGTAATCCACCCAACAAACCTGGATACAACCCCGCTAGCAACAGAGCCATGGGATCTCCTCCTCCTTCTCCAACCAAAAGCAAACACGACCGAAAACCCTATCCCAACCTCACTCCGCACCGCCATAAAATCAGAATACAAAATACCAACAGGGATCCCCTCAAAACTACTCACCAGCTACACGACCCGCAACAAAGTCCTTCAGGAAAAATCCTCATCAATCCCCTTAACGGGATCGCTTGAAAAACTCCTCGCCAGCGGCAGCAAATCAAGCTCGCAAAATCTAGAAATCTCCTCGAGTCTCATATCCTTCATGGACGAGCTATCCCAAACGCATCCCGGCCCTGTAACAATGCTCAATCTTCTGCATTTCCAGCAACCCGGTGGTAAGAAGAGTTATTACCAGTACGGTCAGGCGTTTGTCCCTGTCGCAGGCAAACGCGGCGGGGATGCTAAGCTGGTTGGTAATGTGGTGACACCGCAGCACGGCAGCAAAGATCCAAGTTCAAGTTCCCGGGCCGCTGTGGCGGAGGAGTGGTGGAATGAAATTTCCCTTGTGCATTATCCTTCTATTCGACATTTCTGCGATATGCTCGCTGGTGATGATTATCAGGCCATTAATGAGAAATATCGGCTTTCGGTGAGTTTTTTTTTTTTTTGGAGTTCCCGCTCTCCCCTCGTCATATTTTGCTTTGTGCTCTTCTGGCCCTTTGCAAATCGGGTTGATGGGATCGTGCTGACAGTCCTGGGCAGGCACTTCGTGATACCTTTCTCTTGTGTACCACCGAGTTAAACCTTGATGGGGTGGGTACTAGTACCGATTCGAAATTATGAGACAGTGCACTACTAGTTATCACTAGCAAGGACTTGAGATGAAAGAGTCGACTGAAGCGAGTACAAATTGAATTGTTCAAATATTAAAGCAAAGTTATGCACTGATCTCATCTTCCTTTTCTGCTTGATAAACTGGGTATCTGAAATCATAGGACGTGTAAATCTTGTCCCTCAACGCTGGTAAATACTATAGCCACGCAACAACATATGTACTGTCCCGACTCAAAATTGAACTGAACTGAGCCGATCTGCGAAACTTAACGTTCAAAGACGATCATGATGACTTGACAACGCTGTCACTGGGTCGGTCCCAGGTGCGAATGTGGCCTGATAGTGTCAGTGATATTATCCATGGTCCGGGGAGTTATCCACATACCTTCGAGCGAGGATGTCATAATAGAATCCTTCTGGAAACCGAGCCAGCAAATAGGGTCTTCTCCAACAATCTTGGACTAGGAATATTGTTAGGATGAATGAAACTTTTTAGATGCTGCTCAGAACATACCATAATAGGAGGCAACATGGCAGTCCGAGCCCGAGGTTCAACGGGATGGCTAGCCATTGGATCAATAACGGCGTCGAGCTTTTCAGTTTTTTCCGAGTCTGAGCGAAGACGGTTACCACCACTGTCAGCCCGATAGCGGTTGCCACCTTGTGTTCCCGGCACAACAACGCTGCTTCGGTGACGGGCAGAACTTTGGTGGTGCTGTTGGAGAAGGTTAGCAGTTTGGATGGGAGACAAATTGGGACGAAAAAACGAACCGCACGAGGTCTATGAAGCATGCCGACACTGAAATCCCACAAGAGGAGTCTGCAGTCATCACCGACGCTACCAAATCGATAGGTCTTGTGATCACAGCGCCATGGATCGAACGCGACGGCAGAAACGAAGGAATTATGTCCTTGGCAGCGAGCGACAATTTTGCGTTCGGGGAAAGACCAGATGGTGAGAAGGTCGTCTTGACCACCAGTCACGATGTACTTTCCGTCGGGCGACCAACAGACGCAGATTATACCACCGTAGTAGCTTCGGAAGATGTCCAGAACCCTGTATTGAAATTGTTAGCGCCAATTTACACAGTAAGATCACGGCTTTTCAACATACTCTTCTTCCAAGTAGTCCATTAATCGGAGAGAACCATCCTCCAGGACAACCGCCAGATGTCTCTGGTCAGGCGCGAAGGAGAAGTGGGAGATTTTCTGATTCGCTAGCTTCCAAAGGCATAGCGGGTTGGTCTTCTGGTTCTTAGATTGTACTGATTTGAGAACCTCCAGGGGAAATTTGCTGGGATCATGGTCGGGAGGAGGAATCATTTCAGGGGTGAAGAGTGCATCCTCCTTCTCCTTGTCATAAACGACCAACACGCCATTTGCATGCGATGCAAGGAACAAATTCTCAGATCCGGGTAGCCATTTGATATGAGTAACAGGAGAGTTGTTAATCACCCCATTCTTGTTGATGCGGGCATATTTCTGCGACATCGGCTCATACCAAATGATGTCACCGGCGGAGGAACCCATCACAATATCCAGATGTGAAGAAGTCTTGGTCAACTCGTTGATATCGTGACAGAGCATGTGCGCCTTCGTAAACAGAACTTTGGTGAGATGTTCCTCCTTCTGAGCCGAGTTGAGGTCCAGCCATTGGAATGCTCGGTTGATGTTGGCAAAGGCAAAAATGCCATTCGGGTCACGGTCGCTGAGGCGCTTTGCGGAAGTTTCGTGCGTAATCACCCGAGACACGAACGAGGAGCTGCTCTTGATAATATTATTCTTCGGTTTGCGACGCTTCTGCGCATCCTTTGCCGGTTGCACCGGGGCCGCAAGTGCGGGGTTCCCATCTCCGAACGGCGGTGCTACAATGGCTGTATTCAGGAAGACCGGAGGTTGCTTGCGATGATCCAGGCTGACCAGTGACAGCTTAACGCCAGAGGTTGGAGGCGTTGGAACGGTGGCCAGTGGGTTGGGGTTGATGATGGGTGCTTCGGAAGGATGTGGGGGTGGTGTCGCGAGCAGAAGGTCATCCTTGAGGGTGTACGTACCTATTGTCAGAATTTTCATTAGCAGTGTACTTGAGCTGGAAAGCGAGGTGAGGGGGGAAGGGGGGGTCTTGACGACACGTGTGAACTGGAATGCGATACACATGCCACATACCTTCTCCGACTTGTAGGGGACATCCGCTCTCCGGATGGGTGATGGTGTTGTTTGTTTCGACCACAGGGACCGCCATGCCGTTCGCCGCCCCCGCCGCATAAGCGACAGGGATGGTATATCTCGGAGGGGGAGGTGGGAGGACACTGGGGGTTGTTTGGAACGGGTCAGTATGTGCCTGGACTGTGGTTGCTATATCGATCGGCCCAAGGGTCGGTGGGGAAGGTGACTTTTCGGCATGCCACGGTCACATCATATCCCACATGAAGTATAGAATAGGGAGTATAATGATTACAGAGGGGGGGGAAAGGAGTGAAGGGTTGAAAAAGAAGAGAGACAGGGCCATCTTACAACATGGTTGCGTTACCGTCTCGATTTGGACCGAGACAGACCTAATGTCGTGACACGAGCGAGGAAGCACAACACAACAGCAGTGCTGCAGTCAGGGACGGATGCTGCAGCGGAGGTGATACAGTTCGTCCCAACTTGACGGCGTTGAATATCAAGAGCTGGAGAGCCTCAATGTGGCTTCACTGGCGATGTCGGAGAAAATGAGGGGAAGAGAGCGCACAGCCCCAGGGATTAATCCAATGAATCCGCTATAGAGAGAGGGGGGAGAAAGGGATCTATATCGACCAATGAAGGGAGGGTCCAAATCAATTACCCAAGACCGGATGCAGAGGAGAGGAGAGGAGAGAAGCGCAAGCAGAGGAGGAGAGGTGCAGAGATGCAGTGCAGAGATCAGCGGTCCGGGGTAATGGCCGGACGAAGCGGAGAAAGGCAAGTCTCGTGCCTGAAACTCCGGGGCTTGGCGGGGGATATCTCCGTGGGGGTGAGGTAATATTATAGACATTATAGACACTATGAGAATACTTTAACAGTACAGTTATCACATATTGCATAGTATTCTCTTGCTATTTACAAATAGTGCTTTGCCTTGTTGCTCGAGTCTTTTTGCTTTCCAAGGTTGAGGGAGAGATGGAAGATGAAGATGGATCTACTATGCGATAGAGGAGGGAATCCTCACGCTATATCTATCTATCTAATGACAAACGGCGTGCGCTGGGGACAATCACCAACAGAAAGCAATTGAAGCAATAATTCAATTCAGACAAGGATATACCCTAGTCCTGCATGCATGAAGCGTGAGTTGGCCATGCCGCTAGGTCTGAGGCCTACGGCCTCAGTAGTAGGTTTAATCTGGTCGAATAAGATACATTTTGCTGAATTGAATATATGGTAATTTGCTCAGGGTATCAAGGTATTATTAAATCACTATCATCTAACTAGTACTAGTAGTACTACCTCATTGCCCACTGCCCACTCGTCTCCAGATCATCACTGCTGCGGCTCCGGCACAGACGACCGCCCCCAACGCGATACCCCACGACATCCATTTCCCTTCAACATCCTCTTCACTGCGCGGGAACGCCGTGCTGGGCTCCATGGCAGCTTCCGCAATATGGACAAAGACCTCTTGGATCGAATTCCAGGTCACACTGACATGAAGAGGAGGAGTAGGGATGTTCAGCATCGCCGTGTATTCATGGGGCTGATGCTCCGCCCGCTGCGTGGTCCGGTCCAAGTCGGCCTTGAGTGCAATAAACACACTAGGCAACTCTTCCAGATGGGGGTACTTGGCTCGCAGCGCCGGTATATACGCAAACGAATCCGGATCAGACGAGTCATATGTATAGGCGACCACGTCACATTGGTCCAGCAATTTCACCTGGTTCTCCAGAATGGCGGGCTCCAATTCGCCTAGCTCGTCCATAATCAAATAGCACTGTTTCCCGCCAGGTAGCTCAACTGTATTCACAGCTGTACGGGGTTGAATGGTGGGATGATACGTCGAGCTGAATCCACGCGACAGGAGTGCGTCCAAAAGAGCAGATTTTCCTGATCCGGCAGCGCCCAGAACGTGGCATTGAACTACGTTTCGTCCGACGCGTCCCGGGCGTCGCCTTCTCTTGCGCGGTCGCGTCACCTTCAACGCCGATGTGATGGAAGGATTACTTCGGTCAGAAGATTCGAAACCGAGGTAGGCCAGGTATTCTAGTGTAGTCTTGGCAGACATGAAGGTCGTCATACTCCATTGCGCGAGCCATCCTGGAGAGTGACATGTCCGGCTTCATTGCGGACCGTTGAAGAAGGGAACGAACCGTCGGCCCAAGATGCGGGCAGCCCAGGGGTCGGTGCGAATAAGGACGCCAGTTCGGCGTTATTCAGACCACCGTCATTGTCCTTATCGGATAGTAGGAACAGATTCACAAAGAAGCGATATCCTTCCGGAGAAAGTTCTGCCGAGGCATAAGGCGGGACTTCGAACCGGGGATGTAAAAAGTTTTCTTGCAGGGACAGGTTATCGGTGTACTGGAATGCTCGTAGGATAATCCAAACCGTCTCGTGTCGACCCTTTTCCGCGTAAAGCTTATTTAAATGTATGAAACCAGGGCAATCAATTCCGGAGTCGTTCACTGAGTCCGGGAAGCTCCGTTGAATTGTTTCTTTAATATGTGCCAGATCCTCCTCGCTGAGCGGCTTGCCAAAGCATCGCGTTTGGAAGTCCGCAATTTCCTTATCCGAGAGATATCCATCTCGATCCTTGTCGCTGAGGTAGAAAATGCGCTGTAGTGCGGCGACGGCGGCGGGTTTTAGAGCGGCTTCCTTGGAATCGAAAAGGGGCGCGATTGGGTGCGTGACAGCCTTTTGGCAAACGAAGAAAGCTTCATTGACGTTCCGATGCTCGCGGGCGCTCGTACGAATGCAAGAATCAATTTCCTTGAACTCCGACATCAAAGGGAGCATTTCCTCCTCAATCACTTGCGCCTCGCTGTGGCTGGCGGCGAGGTCTGACTTGTTGGCGCACAGCACAACGGGGACATTGACACCCAGCGATCGGAGATAGGGTAGCCAGAAGAGAGCGACGCGCTCATAGCTGTAGTGATCGGAGTAGACCAACAGGATCACGTTGGACTTGCGGATCTCGCGCGCCAGGTTGTTTCGTTCTTGCGGGAGGGCGGAGGTGTCGACGACGGTTGTAGTGGTGACATTTTCGGGGGTTCCGATGGTAGGAGGGATCGTAATCTGAGGCAAGATGGGCTGGATCTTGTTGGTGACGAAGACACCCTTGACCAGGGAGGTGATCAAGCTGGACTTGCCAGTGCCTTCGTCGCCGCAGACGCTAATGCGGACTGAGATTGTCGGGCAAGGTCAGTTAGGGCCACGGGTGCAATGGACTGAGAAAGTCGTACCTGTAGCCATTTGCAGGGGAATGCAAAGGGGTTCGCGAAGTCTATGGTCTGGACATGACCGTAGTAGCACTAGTACCCAGTAGTTAACTACTAACTCGTAGGTAGTAGTGACAGGTTGGGTGTTCTGGGTTGGAACTTCCAAGGTTGGGGGATACGATAAGGGTGGTCCAACGGGGGAGTGCCAAGCCATCGCATAAAGTGGAGCTCGGCATCGGCAACCAGAGGTACTGGTAATAGAAGATACTAGGTAGTAGTTAGTAGTACTACTAGTACTAGAAGTAGGATTTTTAAATCGAATTCATTTCAACCTTGATGATATCCATGGATACTCTTCCAACTTGAAGGTTTTGTCTTGCGTAAATATTTTTGACTCTGTTCAAGTTCTATATAGTGGTATCCTTGAACCTTGGAACCTCGGAAGTGTCCTAGAGCTACTAGTACTAAACCTGACTAAAGATGTAGATGGGGTAGTACTAGGCCGGGCCTATACTAGATACCTAAATTGACATAGACTATAGTAGTATACAGATACTAGTAGTATAGTAATAGTACTAGTAGCACCCTAGTATGGAACACTTACTAGCTACTAACTAACTGTAGATACTTATATACTCTCCGGTTTGCACGGCCCTCGTTAACCCCGCCGCGTACTAGTAGCCCTGGAGGTGACCGTGCTGCGCCACACCCAATGGCACACTTTAATGAGTCGAATGGGAGTTTGTAGATGTCATATATCCTTCTCGACACTTTCCCTTCTGCATAAGCTCAGGAACCAGCTCAGTGATCAGAGTCCCATATACTAAATCGGGTGTTTTTCTCCTCCGTTCCTACTAGCCACCTCCACGAACCCGCGTCGCCCGTCATCAGGCCCACACTGGCCCCATCTCACTGACTAACCTACCCGAACCTCTCCAACTCCAACTGCCTCCTCCTTCGAAGTCCCCCTACTCCCTTCTCCCCGAGTCACTTTCACATACATTCTCCCCCGCCAAGATGCCCCTTGGGATCCATAACCCCCTCCCGTCTTCTCTGAGCAGTATGTACTCTCCCTGTCCTCTTTCCTGCCTGCTTCCCCGCAATCGCATGCGGCATCTTCGGCTAACGAACACCCTCCTCGTAAACAGGTGAATGCAAGAAGGCGGCAAAGATTCTGACTTCCTTCGTGGACCCAAAGCAGGCCTTTGGTCCAGATAAGGTCATTCCGCCCGACGTTCTGGCTGGCGCAAAGGTGAGTCTCACATATCGCGGGGTAGAATACAGTCCACGTTGCGGCTCAACTCTAATTCTTCCCTCCACCAGGGCCTTGCCATCCTCACAGTCCTCAAGGCCGGATTCATTGGATCCGGTCGATTCGGTTCCGGTATCGTTGTCGCCCGCCTTGGTGATGGCAGTTGGTCAGCTCCCTCCGCTATCGCAACCGCGGGTGCCGGTGTCGGTGGCCAAATTGGTTTTGAATTGACCGACTTCGTCTTCATTCTCAACGACGCCGCTGCCGTTCGCACATTCTCCCAAGTCGGAACCCTCACACTCGGTGGCAATGTCTCTCTCGCGGCCGGACCGGTCGGTCGAAACGCTGAAGCTGCCGGTGCCGCGAGCACCAAGGGTGTTGCGGCCATCTTTTCATACTCGAAGACCAAGGGTCTTTTCGCCGGTGTCAGTTTGGAAGGTAGCATGCTTGTTGAGCGCAAGGATGCCAATCAGAAGATGTACCAGAGTCGAGTCTCTGCGGGCCAGCTACTGTCAGGAACTGTTCGACCGCCGCCGTCTACCGACGCGCTGATGCATGTTCTGAGCTCGCGCGCCTTCTATGGTGGTCGTGGTGGACCCAATGGTGCTAGTTCCGGAGGAGGGGACTCGATGTACAACGATATTCCAGTTTACGATGATAGCCACGACGATGTGGTTTGGGAAGGACGCCGCGGAGAGGCCTATGGCCAGGGGACACGAAGGGAACGCTCGAATACCCAGGATGAAGGATATGACTACCGCGACAAGCCGCGCCGAGCTAATACCTGGGCCGACGATGTGTATGATCGACCGGCTGGAGGCCTGGGTCGGTCTGCGACCACGCGAGAAGCGCAGAATGATACATACGGACGCAGCCGCAGCAACACCGCGCCTTATGATGATGATTATTCCTACTCGGATCGCAGACCGACTCGACCGACCGCGCCCAAGCCGGTCTTTGGCCAAAAAACGGGCCAGGGCGCTGGGCTGCGCGCGGACCAGGTTGTTGCGCTGTACACCTTTGATGCGGACCAAGATGGTGATCTTGGCTTCAAAAAGGGTGAAGTGATCACGATCCTCAAACGGACAGAGAAGGCGGAGGATTGGTGGACTGGTCGGATCGGCGACCGTGTGGGCATTTTCCCTAGGTAAGCAGCAGCAGCAGGAGCAGCAACCAGGTGGATTGCATCAGAGGCTGGCTAGAATGAAGTTCAGCTGGATAAGGGTGAAGCTGACATGATTGCAGTAACTACGTCGACACATCATCCTAGACATAGGAACGAAATCTCACAGATATGCCCGTGTGCTCATTCCATTCTTTTGCAGTGGACAGACACCGTATAGCTCCCGGGGATGACGGCTGGGTTGGATATGGGATATGATGAATATATTTTGGGCGCATTTTTCTTGTCTTTTTTCATTTTCTTTGGATTCCCTTCTTCTGGATACCGCTTCATACCTCGAGCGTTGGAGTTTCTCATTCTCGTTACGAAGGTTTCTTCTTTGCTTCGCAACATCAGTGGATCTTGTGTGGGCTTTGCATGTTTCTAGAGTTTCGGTCCGAGTGCTTTGATTCCGATTCTCTGCTTCTTCTTCTGCTTCTTCCTTCTCCCCGGATGCTTTGTGGAAATAACGTTTCTGCCGGGGGGGTCAGATTGCACCTTTTTTTCAGCCTAGACCAGACCCATGAGCATGGGCCGTTCCAGCGTGGCGCTCAGGACATTTGGAATGACAGACCCCAATCAATTGTACCTCCCGCTCTGCCGTAGCCAGTAGAGTCACACGGCAGCGACCTGAGACTATCACGATGTCCCCTGACCGGGCTGGCACGGGGCTGATTGATACTGGGTGGGTTTGGTTCGAGGGCGATCGCGTGGTTTCGTGAGACCACGCCGTGATAGTATTGCCCAGGTGTAGGGGATTGAATTGAAGAGGCGAGGTTGCCGATGACATAGATGCCTAGTGCTATAGTCACTCGCCATGTCAAAAATAAAGAACCAAACTATTGGCGGGAACGGGTCTGACACGCGATCGGCCCTTCAGCCTCGCGTCATGATCGTGATCATGATCAACTTGGCCACTACTAGTAAGTAAGTTCCAGGAGTACCACAAGGTCGAAGTGATGGAGAACCAAGGCGGGTCGTACTTGTATACGGGAGGTTCCAATCCGAACTGGTGAGAATGGCAGGAAGAGTATTGTAGAGTACCAAGAGAAAGAAAGTGTCGATCTCTCCATTTCTCCAGATCGTCCCCGTCGATGGACTGGCCAGGCTTTCCCGTTTCTTTCTTTTGGTGGAGCCCTCCACGAACTTGAACTTATCCAACACCAACACACACACACATACCACTCTTACTTCTTTCCTCGTTCAACTTCCTCGTGTCCCCCGGTCCCCCCCGATTCCCCCATGCCATAAACTCCCCGGCCTCTTTTTTCCTTCCCTTTTCCCTTTTCCCTCCCCCCCGCTTCGATGATCGCTCGTCTTCAGGTGGTACCTTGACCTGCCTCTCCCCCCCTCTCCCCTCCTCCCCCTCCCCCCCCCTCCTGGCTACCCTCTGGTCTTAAGGGGTTTTTGGCCTTGGTTTCCTGTATAGCTGGTTCCCATGCAGGTGCGTTCCTCATGATATTCCTCCCATCTCCTCTTCCATCCCATCCCGGACAAGTGCGGTTGCTTGACCTCCTGCCCCGAATTATCCGCTGCTTTCGTCTCCCTCCCCGAGAAAGTCCTCTGAACTTTGAGATCAGCAAGTCTCCGCCGCTGTCAGCTCCGCCGCATTGACTTGGCACCGCACTTGGGATGAATATGCTTTTATTGACCTCTTCGAGACTGACCCTTTTCTTCTTCTTCGTTTCATCTAGGCTTCCACCAGTGCCCCTGAGGCAGGCGGAGGACACACGACTCGGAGAGGACACTCACCCCATCTCTCCATCAGCGACCCAAGTCACCATGTCACCGAAGCTATCGGCCACATGTACGACGATGACTACGATCGCAATGATCTGAGGCGTCTCAGCTATATAGCGTCACCGTTAGGCGAATCAATATCAACGATTCCGCGACCCGCCGAGTCCGCTGCCCCCTCCACCTTATCACCTACCCAGAAACAGAAACAGAAGCAGAAGCAGAACTCGCCGGTCGAGGGACAGCCCAAGACAAAAAATGGACATTTACGCCCAACTATCTCCCCTCATCGGTCATTTGACCGTGACAGCGAACCCGGATCCCCAGACTCCACACGATCAGTCTCGGAAACCGCGACCTCTTCCTTCCCTTTGAACGATATCGATTACGAGTCGGACCCAGCCGCCGTCGTCCAAGAGCTGAACAACCTGGCCGCCATTCGCCGTATGTCCATGGATGTCGCAGCAACTGGTGATCCCGATCTCCCATCCTATGGCGGCAACCTCTCCGTTCCATCCTTACCTCCCTCCCCCACCGCCGATGAAAATGATGCCTCGAGATTATTTTGGGTCCCAGCCAGCCTACACCCCGAACTGGCACCGAAGGAGTTTAAGACATTTTTGGAAAGCAAGGCCGATATAATCAAACGGAAATCCGGCGATTATTCGTCTCTTGGGCCCGAGCGTCAGGGCTCGGGCAGCGGGCTTCGTCGCAAACGGTCTATGCTGTCTCGACAAATTGACAGCTCGTCGGGTTATACGGATGGCGCGGATCGGTTAGAGCGGCAGCGATCGCAATCAAGTCGGCGCGATGGCATGCTCAGTCCCAACCTGCAGGAGCTGGAAACCATAGTGGACGATTCGAAATCTACCTCCCCGGCCGAGCTCGTGCGAGAGATGCAAAATGCGAGCATCGCGGCCCACGAGGATAAACCGATTCTACCCGCGGCACCTCCAGGACACAGCCTACGAAGATCGACCCGGACACAATACAGGAAGGGCAGCTTAAAGAAGGGCGAGAAGCCTCCCTACTCTAAACGAGTGGGGAGAGGCCTCTCCGAATCAGCTGGTTCAGCTCCTCCGATTACAACCCCATCCGACGATCAGCCAATTCTCGGATCTACTCGCGTGTCTACGGACTCGGTTTCCTCAACATCCTCCAGGCCAACGCGTGGGCCCTCGACTTCCTCTCGCGGCACGAGCTACTCTGCCAATGCCCTTGGCACAGCATTCGATTCCATTCTTGATAATCCGGAAGCTGAGCAAGAGGAGGCAAAGGCTGCTAGCACTCAACCACAGACTGACTCTATCAACCAGTCAAATGCAGCTTCTTATGCCCGAGAATGGAATTCCCGCATCGACTCGAATGCCCGATCTAATACGAATACTCCTCAAAAGCAGCAGGCCGTCCCTGCGATTATCGAGACACCCCCTGCCGACTCCCACCGTGAACAGTCTCAGCCCCAGTCCGCCGGCTTCACGATCAGCCGAACGCAATGCACCATCGCAGTACTCGGCCCAGACGTCCCCAGTTCAAGATTCCACCCCCAGCAAGCGTACCGCGATGAGCCGTCAATTAGGCAAAGACACTACTACTTCCACTACGCTTGACGACTTTAGCAATAACCCCCCAGATGGTACCCGGCAACAACACACGGACGGACAGTCTCTCTTTCATTCCGACCATGCCCGAGGAGCAACGGAAACCCGAGGACCGTAAATCTGAGGGCAAGAAGTCCAAGAAGGAGTCCGAGGGCCGAAAGTCGAGCTGGCACTGGTTGCTAGGGAGTGAAGAGAAAGATAAAAAGAAGGATAAAGATGGAGACTCGAAGAAGTCGAGGTCAAGGTTCTCCGACAAGATAACTCACAATAATACTCGCATCGAAACACCCACGCAATCATCCATGGACAATAGCCCGAAGGGCAGAGAAAGTCTCATCCTTGATCGCCTCGACCCCAAGTTGGAGGAAGAGCGACGAAAGGATGGTGTTCGGAGGGCTTCGGGGGAGTCTAAGAAAGAGAAAGACGGTATCTTCTCATCCATCTTTGGTGGTGGTAGGAAAAAGCATAGCGGAGATGGCCACCATCGAAAGAACTCTTCGCGTAATCTGTCTCCCGACCCCCCCAGTGCGGGTGCTGAAGGCAGATGTCGACTATCCTTGGACTCGATTTTCCATCTTGGAGGAGCGAGCTATTTATCGCATGGCGCACATCAAACTTGCGAATCCGCGGCGTGCACTTCACTCTCAAGTGTTGCTGAGCAATTTCATGTACTCATATCTGGAAAAGGTGCAGCAGATGCATCCCCACATGATGGTGGCATCTTCTGGATCCCAGAGGTCTTCTCAACAAAGGGACCAGCCTGATGAGTACACTCAATATCAGCGATACCAAGAGGTTAGTGAATAACGCCATTCTGCCAATGAGCTAGGTGACTGACCGCGAACTTTTCCCATATTTTTATAGGCGCAGGAGCAACAACAATACGCGGATAGCGCATATGATGATCAATCCATGTATGACTACGACGACGATCCGCATGATCCGTACCAGTCCCAGGGCAGGAATGGTAAACATGGCTACGAAAACGGCCATGCTTACGATTCGGGGCATTACCAGTACGGGCACTCGTCCTATGGCCATGATGCCCATTTGGATGACGATGATGATGATGATGATATGTGGTGAACCAAGAGCCGGCGTCTTCACTCATTTCCCTTTTTTATCTGCCATTCTGATTTCTCGTTTTCTGCGACCCACGGAAATACCCACGCGTTTGTCAGTCCTGGTTGGTAGTTGATACTGGAACTTTGTATAAGCCTTGTTGTCTCTCTCATCCTATTTTCCTTTTCTTTGCCGGCCCCTTTTATTCCTTCCTTTCTACCACCTCTCCTCTTTCCGTCTTCTCGAATGACGGGCCATCTCCGGCCAGGGGTTCGTTCGTATCTTTACTTCACGAACATTTCAGGATTCCAGGAACATTGCCCGGCAGGAACTAGGATTGGTGGCCTACTGTGCCATACCTTTTCGCTCCTGGTTCCTTCTTATCTTGCCTGGTCGTCCATAACCCCTTCCCTTCTGCCTCTGGCCTGTTGTCGTCTTGGGCCTGTGCATTGCCATATAGTTTGTTCACACACATGGTCTGATTTGTCACTTCGCATAGCGTCTGGGGTTTGTTTTTGTCGTCCCGTTTTCTCTTGGTTTACCTTGGATCCGAGCAGCTTGGACCAATCTCTGTATCCCCCTTTTCTCACTTAAGCCATTACTCTTTTTCCCGATTTGATTGAGCTATTGTATACCATTCGTACCGTGTGGATTAATGGAAGAAATACTGGCAATAAGAAACATTGGTGCCATTCCATTCGCATTTAAGATCATAAAACCTCGTCCATAAATGTCGTTTGTTTGTCATTGCTATCTAGTACAGAAAAAAGAAGCAAAAACCACAACAACATAGAAATAGGCCATGGTCTTCGTACGAGTAATCATCCTCACTCATCATGTATCACATCACATCCATCACATCAACTCGGTACTAATAGATGGACTAGAATCCTCCAAAAACGCACACTTCTGAAACGACGTCCCAAGACGCAAATGCTCAGTCGTGTGCAACATCTCCCTCTCAAAAACCCGCGCATCTCTCAAATGAAAATCATTATTAAAATCAATCGCAACGGAAAACAACTTCGCCTTCAAGAGCGGATCAGACGTCGCTGCCCAAGCAGCATTCACGCAAATAACAATATAAGCCGCCCCAATCGGCTTCCAAATGACTGACCGTTTCGCCAAATCCAGCACCTCCTCCGAGAGATAAGTAGCGTCAAACTCGGTGACACTGGCACTGACGTCATCAAGCCCTTGCCCTTGTCTATGTCCATGCGCATCGAGCGCAGAAAGTATACAATTAAAAACAAGCGTACAAGCCAGACCAATCCCATACGTGCGCTGATAATGCGCAAAGCCGAATTCGAGGATAAATTTCCGGCCGGCGGGACTTGCTGTTTTAAAGAGTTCTGAGAAGTCATTTTCGACGGAGCGGTGCTTTAGTATGCTCAGGTTTACTTTGCAGTCTTGGTATATTGTCCAGACTTGGTTGCGGATTGAGGTCGTGTCGGTGCCTGTGCGGAGTGCTTCGCGGCCGCGACGCATTAGGTGGGGTGCTTTTGAGAGGTTGAGGAGGATTTTGCCGTCTGGTGTTGTGCTGTCGTAGTCGTTTCGGACTAGGTTGTCCCATTCTTCTGAGGTTAGGTTTATTCTGTCGTTGAAGATTCCTTCGAATAGCTGGGTTTGGAGAATTAGTTACTTGTATTGGAAGGTAAAGTCGAGTTCAGGTTCGTGCTGGGGTTATGGAGACCAAGGAAGTAAGGGGAAAATTCGAAGAAGAATAAAAAGAAATAAAGGAAAAGAATGAGACGAACCACACTGCCACGCATGGATAGAAATAACTTCGCTTCAAATTCATCACGAGGTCCAAAGTCCTTCCGTGCTTTGAGAATAGCCGCCGCACCCTCGGCATGGCCCGAGAACTTTCGATTCGAAGGGCCCAAGAATAACTGACACGTCAAGAGGATCATCACAGCAGAAAGTGTACTGGCCGATTGGGCATGGACCTTGTCATCCAGGTACACGCTTAGCGTGCGGAGAGCACGTGCGTGTTTGGCAAGCGCCTCCACCGAGGGCGCCCGGTTGCATGAGAAATTAGAGTGCGCGGTTGTCAACGTATCCACCGCACGGTCAAGTGCCTCATTAGTCCCAAGCCGTTTGGGTATATCTTCAAGCCATAAGCCGAACGACCACCAAAGATTATAGCGTAGGTCTGTAGTTCGCTTAATCGTCGCGATGAAACCACCGGCCAAGGAGGAGATATCGCTACTAGGGAGTGACTGCGGGGACTCTGGGGGGTAGGATCTGGGCTTTTAATGCATGCTTCTGTTTGCCAGTGCGAGACGGAAATTGTGTCGTGGAGACTGCGAATGCTGTTTGAGGTGGAGACTTGGATTGGGATGGAGACTCGGAGGAAGTATCAGATAGAGTTCCGGAGGAATCTCCGCTGGAGAGCGCGTGCTGTTTTCTCACGCGCGTAGAGTACTGCTTTTCTTCCTGGAATTTAAATCGAACTTGGCCCGATCCCACGCAGGGGATCTTTAGACGTAGACAGCGGGCACAGGAGGGTTGCTTTTCATCACACTGTTGCCATTGTCATTAGTGGATCGCTTGGTGAATACTAATTCGGATCGATGTAGCGGACCTTTTTCTTCTGTTTGCGGCAGGCATCGCAGGCACGGCCTGTTGGTACGCCTGGCATTTCCTTACCAAGGGATCTTGGAGGGGTAAATTATGTCCAGTAGATACAGGTAGATCCTGGTGAATGTGGGGATCAGTGTGGATCTCTACCGCTACTGTGATATACACTGGCTGATGTCACAGGCCTTCAAAAAGGGGGAATTCTTTGTCGACTGCAAATATGCGTCTATCGGCACGCTAAAAAGCAAAGGGGTGAGGTTATTCGAGAAGTTGGAGCTGAGGCTGCGCCATCAGCGTCATATTCAGGGCTCCGCTTGGCAATTGATGCTAACCGTGTTGGGCATGATGTACCGCTCCAAGGCTGAGTTTGAAGCCTGTGATTGGAGCGGAGTTTACAACACATGCCCTTCTTTGGGGGCCATTTGGGGTTCTTCAAGGCTCAGAAATCATTAAAGATTGGAGGCGGGTCTGCGCCTCGGGCTGATTTCTTTTGAGTCTTAACCCCTTTGGGCGCCATGTCGCGCTGACACGAAGCATAAGTTCATTGTTCGTGATGATAGTCAAAGGTATTTATTGGAGGGTGAATCCCCGTAGGAAATTCTCTGTCGAATCTTTAGTTCTCTACATTATTTGCCCATCATGGCTGTCGACGCTCAAGAAAAGCCTCATGGCTACTATCTATACAAGCCTAGCCATATCCTACCAGCCGTCTTTGCGGCGCTTGTGGCTGTTTCTTTGATCCTGCACACTTTGCAAAATATGTATGTTTTCCTAGTACAATGGCATCCAACATTTGCATCTATGGATTATACTAATTTCTCCCTACTATAGTCGCTATAGATTCTGGCGCATTACCTTCTTTATCAGCTGGGGAGGTATCATCTTTACCACTGGATGGATCCTTCGATGTATCTCCAGTTACTATCCTGACCACTTGGGACTCTATGTCGCCCAAGCTGTCTTTATCTACCTAGCCCCTCCCGTCTACTCGGCTGCCGCATACAACATTGTCGGCCGTCTGATGAACTATCTCCCCATGCATGCAGTCCTGAATCCCGATCGCGTGCTGATCTTCTTCGTCTATCTCGGTGCTGCAGTCGAGGGCATGACTGCTGCCGGAGCTGCCAAGAACGCAGCGGCAGGAAAGGAGCTAGACGAATACAAGAAGGGCGGCCAGCTTATCGCTGCCGGCCTCATTCTGCAAGCTGTTGTGGAAATGCTTGTCATCGCGATCGTGGCGACAGTTCATCGCCGCGCAGCAAAGGCCGGCAAAGTCACTCATAACGTGCAACTGGTCTGTTTCACCCTATACGGAACCTCGACCTTTGTGGTTCTGCGCTGTGTCTTCCGCGCTGTCGAGTCCTTTGAAATGTTTGACAAGCTTGGTTGTACCGAGAACTGCGGAGCGATCCTCAGCAATGAATGGTATCTGTATGCATTCGAACTAGGTCCAATGTTGATATTTACCTACTGGCTGAACCTATTGCACCCTGGACGCTATCTACCCAGACAAAAGCATCGCTATCTCGGTACTGATGGTCGGACTGAACGCGTTGGACCTGGCTGGAGAGATCGCCGTAGTCGATGGGAGACTTTTGTCGACCCCCTTGACGTGAAGGGCATGTTCAAGGGCCAAGCCTCGCATGAAAAGTTCTGGGAAAATCCCGAGCAGTGGCCTGCCTGTACAGACGGTAGTTTTGCGGAGGGAACGGCCTCAAATGTCAAGAATCAGGGCTATTCGAAGGAAAATGTCTTACTTGCCAATCAAGTTTAGGTCTTGTCGATTTGGGTGCTGGGGACTTGGGTGGAATGTGATGCGTGATGCGGGACCTTATTGTTTAAATACTATCAACGGGTTCGAGACATTTCCGTTTGTTTGTTTTGTTATATACCAAGCGATGTCTTTGCTTTTTTACTTTGGAGTTGAAGCGAGGCGAATGTACAAGATATTTTGGGGGCAACTTTTCGAATACTACTTCTTTGATAATGTGAACCGAAGTTGCACTGACAGATGTAATTGATCTGATCGTAGGTGAAAAAAGGAACCTCATTAAATTACTGGGAAGTGCCAACTACGTAAACCCTTCAGAGGCCACTGAGGATACCCGTGATAAGCTCAGCGCTCGCTGGTACTTTCCCGCTTCCGCCCCGCTCCGTCTTCCGGCCGCGCATCCACCTGCAGTTTTGCTCCAAATCGCACCGCAGCACGCCGTTGTCAGCGATAGACCCCGTATCATCTAATCCGGCCGGAACTTGATATGTTGCTCGTCTCTTACTAATGGCCACTACCGAAGACGAGCGTCCGGCGAAACGTGCCCGTCAGGCCTGTGAGCCATGCCGGTAAATGCTCAACTTTCTCAGCCGGGCAGACTTCCACCGGATACTGATTGTTTGCCAGGCGCAAGAAAACAAGGTGTCCCGGGGAGAAACCGAGTTGTTCATTCTGCGAGAGACTCGGCCAAAAATGCCTATATGCGGGCACGGAGGTCGTGGAAGAAGGTTCCGACTTTGCAAGTAATATGGTGAGAATGCCAGGCTTAGCGCCAGTCAAACCGTGGAAATTCTGCTTCTAACAGGTTCTAATAGGAAGGCCGAATTTCTCGGATAGAAGATAGACTGGATAAATTGATAGACTTCATCACGTAAGTACTCGCTCGGTCGACCACCAGCTCTTGTCTTATTTATGAGTCGCAGCCAGAGTACCCAAGAAAGGACTTCAGGGCCCATCGCCGAAAGAGCGACACAAGAGGAGCCTTTGCCCAGTCCCAACTTCTCAACACCAGACACTAATGTCATGTAAGATGCCCAATCCTTTCATCTGTTCTCGCACTAACAGATCTTCCAGGGAACACTCTTCCGATGCATCGGCTCTTGATCTATATTTCACTTTCTGCAACTCTCAACCACTTTCGTTATTTCCTTGTGGGGTATGTCCTGAGAATATTGGGAGGAGAGACCCCGAACTACTTCTCGCCATGGAGGCCTTGGGCCTTCGATTCCAGGGAAGAGGGGTCAAAGACAGTCAAATCGAGTCTGAAATTCAAAGCAAGACAAAAAAGTCCCGCCAAGTCGTCATGTCGCGCTTAGATGATGGGACTGTTGAGCTTTCCACGATACAGAGCCTTTGTTTGCTGAGCATGTTAGAGTACACAGGTGAGTACGGCTAAGTGCGGAACAAATTTGCCATTTTTCCCATGTTGACTATCATCTAGCTGGTAACCTGATTCGTGCTGGTTTATATTCCCGCATGGCTGGGTATTTTATTCGCAACACTCGAGTATGCGACTTGGAATTCATCAATTCATTAGATAACGAGCACGATGAGCGGAAGCTCTGTCACGCGAGTGTGATATTGCTCCAGAATCTTCAAGGAAGCCTCCATGCCTTTCCACCAAAGGACACCACGGACCTTTCTTGCGATACATGGCTTGCGACGCCAGTATTTGAAACAATGATATCAAACAAAAACACACGACGGGGAACAAGCGGCTTGAAGCTAGATATCGGAATCAACGCCGCTAACATGCATACTAGTGAGCTATGGGCTCTGGCTTGCAAGTACGCGATGGATTATCGCATCGATGCAGATCCTCCATGGCATCCACAATCTCATTATGGCATGATCACATACTGGCACACTGAGCATGAGAGCTGCATGCCACTGAGGTTTCGGCTGCACGCAAGCCGGTTCCAAGACTATTCCTCGTCAGATCTACAGAAGTATCGAAACTACTGGAGCCCATGGCTATTTTTCCAGATAATCTGGCATGCAGTGCCGTGTCTTTTGAACCACCCATTTCTTCTTTCTATGCGCCTGAGGAACTTTAGGAGAACGATGCCTCAAACATTCCTTCGCAATTCCTTCGAACAACTCACTCTACACTCCGGCTGGATATTGCATTTCCTTGACCTTGTGGAGCATAAGCGATTCGAAATATCCGACCCAACGCTAGGCCATTGTGTTGCGATCGTTGCAACGATCTATCTTCAACACAGCTTCACTGAAGACGAGGCATTCAGCAAAAAAGCCCAAACGGGGCTTGAGAAATGTATCCGTTTCCTACAAAAAATGGCCCGTCGATGGCCACACATCGGCCGACAAGTGAGTTAAACCCCCAGAGATTGAAGCTTCAAGTCTAATCATAATATTCGTCAGGCACAACAACTGGAGCAGCTCCGAGGCAGCATCTCCCCTGGCGGCCTATTTACCGAGCCGGGTGCAGCAGACTCTCCCTCCAGCCCTAAATGGTCCGTTAATTTCCAGCTGCTCTGGAAGATATTAGTGTACGCCCACGCAAGCAAGTCACCAGACCATTCAACCGATATCTTTGGTCCCATACTGGGCAAAGATAGCGTTGGGAATTCTGGAATGAATTCTGCTGGAATCATTGCTGAACCTGATTTCGCTCTCATCGGATCTGCTGGTCTCTCAGCACACAAAACAGTAGCATCTGAATGTGTCACATATCCCCCAGAGCAGGCTGAACACATTTCACAAGGACAGAATGCGCTAGGTCAAAACCCGGCACCTATAGATCTATCGGAATTGTCGGAAGACCCGGCGTTGGATTTAAATTGTGGCGACACATTGTTTCTACAGCTTCAAGATTATGGGCGAGCATTCGAGGACTGGCTTAGTGTGAATCCAGGGTGAGGATAAACAGTCAATATATAGTACTAGTATAACCTATGATGCAGTCAATCATGGTATTCGGGACGCAGTTTCTGGCAGACCCGGTCCACCTCCGTCTTCTCCGGGTGCCAAGACCCGGCAACTCCCCGGGTGTTCTGTCGAACCTCCACATTTCAGCTTTTAAATGCTCGCGGCATTCAACACCTCTCAAGTCTTCAGCGTCTGTCCTATAATAGTACGCAAAGTTTCAAAATGCCTGCGTCTAAGAATGATTCGATTATAATCGTGGGCGCTGGAGTCTTCGGCCTGTCCACGGCCCTAGAGCTGAAGCAGCGCGGATATACCAACATCACAGTTTTGGATCGGTACACGCCTCCGGCTGTCGACGGAAGCAGCGTGGATATCTCTCGCATTATTCGCATCGATTATGCTGATCAGGTATATTGCAAAATGGCCCGTGAGGCCTACGAGGGCTGGAAAACCGAATACTCTGACCACTACTACGAGTCGGGTTTTGCACTGCTCTCGGAGACGCCTAACAATGACTGGATCACTAAATCCGCAGCCACTGTCAAGGCTAATGGCGGTACTATCGAAGATCTTCCCGATGCCACTAAACTGCTCAAGTCATACCCGAACATCCAGTCCAACCTGTCCGGCATGAATGGCTACCTCAACCGACGAGGTGGCTGGGCCAATGCTGCGGGCAGTATCCAGCAACTGGCCTCGCGATGCAGCGTGGAGGGAATCTCCATCATCACCGGTCCCCGCGGTACCGTTCTGTCCTTACTCAACGAGGGTTCCCGTGTCGTCGGCGTAAATGTGCTTAGCGGTGGCCCAATCCGTGCCTCCCAAGTTATTCTCAGCACAGGCGCTTGGACAAGTCGACTGTTGAATGTTGCACACGCCGCTTCATCTTCGGGTCAACCAGTTGGCTTCATTCAATTGACTCAAGATGAAGCTCGAGCCCTAGATAACACCCCCGTTATGATCGATATGACTACCGGTGTATTCGTCTTCCCGCCCACCCCTGGCTCTAATATTTTGAAGCTCGCTCGCCATGGATACGGCTATGCAAACGAAACCACGACCAACAACGATGGAAATCGAACCATCTCCGCTCCAAAATTGGAGAGCAGCAATGCACAGACCGGATATATTCCAGGGGATGCAGATGACAGCTTGCGCGAGGGCCTGCGTCGCTTCTTCCCCAAATTTGCTCACCGTCCCTGGTCGAACCGCCGTTTGTGCTGGTATACAGATACTCCCAAGGGCGACTTCATTATCGATAATCACCCGAAGTATGACGGTCTGTTCGTGGCCACCGGTGGAGCTGGACAGTGAGTATCTTCGTATCACATCCCCTGGTAAGCAGGGGCGGTCGGAACTATTCAGCTAACAGCCGATAGTGGATTCAAATTCCTTCCGATTTTGGGTAAATATATTGCAGACTGCTTCGAGGGCAAGGCCTCAAAGGAGCTTCGCGAAAAGTGGCGACTGCCTCCGTCGCCAGGCGGCTCTAAGGAGAACAATATGGCGGGCGATGGTAGCCGAGCTGGTCCACCTCTGAGGAAGCTCAACGATTATGAGAAGGCTCGTCTGTAACATGTAAACATCTTATATTGATTCACTTCGTATAGACGTGACGAAACAAGAAATAAAAATTCAATGAGGGATCTTTTTCCATGCCAGAGATGAGAGCCACATCCTGCCACATCGGAGCCACATCGGAGCCACATCGGAGCCACATCCCATGTGGGATCCAAGCACAGGCGCAAGGTGCTCGGCTCTTCCGGCATATTCTCCACTATATATTGCAGTTATTGGAGCGTGGGGAGTAGATCACCTGGATTGTAACTGGACCTGAACCTTTCGTCACACAAATCGATGTGGGTGATTGGCAGGGGTGGATGTGGAGGCTGTTGCTTGGTCAGATTGCGGGGGTGGGGATAGGAACAGGCCGGCTTTCTCTTTAGCTGCCATAAATACGGCTTGCGAGGACGATGAATTATAATTGTTCGACAGCTCGGAAAATAAACAAATCATGGCATTGAAACTGATAGATCAGCCGATTGAATGCGCATTGGGGATACTCATCGCGTACATTTCCGGATACATTATTTACCAGCGATTCCTCCATCCACTCGCAAAATTCCCTGGTCCATTCCTTGCTTCACTGACCGACCTATGGCAAGTGTATCAATTTATGACATTGAAGCAACCTTACACCCTCACCAAGCTTCATAAGAAGTACGGATCCATAGTCCGATATGGCCCCGATAAGTTGAGCATAACCGACGAGGAAGCCGTCCGATTGATCTATCAGACTGGAGCCAGATACATGCCTAAGACCGAATTCTACGATGCATATGGTGCGGCTCATCCGAATGTATTCGGCATGCGTGACGAAGCGGTTCGTCGATTTCGCCCTTCTGAGCTGAACCTTCTACTAAAACATTTCCAAGGCCCACTCCATCCGACGACGACACATGTCGCACAGCTTTTCCATGGGCTACGTCAAAGAAATGGAGCAATATCTCGATTCAAACATAAGGATCCTACGCGATAAAATATTCCGGCACGCCTTGAATGATGAGCCATTCGATTTGAAAAAGATATTGCATTACTACACTATCGACGTCCTGGGTGAGCTTGCTTTCAGCCAGACATTCGGTATTCAAGAATCCGACGATGAATCCCGTATCCCGCCTGTGATTGAGCATAGCCTGTTGGCAGCCGTCACAGGTGCCTGGCCGGCTATGACAATGACTCTCAAGAAATGGCTTCCTGTAATTCCACACAAGGGGCTCCAGGCTCTTTTTAAAGGTCGAAAGGCCTGCGCAGACCTGGCTTCTCGATGTGTCAATATTAGATTGAGTACTTTACGGTCCAAGGATGGAACAGTCAATGATATGCTAGAAAGAAAGGACATTTTGACTAATCTGATAAATGCCAAACACCCTGATACGGGAGAAAGTCTGACCCAGATTGACTTGGAGACGGAAGCATTTGGCTTCATGTATGTTTTCAATTTTCACGCCTTACCACCCACAGCTCGCATATGAAAATTTACTAACTTGAGCTTCAGCATCGCGGGGACTCATACAACAAGTGCCACAACGGCACTGTTATTCTACCACTTGCTGCACAACACCAATCTCATGAACAAATGCGTCACCGAGATTGACGAAAAATTGCCCTCCCTCCAGCCCAACGAAAATGCGTATTCGGTGACTGATGCGGAGGCCTCTTTGCCATTTTTGCGCAATTGCATAAAAGAGAATTTTCGAATAACCCCTGTTTTCACGATGCCGCTCGCAAGACGAGTCTTAAAGGCTGATGGTGTGATAATTGCTGGGAATCATATTCCGTCCAGGGTAAGCCCGACTCCTAAGCAGCCCTTCGTGGTGATGAAAACTGACATATTCAATCTACCAGACCTCTGTTGCAGTCTGTAACCATGCATTTCATCATAATCCAGAGGTTTGGGGTGCAGATCATAATGTTTTTGACCCATCGCGATGGGATATACCCGAGGTGGCGAGCAAAGCCCGGCTCTTGATGCATTTTGGTCTTGGGGGTCGACAATGTATTGGGAAAACTGTGGCTATGTCCAATATCTACAAGTTGATGAGTACGCTGCTGAAGGAGTTTCAATTTGAATTGGTAGATGAAGAAGAGAAAGCGAGGGTAGGGAGGGGTGGCTTTCAAGGGGAAGTCCCGGAGATGATCAGCGTTGGCATTAGTGATCTCGCCTCGCCGCTGGTGGTGAAAGCTCGGAAGAGAAATTAAATGGAATGAACCGAGGGTCTCAAGTATAGTTTATTTGAAGCCCTGGAGGCATATAGTTAATTGAAGATCACGTTATGCATGGTATTTGCGAATTATTAGTCAATATATATGAGGCAAGACATTGCTTCCAAAGATTGGCTGACCGGATAAATCCAGAATCCAGTCAGCTCCACCATGAGCAGAGGGATTGAATATTCAGAGCAGAGCGTAGAAGAAAAGAATGAAGCTGACAATGCATCACTGCAATCCAATGCGTATTTTGTGGGGATGCAAGGCAAGCTGAGTCGAGACTAAACAGGAATGCAGACCAGAAAGGGATATTTTTTACTTCTTCATGACTTCTTCTCGGTGCTTTCTGCGACTGCAGATCCTCCCGGGGAAGTGTGGAAGTGACTGGCAGTGCTGGCAGTGCGGCTGATACCGGGGGTCGGGGCCTTCTCCTTGGTATCGATGGCAGGGGAGGCAGGGGTCGTCGAGGCCGGGATGCTGGCATTTTCCTTGTCCTTCTCAGCGTAGACCGGGGGCTGGTTCTGAGAAGTGCTACCGGTGGGGCTGGTGGGTGCAGCAGCAGCAGCAGCAGCAGTTGGCGAAGTTGCAGTAGGTGAGGTTGCGGTTGGCGAGGCCAGAGACCCAGCAATAGGGACAGGGTTGCGAGTGGAATCCTTGATAACGGACCACCATTTCTCCGCATCAGAGGCCGAGTGTGCCTTGAAGTAAAGCTCGGATGTGGTGTGGAATGCATTGCCAACCTTGCCGCTGGACACATCCTTACCCTTGACGTTGAATTTCACACCGTCAATGGCACCAACAATGGAGTCGGGCAAGTACAGGGACAGTTGAGGAGTAGGATCCTGGCGGAAGTCATCATTGTCCTTGAACTCGTGCAGGTAACGGGCCGGTGTGACAACGTAGTAGCTGGTGCTGTAACCCTTGATGACAGCACGGGAACGACGCTCCAGAGACCCTTCCAGGAGAGGCTGTGTAGATCGGTGATCCATGTTGGGGAAGGTGACGCTCTCGAATGTGCGGGGAGGTGAGTCGGGGTTCACGAGCGTGGAGTCGTTGCGAACGACAAAGTTGACCCACTCAAAGTCGGGCGGGATGCGTTGCGCGGTGGCCAGAATCTCACCATACATAGTTCGCTGGCGATCAAGCTGCGCACCCATGATCTGGAAGAACTGCTCCAAGGCGCCTTGCAGGGTCAGTAACACATGGCCCTCGAATGACTGGAATGAGTTCTGCACGGCGAGAATATCATTTCGGTGGTTGTTTTCCTCAATGATTTGTTTGTTCAAACGGTGGTTAATACCGCGCTTGAGGATGTAGGGGTCGTGTGCGGTCTCGATTTTGTTGCCGAACGAGGAGTCGTGAGTGGCAGAGTTCTGACCGAGCAATTCGATGTGCTTTTGGGTCAGTTGGCGGGCCTTCTCCACGGCTTTAGCACCCTTGGCCGCCCCTGACTTTAATTCCTTGGATTTATTCTTGATCTCCTTGTGCAGGCGTTCGAGGGTGGGCAGAACGCCGCCCTTCAGGTTCTTCTCGGTGTCGAGGTACATGTTGACCATTCCCTAGTAAGAAGCACCCACCAGTCAGTGCTGTGCAGTAAGCAAGCGCATGGACATTGGAACTTTACCTGAGAGTTGTTGCGCATGTTCTCGATCAAGCCTGCTATACCACCAGCGCTGGAGCTGAAGTGGTCGCTCTCTTTCATAGGTTCGTTGACCGTCTGTTCCGAACAACTTGGTGATTAGCTTTGGAAATGGCGCTCTCGCACACGTAGCCACCGACCTTGAGAATTTTCTCGTGATCCTTCGACTGAGACTTGGAGATCTTCATAGTGGCAGTCATATAGTCCTCCAGGTTTCCGCACACATGCTTCCATGCTCGCAGGCGTTCGATTAGGAGGTTGGTAGTCTACCCAGACATCAACCTAGGTTAGCAGCCGTTGCTTTGCTACCGCGGGGGTATTTGCATGGCGGGTCCGCGTGAAACTGGGGTCCATGGGAATGGTCTTGACACACCTGGCTACTGTCGGTATCAGGGATGGCCTCATCGTCACTCATAGAGGTGCGACGAGTGTAGCTGCTGGAGACAGTTCCCGACCGCTGGGGGAGCTTGTGCTCCACGGGGCTAACCGGGGTCGACATGGCGGATAGCGGGGAGTAGGCGGTTGGCAGAGGATGGAGAGGGAGAAAGGTCGGATCGGTCAGATCGGAGCACGCAAGGCTTGGAGGTCAAAGTACGGAGCACGAAGGTGTCACAAATTGACTGTCGGGTGCGTCGATCGTGTCGGGCAGATCGGGGGGGAAGATCAGTATATGGGCAACTGTGGTGGTGGTTAAAACCGGGAGCGGAATAGAAACACTAGTCTGTAGCCGGACTAGTGGAAAAGAGAGGGGGGGAAGAGAGAGAGACTCACCCCAGAGTGGGTCAGAGGAGGGCAGTGGAGGTGGGAGAGTTGAGGTTGAGGTGTGAAGTGGACTGAAGTGACGAAGTGGGATGTTTTTCTCTGCGATCGGCCATCGGTGATGACCTCATCCTGTCCGCTCTCGGCCCTTCCAAAAATTCCCAACATTTCAGCCCAATCGTGTGTTCCTTGTTCCTCTATTTCTTATTTTTCCCTAATCCAATCCAATCACTGAGAAGGAGGGGCATAAGATTTCCTCCAACTCAAATTGTGATGCCGATACTCAGCCACGTCCATGTTTTTCCCCACAGTCACCGCGTACCACGTCCTTGGGTGGGCGCCACAGACGTGGTGGAGCCGCCCAAAGTGCGGATCGTGAGGTTGCATTGTCCTGGTAAAGGCTAAACGGTAAATAATGGAAAGTAGAAAATGTATAGGGGCTTCCAGGATTGCGAGTGAAAGCTAAACACAACTGTAGGTTCTATCCGAGTTCTAGTATGACACAGAATCTTATACTAGTGATATGCAAAGGGTGCCTTCAAACGTTCGAATTCGACTGCAATACACCTGAGTATACTATTATGAATGTACATGGATCTCTTTCAAAATCAATCAAAAAAATATATCATCGTCGTTCTCCTCACCCTCCGAATCCGGGGCCGGGTCCTGCTCTTCTTGCAGCATTCTCGTTCGATATTCCTCCAAGGATCGCCCGCGTAACAACCCTCTTTCGGAAATCCGGCGCCCACTAGTCACCGCGGTAGGTCGGAGATTGACGATATAATGAGGACAGATAGTACTATGGTCTTCGAGAAATCGAGTATTGGAAGACGGGGTAGTCAAAAGTAACTTGAAGCTCGGCTTCAGGAACTCATTCCGCACAGTCTGGTTCAAGATGAACAAAACATCATTCATCTCGGCTTTCCAAATCTCAGATTCGAACCGGGTTACACCATCAATGATGCAAACAACGGTGGCGGTGTTCGGAAGTTGCTCAATCAGCAATCGGAATATACTGCAAAGATCCTGCAAATAGTGCGACTTGATTCGTTCTGCAAAGGCTCGGGTATTAATGAAGTCGAGATTAAATGTGACACCAGAAAGAAGTAACTGGGCGATTAGGCTTCGAATCAACCAGTTTGGTCCGGCGTTTTGATGGCTGTGGGCTTCATGTAGACCGCAGAAAGCGTGAAGAACGATATAATGGGTGTTTTTCAACAGGTTAACTTGAAGTGAAAGAGTTGCACACAGTGCTGACAAAACCGAGATCCGGCCGGGACCGACCATTTGAAAATGCCCTTTCACAAAGAGTGTCTCGGCAAGAGATGATTTCATCCATCTCATGAAGTCCTCCGATGAAAGAAGTTGCTGTGCCTGGGTTTGAGCGGCGATATCGAATTGGTCCCGATGTCTAAGTACATGGTCGACATCTTCAATCGGCTCATTAACGTGCACCCCAATAGCATGAAATAAATCTGTGTCGGAAAGAAACGGCTGCGGGTATTGCGGTTGACTGCTATATGAGCTGGCGAGAGATGGAGTGTCTGGGCCTAAGATTAGCGGAGTCATTTCCACAATAGGGCCAACACAACATACTAGGAGGATCAGATCGAAAAAACACAAGCAAGAAGTTTTTAGAATCCACTTCCTGGCTGTGCCGGATCTGCTGCTCCATGCGACTCGCCTCGAACGCTCTTTTTAGAGAGCTGATATTCTGCAGAATATGTCCGAAGCCTTCTCCCACACGATCAAGAATCACTTCGCTATTCTCGTGAGTAGCCACGAGATACTCATCACGTACCAATTGCAAACAGTCGCGGAACTTGCCAACACTTGTCTGCGCTTCACTGAGAAGCTCATCTATCTCTGCTGCAGAATGATGAGGGATTAGTTTCCTCCCTAATCGTTTGGCCTTTTCTCTGAATTTTCCTTTTGACCTGCTAGGGTTGAGAGTTGTGATGAGGTGTGCGAGGGAGTGCGCAAGGATTTTGTAAAGGTGAATCGCCTCGACTCTGATGCTTGGAACTGCGGCGAATACATTTTGTTGCTTCTGGGTCTGGAACATAACATCGGGGATCTCATGTAAGGCGCGGAGGATTTTCTGTCGATTTTCGGCATTTTTCTTCGCAATCTGGAGACACGCTTAAGCTTATTTCGTCCAACATGCCGCTCTTACTTTCTATCACATACGTTCAGAATGGCTTTCAGCCCACCGGCAAGGACGCTCATTCCAATGTCATTAGGGATCAACTCTAGCCAAGGACGGAGAGCATCCGCATTATCCCCTGCAAATCTTCCTACATGACGATGGGCGCCCGCTATGCCCTTTTCCTTTTCCTTATATCGACCGTCTGCTTCGGCTATCTCCAGAAGAACGTCATTGAGAGTATAAGAGACAAGATCTAGTCTGTATTTCTCCTCGGTTGTTTCATTGTATTCATAAAGAGCAATTCGTAGGTCGTCTTCGGCGTTACTATATCCAGAGTCTGGCGTTGGCTCAAACCAGGTTGTCACTTCATTATAATGTGCTTTAGCTCCCAAAGCCTCGTGGTATTTATCTCCATTTTGCTGCACAAATTGAACGTCGAGGGTAGTAGCTTCGTTTGTGGAAGATTTGAATATGGAAGAGTCCAGGAAACGCATTTTGGTGGGGGGTGTCAGCGGTTCCTACAAATTGCATCAAGTTGGGGCTTTGAGGGGGGAATGAAGATTTCAGTTCTGTCAGCCTACGGGTTTGGAGTGGAGGCTACTGTTCATAATGGCTGACCAGGCGATGGCATCTTATCATACGCTTTGCTGACGTTCCCGCTCGTACATGAGGGCGTTAATTTCGCGCCTCTGATTCGGCGTTGATATCCTGCTGACTGGCGGAGACGACGCCCGACTACGAACGGTTAAGCTGCCTTGGCCATTGGTGCTCTGGGGACGCTTGTGGGATATTTATTGCACCATGCATGAGCCCGGTGCATTTCTGTACGGAAATAGCGCTCTTCGGCGTTATTGACGTGGTCCGTTCCCGTCACGGTGCTTCTGTAGCTTCTCATGGTGAGGGGTACGAGGCTGAAATCACTGGCCGCTTAGAACATAACGCGAGAAAGAAAAAGAAGGATAATGCCTCTGGTTCCACACTGCCAATTCCTTTTTTACCTTCCCGCCTCTTTCGGTATTTTACCACCTCATTTAACCTTTTTTTCTATGGAGACTATGGAACCTGATAATTCTAGTGGCGACGGAAACCGCCAGGAACACCTGGAGGGCCCTGAGGATGCTCAGGCCGCTTACATTCGAAAGCTTGAGGATCGCCTTGCCGCCCTTGAGAACAAAATGCTCAGTATAGAGTCTGCGAGGCCAGAGAAGAATGGCTCCATGAAAGAGGACCAAGCATATTTGTCGGAAGATGATGATTCCGTAAAAGACGACAAATCCTCGCTCAAGTCGGGGCACGATGGCTCCAAAAGTGGCGGTGACAGTGATGTGAACAAGGAAGACGCAAAAGCAGAACATCCACCCTTCCCGCCAACTGTTGCAGAGGTCCGAAGTATGGACTTTATCCAAGCCAGTCACCATGTTTTCACGGCGCCAACTATTCCCGCAATCGAGCTCTCATGCTTCCCAAAAAAGAAGGATGAGGAAGAAACTAGACTCATCGCGTTCAGAAAGACTTTCAAGGACGTCAGCCCAAAAGAAGCATTGGATATTATCAATGCAAACTATCTGAAACCACATGAGATGGATATGAATTTGCAGTTTGAGGAAATCAACATTCTTTCAGTACCCCTTTCTCAGCTCCTGTGGTCAACTTATTATGATGAAAACTTGCCGCCGGATCAAATGGCCAGTTTTGGGAAACCCTGGATCTCATGTATCTATCGCCACGAAGATGTGAAGAACAGGCTTGCAGAGATGGAGAAAGAGCAAGAGCAACCACCAAACTCGGAAGTTGAACCTTTGGACCAATATTGCAAGAACAGCAAGCTATTGGACGAATTTCGAGCATATGTACGGTTGATGGAGGATACTATCTTACCCTACTATGCTGGATTCAAGACAAAGACGGCAGCAGACAACTTGAAGGTTTACTATTATGATCTTTGGCATTTGTTTGAACCCGGGGAAATTATCTATTACCCAGAAGCCAAGGATGCCCCTTCCAAGTCGGACTACGCCAAGCTTCACAGGAGTAAAAGACCGGACCAGAAACTATGGAGAGTTTACACGAGATTGCGGAAACGTGACGAATACTGGGTGAAGGCATATTGTATTGATTACGATGGTGAATCCTATGTCTGCGTGAAAGAGTGGTTTAACATCGAGAAGTTCGAGGGAAAGAGGAGCGTAAATTCTTTCAAGGTGTTTCCCGTTCGATTTTCAAACAGTGCCAAAGATCTGTTGGCAGATGCCACAGAATCTGGTAGAGCATTTATGAAGAACCGGGATTCGAGGCTAATGGGACACGAGGGATGGACTTCGATTTCAGACCAAGACTCAGGTACAAGCCTCATTTACACCTCTGGAGATGTTATGATCGACTTTGCGGAAACTTTCAGAGTCCATCCAGACTGGAAGCCTATTTCTATGGTCCCCGCAACCTACTATCCGGGGGGCTGGGGGTCGGAACTAGAGGACGATAACAGGACAAGGTGGTACTGGACTGAGGGCCAAGAGCTTAAATGGCATCATCCTGAGATAGTTTCTCTTGGTGATAACCAAATGGCGCGGCGCACCAAAAGAGAGTACGTCTTGGAGAAGGACAATTTCCTATCATGGTCACTCAAAAAAAGCCCATCCAAGTGGACGCCGCGAGAGGAGGATCTATGTCTACTTCCCAGTAGGCTTTTCGGTTATTCGTTCCAAGACCGAAGATTTGTCGCTATGGATTCCAAAAACCTTCGACAAGTTGAAGATAACAGAAACAAATTCAAGAATCTAATCATCGATCAGACTCATGAGGGTATGCTTTTAGCATTGGTGGAATCTCACTTCAGGCGAAAGGACATCAACGAAACTGCAGGCATTTCTACGAATCAGGATATCGTCCAGAACAAAGGCAGAGGCTTGGTTATTCTACTACATGGTGTTCCAGGTGTTGGCAAGACATCTACTGCGGAAATGATCGCGAGCACATTTCAAAGACCTCTTCTACCTATCACTTGTGGTGATCTGGGATTGGATCCTGCAACAGTAGAGAAGTCATTGAAGCAAATGTTCCGAGTGGGACAACTCTGGGATTGCATCTTGCTGCTTGACGAGGCAGACGTATTCCTATCAGAGCGAGTATCATCTGATTTGAATCGCAATGCATTGGTATCAGGTTTGTGAACTCTGCCTCTGTATCAGCACTCCAAGGTTACATAACTAATATATATACAGTTTTCCTACGCGTCCTAGATTACTATTCCGGCATTCTATTTCTCACCACAAATCGCGTGGGCACCACCGATGAAGCGTTCAAGTCTAGAATCCACATCAGCCTGTATTATCCATACCTTGATCTTGATCAAACAGAGAAAATCTGGGCGGTCAACCTTGAAAGACTAGCCGTTATAGAGGCAGAGCAGAGTGCCCTCCAGCCGCCTCTATCAATAGATCGCGAAGACATCCTCAAATTCGCGAAAAGACAATACGAGAAAAGCAATTTCGGCAAAGGCAGATGGAACGGAAGACAAATCCGCAATGCATTCCTCATCGCCTCAGCGCTCGCACACTATGAGAAGACGCATGGGCATAAGAAAGACGACAACCAGCACGACCTTAACGCCCGGCATTTCAGAACAGTTGTGAAAGCTGGATCTGGATTTGAGAGATATCTCCTTCAAGCGAAGGGCATGACGGATCAAGAAGCAGCATATCGTGATGGTACTAGGGCCGATCACGTCCTGTCAGCAGAGGGAGCCGCACCACGAACACCCGTGCCAACATCAGCACAACCTGCCCAACCCCCGGTTCCTTCAGCTCCTTGGGCAAGTCAATACACCTCCCATACGCCCTTCACGCCTCCACGAAATGCCTCTACGTATAACCTCGCCCATCATTCACCCGGCAACAGTTTGTATCCTCAGCAACATCAGAATCAGCATCAGCATCAGCATTTTGTTTATGATCCGCAGGATACATTTGGTCATCCACCAATGGCTACAGGTTATCCCATCCAACGGGCACTTACGCCGGGATCATCTCAGCCGCAGCCGCAGCCTCATGCGCATGGGTGGAATACGAATCATTCGACTGAATACGATTCAGATATTTAGACGCAGACGAAGCCCGGATGCATCATTTATGTGAACTTTATACTACCTTGGAAGGGTGCATTGTATCTTTCCTTATGAACCCATGTTGAGGTCATTTTCGTTTTTTATTTGGGCCAACCACTCCCCTGCAAAGCTATTCTACTACTACCTACCTAGGTATACAGAAACTGCTTGATCCAAACAATCCAGGATACCTACTGAGCATATAACGGGGTAGGATGGAAACCAAGTAGTGGAAGTAGAAGGAGAAGTAGAAGTAAAAGGTATAGTGCAAAGGCAATGCCTCTTAGGCAATAATTTCCGAAATTAAGCGACACAAAGTGTAGTAAGATACATGTGTCTGGATAAGAATAGATGAATAAAATAAAATAAAAGGCATCTGTGCGTATCTCGTGGCTGCGGGAGTCTGGTTCTCGCCGTTTAGCTCAAATTCCCCCGAAAAGCAAAGTAAGGTTTGGTCATGTCCCGTCTATAAGATATCCGATCCGTTCTATGAATTCCCAAACGCCAAAACAAACAAAAAAAGGTGGGAGAGACGAAAGATAAAGAGAAAGGAGATGATGCAGGGGGCAGACTAGGGAAGTCGGTCTGGGTAAAAACAAGGATATGCAAAGGGTAGAAAGGGAAAGAAAAATCCAGTGACCAGCACTGGTTTCGCATGGGAATTTTGAAGGGCTTTTTAGGGCACGAGGAAGAGGAGAGGAGAGAAGAGGTGGAGGAGGTGGCGGTGGTGAAGAAGGTTCGAAAGAAGCGAGGATATCACGCTCTAGCGCGCTCTTGTACTAAACGGAGTCTGCGGGCCATGTCGTCAGCGTTGCTGTTGAGCGATTGGAGGTAACTGGATCGATTCACCTCTAATGGCGTTGTTGGCGTGGAGAAGCCACTGGGGCGAGCGCTGGTACGGCCACTCCGAAGGTAGGCCTGCTGTGGTGACTGAAGTGTGGGAATGTCATTGGCCATGACCGTCTCGTAGCCGGGTAGCTGTGAGTCACAGGGGCCGACGGCAGCGCGCACCGCGGTTGAGTAGCTAGGCACTCGGCTCAGAGTCTCAACCTCGGCATATTGTGGGTGGAATGGGGTGGCCATTCCAGAGGAGATTGCCTCGTTATCACCGTCGTCAGAAGGCCGGCGGGACAGCTCTGGGCTGGCAGGAGTATGCGAGCCGGAGTTTGGAGCCGACCCGAAATAATCACTGAAATGCACGTTCAGCTGGCGGGAGTTGGGATGGTTCTCGGTCGGGGAGTCATGAGGTTCGTTAGGAGAGGGGCTGTTTGCGTTGAGATTTGTCAGGCGGGTGTGCAGAGCAGAGGCAGATATATCGGTGTTCGTCAATGCGTTCATCGAGGCGAGGTTTTCAGCAGAGATATTGCGACTGAGTGGGCCAAAAGGCGTTCCTGCTCCGCCACTGCCGGGTCCTGGTGTCCGATATCCGTTTGGATCCACTTGGCTGTAAAGCTGATCGAACTGATGCTCTCCATATAGGGGCGGGGCTTGCTGGACAACCTCATCAGCTGCCCGGCGGGCTTGTTGGGGCGTGGAATCGCGGATATTGTTGTTTTCGTCAATGGCGATGTGCGGGGAGATATAAATCGATACGGGGAGTGTCGCGCGCAGCTAAATATACTGTTAGGGTTGACTCGAACGTCCGCAGAATTTTCTCCAAGACCTACCTCGCTAATATGCCCATCGGGGTTATGTAGTTGAATGCGGAATTTCATCTTGTGGCGAATCTTGATACCCTTGGTGTCTGTATCCTGCAAGCACCGGGTGAGGGTTTGTGGCATGTCGAGGAACCGTGTGAACTGGTATCCCTCGGCCACCTCATCAATGATTTCTAAACTTTCGTCTCCCAATTCATGCTCATCTGTCATGATGGTTCGGGTAATTTTGTAGGTGTTGCGTATGGAGTCGGAATCTTCCGGGTTGAGGGTCAGATCGTGACTCTCGATAAGTTGTGACGTAGTTTGTCCGATCCGGAGGCCTTTCAGCAAAGGAATCAATTTGAAGTCGACGCGGATAGAGGTGCCGAAAACAACGGCCTTGGTCGGAGTGCTGATGGAGTATTCGATCTTGTTGGGCCAAATATTGTCGACCGACTGTTGAGTTGGTGAGTATGAGGTCAAATTGCAGCTCGAAAAGGGGAATATTTACCATCGCGTGTGATAGCTCGAGGGCACTTGGGTCGAGTGTTCGGATGATGCGCAGAGGTTTCCGAGCCACGATGTCTTTGGCGTACTTGCGACCGATCTCGGCCTTGAACCGGTACATGACCCAGGTCTCGGACAGACCCTCAACACTCTCAGGCATGGAGCCCTCGAGAATGACATCGAAGGGGTATTCGTAATTACCGGCCGCGAGAATCTCCGTTTTGCCTTTGCCAGCGTCGCGGAATTGCCAGGTTTTCTCGTAGAAGACGCGCTCTCTCCAGGATTTGCGGCCGCCAGCGGTCGAACTAGATGGTAGATGCCAGCTGCGATGAGTCAGTCAATCAGGTTCTTTTTGATCTTTTTTTTTTCTCTTTCTTCTACTTCTCTTCGTTGCGAAAGTAATGCGACTGGGGATCTTACCAGACACGCGACATGCCAGTGAGGTGAAGTCGCAAGTGTTTAATGGCGAGAGGCTCGGACAAGCAGAGGACCAAGGTCCCCTTCAGATGAGCGCTGGCGGATTCATGTTCGTTGCCACGAAAGACAATGTAATCATCGTTCAAACTGGGAGATGCGTTAGAGCCGCAATGCAGTAGCATAGCATAGATGCCGAGTCCCCCACTCACCGGATATCGAAATACTTGGCGTTGCTTGCGCTCCCGCCGCCACTAAAGAAGCTGAGAGCCATTTTTCTGAGATGCCCGCAACGATCAGGCGGGCAATGAGGGGCAGAAGCAGTGGAAGTGAAGGATAGGCCGCAGGGGATGAGGAATGGGAGGAAGAGGAAGAGAGACAAGAGGAAGTTCAAGAAGAGGGGTGGAGGGGAGATCCAGAAAAAATAATAATCAAGCCGCTATGACACCACCGATAGGAAATTTGCGGATTTCCAGCGACGGGCGATCTACCGGAGGATGTCCAGAATCGCAATCCGGTCCGACCAAACGGGTTCCACTTGGGAGGTTCCGCTTCCGGCAGAGTGGCGATTTGATGGATACAATCTGCGATAAGAGTGGATGTGATGGGAGATAGTAGTAGAGGGGGAGTAGAAAGTAGAAGAGAGCTGAGTAGAATAAGCCAGAGATGAAAGGGAGAGGGTGAGGTGGTGATGGTGGTGGTGGTGAGGATTTACGTCAGCACAGGCAGGCAGTTACGTGCGTAGTGACAGTACTAACTAGTAGTATTCCAGTGTAGATATACGGTAAATATTAGTATACTATTTGGTATTTACTCAGCTATATACCCTGTTAGGTCAATTACCCTAGCACTGGCAAAAACATGGCTCGATTGCCGCTATAGAGTGCCGTAGATATGCCTATGCCCATGTCTATCCCCATGCCTATAGCTATGGTTATAGTTATAACTAACTACAGTTATAGTATACCCCAAGTATCCCCCCCCCCAGTATCCCCCAGTATACCCATCAGCCCATCTCCAACGTGGCTATCCTTTTTTGCGCCCATCACGCCATCCTCGGCATCGCCCTTCCCGCCCTTGATTTCTCCTAACACATGCAGTGTACATGTGTGCATACAGTACAGAATACGGAGTACTCTGCGATCGATCTCCTGGAGGACGATCTTGTGCCTGGTCTGCACAACATCCATGTTACACCACATTATCTTCCTGTTTGCTTTTCCCCACCCCACTTCAAATTTGCATATATACATACATGCATACAATACAGTATTTTCTGTACAGCACTGACACCTTGAGAAGCTTAGGCTTCAAAGCATCGAAACTCAGACCTAGCCCTACTCTGATCTGGTCTGATCTGATCATCGCGATGCATGCGCATGTGCATGTGGATTCTGCAGCACCTTGTCTGTCACACAAGGGCACCTGGGCAGCATTGCCAAATTCCTCCCCTCCCAGAGCGACTGGGAATGTGCCTGACAACCATGTGGACATGCCATGCAACCAGCCTAGTCTACCCCGGGATCCGTGCGTCTCTGAATGCAGCGATTCCCCATTAATGAACTAACCCGATGATGTGTTTATTTTGTTTATTGATATATGGTATGATTATTTTCCTATCTTTCTACTCTTACATCCGACTTAATCTATGTACCTTGGATGTACGGAGTAGTACTCTGTAAATAACTCTCTTCGCATCTTTAGTCCTGCGGTAGCAGCGGGAAGGCCCTTTGCGGTAGACGATCCGCCCAAGCCCCACCATCCCAAGTGTCAGCCTCTTCACCGGTCGCATATCCAGTCTTTAGCTCGGGTTCTAGACAAAATGACGATGATTTGCCAGAATTGACGTGGGTGGTCGTCTTTGACCTGCCGATGGAGTCCAACAGAGATAAGCTCGAGGCCGCCGAATGGACCCATTTTCCACTGCTGATGGGGCGCGCCGTGAACGTGGCGTTCGAGATGTGTACTATGGAACCCTTGAAAGGAAATTGTATGTGGTTTGCGCCGCTCAGCAAGCTACAGTAGAGGAGCTGAGCAAGCCGATGATTCAGATTGGATGGCCCTAAACCCTTTGCCCCCTGCAGTTACACTGCCCTGTACTGATCTCATTCACGGGTCTCGGCCTGAATGCCGACCAACGGGGGTCAATCGGGATGCCTTGGAAGCTTCGGGCGTTCCCGCTTCACCGGAATCCCGACCTCGTCCCGATTTCTCTGCCCGACACCATTGCGCGTCCAGATCGCCATCGCACTTGCTCCTGACGATCGAATGTTGCTAGCCTGTTTCGCAATTTTGTTCCATGTCAAAAGTACGAAGCCTTGAATACGGAAACTCGTATTTGATTCAATATCGCACAATTCTAGAAGGATGGAAAGCCAAGAGTTTATTACTACATTTAGCATACCAAATCAACTTAGTGTCAAAGCAATGGAGTTCAACCAGTAACTCCGAGTATGACTCGGTATACTTCTCAAAGGAAAAATTAAAAGAATAAGAGATATCCTTCACTGCCTTTTTCGGAGTCCACAAATCATTGCAAGGTCCTCGACAGCATTTTCTTCCCGGGCCCACTCGTACCAGTAGATCATGGACGGTGAGCTCTTCCCGCCGGAGTCTTGTACTCCTGTCTCGACCATTATTAGAAAAAACTAGATCCAGCAACCGGTGTGTCTATTGAGGTTCCAGAACCACATCCTGTTTCTATCAAAGCGGGTACCATCGCATCATTGGTGTCGCAAAAGCTAATATTGTGGACCTGATTGGCGCAAGACATACATATTTTCCTGTATTCTCTGAAGCTTCAATGTACGATGAGATGGTGAGCTGGTCGTGCAAAAGAACTTCATGTGCTCAGCGCGAAACACCTCGGGCACCCTTTGTTAGCCCTCGGCCCAAACAGTCATGCCACCCCCTACTGCTGTACTGTTTAGAATGACCCGCTCGGCACTTCCGACATTTTTCTCGGAGAAACACTTTTGAGGCATAAAGCAAGAAAAATGAATTAATAAAAATACATCAAAATAATCCCGATTTGTTTCTTTAGCCAGGGTTGGCCAGCCTTATCAGCTCGGTTGAAGTTTTCCGAGCCAAAGATAGCATAGCTATGCAATAGCTAAGAGTATGATGCGACAGCCAAGGCCCAAACCCTTGTGGAACCACAAAGGGAAAGGGAGAGGGTCCTGCCTGATCATTCTTGCCAGTTGCCGCCCAGAATTGCAGCACGCTCACACAAAGCAACAGATCTTGAGACCCACAGCGGACTTGCTAGCAGGATTTTCCCCGATTGGATTGGCAACGACAATCGGAAGGCGAGAATCGGCGCCTTTAGGAAATTAGATATCGGAGAAAGTGCGAAACCTTTGGCCCTTTTGGCCCCCCTTGGCAAAAGGACGGCAGTACGAGTATGGTCGCAACTTTTTCTTCCTAGGCTATGGCTAATTTTGCCCGCCCGGTAAATTAAGTGCCGAGGCCGGAAAAATGGTGTTTCTGGTGTTCTCCGATGATCGACAGCAGTTTTCTAGACGCTTTCAATTTCTTCCAATTGAGGGAGATCGACGTTTCCCTGCCAAGACCGGCGGGATAAGAACTTTTGCGCTGCCAGTTTGTCGTCTGATGCCGTTGCACCACATTGTTTCCATATTCCATAGTACTAACAGTATTGGTCTGAGATGGAATGATTTTGTACCATTTCCAATTATTCAATTCGCGACGGAAAAAGGTATACACTGTATACACAACGATAAATCTAGCATGCATCTATGAACGTCCCAAAAAAAAGACAAAAACTCCGCTGTATATGTACTAACAAAAAGGTTCAAGACAAATGCCACCAACTTGAAGCCCAAAGTATTGCCTCATCAAATACAAAAGTCACACTGCATCTCGTCAAACCGGGGAAGTCCAGCTCGGCTGATTAAAATTGGGAAGACACTTGACCATAGCCGGAGGCGCAGACTGCCATTGAACAGTCTCATCTCGAGCCAGACTCGGTCTAGACTGATCGATATGATCACCGACATAGCCTCGCAGCGCTCTGGTACCAACAGCCTCCTCATCAGAGTATGCGACATTGACCGCAGGCACGGCCAGAACCTTCCCAAGACCCTGGCGATACAAATCCTTCGCCAAAAGCGTCGGCTCACCCATGTAGCACTCGCCAGGATCCGAGGCACGGAACTTGACCGTGTCATCAGCAAACGAAGCCGCATCCAGAGTTACCATCCCGCCCCAGCATGAGTATACCTGGAAAGGCTTTTTGGCTTCGTATCGCCGCCTACCATCTGGATCGCTCCAAAAGAGATCTTTGGAATATGACCACGAGCCATCATGCGGGATTTCAAAGAACGTATCGCCAACCAACGTGCGCGATACCCAAACATCATAGAACGTTGTGCCGTTAAAGATCCAATCAAACGCACAGGTCATATGTGCCTCCTGGTTGGCGTGCTGGAACACCAATTCAAGGATATCTTCCGGGCACACCACGATATCATTCACGAAGATGATAACTGCATCCGACGAGTACATTTCTCCCAGTTTATCGCTCGATCCCGACGAGGTCACGGACTTCAATGGAAGGAGCGCCATATTTCGTAGTTTGGCCAATGCCTGGACACGGTCTACGTCCTTGCCCGCCTTTGGATTAATGTCGCTGGATGATAGGAAAAAATGCCCGCCCATCGCATCGATGCGCTCTTTCAATGCAGCCAGGATCTCGTATGTCCCGTCTTCGGATCGGCCTTCGACGACAGAGATAGCGCAGTTCTCTGGTCCAAGGAATCGCATCGTTTCCACGATACTGCTCATGAGTCGAGAGATGATTCCGGCTGATTGGTATAGATCCAATGCGAAGAAATATTTTATTTTGCCGTTGCCTCCGTGCATGGAACTCAATTGACTGTACCGATAAGAAATCTCTGATGGGCAGACAGTTCGATTTATTGCCACATCGTTTCCGAATTCGAGAATCGAGCCCACGTATCTCTCCACGTCGTCGGATGACATGTAGACATTTGATGGCTTGGCTTCCTTTTCTGATGAAGTTTCACTTGCCGCTGTTGATGGCTGTGCATAGTTTGACTCGATGACATCTGTCTCGTTGAATGTTGTCAGCTTGAGGTTCGCATTGTGATTGGGAGGTGATCAAACTTACCGTCATGAGAAATGATCTCGACAGCTTGCTTCCACCGCGCCCCAAAGTCCTGAAATCGCATCGTCAGGAACCAAAGCCCGAATGCGATGGTGGCCGCGGCCACCATGATCTGGTATTGCCGAGGCCTCATATTGACCTTCAAATGTCGAGGACACGACTGTATGTTGGGATTGAAAAACAAGCACCCCGTGTGTATCTCAACGATTACCGCGCAGTCCTCAGTCCCGTCACAAAGATTGAGGAAAATATGGGGTAAAGCCAGACAGCAGAGTTGGAAATCCCTCCAGAGAACCTAGGAGCAGGAAATAAGCTTATTGCCGCATCCATCTTGTCGGTCACCCCCTTGCCACTGTCGATAAATAGCTGTTCATAGAAATTGGCCGCATCGGGCCGAATGGAGCTCCACACGGTGATGATGGGGAGCGTGGTGGACGAATACACCACAAGCATTCCAGTGGGACAGTTGCCGTTTCCGGCATTCCTGGGGTTGCGGGGACCAGAACACACCATCAACCCCACCAGCAGACCAATTCTTAAAAGTTTAATGAATAATTAGAAAATTCAGTTGAGCTTTTCCACACTGGATAGCTGGACCGTTCTGGGCACTTCAATTTGAATTTTTAACTGGACCCAAAAACCTTGGAACCAATCCATATATCGACTTTTCATACAGGAGGCCTCTATGGTTTAGCAGAACCATACTCGTAATTAATTAATGCATATAAATCGCGCTCGATAATTTGATGAAGAGTCAAGGAAAAGGAAGAGATTTAAATAAGAATAGAGGCCACTGACAGTGGAAAGGATTATGTTCACTCTAATGTAATAGCGCAGAATCAACAAAGCCAACTCCTCCAGAACAATGCAAACAAAAAAGGCAGTCTTGCTCATTTTTGGAACATTAGAGTATCGCAAATATCGAAGAGGACAGGTCGTAAAGCATCAATCGAGGTGGAAAGGGTCTGAGGTATGAATCCACGCCGCCAAGACCCATGTCCTCTTTGCGGGGTTCTGAATTTATGCAAGGGGTTTTATTGACAAGGGGGGCGAAGTATTATGGTCGAAAGTAGGATAAACGGGTTGAGCGGACTATGCAGAGCGCTCATCGAAACGGTCGGGGGCATCTTGAGCCAGCAAGAGTGCCCATTATCGATATTGTCGTGAAGATAGGAGACACTTCGGAGAGGGTAATGGAGTAACCAGGGACAGGAGGTTGCCAGTATCGCCCCCTCAGAAGATCCAGCCCAGAATAATATAGATGGCGGTACCCGCCGCGATGACGATACCTGCGACCTTGAGCACGGCGGTAGTGTCGCCTTGTTTCGCCATTCTGGTTAGTCGGGAGGCGCTGCCTTTAAGGGTCGTCGAGAAGGAGGAAAATGCTTCGTTCTAGATAGGCGAAAGCCTGTCAGTTCTGCTCTGGGTATGACGGTTGGCCAACCTGTAGTGCCAGGGTGCCGTTGCACCCTGGCAAGGTTGTTGCTTTCGGGAGACGTACCGAGTTCTCGATCATATCCTGATCCCGGGCGTGGTCGTGAATATCAATCGTCACCGATCGCAAGGCAGAGACCTTGGAGGAGAGAGAGTTGAGGAGCGCATTGTTCTGCCTGGAAGAGGCCGTTAGCGAAAGTTGTCTAGTAGATAGCGGCGCCGCCCCGGGGCGACTGGGAAGTCTTGGAGTTGAAGAGACAGCTCGCGGAGATGCAGAGCAACAGAGGGACACGTACTGCTCGCGCTCGTATCCTTCACTCATATTGATGGGTTGGAGGTGTATCGATGGCCTCTTTCTGGGCGATTTGGCGATTTAGGAGGCTTGCGTGGCTGCTGGCTGAGAAAGAAAGCAGGCAAGGTGGCTCGGCCCGGGGTTGGCAGGGCCGCCTCCGCGATGTCACGTGCCCTCGATCTATATAGCAGAACGAATCATAGAGGCAAAAAAAAAATAAGATTCAAGAAACAAGATTATTGGCAAGTTCGAAGTTTCTTAAAATTGTGTTTACACCCCTTACTCTTCAATTGTGTCGTGGATAGTGTACAAGAGCTGCGCATAATCTGCCATCCAGTGAGACCCAATTTCGTCTAAGAGACTAGCAAACTCCAAGATGATACGCTTAGCATGTCGAGATCCAGATTGATACTTCTTCCCATCCATAACAATTGGACCACCAGAAAGAATAAATCGAACCGCTGCATTTTCTGAGCTTTGGGGGTTTGGCGATTCACACAAGCCCTCTTCCCCGATGGTCTTCCAATCAACATCCGTATTAGATAAGTCAAATGCAACATTCTCATGGATTGGCGAGTAGATGGGAGAGTATGCTTTGGCAAGAAGGTAGAAACCAAGGACCATCGCTGACATGAACAAAGTTCGAACGGACTGAAATGCCGTTCCATCGGCCGGCTTGCGATGTGATAGTATCCGAAACGTCTGAGCCGCATGGATACATGCTCGTCGTGCAGCATCTGTTTCTGTCCACGATATTAATTCCTGTCGAGCCTTGTTCATAGTATTTGGGCCTTCGCGACCTGCAGCGCGTGCTAGAACATTGCCATCAACACAGGCAAGCATGCAAGCGCAGTGCCAAATAACAATGCAGTTTGGATTTGATTCGCTGAGCGTATTTTCGTACTCATTAATGGTAGTGGTTAGTAGAGGTACGCCAATACTCGCCCGCCTGTCAAGCCGGCATACCATCCAAGGGACATGGTGATGCTGGCTCAATGGGACCAACTCGGATTTGGTGACCAATCGATCTATATCACTCGAGACCCGGAGGAGAATGGCACAGAGAATGCCATACATTGAGAATGCATGGATTGGCTCTTCTAGCCGAGGGAGACGAAAGATTTGGGGCGATAATTCGAAAATATGGGTGGTATTTGAGTGTTGCGCAATTAGTTCCAACCATTTACTATGGTGCTTAGCTTGGTAAATATCGTGGTTTGCGGGCAGCGCAAGTTTCAGATTATCTAGTTGGATGATTGGATTCGTCGAGAAGAGCTCCGAGAGCCAGGAATCGTGAAGCAAAAGACCAAGTATTAGGCTGCGTAGTCAATAAGTCAGGCCTGAACGAAATTATTGGAGATGGATATAGGCACTTTTTTGTTGATTCAACTCGAGCCCATGCTTGCCACCTTCTAACCCCATCTATGGATGACTCAAGGATGGAATAGTCTATTTCGTCCATGGTAGAACAGAACAAACCAAAGTCACATGCTGTCTAGGCAATTATAAGCCATGGATCTCCGAGAAAATTGAGATGACATACCGAAAGAGCATAGATATAAAAAGCCTTAGCCTTTTCTCTGCAAATAGTACCCTACAGGCAAGTCAGAGCTGTCAATCAAGAGTAATGCACATATTTAAACTCACACCCGTTCGAAAGAAAGAGGAACAGAACATGATGGCACAGAACTAGGGTATCGAGAATATCGGTCGATTCTTGGTACTTTGAAGCCGCGGAGGTCAACTGTATAAAAGCCTCGTCCAAAACATACTAAGACAAGATAGAAATATCAGTACTTAAGTATATAATTCCAAGGCCACAGACACTAGCATTCTCACTGGATATGTCATTCGGATGAAGTTCACAGCGTCTACTGTTTTTAAAAGTGAAACGCCAATCATACACATTGTGAACAAGAGTATGTCCGAGACTTTCTCTGGGTTAAAGGTCGGGAGATGGGCCATCGGGTAGGCAGGTTGGTATTTTTGTGTATAGAGGTAGAATCCTTGTTCAAAAACCTCTGTAGTATTTCTACACAGAGAGCCTTTATCACAAGTCATATTGTCATCAAATAAGTTTGTGCAATCACATATCAAAATGTTCTTTTTGAGAGTCATGAGACGTTCCTTAGTAGCATCCGTAAGGTTGATTTCAATTAAAAAGGACTCATCAACCGAAAGCGGATTTTCGCTGCTGGTAGGAAATACATGTGTCGACGTAAGAGGGCTGTCGAATATATTTACCGCCGATTTCGAAATTATTTCATGCCACAAATGTTGACACTCCGTTGGTAGAACACTGGTGGGCCAAGACTTTTGAACTCTTGATGCTGTTCGAGCCTGACTGGTCGACTGAGACATTAATTCTCTCGTAGATATAGAGGGTACGAGAGAATTTCCAAAAAACGGAGGCATCTGGCCGCCTTCCGAGTAACCTTGGCTATAATTGATGGGTGTTTGTGAGGGAAATCGAAGCTCAAGAGAAGAGTCAAAGAATATACCATGAAGCCCGTTTGGATCTACGCCCAACAAAGTGTCCCTGTTACCGTCCACTTGTGTCCCTGGAAAACTCAAGTCACTTGCTATTTCAGTGGTGGCGATTGAACTCTTAAGCCCGTCTTTGTCGGTTCTCAAAATACCATCGTTGACATGGCCATCTATTCTGGTCCCAGGAAAGAGTGGAGATGTTTGATGGGACAGAACTTGTGAAGGATGCGACTTATCCTGGCCATGGAGTCAACAAAGAAGGCTATATTTGGTGCCGAAATCGACTTGGAAACCCACCGCATCTTTTGTATGATCGTGCCCGGCATGGCTCCGGCGATGGCGGAGAAGAACATCTCTGAATTCTTAATAAGCGTATACAGGGCTTGATCAAGATCACTCACCTCCGAGCGAAGCTTTTGGTGCAGGTGGAACAGTTGTATGGTCGCTCGCCGGTATCTGTTCGGGGGTTAAAGATGAGATTTCTTCCTTCTTCTGTCGGAATAACGATAGCAATCCCATATACAACTTACGGGCCAACTTGTGCCGGTTAAGATGCTCCATTTTCGAAAATGTCTTGTTACATCTCGCACATGAAATCCTTCGCGCCATTACTTCGGAATTCTTTTGCCGGGTTGGACTCGGAGTATCAGGAAATTGTGCAAATGCGGAGAAAATGCCGAAGGGTCCGATGATGACCTGCGGGGTTGAGACTAGCATGACGAGAAAGGCTTAGACTGGAAAGCTCAAAAATCGTGGATGAATATTCTCCCGGCTCTAATCATTGTGAAGTTCAAGTTCCAAGGTTGTTTTAGGTCGCATTGTATCGAAGAACTATATTCCCCCCTAATTATCTTTGAAGGCAGACCGTAGCTTCCCTCGGTTGTTCTGTTGACTCGTACCCCATGACAAGGACGACTACTACTACCTAGTAGTACTAGTCCTAACTTGAATTTGTCCCTGCGTACCTCCAGGGCTGCCTCCTGATCGTAACTTCCTCGGCCGTAGTATTTATGTATATTCTTCCCTTCCTCGCTCCAAGTACTCGATTTCCCCTGCATACTAACGGCGATGGCTGCGATATCGACCATTGTGCGGTCACAAGCAACATGAGAATAGTTCACACACGTACAAACAAAGAGCATTCTCAGGGCTCTGAAAGACACCTCCCACTGTTGTAAGTGAATCTGTTTTCTACTCCCCTGCATGGGATGCTTCGCCTTCCATACTGTGACATGCCGCGATTTCCATCCACGCCGTGAGATCTTGCATCGAATCAATGGATCAATGATGCGTTACCCATCTCAATTCGTCTAATCCATCTCATGTATGCCCCTTCTAACGTAGAGGAACTGTAGGTTTCACCGTTTGCGTGGCGACGATGGCCCCGCAATTTTTCGAAGACGATGGCTCCGTCACGCCTGCTCACAACGGTGCAGAAAACAGAAGACGTTGCGGCCCCAACACCCTATTTCTAAGGCTTTGGCAAAGGCTTCAGAGCCGAGGGCCCAGAAGTGCGAACTAGGTCAGCAATGCTAGATGCCGACCTGTACCACAGTATGTACCGGACCAGGGTAGTTCTGCTACTTCCATGGGTATGGAGACCATGAAACAAAGAAATGCTTCATTGACAAGGCGTCAAACCTCGAAATGGCCCAGGTAAGAGTCTCCAGTCAACGGAAATATGTTTCATTGCATCATTTTAACGTGTAATATGTGGAACTAGATGCAGAAGCAGTCCTCTCGAGCGAGGACGAGGCCCATTCTCCCACGAGGGCCAAGGGCGAGCGCTCGCAATGCCGCTCGAAAGGCGGCGGAGGAGGAGAGATTGGAAGCAAGAAAGGGGGTTAAACAGGAGTTCGTGGAGGATGTGAGCGGAGAGGGTAAGTCTTATATTGCACGTCTCATATACATTACGCTATATCTAACGCCATGCTGTAACAGAAGATCCCTCCGATATCCTGCAAGACCCTGGGCAGATAAGCTCCATCAATACCACTGACCGTGATATTATGCATGGGCTCCAATAACTTTGGAACAATATGCGGGGATAAGGTCTCCGGAGGCTACTGGCGTTCCTCTGATGCTTTCTGACCGTTTCTGCCTCTCTCCGAGAACCTTAGCGAGGTGCGATGAAGGGGCAAACGTGTACTTTGTATTATGGTCCTCTCTCTTTTCTTTTCTTTTCTTTTCTTTTCTTTCTTTTCTTCTTTCTCTTTTATTCTCTGTATATTATACTTCGTAAATAGCTATCCTAACCTTACTAGGCCTTGTTGGAGGTTACTTTGTTGGAATGGATGCTGTTGGCCGTTTCAGATACCTTGATTTTCCCTCTGGGCATATACTTTGGTGTTCATTGTAACCTTAAGCCTAAGTTACGTATTGTAGCTAGCTTTAGGTCTATATAGCTAATATTCCATGATTAATAAGTAAGTCTTCATTTGGGAAAATGTGTGCCCAGGCGAGGCGGTTTTATGACAGGGATGAAACAGTGATTATAGGTGCGCGAGAGCGATGGTGACGATGCTTTGGTATTGCACTCAGTCCGAGCACAATCAACACCGGTCACGATGGTATATTCTCGGTGAGAGGTTCACCGGCGTCGGACTTTCGACTTTCGACGAGGACCAGTCTGAATGCGCGATCTTAGAACGATGGGACTTGCGGTTGGTTTGTGCTGGCCCAGGAGAATAAACGAGTAGCTGCCGTTGAGGTACCTGGCCTTCCTTGGTCGCAGTGGTCCTGAGACCCCCCACTGAACAAGCCATATGTGCACTGATCTCAGTTGGCAGGAGTAGGATTGGTGTGGTGAGCACGTCAAAGTACCAAGGATGGCTTATTCGCAAGGATAGGAGCACGTCGCACACTCATCGGCTCGACCTTCTGACAACTCTGGATACAAAGAACTACCCAGCCCCATTGCGTGCAGGGATGCATCCCCGTGGGCAAATCAGATTGCAGGCTGCTTCAGCCCAGAGCTTCGCGCTGGCTTAGCTATTCTACCCACAGCCAATGACCGCTGGAGCTGCTAAGCTCACTCGGCTGCAAGCCGGTCGGCTGTCGCCTATCCTTCGGTAAGCCTTCGATATTCAGGGTCGAGACCGCACTAACTCAGGGCGTGCACGAACAAATCGAGCCAAATGGCCGGGGCTGCGATGTGATCTACCATAAATCCACTGCGGGGCCCCTCTTTTCCCCAGACACGCCCCCGGATCTGAGCTTGCGGTGAATGAACCTCATCTTTCATGGGCTGGAGGGACTGAGAATCAATCAACTCTCTTAAAATTCTGCTTGTGGTCCTCAAGAGCTTATCAGTGGGATCATCAACATCATGGGTCGCAAACTCGGCCTCTTTAGAGCCGTTTACTTGGTCTCGGCTAGCTGCATGGGTTCTTTCGCCTTCGCCTTTGACACTGGAATCATAAGTGCGTCCAATCTCACCCTTCAGATCCAATTTTGAGTCAGTATCACTGATAAATTCAACCCTTGCCTAATGCAGGTGGGGTTCTTTCTTTGACATCGTTCCAAGAAGACTTCAATTACTCCCATTTCACTAAAGCTCAAAAGACGACCGTCAACTCCAACGCAGTCTCTATTCTCCAGGGGGGTGCATTTTTCGGATGTTTCCTCATTTCCCCGATTGCATCATATTTTGGCCGTCGCACAGGGCTCATCATCAGCTCTCTTGTGTTCACACTAGGCACAATCTTGCAAGTAATCAATACGGGCACTCTGGGAACTTTCTATGCAGGTCGGGTCGTCGCAGGGCTCGGTATAGGAGCAGCCACTGTCCTCATTCCGATTTACTCGGCAGAAATGTCTCCCAAAGAGATACGCGGTCGCCTTGGTGCTTGTTTCCAGCTATTCTTCGCTCTAGGCGTCATGATCGCTTATTGGACTACCTACGCCGTTTCAAAGGACCAACCCAATGGAACTAATCAGTGGCAGACGGCACTAGGCCTCCAGCTTCTGGGATCAACTTTGTTACTTGTCGGCATGTGCACTGTCAAAGAAAGCGCTCGATGGCTCGCCTCCAAGGGAAAAATTGACAAAGCACGCGAATCGCTAAAGTGGATTCGTGGCGGCGAGGAAACAGAAGAGCTCCAAAAAGAGTTCGATGAGATATTGGTCGGTATTGAGGAAGAGGCCCGCGTCAAGGAGAACCTAACGTTTCGCGAACTGTTCCTCCCTGCAAATCGATATCGATTCTTTATTGCCATCACAATCCAACTCTGCGCCCAGCTAACTGGCAACACTTCACTGGCTTACTATGCTAATCAGATTTTCCAAGCAGTAGGAGCCGGGGGCTCAGCGAAACTTGTAACCGGTTTCTTTGGCCTCGTGAAAGTGTGTGGTGTTCTCATCTTCCAAATATTTGTGCTGGATCGCATTGGTCGCCGCGTCCCGTTTATGGTGGGAGCCTTTGCAATGGGTTCATTCATGTTGATCATTGCTATCATTCTGGCAACGCATCCGGTTAACCCAAATGCCACGAGTCCCACCTCGGCTGGTATTGCCTGCATCATCATGACCTATGGAGAGGCATTCAGTTACAATATGTCTTGGGGTCCACTCCCATGGCTTTATTTGGGGGAGATCTTCTCCAGTCGCACGAGAGAGGCGGGAGTTTCTATCGGTGCCGCTTCACAATGGCTTTTTAACTTCACTCTCAGTCAAATCACACCTCACGCCATCGAGAATATCGGCTGGCGAATGTTTTTAATGTTCTCTATCCTCAATTATGCCATAATTGGATATTCCTGGCTTGTGTTGAAGGAGGTTCGTACTTTCGCTTTGTCACCGGGAAGACTTTTGGTTAACAGCGTTGATAGACATCGCAACACTCCCTCGAAGAGATGCAGGAAGTATTTGGAGGGCCGAAGCATGAGCAGAAACATGTGGAAGATGCGAAGCCTGTTGAAAATCGCGCGGAGCCTACACCTAGCTTGAAGCAGTAAGCATTTGTAAATGATAGCAATTTAGCCCGACGACATTGAGTTCATCTAGTATATTCCACTTCTCCACAAACACGACGCAGTAACCTCACTCCACTTAAAAAGTCTCGCATCACCCGTCTCTAGCCTGCTGCTCTCCCCAGGATTGGCTCGCTCCCCAGGTTTTCGCCCCGCGGCGGGGAAATAGCGGAGTTGAGATGCCTTGGCGTTGCATCGTCGATTTTAGTCTTTTAGTCTTTTAGACCTTTTTCTTTATGCCTCACTGCAAAGTCCCCTCTCCCACGTTTCACCATAAACTGAATTTTCTAGACTTTTTTTCCTTGAATTTTGTCCGATTTCTTTCAATTACAAATTTAGACGTGTGGTCTGCCCAAGCGGCCTTTCCACATGAGCCTATTTAAAACAACAAAATCGACCTAATGCGACGCCACAAACTCCTCGAAAGCAGCACGGATCCCCATTTAACCCCTCTGATTTGCCAGCTCCCCTGTCAGAATTCCTTTGTATCCGGCACGGAGCACACGACACAACGCGGCTCTCGAAGTCCAGCGACTCCAGTTTTAACGCTAGCACAACGCCACCTATCCCCTGGAAATTCTCACAAAGGCAAACTTGAAGGCTCGGGGAGCTACCCACGCAACGCAGATCAAATTTGATCCAACAGACTATTAGACTGACTAGTATTTTCTTTGTTTCTTTATTCAATTGAGTATCTATTTTAAGGCAACCTGCCTCAGTCAGTTCTACTTCGAAGGTCTCGCACTGGTAGCATTGCAAATTCAGAAGGGTCGCCTTGGTCCTCGATCTAGCCAAGCCACGTCCAGTTACCAAGTGTCCTGATTACGTTTCTGCTTTCTACAATTAGGATCGCGCCTCGGGACTTCTTTCCCCAGTGAACTAAACCTTAAGTATCGTGCTGCTGACGACGCCCTAAAAGAACAAGTCGGCTCGCTTCCATGGTCAATGATTTTCTACTTCTTCCCTGGGCCCCTTTTCATGTGATATGAAAATTCATTTAATCTGTCTCGGCATATCTCTGTCTCTTTTCCTGCATCGATTCTACCCGGTAATGAACTAATTCAACATGATGGATCGAGTTGTGCGGCCTACCGATCCCGACGCTCTGGTCCTTGAGGCATGGGGTCAGGGATTAATGGTCGGCAGCCTTCTCATAATGGCTGCTATCACTGCGGCCAATATGAAGAGACACATTCTTTTGCATAAACTGATTCTTGCAGAGGTGAGAAAATACTCTATTCCCAAGAACAACAATGCCAGTGCAATTGTTGAAGCGAAATACCAGTGATAAACCCCACTGACAGCCATTTCGTAGCTTATTCTCGCAATGGCTCACGGTACATTCATTTTCCCTCATGAGCCTACATACGGCTGGTATCTCTCTGTGACGGCGATCGGGTTAAATATTTCCTGGGTATTACACAACATCATTTCATGGATGAAAATTCGACCTTTCCTTTCGCGCAAAGTCTCAATATTCTACATCGTCACTATGGTGCTCTGTTGGCCCTATTGGATATTGGAGATATATGCCAACTTCACCTATTTCAACAACATCAATGACATCTTCCTCAAGACCCGGCCGCTTGAACCACTCTTTCGGTATGATTCCTTATATCCAATGTCCTATTTCCATGATCCGTTGTCCCATTACTTTCACTGCCTGCTCATGGGTGTTATTATGGCTTCTATTCCATCACTAACTCTCCAACAGGGATCCTTGGTGGGTTCTAACAGGCCTTTGCCTCTTCTGGACGATCAAACGTGAATACAATTTCAAACTCTGGGAGCTCATAGTTGTCAGCCCGCGATTTGGCGTGATGCTTGCTTCAATGATTCTATCGATCGCGTTTATTGTTGTCGATACTTGCAGCGTTCTCAACGCTTTCAAGGGCTCGGATCTTCCCACGGGCGTGGAGCCTTTCTGGAAGGTATTGATCCCTGTTCATGTCACTTGCAATTAAATCTGGTCAACTTGCCGATGTTTGTTACTGAAATTTTCCGACTAACAGTTGTTTATAGTTATCATTTATCTTCAAGTGCCTATGCGACACCGTTATCCTGGACGACTTCAAAACAGCCCTCGATCGACTTCGAACTTACTGGCTACGCAAACAAGCCACCGGCGAGGGATTCTACCCACTGAGTGGACAGGGACAAGGACGAGAACGAAGTGATGATATCGAATCAAGTCAGGGAAAAATTGTCACGCACAAACTCGTGCGAATGGACAATCCTTCTATTCCACGAGCGCTTCTCAGTCGGAAGGATGCTCCATAGGTCTATTCATGGATTCATTGCTGTGCTCGAAACATATGTGAATACAGCGCACTTTCAGTGAGACCCCTAGCCTAAGCTTTTAGCAGCCACATATTTCAGTCGATGGGGTTAGTCTGAATGTGCAATATCGGGTGGCTTTGGCAACGAAAATGACTACCACAAGAAGTTCCATTTATAAGATATCTGAGACTTCCGACTGTCTCTCTGATAGTGGCTGTATAGAAGTTAAATTGCTCTTGTATTGGCAGCAAATGCAGTCTATCAATGATTAATGCTTATTAGTCCACCCAGTAGCTGCAAGCCTCGCCACCACGCACGAGCCTACCGCATCCCACCTCTCGGAGAATTGGGCTCGGAGAATTACGCTGACCCACCAAGTTTGTTGAAGTAATGTGAAGAACATCATTGTCTGGGCACATATCCAGATCTGCTGGCCGTTCATGGAGAAATATCCTAATTCTCCGACTTGCCAGAACCAGCGCTTGGACCCTGGCAGCTACAACGGAATACCCCCACGCAACCCCATATAATCGGATGATATACCGTACTACTTAGATACTCTCAATATCAAGAAGCAATCACATAATTGATTTACTGCCTATCCACCATATGACCCATAAACTTCATCCCACGCTCTACTCCGGCCACATGATGGTAACTCGATTGAAAACTTGAATGAACCGTGGAACGTGGGAAAAGTACATTCTGAAATCGTGATTTGCAAATATAAATAAGGCACCGTCTCCCATCCTTTTTTGCATCTCAACAATTCTTTCTCATTCTCATTTCCAAATTATAAAACCCCCCTTCCACCATGGGATCCATCGACATCCCCAAAACCCAGACCGTGGCTTTAGTCCGCAATCTCGGTGGCCCGGTCGAATTCAAGGAAGACTACCCTGTCCCTACCCCAGGTAAAAACGAGGTTCTCGCAAAGGTCCTCTACACGGGTGTTTGTCAAAGTGGTCAGTACTATCAACCCATATATCATCCCCACCTCCGTACCAGCCAGGCTCCAACTTGAAGCTGCACTCAAAACGAACAAGCATCTCACTATAATCCCAGATCTCCACACCAGAGCCGGCACCGCAGCCGGTCCAGATGGGAACCCAATCACCGAAATCAAAACGCCCCATATCGGTGGCCACGAGGGAATTGGACGGATTGTCTCGTTGGGCCCGGACATCACGCACGAGACTGGGGTCAAAGTTGGCGCGCTAGTTGGAATCAGATTTTCTTCTCGAATCTGCCGTCGTTGCGAGTTCTGTCTTGCTGGGACTGAGCAGTATTGCGTGCAGAGTACAAATCATTTACATCATGAGGATGGCAGTTTCTCAGAGTATCTTGCGCTTGATGCTGATTACTTGACGATCTTGCCCGACGATTGTGATCCGGTGGTCATGGGACCTGTTTTGTGCGCTGGTTTGACAGCTTACAAGGTAGGTCGAGGCTGTTGTTCGGCGCGGGGAGTTCTTGACTAAAATCTTTCAGGCGGTTTTGAATGCGAATATTCGGCCTGGGCAATGGGTAGTTGTTGTCGGGGCTGGTGGAGGTCTGGGGCACTTGGCAGGTATGAATCTTCCACCTAAACCTTATACTTGAAGTAAACAGTTGTTGATTTTTCTTCTCTCGTAGTACAATATGCCCGTGCTGCTGGTGCTTTGGTGATCGGAGTCGATGGACCTGGAAAGCGGGATTTCGTTCTTGGCGTTGGAGCGCAAGAATTCATCGACTTTGCCAAAGAAGACCCGATCGAGAGGGTGCAGGAGATTACTGGTCTTGGAGCACATGCTGCAGTCGTTACAGCTGGGTCTGCGAAGGCATTTGCACACGCCTGCGAGATGTTGCGAGTTGGCGGGAGTCTGAGCTGCGTCGGTATTCCGCCAGGTCGACCGTGCCTTGAGACTCCGATTTGTACGATCGTGATTAAGGGGTTGAGGATCACCGGTAACTTGGTTGGGTCTTTGAAGGAGTGTATGGAAGCAGTTGACCTTGTCCGACGGGGTGTGGTCAAGCCCGTCATCAAAGTCAGGCAATTCAAGGACTTGCCCCAGGTATATGAGGAGATGGAGAGAGGAGATATTTCTGGGCGTGTGGTTCTTCAGATTGCCCAGTGACGATCTATCACTTCATAATAACAATCTTCAGCTTCTGAATTCCAGCTCTCTTTATTTCCCCCCATATTCATCTCAAGTCCCGGCTCACAGTCGATATTCCCCAGCTCCATCGTCAGCAGTCGAGCTGGTGCCATAACGAGTACTTCGGCCGTCTTCGCACGAAGAATAGAGTTTAACACTGGGTCTTTCTCCAGAAAAGGTGAAAGTTTTTGATAGAGAGCATGTAAGAAGTCCTTCGGGGATAACTGGAAGGTAGGTTGTGGACCGGTGAAATTAAGAAGAGCCGTATCTGCAAGGGAGTTCGCAACCTCGAAACATTTTAAAAGCTTCACTAGATATCAACGCGGGGCTCTATCCAACTAGAATTTTAAAGAGAACTTACCTGATCCCGACCCAAGGGGAGCAAGTCTGTCTCTGAGAAGAACCGTAGAGAATGAAGCAGATCACGGCTAACCTTTGCAGGAAAGCTAAAGGTCATCACATCTCTCGATGTTGAGGAGGAGAGCAAACCCATCGATAATGCTCTCTGCCATAGAATAGTTCGCATCCACTCCCGGGTGATATGGCAGTCTGCTGTTCTAGTCGAGATCTGATCGGCAAGATTGAGGTACAGCGAAGATAATCTGTTCTCGGTCTCTGTAAGATGGGTCGCAGAGGTAAGTTCGTTCCCGGATTTATGGCGGAGAGATATTTGATCAAATGCAATAAACAGTCTCACAAGGTCCAACAGCCCTTGAGCGTGGATGTCTTCGGAAGATTCCCCGAGGCCTGTGAGTGGTGGTGGATCGATGCATGACGGTGATAGGCCGAGGTGCATTGCATATCCTCTATTCAATTTCTCAGCCAATGAAGCCGATCTTTGGATGGGTTTTAACTCACCTCTCTGAAACCCATAGCAGAGGGAAAATTAGCTCGCGGTTATAGATAATATCATTTTCCTGGAAAGTCGGAAGCCCCTCTGACTGTACTGAGGTAACATCTAATTGAAGGATCCGCGAAATCGCCTCCTGGATATAACTCCACGCCGTGTTACATTGGTTGACCTTTGCATGATACACATGCAAGAAGAAAGATACCAGAGCGTTGGTAAAATGAAAATGCTCTTCGTTCTCAGAGCATTGAGATCTGATCCGGACGCAAGTCTTCGCCATAACCGTGGAATCCACTGTCCCCATTACCGGGTCAAGCTGGAGCTGGGCCATGGTCGCCGCACATAGAGCGGTAACAAGACAAGCAATATTCGCAGAAACACTCTCTGTGTTTTCAAGCTCAATATCCTCGAGTTGCTCCAGCAATGCGTCGGCATTGATCACCGGCCAGACACTATAAGAATGTTCCCGGTAGAGACGCACAATAGGCGCAATGATATCTTTGGATATTCGAAATGGGAGAGCAACGCCCGCAGATATAACCTGTGACGTATCATCCACCGAATAGGTTTGATTATTCTCAGGCCGGTCATGAGATAAGTCCTGATCTCGCCGAGCTGCTCGTCTTCTCACCTTGGGGCCTCTTCTCCGCGGCGGCTTGAGATAGGTACATTCGACCTTCTTGATGGAATCACAGCAAGAACCGCAGGGCCATGATCCACTGCATTTGATTTTCCGTGCAATGCACGTATCACAGGCTCGTTTGGGTGGCATGGAGAATCGGGCCACTCTGGTAAGATCTGTTGATATTGGGAAGTGGGGAGGGGAGGGGAGTATGCGGGGAAGGAAAGGATATCATTTGGTGTTGGAGTGTAGTACTTCGGTAGTGGAATGGGGATCCGGCACATTGCCGATGCAGTAAGTAGTAGTGTTCACGCTTAGCTCTATGCTACATATTTTACACTATAATAGAATACTTATACTCTCTACCTAACTCGTGCCGCAATCCTCTCTCTGTAGAAAAAAAAAAAAGTGGATCCTCTTTTTGCAGGGAAGGTCCAACGTCAACCTCGACGTCAACGTCAATCCCCCACTTGAACAGTCCATACTCGTAGTTAAGACCCTCCATCTCACCTTTCTCTTCTCCCTCTGCAAATTTTTAAATTTCTCAATTTCCACCCTCACACCAAAAACCACTTTCACAATGGCCCTCTCCGCTCCCAGCACCGACGTGAGTCCCTTCCCAACTTCCATTACCATCCATATTCTAACAACCCCACAGCCCCAAACCCTCATCGCCCAAGAAGTAAGCCATGAGCAAACCTTCACCACCTTCACCACCAGCACAGCCTGGACCCTAGGCACCGCCCTCCGCGAGCGCATCCTCTCCCTCCCCCAAGGAACCCGCAAACCCGCCTTGATCTCCATTGCCCTCGCAACCGCCACATCCGGCGGGGTCCCGCTACACGTCGTTTTCCAGAGCGCAACCGAGAGCGGGACGATCCCCGATAACGAGAACTGGGTGCGGCGCAAGCGGAACACCGTCTTGCGGTGGGGAGTGTCCAGCTGGGCGATGAGGCAGAAGACTGTGTCGGGTCTTGCGGCTGGTGCGACGGCTGATGAGATTGAGGGCGCTTTTGTGAGGAAGTATGCTATTGCTAGTGCGAATGGGGGTGCTGTTGCGGATGAGTATGCAATTCACGGGGGTGGGTATCCGATTCGGGTGCGTGGGGTTGAGGGAGTTGTTGCTGTTGTTGTTGTTAGTGGGTTGAAGCAGGAGGATGATCATCAGGTTGTTGCTGAGACTATTCGGGAGGTTATTGCGAAGGGTAATTAGGGGAAGTGAAAGCATTGAAAAGGGTTATGGTAAGGAATAGAGCTGAATATACGCATCAATCTATGTTCAACACTACACTGTGGGACGCTGGTAGAAAGCTAGAAGGTATCATGGTATTTAGGCCAGCTCAAGCCGACTCAATGCGACGGGTCTTTATCCCGCGCATGACTAGAAACACAAGCAGAATAGAAAGAACTCCATGGATAATGCCTCAAAAGATAGTTTTACAGTTCGTCGTGGTCCAGGGGCTCATCATCCTCGGGAGGAGCTCCAGAGCCATACAGCTTGCTGGTGATGGGGTAAGCAACACCAGAGAGCTGCTCCTTCTGCTCCTCGAAGTCCTCGGCGGTGGCGGTAGGACCGTTGTCCTCGAGCCAGTCGATGGCCTCCTTGACAGCGTCCAGGATGGTCTGCTTGTCGTCCTCGTCGATCTGGCCACCAAGACCCTCCTCGTCGGCGACCTGGTTCTTCAGGCTGAAGGCGTAGTTCTCGAGACCGTTACGGGCCTCAATCTTGCCCTTCATGGCCTTGTCCTCCTCGGCAAACTCCTCGGCTTCCTGGACCATGCGCTCAATGTCCTCAGGAGTGAGACGGCCCTTCTCGTTGGTGATGGTGATGGACTCGGCCTTGCCGGTGCCCTTGTCACTGGCGCTGACCTTGAGGATTCCGTTGGCATCAAGGTCGAAAGCGACCTCGACCTGAGGAACACCACGAGGAGCGGGGGGGGATACCGTTCAGCTCGAACTTGCCGAGCTGGTTGTTGTCCTTGGTCATAGACCGCTCACCCTCGAAGACCTGGATCAACACGGTGGGCTGGTTGTCGGCCGCAGTAGAGAAGATTTGCGACTTGCGGGTGGGGATAACAGTGTTGCGGGGAATAAGCTTGGTCATAACACCGCCAGTGGTCTCAATACCCAAAGTCAGGGGGTTGACATCCATGAGAACAACGTCAACCAGGCTCTCGTCGCCGGAAAGGACACCGCCCTGAACGGCGGCACCAAAGGCAACGGCCTCGTCGGGGTTGATACCCTTGCTGGCCTTCTTACCACCGAAGTACTCCTCGATGAGGCTCTGGACCTTGGGGATACGGGTAGAACCACCAACAAGAACAATGTCGTCGACATCAGCCTTCTTGACCTTGGCATCCTTAAGAACCTGCTCAACAGGCTTAAGGGTCTTCTTGAACAGATCGTTGTTCAGTTCTTCGAACTTGGCGCGGGTCAGGGTCTCGGAAAAGTCCTCGCCGTTGTGGAAAGACTCGATTTCAATGCGAGTGGACATCTGGGAAGACAGAGTACGCTTGGCCTTCTCGACCTCACGCTTGAGCTTACCCATGGACTTCAGGTCCTTGGTGACATCAACATTGTTCTTCTTGTTGTAGAGCTTGACGAAGTGGTCAATGACACGCTGGTCAAAGTCCTCACCACCAAGGTGGGTGTCACCAGCGGTGCTGAGAACCTCAAAGACACCGTTGTCGATAGACAGAAGAGAGACATCGAAAGTACCACCACCCAGATCGTAGACAATAATCTGGCGCTCATCACCGACCTTATCAAGACCATAGGCGATAGCGGCGGCGGTGGGCTCGTTGACGACACGGAGGATGGTAAGGCCGGCAATAGTACCAGCATCCTTGGTGGCCTGACGCTGAGCATCATTGAAGTAGGCGGGGACGGTAACAACGGCGTGAGTGACAGTCTTGCCGAGATAGCTCTCAGCAGTCTCCTTCATCTTGCCGAGAATCATGGCGGAGATCTCCTCAGGGGTGAAGACCTTGGGAGTCTTGTTGACCTCAACCTTGACATTAGGCTTGCCATCCTTGTTCACAACCTTGAAGGGGAAGTGCTTGATGTCCTTTTGAGTGTCCTTTTCCTCGAACTTGCGACCAATCAATCGCTTGACGTCGAAGACGGTGCGGACAGGGTTGGCAGCGTACTGGTTCTTGGCGGCGTCACCAACGAGACGTTCCTCATCGGTGAAAGCGACGTAGGAAGGAGTGATACGGTTACCCTGGTCGTTGGCGATAATCTCAACCTTGCCCTGTTGCATCACACCGACACAGCTGTGGCAAGTTAGCTTAGTTAAGATGGGGACTCTGAGGACATGCAGGGACAAACATACGAGTAGGTGGTTCCCAAATCAATACCAATAACATTGCCATATTCTTCAGTCTCAGTCTCGTTCTCGGCCTGGGCACCGGTACCGAACAGGGCCATGGGCGCAATCAGAACCAACAGAAGGTAAAAGACGGTGGTCCAAGTGAAAGACTTGGACGCGCCGACGCTACTCCTCGAGAGGCGCGCCATTGTGAAAGAATGAAAGGGAGAATCGACAAAAGCACACTTTAGTGTGTCCTCACTGTTGTCGAAGTTGTCGAAAGGGTCGAGGGGAGGAGGGTAACCCGAACAAGAGATGGGGAAGGAGAAAAGTGGAAAGTGAGCGCGGAGGGCCTACTTGTATGGAAAGGTAAAAGGCCACCTCGCGCTGCAGCGGCCAGCATGGCCTTTTCCACAGAGGAAGGGTTACTTCTCGTGATTTGATTGGTGGATTCCAGTTCTGACTCAGCTATTTCCACCGCCTACCCCTTTAGTGTGAGCTTAATCCCAATCGAGTAGCCCAAGTGGGTCGATCCGATGAATGATTTCAGCCACCGACCCAATCAGCAACCGCCACCCTGTCGAATTTGCTAGAAGAAGCTAAGCGTTTGCCCCCAATTTTACGAGTCACTCGCTTCAAGGGTCCCATGGATCCTTCTGGGTTACTCACGCAATATATTGATAATAACGCGTAAAGACAATGGAGCCAAGTGGCATGTACGACACGAGATGCCACTGTATACTATCTTTGCCAGTAGCCAGCTTCACTGGAGGATCGACAGTACATTCTCTTCTGGCCAAGGAACATGGGGCTAGGCCAGGGATCGGCGGAGCCTCAGGAACCCTGGGTACCTGTGGCACCCGTGAACTAAGAAGAACACCTTGGAACCCTGAGTAACCAAGTATCCCGAGGTCTCCATTTTCAAATCAACACCTAGGTTATCAAGTTTACTAGTATGATAATAGTTAAGTTTTTTTTTGTTTATTTACTTCTTAGCTCTCGATTTGGCTAAATGTTTGCTACTGCAATGTAATAATAATATTGTAAAGATATCTAGACATCGATGCTCACCACTCCCACAACTTGAAATTACTCTAACAATCCAGCCGCCACTGTCGTACCCCCACTGCGGAGAACAATCCTCGTAGGTGCTTCCAAAGGAACCGCCTGGTCCATCTCAACAACCACCCGCGCCACCGTACCAGGAGACACAATCTTCGGCCGCTTCTTCAGCGCCGCACCCGAAGCCTTATCCAAAGATGCCACCAATTTGCTAATACGCGCCGGGACATGGAGCCGACCACGGTGCACATCAACAAGCATGGGCATGAGGTGCTCAAAGGCCAAGACCTTGGCCGTAAATGTCGTGATGGTGGGGATCGGCGCAGATGCTCGACAGACCACGTCGCCAGATCGAAGGTGCACAGGGTCGATGTTCGCCAAATTCAGTGTGACGTTCTGACCCGCCACAGCCCAGTCACTGGGCTCGCTGTCCACCTCCACGCTGCGGATCAAGGCCTTTTCGCCACTGGGCATCGTCAGGATTTGATCGCCGATCTGCAAGCTGCCAGCGTCGAGACGGCCAGAGATGGAAATCGGGTTCTGTACACCACCGCGGAAGACGTCGCCAATTGTCATGCGTAAGGGCTTGTCAAGCGCATGTGTGTATGGCTCTGAAGTCTCTAGCTCCTCGATCAACGTTCGGCCCGTATACCAAGATGCATTTGCCTCTGCGCTGCGGCGAGTAATGTTGTCGCCCAGTACACCGGAGCAAGGAATAAAGGAAATGTTCTTTTCTAGAAAGCCGGCAGTGGTCAGGAAAGATGAGATCTGCTGCTCGATTTCCGTAAAACGTTCCTTGTCCCACTGCACAGCATCCATCTTGTTAACGGCCACAATGATCTTTTGCACGCCCATGCTGCGGACCAGCAATGCGTGCTCCTTGGTCTGACCCTTCAAGCCAGATTCAAACTTGCCTATACTAGAATCGATCACCAGCACAGCAAAGTCTGCCTGACTAGCACCGGCGATCATATTTGGGACAAAATCCCGATGACCTGGGGCATCGACAATCGTAAAGGCAGTGTTGTCTGTCTCAAACTTGTTGGTCGCGATATCAATCGTCACACCTCGTGCGCGCTCCTCAGACCCTTGATCCAACACCCATGCAAGTGCGAATGAGCCCTTCCCAATCTTCTCCGCCTCTTTTCGGTATTTGTCCAATGTTCGCTGGTCGATGGCTCCTTGGTCTGCCAATAGCCGTCCCATCAGAGTACTCTTTCCAGCATCAACATGCCCTGGGTAGGTCAGCACTGAATTTGTTGATAGCTTGAATCAATAAACCCACCAATAACAACAAAGTTAGCAGACTTTTTCCTCTTGGACTTGCTGTATTCATCCAGGACATTCAAGTTTTTGCTCTTGACCGTTACTTTCTCTTCCACGGAGAGATTGTTCATGCCACCTGCGAGATCACCTTGCGCCTTCTTATCACCCGGCTTGGATGTGGCGGCTTTGGACTTCATTCCTGCATATTATTAGGCGAGTGACTCTAACTCTTCTTGCGAATCGCCAAACCTTTTGCTGTATTTTGAGCATTGAGCACCACATCATCGGGGCTGGGGCCTGCAAAGTCAAAAGGTTCAGCATGGTCCTGGCCATAGATCTTAAGAAGATCCACGTCATTCGAGTCGAAGTGGCTGGGCTCAGCCATCGTTGGTCCCGCTGGGTTTCCGACAATGATGCTGGCAAATATAGATGGCGCGGCGCGAATGGCAGATGCCACTGGCTGTGCTTCGGGCTTGGGGCTTGAATCCTCTACTTGGCCTGCCGGGGTAGCTTCATCCGACTCCGATACTGATGGCTTTTTGATAGGCAACGGAGATACAGATGAGGTTGGTTTTCCCGATCTTCGTAGACCTGCAAGACCAGCACTTGGCTCAGAAGCTTTCGCTGCTTTTGCCTTTGCCAGTCTTTCACTGAGAGAAAGCGGAACTGCCCGTGGCTCGGACACAGATGCGTCTTTGTTTTCAGACTGCGGTGCGGGCGGAGCGGCCGATGCTGCTGCCGCTTCGGCCTCTTTCTTCTTTCGCGCCGCTGCAAGCTGAGCAAGCTTGGAGGGTTTGCCTGCAGCTTCTGGTGCACCACCCAGCAGTCCCAATCGCGGGTATAATGGTTCAACCATGATATCAGCCTTGCGATGTGAAGGAACATTGAGCCACGGGCAGTCGCGGAAAAAGTCGGCGGCAGAGAAATGCGCCATTGGGGGGGGGGATTGGGCGCTGGGAACCCTAGCAATGAGATACCTGTTAGAACATAGTCCAAACTTCCATGCCACGTCAGTTCCAAATATTCAGTGATACAGGGCAAGGTATGAAGCTAGTGCAATCCTCGAATACATACCTTTAAAGCAATTCCGTTGGCCAAGACGCATGCAGCGTCTTCTGAGCCCAGCCACGACACATCGAATCCGATACAAGAAATTCAAATTGAAATTGCTTACCAGTTTGACCCTTGGTCTTCTGTGCTGTGCCAGAAGCCTGTTGTTTCTTCATCTCCTTCTCTTTTTTACCTGTGAATAAAATGCCGCTGTCAGCTCACTGTCCGTTTATCGTTTACCAGTGTCCCGCAAACGATTGGAATGCGAAGGACGGTAGATGATGTAGGCTGCAAGTTGGCATTTATACCTTTGAGGTAATTCACGGATTTCTCCACATCATAGTAGTAGTAATACAATGTTTCTTGGGCCTCTTCTTTGGTAATAGTCATCGACGGCTGCCCCGCGCTAAGCTGTTGCAAGACTTCCGCAGTCGACCGTTGTAGGAGCGCTTGCTCCTCGGGATCGGGCGAATCATATCCATCGTCGGAATAGTAGTCATCGTCATCGTATCCAACATTCTTCACGCGGTGTCTCGACATGGTGGGGGTGCGGGATGCGAAAGGGTGTCGAGCCGCGAGTTTTGGTGGGGGAGAGCCGAGGGGAGAGGGGAGAGGGGAGAGGGGAGAGGGGAGAGAGTGGGAGGAAAGGGAAGCGAAAGAAGGGGGGGGTGTAAACGAAACAAATGAGGTCGATGTCGAAGGGGTAGGATTAGAAGCGGAAAAAGGAGAAGGGTCTGAGAAAGATCTCGGTCGAAAGTTGGAGGAGAGCGGGTTGGAAGCGAGGGAGAAGCTGCTGTTTAGGCGGACCACGTCATTCCCCACCCACCCAAACCGTGGAGCTTTGGAATATGATGGACATTCAAGACTTGCCATGAGTCACGATACTATGTACTTGATACTTGATACCTCTATACAAAATAAGAATAACTTGTAGCCATTGCATTCATGAGATAGCTAGACTGAATTCTATGACTAATGCAGATCAGTGGTGTTCCAATGGGATCAACAGCAAGGACACCGCAAACTACCCACAGCCTAATGGGGCGAAAGCGAAGAAGGAGAAAAATGTCTATCGAAGGGGGCTTCCTCCAAAGAAATCGCCCGTTCCTGGTCCCGAAAAGCTGCCATTGCTGGGGGGTTAGAGCAATAGATCTTCGGAAAGCCTGACGGGGTGTTGTAGGGGCACTTGTAGGGGCAGCATTTGCCGCTGCCGCATTTCCTGCCGATGTAGCAACGGCAGCGCTAGCATCCGTTGCACTGGGGGGTATTTCGACCGCTGTCGTTCGACATTGTGATTGCCGTACCGGGTCGAGAGAGGACTACTGCGGTGCCGTTCCTGGGAGGAGGTCGGAAACCCAGCTTCTGGCCCTCGCGGAAAATCTCTTCGAGCATTTGTGCGGAGATTCCTGCATCCTCGTACTCTTGGAACTTCTTCCAAAGGCGCATGGCCATGCGAGCGTCCTCGATCGAGTCATGTCCCTGTATTGTGTCCGTGGTGGGCTCTTCCTGGATGTATTCTTTGAAGACAGCCCAAGCGAGATAGCGAAGGCTGAGACGGCGGTTCTTGCCAGGATGGAAGAAGAGATATTGAGTGTCAACGGTTTGAGACTTCGGTACTTGAATATTGATCTTGCGGAAGTCCGAGGCCAATCCATGGCCAACAAACACACAGCCAAGGTTCAACAGCAGCCAGAGCTTCTTGTACGCCACCTTCAACGGCACCAAGTTGTGCTCACTGGTTCGTGGGTCCAGGTCACCGGGTTTGATACCAGAATACTGGGTCACATAGTCCACGATTGGCTCCCGAATGGTGATGTAGTCGTCGATGAACGGCACGCCCTCGTCAATGCCTGATGCCCGTAGAACAGAAACTCGGGCAAGGCCACTCCTATTCGGCCGGACCATTTCCTGTGATCCATCCGCCTTGACATCAATCTCGGCCTTTTCAAGGTCCACGAATTCGGTATCCAGGGCCACGGGAGTGCCAGTCTGAGGCTTCTCTGCTTCGGAAAGATTGCGGCACGTATCAACCTGATGCCCGCCGTTCAATGACCACTCGCGGAACAAGAGCGTAGTGTCAAGAGATTTCTTCCATGAATCATCAACAGCGTGATTTGTATCACGGACCTGGAAAGCTAACACACAAGGTTGCTTCCAAGGCTGTGTAAAGCGAAGGGCTTCATCCCGATCCACTTCAGTGACTAAAAAGTCGTTGAACAGATGCCATCTCGATTTTTCCGGTTGCTCTCGACCAGAGAGAGGAGATATTGACGAAAGATACCAAGTGCGGTTTCTGATGCTCTGGGATGTCAATCTCAGAAACCAGGCCTACCAAGTCATATACGATAAGTCCAGGCGCGTTGCTCTGTATTCTTAAATTGAGTTCATCTCCTTCGAAACAAGCAACCTGTCCGTTGTCGATGAGAACACCAACCGCATCGGGAAGCCATCCAGGAATAGCCCACAGTCGCCGACAGATAGGATTCGTAAGAGCTGCGTTGAGCATGAGAATCAAAGGCATCCTATGCACCGTTTTCCGCATCATAACCTGTTGATAGCGCCGGCAATAGTTGCACCATCCACGATTTTGCGTTTCACGTTCAATACTCGCCCGCAAAATACTGGAGAATCGATAAGCAGGATTTCTTCTCGCTTGCTTTGGGTCCATGTTGGGGTACAAAAGCTCATTGGCAAGGGAATTGCCAGGTCGAACGGTCTCCTGCTGACAGAACATGCAGCGAATTGTTTCAGATGCAACAGTGGAAAGGCATAGATCCAATTCCTCAGAGTTTGGTTGAACCATGCGGAAGTCGTGTGCTATCTGGGTCAAGAAGAATCGATTCACGGCTTGAATCGCGGTCGAGAGAGATTTATTGGTCAGATTCTCTTCCAAAAGACCTAGGTTTGAAGCTTCTCGGAAGCTGCTGAATGTTTTCAAGAGGTTCGTTGCTTGGCAATTCTGTCCGTTTGCCTTTTCTAGCATGTCAAATAGATATCCCAGTTCACAAAGTAGGCAGTGTTCGAAGATGCAAGAGCCGGCAGCGTGAGTGAGTGAGAGGTTTCGGAATAGTGGGATAAACTTGAAGAGTTGAAGGAGAGAATTTGTGAATGAATTTGCGATGTGAGTCTCGAGACCAGAAAATGTCGTCTTATTGTAAAATCTGGAGACGATGTCAGCAAACAAATCTAGATCCGACGGAACGTAGTCATGAGACGAATAAGCACATACAGGAAGTCAAAATCGTCAACGCCAAAACGACTATACTTGATCTCGACGTTACTGTACTTCAGGAGAGGGTCGTCATCACTCTCGCCGTTGATATTTGCACCTGCAAGAGCCTCGGCAGCATCGATAACTGCGCTTTCTAGTTTCGACTTGCTGTGATCCCGAGCCTTTTCACTTAAGAACTTGGGAGCAATAAGAGCCGGCTCCGCGTTTGCCAATGCGCGTGTATTCTCTACTTGGTTTCGTCGGTTTTTCCTTGGGTTCGGGGCATGGTGTCCCACTTCGGAGGGGCGTAGATACGGCAGCAGGGACTGATCCAGCTGAGCAGGTGGACTGCCAATCTCAAAGACAAGATGGCTAGGCCAAGCCGAGAAGAGGCGCTCGTGATAATAGGGCAGTCCCACCATGTTCAGAGGGGTATCAGGGGACCAGTCAATCGGTGGTGGTCGAGTAGGGACATCGGCAAATTCCATTTCTTTGCTCATTTCGTTGAAATGAACCTTGGTGGGAGATCCCCATAAATGTATGGAGCATTCGGCATCATTGATTGCTAGAGCCTCTCCTGATGGAGAAATATCAAGGCCAAGCATAAGTGATACGTTGGCCTGTCGTAGATTGATTGCGTTGGGATTCATGAGGTCCACAACTTGCAGCTGACCGGTTTGCGAGGCCACGAAGCTTGTCGTGTGGAGTTTGGGATGCATACGGACATAGGCCGCCCCGGCGTGAAATGGGATGGGAGGTAATGGCGTCAATGTTTTCAGATCATAAACGTTGGCTAAAGGGTCAACGATCGGAGCGCCCATGTGCCGCATGGAAAAGCCACAGGTAACCAGTAAATCATTCCGCGCATCCATATCATTGACGGCCGTCCCATGTGCTTTCCACGATTTCACGACACTGAAGTCCGCGAGACTGAGTGCATTTACGGAGCCCGTATCAGTCGCAGCGCACAGGTATCGACTCTTCTTCATAAGCGTATAGCTGTATTCGGTGGGCAATTTATCCACAATCGTACCCTTGTCGATATCCACCGTGAACATCACGTTTTGACAACCGGCCACAAGGATCCGGTTAAGTTGCGCCGTAAAGCTCATGCAGCGGAGGTCCACCATTTCCTCGTGATTCAAATGCCATTGTGTCAGGCCGCGTCGAGTAATCATGTGCACACTCTTGGAAGACAGCGATATCACACCTCGCTCATGGAACAGTATCTGCCGCACCGGTCCTTCGGCGGCCGGGTGTGCTCGTAGGGAGGTGTATCGACCTAATTCAGGCCCGCAAAATGAGGAGATTCGACCCTAGTGAGCACAAGTATCATGTTAGTCAGTTGTTCGCTGAACCTTCCATCTCAAAGTATGCACTCACGTATTCATTTCCGGTCCAAAGAAGTTCCATAACATCGTCAAACGCGACTGCTGTCGCGATCGTAGGCATAGCATGTGGACTGGGTGGCGGCATGGGAATGCGCGCCAACTCGTCCCAATCTGCCTCCATCATTGCAGGGGTTATCCAGGCGGAAACCCAGTGATACGTTTCGAGAAAATCAAAAGAAGGGACCCGCAAGTGGCTCTTGGGGCCTAAAGCGCTTCACCCTTAACGCCTCACACGATGCCGATCATCGTCTTCGAGGAGAAGACGCGATTGCGGGGAAGCTGTGAGGACAGTTGGAAGGTTCGCTCGTGACGTGATATACTGTTTATAAATAGCGGCCACGTGGAAGTGAATGACCAAGACGGTCACTATGTTCCGACCGCGAAGCGGACTTGAAAGAGACGACGCTGGTTTAGCGTTGCTTGTTGTCGCCCGTCTGGCGAGCCCAGCGGGTCGAGGATGGTTGATATCTATCACGTGATTAGTGATTAACGTGATAAAATTGGAACTTGGCGGTCAAGGTTGCCCCTGGCTGGTGAGTTATGTAGGAGAGGAATTGGCTTGGTTGTATAGTTGGGGATATCCACCTGGACACCTGGTTTTTCTTCTTTATTTTTGGTCTTAGTTCCCGGTGGCATTTGGGCAATAATCTTCCATTGTACTACGGTGTTTTGATCAACTAATCTCAGCTTGGATCACGTGGCTTCAGGTGAGATGTGAAATTGAGGTGATAGTTAGAACATCATAAAGTCTGAACCCCTGATGAATGTATAGCTTTATTAGAAGTCACTCAATTTTTTCGACTATGATACTGCATTTTCACTGCTAGTTATAAATTAGTTCAAGTTATTTTCTAAAAACTTCAAGTTCCATTAGAATTAGAATAATCTTGACTTGGATACACCATCACCTGCGGCCTGTCCCCTTTAGTACTAGTAGTACTAGTACTCCAGGGCTAGTAGTAGATAGTTGGATCCAGCACATTACCATAATCATCTCCGCGTCCAATTAGGTAATTGAAGTGGCTTCCAAGGTTTCAATTCAGGCTCGGACTAGATAATGGAGATATGCATTCAAACATCGCAGAAAATATTCATATTGCTAAACACCCGAGGTATAAAGAAACACATATGTACTGGCATACAGTGGTTTGGCCGCAGTCAGTGATTTACTACATACACGGCTAACGGCGCAATTCCGAGCAAAGGCAAGATGACATAAATATTCAGGACTCATTCAAGCAGTTAGCCACAAGCAAGCTCCCTCCTTATCTATAGAAGGATGCTGGGTTCGACGCAGGCGCCCCACCCGGTGCAGGCTGGTATGCCTGGTACTCGCCGCCAGTAGCTGAAGGGGCCGGGTTGAAAGCGGTGTATTGGGATGGGGGAGCTCCGGCGCCCGGCACTGGGGGCGGTTGGTGTGATGGCGCTTGTTGCTGAACACTTGGTGAGTCTGGGTAGGGAGCTTGGGATTGCGGCTGCGACGGGAAATGGTTGGTGGATTGCTGGACAGGGGGCATTCCAGGAGCCGATGGCAGCTGAGCGGAGTCGTCGGCAGAGTAGGCTGACGGGGAGTAATCCTGTTGCTGCTGTTGTTGCGGGTGCTGCTGTTGGAACTGTTGGTGAGCCACCGGCGGGGCTTGGCCAGCAGGAGGGTAAGGAGGGCGTCCTCCAACATTGTGTTGGTCAACAGGCGAGTCGTAGACAGATGTGCCTAGTTCTTGAGGATGGTCGTAGGTAGACTGGGGACGATGATGCATAGATTGCTGGTATGGATCGGAAGGCGGCGCTTGCTGCGGCGCCTGTTGTGGCTGCAAAGGCTGCGCCCCGGCATACTGGGCTCGAGGGTCTGGCGAGTGAGATGCGGGCCGGTACGGCATGGCCTGCTGCTCTGCGCCGTAGAAAGGCGTACCTTGAGGCTGCGGAGGTTGCGTTTCTGGAAATTGATATCAGTATCATGATGTAACGAGATCGACGTGGAGTCTGGACAAACCTTGAGGACGAGGGCTAAAGTAACGTTGGTCGGCCTGGGGAGGAGGACCTTGGGGATATCCAGCAGGAGCCGCACCAGGAACAGTACCAGGATAGCCATACTGCGGCTGCCCAGGTCGTCCGTACTGGGGTTGTACTGGCTGGGCCATTGAAGCCTCCAATAGGGATTCATAGTCTCGGCGAGCCTTGATGAATTTCTCATTAAGTTGGGTAAACTCATCTAATAAATAATTAGCATGTCTCCTTTCGTAGCATAGCAAGAAATGCACATACCTTTCTTCTGTGAGTATTTGCCAATCAACTCGATAAGTTTGGGTCGGATAGCAAGGGTTGAATGATAGAGTGTAGTGATTTCCTCATTTTCCTGCACATTGAGGTCGGAGCTGCGAGTGCTCAGCAGTGTGAGAAGCTTCTCGACATTTTTAATTTGACCGAAGACATCTCCTTCCATCTGCGCCTCGCGATGAAGCTCTTCAACTGTCGGGTCGGCCAATTTTTCGACGTAGTTGAGAGGGAAAATTCCGGTCTGGCCCCGGATCGAACCCTTCCACCAATCTTTATAAACAGACTCCAAAACAGCAATTATATCGCCCTTTCGGAACTGTAGCTCGCCGGGCTCAGAAGGCTGGAAGTCGAACAAAGCCCTCACTCGCGAGACGGTAGCCGCTGAAGTTCCGGGTGGGACAGGATGGGGGATCGCAGGCTCTTCTGCTACGGCGGCCGGTGCAGGCGTAGGGGTTGATGCGCTGGCTGCTGCAGCAGATGAGGTCGCCTGAGCAGGGACAGGTTTTCTCTCTTTGACGGAGAGTGCAAGTGCCATCTGGAGCTCCTCCTCTTCTTTCTGTCTGTCCACGTCTGTAATCTGTTGCTTCACGGGTTTAGATGGTGGCTGGAGATTCGGGTCTAATGGAAAGTTTTATTAGTTGTGGAAGGGCGCCTATAAGTTTCGAAACTCACTTTGAGTCTTCAGCTTCATGTAAGCCTGTTCCATGATTCCGAAATCCGGGTTAGACGCGAACATTTCAGTCCATTCTTCCATTCGCTCAAGGATCTTAGACTTCACTTGCTGATGCGTATTCTAAAGCAACAGATTCACGTCAGCGATCTATTGGAAGGCAAGTGGAATTTAGGAAAAGGTTTACCCGGTCAGCTGCCAATCGCAGCATGGCATCCGTAAAGCTCCTTGAGGCCAGCTCCCGGTGGATCTTCGGACCACAGTTCTGTGATAGCGCGTTACCAAGCTAAAGGTAGATGTCAGCCAAGCCATCATATATTATGCACATTCGTGCGCGCGACACAGATATACTGACCTCCAAAGTGTAGAGCTGCACATTAGCGTTCCTGTGAGCCAGCCTCTTAATCATGGCAGCAACCGCCTCCTTTGCGCTATATCATCACCACATATTAGCATCCATTCTCCCACGTAGTGCGTAGATTCGAACACCTATCTGATTGAAGCTACATACCCAGATTCTTCAGAGCCGACTTTATCACAGACATCCTATATGGCACAAACAAGTCAAGTCAGCCTCCGATGTCCCACTCTGTCCTGTCGCAATATCTCCGGCTGGTCGGTGGGGCATAACGTACGAGGATGTATTCCCAGTTCTCGGAGGTCAGGTTCTCGTCCGTCGCCTTGGCTGCAACAGACACAGAAGTTAGCATTTGTCATGGTCGAAAGTTTCAAGCGATCTCCCCGGCCCCCAGCAATCGCGGCTCAGCCGCTTCGCAGTGCGCTCGGCAGGCAGAAGCAGCTCCATGAGTCGAGCGTGAAATTCGCAACTCGGTACAACTTACCGACGGCATCGTCGAAAGCGTTCTGTTGTGCGCGAAACATTGCCAACGAATTATTTGTAATGAGACTGGATGGTCAGGGGAGGGTGTTGTGTTGTAGTTGGTCGGGGAAGTCGAATCTGGCACCGCCTCCTCTGCCTTAAGCACAAGCAGCTAGCTCAATCAACCGCCAGGAGAAACCACGTGTGGCAAATATGTTCGTTGATCAATGGGTTTCACTTTGGCTGCTCTTGTGTTATGAAATATCGGAATATGTTGTTTTTTGGCCGTGACGCACGTAATGCGGGGAGTGGACTGAGGATGACCAGCAGGCGGAGGAGCTGAGAGGGTCAGGGTACACCGCCGAGGGGTTTTGGATAGAGGCGGGTTTGAAGATCGGAAAGGAGGAGCGATGGGTCTCGGGTTGGTACTGCTCGTCAAGCAAGTCAAGTCAACCTTGAAAATCAAGCGATATTTGTGAAAGTGTTGAGGTCCCTCAAGGTGTTGTCCGGCAGAAACCCAGAGTCAGCTGACGATGACGACGGTATGGAGCTCGCTCGGATATTCTTAGCATGTGGCTGCCTTGAGCCATCTTCAACTTCTATTATTACTAGATTAGGTTTGAAAATTCTTCTATTTACCCGCACTGCCGTAGGCTGTAATATTTTTCATCATGGGTTCCTTTTTTCTTCTTTTTTCCCGGGCCATTCCTACATTTTAGATCCTTTCTGCATTCCATGTTGCTACGACAGCTTGACACACTGTTCTATACTAATAGTAGGATGATATCCTACCAATTAATGTCGGAAGAGATGTAATTGAAAAATTGTAATATCACAGATCCTGCACGGCCAAAGGCCGCTTATAATCCCAAACGCCGAATGCGAACACGCCGCATTCTAAATCCCACGAACCCAAGAAAACATTATAATGCACAGTGACAGACGGCTCGCAATCCCATCCATGACGCCACTTGAGACCAGATTCAAACCGCGCTGGGGCGTATCGGAGGTAGGACTACAGAACGCTACACAAGCACACACACCCCGGGGGGGGAAAGCATAGACATGGGGATAAACAGGGTGGGGACAATACAAGCACAGGCTCGTTAAGTCAGATCATTTTCATCACAAAAGGATGTTCATCAAAAAATAAAGTGGTAAAAAAAAGATAATTTGACACTGAAATGGGACCCGGGCGACATGATGCGAAGATGAGCATGTCGGGGTCTAGAAGAAACATCGGGAGTGATGGGGTATCTGAAACGAGATGGGAAGAGGGACGGACGGAATGAAAAAAAGAAATGTTAAGAAAGAAGATAGAGGAAATGAGAGGGAAAAGGAAAGAAACCGAAACACTCGATATAATCGGAGACTTGGGTTCCTCCAGGTCACCTAAGCTCAGCCCTTCTGCGCCTTTTCTTGGGCACGGCTGATTCTCGCAGCCTTCACAAGGGGCGCAAGGTGGGTGAGAGGCGAGCATAGAGACATGAACGGATGCTATCAAAGATATCAGTATCAAACATGATATTCTGGGTGGAGGGGGGCATGAACATACCTTCAGTAGGTCATGAGCTGAAGCTCGCTTCTCCGGGTCGACCTTGAGGGCCAAATGCAAGAAGTCACGGAAGATGTGGGAAAGATTATTTTCATCCTTGATTGTGGGTGTGCCGTTTGTAGCAATCAGGTAGAGAGCCCGCAGGGGCGACTCAGTCAGATATGGCGGCTCTCCCTCAATCATCTCGATGGCCATAATACCCAAACTCCAGATGTCGACCTTGCGTCCATACTCCTTACGGGTGACAACCTCCGGTGCCATCCAGTATGGAGTGCCGACCATTGTGTTGCGCTTATTGTGCGAATCATTAATTTGCGCACAGAAGCCAAAATCGGCTGTGTAATAAATTAGTAATGATCTTGAGAGGAGAGATGTGTAGTTATACGTACTCAGCTTGATGTTACCCTCCATGGATAGCAGAATGTTATCGGACTTGATATCTCGGTGAATAACACCCTTCGAGTGGAGGTGTTGCAATCCATTCAGTGTCTAGGATAATTGTCAATATTGTCTTCACTAGGGGGGAGAACCAGAAGTCAATTAAGCTTACCTCTCGGCAGACAGCCGCGATTTGGCCTTCACTCATGATGTTGAAAGTCACCACATCCGTGAGACTGCCACCTTCCATGTATTCCATAACTACCCAGAGGTCAATTCCGTTGAGATAACTCTCCAAGAAATTGACAATGTTCTTGTGTTTGCTGTCTTTCATGACAATAATCTCGTTGATAATTAGGTCCTTCTTGGGCTGGAGATCGAGATTCATCTGCTTGATAGCAACGCAATTATTTGTTCCGGTCTCGTAAGCCGTGAACACCCCACCAGATGCACCTTGACCAATCTTGTTGAGAGTATGATATATCAGGGTAGGGTCGCCCGGATGGCAGATTTGTAACAGACGTGCTCGGACATCCATGATATTACTCTGGCGCTGGCGTTGGCGGGGCCTGGCAGCCGGAGGTGCGCGCGTCGATGGCGATGCGCCCGCCGATGCAGGATCTCCGGTGGAAGGACCAATATTAGTCGCAAGCGCCGGGGGTTGTTGTGCTTGCTGGCGTTGGCTGGTACTGCGATCCAGTTGTTTTGATGCAATGGCCTGTTTTGCAGCTGCCATAACCTGCTCCTGTTGTTGCTGGTACTGGGTCGGGTTGGAGACGATACCCGGTGCTTTGGTTGGAGGACCGCCATTACGAGAGCTTGAGCGACTGAGCTGGGGAGAAACCGAATGAATTGGCTCTGATTCCGGAATGGATGGAGTGCCAAATGGATGACTGTATGGGTCCTGCATAGGTCTTTGCGGGGCACCGCCATATGATTGAGATACGGGGGGGTTGTGGCGGCGGACGGGCAGGCGTCATATTGGTTGGTGGCTTGGGAGGGGCACGATGTGGCACCAGACCACCCAACGGCGGTGACATAGTTGGCACTTGCGGCACTTGCTGTGATGGATTTGCTGGGGCGCCGCGAGGAATTGGAGGAGGGGCTCGTGGGTTCTCAAAACTCCATTCGTGATTCTGAGGGAAACGCGGACTTCCGGGAGGCGAGGTACTGCGACCGTTGTTGTTATTGGCGTTGTTACTATTACCGCTGCTGGTGTTTCCGCCGTGTGCGTTGTCGAACTTGTGCCAGACTTCATCGTCATCTTCACGAGTATTCTTCTCGTAGAATCGCATGATATCCATCATTGTTTGCGGGTGCTCTTCCTGTTCCTTCTTGGATATTCCGTTTTCCTGGAGTAAGCGCTGCCACTCCTTGGGAAGACCGGTGAATTGACCAGTTTGGTTATCGTAACCGACGTGAGTGACATGAACAGGGTTCTCCGGGGCGGAAATCTTGATATTGCGAGGGGAGCCCAACATGCTGTTCACGAAGCTAGAGAAGCTCGCCTTCTTGCTCTGTCTCTTGGCCGCCGTGGGCGTTGGGCCTGGCGGACCATTGGTGATAGTGCCCTCGTCGGAGTAGCGCTTAGAATGAGGAGGTCGTTCGGTTTCGCGGTGAGCGAAGGGATCCATTCGGTTCGGGAGAGTGGTGAAGCTGGCTGACTGTCGAAGAGGTTGGCGACCGCGTGGATCGGGACTCGTATGATGCGAGAGCGAGGGCGGAAGTTGCTGAGTATGAATATCGGTCTCGGCGCTGTTCTCATCCAACGCACTGAGCATGCCCCGCGTCTCGAAGGGGGCGTTTAATTCATCCGAACTTTGTTGATCGTAAGAGAAGCGATTCGAGCGAGTGCGGGAGCGGGAGGAACTGTAGCCGGAGAAGTAAGACCCCTCGTCCTGGATAGGGGACGGACCGCCACTGTGATCGAGCGAGGAGGATGAAGAGCCAAAGGCGGCTGAAGCGTTGGATCGCGAGCGAACGTGCTCGCGACTATCGCTAGGGGAAGAACGGGGGTAGACGGGGGCGGAGGGATGACGTTTGAGAGAGGTAGCGCTCTGATGACTTCGAAGAATGCGCGAACTGAAGCTAGGGGGGGTCCTTGTGAAGTTTGCTGGACGGGCGGCGGAATTTTAACGAGAATCCTTCCTGGCTCATGGCGGGCAGGAATCTGTCTCTACACGAGACAGATTGGAATTGGGCCGAGGAGGGGTCAGGAGAAATTTCCAACCAGCCAATTCGAGGTCTACGACCGGGTTTGCCGCGCGGTCAGCAGCAAACGCACACAACAGGACGAGAAGGATTGCGGTTCCCCAGAGAATGGTGGTGAAAATTAGGTAGTGGTTGGAGATGGAAGTTGAAGTCTAAGTCTGAAGAGGAGAGGAGAAGGGTCAAATCAAATCGGTAAAATCGAAGCTGTCCAATTAGCACGTGGAGAGCGGAGCGGAAAAGGAGACGGTGGCTGGGTGGTCGACTGGGGCGATGACGCGGGGACCCGTCCAACGGCCAGAGTTTATCAGAGAGGGTGTGTATGCGTGTGTCTGTATCGACAGACAGACTCAGGTTACACTCTTTGGTATTGAGAAGAGTGAGTGTCAAAGACTGAGGGATGGAAGATGGGGATGGGATGGGGATGCCCAGAGGTTTCCCTGGTCAATCTAGATTTTCGAGTGACCCCGACCGTCGAGCGATGAGCGGGACAAGAATAGAAGCGGGTCTGTCATATTTGACATTTACCTAGGGATCGGTTCTTCAAGTTAGCATGTTTTATATTTATGAATATATTAATAAAATTTTATCTCTAAATCTACTCGTATGTACTCCTGGCTGAGGTGCATGGACGATGCAGGTCCACCCTCTGCCATCGGTCGCACGTGAGCATCGCCCCCAACGCTGACCACAGTGCGAGATGGATAACTAGTATTATAACTACTACATCTTAGTTCATGTACCGTATATGCACCTCTATAAATAGTCTTTCTGATTCAGATTTGCAAAATAACCGTTGTTTTCCCAAATCCATAGCGAGTCAAGTTGGCGTCGTCCGAGTCCACAGGTACTGGTATCATCATAGTTCATACTCCAGGGCTATATATCTGCTAGCTAGTAGTAAGGACCACCATCCTCTAGATAGTACTAGTACCTACTATTACCTACCTGGAGAATGGGGATTCTTAATACTATTATATAATTGTTCAATAGAAAGCTCTACGGCTAAAAGTTATATGGAGGCAGTACCACAGTAGATACTAACACAGCAGTGGCATGCCACTACGGTAGTAGGCCGCCACTACAGTAGTGAGGCCACCAACACGCCACCAACACGCAAATTAGCCACCACTACGCAAATTGGCCACGACAACTACTACAACTACTACTAATCAACAGGGCCAAAATACGTTGTAATGGCGAAGGGCGAAACGCGTTGCGATGCAGCATGTTGTTGATGCCAAAAGACCGAAGATAAATCGCGTTGTAAAACACGCCCGGGCGTCAATTTGAATACTGTAGGTTAGTGCTGTAGGTTAATGGGGTAATTTAAAGCCATTGTGGCGTATTATGATGCCAAAGGGCCAAGGGTACTAAACAAAGAAGGATGTGCCCAGGTGGTGGTGGTGGTGGTAAATATATACATCTACTACATGTGCTTGCCTTGGTTACTATCTACCCGAGTCTTTTTCTAAGGTTGCCTACTACTAAGTATTTTCTCACTTCCACACTCACATCTGCTTTTATCGATTTGACAACTAGAATAATATTAGTTTCCTCTAATATACTACATCTCTACGCCATTTACACTAGTTAAAAAAAAATGTCGAGTATCTACGAGTTTGTAGTTAGTAGGTTTAAGACGCGAGACTGAAACCACCCTCACGTGACCTCCCCCCTAATGGCGAGACAGCCCACCTGATAGACGCCCGATGTTCTTGAAAGGTACTAGTAAGGCGTTCCATTTTGGCTGCCACAATGATGGCGGCCTCGGGCCTCGAATTAACCACGAGACAACGGGCAGCGAATCCTAAAGTGCGCACCGGCTGCATTACCTGCAAGTCAGTGATAGTCCCGACCAGCCCACACCCACTCGTATACACTTCCTAAGATGTCTGCAGAGCTCGGCATGTCAAATGCGACGAGGCAAAGCCTGTTTGTCTCCGGTATGCTTCTTTCCCCGTCCTATTCACCTCACTGGTAATCTTGGACTCGAAAACATTGTACCCGTGAACTGACCATATCTCCAGGTGCTCGCGCACGAAGCGGTTATGCGGGGGTTACCGAAGTGTCCCGCCTAAATCATCATTACCCCGTTCGCTGGCAGTAGCCCCTGCAGTCGATCCAACGACCGAGCATGCCTTGGAAGTATTCTTTCTCTGCACAGCTCCCGCCCTGGCAGGCTATTTCGAACATGCCTTCTTCCAGGGCAGTGTTTTACAATTCAGCCTTGGCGAACCTGCTATCCTCCAAGCAATCGCTGCTCTCGGTAGTCTCCATGAACAGGCCGCCGCGTCAAAGATCCAACATCCGCACCGGAAAACACCTCTACCAGGGCTCCCGCTTAAGCTATATAATAGGGCCATTCGAGTCATGATAGAAAAGGTCACCATAGACCCTACGAACCTTCCTTTGATTGCTCTGGTCAACATCCTCTTCATCTGCTTTGAATATTTTCAAGGCAATCTACAAGCGGCTGCCTCTCATATTAGAGGCGGGATTGATATCTTGAATAACTGGCGTGTCAGAAACATAATTAAACGCCATGAAAATGGTGGCCACAGATATGCTTCATGGGAGGCTGAATTCATGGAAACTGAAGTTGCGCCACTTCTTTGCACATTCAACATAAATGCTGTTCAGTGGGGGGTAGGGGTGCAAGCAAGTGTCATTCCTGATCCACCCACTGACTCCAGTATAATTTCAATGCCCAATCGATTCGAGACTCTCAAAGCTGCCAGAGCTGCACTGCTGAAACTGGTTATCTCTGCCACATGGGAGTTCGAACCATCCGGAAAAGAGCTCTCTAATACCGATTTTCCTGCTATTTGCGAGAGAATAATGACTAGCTTGAGTCGATGGAAAGTCAGCTTTAAAGATTTGGTCAACCGACAGTCGCATCTCTGGGATAATCGGAAGAGGCGAACAGCTGATGCCATTTCCGTCATGCTTGCGAATGCCGAACTCGGGGTCTATTCATATCAAGCGCAAAGTCACTGCGACTGGGACAAATACCGAGACCAGTACGAAGAGACAGCCGCGTTAATAAATAAGCTTATCGCCGATACTAATCACTTCCCTCACGAGTTGTCGAGGGCCTTCAGCCTGGATTTTCGGATGATGTTTCCTCTTCAGCCTGTGGCTTGGAGGTGTCGCTGGCCACATCTTCATCGAGTGGGACTGGACCTACGGGCCCGTTTGCCAGATCTCAACTCGCTTCCGGCGGGTAAGCAGTACCATACAGTCTCTGCTCGCATCGCGGAGATCGAGGAGGCCTACCGAAACATGCCTGCGGCGAAAGGGCATTCCCCGGAGATATTGAACATTCAAAATTATAGCGTTGTCATATCACAGGGAGAGCAGAATCAGCCCCCGGCTTTTGTCGTGACGTTTTGGAGCAAACCGGATGGCTTGGATGGACCTTGGTATTCCTTCACGGAAAATATCCAGTTAGAGTCGGGTGGGGCTGGCAATACCTGTCTGCAGATTCGAGACCGCGAAAATATCCAGAAGATGTCAGATCAGATAAGCGACACATGCCAGGAAGACTCGAAACCTTCACCCTCATCTCTCAAGAGCGCAGCGATGTATCCGAGGCCTCACATCTCTGAACCAATTAAAGAAGAAAGGCCCGAGCCGTCCTAAGGATAAGGAGAGTAATCGGGCTTTGTAAATAAGATTGTATACATACAGTGTAACCAGCGTCTCTACCACGGGCCATGATAATAATATAATTGGAAGACGGCAATGCCACCTAACATTCCAATGAAGATCTGTGTTCATATTTCCTTTGGGTTCCTACGGTAACGCCGTGTTGTAAACTATCCTGCCTGGCAATGGTGCCAGTGTTTATGAATAAATAATTTTGTTGAATCAGTTCTGCTGATAACTCTCGTTAGAATAAACTCACCCTATGGTACCGTTGCCGTCATCTATCTATCCTTATCCGAAACGGAGATGGCAAAATCTCGGGCAATTGGCACTGGTGGATCTAAGTTCTCGCCGATCTGAACTTCTCTAGGCCCAGCGCCAGAAAAAAGCTATCCATACTGTATACAAATAAAGTTTTCTAGCTGGTGGATTTTCTGTCATCACCTAAGCTGAAACAATATGCCAAGCTTCTTCTAAGTTCAAAAGAACGGATTGTCCCCCTGAAGAATGTCTGCGGAGAAATATCTGACAGTTCCACGAGCACAATGGCCTCACTCACCCATTCGGCCGTTTCGGCAAATGCCACCCATCTTCCCTCGGCTTTCAGCATCTACAACAATGATTTCCTCAACATCATAGGCTCAGCCCCTAAGTTGGAGGTCATTCTCGAGAACAATGACTACCCCTTTGCCCACGAAGCTAGCGTTTACATCCCGACCTCGGAGTCGCTCTTCGTGTCGAGTAATCTGTACACGGATCCGGTCACGAAAGAGAAAACGATCAAGGTCACCAAGGTGAGCGTCAACGCCCCACCCGTGACATCGGAGATCATCAATTCTACCATCCCGATGCCGAACGGCGGAGTGAACCATGACGGCGGTATCCTCTGGGCTGCCCAGGGCACGATGAACGAGACTGGAGGTCTGTTTCAGATGTCAGCTGAAGCCCCCTATAAATCGGAGCTAGTCACCGGCAATTTCTACGGCCGTCAGTTCAACTCGATCAACGATGTTGTCGTGGCCAACGACGGGTCGTTCTGGTTCACCGACCCCATCTACGCCTACAAGCAGGGAATTCGACCGAAGCCCCAGCTACCGAACCAGGTGTATAGATACGATCCATCTACAAAAGACGTGCGCGTCATTGCAGATGGATTCGGTCGCCCTAATGGAATTTCTTTCTCTCCCGACGAGAAGACCGTATACATCTCCGACACTGCTGAGACAAATGGCGACGGATCGAAGGATCTGACGCAACCAGCTACCATGTATGTTGTGCACGAAGACCCCACCGCCCATTGAAAATAAGAATCCCGCTAACGTGTTTAGTTATGCCTTTGATGTGACGACGGTCCATGGTCAGCCTTTCTTGACGAACCGTCGTGTCTTTGCCATGCCCGGAGATGGCATTCCTGATGGAATCAAGGTTGATCAGGATGGTAATGTGTATGCTGGCTGCGGCGACGGAGTCAATGTTTGGTCTGTTGGTGGTGTGCTTCTGGGCAAAATCCTTGTCAAAGATGGGACATCTAACTTCTCGTTTGGTCGCAACGGCCAGATGTTTATTCTCAATGAGAACAAGATTTATCGCGCCCAACTGAACCGCAAGGTGCACGGCACTCTCTTCTGAAGGAAGTAATCTTGCGAGAAGTGACATGTTATATTTAACTAAAGGACTCGGACATATTATTTATCTTTTCTCGCTGTGGATAGACTAATCTCCTATAATTCATCGATAACCTAGCGTCCCCTGGCATCCCATCCAATGCTCCACTAGGTACGAGTGCTATAGATAACATCCATAGATTCCATTTGGCAACGATTTTCAGGACGATGCATCTGCAGCGAAAGCTGACGCGTCCTATTCCCAGCAACAGCATCTCCTGCCAGGAACACCAAGGTGGCCGCGTCAGCTTCGTTGATCTCTCAATAATCCATATGAGGTGTTTGGCCTTCGATTGGCGGGGACGCGATCAAGCTTCAGTTCCAGACGCCTCTCCCGCCACATCAGCGAACACGAAGGCGAAATCTTAAAACAAGCTTAAACTGGGACCTACTGATAACGTGGGAAAGAAGCAGGTACACATCCGCCGCAGATTTTACGTATACGAATATGAGAAGAGGGAAAATTGAAAAGTTGAGGATGAAAGAAATGTCGCGATCAAACCAAACAAACTCGATGCATCTCGGTCAACACAGCCGACCAATATAGAATCAAGCTACTGCCAGTAAGACTACATATACCCCACTTCAGCGTGTCAACGCCGAGAAATGATCATGAGCAATGAGGTCCGTCCACGTTCCCGAGATGCGGGATGTTTCCGATTTTTCCAAGGTTCCCTGTTCACTGGTATAATGCATTATACTACTTCCTAAGATCGGGCATTTCCGCATGTCAGGGTCAGTGTCGAGGTCACCGTCCGGGGTCACTTGCCGTGGATGGAAGCCCCGATCGCAGCGATCGGAGGAAACTAAAGGAATCAAAAAAAGAGGGAAACTCTACAAACTTCAAGAATGGATATACTTCGGGCCAGAAGGAGGTGAGGGGGAAATACAAAACTGATCACGAGTAACATCAACCATGTGTTGCGATGACGGCAGTGCGCTGTACACTTTTCCAGCCGCATGTACATTACACATATTGTACGGAGTAGCTAGCACCAACAGAAAAATTAAGGCTGAGGGGCAGCACTGCCTCGCATGACAAAAATATCGACCGCAACTTCCAACTGGTTACTCTGGGCCAATCACTCGCCAGTAGTATCGATCGATGAGCAAGATAGAAGTTGGATGACGATGGCCAAGGTCGGCTGCGTCGCCGGCCGATGACATCTTTGTTCCCACATCTTCCATCGCATCGTCGTCGGCTGCCGGCTAAGACGACATCTGCAGATTGAAGAGAGCCGAGTCGGTGTGCGAGGGCTATGTATCATGGCCCACATGGGGCGGCTTCGACTTCGCACTTTACACTGGGTCCCTCTCTGGGTCGGTAGATATTACTCAAGCACGCCATACGAGTACAGATATTCGGAGTGTTTTTCCCGCTTCTGCTGATGTGGACTTTCTCCTCCCCGACATCTCACGACCCCCTCTTACGCCTCGCTGGAGATGTGTCCCGTCTGGGCAGCCCTTAAGGAGGGGAGGGGATGAGAGGAGGTGAGCAAAGTGCATACTAGTGCATCGTGCCTAGAAACACCTGCCGTCCTACCATATTGGGGGGGGGATGACTTAGGCAGAGCGATCCTTGATCTTGCTTTACCTATTACAGGCGTCCCCACACCATTCACGATCAAGACTCGGTGCACATCCCCCAAATGGGCGATCCGGGGGTGGGCGACTTGCTTTTCGCGCCCAAGCACCGTTCAGCTGGCGATCTCAGATGGGAAGAGAAAGGAAATCGGGACCAGTGCCATTGGTCTCACGACTGATGAGTCCCGGCTGGGCGCTCCACATGGTGCGCCGATCATCGAGCCTCCCCGGACGCTGCCTGCGCCAGCTCCAAGATTTGGGCGCAAACTAAAAAAATGCCCGAGTGTCCATGTCCATGCACCTGACCGCTCCAGGAGAGAAGTGGGGATGGTCGACGGCAGTGTATTCTGGTTCGCTGGCATAACAACTAAAAGATGATCTTTGTCTATGTGTGGAGTCTCCTCTGAAAGGGAAATGTGTTGCTGCGCCTACTGACCTGGAGAAAAAGAAATAAAAAAGGAAATTGTCGAAAACAAAAGAAAAATCAAAACAAAATCAATAGTTCAGAAAGGAGCCTGATGATCTCCTTACCTAAAAGCTGCCAGGCTCAATCTCCTTAAGGGAATGTGGGTCCATGCGCTCTTCCATTGCGAATCATGCACGGCTCATCCCTGTCGGGACTACCATTCGAATCAACAAATCTAGATATCATGTCGGACATGGTGGATGCTACAGTGGGTCTCTTAGGTGTTGGCCGCATTACAGATGCGAGACATCACATAAGGGATAACCCGGCAGGCGGTCCATGATATCTGGGCAAGCGGGTCTCTGTTTGTGAATTACCCAGTGCGGTGATGCTCCGCGCTTTAACAATTATGCTTCACCTACAATTCGCATGTCTCCTTTGGCGCCATCCCTTTTGTGGCGCTGGAGCCACGCCGGGGCCGGTCTACTACTGACATGTGCCTTACATTCATAGGATGGGTCTGCATGGGGAATGAACCTGTGATTGGTGTCGTTGGGTCCCAAGACCTTTGATCAGAACGAAAAACTTCCCCTCTAAGGCGACATCCTGCATGACCCTCAGAGAGAGAGCCAAGAGACGGACCGATTCATTATAAATTCGGGCTCATTCCCCGGTTTGGGGCAGATCAGATTAATCCCAGCCTCGTCCCAACAAGCCGCCAGCCCTCGACCTCCTCTTCGGTCTACCCTCTGTCGCCCTCCACCATGCTTGCCTTTATCTTCTTCCTCGTCGCTTTGGCTGCGGCTTACCCTAACCGGGGTGCCTGCACTGGTGACTGCTGGACAAAGGATCCTGCTGTCATTCAGCGTCACAGCGATGGCAAATATTTCCGCTTCGGCACTGGCAGTGGTATTCCGATCATCACCTCTAATTCTATTAAGGGCCCATGGACTGCGGCTGGCAAGGCTCTGCCCAATGGATCGAAGATCAAGGTTTCCGGCGTGGATAGCTCAAACATCTGGGTAAGCTGATTATCATACTACATTCGTTGTATCACAGCTAATTGAAAACCAGGCCCCGGATGTGCATCTCTCGGGTGACACCTACTACATGTACTATGTTCTGTCGCAGCTAGGAACCCAGAACTCTCAGATTGGTGTGGCTACTTCGAAGACCCTGGCTTCTGGTTCTTGGACCGACCACGGCATTGTTGGCATCCCCCAGAACAGCGCCTACAACCGCATTGACCCCAACTGGATCAACATCGACGGCAAGCAGTACCTCAACTTCGGATCTTTCTGGGGCGATATCTACCAGGTTGAACTCGAGACTCCCCTCAAGGTCGGCTCCAACACTCCTCACCAGATCGCCTACAACGAGACTCTCAACCACCGCGAGGAGGGCGCTTTCATGTACCAGCACGGTGCCTACCACTACCTTTTCTTCAGCTCTGGAATTGCTGGTGGATACACCAAGACTACTCCTGCCCCCGGTGCTGAGTACCACATCAGCGTCTGCCGTTCTTCTGGAGGCTCTGGCGGCTTCGTCGACCAGTCTGGCAAGGATTGCTTGAAGACTGGCGGAACTGTTGTTCTCGCTAGCCACGGCCAAGTTTTCGGACCCGGTGGACAGGGCATCTTGAACGACAAGGACCTGGGACCTGTCCTCTACTACCACTACTACCCTCTTGCCACCAAGAACTCCGGTGGCTCAGCTGATGGCCAGAATGCCGAGTACAAGTTCTCCTGGAACCAGCTCACCTTCACCAACGGATGGCCCGTTGTGTCGGCATAGGAGGAATGTCAATTTCTTCACGGTTTCTTATATACATATACCAGGCACTAGTCCAGCGACTTGTGCCGTTTCTTTCACTTCTTTCTGTCAATGATTGGGTCATACTTCTTTTTCAAAGTACTGCACTCGTTTATTTCGATACCCATTCCGTCGCGTCCATATTGGCTCGGCGAGCGCTTGTGTCCTGGCAGAGCATTGTTCTACTAATTATTAATTTAGTCCAGCCAAGTCTGGTCTAATGCACATTTCCAATTGCATACAAATGAAACCAATCGTTATAGAACTCTTTCATTCTTTTCATCTTTAACATCTCTAAAATTATTATCCTATATGGAAAGATCTCCGCTGTCGCATCTCGCGGGAATGTTGGCCCCGCGAGTGATCGACAACTTTAACTATCGGCCCACATACCGCAGCTCCAAAATGCGCAGGGGCAGGTACGAGACCGCCGTGAAGACTAGCGCCAACTCATTCGCTATGTCTCCGCCCTGCACGCCTATCAACGAAGCCAACGCCCCGATGTAGTATGTCTCCACCATGCCCACAATCCACCCGGCCGCTCCACAGAGGAACGCTGTGAGGCCGGCGTAGCCGACTGGCATCTTCGAAGGGGTGTTCCAAGCGTCTAGGTCGTAATTGGCGAGATTGCCCTTTCGGAAATAATAGTGCTCGATGAATAGGATGACGAAGAAAGAGGTGTTCCAGTATCCCAACAGGGAAAGGAAGTTCTCCAAAACATCTAATAGATGATTCCGACCCACGATACCGAGTAAGAGAATGCACACAAATACGATGACAGACCAAACAACGCGAGGCACCTTGGCGCATGGCGGAGCAAAGAGTTGTGCAGATAGTGCGCCGGCGTAGATAGCGATACAGTTGACGCCGACTAGAGAAAACGTTAGTGTCTTACACTATTTTTTTTCAAGGCAGCACTTATCAGACATACTTCCAGAGAGAACGAGCAGAACTAGTAGGAACTTGGCAAAACCATTCGGGTAGATAATCTCCTTCAAGATCTCACCAATGCCGCCCTCATACGCCTCGGCCCAGTCAGGATTCTCGCTCAGAGCAGAGGCGATACAGGCACCCAGCAGCATTCCAATACAAGTCGGGATCGTGATTCCCAGAGTCGTGTACAAGAACACCTTGATCTTGGGCGTGTTGACGGGGTAGTGAACATAGAAATCCGAGACGATCGAGCTCCACGACGCACTAGAGCCATAGACAACGCTGAACAAACTCAAAACCTGACCGGAGCGAGTCAAGCCGTGGACAGACGGGGGGTCGGCCAGATTTGCGCGGTGCGCCGCTTCACCGTAGATAATCATGAAAATGATGAAGAATAGGATCCACGCGTATTTCTCATAGAGAAGTACACCGCGCAGTCCGACGAAGCTGAATAGTAGACTGACACACGCGACGATCACCACGCCCACGGCGATCGAGACGTGTCCATTTGACACTGCGCTGAGCGCCAGTCCGCCTGTGATACAGTTGACCGAGGCCCAGCCCAACTGCTCGATGACATTCAACAAGGCGATAATGGACGAGGGGTAATATCCGAATGAATATCGCGAAATAGCGACCTGGCGTAACCCAGTCCCGGGTCCCATTGTCGCGCACCAGCCCTAATCAGCCCAAAGTAAGCAATCTCGCCATCCCGAATCTTGTGGCGTAAACGTCAACGTAAAGGGGGGGGGGGGGATTTGCGTACCGTCACCATGGCCCCTAGTAGAGTAGCGAAGATAATGATGGGAATCGTTTGACCAAGCGATAACCCAAATTCCTTGCCCAGAAATCCCGTACTGAAGCAGCTGATGTTCATCGTCGCAGATGCCCACATAAAGGCCATGACTTGTGGACTGGGCGAATGGCGGTTCTCCGGGTGCACACGGTCAAGACTATTGGACTCGATGCCCATTTTGCGATCCAGGTACTGTTCATAATAGCGGAGTTTCGCGAAAACCCCTTTTGGTGCGACGGGTTCTTCCTCTTCGACGGGTCGCACCTCTGCTTCCAGTTTCTTCTCTGGGTCGAGTTCGAGGTCGGCCATGGCGATGATGGCGCTGGTGCTGGTGGTGTGGACTGGGATGGAGAGAGACAAAGGAGAGACGAAGGAGAGAAGGTCCCCCCCCCTCCCTCCCCTCCCTTCCTTTTTCTTCTTTTTCTTCTTCTTCTCCGCACGGAAGATATGGGGCTAGGTACGGCGAATCTTCCTACTCGGGTGGCTCCGTCCAATCTGCGAGTTCATGGTGGGCCACATGGGCAGCGCGGCTTATCGCCGGCATTCCTTTGTTCACTTTCCAAACCTTAGCAATGGTTTCATTCAATATCTGGGTTATATTTAACACATGGCTGTCGGGTATTTTAAACTATATACTGAATATTATGAGCTTTTAGCTCAAAACGCTAGCATTGGAACCCTGTAGACATGGTGAAGGACTGCGAGAGTATTCTAGAGGAATTTACTCTACTTTGGTTAAGCTTTTGGGGCCGACGGAAAAAAATTCTCGTTATCAGAGGTGGGGTTGGCTGAGCCGGGGACATTTGATTGGTCTGCAGTTTCATCTCGCCTCCTTTCCGAGTGTTGGATATCTAGTCAAGCATACTTTTATGGCATGATGGATTGGCGTGGGACCCCACGTATTTAAGATGTTGGGTGGAGCGAGTGTCGGTTGATCTTTTGCCTGAAAAGCAAGTCAAGTATACTTATTACTAGTCCTAGTAGTAACATGCCAATTGCTGATTACTACTTGCTACATATCTGTGTCTTTCGGGTCTAGACCTCGATCCCCAAGCGACATTTTGGAATGTAGTGCTTCTCACTATTATTGCCACCGCGGCGGCGAACAGGCCCCCAGCGGCGAATTGATGCAATCAGTTGGCAATATCTCGTATTCTACTCACTTTGCGTAGGCGTAGTTGAAGCATTTAGAGTATTGGCAGTTGATTTGCCAGCAGTCATCTGTGTAGTTGCTTTAACACTGAGATCACGCGCAGCACGTGGATACGCCTTATCACCAAGAGGGTCACCCAGGGAGAAGTCGGACAACCATATATAATTGAATAACTCGAATTGGCATCTTCTCCGAGTAGTTGAGGGATCAATGCATTCGGGCAATGGCGGGGAAGTGATTGGCGCGAGGATGTGATCTGCGGGTGACAGTTCCAACAAAGTCTGGACGACCCGTGGGGATGTGCCACACCCAATAAATATACCTGCCCAGGTGTAGATGTCAGGGAAAACTGAGAAGAATCGTAGATTTAAAATGACAATAAAGTGAATCTAAATTGAATTGATGGAAAGAGGATTATATTCAGGTTCAGAAGGCCAACAGGGCAAGACCAAAAAGGCCAAAGTGGCGCTCGGAGGCGGAGAAAAGCCCCCCCGGGGTGAGCTGGGCTGCTGCTGGCCTCTTCTCGGTGACTTTGTTGTCTGGGGATCTCGAACTTCTTCCTCTCTCCACCTCCACCTTCATCTCTCCCCCCCCTCCTCCCCCCTTTTACGCCTCTTCCCCCTCACGACTCTTTTTTTTAGGGTCTACGGGTTCATTGTACATTCTCTAGGGTGTTTTGGCCAGTCCAATACTTCCCTCCCTTTTGATACTCTAGCTTCCCCCCGGGCACACCTCACTGAATTGTCAGAGGGCATTTACATCACCCTGTTTGTCAATTCGTCAAAGTAGCATTTATCTTGTGGGTTATTCTGCTTTCTACCTCCTAATTCGCACTCTCTTCATCCATATTGGACACATCCCCCTCCGCACCGCTTAAACTGCTTTGCTCTGGTCCATCCATACTGATCTCACTCCGCTTCAATTGTAGGCTACCTTTGCACAGCCCCCCCAACCCCGTCGATTCTCCCCGGTTTTTTTGATACATCCTCTGGATTCACTATGGCTGCCGATGCGTCTGCTACCGCCAATGGCGGTGCCTCTAAGTCTCTTGCCGCCATGCTCGAGGCGCAACACGAAGAGGCTCACAAGGTCACTGTTGAAGACGTCGTGGACGAGGAAGATCTGAAGCATCTTCCTCCCCCGCGAACAAGCAACAGCAGCAACCTTCCGCCGCTCCCCCCATTTTGGAAGCTGTTACCCCCGTCGAGTCGACTGCCCCGTCCCCCGCCCCGAAGCCTGCCGTGAAGAAGTCTCCCGCATTTGACGTCCGATCCGAGGAGCTGTTCCCTGCGCTTGGCAGTGGACCGAAGCCCGCTGCTCCCGCTGCGGCAACATGGGGTGCGAAGAAGCCCTCGGCGGCCGCGGCCGTTGCGAATGGTCTGCCTCCCCAGCCATTGGGTAAGCTAATTGAAACCGAGTGAATGGAGAACTTCCGAAAGATCACTAATTCGAAATTGATAGATGTTCCTCGTGTTATGTCGCTCCCAGGAAAGCACATGGAGCAGCTCCGGTTGGCTCCTTCTCAGATGCAGCCACGCGGAGGCTTGAAGAAGCCTCTGCGGGACATCTTGCGGGATATCTCCCGGCGGTCTAAGGCCACCGTTGACATGCGTGGTGGCCCCGGCGGCTCAATTATCTTCGAAGGAAAGGGCGCTGTCGATTCCGTTCGACAGGCCCTCAAGGAGGTGGCGCAACAGGTCGGATCGAAGGTATGTCAATAAGAAGTGCGCACGAAGCAAGGTCATGAAATTGGAAAACTAACACCTTCTTTCTCCAAAAGCAATCGGTTCGTGTGCCTATCCCCGCTTCTGCCCGTGCCCACATCATCGGCCGCCAAGGCGCAGTCGTTCAAGATATCCAAAGCCGCACCGGTGCTCGTGTCCAAGTTCCCCGCGCCGATGACAATGCCGCTCCTGCCGACGATGACGATAGCGATACCATCGATGTGCTGATCGAGGGTGATGCAGTGGCTGCGGAGATGGCGCGCCGGGAGATCGAAGCAATCGTCAAGGAGCGTGGCTCTAACATGAGCCTTCGCCTGAAGACGATTCCACCGGAATTCTTCCCCTTCATTGCTGGTGCCCACGATACCGGACTGCGGGAGATTGAGGAGCGCACAAAGGCACAGGTCCATGTGCCCCGATATGATACTTGGTCAAGCCAGCCTCCTCCCCAGGAAGCCCACCCTGGCCAGGTTCAGTTTGTGCCTTGTGCCGACAAGCATATTCTGATCTCCGGAGAGCGGGCTGCGGCCCAGGAGGCTCGTGCCGAGGTCGAACGCCTCGCTGCTGAGCTCCAGCGCAGCCTCACTCTTCGCCAGCTTGCAATCAACCGTGGCCAACATCAGTTCATTCTTGGAAATGAAGCCGATGCGCTCCACCAGTTCCTTGCTCAGACCGGCTGCGCCATCGTTCTTCCTCCTGCCTCCGACGAGAGTGAATTCTTGACCATCACTGGCCCTCTGAACCAGATTGAGACTGGTATCAACCATGCCATGGATCTTGCTACCAGCATGCAGATGGCCAGCATTGACCTGTCCCGTCAACACCCCAGTGCCCCCGCTGGTCCTCACGCTCACGCCCGCGCTTTGACACAATATCTCCGCCGCCGCCAGGTTATCAAGCAGCTCGAGTCTGCTTACGATGCCCACATTGCGCTGCCCTCCAGTGTTGATGGGCCCGTGAACTGGGAGGTGTACTCTCGCGATGGCAAGAACACCATTCGTGCTCGCTCCGACATTATGAACCTCGTCCAAGCCCACCCTCCTTCTCGTCTGCGCCACGTCCCGGTCGACCCCTACTTCCACTCCTACCTGCGCTCGCGCGGTGCGAGCAAGCTACAGGGCGACTATGGTGTCCACCTGCTGGTGCCGGATGATGTTAACAGCACCGAGGTTGTCCTGGTCTATGAGGGTCCATCCGCCACTACCTCCAGCTTCGAAGTTCCCCGTCAGCGACCCTCTGCCGTCGAGATCACCGCATTTGAGAAGTCGCTGCAGGAGGCCCAGGAGTTCTTGCTGAGCACTCTCGGTAACCAGAGCGATATTGTCGCCAAGGCCGTCACCGTTCCTGCCAAGTACCAGGAGAAGGCCCGCAAGTTTATCATTCGCGAGCAGGACGCTAAGGGGGAGGACAGCATCCCCGTGCGAGCTATTGTTGGCGACGCAAAGGCATCCAAGTGCGAAGTCGCTCTCCGTGGTCCCTCCGGCCTGGTTGACGAGCTTGCTGCCAAGCTGGAAGCCTTCGTTGTTGAACAGGAGAAGGATGATCTGGAGCGTGGATACACAAACACCTTCGACTTCCCCCAGAAGTATGCCAACTTCCTCATCGGCAAGCGTGGCGAGAACATCAATAAGCTTCGTGAGGAGTTCGATGTTGATATTAAGGTTGAGAATGGAAAGGTGGAGGTCAAGGGACCCAAGGCCAAGGCTGATGCCGCCCGCATGCGCATCATCAACATGGGCAAGAAGCTGGAGGATGAGACCACTCACATCCTGAAGATTCCCGCCCAGTACCACCGCGAGCTGATCGGCCAGCGTGGTAACCAGGTCAACCGTCTCCAGGATCGCTACTCCGTGCGAGTTCAATTCCCCCGCGCAGCTGTTACAGATGATGTTTCCACAACCGACACAGGCAGTGATGCTGGTGGTGCTCGGGCTGGCCGTCCCCAGCAGGCCGCCGATGAGGTGTTGGTTAAGGGACCCAGCAAGGGTGCCGACTCCGCTCGTGATGAGCTTTTGAGTTTGTGGCAGTACGTCGTTGAGACCTCGCACACTGCCAATGTCTCCGTCGCTCAGAACCAAGTTGCTTCGCTGATCGGCCAGCGCGGTCGTGAAATGGATAAGCTGCGCGCTGATACCGGTGCTCAAATCGACGTTCCCAGCGCCAATGACGCACCGGACGCCTCGGGGCGAGTTCAGATCCGTATCAAGGGTACTAAGCAGCAGGTCGCCGAGGCTAAGAAGATCCTCACTCAACGGGCCAGTGAATTCGATGCTACCGTTACCAAGTCGATTGAGGTGGACAAGAAGTATCACAAGGCCTTGATTGGTGGAGGCGGTACGTTATCCCCATATCCCTTAAGTCACACGATTTCTTGTTATTAACAGATACTAGGTGCCAACATCCGGAAGATCGTCGTTGATGCTGGCGGTCCCAGTGACGGCAGCGCTGCCCGCATGGTCCGTTTCCCGCGCCCCGACAGCACCGAATCTACCATCCGCCTCGAAGGCAATGGTAAAATCGTTGAGAGCATCATTGCTGCCATCGAAACATTCGTCAAGGAGCGCGCGGATCAGGTCACCGAGACTCTCGATGTTCCAACCGCTCAGCACCGCCTGCTGATTGGTCGCGGTGGTGAGGCTCGTCGCGGAATCGAATCGAAGTTCAACGTTACCCTGGATATCCCCAAGCAGGGCTCGGGCCGTACCGACATCAAGCTCAAGGGTCCTAGTAACGCCGTTGCCGAAGCCAAGGAGCACGTTCAGGGTATGCTGAAGGAGCAGCACGCCGAGACTGCCGAAGTCCCAACCTACCTGCACCACGTCGTTGCCGACAACGGCGCTTTCTTCCGTCGCCTGCGCAATGAATACCAGGTTACCGTCGACCACGCCGGTAAATCTGTACCCACAAACCGTCCCGCCGAGGAGACTCGCTCCGTTGCCAACGGCACTTCCCTCCCCCCTAATCACCGACGACGCTGAAGCTGCCTCCGATGCCCACTCGTGGAACGTGGTCGATAACGCTAAGACTGCCGATGCCGATGTCAGCCCCTTCCCCTGGGTTCTGACCGGTTCTCCCGAGAGCGTGGCTAAGGCTCGTGCCGCCATCACCAAGGCGATTGATAACGCGCAGCAGCAATCCGCCATCGGCTACTTGATTCTGCCTGACCCCAAGACCTACCGTTACGTTGTCGGTCAGGGTGGTAGCCAGATCAACGCCATCCGCAAGAAGACCGGTTGCCGCATCAACGTACCCAAGGACCAGGCTCAGGGTGAGGCGATTGAGATCCGTGGCAGCTCTGCTGGTTTGGAGGAAGCCAAGGATATGATTCTGGAAGCTGTTCAGAACGGTCTGAATGGCTCTGCCCGGTAATTGCTTTGTTTTGGTTGTTGATGGGTGACCTTGTCTCCGAAGGATAACGACAGGACATATTAGGCATTCCAGACATATACACCACTTCTTCGAGAAATTCTTTGTGTTTATTTAATTTTCTCCTTGTTTTCTTACATCTACGATGGTATTTAGTGTATCTCTTCCCTTCTACTTCAAAAAGAATGTTCTCTTCTCATTTTTCCTTTCTTGCTGTGTGCTTTTCACTATTCATTGGACTCTTCTGCTTCAACATTCCAAGGAGGGCTGTCTTGTGAATCTCAAGACCCAAGTTGATATTCTAGCGAAACAAAATATATAAAAAAGGTTCGAATGGTATCAATTCATGAGTAAAAAGGTCATTCTATCCCGAGTCTGACTTAGCTAATCTAAGTCCCCCCCCCCTCCGAAGTTGAAGGCCCCCCTCGCGACCCACCTCGAGTCATCCTTGTGCAAGTCCCGAATCGAAAAAATGGCCTGATGCCATTATATGAAAGAAAAGGCCTCGGATTCAGGCGCATACATAAAGAATAGCGGAAGAGATCCAAACATACCCGCCCGGTGTCCGACGTACGAAGTATACTGTAGACTCTAGAGATCATTATTAGATTACCCTCATAAATGTTTTTGAGACATCTATTTCAGATACCACGGTTATTGTAGTAGGCCTACAACATAACCGAAACTCTTGGGATCCCCTTTACTGGACAAAAGCCACGCTCCGGGCCTACAAGGATACTTGGCGTGTAGATTTAGATATAGCTTCCGCTACGTCATTTCGAACTCGTTGTACGTACGAGTATGTCACATGTATTTGAGGGAATGGGGCAATCATATCATTTACGGGCACAATGGCGAAGGCGAGTGCTTCATATGGCAACCCTGTGTACAGCCACAGTCATCATGGACCTGCGTAAACAATGACATCATAGGTGGAATACTAGCCTTAAAACCAACACATTTGAACTGAGAACTTCACTCCACAACATAACTATTCAAACCATTATATCATTCAAGTACACATTCGCGCATCGAATTCTGAAACCATATTCTTGTTTTCCCCGATCAACCTCAAGTGATACCCACCTATCCAAAAAGTCAACCAACCTTCACCATGACGATTGGCTCCCAAGACGAAGGCGCAACAGGCGCTGCCAAGTGGGTGACATCCACCCTTGGAAACACCGTTGGCGGCGTGACCCGCACTGTGGGCGGAGTCACAGGCGCTGCGACGAGAGGTGTCGGCGATACGATCAACAGTGCGACGGGAAGTGCTGGACGACCTGTTGGCGATGCGATTGGAAATGCTGGAAGTGGACTGGAGGATGGAACGAAGCAGGTCGCCAAGGGGGTTGAGAATGCTGGGCAGTGGAAAGGACAATGGAAGTAGTGCCAGCCGGATGAACCAGGGCGACATTATTCAAGTGCCGTCCGAGTCCATTTGCGTTGATCGAACTTATATTCAACTTGAAGTTGGATGTGTATAACCACTGGCACTGGCGTGTGCATATGATATTCCCTGTTTAATAGTCTAGTAGCTTCATTTCAATATCCAAACACCATTCCATCAGTCCTTCCCTCTATTTCCGAGTCTCTATAGTAAGATCTAGCAGTGGTATATATACAAAAGTCTAAAAAAGGCACAAAAAATCCAAATCTAGTAGAAAATGATCCCATCAATGCTCCGGAGGAACCTTGAGCTTAATCTGCGTTCCCAAGGTCACCAGCGTCCCAAAACTACCCACCGCCATAAAAACCGGCCCCCAGATAGCAGGCACAAACTGACCGACCATTAAATATCGGCGTATAGACCAATAGCGGAAAAATCCATATCCCAAACACCAAGCACCCAAAGACTGACAAATTCTCGACGCGGTGACATGTTCCTTCAGCAAAACGAGAATCTCAGGACTTTCCCCACGCTTCACGGTCGCTGCGGTCTGTGGCTCCTTTCCCGCAAGCGCGAGTTGCTTGTGGAGGAGGTGGTCGACGGCCTCTAGGCGGTCTAGCGCGAGAGCCATGAGGCCGAAGCCAAGACCTGCTCGGGTCCATGAGAGAAAAGTGCGCTCGTTGGCGTGGTGGTCGCGCTGTTGGGAGCCTGAGTTTGCGACCCGCGAGGGAATAAGACGGCGGAGGAATGAGGCCATCTTTTGCAGATGATAAAATGAGTGTCTGTGAGGCCGCGAGGACCGGACCTGAGGAATGTCTTGGGGAATTTTCTTGAAGATGGATTGGGATGGAGGCGTTTCAATCGCCGCAGGGCTGAGGATCCACGTGGAGACTGCGTTTGTTGCCGTTGCCGGTACCCGTACAGTATACTCGGCCATAATCGAATTCTTCACATAGGTACTCGTATACTCGCATACTCGCATTGATGCCATTCGCCGAACGAATAGTTCTCGAATGAAGCGTAACATTCTCAGAAGCTCATCTTATCCGATTTCAACATTTCATATGCAACACCACAAACAAACCCAATCCCCAGACACTTCCACTGCGCCCGGACTTATGCACGGTAGATGCCGCCCTCCGATTGGTCCCCCGCGACCCGCAACGCTGCACTATACCTTAGGTTACCCCAGACTCTCGCCCTTGATCTTGGATAAAATGGAACCGTCAAAATATTTCAGGTGACCCTAAACACCTTTCCCTACATCCCACGAGGCAGTTGACTCGTTCTTGAAGCCCTTGAGGCATCTCGTTCGACCGTCGACTATTCATTCGGACGAGAGAATCCTGCTCGGGCGAGAAATGGCTTCTCGGGCGAGAGAGGATTGCGCCATCGCCGACTATACGGAAGAGTACTGTATCGTTACTGAGTATATGCTAACAGCAATACACACGGGCATTTGATATACTTATAGTATTACATTGGAGTCATGTTCTGTGAAAGATATTATATACAATTTATTAAAACTTTTTAAGTATACAGATGAACTTGGTCAAAGTCTTGTAGTGTGTGCAACATCTCAACTCTGATTTCCAACGAAGACAACAGAGCAACAACAGACTATGCACTACCACTCCAACCCATTCAATTTCAACGGCAAATGAAGAAATCGCTGTCCAGCATCCGTCGGCGCAGGAAGTCGTCCACCACGAATATTAACCTGCAGCGATTGATGGAGAAGCCTAGGCTCATTCAAACTAGCATCACGCTCCGTCCGCATCGCGACAAATTGCTCCTTGGAGATGGAATCTTTGATATGTCGATTCAACCGTTTGTGCTCACCGACACTCATAAATGCCACAGGGTCCCGGTCGGGCGGGGGTAGTCGTGCCCCGGCCAGATTTTGACACTTTCGTCGAATTCTAGTAGCCTGCGAGCGGAGCTGTAGAGATTCTTCGCGTCGCCGCCTGGGAAGTCGCAACGTGCTGTGCCGATATCTATGTGAAAGAGGGAGTCGCCGCAGAAAATGTTTTCTGGGATAGAGATATGTCAGACGACCAGTAGCGATGAGTGATGGCGGAACGGGTGTTTAGTTTGGACTACATACCTCCGATTTGATAGCCAAGGTGATCCGGGGTATGACCCGGAAGATGTAGAGCGGTAGCTGTGAGCCCGCCAATGGTGAAACTCTCATCGTCATCGAAAAGGTGGTCGAAGACTTGCTCGTATTCCTCTTTGCCGATGTGGTATCGCAGACCGAAGAGATTCTGAACCTGCGCGATGCGCTTGCCGATTCCTATCGACGGCTTGAACCCTTGGGTTTGGTTGAGTTGGTGCTGGAGATATGCAGATGCAGTGAGATGATCTGCGTGAGCGTGTGTCTCGAGGATTCTCTCAATCTGATAGCCTTTTCCTTTGACTAACGCGAGTAACTCATCGGCCGCTGTCGTAGTAATGGCCTGAGTGGCTGGCTCATAGTTCAAGACCGGGTCGATTATGATGGCGGATTTTGCGGATGGATCTGCCACGATATATTGCCATGTCCCCGTTACGGGTTCAAAGATGTTGTGGATGGTTGGTTCTTTGGTTGACGCAGAGCTCGTGCTGTTTGGGCGTACTTGATCCAGGCCCTGGAAATTGCGGGGTGGAGACATGTGGATATGAGTCTGAGCCCGGAGTCTCTGCGGCACTAGGCTCGTGCTGGATAGTGAACTCTTCGAGTGTGTTGAGACCTGCCGGCTGGCCACTGAAGAGATGGTTGCAATTGGTCTGAATTGTATGCGTCCTATCGTTGACTTAAAGGGAGCCAGTAGAGAGTGGTTGACCTTCATCGTGAAGTCGAGCCGTAGGAAAGGATCAAGATATCAATTTATGTGTGGATGGATGTAGGAGGTATGATGTGGTTGGCGTGATCTCGGTGTCTACTAGATGTGAGGTTGAGGTTAAACTTCAAGTTGAAGATTAATAACTCGGGCTCTATCCCTTTGATCGCCGATTAACTCGGCGAATGGAATGTCTCCGCCCGGAGACATCTAAGCCAGACCAGATCCTAAATATTCCACTCTGTACTCCGTAGTACTAGTATGATCAGGCCATGACCCTGGCCCTGTCTCTAGTGAGATATGGTGAGATGGTGGATCCCCGGTAAGGCATTGTAACCGGTAAAACATGTAAAGTTTCCGTCGATCACGGCCGAGACGAATGCATCTCGCGTCATTCCATTCCCCTTTTTTTTTTTTTTTTTTTTTTGAACCGCATCTCTTCCCCTTCTCCCTAATTCCCCAGAACTGCCTCATACCTCCCTTCTCACCTTCAAAAGACAATCCTAATAATCATGTTCCGCCGCGTCACACGCGCCACTCAGGCCGTGCCAAGCATCCGCAGCTTCGCAACCGCCGCCCCCGCTGCCGCTGCCCGCAATCACAAAGTCGTCGTCGTCGGCGCCGGTACCGCCGGTCTATCAATCAGTCACCAGCTCCTGCAATCGGGCAAGTTCAACCAAGATGACATCGCAATCGTCGACCCGGCCGAGTTCCACCACTACCAGCCAGGCTGGACGCTTGTCGGCGGCGGCCTCAAGACAAAGGAAGAACTCCGCCGACCGATGAAGGAGCTAATCGACTCCAAGCTCAAATTCTACAACGACGGCGTCGCTTCCTTCGCCCCGGAACAAAACACCGTCACTTTCGCCAATGGCAACAAAGTCAACTACGACCAATTGATCGTCGCCCCTGGTCTCACCATCAACTATGGCAGCATTAAGGGTCTCCCTGAAGCCCTGGCCGATCCCTCCGCCCCCGTCTCCTCCATCTACGGCTACGACAGCGTTAGCAAGGTCTTCGGCACCATCCAGAAACTCGAAAAGGGAAATGCTATCTTCACACAACCCGCCGGCGCGATTAAGTGTGCCGGCGCCCCGCAAAAGATCATGTGGTTGGCCCTGGACCACTGGAAGCGCGCTGGTCTGTATGACCCGGCCAATCCGTCCAGCTCCGCAATTAATATCGACTTCGCAACCGGTATGCCGGTGATGTTCGGAGTGCCGAAGTATAACAAGGCGCTCACGGCGATGCAACAGGAGCGCGGCGTGAATGCGCTATTCCAGCACGACCTTGTCAGCATTGATGGGAACACGGCGACATTTGCCCGGCCGGATGGTCAGGCGCAGGTTTCTAAAAAGTTTGATTTGCTGCACGTTGTGCCGAAGATGGGGTCGCCTGCTTTTGTGAAGAATAGCGCTCTCGCTAATGAGGGTGGGTTTGTGGATGTTGATGATGGGACGGCTCAGCATAAGAAGTTTGCCAATGTTTGGTCGGCGGGTGATGCGTCCAGTTTGCCTACTTCCAAGACTGCGGCTGCGGTTACTGCGCAGGCGCCTGTTGTGGTGCGGAACTTGTTGCAGAGTATGGAGGGCAAGAAGGCCGATGCTGTTTATGATGGGTATACTTCTTGCCCGCTGTTGACGGAGTATGGAAAGGTTCTCCTTGCCGAGTTCAAGTATGGTGGTGAGCCGAAGGAGACTTTTGGTAATTGGTTTGGTATTGACCAAGCTGTTCCGCGTCGCTCGTTCTATTACCTCAAGAAGGACTTTTTCCCTTGGGTTTACTATAACTCCATGGTTAAGGGTGAATGGGCTGGACCTAATGGGTGGAAATAGAGATACCATGTGTAGGTTTTGTCTGAGTGCACTTTATGGAGTTTTGGGTCATAGATCGATCAATGTATTCTAGGACAGTATGTCGAAACAAAATGGAATACCCAGGTTAGGATAAGTACAACTTGAAGTTCAAGTGGTTATCTGATTCAGCCTTTTCATTGAATTGGTTAGTACTAGACGATCATGTCGCAATCGCACATCACATGGGCACTACCCTAGGTACAAACCGCATACTATGCCATTGCGGGGAATGTTCCCCGCCGCCGTTCCATCACTACGGCGAGGCGGATGGCGGATGGCGAATTCCGCGTCGGCGCTGTCAGAGCCGAAACATGGCGGGAGTCCATTCCCTTCTAGAACGGACAATTGGCAATGGCAATGGCAATCCACAATCAGATATCGGTCTATTAATATATGCGTAGAAACAGAAAGATGACCATCATCTCCGCACACGAAGGCCCCCACCGCGGCAAAAGTTGGCCCGAAGGAGCAAAAGATTCCGCCCTGCAAGGTAGTGGCCGCCGAGCTTTCCTCTGTTCGTCAAACTCTCCACCCAAAGTCAATAGCCTGACATGGTCAAGAGATGCCAGTGAGCACCGAACAGGAGCAAAGAGCGGAGAAAGGAAATGAGGCATAGCACATAGCACATAAGGCTCCCAATATATCAGTAGGCAGGGAGGAGCGAAAAAAAGGGCCTGGGATATACCATCTGGCAATGAAATGATCACAAAGAAAAAAAAAAGCAGACAGCCAATAATTAAACAGAAAAAAAAAAGTAAAAACCCCCAAAAAGACATGAGTAAAATGATATCTCGCTGCAAAGGCTTTGCGGTCAATCTCCTCTGCTCTCCCCCGCAGCAGTTCTTTGCTCTTTTCGTCTTCCCCTCACGGAGGATCATTCCAGCACCTTCCAAAGCGTGTTTCCCCCCCCAATTTAGTTCCTCCACATGTGTTTGACCCATTTCCCAACCCCTCATCACATACCCCATCTATCGTTTTGATAGTGGAATCTCACAAACATCGGCACGGCGGATTACCCCACTTTACTGTTGGGCCTTCTGGGCCTCAAGGTAGTTGTAAGCACCGTAGGCAATGGCACCACCGATGAGGATGATGGCGTAGAGACCGACACCGAAGCCACCGGAGCTGGCGGTGGTGGCCGATGAGCTCGAGGTGGCGCCGTGTGACTTGGGCGCGGGATCACCGGGCTGGAGGGAGTTAGCGATAATTCAAAGATGGATATAAACAGACAGCAGGGGAACTAAAGCCGGGACATACCATGCGCTTCACGTTGCCGACAAGCAGACCGTCGAGAATCTCGCGCGCCTCATCGGAGTGGCCGACATCCTCGAAGGCCTCGGTTCCATCTTGGCCGCCGACGTCCAGGAGAACTTCCTCACCACCGCTATACCGGGAATGTTAGCCTGGTTCCAGATTATAATTGTGCAGGAGAAGTTGCAATATGACTCCCCGTACGACTCGTCTGAGTCAGAGAGAGGGGAGGAGAGGCTGGAACGGTTCGCTATTCTTCGATAGGGGTATATAGCCCAGCCGATCGGGTCTATAGACCCGACTCAAACGGAGGCGGAATATAGAGGAAAATGGAGTGGGAGGGGACTGTAGAGGCATTTGACGTACGGGTGCTCATCGACGAAGCTGGTGCAGTCGTAGACCTTGTCGTGGATGACCATGTAGAGGTCCTTCTTGGTGTTGTGGCCGGTGACCTCCTGGAGGGTGAATTCCTTGGACTCAGACATGATGATGGATGAAGATCTGGATGAGCCGCCGGAGAGGCAGGAAATTAGCCTGGTGGACAGGATTGAAGGGCCAGATCTGCAGAGGGGGGGAAAAGGGTCCAGGTTCGGTGCAGAAATCCCAACGGGTCTCCGACACACGAGGAGTCGGAGAAGGCAAGACAGCGATAAGGAGGGCGGCCAGGCAGGTTCCGGGGACAGGTGATGTTGCTATTTGAGAGGTATTGGGAGAGAGGGACTCGGACTCACAGGACGAAGAAGACGGGCTAATGGAAGCAAAAGGACTGTATGTGCAAAGAAAAGAAATGGAAGGGAAAGGCAGATCGCAAAGTTGACGGGGCGTGCGCCAGGGCGGTCTCTCCGCGCGGTGGGCCTGAGGATTATTTAGTATTGGCTACCCTCTAGGCTATACATCTTGGGTGCCGTGGCTGCCACCCGATCAATTGAGGGGGGGGGGTTTGGTATTACCGGTACGGAGATTAACATGTCCTTCAAGTTTGCTATCAGTTCTACATTGGCCTGCCACTGCAGTATGTACTGGTGACTCTCTGGCGAGAGATCGACACACCCCCGTGCAATTGCCATTGGGCGAATCAGCGGCTGCTTATTCGAGCCTCGGCGCATATGGTAAGGGTGCAGTTACACAGAGAGTTAGGAGAGAGAGAAAAACTCGGTGAGGCTTTCGCTACGAAGCAATAATAATCACAACATATGACCAACGAGGCCAAGTGAATTGGGTATACCCAGAATGTCAACCTGGGGTAATATGGTACGAGTAATGCCACAGGCAAAGGCACATCCCTCGGGAGATGCACCACAGCGACAGCCCAATGAGAGCGGGGACAATCGTCAGATCCGTTCTGGCCAAGTCTTGACCGTACTTGACCATACTTGACCATACTTGACCATACCGAGGATGGTGGCCGTAGCCATTACCCGAGCCCTCGGGTATTGCTCGCCGCGGGTAGTGCAATCGGTCTGGAGGGCGGAACATAGAATTGCTGAATTGCTGACTCTGCCCAACTGTATACATTGTACCATCCCTGCGGAAGTTAATGCAAAAATTGTGAATCTGAATGTGTATGGTATATACCCCGACCCCTCACTGGCCTAGCGCTCGTTCTATCCAATTCGTGACTATCGTGACATGCAAGAAAAGAAAAGAAAAGAAAAATTCAAAACAAAACAAGAAGACACTCATATGCAAGGAGTAACCTGGCCATGAAGAGAGAGAGAAAAAGAAGAAAATAAAAAGCAAACAAAACACCACGTAATGTGGGACTCGCTCATTTCGCTGGGACTCGCTCATAAAACACAATATATGCTTGCTCATTCTGCAGCCGGTCGCGGGCCCGGAGATCGCGCGGGTTGAAGTCGCCCGCCCGCTCATCGTCGAATCGCCGCCAACAGTGTCGCTCCGCATCCCGCACCAGTGAAATGTAGTGTCCACTGCCCATCGACGATCCAATATGACGTAGCACCCCAAATGCATCGTAGCTGAACGGAGGGTCCGTCGCGCCCATCGGTGGTGGCACTCCCATATCCGGTGGAGGCGCCGAAGCTCCATGGGAGATCAAGAACTCATCCATTCGTAAGCCGTGAAGAGGAAATTCGATCGGAGTGTGGATTTTACGGGCGCTTTGCGTCTTCGAGGCCGAAAAGCGTTTGAAATGGACCACTAAGATCTGCGGTGCCCGCGTAATGAAGATCTGCTTGGTCGCCATACGCTTGCACTTGCAGTGTGGACATTTCCAAACCTCGTCGCCGCTCAGCATCTCCTCCTTGCAGTAGCTGCGGAGACATTGGTATATATCTGCACTACCCGTGGGTGGGATTTCCACGCTGATACTGTAGAACGCTTCATATGTGGTCGATGTCTGACGACAGGTCGTGCAGCGGAGGCGACTAGCGTGCTGTCCGGCAAACAACGATGAGATGAAGGACTCCTCCCGATGACAATATCGATCCCATTCAATCCGAGAGACCTTTTGAACGGGCATGCGCTCTCGCTGCATCTCCTCCGGGAAGGTCAAAGGTCGTAGTGGGGTACGCTGCCAATTGACATTGAGATCCTCGTGAAGACAGTCCACCACAAAATCGAAAAACTCCTTCGCGTCTTGTTGACGATCAATCGCCCATTCCCGGTTCAATCGGCCACAGAAGTTTCTGAACGAACTTGGCATGATGACCTCCACGTCATCTTTCCACAGCGACCGAATAAGATTGGCATATAGTCCCGGCATCACACCTTGCGACCCCTTCCAATTCTTCTGTACATAGCCTCGGAACCGATTATCGATGAAGAATTTGCTCATGATGGATGTCGCACTGAGACATTGAATCGTGGAATTCATATAACAGGTCACACCAAAATTGGTTAGGCCAGTTCGTGGCAATTTGAGGCGACGGAGAAGCGAGTTTGACATATATAAAGCGGTGCGTGTCGCCGAATTTTGTCTTTCCAAATGAGGTTGAATCTGCCGTCCTTCTGACACCCCACTATAGCTAGGACGTGGGACCGCAGGAGGGGGCCTCGAGGGCGTTGATGGGATGGGAGCTGGGAAACTTTGCATCGGAGGAGCCGGCTTCGATTCAGGGCGAGTCATGGATTGCTGCACATGGTGTGGTTCCGGGAATCGACGAAGAAAATCTTCATAATTGTGCACAAATGGGGCGGGTTCTTCTGCCATAGACTCCTCTTGCGGTTCCTCCGTGAGCGGTTCCTCCTCAAGATAATGGCTTGTGTCGATCTCCTCGTTCTTGGACCTTTCCATCCACGCCGATAATTCCTCCGAATTCAACGGTGTGAACTCGCGGAGTCTCCTCTTGCGAACCTCCAAGCTGGAATTGGCACTGGCCATCGTGGGCACCCGTCCCAGTGGACGACCAGGCCTGGAAATGGGTCGCTTGTTCTGAATCGATCCCATCACAGCGGCTGTTGAGGACGTGGCCAGAGATTGCTGTCCGAGGATATCAATCCACGCATCTAAACCACCCAGAAGAAGCGCCGGGGGACGCCCTGCCTTAAGTGGTTTGTATTCATTGAATTCATATAGTGTGTCATGGAGAGCTCGCAGGTGTGGCGCCGACGTCCCAGCAGGCGGGCCTGCAAGATAACTGACCGAGGTGGTATTTTGATCGTAATAAACAATCAGGTCGAATTCATTCCGCCGTTCGAACAGAGACAATTCGTATTCCGGAGACACGACGAGTCGGTCCTCGAGCTCCTCCGCCGAGACATTCTCTTTCAAAGAGACAGGTTCAATACATATAATTGACTTGGCATAAACGTGGCCATTGTCGAACTGGTCCCGAGAGCGGACATCGACCAGCAACACATTGAAAGTGCGAAGATATTCCAGGAGACTTTGCGCCGTTATAGCAGTGGTATAGGGCAAATCGGGAGAATTGCTCCGTGTTTCGCGAGCAGAATGAACGCCGTTGGGCGTTCGAGATCGGTAGGGGCTGTCGTCGAACCCGCGACTGGGACTCCCGCGAGGAGAATTGCCGAAATGTGAGTATCGCTGAGTGATTGAACGTGTGCTCTCGGTGGAGGTTCGCGGGGGGGTTAGGCGGAGGTTGCGAGGGAACCGTGTAGATCGGACTGTAGGCGGGGTCGGGGGCACGTGGGAGGGACGTTGCGAGAGGAAGCTTGGGAGGCACAGTCGGGACATGATTTGACGATCCCATACTCCGAGGGCCCAGTGGACGGCGAGTCGGCGGGCCTTGAGAAGCACTGTAGTTTGACTGGGGGGGTATTGGAAGAGTATGCGGTGTATGCGGAAGCCTGGCCTGCAGGCCCCGAAGAAGGATGAGTAGGCTGCACATTGGAGTCTGGCCCATTGTCGTGAGATTGAGATGCTCTAAGTTTCGCAAAGCGCTGCGCCAACAGGTCCTCGGCGGGAACCGAATTTCTCTTTACTCGTGTCTGAGAATCTGGGATTGGCTGGGACTGGAACTGTGTCGGGCTCGGCATCCGCATCGAATTGGTCCCGGAATTGCGATTCTCGCGACCTCGGGGAGCGGTCGAGTCGTTCTGGCCGGGAGAGGTCATCGTAAATGTTCCGGCGGGTTGTACATTGGTGCGGATATTGTCCTCGAGGATTTCCTGTTTAATCGTATCCATCGTCGCCTGCTTCGTTCGCACCGCCTAATTCATGTCAGCTCCGGTAGATATATAGAGGACTTGTGAATTCCGATGCTGACGTACCATCATCAGAGCGGCAAATTCCTTGGACCATCCAGGGTGTGGGAGAGTAGTTGATCGATAATCCGGATGGTGGGGGATGGTATTCACGGTTATTTCGGAGGCACGCAAATATTGGACGTAAGCCTGGTCAGGTTGGGAGTCTGCAAGTTTCTTGGCGAGATCGATTGCTTCGGCGGCGGTTCCAAGGAGGACCTCGAGCTGTGGATCAGGTGAGCAGTTGTCCCCGCCGCGGGCATTCGCGTTCCCCATACTTACCGGAGTGGTTTCATTAACGTTCAACAAAGCAGCTTGGTCCTGGAGGTCTTTGATATTTGGAAATATCGGTCGGGTCACCGGGCTACCATTACCATTACCATTCTGATAGGAGCCAGAGCCTGGTCTGGTGACCTGGCCTTTGGAATGTATGTTGCCCCCCACCGAGTAAGGACGGGTGCCGCCCTTCCACGGTGGTATGTCCGGTGGAGAGGGGAGGGCCGCCGCATCGGTGGGCATGATCGAAACAGCGAGGACAGCAAAAGGTTTCAGCGCATATTTAGTTGAAAAGGCGGGGGGGGGAGAAAAGAACGGTAGTGTCTCAACCCTGTATGTGTGTGATAGGCAAAGTCTCGCAAAGAACGGGAAGGGAGGAACACCAGGCACACCACGAGTCTGGGGAAGGGCGCAATACATAACGGAGAGCGGAGAGCGGAGCGCCACTGTAATAATAGAAGCGTCGCTCACCGCCGATGACGCAGCAAGCTTAGAAGCTTAGTCAATGTCACCCAGAGAGCTCCCCTCATCAACATTCATCATTCATTATTCATCCCTCCAGATCTACAGATCTCCCTACAATCCCCTCCCAATATGGCAGGCTGGTTTTCTTCAGCGTCGCCCCTCGATGAGCAGATCGAGCGGGCGACCGCTTCCTCCCTGTACGTGGTTATCGGTGCTTTCATTCCTTCTGCCTTCTGCCTTCTGCCTGACGGTTGCCCATGAGCTGCTGGCCATCATTGAGCATGGAATCGAACTGACCAATCTCTAGGGAAGATATCGCACTGAATTTGGAAATATCCGATATGGTGCGATCCAAAAGTGTGCAGCCTAAAGACGCCATGAGATCCTTGAAGCGTCGCTTAGAGAACCGGAACCCCAATATTCAGCTCGCGACATTGAAGGTTCGTTGTCTTGATTTGATGAATTCTTGAACTTTGGTTTGGACTGAATCTAATAAATCATCTCGCGAGTAGTTGACGGATACTTGTGTCAAGAATGGAGGAACCCACTTCCTCGCTGAGATCGCATCCCGCGAGTTTATGGACAATTTGGTGTCGTTGATGAAGGCCGAAGGCGCACCTCTGAACTCAGACGTCCAACGAAAGGCCTTGGAGCTTATACAAGACTGGGCCATGGCCGCCCAGGGCCGAATGGACTTGATGTATGTGGGGGAAACATATCGCAAATTACAGAATGAGGGATTCCATTTTCCACCCAAGACCGAATTGAGTGGGAGTATGTTGGAAAGCAATGCAGTAAGTCTGGACTTTCTTAGTCTATGACCGGAAGACTTGAAACTAATTGCTATGATAACCAGCCACCCGAGTGGATCGACTCGGATGTTTGTATGCGATGCCGCACAGCATTCAGCTTTATGAACCGAAAGCACCATTGCAGAAACTGTGGAAATGTCTTCGACGCCCAGTGCTCCAGCAAGACCATTCCCCTACCTCATCTCGGAATTCTAGAACCCGTGCGAGTCGATGACGGATGCTATACGAAACTCACGTCAAAATCTTTCGCCCCAGTAGGTTTATCAGACCGATCGGCATATAAGAATAACTCCATCACCAAGTCCAGTTCCATGGAGCCTCGCGGTGCTAAAGCAGATACCAGCTTCGATGACGACCTCCGTCGAGCGCTGCAAATGAGCCTGGAAGAAGCAGAAGGAAGAGGACCCTCGGGATATGTGCCACAGACCGGCAACGCCCCCCCAGCCGACGACCACGACCGCAGCTGTGACCGAGGCCGCGGCTCCAGGACCTAGCGATGTCGATGAGGAGGATGCCGATCTCAAGGCGGCGATCGAAGCGTCTCTCCAAGACATGGAGCAACACAAGCAGAACCACGCCGCAGCGTTGAAGAACACTCCACAGCCAAGTTCTGCCTCACGCGACTCGTCAAGCACCCCAAAGCCGGCTGCTCAAAATCCCTACGAACTTAGTGTCGTAGAAACTGAAAACATCCATCTTTTTTCAACACTTGTCGATCGACTGCAGCATCAACCCCGGGGTACTATTCTTCGCGAGCCTCAAATCCAGGAACTTTACGATAGCATTGGAGCCCTTCGGCCCAAGCTAGCTCGAAGCTATGGAGAGACGATGAGCAAACATGACACATTGCTTGACCTCCATTCGAAATTATCCACCGTCGTTCGGTATTATGATCGAATGCTGGAGGAACGCCTTTCCAGTGCATATTCCCAGCAAAACCTCGGTTATGGAGCCGTGCCCAGTGCGGCGCCGTATCCCAACATGACTGGCTTGCCCTCTCAGGTTCCAAATGGCAAATCCGGAGCGGAAAACTTTTATTATGGCAACGCGGCAGATGCCGCTGGTCCAGCCGGGCCAGCATATGCACCACCACAGCAGACGAATCTGAGTGGATATGAAGCACCTCCTGCGGGTGTCGCAAGTCCGTCGTATCCGCCACACTCACAATATGCGGCCCCTGGAGGTGAATCCGCCTGGGGCCAAAACCCTTATCCGTCCTTGGGGTCTCCTCCGCCCAATGCACCCCCGAACAATGATGTCGTTGCAGGTGGCTATGGCGGACCGGCACAGTACTATGCGTCGCAACCTGACCAGGAACCCCAACTATCCGAGACTCCGTACCAACCCTCACCTGTACTGCGGCGAGATTCACAATACCAGCCTAATGCGCCAGGGCCACACTCCCCCGAGCAAATCCAAACACCTACATATTCCACCGTGCCACCGGCTACTCACCAACAACCAAGCGGACATCCACCTCAGTCCTACTATTATCAGCCACAGCAGGCCAGCACGGTGCCGTCTGCATCTGCATACCCGCAGGTACCGACGGGCCAACCGGGACAATATTCGGAAGTAAACCAGACGCAGCAACCCGCACGGGTGGAGGAGAGCTTGATTGAACTATAGCATTTTTTTTGGTTCGGGCGTTTCCATTGTTCCGCATGTCTTTGATTATTTCGCTTTTACCTGATGATACCTGAGGCCTATTTTTCTTGCAAATTGTACATATCTAAATCACAATGGAATTTGTAGCTTTGGAAAGCAACCCCAAGTGTTCTCCACTTTTTGTAAGGTAGAAACTCTCGTCCTCGTCCAACCGGACGTTGGAAATAATACCCGCGCTGCCCCCCCTCCGGTCCGCGAGCGGCGAGATCGTCCTCGGCCCTCAACCTCAACCCGCCAACCTCCAACTTCGACGGGGCTTCTTCCGTCTCCATCCTCCATCTTCTACCCCCATTCAACCTGACTTGCCGTCACTTACTCATTGTTGCACACATGGATTCCATCGGGGCGGTGTAATATCCTCCCCCCCCCTGCGTTTCATTATTGAGGCTTCATTGCTTTTTCGCCTGCACGTCCATCTGCGGTGGTACCTCCTCATTGCCCCGGCCAATCCCCTTTCGACGTCCAGTGTACATCGTTGATTACCCGCCGCCTTTTTGGGATCTTTGCCGCCATGCCAAACAACACCTCCTCCCCGTCAAGCGCCCCGGTCTCGCTCGTCGAGCGGTCTCCTCGCATGCAGTAGTCACGCGGGCGAATACCACCAGCGACTTGTCCGAGTCGCACACCAACAAGGCCCTCCTACACCCTGTACACCATAAGTCACATCGCGCACATGTTGTGGGTGGTCACCGCAATCATCATCGAAACCCCTCGCTTGGGAAGAACCTGAGCAAACTGAAGCTCTTTCAACTTGCCCCCGAGGCAACCGCTCGAAACCACCATCGCAAGAAGTCTGCCCCGGCGACTCCTGTGGGTAGCCCCAAGGACAAGGGACATGTACGTTGGGACGGCGCGCTGGAAGATCACCCGAAGAACTCGATGAAAAGAAATAACTCGACCCCCGTTCTAAGACACAACAACTTTGGTGGGACTGTGAGTAAGAAAGCTCTTGTAGCCGACCGCCCGCTATTGAGCGCTGGCAAGAAGAAGTCGGTTGGATTTGAGTTGGGCGATGATCTTAACGACGACGCTGAGTGGGAAGACACCACGCAATCACCCGAAAGTACAAGGCGCAACTCGGTCGCGCCCTCTAACCCCAGCCTCGAGAACAACAACCAAGTCCTCGTCGATCCCCTTACTTTTGTGAAGCGACCGTATCCGCAAATATCTCGCGCTACCAGTCTCCCAGAATCGATCACAAACAAATTTGTCCGCGACCAGTCCGATCCAGACGAAGAAGACGAGGACGAAGACGAAGACGCGGACGAGCGGGAGGACGATTCCCAGGAACTTGACCAGTCCGCCGACCAGGGCGATATCGCGAACCGTTTGTTGAGTCCCACCCACTCTGCGAAAGCACCACCAGCTATGTCTTCAATCTCAGCGATGGCCAAGCCGTCGACCAAGGATCCCGCGTCGCGCAGTGCCTCCGTGAACCTGGCCCAAGATAAAACTCGACGGACATTCTCTACATCCAACCCTGGGCTGGCCATGACACCTGGTAGCCAGCCCCACGCAACTTCATCCTCGATGGAGGGCGGCGTTTCCAGATTTATTGTTAGCAATAAGACCGCCAACCAAGCATCATCGCGAACTGATTCCGACCCGAACACCCCCTCCTCATTCCTCCCTCACTACCACCCACAAACACCCCCATCTCCAAACCGCGGCGCTGCAAAAGCAGCAGCATCTCCAGCTCGGCCCCTCGGTGTCGACTTGCCTTCACGGACTCAACAGAAGCTATGGCTCCAGCGCACAGCTACCCTGAATGACTCTCCCCCGACAACCATGGAGTGGCCAAAGCTACGTCATCTACTGCCATGGACATGGCAGCAAACCAAGTACGCCCTGGTACTGTTACCTTTGATGTCAGCAGAGGCATCAACGGCGGGGCTCGCACTGGGGCTATTGGTCATGACAATGAATCGCGACAAACTCGCAAAGCATATGAGAAGGTAGCTTTGGAGCTGACAGCAGTACGACGATTCCAATCACCCACGGGTGATAGCTTCAACCGACTGCGTTCCATCGCTCGTGCATCCAAGGCATCTGCCCTTGGCAAACCTATCAAGTCGGCCCCCTCGTTACCCCTTCTTCAGACTGGTAAACGCCCCAGTCGGCTTGGGTCTAGTTCAGAATCGAAGTCGCAGCTTCGTGACCCACAATCCTCCACCTCGGAAGATCCGGCCACTCAGAGCGAGTCCACCGACGCTATGCAGGCAGCCAAATCCTTTCACCCCTCCCACCGAATTCTTTCTACATCGGACGAGGCTGTGCATGGCCTGACCGGAGAGCAAGATACCGAAGACTATCCGCGAGTCAACCAAACCGATATGATGATCCGTCGCATGTGGGAGAGTCGAGAAGTGGCTACGTCTGGATAATCGCCACCACAACCTATTCTTTACGTTGATGACCTTTTTGCTTGCAATTCCCCGGGCGTTGACATTTCTCTGGCGGTTCTCTCTCCTTTACTCTTTTGTTTTGTTTTTGAAAGCGTTAAATATCAATCATGGACATATTTGTTTTTCCTCTAGGGCATGCGCTAATTGTAATTGCAACATTTTACTTGGCCTGAGCCATGGCACCCGGTGACCCCGGCATCCCCGTCTTCCGGGCGATCGCCCATGGCGTGACAATCTAACCCTAAGCTGAGTAATGGCTAATCACCCCCTGCTGATTTGTCCTGGCAAGACTGTATACATATTCTCATTCGAACTCGCTTTGTTGTCGCCTAGACTCTTTCAAAAACATCATGGAGGTTCTTGCTCCTTTGGTCGTTGGCCAAATTGCCCGCATCTCCTGCTACGTAGTTGGGATTGCCTTTATTTCGGTGGCTCTGAACGTGTTCAATCAGCTATTCCTGTACAACCGCAATGAACCTCCAGTTGTCTTCCACTGGTTTCCCCTTGTGGGAAGTACCATTGCCTATGGCATGGATCCTTATAAGTTTTTCTTCTCCTGTCGTGAAAAGGTGCGCGTGAATGAACATCCTGATATTTCGGTTCCTTGGACGTGTCACTGATAGATGAGAACAGTACGGTGAAATCTTCACCTTCATACTCCTGGGCAAGAAGACTACCGTGTATCTCGGCATCGAAGGCAATGAGTTCATCCTGAACGGAAAATTGAAGGATGTCAACGCCGAGGAGGTCTATGGCAAGTTGACTACTCCTGTCTTCGGCACCGACGTTGTATACGATTGCCCCAACTCCAAGCTAATGGAGCAGAAGAAGGTATACATAACATCTATCCTGAATGACATATGATTGACCATAAAGCTAACTCACTATCAATCTAGTTCATCAAATTTGGACTCAGCCAAGCCGCCCTCGAATCCTACGTCCCTCTGATCGAAGAAGAAGTCAACCAATACATCAAGACCTCCGGCAAATTCAAAGGCAAGACAGGCATTGTCGATCTGAGTGCCGCGATGGCCGAAATCACCATCTTCACAGCTGGCCGTACCTTGCAAGGTGACGAAGTCCGCACCAAATTGACTGCCGAGTTCGCCAGTCTTTACCACGACCTGAGACCTAGGCTTCAACCCGATCAACTTCATGCTCCCCTGGGCCCCTCTCCCTCATAACCGAAAGCGAGACTTTGCCCATGCCCGCATGCGCGAAATCTATCTCGAAATCATCCAAGCCCGCCGGGATTCCACTACGTCCGAGGAAGACCAATCCCAAGACATGATCTGGAACCTAATGCGCAGCGTCTACCGCGACGGCACCCCAATCCCAGACAAGGAAATAGCCCACATGATGATAACCCTCCTCATGGCCGGCCAGCACCAGTCATCATCAATCAGTTGCTGGATCTTCCTTCGACTCGCCTCGCAGCCTGAAATGACGGAAAAGCTATACCGTGAACAGGTCAATGCCTTTGGTTCCGAGTTCCCTGCACTGAGCTACAAGGATATGGACAAACTACCCCTCCACCAGAACGTCATCAAGGAGACCTTGCGTATCCATAACTCCATCCACACCCTCATGCGCAAGGTCAAGAATCCCCTCCCAGTCCCCGGGACCAGATACGTCGTGCCTACTAGCCACACCCTTCTCGCCTCGCCTGGCGTCACCACCCGTGATAATAACCACTTCCGTAACGCAATGACCTGGGACCCGCACCGATGGGAATCGCGAGTTGAGGCCGAAGATGATGGCGAGACCATTGACTACGGATACGGCGTTGTGTCGAAGGGTACTAAAAGCCCTTATCTTCCCTTTGGTGCTGGTCGTCACAGGTGCATTGGGGAGAAATTTGCGTATCTGAATTTGACTGTTATTGTTGCCACGATGGTGCGTAACTTTCGCTTCTATAACCCCGAGGACAGAGAGGGTGTTCCCGAGACGGATTATTCGGTATGTTTGCTTTCTCTTTCTCGTATTTCCTGCTCTCTTGCGGTTCTGTCGAACTAACCTTTCTGTGAAGTCACTCTTTTCTCGGCCAATGCAGCCATCCACTGTTCGTTGGGAGCGTCGTGGGGAATAATACTAGTTATCGGTGCCAATGTTGTTATGCGAAGCGTTAAAAGACTGCATGCTATACTTTTATATTCTTTATCTGGCGGTATTTGTTTTTGCGGGGCTCTCGATTTAATAAGGATTGTACCTAATTGGTCATAAAATGGTGCGATTGATAAATCCGATGGTACCTAGGTATAGTATCAAAAATAAATGGATCAGCCAAGACCACAGGAGAGATAGTGGTAATTCATCTGCTATTCAAACTGATACTATGACATGTGCTCGCATTCTAATATTCAAGTTCTTTTGAGGCCCTAGTTGAATGTTTGTCCCCTAGCAAATAAATAGTTATTATATACAGATAGTTAAACGCCCCTCCGCCCCTGGAGGATCTATATGGCCCTTAGCGAAGATTTCATAACTCCATGTATTAGTGAGCTCATGATCATGATAGTAGTCAAGAGGATCGTATATCATCGACAAACCCAAGCCATTCCCTCCGATCATCGCAAATTCGAGCGTATTCCAACAGTAGTCGGTAGGTGTAGATCTGCATGTCTTCTCTTCGGAGGACCTTCTCACTCCACGCTTTTCCAGCAAGAGCAATCTTGCGCGCCACATCATCATGACCACCAAGGAAGTACGCCATGATTCCGTAGATATCCAGGTAAGTGGTATCCATAGGGACAAAATGTACCCAAGGGATCAACCGCGAGTCATGCCACTCATTGTAGATGGTTGCTTTGATTGGCAGAGAGGTAGATAGCATAAAGCCTCGGAAACGACCACTGAAAGAATTTCCATCAAGATCAGGCAAATACTTGGATTTGTACATGTCTTTCATCGAAAGTCCCGGCATAATTTCGTAGTATGGATCGGTGTAAGAGCATTTCGGGTCAGCTTCGATATACGGAAAGCAGACCAGGTGCACAAAACCCGTGTCACTGTGCTCCTCAAGAATATCAGGGACGATTCCCTTGGCCAGAGAGTACTTGTCATAGTCTGGGAGCTTGAAGTTGATACCGGAGCCATCGGTCTCCTCGGCCTGTCGGACTGATGTGGCGTTCATCATGGACATAAATCGGTGTCTCTGGAATCCCGACCAATTGGATTCCCGAGCCCGGCCTCCAGTCGCAGAACCACGCCACACCACTGTATCTTGCTTTGATCCCCAGGAACCGCCGTGATAGTCTTCCCCGCCGGAATAATGCTCAATTTTTGCCCAGTACATTGCTGGGGGTAGAAGAATTTCATTGTTGACAGGAAGTTTTGATCCTCCAAAAAGTGGGAGCAGCTTCTGGGAGGTGGATACGGAGATTGGCTCCAGGAAGGTTCCGTGCAAAGCTTGAAGCTCTGGGCGCACACAGGGGTCCTTAGCAAGGGTGTAATTCATCACATATCCATGGTAGGACATTCTGTCGAAATTTTCAAATTCCCAGGGAACACTACTGAAGTTGATGTGCTCGACGTGGCTGTTCCGCGCAGGACTTCTTGGAGGACAGCCAGCACGAGCCATCTCCCAATATCCTCCTTCTCCGGGCCTTGAAAATCCAGGATCGAACGGTGGTGTCTCTTCCTCATCCGAGTCAGGAAGAGTCATGTATTCGGACACAGCACTTTTCGGGTTTGTGATGTGACGGGTTGATCGTTCCTTTTCCACGTACTCGCTTATTGTCTCGAAGGGGACAATAACCCGGCTCTCATCCATGACATTGATTGGCATATCGATATCGGGAAGTCGAGTCTCCAATGTTTGGACCAACTCCATCCAAGAATCCATCCAGCTGCGTGGCTGATCGGTTACCATCTTTGCGACATGCCCGCGGACCACAATGCGAGTGGAAATACTTCGAGCTTGTCGTCGCAACTCTTGTGGATCCAAGGCCCAGAATGGAGTGAGATCATGATAGATTTGGTCGAAAAACTCCTCGAGGACTAGTGCGTTTTTCGATTTGGCAAATTCAAACCATTCCGCAAACCCTGGGGGAGGATGGCGACCACGGCGTGCTCGGTATCGTTCTGTGGCGGATGCGAGATTGGGGGGGTTCTTCTTTCAGTAGGCGCTGAAAATAGGTGTCTGCTGTCTGGATTAAGGCATCGATGGGATGACTCTCCTTCGGTGTACTTTGCACAAAGAAGGTCTGCTCTGAGATAATCGAGGTGCTCTGTAAATTGAGAAATTGGTAGACGAGGGCGCAGAACGCAAGACAGGAAAACACCGCGAGAAGGCGCAGCCGTAAACCTGACCTGGCGATCATACTACCTACCATGGTGGTGGATGCGATCTTGTGAGTGCTAAATGTAAAAGCGAAGACATGTGGAAAACGAGGAATTGGATGCGATCGAAGAGCGACATTACATCATTCCACGAGGTTGTTCCGCAATCGGAAATGTTTTAGTGGGTCTCCAGTGGGGGATATATGTTAGGAAGACCATATCATTTGCTAAATGGACTACATTCCTGCTTCCGTCTCGCAGCACGCCCCCAAGAAGGCGGTCAATAATTGGTGGGCAATAAGGGGTATCAAACTTTTGCGGCGCCACTGTAGTCCAAATAGCAAAGATATTGTCCAATTAGCATCCTTCACTGTGGGTCCCTGCCGTTTCCTGCCGTTTCCTGTCGTTTCCAGATGAGATAGGCGTTCTCCGCACCGGGGCCGTGCTTAAAGATTAATATCCAACAATCTCTAAAATCAACTTCATCGAAATTGGGGACCCGGGGTATTCCCAATGATGGAGAAAAGGAGGTCGAGTAGCGGCCAAATGCTGGTCAATGATTTCGTAGAATATGTGACAAGTCCGATGCAAGTGCAAATCCTCGCAAACGAATCTTTTCAGAGCAGGGTACCGACGATCGATGAGTTCAACCATTGCATTGGCAGCAGTTATGGGATCTCGTTGGCAAATGTTTCCAGGTGGTGGCGAACCGATGTGAAGGATTTCTAGATGAGGGAAATGCACTAAGCCGCTAGAGGGGTCCGGCTCATCAATTAGTTCGAAACCGTATATAATTCGAAGTTCTTGGAGGCGAGGGCAGTGGCGAGATAGGCAGGCTAAAGACCTGGGAGACAGTTCACTGACAAATGGCAGGCAAAGCACAGCCAGCGAGTTCCATTGTGGTGCAATTGCTGCTATCAGTTCGTCGTTGAATCCAGCACACGACTCGCAATCTTCCCCAATTTCAAGTCTCCGAAGCAAAGGGCAACCAGATGCTATATCACGAAATGACTTGGATAAGATGGTTGTTTCCCTATCAGTGTCGAAATAGATATCCTCAAGACGTCGGCATAAGGATAATAGGCTTAGGACAGAACTAACATCAACATCATCAACACCAGTAGGACTATTAGTCGATTGCAAATGTACTCCTTGGAGGTTTTTGAGCAAGGGAATTAAGGACTGTAAAGCTCTTTCTTCAGCCCAAACGTCAAGATACCGTAAGCTCGAAAATACAGTGCTCTCTCCACACTCATATAAAGCCTGTTCAGTAAGATCCCACTCAAGAATCGTTTCACGACCGAGGGATAGCATTTCGAGATTTGGCCGCAACATGAGATATCGCAAGCAGGATTTGTTCATAAGTGATTTACAGTCTCTCCAAAGCGTCAGGTGGGTTATGAACGGCATGCTTTCGAGAAAATCAATAAAAGTTGAAGCCGTGATTGGAAGCTCAGGGGCTTCTTCTCCTAAGGCACTGTCAATGTGAAAGACTCGGAGGCGGGGTGACCGTGCCTAGCGACTATTATTAGTTATTGTCTATATGTCCATCGCTTTTCACGGTCTTCACGCGGAATACCTTGATCATTTCCAAGTACCATGTTGTATAATATCCACCAAAAAGCTCAAGTGATACCAAGTGTGGCGACAGGAACTGAGCCATATCCTCCTCTTTCAAATTATAAAGTCCCAGATGTACCCAAGCAGATCGTAAATTTGGAAATGAGAAAGCTGCTTCTGCAAGCAGCTTCTCGATCGCAGGATCTTCGCGCAAGTCATCACTGTAGCTGATGCTAAGGTGTCGAATTTTCGAAGTGTACCTAATGGAGAGTATGAGCAATCTAGCAGAATTTCCCCAGGAATCAGGGTCTGCCCACCAAAGTCGACGTTCACTAGATAGACGAGCTAAACTCCGTAACGGGTCACTCAAACTGTCATTTCCATGACTATATTTCCCCCGCCAGATGCACTGTCAAATTTCCCGTGTTATAGCTCATTCTTCATCACACGTCCGAGATCAATGGCTACTCACATTGGTTGCTTCTTCTGCCCAGAAAGAGTTGACTTGCGCGGCCGCGCATAAAGTGGTGCCGTCGGCGAATCGCAAGATGTTAGCAAGTATTTCTTGCACCTGCAGAGGATTTGACGCCATGGAACTCGAGAGGTATCAGTCTTTGTCCTAGAGGCCTGCAGATCGCAAAAAAGGCGATCATGGAATCAAATCCCAGGTGGTGGCTATTGATGTTGATGAGTGTCGAGGTGTAGGTTGGCAGGAGCGGCCTGAGTAGCGGAACTTAAGTCGCTGAGTGAGCCTTACCAGTTTGGTGCTAGTACTAGTTTGTACTGGCGCCTTCGAAAAAAGCAGTATTTTAACAACCATTGGAAACCCATATTTTACCATAATTTTTAATGATCCTGTTAGATTCTAAGGTTGAAAGCACGATCCCCGTTTAAAGTTTTAGTATGAATGGTTGTGGACTTCCAAACGGTTGTGCCCAGGGTTGTCAAATATTTGAAGCTTATTAATAGTATTATTATAGTTATATTATACAATAACCGGTAGTGTTCCATAAAAGAAGGGAAATAGTATATTTAAACAACGTATAGAGAGCACCACCAACAAAAGCACCACTAGCCAGAGCAAACCTTGGAAGCCGTGTGTATGAATAGTAACACGGACAGTATTTCTGGAAATCGCTGTCACCACCTACACCATCCTAAACTCCAAGATAGACTAAACCACATTTGGAAGCCGATCTAAATACAAGCATTTTCCTGCTGGAACCTTCCCGGGAAATTCCATCCATGATATGTGCCCGCTACTTATCGTCTATCAACACATCACTGTTCACAGTTTATTATATTTCCAAAAAACTTTCTAAAGAACCACCAGTCAGCCGATATACCATGGCATCTAATTGAATCTTCACTGGGCCCCGGGTGAGCTTGCATCGCAAATTCGAGACTTGAATCTTCCTCAGCTTCCTGGCAAACTGAAGGACAAAAGGGGCTGCGTGTGCGGTGTCACTAAATTGCACCCAACTTCTCCTGATCAAGATGACTTCCCTCAAGTCTTTGCACTGGCCTTGTATGAGGATTCGAAACGCAAGCGAGCCCAATACCCGGAGAAGTACAACCCCCCCCCTCAGTCCCAGTGATGTTCTCTTGGGGGACGAGATCGTTGAAAAAATCGAATCGCATTTGTCCCAGCAGATGAAAGGAGGGCCTAGACTTTCATTTGAGCAAAGAACTGCTTTCGCATTCCTTCACCCTTGGGATGCTGAGGATGATTGTAAATCTTGGAGTCGCAATGAATTCGGGTTCTCAATCTGGAGGTAGTGAAGATTCTACTCATGATAGGCGAACTAGATCCAATTCTCCAGGCGTGCGCTCACCCAGACGTGGGGCTTTCAGAGTGATACTTTGCTGCCATCTGCGATTGCCAGGTAAGAACAGTTCCGATTTGATTGTTCTAGACGACATTATTAAATCTTATTGCAGGCCGAGTCCCTATATTCTCGGGTGGAATATGGTCCATAATAGTGCTCTGATAGCCTACATTGTACTCAACATCGCTCTTTGTTTCCCGCAAATCTGTGACCCGACAGCGGGTAGAACTGATGAAACCGACTATTGCCATACAGGATTCTATCAGTACATGCTGAGAGAAATCACTCAGTCGCTTCCTCCTTCGGAAGCAACATCCTATCCACGTCAGCAGTTTTTTGGAATTCCCCGCGGCCACTTTTGCGAAGATAATGATATGCATATGATGATGCATAAGGTGATTGATAAGAAATACTGGCTGCATCGCACAAACATCATCAAATGCGGTCACTATGGTGTACTTTCATTTGATGAGTTCCTCAACTTAAAAGGTCCATTGACTGATCAATATCAGCCATTGGAGCCTGATGTTGAATCAGTGAAACAAGAATTCCTTCCTAAAGGCTTTCCCCTCGAGATTGTGCTTATGATCATGAATTTCGCCGATTATAAAGCCACAAGGGTTCTCAAGGTCCCGCATGATCCCCTTCACCCTGCCAACAGAGCCGAATTGAACCAGTATCTTGATCAATGCTGGCAAATCATTATAGGCTGTGACATCTTGAGCCATGCATCGGGTCGGGGTACGATTGACTGGCAAAACATAGTCCATTATAGAGTGAAGGGGCTTTTTCACAAACTGGACAGACCCGTGGGCCGGGGTAGTTCAATAACGGGAATGAAATGTACTTGGAGTTAAACTGTAATTGAAACCCTTGTCATTATTTTGAACCAAGGCTATTGTTCCCTGAAATCCTGTTCACAATTATGTTTCTTATCATTAGCGTCCCCATGTCTCTCTCAGATAGTTGAGAATTAAGACCAGAAAAATCAATATCCTCCACGCATGCAACCCTGAAAGGCTTTACTAGCCCGAAAAGTCCTGGCCATCTCCTTATTACTTTTTCATCACTGCTAATCATGTCACGAATCGCGAAACGTGAGAGTACTAGTACGGTAGTACCATCCGCGAAAGTAAAGCCGTGTGTATAAAAAACCTTGGAAGAAATAGAGAACACCACCAACAAAAGCAAAGCTGTAGGTATGTGTACCTAGGCAAGGTCGAAGGTTGTATGCCTGATATCGAACACTGATTCAAGTTACAGGTTACTATTCTCAACTCGCACTAGTAGATTAGAAATTTTCTTGAAAATCTCATATGAGAATTTCAATTAATGTATCGTATTCATCTGCCCCAAAACAGGAAAAGAGTCTATCATGTTTCTCATGACAGTACCAAATATACTGCCTTTCTCAGAACGCCAATTCTAACAGCAATAAAGCATGTACAAGAATTCCCACCGCCAAAACCTCTGTGTTGAGATGTAAAAATATTGGGATCCAATGTAACCAGCGGAAGCAATCGCTTAAATGATCTAAGTTGCAGTAGAAAAACAAAGACATCGTGAACCATTGTCAAAAGATTGGGAAAACATCCTCGTAACGGCCATCTTAAAAGACCACGCACAACCCTGCACTGTACAAACCAAACCAAAAGGACAGATCAAGCTTGATTACCCCGGTCTTTACCCCTACCACGTTGCCCACTACGACGAGGATTCTTTCCGGTGGTATGATTTCCAGCAGGTGTATCCCGAGGTTGCGTGGATCCATGACCACTCACGTTTTTCTTTGGAGTAGGCTGTGTTTGCCTTTGGCCTTGGGAGCTGTTGGCTTCCGGCACCGAAGTCTTATTACCCCGACGTTTGCGAGAGTTGCTAGGAGTGCCAGGGCCGGGACCAGTGCCTTTGCCGCCGCGTCCACTCTTTCCACTGCCACGCTGCTGGTTCCCTTGCTGCTCTTGTTGGGACGGCTCAGGGTCCAAAAGACCTTGGATACGCTTGCTCTCTTGGTCCCACCACTGCTGGAACTCTTGCTCGGCTTGGATTTCGTCGAGATTGTGCTTCGCATTGGCTGCTTCGCGAATCTCGTCCTTTTCTATTTGCTGCTGGTGGAGGATAGAAGCCAAAGAGAAAGAACCAGCAGAAGGGGAGCGAGATGCCGCATGCGGGTCAAGGCGCGGGATATGTCGGATAGAATGAACCGGGGGCTGTGGAGATGCTTTTGGTAGGGAGTTGTGAGAAGAAGGCGAGGGCTTGGAGATAGGAGTTTGAATATTTGTTGAAACACTCCGGCTTTGTGGCTGCACTGGGGTGGCGACTGGCTTCGATCTCGTTGGAGGAGGTGTCCCGGCAACTGTCTGGCGCATGGTCATGGCTGGCCTTTGAGCGGGCTTCTGATCGGATGCTGGTGGGCTGGCAACTTTTCGACCGGGAAGAGGATCTTTAGTGGGAGTACCAGGGGTAGCTGGTTGGGGCAATTGCCACGGATTCTGGGATGCTTCTTTGGCCTTTTCCTGTGCGACAAGCATCTCCTGCATCTGTTGTTGTTGCAGCTTCTTCCGATCTCTTTGGGAAACCTTCTGGGTGGACTTGCTGCTGCTCTCGCGAGGACTAGACATGCCCAAAGTCAGATTGGAAACTCTAGATTGCGAAGTTTCTCCCATGATATCTTTCAGATCCTTTTTGCCGCTGGGTAACGCCGGGGAGCCCCAGGGCGCCGAAGACCCTTGAGGTGATCCCAGAGAACGCCTTTGATGAAGCGCGATAGCCCTTGACTCGGTTGGGGACTCTGCCAGTAGGGTGTCGCGGGGTGAAGACATTTGGACATCCAGGAAGCTTCTCTCCTCAATTGACTCAGGTATGCTTGCTCCAAGAGCGGGCGAGTTAGGGTATGAATTGTCAGCCAAGCTCATGCCACGCAAAGCGGCTTTACCCTTGGACAAGTCACTAGTTGAGCCTGCCTCTTCGTCCATTTGGAACATCAGATCACTGCTGGATTGTCTTGGTTTCAGCATGGGGCTGGCCGCTGAACTGTGAAGGGCTCTGGGCGTGCTGGATTTTCCCTTCCTCGCGGAAGAGGGTGTTTTGTCACCTGCAGTCTGCCGTGGTCGTATTTCATCGGTTTCTCTATGGTCTAAGCGGGTTTGGAGAGCCATCGCGTCGATGCGACGTTGCTTGTCCGTCTCGACCGAGCTGACAATCTCCGGGTACTTCTCAAGCACGTATCCCTCGGAGTTGCGTCCTCGAGAGATAGGGAAGCAAGCCAATTGGTTTTCGTGACACACCAAGTCAAGGTCCCCGAGTAAATTATCGTCGAGATCCAGATATTTGTTCGCAAGCATAGTCTCCAGATCAAGGCAGATGTACTCCAAAGCTGCTTCCTTGAACTCAGTCATGTAAACAGGGGCAGCCGAGTTGAGAAGGTATGAGATGTTCCGCGTGTTGACAAATCGGCCGATCATATTCTGGCAAATCTGTGATAATCGGTCGATCATCAACTCATTGGCGACATACATCACGTCCAGGAACAGGTCAATTAGATCATCGCTTGTCTTTACGCGCACCTGGTCGAACAAATGTTCATCCTCATCGGAATAGACGTAGCGCAAAACGAAATCGAAGATCGATCGATCGATGTGTTTCAAGTCGACATGTACTTTTTCGGATGACCGGCGGGACTCTAGCCACCTACCACCCGAGCGGCCATGAAACAGAGCTTCAAAGAAAGGACATCGTTGACAGATCACTTGACTGTGCACTTTCAAAAAACCACCCTTCAACTGAACAATCACATCTGCATCATCGAAGAAAGAAGAATGGTTGATGGCATGTGCCATGTCCTTTTTCAGGCTTCGTTGAGGTTCGACCATCAATCTGGCTGCGCGTTCCAGCGTCGGCAAAGCAAGCTGTGTGCCAACCCGCATTACTTCGTTGCGTACCTGGCGATAACGAGCTGCATCCTTGGTAGAAGTCTTCGCAAGGTGCCACACATCGAGAATCCCATCGGTATAGAGGAAAAAGACCAGATTCATCACAGTCAGGAAATCGACACCTCGGAAACGGATTTGCGTCTGTCCGTCTTTGCCATACTCAATATCGAGAAGATCAGGCACAGATGAATAATAGGATTCTCGAAACTCGTGGAGCGCCTTTCGGAGGACAGGGCTGCGACCCGCGAGAAGAAATTGATGTGCCGGAATGCGCTGTTCAGAATCCGTGGTCGTGAGCCATATCGTGCCCGAAGTCTGAAAAGACAGAAACTGGCTTTCAATTTCTGGCGAGAGAATGAGAGCTCTTTTGATCATTGCCCCTGCCGGGAGTGGGACTGGATCATCTGTCACATCATTTGCAAGGACTGAGTCGATTTCTTCGATTCCAGGGGTAAGGAAAGGTGAAAGTGGTAACAGGTCATCCCAAAGAGTGCTGCGGCCAATGTGTACCTGATCTCGAGTCACATCGCAATCGCGCTGCGCAACAGAATATGCCCCGAACGCGTTACTACGCACAGCCACAGCCCGAGACAGGCCTGGAATGCGAGCGAATTTGTAGTCTTTCGAGGAACCGTCCTTACGCTTGGTTCTTTTCTCCTTTCTCCAGGCTGTGCCAGACGTGGTGCAGATGATGATAGATCCATCTTGTCCCACGTCTACATCGCTTGCTGCCATGTGCGACTTTTTCACGGACCACGCCCTCAAAGGGGAGGCTAATGAATTCCTAATTTTGGCCGGATTCGTCGTGGATGTTGATGTTTCAAAGTTCTCTGTCTTGCTAACCTCGACGGTGAAGACCTCTCCGGAACTAGACAATGCACATATTGTGTTGCCTCCACTAGCAAGTTTGACCACATGGTTCACTGAGTGGTCATATCGCGTGGCCATGAAACTATCTCGAATAAAGCTTGAGCTAGCCTCTAGTGGGAACGAGAGCTTTGAGTATCCGTATTGCGAGAATACCCAAACTTCATGGTTTTGCAGAAGGATGGCCGTGGCACGGTCAATGGCGGATACTGTCTGGATGGGGCATTGAAACAGAGAGGCTCCCACGCGTCTAGGGGTTATTTGAACCTCAAGAGATCTTGCATCAGAGTCGACGAGTCCTAATTGACCCTCGTTCTTGCCAAAGGTATAGAGGCCAGAATCACTGAAAACCACTGAGTGGATGGCTGATGCCGCAGCACCCATAATTCTCTCTCTCTTGAAAGCATTAAAGATCTGTCGAGGAGTGGTCTGGATGGGAACATCATTCCGATTGCTCGTCCGAGGCAGATTATAGCCGAGTTGACCAAATGTGTTACTTCCCCAACTGAAAATCTCACCGGTATCAGTGATGGCGAGACTATGGTCTTGACCTAAGGCGACCGACACCACTGCCTTTCCTGCTAGACCACCACCCTCGATACAAACGAAATCAAACCTCGTGGATTCATCGCCGGTTCCAAGGCGACCACCAGGACCAAACCCACACATGAAAAGGTTTGCTTCTGGATCATCCGTCATGATAGCAGTATGTAGCTTCGACATTGCTACATTGCGGAATTTCGTAGGCCTGTTTGCGATGATGGTCGGTAGCTCATCAGACGGGTTTGTCTTGATCAGATCCTCCATTCCCAAGGATTCCATCCGATCCTGGTATTCACGATAAAAGCGATCAAGAAGATGATCAGGGCGTTGGATGGCGATACGCTCAGGAAACTGCCGATCATCTTGATCTCCAAGCCCCAAATTCAAATTTTTGTTACTGCCGAATGTGAAGATCTCATCCGCTGAGAAGTCTGCGCCTATGCTCCTCGCGATTACCCGCAGAAAGGAACCGTCATCCTCATCCTCTTCATTGTATGACGCAGCGTTGGAAGCGGTATCATTCTCCAAATCACCGGGGAACTTTATCTGCTTGATGTCGCGAGAAGTGATTGTCGCACCATAAACGTCGAACGGAGAATAACCTTCGCGGTCCTTGATTTTAATCAGACTCCCGCTCTGGTGGTTGATGGATTTGCTGTTCCCTAGCCTTGCGAAATCTGACTCATTGTCGCGGATCATCAACGCTCGCGCGACTGAAGCATTCCCGGCATACAATGCCCTGTGTAGAGCTGTCCATCCACTCTCCCAATCTTGTGCATAAATATCGAGCGAAGGGTAGGCTTCGAGGAGCGCACGCGCGAAGTTGATAGCGGTAGGTTTCGGTGACGAAGCGACGTGGTGTAGCAGCGTCCTACCATGGTGATCTCGAGCGTTTACATCCGATCGCGTCCCTTTCGGTTCCGGGCTCGCGAGGAGCCGTTGAAAGCTCTCGGCGTCATCTTGTATAAAAAACTCCCAAAGCTTGCTCATGTGTGCCCGGAAGCCGCGCAGTGGCGATGACCGGGACGATATGTGTCCCGAATGAACGGAGAAAACGGAGGGTAAGGAGGATCGTAGTGCGGCGGGGTAGGAATATGTTCAACGGATGGGATTCTGAGTGAGATCGGGGAGGTAGGGTTGGAATAATCGAGATGGACAGACGCGAGCGCGGGGGACAGTCAGTCGCACTGTGGCTTTCCTTATCGTCGCTCCGTCATGTTCCTGTGGAACCCTTGGGAGCCAACATCCCACCAATCAAATCAAGCCAGTCCCTCCATGCCGTCGGACGAGAGGCGATTCGTCGATCTACCCAAGCCCGTGGGGAAGTGAGTGGTCAAGGTGAACTTCAGTCCCTGCTTGTATAGGCATGGTTGATCATGGAATACTCAGCTGCGCGTGATTGAGTTATACCCCGCAATTACCTGCATCGACTTCAAGTTGGTCTACTCCGTCGTGTAAAATGTAATATACCTCATAACTAAGGTCACTTTCAGGCTCTATAGTGCTACTAGTACAGCTTTATACTAGCTACATCTAGCTGATGCAGCTCAGTTGGGAGTGTTAAACTAAATAATAACGATCAATGGAGGGCCATGTAACTACTACTAGCATAGTATCATTATACGACCTTGTCAACAAAGCGGAGTCACTATATAAACTGTGGGCTAGACACCCTCCAAGCTCAATGATTAGATGGTTCTGCAGCGTGTATACCCCTCTCTCCAGGCCGTGCTTTTGATGTTAACTCTCCGACCTTCGACTCCACTCCGTAGCCAACAACAATAGTCTCCCCTTCTTCATCACTTTGCTCCGGAGAATGAACAGATTTGCTTTTTCGTTGGTCTCTGCAAGAAGCGTTAGCTTTGCTGATGATAGTTATATCTTTTGGAGCTTCATATATTACCGTCGGTGGATCAGGATGGCGGATATAAAGCCCGCCCAAAGAAGGAAATAGAATACAAAAGTCACCGGCCATCCCTTTCTCCATCTCGGAGCCCCGTTAGGCCCAGCAGTTGGAAATAGTAAAAGTGGGACCCAGATATTGAATGAATACCCAAAGGTCATCATAGAGCCCTGTCGAATAAATTAAGTCAGTCAACGCACGGGGCTTTCGTAACCGGGTCAATTCGGGAAGTCTTTCGGAGGACACAGGGACTTACCATAATCAGGGCGCGTTCCTCAGAATCATCCTTGACGATTGTATTCACGGTTGAGTATAGAATTGGGCTGAGACATCCTGAAATTCCAAAAAGATACCACGCAAAGAACCTGGATGGTGAGATTGTTAGCCCTCTATTTAGCAAGAACGCAAGTATAGATCGCCTTACTTCAATGCAGTAGGAATATTCCAAATTATCATGCAAAGCGTCGAAAAAAGAACACAGGCTGATGCCAGAGTGTAGATAATCCATGCGGGGTATATCGATGCAAGAGTCGACCCGAGCCAAGATGCGACGATAGTGATTGCGTATATCACTGTTGGCAATTGATTAATCTGTGTCACTGAATAGCCCTCTGCCTTGAGCCACAGATTCATATATGATGACGGGTATGATGAAATGATCATGCACCTGTATAGCTTTATTAGATTGTGCGACTTTTATGTTTTATCGCTACCAAACTCACGCATAGCAAAGGATGAACACCCAAATACGCCATCTCTTCAATGACCTCTTAAACACGTCTAATCCAAGCTTCCCAGGTCGTCGAATCTTGGCCCTGGCGGTTCTTTCTTTCGCCAATGCAATATCACTCTCGGTGAGGTAGAATGGCCGCGGCGAGTCTGGAATACCAGGGAAAATGAAGAAACCAATAAGGGCGACCGGAATTGTGAAAATGCCGTCAATAATAAATAGCCATCTCCAACCTGGCATGCCTGCAACTCCGGAAAGGTTCGTGTACGCTGCTGATTGCAGATATCCGCTCACCATGGATCCTAGCGGGTTACAGATAAACCAGGCGCCGGCTCGCTTGAATAGTTCTGGTCCAGAATACCAGGACCCTGTGAAAATATTGATCAGCAAGGTCAAATAATATGCAACGACGAAAACTTACCTAGAATGAAATGTGTCCCAGCAAAAACGGGTGCCTCCAGCATCCCCACTAGAAACCGCAGGGCATAGATCTGGTTGACATTTGTCACGCGACTTTGGGCAAATGTACAAATTCCCCATAGTATCTCTAGTCCAGGAAGTAGCCAACGAGCTCTATATGTAGTCAGTCTTACGTTGTCAAGCAATGCAAGGTAAGCTGAGCTCAACTCACAGTTTTGGGCGGGACATCAACAAGAGCCCAGGAACTTGAAATACCACATATGCCGTGAAATAGCAGACATTGAAGTAATTCAACTCATTGCCGTATAGACCGAAATCTTCCTTGAGGCCACTAACGTAGGCATTGCTGATGTTAGTTTGATCTGCGGTCGAATTAGCTGATTGAACTGAAGCATGTTTAATTCCATGTTTCCTACCCAAGTATTTGACGAAGACTGCAAATATTAGCTTAATCAACCATTAACCATTCGAACTCGCCATGATAGACTTACAGCATAGGCAAGCGAAGATCAGAATAGATAAATCGAGTTTAAAAAGCAATCTAAAAATGTCAGTTCAAAATCAAAAATATGGGTTGTACCTTCGAGCAACTGACTTTCGCTCCTCGGAGGGATATTCTGATGGATACCAGTTGAAAATCTCCTTGAATACCCCTAACAACGATGGTCGTCCCGTTTTTGGTTTTGTCTCAGGCATGATCAACGGCACACTACCCGCAGTAACGCCGGCTCTGGTGAATGGAGCAGATCAAAATCGAGGTCCCTTCGGAGAATTTTTATCCTGTCGATTATACGCGACTGGATTCATGCTTATTTTGAATAATTCATATCTTGCAATCTGATTAGAACCCACAAATCTAGGCCCGCTGATGGCTTCATGGCAATCGCCCCACGCCTTGTCGCCATCGAAATCTATCCGAGAGAGTGATAATAGCGACAAGGTCAACCCCACATAGTAACAGGTTTTAGATAAACCCAGATATAAGATTCTGTGTGGGAAGCGGATAGAATCATTTGTTTGAAGTTCTCGACTGCGACATGTCCACGTAGGATGGCGTGCCCGACTCCTGATTCAAGGCGGATAGTTTTGCATCCGATGATTAGCCGGTATAATCTTTCTTCTCATTCGACAAAAATATTGCGTGCTTTATTCATCAACTCTCGGGTTTTCGATCAGAAGTGCGGGGTTGGAATTGATTCTTTAATTTTGGGTTGGTTCTTATATATGGTGCGCATCCGTGCTTGCTCATAACTAATTGCATCTTGCATAATATCAATCTCGAAGCTTCATTTGACAGCCTGAAGAGCACTCGTTTAGAATATGCCTGGCAAAATACTGGAAAGTTACGATCACGTACCTGTAACCAAAGAAGATCGTAAGCTTTTCGTTTTAAACATGCCTTGGGAGAAAGATTTAACAATAAGACAGTGGACTGGGCGGAGCTCATCACCCTTGACCTGAGCGAATATGAGCAGCCTGGGGGGGAAGGAATCACTAGTAAAGAAACTCGAACATGCTGTCCGACATGTTGGTAAATACACGTCTACTTTGATCTTGATTTTCTTTTTCCAATAACTGACGGCTTTCGGAAGGGTTCTTCTATGTGAAAAACTTTAATATAGGCCAAGAAGAAGTCGATCGCCAGTTTGCCCTTGGTCGAGAGTTCTATGCACTACCTCTTGAGGAGAAGCTCAAGTATCATAATGCAGATGACCTAGTCAGGGGAGAATATAACGGATATCGGCCAGCTGGTCACCGCGTGTAAGACTACCTCTCAGTGAAGCTTAGATGTTCAAATATACTGACAGGCCACTCACTAGTCTTGGAAATGGAATCAAAGATAACGTGCAGGTTTACAACATTCCCAAGTTCGATGGTTATCACCAGCGACAACAACCCGCCGTCATTTCCGAGAACATCGCTGAGATTGAAGCTTTCAGCCGGGTAATTATGTGTCAATGGAATGTAATTTTCTTCGAAAGCTAACGGGAATTTTTCAGAAATGCCACACGGAAGTAGTTGAAAAACTCCTCCGTCTATTTGCCATTCTTTTGGAACTTCCAGACGAGGAGCAATTGGTACGCGACCACCAATACGATGTTCGCGGGGAGGATCACCTGCGCTATATGCACTATGCGGCACGCAGTGCTGAAGAAAACGAGAAAGTTGGAAGTCTTTACAGTCCCGGCCATACCGATCTGGGAACGGTAACCCTGCTTTTCCGACAGCCCGTGGCAGCCCTGCAAATTCTCAACTCTGAGGGAAATTGGAAGTGGGTGCGCCCGCAAGATGGAACCATCACTATCAACACTTGTGATGCCCTGACGGCTCTTACGGGAGGGTTGATCAAGTCTAGCGTTCATCGGGTGCATGCGCCCCCTGCGGACCAAGCGCATGTTGACCGATTGGGCGTCCTATATTTTGCCCGGTGAGTGACTTTCGGCGTTTTGGTAGAATTGAAATTTGTCGGGATATGAGAAGCTAATTTGGAATAGCCCAAACAATCACGTTGTCCTGGATCCTATTACAAACAGCCCCCTCCTTGAGCGCCTCGGATTGACGAAGAACGTTTTTACCGAGCTCGGTCAGCACCTGACAACTGAGCAGTGGGTGAAAGTGCGTCAGACACAGCAACAGCGACGGAACAAAGACGTTAAGGTCTCTGATGATGGGAAATATACCTATGGCTCCAAAGATCTGGAGATCCTTCCTGGGTTGAGTGCAAAGATCTACAACTGAGGTGTGATGCATTTGGAAGACTACAGGGCTCGTTGTTATGCCCCATCGTGTACGCAATACCTACAGTGTCTAGTACTAGTAATAAGTCTGAGGCCCCTGTTTCTTGGCTTGATGTCCTTTATATTTGGATGGATTTTTGATACGGTTCAAAATGTAGTCAATATGATCAGGTTCCAAGGTTCAGGGTACCTACTTGAGTAATAGAAGCGAGCATAACTCCCAATCAATAGGAATAACCTCGGGATCAACAGTCTCACCGTAAACGTCAGTCGTAAATGATGATAGACCCGACGGCTTCCGATTATACCTATGGTACATATATCTGGATAGCCCCAGTAAACACATTCAAATTGTCTGTGCGCATCAAAAACTCACCATTAATATATTAGAGTTCCGATATCACGGAAAACGCCGTTGCGCCCCAATTTTCCATAAGTGACTGGCCATTGCAAGTCATATTTGTTTGTTGGTCAGGCTGCATCGAGGTCAGTATATAGCAGAGCAGATCCATAAGTATGTCAGAAGAAGCTCAAATATAAAGATCCAGGAACCCATATATGAGTTTCCTGTTCCTGAATTTGAAAGCTTTGGGCCGGGAGATCATCGAACTCGATTTTCAGTCACCCAAAAGTAGCTGACTACCACGGTACAGAGGAGTGGACCCAAGGATAAGATGGCCGAAACCTACTCTAACATAGTTCATGGTGAACAAATCCAGCACATTTCGAGGCACATGGTTGCATTGAGGAGAATACCGCGATACTAGCGAGTTTCTTTCATGTGTACATCGCCCTCGACTCTGACTCCGATAGCCGTGCTCATCCGACGTATCGACGTATTGAAAGCCAAGAAAGCCCTACCCGCCGATCACTCGAAAAGGTAAACAAGGCGAACACTCAAAAAGGTGCGGGGTCCAGCGCCGATCCCCTATTTTCACACCCGGGGTTTCCCCAGGGGTTTTCCCCAGAATGATAATGACTCGTGGAGGAAACACACCACTTGAACCACCCGAGTGCTGTGGAACATTAGGATCCGAAAAATAAAAGATATCGTGAGCTGCAAATATCTACATACTCTGGTCCGCACTATCGAATCAACTCCGCTCAATCTTGCGTATTGGGCCGTATAAATCCTTCTGTCAGGATGCAGGAACAGTCTTCAGTGGGGATGATGATCTTCATTCAAAAAATCATCTGCCTCGGCAGAAGTTGTGGATCACATTCACGAAATTCATAGTGCGGTGGATATTTATCTCGTTTTCATCCGACCTTTTTCCTACGGTAGGAATCATCCGAACTGACAATTCTTCCACTCCGCTCGCTGATCACCATGGTCTCCGTCCCCGGCTCATCGGTGCGCCTCACCATGTTGGCTTTTATGGCCTTCATGCTGGCAATTGTGTCTGCCCGGCCTGCTGTTGCGCGGACTACACCTCAATTTACACGCCGTGGCCTGCCCCAGGCCCCTGCCGATGATCCGTTCTATCAACCTCCAACTGGGTTCGAGAATGAGGACCCTGGGACCATTTTGAAGCAGCGCAGCGTCAGCGTCGCGTTCCTAGGGTTGATTCCAGACCCAATCGAGGCATACCAGCTGTTGTATCGCACGACCGCGATTAATGGCTCTGCTATCGCGACAGTGACGACAATTTTCAAACCTGCATCGCCCAAGAAGGATCGATTTGTCTCTTTCCACACGGCCTATGACAGCTCTGCAACTATCTGCAACCCTAGCTATAACTACCAACTCTTCGCACCGCAAACCGACATCATTTCCTCAGCCGAGCAATTGCTCCTTCAAGCCTACCTGCTGCTGGGTTATATTGTTGCCTCGCCTGACTATGAAGGTCCCGAGGCTGCCTTCGGTCCGGGCCGCCTCGAAGGCATGGGTGTGCTCGACAATATGCGTGCAGTGAGCAACTTTGGCTCACACCTTGGTCTGACTAGCGACAACCCCATGATTGTGGGAGCTGGTTACTCCGGTGGTGCCCTTGCGACTGGATGGGCCGCCGCTCTCCAGCCGAGCTATGCGCCAGAGCTAGACATTAAGGGCTGGGTCCAGGGTGGAACCCCATCGAACCTGACTGGAACATTAGTGTTCATTGACAACACGCTTTTCAGCGGTTTCCTTCCAGCGGCCGTGGTCGGTCTCTCGATGCCGAGTGCCTACGGCGCTGAGTTGACGCCCATCATTGAAAAGATATTGACCGATAAAGGGCGAAAGACACTCGAAGCAGCCAAGACCAACTGCGCCGTCGGAGATCTCATCAGTTTCCCCGAGATGTCTCTCTTCTCGACGGATTTCCAGAGCTTGGGTCCAGGTCTGCTCGAGCAGCCGACGGTCAAGAAAGTCATGAGCGAGAATGTGCTCGGTGTCAATAAGAAGGAGACTCCCACTGCGCCGGTGTTTGTGTATCACGCTACGCAGGATGAGGTTATTCCCTACTCGAATGCAACTACTATGGTCAACTCGTGGTGCGCCAATGGAGCGAATGTCAAGTTCACTTCATACAGCAATGGAGGTCACGCGACCACCGAGGTGATTGCATTGCCGGATGCTGTTAGCTTTGTCCAGGCAGCCTTTGCAGGCACCACGGAGAAAGGATGCTCTCAGAACACCAAGTTGGACAGTGTCTTGAACCCGATTGCTCTGGGGGTGGAGTTGGAGCCTATTCTAACCAAGCTGATTGACGTGTTGGCTGCGTTGGGACGGGGCGACTCGGGCGTGAAGCAGAATCTCAATGTTTTGAAGGAAGTGGTTACCTGGTAAAGTTCAAGTATACCACAAATGGGATCATTAATGCTTATTTGAGTATTCTGGATAAGGACGAGGATGAGGATGAGGACATGGGAAACAACGATATAGTTAATTTTCTTATACGATTATACATAATGTATGGATTTGAACATACCCACGAATCTACTGGCAGTAGAAAATGATTCTTCAGTTTGACTCACCGTTTAACTTCTGTGACTCCGCTGTCGTGCTCGCTTGCGTCATTTCTCCGCGGCTCTGCTGCGCCCGAGCGCGGTGTGCCTCGTGGAGCACCCTGGGCAACCTGCCTGTCACCGCAGTGATCGGTTTATGATAGATCAACCCGGGCCAAGGCAGCCACCTATCCCCTGTCCCCAGATAAACCCAAGGCAAAGATCTCTGCCATCTGGGTTTCAGGCAAAACCCGTCAAGTCAAATCAAAGCAAATCAAAGCAAATCTGGGACAATGTCAAGGGACACAAAGAGAGACAAAGCGTGAAGATCAGCTGCTGCCAATGGCTGCTGACAGCCGTTCTTATCTCGAGCGGTGAGAGCGTCGATCGGGACCCTAGAGTGAGGAGGTACAGAGAGAATGGGTTCGTAGATTCCCCCCCCCCCCCCCGGATTCGCCTAAATTAAAGTAAGAAAAAGCACCCATCAGCGGGAATGAAAAGCAAATACGCGAAGCTATAGAATGTAGAGTGATCAGATCAGAGATCAGCTGCCTTGGCGTAGGCTGACGAGCCAAAAGTCATCCCCAAAGTGTAGCAAAGAGTGTAGTCACCGGATGTGCGTCACATTAACCTCTGCCCTCTCTTCCTCTTCCTCTTCCAACTCACTCCTCACTCTTCACTTCTCCTTTCCCGCCCCTTCTCTCTCTGCTTCCTCCTCCATCCTTTAACTCCTTATCCATAATATATACTTCCCTTCTACCATTCTCCCGGGCCATGGCTATCGTCCCGTAGGTTCCACAACGTCCTGACGCTGTGAACCCTTCCCGTGCGGATCGGATCTGCTCTTTTGATGCGGAGAAGCTCCCCAGGCTCCGAAGGTCCCAGGTCTAGATCGTCCCCTTCGACCATGTTCGTGACCGTCTACATTATCTCCACCAGTTTCAAACTACCTTGAATCTTTCTTGATTCCATTTTCTTCCTCGCCGATCTTCTATTTTCTCTGTTAGCATGGCCTTCTGCACTGGCCCCACCGACTCGCTGCGCTCCTGATAACACAATCGTGCGCTGGTAGCACCTCCTCTCCTCGCCCACCCCCGCCGTCTCTCGGGGACAAGCACTGTTGCATCCATCGTGTGTGTGGGCTCAGTGCCCTAGAGACAGATATCATGCATCAACACCCTCGTTCTCCCGCTGTCGCTTCATCGGCGCCAAAGCAACCCCCAAGAGCGCTGGCCGCGGCTCGGGATGACCTCAAGGACCCAGACTCCGTCCCGCCTTCCCCCACCGTTGACATTCGAACCAACTCGGCCAAAGGTTTGGGCATTGATGCTGGGTCGGATCCCTCTGAGCATCGGGCTGCGACTCCTAGCAAAGAGAATATGGCCAAGTTGAACCAGATCATTTCGGTACGAACTCTTCTCTCGCCCATCCCCACTTTAACTCCTGCCCCCGATCCCCATCTCCATCTCCATCTCTATCGCCACCTCGAGAGACTGCAAACTCATGACTTATCCTTTTCGCCCGCAGAACTACCATACAAAAGCAGCTCTAATCATTCTTCATTCACGCGTCGACCTCCCTCCTTCATACCCAAAGGGCTCCGACACTCCGAGGATCAACCGTTGGGTACGTTACATCTACCCGTTTTATTCCCTTCCTTGAGATACCGCGGGGGGTAGCTAACCTGTGCTTTTTGGCGTATGACAGTTTAATGTCGAACTCAACGATACCGATATCCTACGAGAACAACTTCGAATCTGGCGAACCTGCGATGCCACCGACAACCGACCTCCCCCTCTGCTCATCGAAGTATACTTGGACACCAAAGGTTTGACGAACAATCAGAGTCTTGTGGTCCTCGACGATAATGGGAAGCGATGGGATGTGCACGATTCGCTCGCAGCTCTGCGGACGCAAGCCTCCAACGTCCAGCAGTCGAAATCCGATGAGATAATTCTGGAGCGGTGGAAGATTGAGTTGGGCGAATCCACGACCAGACCTCCGGCTGATCTGGGCTCCATATTGCCGACCGTATATAAGAAGAGCATTGTTCTTTTCCGATCTTTGTTCACTTATTCCAAATTCCTGCCTGCCTGGAAGTTCTCCAAGCGAAACACAAAGTTACGCCGGAGCCCTGCCCTGCAAATCAAGTATCGTGTCATAGATGGGAGTATCCCTGTCGCTGGCCGGTCTGCATCACCAGATCACTTAACGGCCCCATTGTATGAGGGTAGTGGTAAGGTGGTGGACACCTACAGTTTCGGTGTCACCGAATCTCCGGCTGGACCATTCTCCGTGCAGGTTACTTATCGGACAAACTGTGACTTCCGCGTGGATGATTCAGAAGCTCTCCTCAGCTCCCGCTTCATGGGCGCTGATGATGATATCTTCCGCCCCTCCCTCCCTTCGGAGAACATCAGACCGAACCATGAGGTTGGCTCAGTGCCAGTAGAGAAACGAATTGTTGGAGACCCCGACTGCTCACGCGCATACGGGAGCCTATCTACATTTCACCAGGTTGGTCCTGGGACAAGTCCTCTGTCTGCTTTGCGGAATATGAGAGATGTCGGCCCATCATCTTCGCCGCCTGATTCCCCATCTAAGAGGCTCCTACCTCCCGCCAAAATAGCACATACTGGACGAGCTGCTCAGATTGCAAGCGAGAGTGGTGGCGGATCGAACTTTGGTCGTCGCCCCTCCATCTCATTCCAGCCTTTCAAAGCACCCCCTCTATCAGCCTCTCCGGCATTGGTAGACACTCCACTTGGTGTATCACCTCGAACGACGTCGGCTCGCGCTTCCGCAGGTACATCTGCTGAGTCTCGTGTCATGCCGCCCCCTTCTGTGGCGGCCTCTGCCCGCAGACCTGCCGCTCTTGTATCTGACCAAATCATTTCCCCTTCTAATTCAGCATCACCAAAACCAGCTCCGATCACCAGATACAGTAGCTCATTTAGCCATCGACGAGGCCGTCCATCTTCTGGCGGAACAACCAAGCTGGATGACGAAATTTCAAGCGGCAAGGCCAGTGCTGCATCCTCTAATGTACAGCCAGGCTCCGGTCTTTTCGCAGAAGCTACCGGCACTAGCGCAGGATCTATTCATGCGGATGACGAGAATATCTCCGACTTTTTGAAAATGCTCGATTTGAAGAAAGATCTGATGAATTCATCTGGCTCTGGCTCTCAAGATTCTGGACCTCGCAAGCCGACGGCCACATCGGCTGCCCTCGCTCGTTTCCAACGCATGCGTGATTCAAACGCTGCGCTATCTGACTCAATGTCAACGTCTATGCATCTACGGCACTCTTCATCATCGTCCAGTAAACACCTCTCGGGTGTGCCGCAAATGGTTGCTGGCACATCTATTTCTACCGCCTCGTCCCCTGGGAAGCCTATATCACCCCATACCCCTCACACACCTGCTATTCGATCTCGCCTCAGTTCAAACAGTGTCGCCGATGAAATGGCCACGGAACATGATCGTCGTGTTCCACCGCATATTGAGCACGAGTCGCCTCTTGAAGAAAATCCCGGCGAAACGATCACGCAACGTGATCCATCCACCGCCGGGGCAATAGACATACCCATATCGCCCCGTGTTTATCCCCCGGCCTACCGTCGCTCAAGCTCTGCGGCCCAGCGGAGGCGACCAGCAGTGGCCGATGACGACGAAATATTCCCGTTCGGCATGCGGAGCGTGAGTCTTGGCAACGAAGAAGGGGCACATCCTCTTCCTGACACTATGCCGCGTATGAATGAAGATGAGAATGTCGATCCCGATCCCAATCTCTACCAGTGTCAGACAGAAGACCAGCCATGCACTGAGGATAACAATGTCCCCGCGACAAGTGTTACTAGTGCATCACGTCCATCCGCATCCGCAACTTCATCCATCTCAAACACGCATTTGTACCAACCCCGCTTCGCTAGCTCACGAGGCCGCGGCTACTCAGGTGGTCAATCTGTCAGTTCCGCATCGAGCAGCCTCGCAAGAGGCGCGGCAATCCCGCCTCACTTGTCTGAGCGGGATGCCGATCGAGACGGTAACGCAAGTGGCAGCACGAGCGGTAATTCCACAATGGACTTGCGCCGTGGCTCGGGTCAAAGACCGAGTGTGAGCCGCGCTGCGCCATCTGCGGCCTTCGAGGACGACGAGCCGCTACTTTTTGCCATGAGTGACTTCGGTGCCTCAAGGCGCAGCCTCGAGGAGAACAGGGGGAATCATGGCGGCAACGACTCGAATAGTGGATCGAGACGGGGCAGTGGTAGGAGAGGAGCTGGGCTTCCGAACTTCCACGTCTGGTAGGGCTCTGCTCAATTTTAAACTTGTGTTTTCTTATCTCATCTTTTTGCTGTTTCCATCGATCGGACCAGGCGAGATACGCCTGGTCTGAGTTCTCTCGAAATACCCATTGTCTTTTATTCTCTCTCTTTCCTTTCTAGCCTTGGTTTTGACTGCCGATGAAAGTCCTAAATCCCATCCATCTTCTCTCCATATTCGCCGGTTTATTTTATCTTTGTCTAAAACTTTCTTCATTCGACAAGTGGCTGGTTTCTTCTTTCTTTTTATAGACTGGATTCTGTGTTTCTGTTCTTTTGCTTTTTCTTTACTGTTACTGTTTCCCCATCATCAAGGTTGACCTTCATCTGCATAGAGATTGGTTTTCGAGATCGTCGTTCTTCTCCTTGAATTGGCTTTTTGTCTCCTGCCTGCCTGTCTTCCTGACCGTTCTTTTTGCCTTGGTAATGCGAGCTGAAACTTGCGTTGCGCCTAATTTTGCATTGTGCCGATGGTTGGTGTCGCTTGATCTTGCACGATTGGTGCTTGTTTGGTCATTTGGGACTCTACGCCCCCAATCCTGCGAATCCTCATATGATGAGATAATTTTTATGCCGTGCGCTTTCACGTATCTGAGACACAATTAAGAAATTTCCAAGAGCTTGGCGTGCATGAGAAATTGGGTAGAGTGCCAGTGGGGAGGCTGATATGGTCTTTCTTTAAGTGTAGGCATCCCAGCGTAACTTGTAACTCGTAGCTCCCGAGGTTGTTTATGAGAAAATGATGGTATGTAGTCAATTCTAACATCGGTACTAGTAGCTCCATTGATAATATAGAATTTATAAACTTTTATTCTTCGAGAACTATAAGAAACCAGGCTCCAGATGCTGAAAACGATCCTCCATGCAATCAATACATATGGGTACAAAAATTAGTCCAGACGCCGGTACGATAATCCAGACTTTTCTCTTTAATATGAACATGGGCTTATTCAGAAAGCGATACCCCCAACACAACAAGTATGTGAAGGAAGCAACTTCTCGATATTTTCACGGGTATCATAAGTAAACGTTTCGAACCAACCAAGATAAATGGCAATGGATGGTGCCGAAACAAGTCCAACACAAATCACATTACATCTTCCGGAAGAAATTACCAGAAGCACTGCGGCGTTCCTTGGCCTTGAACTCGGTCTTATCGTATTTGACCTCGGGCTTGCTGTTCTTGGACCGGCCAGCGGGCATGAAGCTGACTTCTCGTTCGCCGACAACGGCGGCCTGTCGGTTGGGTCGTTGCTTCGTCTTCATGTTCTGGGCACGGGAGCCGAATGAGCGGTCGCGGGCGGAGTTGGTGCGGGTGGAGGAGGAGACCTGCATGCGAGGAGGAGCACGCTTGGTACGCTTGAAATCGGAGGAGGAGATCTTGTTGGAACGCTCGGGCTTCGCAGGGCGCTCGTCCTCGCTGGAGGAATCGGAGTCGGAGCTGGATCCGGGCACATCGTCGATGGCTTCTTGCTCGACGGCGGTTAGGCCACGTTCCTTGCGCTCCCTGCGTTCAGCAGCAGGGATGGGAACAGTGCTAGGGTTGATAAGACGGAATTCGTGAGATTGCTCGTCGACGGCGAAGTCCGTGTCTTCGAACAGAGCGTTGAAACGGTTGTCAGCCAGAACACCCTTGCTCTTGGGATCCTTGGGCTCCTTGGGCTCCTTGGGCTCCTTTTCATCCTTATCCTCCTTGGCAGGAGCGTCGACCATCTCTTCGTCACCGCCACGCGCAAGTACACGCTTGGCATCGCGACGCTCCTTCTTCTCCTCTGCATTCATCAATCTCTCGGCCAGTCGCTTGTTAACCTTGACGGCAGCCTTCTTCTTGCCACGGATTCGGCTCTCACGCTCCTTATCAATCTTCTCCTTCACTCGCTTGGCACGCTCCTCTTCCCAGATGTACGGGTTGGTGATCAATCTGGCCTCCTCATACAGACGCTGGGCCACGAAGTAACCGTGCATGTATGGTCGCAGTAGGTTAGTGCGGCCAATAAGATGCTCGAGATTAAGAGTGCGGAGTTGAGGAATAGTAAGGAACTTGTAGTTATCATAGACAGAACCGGCGCTGGAGCTGGCAAAGGCGTTGGGGTCGTTGGGATCCTCGGCCATCTCCTCAACCAGGTTATCCAGGAACGAGCACCATTTGGGCGCAGGGCCGAGCTGGGGAATGAAGAATGAGTGTTGTTGGCGACCTTCGTTGGCTGTCAGAAGCATTCCACTGTCCTTGCACCAAGCCACCGAGTTGATATCCACTGCCGGTTCAACAGATGTCCAAGGGGTGCCGTCGCGAGGATCCCAGAGCTTGATGATACGTTTATCGGCCGACATGATCTTGGGCTCCATTGTCGCTTCACGGGTAGCGCTTGATGATTCAAGGAATTTGAGTGTGTGGATGGGGAAACCGTATCCTTGATCCTTCTTCAAAAGAGGAACAGGGGATCGGAGATCGTAAAGGTGAATCAAGCCGTTGGATGAACCAGTTCCGAGCGTGAGACCGGAACGCTGGAACTCCAACGCGGTAATTTCATTGCGTGCCTCGTGCGGTCCAGGCTGTGTAGGCGGCAAGAGCACACCTGCACGACCCTTGGCTCGGGGATCCCACAGCTCGACAGTACCTATCGTGGTACCAAATGCAAGCAGCCCGTGGCTCTCCTCTGCAATTGCACCAGTATTCACGGCACCAGTATGGATTCCACCCTGGAGCGTACCACCACCGGCAGATGTGAAATCGTCGCCGCCAACGTCAACCTCGAAGCTTCGCATGTAGCGTCCCTGTTCCAAGTTCAGGCGGAAAACTTCACCCAAACCATCCTGGTTAACACCGACAGAGGGGATCAGAGCCTCGGTGGAGTTTCGGTCGAAGACAATATCACGGCCGTATCGCGGGAGGCGGGTGGTATAATGGCATCCTTGCGGGGTGTGGAATTCAAGAGAGCGGTCAGACTGAAGGTGAAGAGACTTGGTGTAGTCGGAGGAGAGAAGAATGAACGTTGTGTTGAGAGCGACGGTATGGCGAGCCCAGGATGAGAGATAATTGCGGAAGGTAGTGAGTATGAATCTGCGGCTTGTATGTGCCTAGCAACAAGAATCAGTTAGCTGCGCCGGGCTCACAATCTCAATCGAGATGTGACTTACCTGTGCTCATAACCCATTCGCCATCTTCACTAGCCCGAATGCAGTGACTGGCCTCCTCGAACTCGAAATCCTGCAGCAACTCAACTCGGTTCGCATACTCGGGATCGTCCTTCAAGCTGCGCTTGCGGCGTCTGGCGAGCCATTCGGGCAGAGGGCGGGCAGTGTTGGAACCCGAGATGGTGTAGACAGGCACCTCGGACTGGTTGGACAGCTTCATGGCGGGCAGATATCCACGAAAGTTGTCAAAAAAAGTCCAAGTGCAGATGTGGATGCGCAATTGATAGCGATGGAAAAAAAAGATAAGACGGTCGCACGTGACAGGGACCGCCAAGACCACGGGATCCGCAGGCCGATTGCGCGCGCTGCGAACTTCCCCGGATGGCCTCGACTGTTGATGTTGCGCCTGTCCACGTTGCTACACTGCTGCGATGCCCCTACCCGTCTGATGGGCTTCTGCACCTGGCCTCTATGTGTGCGCTTTTGCCTATAAATCGACCTGATGTACCACTGGAAATGAATTCTCGAATATTCCTCGCCAATCCTCTTATTTATGAATGCTCCCGGGGCTGTCCGCGACCGCCGTTGAATCATGGACTTTCCCGGAAGCGCGACCACCAATATACACATAATTGTAAGCTAATCCTCTTCATGATCCTCTACTGGACTCGACGGGAGCTGATAAAATGACTTTAGGATGGCTTTTCCACCATCTATTGGAGGATATACACCGAGGAACAAGGCATCTCAAACCACCCCCAAGATGGACCAGCTAATGGCTATACCATTTTAAAGCATCTGGGTCGCCTCAAGGACCTGGAGGCTCGATTGCGGGGTTTAAACTGCCTGGCCTCTTGTCCAAGGCGCCTCGGTCTATGGGTGTTTTCCTCCACCCCCGCCTTCGAAAGTCTAGCCTCCCTGTATGTCAAAGAGGGCGATACGGAAACAACCAAGATTCTGGTGGATACAACGACGCTCAAAGGTATGCGAGGCAACTATCGCAAATCTTCCTTGCTGTCAAATGTTAACCCGCAGTATAGTTTCGGCATCCGGTAGTGTTGCTTCCCACGAGTTGATCAAAAACCTTCCGGCGGACCCTCAAAATGCCCCTGCAACTCAAACATCCGTGCAACAAAGACCTCAACAATCTCAGTCTTCGGCCCGACGACAAGAAGGCTATAATAGCTCGGCTGCCATATATACTTCTTTTATCTCTGCCGTCACCGGTGCAATCAGTGTACATCTCATTCGGAGCTACGGCGCATTGCCACTAGGCTCACGTACCTTATTCACTGCTGTGGAAAAGTTCGGCTATGAGAGTCCTCGAATCGATAATCAAAGTGTGCTTTCGCAGTCTTGTTTAACTACACTTAATATCCAGCTGAACGCCACGGGCACGTTAACGATATCGCCACAAACTATTTCACAGCCGGGCATTACACGACTGTGTAGCCCCCGCGACGATATTGCCGATCTTTTGCGTGTGCAGCCTGGTACCGACATCTGGCTATGCCCTAACGGGGCTATCGCGAGACTTGTGACTGCAAATATTGAATCCCCCGCCATTCCTTCCCCCGAATATCCATCTTCGACGAATAATTTCTCAAGGCAGCAACAATGGAAACTGGATGTCGTTCAGTGGCTAGCCAATTTTGGTTTACACATTGATTCGATAGACGAGGAGCCGTGGGTGGAGGTGGAAGTGTGGGAACCGTTCTTTGCAAGATTAGCTGGAGAAACATGGCGCCAGGGCGAGGATACCCAGTCGACGCTTCCGTTGAAGCGCATGTTGTGGCCTGCGCGATTTTGCTTCAAGAGATCCGGTCCGATGGTTCGCCCCTCTTGCCCGCCTCATACTTTTGATGATCCGTTAGAGTTTGCCGAGCGATGGTTTTCAGAAGCTAGCTCCCTCAAACTGAATCAAGACCCTCCAAATATCTCCGTCTCGGAAGAGATCCAGATGAAAGATCATGATGTGGCTTCTCCTCAGATTGACAGTGCAGAAAACCTAGAGAGTCTTTCTCGAATGGCCCAATATCCTGATCTACAAAGTACCAATATGGTCTATCCAACTCCGCCAGATGGTGCAGCCATTGTCGGAACGCACAACCCGAATGCGTCCGTGATTTCCCCGGATGATACCGACTTCAACTTATCTCCAGGCGCAGGGCAAGACACGAGGAATATCTCTCATGTGGAATTTTCGCCGGACCTTCAGGTCGGCACTGGTCGGTATGACGCGAGCGATGACGAGGACCTATTCGGAGACATGAACGATAAAGACTTTGGAGCAAAAGGAATTACCGACGCAGATTTCAACTTCTTCGATGACCCAGACCTCGAGACGATGGATGAAGGCGTGCCTGATCACGAGGCGGTGGCGGAAACACCTCTAATCCAGCCAGACCAACAGGTTTCAGTGAAAGAGGAACCTAAGGAAGACATCGGGGAAGAACATCCTGACGGTGGCTCACCAGAAGTCCCGCGGCCTACCGAAATTTCAACGGAAGAGCATCTGCACAAGATGGAAGACCCCCAAGCGAGCCCAATTGATGAGTCAATGGGTCTTGACGAATCTACACCATCCCCTCAGGAGCCAAAGTCTCAAACGATCAGCCCTCCATTAAGCCCCATCGAGATCAAGAAAATCTTGTTCCCAGGATCAGAAGCCGAAAATCCGAACCAGTCCAGTGACTCGCGCTTTCAACAAGGTCACTATCACCCCATTGCATTTGAAAAGAAAATTGGGGACTGGGACCAAAAATATGGAACAACGGGGAAATTCTGGTTTACCACCGGAAATGCCCCAGAGGCATCGGATCGTAACTCGAACTCCATTCCCACTATTGGCATGCCTCATCGCGGCAGAGGTAGTATTACAGCAAAATCCGCGGGCGAAAGCACGGCTCTTTCATCCCTGGATAACCATACTCGTTCCTCGTCCGTTTCAAGCAGTACCGACAGCGATTTGAGTGACGACGACGCTCCCCCGATCAACGCCTCGACGCCACTAGCGATGGTTATTCCATCACTGAAGAGAAAACGCGTGCCCTCCGAATCCGATATTCAGTCCGTTGCGTCCCTGGCCAAGTCTTCAATCGTCCCTGAAAATGGTGCAGTCTCTAAGGGCGACAACACTACATTTCTTGGTAATTTCCTGGCCAATTTCTCCGACTGGACTTTTATTGGCTATTTCTCTGCTACACAGATTCAACAACTGCCGGTCCTTCTACGACGAGACGACCAGGTTTCGATTGCTCAATTGCTAGTTGACCAAATTACGCAATCATCTTTTGACCATCAACTAGCGGACTGTGTTGGCTTATCTAGCGTTAATAGCGAGAATTTTCCTTTGGAGGCATGTCTTGAGGGTGCTAACTTCCTCGGCGACATGGTGAGGCTCGATCTCAAAACATACGCATCATTACAAGAAGATCCGGCCGCAGCACAGCAACCTCTCAAGGATCCTTCCAAGGGTCCTATCTCGAAGTCATTTGCCCCCCACGTTCGTGTTCGGCGGGGCAAGGATTGCCTCGAGGCCCTTCCAGCTTTGATTTCATTCTGGGAGACATTTGGTCTCGAGCCTGCCCATGGTACGAAGAATGTTTCAGCCTATTGCATTCACCCCCACGCTACATCGAACGCAGCAGATGTCTTCATGGATCGCTTTGGTCTTCTCTACCAAAGTTGTAACTTTGGAAATCATACTCGGGGCGATCAGTCGAAAGCATTTACAAACGGCCTCAGCACGTGGGGCTCTGAAAATTCCGGCTATAGCTCTATGATGCAATCTTTAAATAAACTTTGCGAAAAGCTAGGTATGTCTACTTTAATCGAGTTGAAAATCATCGCTGACCCGATTTGATAGGAACCGAGCTAGCCCAAGCCCCGTCAGATACAGATAATGCAATTATCTACATTGTCAATCCTTTTCCACATGCTGCAGCACTTGTCGATATTTGCGCGGCTTTCTGGCGCCTTTTCCAACAATTGGCTGCAGACGCTGACAGGCAGCAAACTCGACAACTCAATGATGTTGTTTTGCAGATAATTCCATTGGAATTCATTGTCTCGGAGGATTCCATGGTTGTGCCAACTCAACCCGACTACCTGAATCTTGCCCTGGAAGTATACAGTCGCTGCCGTCCCAAAGAGGCCGATCCGAGCCCCTTCGTCTGTGCCCCTGCTATCGTTCTGGCCGACCCCGCGCCAAAGAGCATTGGCTTTCGACTTGCAGTCGAGAAGGGGTCACCGCTCCAGGACGGTCGAAGTCTGCATCTAGCTCTCTCAAAGAGCTCGGATCAACGTTGGATCTCAGCTGCATGGTCCGATGGGACTGGCAGCCTTCAGATGACAATGTCATATTGCTTGAGGTATCGCAGTCGAGGTGTGCCCAGACCGATTGCTGACGTGCGCAATGAAATATGGGCTACGACAAAACATATCATGGAAAATTACCAGGCTCGCTGGAAGCTCGTTCTGGCCAACACTGAGCCGATGGATACTGATGATATCGAAGGTATGATTTCCCCCCAATCCCAGATTCAAACCACAACTGATCAATTTAAAACAGGATGGGTCAGCCTCTCCGAGCAACTCAACAAGCTCCGGCCTGGTACTGTGGAGTTGAGCATCGTGACAGTTAGTACCATTCCTGATTTGGTACTCGAGACACCTACCGCACCCATGACAACCGGTGTCCTCAATCCTCATTTCTCATCTACGCCCGTTTCGACTCCCAACCCCAGTATAAGCATCGCCTCCCCCGAACAGGCGGGCAACGCCCCAACTCCGGGAGCTGCTTACAATGCCCCAACCCCGACCGACGGATCTTTGGAACCAGATACAGACGTTGTTCTCACCGACATGTGCGACGAATCTTGGACAGTCGTATTATCCCACCGCCTCAACAACTCCCACCACGTTACCGAACTCCGCCCCGCGCTGGTTAGCGGGTATCTCCTTCGCCGCAAAGGCGTCGTTGACAGCGACGGCGTCTTTGCAATGACCGTCAATCTGGTCCACACACCCCGCCCGTCACCTACTCACGAAACCCTCTTGAGAGAGATTCTCGGAATGCATCGAGATCTAGCTACCCTCGCCCGGGCAAGGGGTATTCGCAGCGTACAGAACAATACGCTGCCGTGGCACATTGCCACTGCTCTGCGAGCGCAGGAGCTCCTGAGCTATGTCTTGTGAGGGAAGGGTCATCATGTCATATTACATTTGTTTTGGCGACGGCGTTCAGGTTCCTCGGGTTTAGATGTACGAAGAAAGTGGGTGCATTGCATACATCTTGGTTTTATTTTTAATTTCATCGGGAGCAGGAGATACCATCGGAGGCATGGATTTGATTTACGCGTAAGCGAGCGGTTTCTGCATACCCCTATCTATTCCCAACTTCAACTTCAACTTCAAGTTGACATAACATATTCCGAATGAAATCGGCATAAACTCCGACCAGTTCCTCTTTTCTTCCCAAGGCGAGCCGTTTGGACTCTTTCAAGTTCAAGTTTCAGATCCCACCACAGCTACTAGTAGTACTGTAATTTGGCACTCAATGTAGTTCGTAGATATTTATTCATTCATCCATAATAATAATTCATGTGTCATATAATTTAAACAAGCAGACCATGTTCGTCGAAAGATCATCATGAAAAGTACAACGAAGAGTATGAAACGTCCAAATCAAATGTCCCAATCAACTCCAAAAGAAAAGTAACAAATTCATGTTTCCAAGTATAGCCCTTTCGGCTCAAAGTTGTACAGAAAAAGAAAATAGCGCCAAGACAGTATCGCAAAATTCATATCGAGTCAAGTCGTGTGCCCAAAAACCAGGGGGAAAGAAGGGTATCGTATCGTTTTTGGAAGTGCATTATTCAGGGAGGAGGGTGAGGGTGAGGGTGTTGTGGAGTTCGTGATGACATGCTGATGCTGTGCATGTGGCATCAGGGTCGTTTGATCATTTTTCGTCACCCTTCCGCACTCTCCTCATCTGGGTCGCGCTTCTTGGAGAAGAAGGAGACGTGGTTCTGTACGGCCCAGATGGCAAAGCCGGCAAGGGCTAGAAGGAGGAAGAGGACGATGATGATGATCGCAATGGCGACGTTGCGTTTGACCATGATTGCTGATGTGTGTACCCAATTGGGTTGCGGGGGCTTGATAGAGTATTTGATCAGATCAGATGCGTAAGGTCGTTCGAGTGCAAGTGCAAGAATGCAAGCAAGGTATCCCGGATCTGAGACACCGTTCAAGTTGTTGGGTTGGTCGTACGGAGGAAGTATGTACTCCGATTGTATACCCAGTGCTTTTGGTTTGACTGGGTGGCTCCCTTTTTCGTTCAAATTTGAGGGAGGTGATTGGAAAGTCTCTCAGGGAGACAAGATTGGAGAAGAGAAAAAAAAAATATCAATAGTTAGCTCGTAAATGGGGGGGTTATAAAGAAATGGCAGTTCCCAGCCACCGCGAAGATACTAGTAAAAAAGCACATGGCTGGGGGACGCCGCGTGGGGCTTGGCGTCCAATCCCAAACTTGAAGGATTCCATGTTTCAAGGTGATTTTTACCTCCAGTGTAAGACATTCAGTCATACATAAATATTAAATATTAATCAATTTCTCATCTCATTCAGGGTTGAAATAAATTGTACTCCCTAAGCCAATCTCTGTTGGGAATTGCGAGTGTTGCTGCGGTCTACCCAACCGTGGAGAGATCTGCCCGATCGCTCACTGTCAGCCTCAGCCTCATCAACCGCCTCCCCTGCCACCCGCATTATATCATCCCCAGCAGATCCTTTAATTCTCCGGAGACATCAACTAAAAAAGAGATTCGCCTATCTGGTCATGCAAGTAGAATTTTCCCCTCTAATCTCGAACATTACTTCGCTGCTCCGAAATTATCTACCAAATCGCCCTAATATCTGCCATACTGCTTTACAAGACTTCAAGGATTATCAACCCATCAAAACCTTATTGCTCTCCTACCTAATTATCCTTTAATCTAATATCCAACTGTTGGAATCATGGTCAACCTGAACTCGAAGTGATCCGAGTCCCTAGATAACAACCTTGGAACATTCAAATTCAACTTGAAGTTGGATCGTGACATCGGAGGCCCGGGAAGCAGAATATATATTATATTAATTCTGCCATTCTTCCAAGTCACGGGTATTAGTACTACAAATCATTTTTTGCGCCCATTCAAGACATCGGGAGTTTAAACATTGGATTTTACTATATATGTAATCAACGTTGGAAATCAACGAGTCGCATAAGACTAAAACCACCTTGGAAGCAGACTGGAGCCGAGAAAATCCCGAACAGCAACCTTGGAAGTATGCAACACCCCCTTGACGTACTAGAAATAGCCCTATCTGCGTATAAGAGACTCCGGAAGCTCCCGAAGATCTCATATATCTGAATTTTCAACTTGAAGAGTTTCCAACCTAGCCGGCTTACGTGTAAGCTTCGTGCAACTTGAAGTTGGTTTTTAGTTTGGATTTGGTGAACATTTTGTATGCTCCAGGCTTGTTTCCGGAAGCCAATATTTCGACATCTGCTCAACCTTATCAAGGATTGCATAACTGGGCCAATCTGAATTATGCATAATCTAGTTTCCAAGCCATGTTTTCTCACTTTGAATGCTCACTAAGGGTAGACTACGAAAAGAGTGGATGTGGCGCTGGAAGGATTTGAGGAGCAGGACCCAAAAATTGAAGTAGGTCGATACATTTATTATGGAATTTCTCGCGCTCAGGTGCAAGCATCGTCCATGGTACCAGCATTTGAAATGCGTCTCGGCCCCGGTCAATAGAAAGATCGCCTCGCCTGGATTTTGGACCTGATCGATTCGATCGCTTCGGAAAATTCGTGAGCGCTAGACGTGATCAATCGAGATAATCGTAGTTACCATGGGGTGCGCCTTTGCTCCGTGCACGCAAGCGGCAACAAGTCAGCAGTAATTGGAATATTGAAAATACTAGTGTAATGATATTTCTTCCACCGGCCTGATACGAGCCTTCCATGCATGGGAAACACGTTGTTTCTATTTCCTGCAGAGACGATTACCCCTATCGCCAAGGGTTATTTGACCGAGATAAGAGTGGCTCGCTACGAGTACGGAGTTGTTCCATGAGGATCTACACTCGCGTCATGGAAAGTGGAGGCGACGAATATGATAATCATACGCTAGATCAAATGCATTCGGGGGCTGTTCTACCGACTCTAGGCGCACCGTGCGCAACAGAAGCGCCGGGTACCTGGGTCAGGATGGGTTGCGTTTGATCGACACGGATTACACGACAAATATGAACGAGGATGTACTGAGTACGAAGTACTCGTAAGGCGTCGGAGGACTTGCTGTGGGGCTCTGCCAATAAGACTGCTGCCTCAGCTCCAGTGGACTGGAATTTGCGTTTATGACACTTTCAAGTGTCAGGGGAGCGTTGAGATGGCCCGTCGAGTGGTCACAATAGCTCGACCGACGACATTGACGGTGGTGACAGACGCGGTCAACTCGCCGCCACACACTCGGTAGTTAAGGACTATTGGACTCTATAATCAGCCACCAACTGCATAGCCGGGGATAATCAGAGCGCTAGCCAAAGCGCCGGAAAAATTAGCAGCACTGACGGGTAAAGAAAAAAAATGGCCCCGCCATTAGCTGCCTGATAGCGCTAGGCAAAGCCAGAGGAGTTCGTTCGGTGATTGCTCGCGAACCCTAGACCCAGCTCCTAGTGCCACCATGGAATTACTAGAATCTTAAATCGATCCTGAAATGTGCGTCGAGACACCGTGGGAGGACATACGAATCTTTGGGGGGTGCTCCAGGCTCCAGGGGCCAGGAAACTTGAACTCCTTTTCAGGGGAATAGGGAAACATCAAAACATCAACGGGAAAAAGTGGAAATGACAGGCGGCGTGTCAACCACGGTTCGTTTTCAGCTGCCAGGGAATCTGCCGAAGAATCTCCTGCTCAGCTTAGGGCTGCTACGTTCCATGGCTCTGCCAACGGGCTACCTCCAGCACCGAGTACTAGTACTAGTATGTACTCCCTACAATCAAGGGATTTATTTCTCCGATTACCCTAAGTCTCCACTGCGCTAGCTCATCTCCACCGGAACAAGCCAATATCACTGGCCTCTTGCGGAGCACAGCGCCTCGCCGTATGTATAACGGGCCCGCGTGGGAACAAAGCTTTCGGCGGAGCAATAACTAGCGGACAACCACGCAGTGCGCCTCTCGTGGTTCATGCTTGCATCGGGATGCACTTGACGACTCCACACTAGTGAAGAGCGCCCCTGACGCTTAGACAAGACCTGTTGCAAGACCTGTATGGAGTACCTGATAGGTCCTTGGAGTTTAGCCACCTGATCGTCGTCGGCTAGCCGTCTTCTCCGCAATGTACTCGTACTAGTTACCACGCCACCGGCAGTGTCTTCCAAACTCTGTCGGGGCTTTCGCCCATCTAGAAGAGAGGAGTCTTTGAATTGAGATCGTCTAACGCTGCTTTGAGACGCTAATCTGCATGCCCAGTTTAATAATCCCCTTAAACTCCAATAGTCATGTTATTGTCTTTGAGCTTATATCTAATTTGCCCCTCTCCGGCTAATAACGAATTCCCTTTCTCGGATTGTTCATACCCAACCGGTGTTGGTGGCTATATCTTTTCCATTTACCATTTTTTCCTTGAGTCCACTCTAGTCGATCGTCCACTTTTCCCCTTTTGGGAACAGTCCAGCCAAGAGGGGCTGGTTTACCCCCACGATTGCGTATCTTCCCACGACCGTGGAATTGGGGTTTTGTTAAAAAGAATTGGTGGCCCTGGCTCGATCGTGTTCTCCTCTTGGAACCTCTCCTACTCCACTCATTTCACAACCATTGAGGGTCTCCAGTGAGATCAGGGCGAGCAATCGTTCTACACTACACACCAAATACAATGACGACTTTATCTACATCCCGTGGCCGCGGAGCCCTCGCGGTCAGCACTGTCTTTACATGTCTGGCGACGGCTTTAGTTCTTATCCGTATCTATACACGAACTGTCATGGTGAAGCAAATGGGTGCCGATGATTATGCCATTCTAATTGCACTGGTAGGTTCCCTTGACTGAACTATAGGTGAAAGCAGAAAGGCTGATATGTATCTCAACCCAGGCATTCTCATGGGCATTCTTTGGATTGTTCGTTGGCGGTTTGTTCATCCAATTTCCTCGGCAGTATATGTGAGATTTACTAACTCTGAATAGAGGTCTACCATGGAATGGGCGAGCATTTCAAACTCATCCCAGCCGATATCTACAAAACCCAAATGATTGTGCGTTTAACTGAATTCTATTCAATGTCAACATGCCAAAGTACATAACTAACGCTCAATCTGCGAAACAAAAAGTGTTTCTGGGCATCCGTTCCTATCTATCAGACCAGTCTTCTCGTCACCAAGATGTCAATCCTTTTCCAATACCGCCGAGTCTTCTCAACATCACGCATGCGTCTCGCCTGTAACCTACTCATCGCATTCCTTGCCGTCTACGGAACTTGGACAGTTCTCAGCGCCTGGGCAAACTGCGTGCCTTTGGCCAAATTTTGGGATCCTACTGTACCGGGATTCTGTTTCGACAAGAAGGCCCTTTGGTTCTCTAACTCGGCCATCCACATTCTGACCGATCTTTTGATCTTGATCTACCCAATGCCTGTCCTCAAATCTCTTCAGCTTCCCAGGAAGCAGAAGTTTGCGTTGATGGGTGTCTTTGCACTTGGTGGATTGTACGTTTCCCTGAATATGCCTTTCTATCTTCTTACCCTCATGCCCATTTGCTGACATTCTTCCCTTCAGCGTTATGATCACCAGTATTCTGCGTCTCCAGAGTCTCCTGGTTATTTCAAATTCCACTGATCCAACCTGTACGTGCCGCCCCGCCAATTAACAAACCCCGTCTATACCTTCCCAAGTCCATCTCACTAATCAATCCATCCATCTAGACGACAACGTCGGCGCCGCCGAATGGTCCGCTATCGAATGCAACGTCGCCATCATCTGCGCCTGTCTCCCCAGCACAAGACCCATGCTCTCCCAACTTCTCCCCCACATCTTCTCCACCCGTAGCAACGGGTCTCGCAGCAGGACTACTCGACCCTCGCGAACTGGACGCAGTGTTCTTACCGGCACACACACCCACGTCCAAGCATCCGTCATCGGCGGCCGTGATACCAAACACGACGACTACGATTTGGATGACTTAACACCGCCCAGTACGGCCCGGAGCTATAACAAGGAACTTGATACCAAGGAAGCTTTTGCTGGTATCAAAGTTACGACGCTCGTCTCGCAGCAGTCGACTTCGCATCCTGCTAAGGGCTCTACTGATGACGCCGCGAGCACGAAGGAACTTGTGCCTAAGCAAAGCTTTTGCTAGGGGCTTTTTGCTTGCTTGTTGATGATGATTACCCTCTTTCATGCTCTTTCCTTTTCTTTTCTTTTCTCTGTATTTGCATTCCCGTCCCTTTCTTCTTCTACTTCTTCTTCTTCTTCTTCTTCTTCTTCTTCTTCTTCTTCTTCTTCTTCTTCTTCTTCTTCTTCTTCTTCTTCTTCTTCTTCTTCTTCTTCTCTTGTCCGAACGACCTTCTTCGTTGAAGGATACTTACCACACATTCTGTGTATAATACTTTCTTTCTTTCTTCTTATGTGTATATGATATCCTAGGCGGACTTGTGTGGATATCCGGCGGTTTCGCCTTTCTCTCATCGGCGTTGGATTTTGATTTTACATGGATGGACATGTTGTATATACCCAATACCCAAAAAATGAAACAACTTTCAAGAAGACCATAGTATGCATTTCGAGTAGTTCTCTTATATTCAAGTATCCGTAGAGGCCCACTTTGTTTGTTTTTTCTCGTAAAGTTTATCATCAGATCTTGATTGACTCATATCTGAAGACTTCATGCCAATGTTTATACAATCGCAAACCAAAAGATGAAAATCCCACGCGCCGCAAATGCTGAAAAAAGAAAAGAGAAAATAAAAATAAAAACAGGAAGCAAACCAGGAGGGTATCGCTAGTGAAAAGGCAAAAAAAAGTAGTAAGGTATCAAAAAATCAAGTTCAGAACATCGAACTGCGCTTTTTATCCAGACGCTTTCTGTCGTCTTCTTCCTTGTTGCGCCGGAATCCAAAGAAACTGCTTTTCTTAGGTTGTAGCTTCTGAGCAGGCTGTGGCCCAGGCTGCAAGGCCCCGCTGCTCGTCGCGGTCGGGTAGAAACCGACCGTCGACTGGGGCCGGACCTGAGGCCGGGGTTGGGCGATGTGAGCGGATGATTGGATCCGCGGATCTCTGCCACCGGGCGCATGCATATACGGGCCATTAGCGAATGTGGGGACGGGTGCGCCATGAGACTGTTGCGGTCGATGGTAGCGAGGAGGCTGCTGAGCGGGCGCTTGTTGAGGGAGGTATGAGTAAGACTGAGAGGGGTGGTGAGAGTATGGGCGAGAAGGACCGCTGTGTCGTGGGGGAAGATTTGGTCGGGAAGAGGGAGCTGGTTGAAGTCGGGCTTGGTGCTCTTCTTGTCCGTAGAGCTTTTGTAGTCGTTTCGTTTCCTTGTCGACTTCGGCCTGGCGCTTTTGTCGCGATTTCTCTTGCGCCCGTTTCTCTGTAGATAGGAGTTCTTGCGTTCGGCGGGTTTCTTCTTGCGCGAGCTGGTCTTGTCTCCTTCGGGCTTGGGGTCCTGGTGATTGTGGTGACATTGCGTTGAAGGTCGAGCTTCGTGGTGGTGGTTTTCCAGTAGGTACTGCGTCAACAGCTTGAACCTTCGGGCTCTTCCTACCTGCGGGGGCAGGAGTAGCAACGGGCTGCGGCCTACTGTTGGTCATTGTTGGTCCACCAGCTGTGATATGAAATGCTTCCTTGGCGAGGCCGAAGAATATATCACGAATAGCCACTGCAGCAAGCAATAAAACAACTTCCAGGCCTTTGAAGTCCTCCATTTCCACGCGGTAGAGATTCGGCTCGTAGAGTGTGAGCTCACGCAGGCCTTGGAAAAGTGCGACGGTGATATCGGGCTCCCGGCTCTTCTTCTGCGTGTCTGCAATTGTCGATGACTTCCCATGCAACAGACACGTAAGATCCTTGGACAGTTTTCCATCTTTGCGCCAACTGAATCGCAGCTTCGGTGTCACATCTGCTGCCGCTGGGTCGCTCTGCGTTCGGTCTAGGGTCGAGGCGGAAGGGAATCGGAAAGTGCGCTGCGGCATCTCGAATTCCCATCGAGCGGGTTTGTTCCAGGACTTGGGTTGATGTTTCACGGTGATTGTCTGGTCGGGGTTGTAAAGTTGGATGGTGAATTCGACGGGGAGGATAGGTTCAGGCGGAGGGGGAGCACCACCATTGGCTCGAATAGTATCTGCGGACAAGCTCGGCTGTGTCCATTCGGGGATTACAGCGACCTCCCCAAAGATAACATCCGGCACGTAGGGGTCGCAGAGGGCGACGCCATAACGGTTCTGTGACGCAGGGGCGGCGGGGTCCAGGGCGCGGAGAGTATATGCGGGTTCGGGGTCATTCCCATGTTGACGGTGATATATGGTATTTTGCTGGGGAGTCTTTGAGTCGTTCTTTAGAAAGAAGGCTGCCAGGAGACAAAAATAAGGTCAGCTATTGTGCAAGAGAGGTATGAGGTAATCAGGGATGGGGACGAAAAGAGGCAGTTTATGGGAGCCCTAGATCGAAAGTATAGTATATCGATGGATAGATTGACTTACTGGGCAGGTTTTCGTCAATCATTTTGGCCCGAGTTGACCTTGAACCTCAAGGAATGGGCGAGGGGAGGTTATATCGGCAGAGACTCGGAGTACGAAGTGAGCAAAAGCGGGAGTTCGCACATCACCTGCGCCACGCACTTCTTGGATCGGCGCCTAAAAATAGTTAAGCCGCGCACTTCGTATAAACATAAAAGAGGCATCAACATTCTGGGGTCCTGGGGTCTCCACCCTTGACGGCTATGCTAATATACGAGTAGTATCTACATAATACATTCCCATCTACTCACTCGTACATCTCTTGCAGGTACCCGGAATCTCGCTGCCTACTTCGTGCGAGGGGATTGGATTGCAAATGCCCCCCCTCCACCCCAGTCCGGCAGCTTAAATTCACCGATAGGCTTCTCGAAACATCATTCCTTTTGACGATTCGTCAATCTCAAAACGGCAAGCAGGGAGCTCCCCCGATCGACAGCTCGGCCACCGCTTCGAGTCAGTTTTGCGACGCTAAACACTAAACCCTGGGGCAATGCACGCCATCCGCATTGGGGGCCACCAAGCCACCCTTCTTATCAGAGTGAGGAAACCACCAATATAGTTGCCTATTACTGGATTAGTAGGATCAGGGATAGTTTATAACTAACTGAGCGTCATTCTATGTACTAGTAGTATGATTCTGGTTACCCCTAGTTACGTATTTGATGTAGCAGATTAAGGGTCATCTACCTGCCAAAGCCAAAGGCTCTTGCACGGACAAAAAATGAACATGATACATGCCTGGATTCTAATTAATGAAAGTGGAATAGCACTAAATAAATAGTATGAATACTAAGTACTGAATTGTTTCACTTCATCAACAAAATGGGGCAATATACTATGTAGTGGAGAGAAGGTATTCATAGTGGCATTTACAGTGGCTGCTCATACATCCATGTTCCCTTTGAACAAACCAGTCTTTTCTGTGCTCTTGATAACCAATGACCTACCGTAAATCGTAGGATAAAATATACTTGAGGTTTCTGTAAGCACCTGAAAGAAAGCTTGGAACAAAGGGGTCCACAAACGCATGGGCACCTACTGTAAATGTCACCATGGACACCCTAAAACTCAATTAGCCAACATACTAAGGGCGGATCGACTGACCTGAATGTTAATAAAACACAAATAATATCATGCCATCAATTTCGTCTCTAACATTTGTTAGCTTCGGGCGCGTTGGAATGAGCGCTTACCTGTTCCCGGATCTTATGCAGCACAGCAGATCCATCGTACGCATCGAAGCGGAGGGGGAACCTAGAACTCATTATTATGAAGCATTCGTATTAAAGACGGAGAATAGGATGTCGAAGGAATTTGCACTTATATCTAGGTCCTATCTGGCTGGACCGTGACCAAGAATATGGGATGCTCTCATAAGCGTCTCAGGCGATATCAAAAAAATGTATCCAGTCCCGACTGTTTCTAAATCTATATATCAAAAACGTCATAACATCGGGGGAGGGGCCTACATTCTGAATCTGTGAATCACAAAGTATTGCGCGTCCGAGTCTCAATTATGGATATCTATATTATAAGCCCTGGTTAGTTCCTCAATATAGTAGTATAAGGGGAGAAGGGAGGTACTGCCCAGGGCTCCCATCACTATACTCTCTTCGAGACGATGGAGTTGCTGGAGCTGCTGGATAATAATACTACGTGGGAACCGAGTCTTTATACTAGACATGCCTTGGAGGATCAATACAAGATAAAGGATATAAATTCCATTGTCGCCGTCTCGCTTGACAAAAAGGATTCACCTTGAAGAAAGAGCCTCGAAGACAATGGAACAAAGCAACCCATCGAAAATAATGAACTTTTGTTCTATTCCCATGCTTTCTAGAAAAAGTCTATCTTTAACATGTCGCGTAAGCTACCACGAAAAGCTTTGTGAATAATGCCTATGTTCCTGCGCAATCCTAATCTGCTCAAAGCGAGTAATAACCCGCTACGCCCTAAACACGAACACCGTTAACCTCCTTGCCCTCGGGGACCTTGGCCGCCTCTCGGTCCGCAGTGCTCATCTGCAAGCCCTGGTCATCCCAGCCCTGGGTACCGCGCTTGTACAGTGACTTCTGTTCTTCACGGTCTGGGGTCGGACCCTCTTTCCCGCGACGGGTTCGGGATTCAATGGTCTCGACGATGGAAGCGTTATCCCCATCCAGCGGGTTTCCTTCCAGATCATTCTTGTGAGTCTCGTCTGAGAAAGTGTAGGTGCGGTATTCGGTGTTAACCCAGCCAGTACCTGTGCAGGAATGACAATGTTAGCTTTCTCTCGGTCTCGGGCAGAAGTAGTCGAATCAGAAGCACGCGGAGCTCGTGTCACCCACCCTGGTACTGGCTGCTATCCTCCCAATCCTCAGTAAAGTAGTGAAGGTAACCACCGTGGGTAACGACAATAATTTCCTTCTCAGGCCGAGCCTTGAGCCACCTACGAGCAGTGAGAGCGCGTTCCTTCAAAGCCTTGTTCGTAGGCGCAAAGCGGCCACCACTCTTGTCGTTCCATCCCTTAAATACCAGATCCAGGTCCACTGGTTTCCCCGCAAATTCGTCCTTCAGGGCCTCGGGCTCGCTGCCCGTGTCGCACGGCACGTCGGAGGTCTCTTGCACGTCGGGTAGGGCGATGAGCTTCATGCCCGGGTGTGAGTCGAAGACGGGACCGAAGCTCTCGAGGGCAGTGTAGATTGTGCGGCGGAGGGGCGACGCAGTGACTAGATCGACTTCCGCGTGTCTGGGGAAGGTCTGTTGTAGCTTGGCGCATTGTTCGTGGCCGAGTTCTGTGAGAACAGGGTCGTGAATGACATGGTTGGCAGTGCAGAGGTTGTGCAGGCCCTATTGGAAACGTGGGTTGTCAATGATGAGTTCGGTTCAGTTCGAGGATGAGGATTGAGAAGTGATATGGGAATTGAGACTTCGCGCAAGGACCCTGGACTAGGACCGCCGCGGAATGACAACCGACGTACCTGGGCGTGGCGAACACAGTGGATGATCGGAGCCATTGTGAATGAGTTGAGTTGAATTGGGAAGTGAGCTCCTGTGGAGAGCTTCGAGGGTCAGCTTTGGAGTGGTTCAAGTGTCGAGGGGACCCTGGCGATGAAATGAGTCTTATCGCAGAACGTGGGGCGGCGGGGTGTTGCAGGGAGACGGAGAAGACTGCAGGTTCAGACGGGGACAAAGCGTAAAGCGTACTTAGTGTGTGTGGAAGATCAGTCAGGCCAGGTAGACGGCAAAATTGAGGGTAGTTGGTGTTGTATTAGTTCAAAACTCGCCAGGAGTAAGAAGGATGAAGAGTCATGGTCGGACCTCAGACCTCCGTTTGAAGAAATTCTGGGTATCGCCACACTCTATGGAGCACTTCCAGGGCAAACCACACCGCGCAACTGGGGCCGCGAATCCACTTAGTCTGATGATCTATTTGACTGACAAAACAATAGAGAGCACTGGCAGAAGTGGGACGTAACTACAAAGTTGAACCACTTGTACGTCGACACCTGGGCATATCTCTTCCTTTGCAATTACTTGCGCATGGCAAATTGCCAGTGGTTGAGATCATATTTACTACGGTAAGATCTAAGTATAATAGGAGGGCCTGGATTCAAAGTCATCAAATAGAACGCTATGCTTTTGCTCCTGCTGCGTATCCAAAGTAAATGGTATGGGTATGTATAAATCACTCCTAAACCCGAACAAATCATAAGGTGGCCATCGCTTACGCCACACCAAACCCCTGTGCATTCTCGAGCGCCTTGTCCAGCTTCTGGGCCAAAGATTCTCGAGATGAGTACTCCGGTAAAAGTAGACGACCGAAGCATGTCAAACTAGTTGGAAGACGCTGAGAGAAAGAAATTAGTATTGCTATACGACATGCCTAGGATTCGGGGAATATCATCTTACCAGATCTCCCACGCCGTTCTTCTGGATGACGAACATGATGCTCGAGATCCCATTGACGGGGACTCGATCACTTGCGGTGACAAACTCCAGAAGTTGCGCTTTCTTCTCGAGTGGGTACTCATGGACAATACTCCAAAAGTCTTGGATGACACGATGGTCGGGTCCAAATCCGCCTTCGTAGCGGCAATGGTTCTCGAGTTCTTTCACATCAATCTCTTGCAGACCCTCAACGACAGTCTTGAGTGACTCGGGGGTGAAGATAGAGAGTGCCGATCGATCGAGACACGTGTGAAACCCGCGAAGGAATGCCTCAAACTGCGGCCGAATGGACTTGTTTGTGAGCCAGAAAATATAGTCCTTGACGAATTGATGTCGGTTCTCGTTGGTTACCAGGGCCGCCTCCTCGACAGAGGGTGTGGGGGATTGGAGCGACAAGGAGCGAGGCACGGACTTGACAGTGTCATCCGAAGCAGAAGGTGTGGGTGCTGCCTCAGTCACCGCAGATGATGGGGGACTCGCAATGCCTGCATTGCCGGCTTGGGAAGACCATGTTTTGTGATCAGTTGCAGATGTCGGTGTAGGTGATCTACCAGGCAGTGGCCACATGGCATCCCGGTTCACCTTCTGCATATCGACGGTTTCAACATGGTCGACAGCTTCAAAGCTGAACTCGTAAGTACGCATAAAAATGTCACCCACATCCCCGTCTTTCCAATTGAGGAGCATTTCCAGACCCTGTGTGAGCTCAGGCCACCCGTCACGGATATGGTCTAGATGCTTCACCTTCAACCCCAATAGTTTGCGATAGAACGCGACAGGAAAATTGATAGGCAGCGTCAACCCGTTGTAGACCGCAATGGACATGAGAAGTCCGAGAAGCTCAAATTTGTATTGGGGCTCAAGGGAACGAGGTCGGAACCATGATATGCGATGTCGACTATCCATAGTAAACATGCCAAAGGCCGGATCGAGCGCATCAGACATGAGAACTCGGAAGAATTCCTGTTGCACCCCACCATGATCCAATCCTTCTTCACCCTCGTCCATTCCCATCTGAACTCTGAGTGGGCGCATTAGCTCGCGTTTTTCTCGACGCCAGAGCTGATTCAAAGCGTCCGTGAGGACATTATCTCGCCTGACAACAAGTACAAGATAAGTCGACATGGAAACTTTCATGCGGGAAAGCAGTGCGCCATCATCGGGGATCGTGATGCTTCCAAAAGCGGTTTGAGTGACATGTCGCGTTGTAGTCATCGCAGCTTCGAAGTATTTGGACATTGCGGAGTAGTTGAGAGATCGGAAGTAAATGACGAGGAACGATGGCGGGAAGAGGAATGAGTAGGATAGGAGATGTATCGTACGGTTGTTTGATAGACCCCCAACCCAGGCGAGGGGCATTTCGAGTGGATCCAACCGGTCAGCGAGGAAAGAAGTTTGGAAATCTTCAGGATGAAGACCAAGTCGATTTCGCTCTTTGTACATCAGGGCTAGTATTTGGACAGCACCACCAGCAGCACTGCTCCTAGCCATCTCCGGATTGCCATCCCATTCGCGCAGGAAGACTGTTCGTAGCCACTCAACGATAAGCGGCGCAGGTCCGGTGGATGGAGGCGAAGCGTCTTCGTTATCCGACTGCCCTAGGCTATGATGTTCACTGAGGTGATCCACAATGCGATCGAGAACGTTGAACCGTCGTTGCTTTGGCAGATCGAGACTATAGGCTTGGCGCGCCTTGGATATTTCGTGATATGCAAGCCGTGCGGCAAGGGCGCGGACAAGGCGGTTTACGAGACGAAGACCAAGCTCATGCTCTAGTTTGTCAGTTGCTTCCACTGCCTGTTGAGCGTGCTCAGCCGGAAGCTTCTGCATGTCAGCGGACGAGGCAATAGTTCCCGCGGCGCGCATGCGTAGAATTCCCCGCCATGTTGAAATACTCAGATTTGGAATTGCGCTGACCAGGACAAACAGAACCACAGTAGCAATATGAGCAGCATCTGCGTCGGATAAATGCTCGTCCGTTGCAGTCTCTGACATCCTGCGCACCACCGGAGGAGCAGGGCCAGTCAGGGTTGAGCTGCGCGAGGATCGCCGAGAAGCCCGAGCAGATGTAAAATCACTGGGCGGCACGAATAGTTTGTCCAAGGCACTCCATAGACTATGCAATGCAATATCCCATGGGCAGAAGGCAAGAAGTTGCTGTAATGATGTGCGTAGGTTGGCAACATCGAGACGACTGCTCATCGGACTATGATGCTGTGATTTGGGGTCTAATGCATCTCTTCTGAATGAATGTAAGATATGTTTGGAGCTGCTGAAAATGAAAAAGGTGCTTTGAGCGATGAATGGAAAAACCAGGCGCTGGCGAGGAGTTGCAAACCTCCAGTCGGGGTTTTCGAAGCTACCCATGGATTGAATGCGATCAAGTTCTTCCTTCCACGTTTCTGCATCATCGTCGGATTCGACCATTATTTGGCCGAGGCCAGTGATGATCTCCGGGGTAAAGTGAGTCACTGTCTGGGGCAATGGAGCAGACTCCGACATGCGAGGGGGTGAATCATGTTTGGCTTTACGATGACTTGGGGACTCATTGTCAACCACAGGCTTTGCAAGCAGCGGCCGAGGATGACTAGGACTCTCTTCAGCAGATGCGAGGTTGAAGATTTTTTCGCTATCCCAAGACACCCGACGTTGGGCTTTAGACCGTTCTTTGGGGCGTGTGTTTTCTGTGCCCTCGATCCTGCCACGGTGTTTCTGGGGTCGGTGTTTAAGAGCAGGTGGCGATGTCACACTCGCAATTTCATTGGGAGTGAGATGCGAATTCAGAGATAGTTTGCGATTTTTGTATGCCGGTCGTCGTTTTTCGTCCATACTATTGCGTGGTGATTGGCGCCAATGATCTACTTCGGTGACGGAAAGACGCTTGACATGCTGATTTTGGATTTTGAGTTCCACCGCAGAGGATTGCGTACCGGTAGTTCGCGAGGAGGGGGTTCGGGGGATATTGTTCTGTGTTTGAGCCAACTGTGATTGGTCGTGCGTTGCTTTCGGCTTGTCATTCGCATTCGAGGGAGGGAGTGGTTTTGCAGTGGATTGTGATTGACGCTCGATGCTTGGTACTGGTACTGGCTGATCGGTTTTCGAATGAGAGGATTCTGATGGCCGACGGAGTGGAAGCCATTCAACCATTCGCAACGATAGAGTATCGAATAGGTTCTGTGTGAAAGATTTAGGGTCCTTGACTGGCTGCTCAGCGGCGTAATCAAAATCCTGGGAATCATTGGTGTTTGGATTTTCGACGGGAGAAGAAGCCGGTCCCGAAGATTGACCAGCATTCTTCGAGCTATGGCTCCTGCGCCTCCCAGATTTATTCAAATCGAGTGAATTGTCGTCGTCGTTATCGCACTCAGCGGCGGTGGCGGGATTGGCCTGCTCGTCTGCAACGGCAGCGGCAGCCTGTGCTTGGAAAGCCCGCGATCTTTGCAAAGAGATTCGGTGATAATCACGGAGTGTCAACTCGGGCGAGAGCTTTGGGGCATTGCGACATAGTCCACTTTCGGCGTCGTCCAAGCTTGCGAGGTAACACGCCAGGGTGCGCGCGCTGAGTTCGGTGTATCGACGGTAGGGTCCTTCGCTGACACGGCGGCGGCGGCTGGCACAGGTCGGGGTACGGCATCCTGGATCATCACATCCGTATAATAATTGGTTTTTGTATCTAAGTACGAGAATGTATCAGTGGCAGGTTCAAGCTGAGGACCCTCGTCGCTCTCGGCGAGCGGCGCTAATACTTACCTCCGTACTAACACGTTGTAACTTCGTCGACGTTCATCTCTGTACCACGGAAGGACCCGCGAGGAGTCCGAGATTTCGATAGTGTTCTGGGTGATCACCTCAGGCGCATTCGGTGGGACCTTGGATCGACAAGACTGATGCTTCTCGCCGCTATGCTGCACTTTATCCGGAGATTCGAGGGAAGCTCCGCGGAGCCTGGTCATTGTCGAGAATCCAGTCGCATACCCTGGGCAAATGGAAATGGGGGAATGAGGGACAGCTCTTCGAGGGATCGAGAATGATAATGATCGCAGCCGGCCCAGATATGTGTTGCAGCAGAGAAGCCCAGCTCACCTGATATCATCGGGGCGGCCGGGGAAACCGCCTGAGGCAACCAACCGGCGATCGGCCAGACTGTTGTTGCGTTCTCACGTGACTATAATGTACCACGCCAGTCCTATGTGGGACTAGCGTATACTCAGTGTGCGGCGATAAGACGGTGCTTGCAAATCATTTAGAAGGCCCCTCGGATAATTTTGCCACAATTTTGGGACTTTGCAGACTTGGTTCTCTCTTTTTTTTGACAAATATCCAGGTCAATAAGGCTGCAGAACCCAAAGCTGATATTTTTATTTTTTTTTTTAAAAAAAAAAATACATTGTCAGGAAGTGTCAACGTGACTCACGGCAGAACTTTCATCATACCCCGCTTGCGATAAAAAACCGTCCCACACTCACTTTTTTACACCCAAGGGGACTACCCAACTTACCAACTTCAACGATATTTGACGATACCACGAGCACCATGTCGTCAACCACACAACAGACCCCGGCATACACTTGCAATACCTGCCTCGTTGCTTTCCACCGCAGCGAAACGCAGAGAGATCATATGCGCAAGGATTGGCAGTAAGTAATGTGCCTGATGTCACTTCCAAAACATGACTGACCGTCGCTTTTTTCCCCTATAGTTTGTACAACATGAAGCGCCGTGTTGCCGCATTGCCCCCGTCTCCCTCGAAACCTTCAACGAAAAGGTTCTTGCCGCCCAAGCCACGTCCACTGAGGCCGCCGCCAAGGCTTCATTCGAGAAGACTTGCGACCCCTGCCAGAAGTCTTTCTACAGCGAGAACTCCTACCAGAACCACATCAAAAGCTCAAAGCACAAGCAGCGCGAGGCCCGCCTGCGTAAAGACGGCGACGATGCATCCGTTATGAGTTCCGCTTTCTCTTTGGGAGAACCCATCAACAAGACCGAGGATCACGATGTTCACAAGGTCACCGACGAGATGAAGTCCGCCACTATCCAAGAAGATAACGAGGATGAAGAGATGCCCACCGAACAGTCTGAGTTCTCGTCTTTGCGCTGTCTCTTCTGCCGCACCGAATCCGCCGACACCCAGGCCAATATCGATCACATGTACAAGAACCACGGCATGTTCGTGCCCGAGCGCGAGTATCTGGTCAACTTGGAGGGTCTGGTGCATTATCTCTATCGCAAAATCAACGAGAACTTCGAGTGTATCTACTGCCATGCTATCCGCAACAACGCCGACGGTGCCAGGACTCACATGCGCGACAAGGGTCACTGCATGATCGCCTTCGAGTCCGAGGAGGAGCAGGTCGAGATCGGCCAATACTACGATTTCCGCAGCAGTTACTCCGATCACGAGGACGAGGACGAGACTATGGCCGAGGGTGGTGTCAAGATTCGCTCGGATGGCGATGATGAGGGCTGGGAAACCGACGCCTCATCCGTGGACGATGATGATGAAGAGATTGATTCTCACCGCAAGGCACCTGTCGCCTGGTCCGACGAATATGAACTTCACCTTCCCTCTGGCAAGAGTGTCGGTCACCGTTCGCTGGCTAAGTACTACCGTCAAAACCTGCACAGCTACCCAACTGCCGAAGAACGACTTGAGCGACAGCTGGCCATCGAGAACGGAGAGATTGAAGAGGACGAGAGCGACAAGCCCCGCGGTCGCAACCAGAACCGCGCTCTCATCTCTCGTGCCAACGGTGGCACGGGTATGGTCGGCGCAACTGAAGTCCAGAAAGAGGCTGCTCTGACCGCCGAGCGCCGCGAGCGAACCCGCACCCAACGCCAGGAGAACCGCATGCTGGCTCGCGTCCAGAAGGCCGGCAACAGCCAAAAGCATTTCCGCGACCCTCTCCTGCAGTGATTGCGTCACTCTCGCTGGTTCTCTGCCAATACACCGGCATTATTTAACAGCCTGGTTGATTTTGGATTTGGATGCATTCGGGATATATGGCGTTTCTCATCAACCTGATCTACCTCGGCGATGCTATCACTCGGTTTCGAACATTCTGAATTGATTAGCTTCGTCCGTTGCTGTCGATTCGACTCCCGACATCAGGACTTCGAAGCAAGTCAGCTTCCAGAATACCATCCACAGCAGGGGCACTCTTTTACCTTTCTCAAGCCACTCCCCTCCATGGCCTTCGGCCTGATTGGTACAAATGGGGCCCCTCTACATCGCTGCCGATTGATGCGTTGAACAAGTACAGACGTCGTTCTGTAGGTGCCTGAACGGTGAACCGACAACGACTACATGCTAGCATATTTGTGCATTTGGGGGCGTTTCATGACTAGATGATATTTTCACTCCGACTAAAAATGAATTTCGTTGCGTATCTCTCCCTCATCCTTCACCTGTAGAGTAGTGTACCTCCAGTGATAAACAGCGATGAACCACACCGGTTCATAATATCGCGCTCGTCGGACAAGCCTGTCGCCTTGACATGACTGCAATATGTCGTACTACTACATTCAAGAGTTCGCAAAAGAAGTAGGTTTACTAGTAGTAGTATGATGGAAAAGAAGTTGTGATGATAATGATATTGCGGCTCCCATGCCTCGCTTAATTTGCCGTCTCCTCTTGTATTTACAAATTCCTTTCATTCTTCCTCACAAAACAAAATCATCCTTGTCTCTTCGAGACCAATCCCACTGCCTTGAAGCGCCCAGCGCTACCAAGTCCGACTCCCCCGCCAATCTCAAGATGGTCCCAACCTTGCCTTGGGACACTATCCTCTGATGTATGCATGGTAATTGTATCTATCCTAACAAAGAGGGAACTGCGCTCATATCACTGGGGTGGGATTTGTGAGACCTGCTCCGTAGCAAATCCCCCTCGACCTTTTTTTTTTTTTTTTTCCCTCTTCTTTCTCTTTTTCCTTTTTTTTGTTTGTTGTTCTTGCGAGTCGCTGAATGTTTTCGTTTTGCTGCCCACGTGGTAAAACCACTTTTTGCCTGGTTTCGGTTCTGTTTTTGGATCCAATCACCGCCACCGAGAGTGTCAAGCACCTGAGGAGGATCCTCGGCTGTACCGCTGAAGGGGAATGGGTATTCAAGGAGCTTTGTGTGGGAGTTGGCAGAGCGTTCTGGCTGTTGGGGACATTGAATCCGATGAAGGCATTGGATGGACCCATTGAAGGCGGGCATTGGGTGATGTAGAAATCTGAATAGTTTTCGCACTATTCGCCTGAAGGAATCAGGACAAGCTCAATTGTTCAGGCATCAATTTGAAAGCAATCCCATCCTAATGGGTATGGAACGGTAGATTGCGAAGAATTTTGTGCTTGGCCTCGGCGAGGACAGTCAAGCCCGAAAGGGAATAAATGGCTCGCAACTTTGAAGGCGCGAGTCGTGACCATGAATATGAACACGACACAAGTCAATCCCAGTGGGGATCAAACGGTGGCTTGTGTGGAGGTATGTTGTGATTGACCTTCGAGAGGCCTATTGAGGCTGCGGGGGGGGGGAGATTTCGCGATCTTTTTTTGGGGAAGGGAAGTGGGGGTTGCGAAACGTGACTCTGGAAATGATACATGGCATATTGACAGGTGAAGGGTGCTTGGATTCTCTTGCCTTCGATCGGTGATGAGAAGGGCACTCTTGTAGTAAGTATCCCGTCCCGCAGTTTTGTAAGGATAATTTTTTGCTGTACAGTATGCTTGTGGCTTTGCCTCGAAGCCTTTAGCTTCTGTGGAGCACAAGCTTTCATTATTGCAGAAGGGGTTGGTCTTCAGAAGAGCCGTCCTTCTTGGATTTGGATTTTCCATGCTTTCGACGGCGCCGCTTTTTGGAGTGTGGATGTTGAGCACCCTGAGAATCAGCAGTGGCATATTTGCGATTTGGTGATGAGTCACGAGTATCATGTGGGGAGGTTTGGCCGTCGGAGGAGGAGCCTGATCCGTTTGTGTGTAGAACGACTTTGCGGATACCGTTGACATCCACGATCTGTTCAGTAATGCTACCGCTTCGAGTTGGTCCGCGGTGATGATAGATAAATTCTGTGTGAGATTCGATGGACCGGGCGCTACCAGTGCCACTGCTGTTTTGGCGCGTTGAGGCAGAGCGAGGTTGATCCTCGCGCTCTTCACGGACAGGTTCTGGAATGGAAACCGGGGGGGAGATCTTTGAATTGCTGCGCACTCGTGGATTTTGTGACACTTTCTTCGGGAGACATTGTACCGTAACCAAGTTTCAAAGCATGCGCGCCGTCTTTGGCATCGACGCCTGAGCTCACGAGGCCGGCCCCGACGCCACCTTGATAAGCCGTTGAGTTCAGTTGGAGATGGGACTCATTCAGGCTATGTCCGGATGCAAGGTCTGTTTGTGCGGAACGAGAAGGAGACTCGCCGCTGCGCTTGATTTTGACGTTATGGTATCGAGTTTGTCGCGGACGGCTCGCCAAATTAGAAGGCCCAAGGTGCTTAAGGTGTTCCCGGATTTCATCCGTCGCACCCCTCTGGGTAAACCATAGATCAGACTGCTTGTTGCTGCTGTCACCATTGGGGCGACGAAGTTGGAATCGGGGTGGAGGGGGCTCGACAGAGCCGCGCCGGCGTGGGATGTCAGGCTTGGAGGCGGAGGAAGACGTGCCATCCATATCAATAAGTTCGCCTTCTGCAAGAGGGGTCGCCATGGGGGGGTTCCTCGACAATTTGGCCCTTGGGGACACGAGATTTAGGGGCAGGGACCATCCGACGAATGGCCTTGTGAACATCGATAAATACATCAGATTCGTCGATGATTTCTCTGTATTCAATGTTAGTGTGCTTGGAACACTAGAAACGGGAAGAACGGGCATGACATACTCTCCAATAAGCTCTTCGATCACATCTTCAAGAGTGACAACACCAAGTGCGCCACGGTCTTCGCTGGGGTATGAGGAAACGAGGACCATATGTGATTTTCCTTCTTGGAAGAAGTTGACAATATCGAGACAGCTTGTTTCTGGTCTTGTCTCGGGAAGGGTGGCCAAAGCAAACTCGCGAACTCGCTTGGCGTCTTCTGGGTCGTAGGTGATGAGCATTTTCACCAAGAGCATACCGACGAAGTTCATGGGGTTATCGGGAGCATGGATTGGAATGCGAGAGTATCCTTGTGATAGGATGAGGTCCATGGTTCGTTCGTCCAGGACAGTATCGGCAGACATGGTAAAGACGTCTTCCATTGGGGTCATGATGGTGCCGACGGACTTTTCTTTGAGGTCGAGAACCGCGCTGATGATGGTGACTTCGTCGGAGTTCAATTGTTCTCCAGCTTCACCGAGCGTTCTGTGTAGAGTGACGAGAGTCTTGAGACCGGCCTTTTTGTAAATGGTGCCATGATCCTCGCCAAGAAGCCTGTCGAGTAGTTTTGCGACCGGCCAGGCGACCGGGGACATGATGTACATAAGAATCAGAACACATGGAGCCATCCAAGCTCCGATCGGGAGGCCATAACGGACGCAGATTGACTGAGGAACGACTTCGCCGAAGATGACGATCAGTGCCGTACTGCCTAGAACCGCCGGCCATCCACCTCCGAGGGTTCTGTCGAGGACGATGGGCAATGTTTCATTTGTGATGACATTGCTGAGCAGTAGGGTCACGAGCACCCAGTGTTTGCCCCTTTTCAAGAGGTTTAAAACGCTGGCGGCATTTTTCTTTTCGGATTCCTCGCCGGATGTTTGGATCACTTGCAGGTAGACTTCATCCTGCCCCATCAGAGCGATTGTCAGGCCCGCAAATGCCCCGCCACTGAGAACGAGGGCAGCGGAGAAACCGAGGTACAGCCATAAGCTCGGATCGGTTGGTTCTTTCGGAGGATCGGATTCAGAGGAGGCGAGAAGGTAGGTTGAGAGAGCCGGGGCGCCGGCAGCGAGGGGAAGTTGAGAAAAGGTGAGGACGATCAGTCTGGCCAGACCCAAGACCATGGGCCTCGCAGCAAGGGCGCGCGTTGCCGGTGAAGTCATCGCCGGGAGAGCGAATGGTGGAATAAAAGAGACAAGACAGAATCAAAGTAGAATAAGATGACACCACGGGTAGGTACAACACGGGCGGGAAATGACGGGGAGGGATGGGTGTTACAAGAGCGAGGTGAGCATTGCCGTAGAATAGGTCGAGAATGGGGCCGGGAGAGAGGGAGCGGAACCGAGGGAGGACGGAGAGATTCGAGAGGGTTGAAAGGAATAAGTGACGGAGAGGGCGAGAAATTGAAGGGAAATGGGCCAAATCGCAGAAGTGCTGGTGATGATGGATGTCGAAGCCGAATGAATTAGCTTCGGCAGTTGACACCTGAGGCAGAGCCTTGAAGCACGGGTCCACATCGCATGGCATGCACGGGACGGGAACGGGCACTTCCACTGGCACTTCCTTCATATATGTACTCCACCTTACCAGGGAGAAAGCTCCCAGGAAGACAACTTCAGTACAGCTTCGTGTTCCTGCCATTTCTTCTCAGTCGCTTCGAGAGTATCCTTCCACATTGTATGTTCGATTAAGCGCTGGAAATTCCCCTGGTCGCCTGCTGCTTCGGCAAGGCCTCCTAGCTGCCCATCCATCACATCGACACACTGGTGAAGCTGATCACATAGATTTCGGAAACGTTCAACCTCGCCTGACCGTCGAATGAGCTCTTCTCCGGTAGATTTGAAGATCTGTCGCTCCATCTCGACCGCATTGGCTCGGTTCTTCGCCTCGGTTTCTTTGAAGCCTAGGTCACGCTCCATCTCGGCTTCTTTGAACTCTAGCTCAAGCTCAAGCGCTTTGTTTTGCTTCTCTCGCTTATTCAGTTCACAATTCAGCGATTGGGTTTTTTTGTCGAATTCCCGCTTCAGCGCTTTGGTTTCATTGTCTCGCCTTTCGATCTCCTTCTTCAGCGCTTTACTTTCCTCCTCTCGCTCACCAAGTTCGATTCGGAGCTGCATATCACTCGCCACCTCTTGGCTCTCGGTGTCGGTCTGGCAGGATTTCAGTCCCGTCAAATCGGTTTTGAGCTTATCCATCTCTTCGTCCTGGGAGGACAACTTGGACTCGAGTTCCTTTATCTTTTTCTCCATGTTCGAGATCACCTGTTCTCTAGATTCGACCATGATCCTGGTCCCCATTTTGAAGTTTTGGATGGACATTTGGCTCTTCAGAGCCTCATGGTCGGAATGGAGGGCCTCATGGGCGGAGCGGAGCTCCTCGTGTACACTCTTCAGGGCTTCGAGCTCGGAAAAAATTCCATCTTCGCTGGAAATGAGTCGCTTTGCTTCGGATTCGAGTTCCTGCACCCGTTCGGTGGCTTGCTCCTTCAAGATGCCTCGCTCTTGCACTGCCATAATTCGCTCTTGAAGTGCCGCGTCCCTCTCCGCAAGCAACTGCGCCTTGCAGATCTCCGAATCCCTGAGCTTGGCATTCTCATCCTTTAGCAGACGGACTTCGAACTGAAGCATCTCCCAACCCTCAGGTGATCCAGCCGGCTGGGAGGTACCCCCGTCGGCATTAAAGACCATCGTCTGAGCATCGGAGACTACGGGCTCCAGTTTACTGAAGCTTACGGCATCAGATCCGAGAGAAATTTGATGAGGAGTAAGTGTTTTTGGACATCGAGGTGCAGCTGTCAGGTACTACGGTTAAAGAAGAGAGCGACGACAGTTTATCCTTGGAGGATACTATGCATCCCCTTCAGTTGCATCTCGTACAGAGTCTTCTTTCCTACCCTGTTTCTAACTCGTTGGGGGATGAATGGCGTCGGTGTGATACGGGTACCGCAGCTGTTGTTCAGTACTGTGATGTCCTCGAAGAAGGCCCGTTAAGGGGCCGGCCTAAACGGAAGACTGGTAAGTCTACTGCGCCAACTGGCCCAATAGCTCAGCAGCAGAGCGATGAGCAATCAGCCCCAAAGGATGTCGACTCGGGCGAGGTGCCTGTCTCTGTACGTCGGAAACCATTACGAGCTACTAGGGAGTAACTCGAAACCGCTAAGCAGCCAGAGGCATGCTTCCAATGCTTCGCGAGTGAAGGACTTCCGGACAAGGTCCGCTTTCAGATGTTTCATGATCCCGGGTGTGTTACGCGCCACTTTGATGCCATTGATCTCAAAGAAAAACCACTTATGTGCAATTGGTGTGATGTAGCCTTGCTACACCAAATGGCATTCCAGCGCCATGCTTTTGATGTGCATCGTGTGCGGAGTCGCCGGCGTTGCCCAAATCCGAAAGACATTTAGAGATAAGGCGTAGCTAATCAAGATCCACCGAACCGCTATTCCCAAAGGACTTAACCAAGTAAACTCGAGTGTTCGATGCCATACACGCACTACCTTGAATAACATATTTTTCATCTTATCTTATCTTATCTTATCTTAAGTACTTATCGGAGTCTATTCCTTGTGAGAGAGCTTTTTAGTATGGTAGGAAGATGGGACCACCTGATGTTGAACCAAGATATTTGCTAAGCGGAGTCTCTTGCTCGGCGTCAATAGCATTAATGTTTGCTCCATGGGCCAGAAGAATCTCGACTGTGCTTGAGAAGCAGATGGCTGACTCTAGGTAGAAATGCAAAGGGCCTCTTCCAGCACCATTCAGTTGAATGGGAGGATTTGAGTCGTATCTTTTAAGATGGTTTATGAGAAATTCACCTAGCCAGGTATCATCAGAGTTCAGAGCTCACAAAAAAGGATCGAGTCCCTCTGTAAGGAATCACGTGTATGGGTGATTCGAATAAATCGTTCTGTGAATTGACATCGGCCATTGTGCGAGAAGGACATCCATAAGATCCATTCTGACTCTATTTATCAGTTGTCGTACCTCCGACGCATCATTTTCTTCGTCATAATCAACGAACTCCTAGAGAGCTTCAATCTTACATCTCAGGTCAGACCATGCGTCTTCAATTCTGGGGTTGAAATGGATGAGAATCCCAGAAAATCCATTGGTAGTTTTGCTTCGTGTTCTTTGAGATCCAGCACATTCGTTCGCAGATTGAGATGTAATGGAGTATCGCCATACTGGCAACGAGCTTCGGCGTTTGCTCCTTTCGAAATGAGAAACCTTACCATCTCAGGCTGGCCATGAGTCCTCTGTGGTTGAGCCCATGCTTTTCTTTCGATGCCATAGTTTATTATCTAATCCACTTTCAAGCAGTAGGCAGGCTGCTTCTTGATTCCATCTAAGGGAATATCGTCCGGTCAGGCGTCAAAATCAGTGTTCCAGAGGTCGACCCATTCCAAATGTGCCCAACTCCATTATACCGAGGCGATGTGTACTCAAAATGAAGTCCACCGGCCATAATATGCCCCACTTCGTTAAGAAACGACTGAACGTCGTCTCGTTGCCCCCATTCAGCGGCAGATATCTCGTCTCGTAAGTCAACGAATCCCCTCTCGGCCTTTACAGCGAGTGCATGTGCCCTGTCCACTGCACTCTGCAGCTGACTGAGATCCTTACCAGCCCATATTGCGATGATATTCATGATATCACCACTGTAGTATTCTTTGCGAAAGCTCAATATCTCATGATAGAAGATCATTTGCTCAATGGAAAGGTCGCGTACAGTTGTAAGGCTAGGGTGTGCCGCAAAAACTTCGCTAAGATCAATACCCAGACCATATTCAACGAATGTAATGCACTGTCGTAGACCAATTGTTTGGCGTCGAAGGCAAAGATATTCTTCGTCGTTCAAATCTCCGCGTGTTCGAAGCGAGACTTCCTTCTCAAAGCCAGCAAGCATATGCTCAACGTCATCCACGAACCGTGCTCTAACACCATCAGCCATCCCAGGAGCCATCTGGTCCCATAACTCGATAAATGGAAGGGCCAATGGCGGAATTTTCGTAGGGACTCGGTCGTGCAGCACCCCCCTTTAAGGTAAAAAAGACCTCTAAGGGGTAATTCGGCTGGGAAGATGAGTTTTCTGGATAAGAAATGAAATCATCCAGGGCGAACAAATATTGAGACAACTTGTGGTACACAAGCAATCGCTCTTGATTGGCTGACGGATAGGAGATCAAGATCCACTGCGATGCACGAGTCTTCAGGAAGGCGTTCAGCGCTTCGGTTGACATAAAAAGCGGAGGCAACGCTTCTCGGGCCCAGATATCAGAAAGTTCCGCAATTTCATTCGCGTTTGGATGTTCACGCCAGGATACAAGATTAACAGGAGGTGGTAACAAGAAGGATAGTTCGACTGGAGGCTGCATTGTGTTCTGCGATCGACAATAATGCTTTGCGCTGAGCTTCTACCCAGTGTTCAGAGATAGTATTGGGCGTCCGGGTAAAGCCTTCAAACGAAGTGAAGCTAGCTCTTATATGACTTTTTCCCTATGGGCTTTACGCTCAGTCTATGCGCCGGATAGGCAAAGCGAAATACATGGATTCGACTGACCGAGAATTCTCGTTGGGTCAGCACAGCATTTAGAACAAAGTCATGCGTCGTCATGCACCATGCATGGAAACCCGATAAAGCATGCGTGACACAGCACATAACCCCTCATATTGGCTGCCCAGACCTTTGATTCATTAAGTCATGGTACTGTACTGTAGCACTATATCTACTCAGTCATTGCTCATGAATTATCAGGACGTATAACCTCGTAGAGCTTGGGTAGCATTGCAGCGGAGATAATCGGGTTGGGCTCACCGCCACTTAGCCACGCTACTGGAGCAAGTGGTCTTCTTTCATCCCCTTTTGGTATCTTGTTTCAACACTTCCCATAAAATATACTATCAAACATATTTGGAGCCTTTGGACGTATATATGGATTAAGCTTTTTTGTGGTCCGTGTGTCCATGTGGACCATGAACCGGCACTTGGTCTTGGCGACCCTAAACTACGGACGAAACGACAACATCATCTTAAAAACACTAAAAGCGGTTGGCATTATTTGCATTCAAAAATTGATAAAATGGTGAGTGGTGTTCTGATCAGCAATAGGTCCCTCAATACCTAAATATTCCTTCCTAGGTTCTGTCTTACGAATGGTCCGCCCGGGTCTGTAATTGAGACTCAGACTTGGTGTAATAATAAATCGTGGCTTTTCCACCTTTCGTGGAAAATAAGACATCCGCTAGTATTGCTACTGAGTAGTTATCTTGATTGTACAATGATATCGAATTTGCGATGTTACAAGTCTTCACTGGCAGAGTTCCGAATATACTAGTAGTAGTCCTCCAGGGCTCCCGCTACCACAAGTCTCCTAGCATCCAAAATATACCTAGGTATAGTACCTTGAAACTCTGAGTCACCTGGGCGACCTTGGGAGTTCAAGTTCAAAGCTTCAACAGTTGAAACTCAGTTCCAACCGCGAGGATCTAGCACGATTGACTTGGTAGTATGTGATTCAGTTCGAAATCGACGATTTTCTGATATTCAGAGAGCCGTGTCAATACATTCCAAAAACCTTGGAAGCTTTTGTACGGTTCATGTCGATTTTTGCCGGCAGATCACGAGCACCCTGAACGGTAGGTACCACTCGAGTGGCTCGGACCCCAAGTCTTGCAGTGCTTGGCGGATTGCACCCTTGTCCATCTTTCGACTCTGAGCCTCAGCCGCAGCCGATGATTCGATCGTTTTCGAAAGATCATGCTATAGATGATGCCGCAAGCAAAACTCGACAAATTACGTCCAGCGAGACAGAGTATGGTGGTCGTCCGGCACAACAGCGGGAATCCTATATACCAGGGTGCGAGGACAAGGCTCCACCGCGAAGATTCCAAGATGCCAGTGGGTCTTTTCACATCTGGGTACCTCCAACAAAAGAATGATTGCTCATCAATTTCCTCAGTTGTTAAATATCTTCCCTCGAGGTACACGCACAAGGGGGCCTCTGCAGAGCTCACTCCCACCAAACGGGGGCAAAGTTCAGAGAGCCCATGAAACATGAGACGGGAGAATAAAGACGACAAAGAAATGCCGGGAAAAGAGACCAGGATACCAGCGCTGATGATGACGTACCGACATGACTGGCGTACTGATATGCTGTGCACTCCAGATAGTGTCCATGACCTTGCAAACCGGATCCGCTGTATTATGGAAATCGATACCCAGGGATGAGATAACGAGCGGGAAATGGGCCGGAACTAATGGACAGGATTCAGGCTCACAAAGGACAACAGATGGAAAGGGGTGCTGATCCCTGGCACATTGGGCCCGTAGAGGGACGGATTGAAGTATTTTGACCATCTTCCGGGACTCATTGAAGGTGATTAATTGCGGGCTCGCATTCCCTGTCACGTATACTATTGCCCAGCACTGCAGGCTATACTGCAGACAGACCATTTCAAGGGGGACATGCAACTATTTACGAAGCAACTTGCGGGAGAATGATGATCTATTCAGAAAACCCAGACTCTCTCCATGCCACGATGCCCGAAACGCAAATCCATGGTTATACATACGTTAAATTCCAAACAGCTGCCGAGTTTTGCAGCACAGTAGCACACGTGGTCTTCTTCGACAAAAATCCGAGCAAACTCCTTCACACTGGCATATAATCCACGCCATTCAACTTGAAGTTTCTTGGTGACCCACTGGAGGGATGGGTAATTGAATTTACAAAGGAAGTGGGAATTTCATTCGGAACATACTGGTAGCCCAAGGGCCAGAAACAAAAGGTTCTATGTCATTGAACTCTGTCAAGATACAAACGAGAAAATGCACCAGTTTTAGAGCAATTCGCAACAGCCATGCAAAACACAACAGATTGAAAGCCAGCCAAAGGCCGACTGCACGCCGCTCAATATCCGTTGAAAATATACCGCCCTTCTATCACAAGAAAATGTATGAAGAAAGAAATCCGGTCCATCGTTCTGTTGTTTGGTTTTTGTCCCATCGTGGAGCAATTCCGGACAACCGTCAACACAACTCGGCAAAAGGAAAAAAAAAGCCCATGGTTCTCTCAAGCCCTTGCATTGTCATACGGCGAGGTCATTTTTTTCTTCGTGCGTCACTCAGTATTCCAGAGTTTGCTTGATAGCGTCATAAATCCCTAGAGAAGTCACACCGATTAGCAAATATAGACAAGGTGGGAGGTAGGAAGTGAGGAACGTACTAGCAACGTCTGGCAGAATAAATTGTTCATATGAGAGTCCGGTATGGGTACTCCAGCCGGCGACCCGCTTGACTGGGGCTTCCAATCGAAGGAAAGCTCCGTCTTGAATAGTTGCAGCAACCTCAGCTCCGACACCATAGTTGATCATGCTCTCATGCACCACGACAGCTCTTCCAGTCTTGCGGACGCTGTCGAGAACAGTCTGTCGATCCCAGGGGTAGATTGTACGGAGGTCAATCAGCTCGATGTTCACGCCCTTCATCTTCTTCTCGATGGCGGAGATGGCTGCCGAGCATAGGTATAATGGTTGACCGTAGGAGATAATAGTAAGATCTGTACCAGGCTTGATCACTTCAGCCTGACTGAGAGGAATGGTGTAATATTCGTTCGGGACATGTTCGACCGCCGCGCGGTAGAGAATCTTTGGCTCCAAGAAGACAACGGGGTCATTATGCTCGAAGATAGAGGAGAGGAGGAGGCCTTTAGCTTGCGAAGGAGATCGTGGCATGACTACTCGAACACCCGGGATGTGTGAAAAGAGAGACTCGGGGGACTGGGAATGGTATCTGTTTGTACAGTGGGTTAGAAGGCTTTCGCATTTGCAAGGTGTAAAGAGCCATACAGTGCACCATGTCCAACTGCACCACATGGCATTCGGATAACGAGTCCTCCCACATTGATTCCCGTGCCACCTTCTCGATATCGAAATTTGGCTGCCTCGTTGACGATTTGGTCAAATGCGGGAAAGACGTAGTCGGCGAACTGGATTTCCGCGACGGGCTTCATGCCCTCAGCAGCCGCACCAATAGCGAATCCGGCAATGCCTTGCTCAGTCAATGGGGTGTTGAAGACTCGATCCGCCCCGAATTCTGTTTGTAAATCCATAGAGCACCGGAAGACACCGCCGAAGGCAACATCTTCACCAAAGAGCATAACCTTATCCGACGTTGATAATGCTGTTCGTAGAGCCGAGTTGATGGCTTGAAAGAAGTTCAACCGTTTTGTCGTTGCGGCAGCTGGAAAATCTGGGTTATTGGATAGTGAGGAGGGAGTGTGATGAAGGATGGGACTAGATTTGTAGTCGATTGGTAAATTGAGCTTTGCGGCGGGTGAGGGAGCTGCCGAGTAAGATCGGTGAGTAATTCGTGGCAGCAAGCCCCGCGATGCACGGGTTAACACCATATCTGCAGAGTCTCGAGTTGATGAAGTGGGAGTACAGTGATAGAGAAAGTCATGCCCCTGCGTTGATTTTCCTTATAAAGAGAAAGCTGGCGGCCCTTGGACCTTGGAGATTGCGGGGGAGGCCGCGAATAACCGATCTGGATGCAAACCAGCCAAACAGTTTTTGCGGAGGGCGATGACGGCACCGGCGGCCTTGGCAGCCGACCAGCTGGGGCGGATGATCCAGGCGTTGATGGATTCATATATTGCTATTTAGTAGTTGGTAGAGTTGCGATTGACCCGGGCACGGGAATCAATTGGTATTGAATAGAAATAAGAAAATTTGAATAGAATTCTACTCAACAGTTCCCCTGTATTTTTGCCAATGCTGGAGAGGCACTTCGTCTACGTTTACTCTCGCAATGAACCACCATAGTGGGGTCAAATCCAGGAGCCGCATAATGCAAGACATCCAGCTAGCTGTTCGGTTGGGAAATATTAATCTACATAGAAGACAAGAATGGCTCTTTTTGATTGCCAATGGAGACTCCCAAGGCACAGACTGTGGGACTCATGGCAGATCGACGTGTGTGATTATCAGGGCTTATCAGCCGGTGTCGGCGCCAAGACGCGCCCCCGGCCCGCACCAAAAAACCGTCATTTTTTCCGGGTGACTCAACACTCTCAACTCTCTTCTTCTTCAACTCATCCCCCACATATTTTTTTGCGCTTTACTATATCACAGCTTCAAATCATTCAAAATGAGCAAAGGAAAGGTACGTTACCTCAATTGCCCCCACCGCGGTTGCAATTCCATATTTCCATACTCAGACCGCCACTCCATCCCACTTTGTCCCTCCACCTTGCCCGCTTAGTTTCCCGACTCCGAATCTGAATACACTGACTCACTGCGCGAATAGGTTTGCCTCGCCTACTCTGGTGGTCTCGACACCAGCTGCATCCGTACGAATCTCTCAAAGCTCTATATCTTGCCCAATGGAAGATGCTGATACTTAATTCCAGTCAAGTACCTCATCGAGGAGGGCTATGAGGTTGTTTGCTTCAGTAAGTCACCTATCGCAGTCCAGGAGCCAATTCCAATTCCAAAATGCTAATTCGGATTTTACAGTGGCCGATGTTGGCCAAGAGGGTATGCCATCCTATCTCTACTCGACGACTCGCGATCCATAACTAAACAATTATCCCAGAGGATTTCGAGGCTGCCCGCACCAAGGCCCTGCAGTGCGGTGCTCTGAAGTGCGAGATTGTCGACATCCGCCGCGAGTTCATTGATGAGCTGTGCTTCCCTGCCATTGCTTGCAACGCCGTCTACGAGAACGTTTACCTGCTCGGTAGGCTACTGCCATGCCTCCCTCCCATTCGTTCGCAAAGGACCATCCACTCACAATGATTACAGGCACCTCGCTCGCTCGCCCCGTGATCGCCCGTGCCCAGATCGAAGTTGCCCAGGTAAGACAGGAACCGGTCATATTGGCAGCATATAGGACGATATCTAACTGGAGTTTCCCGAATAGCGCGAGGGCTGCTTCGCTGTTTCCCACGGCTGCACTGGTAAGGGTAACGACCAGGTTCGTTTCGAGCTTGCCTTCTACGCCCTGCAGCCCACCATCAAGGTTATCGCCCCGTGGCGCGACCCCGTCTTCTACGAGCGTTTCGCCGGCCGTAACGATCTCCTTGCCTATGCCGCTGAGAAGGGCATCCCCGTCACCTCTACCAAGTCCAAGCCCTGGAGTATGGATGAGAACCTGGCCCACTGCTCCTATGAGGCCGGTATCCTGGAGGACCCCGACACCACTCCCCCCACCGACATGTGGAAGCTGACCGCGGACCCCTTGACTGCCCCTGACCAGCCCGAGGACTTCACTGTCCACTTCGAGAAGGGTATCCCCGTCAAGCTTGAGTACACCGAGAAGGGCCAGAAGAAGGCCGTCACCGACTCCGTTGACGTCTTCCTGACTGCCAACGCTATCGCCCGCCGCAACGGTGTTGGCCGTATCGATATTGTCGAGAACCGTTTCATCGGTATCAAGTCTCGTGGCTGCTACGAGACCCCCGGTCTCACCTGCCTGCGCGCTGCTCACATGTGAGTTATCATGGCTAATCGACTGATTGATAAGTCCCGCATTAACTCATTGTAATAGCGATCTTGAGGGTCTTGTTATGGACCGTGAAGTCCGTGCCCTCCGTGACCAGTTCGTCACCTTCAACTACTCTAAGGTCAGTAACCCTTCCAGTTCTTCCAATGCGGCTTTGGCTCACTCTTTAACAGCTCCTGTACAACGGCATGTACTTCTCCCCTGAGCGTGAGTTCCTCGAGTCCTCTATTACCGCTTCCCAGAAGTGCGTCAACGGCCAGGTCCGCTGCCGTGCCTACAAGGGAACTGTCTCCGTCCTCGGCCGCTCTTCCGAGACCGAGAAGCTGTACGACATGACCGAGTCTAGCATGGACGAGATTGGTGACTTCTCCCCGCCGAGACCACTGGCTTCATCAACGTGTCTGCCATTCGCCTCAAGAAGTACGGCCAGATGAAGGCCGCTGCCGGTGAGAAGATGTAAATATCTTCCTAAAAATGATTGGATTGTCATATGTTGAGCGTCACTGGCTTTCTACAAGGGGACGTATTGGGTTATGTTTCATGTCTACCATACCCCGAGACGGATTAGAATGACCCCCATATCAGATGATTGTATAATGAAATCGAAAAAGTTTCTACACTTATGTATACCGACTGCAATGATCTCTGTTAATCATTGTCTAGATAACCTCCAATTCTTCGTATCCAACGTACATGATATGGGCCTTCGTCAGTTCGATGTTTTCGCTTCTGCTTGGCTTTTTATCTCTTCCCGGGCCCTTCGAAGCTGCTTAGTTGTTTACACCCGTGGATGTAGTTCCTGGGAAGGAGCCCTCGCACGTTGCCGCCTTCCTACCCACACTTTGGTACTTTGCTCACTTCTCTCACTTCCTTCAACCACCACAAAACTTGCCGCCACCAACACTTCGCCTTTCATCCCAAAAACATCTTGTCTTCTGCCATCTAATCTCGGCCATCAACACAGCTAACACTGCTCCCACCGTCGCCAATTGTTACCATGGCCACTATGCATCGCATTGGCCTTGGCGTAGAGGACCAACCCCCTCCGCTAATGAGATTTGCTCCCAGGCTCAAAGGCGCTGAGAACTGGTCCCATTGGAACGAGTGCCTCAGCGTTGTACTCGAGTCTGTCGATCCGAAGCTATTGCAGCTTCTCACCGGCGAATACGAAAAACCAGTCCCTACTATCACTACTCCTGCCACTGCTACTACGCCCGCGGTTCTGGCTCAGCCTGGCCCTGCCGACGTAAATGCGTGGCACGATTACTCACGGAAATTGATTCCCTACCTCTATGCTACCACTGTGGCAAAACATCACGAGGGCCACATTCACGCTGCTGCTGACGCTTTCAGCGCGTACCAAAGCCTCAAAAATAAAATTGGCTCTTCCAAGTCTCAGGCTTCTTTTACCACAAAGTCTTAAGGGATTCGATCCCTTTGACTACTTCATGCTCCTTCATTACTATGGAAACGACCCTCAAGACTTGGTTGCTGCCAATTTGGTCCGCTCAGGGCCACTAACCTTAGAACCAAAAAGACTTCTCGGCATGGCCGCATCGATCTCCCTTTCCATGTAATACCCATGCAACAAAGGTATGGTAGGATCGTCGGTTCATGTTAGTGCTAGGTAGCCTCCTATCCTCGTATTCCAGGTAACCTCAATATGAATTTGTTCTATATATTTTGAAACTGTTTACATGCTTCCCTTCTATTTTGGACGCAACTGCATGTGCTGTTTTGAAAGTCATTTTTTATTTTCTCTGTAGCACTTTTTATGTCCTTGGCCCCATTGTTACTGTCCTCAACGCCGTTCTCAAAATCATTGTTGATGTTCTCGGTCCCATTTCAAGCTTGTTTCTGCTTACAACCCATTTGTTTATTTTCTCGGAGGGATGGCACACAAGCACGTCCCCTCAAAGGCGGATTCCAACCCCGTTAATGTGGGTAAACAAATCACGGCCATTTTCACTGCCACTGCTGGTATTCTAACCAGTCAAACACATCTCTTAGCCAATCCGATCTCGAGGCATTTGTGATGGTGGCCTTTACTTTTGCATGTAAACAACACGCATCTCTTGACGGTGACAACGATAACGACTACAAAAAAAGCTTCTCAAACTGGCCAGGTCGGCCCCTTGTTCTGTGGAATAGCACTGCAACAGTGGGATGGTGGCATCATCCGTCCAGAGGGTGTTCGACATGGGCTAGATAGACTCTCTTCACAAATATCGCACGTGTTATTCTCCATGCATCATATCGCTGTATACGTAAACTATCGCCACAAACTCTGAGTCCTCTACCGCGAAAATGTGGCGCAGAGGCAAGTAAATATGGATAATATTACATTAAAGTCCGATTTCCTGTAACCATGACGGAAACCAAGACTTGGCAGAGAATGATATGATGAATATTTCAGATTTATAAGATTATATACACTTCTAATGGCTATTTACCCGCGGCCAAATGGCACTTCTAAACGGGCTATAATGCAATGGCGCTCTATGTTGAATATGGTCGTATGCCGTTCGTTCATCTTTTACAAGCTGGCGTTCATCCTTTCACCCTTTACCAACTCTGTCGGATAGAAATTAGCATTTCGTGAGCAACACAAGAGTCGGAATTGCGTACCGTTCCAGACATCCAATGCCACCTTTTCGGCATCCCATCCCCAGAGAAAGTTCTGCGTCTCGCGATCATTCCATTTGTCCGGGTTGGATCCGTTTGCGGATGCCAGAAACTGTTCGTCACGGGCGAGCTGCGCAGGTCCATCGTCCAGATGCAATGCGACTCGGTTCTCAGTGCCGGACTGCTGCACAGTCTCTGCGCGTTGTTTTCTGGTTTTTTCGTACACCTGCAAGGCGCTCGGAATCTCATGTCGTGACGTGATATTGGACAATAGGACTCCCAGCGCAGCTGCATCTTCGACGGCTTGGGCCGCCCCCTTGTGCGACATAGGGCCTGGGATAGTTAGCTTCGCTCAATTAGGTTGAGTGGCAGCATGCGATCAACGTACAGCATCGGATGACACGCGTCGCCAATCAGCGCGACTGAACCCCGGATCCAAGTTCGTAGTGGTCGATGGAGACACAGCTTCCATTCGAGAACCTCGTCTTCCACAACTAGGTCGATAAGCTTTCGGACAATAGGATCCCACCCTGTGTAGTGATCGACCATTGCTTGCTTTGAGCCCTTTGTGGTCCACGACTCCTCAACCTCTTGCCGGTCTGGGTGAAGCAAAACGACGTTGTACAACTCATGGCTGCGTACCGGGTAAGCGATTATGTGGCGCGCAGGGCCAAGCCAACGAGTCGCTTGGGGCTCGTCGATAAGCTTCTTCAGCTCTGGATCCTTCTCCATGGTGCTGCGGGGTAGCATGATCCGGTATGCCGCATCTCCAGTGGCAATGGCATCGATATTTGGATCTTCCAAAAGGTGGCCACGTATGGTTGACTTGATGCCGTCAGCGCCGATGACAATATCCCCGCGGACGACGGTACCGTCAGCAAGTGTGACGGAAGCAGGGCTAAATTCGACGCTTGACACAAAGCAATTCTCCCGCAGTTTAACATTATCGAGGGCCAATGCTTTTTCAATAAGGGCATTATGCAAGTCGGCACGGTGAATAACTACCTGTTGGCCAAAGGTCTTGTTCACAGGCATGGTACCGAGAAGTTTTCCATCCTGCCACCGTCGTACATGGATATGTTCTAAAGCCACATCTTGAGCGTGGATCAAGTCTGAGACACCCCAACCTGAAGGACTGTTAGTTGTCATAGAATATTAGGAGCAAATGATGGTTCACTAACGGTCAAAAAGACGCAACATGTTTGGAGAGACTTGGATACCAGCTCCAACCTCCATGAGCTTCATCTTGTCAGCGACTGTCTTCAGAGGTGGCAATTTGAAAGGCATACCTTCGGCGCGGCTTCGAGCACTGTGACTCGATGTCCACGCAAGCCTAGCGTCAGGGCTGCGGCCATGCCGCCAATGCCTATAAAAGAATGTCAATTGACTCCTCTGAATAGCCCGTCTGCATATTCATGCAATATCGGAAAACATACCCGCTCTGTTGATGATTAGCTCTTGGTCATAAATTCCAGAAGAAAAAAGCAGGGGGCTTCTTACCCGACAACGATCACATCCAGAGGCACATTTGCCTTTGGGACAGCCATGATGAAGCAATGGCCTGTAGAATGTACAGAAACAGACCCTTGATCTCCAATATGTGATAAAGAGAGAAAGTTCCCGGGGGATGGTAGAATTAAACCCGCGTGGTGGATCTGAACAACGAACCAAGCCTTGAGGTGGCTATTTCTGAAAATTATTCCCGGGATTAGTAGTCCGAAGGTTTGCCGTCCCACCCGTGCCACAGGTACACTACAATTCTCGGGGTAGAGCAGAGGTCTATCTTTATTTAATACTCTACCACCGGCAATCCTAACCCTTGAGGGTATAGGGGCTTCCCGATGGGTCAATGGAACGCGACCCTCTTTTTTTTCCCCCGCAGATCAAGCACGAATACACAAAATGAGATAAACTGGGCTCATTTTCCTTCCCAGGCGTGTCTGCCATGTTCGGTCTAGGTCCGGAGCGTTTGAAGACGGTAGTTGGCGGCTCTTGCGGGTCTAACGGGTAAATTTGGGTCAAGGCAAGCCGAGCGATCATACTATCAAGGTCTTATAATTGGCTGCAATAAACCAACTTGAATGAATAATTCTAACTAAATACAAATCTCGCGCAAGGAGCGAAACGTTCACCGGATTTCTTTTCTCTTGAATTTGTGGGTTGCACTCGGAAATCCGAGACGACGCGGCACTCGCCAGCAAGGGCGATCCGAGTGGATCCTCCGCACTCATTGGCCCACAAGTCTTTTATTCTGGGGGCTAACTCAGCTAATCCGGCTGTTTCACTCTGGCACATCTGCCGAACAGCCGCTTGATTTAGTACATACTCGTAGTCAATCCGGACTTTCTAGCGGCGCACTGTCCCTATCTCGCCAGTACAGGAATATACTGCAGACCCACGTCTGGTCCTCCTCTTCCCCGACATTACTGATCTTGTGATACTCGTACACGCCTAGTGCTTCCTTTTCTTGTAATCACGGCATATACTGCAGGATTACATTGCCGACCTATGTAGTGATCCTGCAAAAGCCCGGATGCTCATGCCAATTATGTGCTGTTCTGGCGAGATAGCCGATGTGAATGAACCAATTGCACATGAATTCATAGACTGCACTTCAAGGTGAGTGAACAAAGATCAATGAGGTCACCTTTCCCGAATACCGTAGCTCAATCATAATAAAATGCAAGTTATCCACCCTTTCCTCGTTCTTAACACGTCCGATCTATAAACACGATCTCTCTGCGTAGCCAAGACAATTAAGCCCAACCCCATCAAAAAAGACGGTATGAAAATTGACAATATCATGTTAGAATCTCATCTTCATTGACGCTGCGACACCGTCTTCTATTGCGCCGTCTCCACACAAGGTCTGTCTCCACAAGCAGGAGAGGGGAACCCTCCCGAGGACGCCGAGCTCGGCTTGTCTCACTCTGTCTCCGCCAGAAGATGATATGGCGGTCCTCCAAATATGCAGTGATCCAGTTCAGAAAGAAACCCCCCTTGGGCCGTTAAGATGCAATCTCGAAATCGTTTTCACAGATTCTCCTTGGCATAAAATGTGCTCATGCGGTACTGAGACTCGCCGTCGTATTGAGAAAGATCTTGCAACGCCTGTTGGCCCTCCCTCTCAATCGCTGCACGGATTTCCGGACTCCGAGGAGTGATTCGACATTCGAAAGGGTTAGGGCGCATGTTGAGGCCATTTCTGTACCAACACGAGACAAAGGATCAGTTCACCGAAGGATCAGATGAAAAGATGAAACATGCACAAAACAAAACAACTCACGTGTAATCAAATATGTCCACTGGAATTTCATTACCCTCTCCATCCAACGCCTTCTCGATCCTAAACCCCCAAAGCAGTCTCGCAATCGTAATAAACGTCCCTTGCTCCGCCAGCCCCTGTCCGCTGCAGACCCGTCTGCCCCATCCGAAGGTCATATAACCCTTCTCGCCAGGGAATGGACGAGACTCGGGACTATTCTTGATATACCGATCCGGATTGAAGCGATCTGGATCCGGGAATTCTCGCTCATGGTGGTGAATAGCCCAGACGTTTCCTTGGACCCATGTATTCCGCGGGATCAACCAACCCTAGATTTATCCATCTTATCAGCAACCAATCACTTAATCAAGCAGCGAGCCGCCAGGCTAAGGTAAATAGTGGAGGATATAGCCCGCTTGGAGCGGCAGGGACGGATGCTTGGCCATTTACCTTATAATGATCGTCCTTGATCGGCGCGTGCGGCTGACCACCTATAATCGCGACCGATCGCCACCGCAGTACTTCTTTGACAAAAGCCTTGATGTACGGAAGGTCTGATTCATCCTGGAATGTCGGGCTCCGGTGTGGTCCCACCACCCTGTCAAGTTCTTCCCATGCCTTGGCTAGCGTTTCAGGGAAAGCACAACATGCCAGGACGAATGTCACTAGCGTGGAGCTCGACGTGTCACTTCCGGCTCCGAATAAATTCCCCGAAAGCGAGGATATCTCCATCCGGGTTAGGTTGTGCTTGGGTGCTTCGTCGAAGATCTTTTTCGCGTAGCTCTGTGCTGCGTTTGGGTTTGTTGCGGCTTCTTCGGCCAGTGCGTAGAAAAATGGTCGGCCTCTTCCTTGTCCTTTTCCTAGTCCTTGCTTCCAGGGTGCCATCCAGTTTGGAAACCTTGCTAGGACTGGAAAAATATTAGGCATATAGACTTTTAGAGGGTATTGTCTAAATGGACATGGTGGACTCAGACTCACATGGAAATGACTCCATTAACATCGGAAATGTCTTCCCAGGAACATTAAGTTCAGCAGCCCGCTGCATAACAGCAATGACCTCCGTGATAATCGGATCGGTGAAGGTAGCAACGCGCCTACCAAACCCAATAATCGAGACAACACTCGTCGCATACCGTTCAAAGTGCTTCACGTATTGCATCGGTTCTTGCAGTAGATCAAAAGCAACAACTTTGCTCTCGTCATTTTGGAAGCCACGATAGTTCCTGACCTGTTGAAGGCCAACTCCCATGTGTGTCAGTTTTCGATGTAATCTCCACCTGTCGCCGTAGTACATGTTGACGAGATTGGACTGTCCTGCACCCAGCTCACTGAAGACCACCATACGTGGTCGAGAAGCATATATCGCGGCGCGTTTATCGAGAAGTTCACTTGCTGCCCATGCATCGCAGATCCAGATTGTTGGTCTTCGTCCCGTCCAAAATGTTATCATGGGTGTGTTGTATTGCTTTGCTAGTTTCTCGAAGTAGATCCATGGTTTTTCGTCAGGTAGTAAGTGTGTATTTCCGATCAGGGGCAGTGGAAATGGGCCTGGCGGCTGTTGAGCAGTTAGGAAATTTTTCGACAAAGGCATGGGTCTTTAGGTCTAGGGTGTTCAAATAGGAGCGTACCATATTGAAGTGCAAATAGAGCATACGTCCATAATCGACCAATAGAAGCAATATCAAGCCCGTCAGTAGTGGCGGGATGATTGTGAGAAAGTTTGCCTTATTCCATAATGATCCAGAGAGAAGTAGCTGGGCCTGAACCAGAGAGAGAAGCTCCCCAGTCTTTTCCACGATCATATTGACCTGGTCACTGTCACGGTAGTAGCGAGCAGGCTTGGGGCAAAGGACATAAGTAGAAATTCAGTTTCCAAAAGTGCAGAGACAGTGTACTAGTATTAGTACCAGATATGTTTGCGGGCGCCAATGGAAAGAACTGTGTTCAAGATTATCCCCAGGCTCAATGGGACTAGCGACTGACGCAAACCCCACCTCCAGATATTAAAACCGGAGAACAATAAGGTGCCGCACCGGGGAGAACATGGCCCAGGTGCATAAATGCGCCTTGTATTCATCCATAGCCCCACATCTTGGAGCTCAAGAGAGCATCGCCAAACAGTGGCCTTTTGGCCGTGTCTCAAATGGTTGTTTACGCGAAGAGCGAATGTTGAGATCGGCGGTAGAGCTTCGACTTTTGACACATCATGCTTTTACACCTTTCCATGTAGTAGCATTCTCCTTGCTAGCACCAGGAGAGAATGCATATCGACTCCCCTCGAATTTAGGTCTTAAGCATGTCTCAATACCCCAGGTTGGGTGGGGCCGCCAGCCCCAGATTTCCCAGGCCATTGAACTGATTTGCGGGGGTGTGGGGGCAGTCAATCGGCTTGTTTTGTATTAGACCGCAGGAAGAAGCAGATCGATTCCTAAACCTAGGGAAATCTCACTGATTTCAGCGTATTAGAAATGAAGACCATTAGAATGTGGCTTAACCCCTCCTGCGATCCTCGGCAGTGGTAAGAATTCTTTCAACCGAACGATGAACAATTTCGTTTGTTATATGCCCAGTTGTGAGTTGTATTTTCTTCCTCGATTCACCCATCCTGCACTTCACTTCCGGCATTGAAGACCGGGCTTCAAATTGCGATATCTTCGCCATGGATAAAACATTGTCCTCGACTACGCTATGGCAGAATCGAAAATGTCTCCTTCTCTGCTGTCTTGTTTCCATGGCGAATATGCAATATGGATTTGACCTTGCCGCGGTGGGATCGTTGCAAGCGATGCCTGGGTTTCTCAAGGTGTTCGGATACCCATCGCCAGATAGTAACACCGGATACGCGATTGATGTGAGTAAATAAACAATTCCAATCTCGCAACTCTTAGAACTGGTCTAAGCTAAAGCGCACTCTAGAGTACAGTGCAGCAGCTGATCACATCCCTCCTTACATTGGGATCCTTCGTTTCATCACTTGTTGCGGGGTTCTTCTCCTCATATCTAGGCCGTCGCCAGGCCCTCTGGCTTGCTTGCGTCGTCAATGCCGTAGCGTGCGGTATCCAAATCGGAACTTCTTCCCGGGGGGGTTTTATATCTAGGTCGCCTACTGCTGGGCTTCGCCAATGGCTTTCTTGTGACTTTCTCTAATATTTACACTGCAGAGGCAGCACCAGCGCACATGCGCGGAGTGATGGTCGCGTTGTTCGCTTATTGGGTGAATATCGGGAGTATCATGGGTTCTGTCGTGGATAATAAGACCAAAGAACGGATGGATCCGTTATCATACAGAATCCCTTTGGCTTGTCTTTATGTTGTTCCGGCACTTCTCTTCGTGGCTCTATTTTTTGTTCCGGAAAGTCCGCGCTGGCTACTTCATCGGGGCAAAGAGGAAGCTGCGAGAAAGGCGTTGGAGCAGCTTCGAGGATCGAGCTATGCGAAGCTCCTTGCCACAGCCGGAGGAGATGACATTGGGGATGAGAATGGGAGTGTTGGAAGCACGACTGTTATTCCGTCTTTACTGGAGGTTGAGTGGGCGGAAATGGTCAAGGGTGTTGAAGAGGAGAAGCGCACGCAAGGAGATGTCGCTGCGCTGGATATGTTCCGAGGTGAGTATTTTTTTTCGAAACAATAATGATTTAGGTCAATACTAAATTGAATAAATCTTTAGGTGTCGAACTTCGCCGTACAATCCTCTGCTACTGCATGATCGGCTGTCAGACAGCCTCGGGCGTCTGGTTTCTCATCGGCTACCAAACATACTTTTTCACCGTATGCGGTATTGCAAAAGCATTTGAGTTCTCCATCATGAATACCTGCTTCGGCTTTTTGGGCGTTAATATCGGAATGTACGCCATCCGGGAATGGCTCGGGCGTCGCTCAATACTCATGCTTGGCGCCATCGCCTGCGGACTTTGCCAACTAGCCAGTGCGATCGCGGCGTCCGTGAGTCCCAACTCCTTGCAGACAGGCCAGACGCTTGTGGCGTTCACAGCATTGTTCATGTTCTTCTATAACGGTTGTGTTGGGGCAGCGAGCTACCCCGTTGCGACGGAATTGGTGAGTTCGAGGTTGCGAGCTTGGACGGTTGGCACTGCTACCTCGCTGGGGTATTTACTCGCCTGGCTGGTGAATTTCTGTACGCCTTATTTTATTAATCCGGAGCATCTGAATTGGGTGAGTGGTCATGATGTAACAGACTCTATTTCTCGGTGGATCTGGCACTAACAGGAATATGCAGGGGGCCCGATATGGATACATCTGGACAGCGTCCAACTTCCTTTGCGTGGTGTTTTTCTATTTCTTCATGCCGGAGATGAAAGGCCGGTCTTTAGAGGAGCTGGATGAGATTTTTGCGGCTCGAGTTCCGGCTCGCAAGTTTGAGTCATATCAGTGTTTGATTCGGGAGGCGGCTCACTTAGATGCAGTAAACGCGAAGACTGGAAAGAAGGACCAACACTAGGAAACGCATACCGTTGGAGGTCTAGTAAGATTCAAATAATTTCAAAATATCATTTGCTTTCCCGACAATGTTCTTTGAAATCGCTTGTTTGTATTTTTATTTCATCTCAAGGAGTTTGTTTTGATCCAACTGTCTCCGATACTAGCAAGAAATGAAATTAAATGATATTCCACAACGCCAAAATATGCTTTCCAAAAAGTCCAAAATAATTTGTTCACATCAGAATTTTCATTCAGAATAGGAATCAGCTAGCCGCGAAGTTGAGGATCTCAAAAAGAAGAAGAAGAAGAAAAAGAAGAGAAAAAAAAGAAGAAGAAAATAGAAAAGAAAAACGACAAGGGTAATCGACATAAGACGTGAGGTGATGTTTTGGTCGTTATCATGAATGCTGGGGAGTTGGGAGTATATATGATGCGAACTGTCGTGTGCTGAAAATGTACAATATAAAAGTCCCTTAAAAAGCCTCGCGGCTCTGAACGTCTGCGGGGCAGGGGGGATTTAAGCGGTAAACATGAGACGCAAGCGACTCGGGCCCTTCTTCTTCTTGGCATCCTTCGGTGGTTTTTCTTTCTCTGACACATATGTAGAGGCTTTGGAGGGGGCTTTTGAGGGGGCCCGACTGGGTGCTCGGCTGGGTGCCCTGCTAGAAGGCTTTGGGGCGGCCTTTGTAGATTTGGAGAAGAAAGAGGTGGGTGGTTTAGAGGTAGTATCAGGTTCCCTCTTTGAGCGACTGCTGGGCGCTGCGGATTGCGCCCGCGAAGTTCGGGAGCGATGTGAACGGTGGGAACGATGAGATCGACGCGATGATGCGACGGAACCGTCTTCATCGAATTTGAATCGAGGATCTCGCTCCGCGCGGGCGGTTGTGACATCGATTCCAGACATGGCGGCTGCCGTGGGGGTGATGAACTCGCCGTCCACCGATGTGCCTAAACTGACGGCTTCCATATCGGCGACACCTCTGCGCCACATTTCGACGCCGCTGAGGTGTTCGACGTCAAATTCCATCATCTCATCCATTCCAGTAGATTGTTGTTTCTCGGTCGTAGTAGTTGGTGTTGTGGCGCCGGCCTTGATTTGCTTGATAATCTTGTATCCACCGAACATGACAACGGTGACACCGAGACCGACACCGGCGGCGATGAGGAATTGGGGGCTGGCAAGCAATGCAAAAACGGACGGTGCACCGGCTTTGAAAGCAGAGAGTGCAGCCGGGCCCATTTTGCTAGCTAGGTTGCTAATCTCGGCAAGAGTGAGGGCGACCGCGGCCATGGCATCAGGGTTCTTTTGAAGGTGGGAGATGGTTGCGGTAGCGCTATGTTGGACACAGTGTGCTTCTTCTAGAAGCCACTGGGCCCGATCGACCAGTCCATTCAGTTGCTGCTTCTCATCCCCAGCAGGCACCGGATCATATTTTGAGAGGGCCTCTGGGTGGGCCTCTCCATATGCAAGATCCATATCTATATTGGCGTCGGACTTGGACCGAGCAGTCTCCGGGCGAGAGGGTTCCCGGGTCGTGACATCGTGGTGGGTATGCCGGCGGGCGATAGCCTGCGAGGGAGCATATCGAGACCCCGCTCGGCTGGGCGCTACAGAGTGTAAGTCCTGCTCATAGTGCGAAGGAGCCCGAGGGCGATGCCGCGTTGAATGATGGCGAGACTTTGTTCCGCGACTGCGTCCTGATCGTTCTGAAGGTGCATCATCGATCTGGTAGTTGGCGAGGCCTTGGAGAGCCTGCTGCTCTGCGATCTTGGCACTGCGCTCCGAATCAAAGTGGGACTTTCGCTCGCGATAAGCTTGTTTAGCTTGGCTGAAGACACCAAAAAGCTGCTTGCTCTAGAGGGAGATAATCAGAATTAGACTGGCAGGTCCCACTATATAGAGAGAGGGAAGGGAAGAGAGGGCCTTGCATGATACTTACAGTGCTGACGACTTTGCCGGATTTATCAATCACGGCGATCGTTTGGCCTAACGGCGCCATCGCAGAGAATAGTCTTTGATGACTGCCGGGCAAGGAAGATCACTCATCAGATGGGTGAGATCGACAGGTTGAAAGACCGGATTTCCCAGGGTGGTGGAAGGTAGCGGTGTGAAGAGTGTCCAGGGGTGCTGGGCCAGATATAAATGGCGGAGGTACGGAGTACTTTGGGTACTTTGGTACAGCTTCAGGGGAGTACCGAAAGAAAACTGGTTTGCGCGGCAGCCTCGTATAAAAAAAGACAAATCGAAAGTGACAGGAAAATTAAAATCGGGAAATCGGCAGCAATGCCCAAGAGGATTGCATCGAGGCAGAAAAAGGGACGAAAAGGGACAAAAAGGAGAAAAAGATCAGCGGCGAAATCCGATCGGAAAAAGTGAAAGGTACTGAGCAGTTCCTCTTAAAGCTGGGGAAAAAAAAGTGATGCGAGCGTGGTGGCTGGGGGCGATGGCATCAGCGTGCAGGGCGGGTTACAGCAGTTGGGCAGAGCAGCGAACAGCGAACAGCGGAGCGGATTCCGATGGTTCGTAGGGCAGAGTCGGGTTGCCAGTGATGCGAAGGCAGAAGCGAATCAAAGGCTGGGCACAGCTGAGCGAAATGGGCAGCAGAGCGCGCAGACCGCGTAGTGGGGAGACTCGGGATTGTTGGCGGGGTGTGATTTGCGCAAATCTTGTATTGGCGCTGATGTTCTGTGTGAGCACTGAGGAGGAGATTATCACACTGTACTACCCTAGGGTCACTACTTATTGGTGGTTACTGGTACTTATACTAGGAGAATTACTATGGACGGCAGAGCTGACCGATGGTTCCTGAAAAGTCTGCGTGGATATATTAATTAAAGAGCGGAGCTTGCACCATCTCCAGAGATAGATATAGTTAGCTACTGGGTCTACTGGGTACTTAGAACAAAGTACCAACCATAGTTAATGTACATACTCCATCGTACATCAACTACTTGTATGGCTGGTTTCTTCTGCGGAGTACAAACAGCGGTGACCCCCGCACGCTGATTGGCCCGTGCAGTGACCGCCACTGTGGCTGGTACTAGTCAATAAGCCGGTGACCAAGTACCAGCCACAGTGGCGGTGCTGAACTGCACCGTAGAGAGTGATTACTCTATAGCTGGATAGGGTAACTACTGCCTGTTACTAGTACTAACCGTAGTTAAGTAGTCCATCCTCTAATACTCTCATCATGAATAGAGTCTAGACTGAGACTACGCCGATTGCAATTCTGGCGATGGCGACAAATGGAGCCATCCCTGTGCAACTGATGGCTTCGTCACGACGGAGTCATGGATTCCCCCTATAGACTGTCCCTACCACGTGTGTACCAATGGACAACAGAAACAAACAGACAATGAAACACCTCAGGGGGAGGTCATCTGGCTTATCTCCCGGTCGATCACCGTCGGTGTAGTTGCTTCTGTCATGCCTAGACTTGACTTCCATTTCTATTTCCGTTCCATTTCACTTCATTTCCATTTCCATATTCCATCTGGAAGTTGACAAGATCCATGAACTATACGATAGGTCATGTTCACATTCAGATCTATCACTTCCACCGTCGTTGTCGCCCTCACTTTACCTGCCACAGCCATCCTCCTAAAACGTGATCTCCAATAATGGCCGTGCTCAGCAGTCCCCAACAATCTCCTCAATCTCCCATAGCACGTCTTCTATGGGAGCCTCGGTGAGTCCACCTTTGTCGTTAATAATAAAAAAACGCTCCTATCCCCAGCCCAGCCCAGCTCCGATCGGAGCTATGCGACCGCAGCGGTCACGACTCAAGGCAGATCATATCCGACCTGGGCGAATCCAACACTCGCTGACCAAGAGCCTCTCCTTTTTTTTAGACCCGCCTGTTGCTGGAATCACAAGCGATACGGATATGCTAGGGGTGGTGAGTCGAATACTTTGGCGATGGTGCAATGCAATGTTTGTAGGGGGGGATGCGATTTTGTTGTTCCCGCACCGCCACCGCCGATGATTCATTTCCATTTTGCAATTGCCCACACCTTCTTCTCCCCAGATTTCCCTCCCCGGAATGGCCAATTGATCAACAATTGTCTTGGTTGAATTGCTCTTGATTGCATCCCTTTGATATATTCCTGGTCTTGTGGTTTATATTTTTCTTTGCTTTTGGTCCCGGCTGACTGGCGATGGATCCAGCGGATTCAGGAAGCACCTCGGAATTGGAGGACCACTCCAAGTCCTGGGGATCGGACGCGCGATCACCAACCCCATCTGCCGATGATGCCGGTAGTGCGTTGTACCCTCAGAGTGATTGCGGAATAGGTCACCGTGTCCTGGCCAGTCGCTCGGTTCTTGCCTTGGTCATTGACGAGGAGTGCGTCTTTGCCGGTTTGCAAGGTGGTGACATTGTGGTAAGTCGCCTACAATTGCTTCTTTCTCGGGGCTTTTCCAACCTTATTCCTTCGTGGAGCTACTGCCTCGAAGTTTCAAAGAAATTATGCATATTCTGACTTTTTCCAGGTGTGGTCGCTCGAGACATATGATCTAGTCTATTCTGTCCATGCACACAAAGAGAGTGTGCTGGGCCTATATCTGTCTGAGGATGGCAATCTGTTGTTTTCCAGTGGCGGTGACTCTGTGATCAATGTTAGTTTTGTTTCCTCCACCGCAAGAAGTGTAAACATTCCAGACTCATACCAAAGTAGGTCTGGTCAACGAGGACTTTCGAGCGACTCTATTCCATCTACTCTCACCATGATGTGGGTGATATCTTCACTGTTGTCTATTCGGCCAACAATCAGACATTATACTGTGGTGCTCAAAATACTAGCATTCAAGTAAGCATACCCCCCATGTCGATCTATATGAGCACGTCACTGACTCCACCAGTGGTGTGATTTGTCTGAAGAAGGTTCGACTCTCAACCAGAAGGCCTCAGCGGCGCATCCATCCAAACGGGCTCATCGTTTCTTTGATTCGAAAGGTCCGGATGGGACCCGGGCTCCTCGGCCATCAGATGGTGCCCAGTCTGTATCTGAAGGAGGACGGGTTCTAACTTTCAAACGAGACCATCACAAAATATTTGCCCATCATGGATATGTTTACTCCATGTTGCTAGTGAAGGGCCTGATTGAATCAGCACCATCCGAGGAGGCGCTGTTGACGGGCTCAGGGGATGGTGTAGTGAAGCTTTGGCGTCTTGGTCAAACCCCCGGTGCTGCCCCGACGCAGATCGCGAAGCTCCAGAATGGAGACCCTGTTCTCTCCATTGCGGTCGAAGGCTCATTGCTATACTGTGGTCTTGCAGGCGGCGCTTTGAACATTTGGAATCTTGATTCACAGCAGCTTGTTAAACGGATATCTCGTCATACCGGCGATCTATGGGCAGTCCATGTTATCCAAGGCGTTGCAATCTGCGGTGATGCAACTGGAGTTGTCAAGGTATGCATATCGACTTCTCTCCACCATTCCTCACCGAAGTCAATTGGAACTAACTGGTATAGAAATTCAATTCTCGTTTTGAAGAGGTCGGTAGCTGGGTTGCTCACGAAGGTACTATGCTGGCATCCGCGGCTGGCCGGTTCAAGGACCGTCATATCTATGCCACTGGAGGCAATGACAACACGGTGGGAATATGGGATCTCACAGAATTTTTCCTGACTCAAGAAGAACTCCCACCTATCAGTAACGATGAAATGGTTAATAGCCTAGCAAAGTTCGTGTCATTCAAAACTGTGTCAGCAAGCCCGAAATTCGCCGGCGAGTGCAATCAAGGTGCTGCATTCCTTCGTCGACACTGCAACTACCTTGGTGCGAAGACAAAGCTCCTCACCACTGGACAAGATACCAATCCTATTGTCTATGCTCGATTTAACGCGACATCCCCCGAAAAGGTTGAGAAAACTGTTCTCTTCTATGGCCACTACGACGTTGTCGGTGCGGATGCAAACAGATTCAAGTGGAAATCGGACCCCTATCAACTCACGTCGATCAACGGTTTCCTCTACGGCCGTGGTGTGTCGGATAATAAGGGTCCCATCCTAGCATCTCTCTATGCCGCGGCTGATTTGGCCCGCACAAAGTCTCTTCGCTGCAATGTGGTGTTCCTTGTTGAGGGCGAGGAAGAGTCGGGATCTCAGGGGTTCCACCAAACAGTGCGAGAACATAAAGAGGAGATTGGGCCCGTCGATTGGATTCTACTCGCCAACAGCTACTGGTTGGACGACTATAACCCTTGCTTGACATACGGGCTCCGAGGTGTTGTGCATGCCAATTTGGTGGTGACAAGTGATCACCCAGATCTGCACAGTGGTATTGATGGCAGTGCCCTTTTGGACGAGCCTGTGAAGGATTTGTCGATCCTAGTCTCGACTTTGGTCGGGCGGAAGGGCAAGATCAATCTTCCTGGTTTCCATGACAATGTCAAGCCACCCACAGAGGCCGAGGAGAAGCGATTCCAGGCTATCGCTGACGTCTTGTTGCCTCACCACCCCGAGATCCCGAGTAGCCAAGCCTTGATCAAGTCGCTCACATATCGTTGGCGCGAACCCTCCTTGACTATCCACTCGATGGAGGTACCGGGAAGCAAGAGTGGAACAACTACGATCGCACGACGAGCCAAGGCGAGCCTCTCCATCCGTATCGTCCCCGACCAACAGGCCGATGACGTTGCAGCAAATTTGACTGCCTTCGCCCAAGAACAGTTCGACTTGCTCGAATCGCAGAATGACCTTACGGTAGAGATCACTGGCAAATCAGACGCATGGCTCGGCGACCCAGACAACCAGATCTTCGCAACACTCTCCGACGCAATCACCGCAGCATGGACACCAAACGAGCAAACATCGAAGCATCAATATCCAGCCGTCCCCCAACTCACAAATGGTCGCACAACCCCGACCAGCAAACCCTCGGCAGCGCACACCCTTCTCCGCCAAGATTCAACTGACAGCCTCGCATCCCATGTTGATCGTGTCATCACATCAACGACCACCTCCTCCGCAGGCAAAGCCGCAGCGCGCAAGCGCTCCGCCCAACAGAGTGCCACTGTCCCGACTTCGTCGACACTCACCCAAGCAGCGGCCGCAGCAGCAGCATCGTCCGATGAATCACTATCCCTTCCCGTCCGGTCGAAGTCCGAGCCCCAGAGCGATAGTTCGGACCTCTCAAATTCCCCATCGCAAGACGCACGATCCGGCGGCGTGAAGCCAATCTTCATCCGCGAGGGTGGCTCTATCCCTACAATCCGTTTTCTGGAGAAGGAATTTTCTGCGCCTGCGGCGAACCTTCCCTGTGGTCAAGCCAGTGATAACGCCCATTTGGACAATGAGCGGATGAGGGTGGAGAATTTGTACAAAAGTCGGGAGATTTTCCGATACGTTTTTGCCCATTTGGTGGACAAAGTTTGAAAGCATTTTCTTGCGGGGTTAGCTACTTATTTCTTTTTCTGGTTTCCTTTCTTTTCGCAGGGGCTGTTTTGCTTTCTTCCATGGCATGTGTAAATTATACCTTTCATCTTGCATCCATCATCTGGTTTTTTCTGGGAATGTTTGTACCACACTCCGTAGGTTAGGGTATCACATTGAGCGATGTTGGTCGGACAAGTTAGGGTCACGGTCTTTTCGAGGCTTGGGTCGTATCTTGCGAATTTATCTTGGACATGAAACCCACCTGACTATTATTCCTATTTCTGCAATCGAAATTTGTGGATAAGAGGCCACCTGATACGGCGAAACAAATAGCGATATCAAGGGGTAACACCTACGTGGTGAATGAACCATATCCGCTACTTCCAAAGTTTGCTCCTTGGATAACATCTCTGTTTGTGCCAACCTCTAGTAGGTTTTGTTGTAAATGAAATTGCTTTGTTGTGTGTTGCTTTCAAGTTGCTACACTTCCAAGGTTTTCTTTGGTTTGTACAAATAAAAGCTACTAGTAGTTGTAGTGGCATAGCTACAAAAAAAAACTCTAGGGATCTAAATACTGTATTTAATTAAATATAGGGTACAAAATCTCGAGGAATGCTTCAATATAATGATCAAATTTCGCTGCGGATACCGAATTTCGAAACCCTGGTGGGCATGGTTCAAAGCCAATTAATCACAATCTTGAAAGGTGTGATCATACACTCCCCGGTGATCTGAAGGATTGGATACATTTATACATTATTATTTCAAGGGTGGCTTGGTCAACCATCTCCTCATTTCAGAAGCCCCATCACCTTCGCTTTGCAACTCACAGAGACCGACTGGACAATTTGGTCAACCACGCCGACAAAAATACCAAGCTGGGGGAAAAAATGGATGCAGAGATTGGCAGGCATCTGATGGATAGACTCGATGTTTCTGTTTCGAAGTTCTCACTTCAAGGTGGACGTTTTTGGTTCGGCTGCTCCGTTTGTCCACTCACGTCACCTGCCAACCATCGTCCCTTTCCACCAACCAGGTCTCTACCTCCAGACTCGCTGTTCCTACCCTCATTCGCTCTATTTTCCTCCTCAGTCGATGTACCCCATCTTTAAGCTTTTACAACTATGGCGAATAGCCTACCGGGTCAACAGACCTATCTCCTTGGTCGAGATCGTGCCGAAACTGAACGGTAAGTTGGTCATCTTTGTTCACATCCATCTGCTGCTGCTCTTATACCTTTTTGAAATGTCCCCCTCGACAATTATCAGGCTAGATGTACTTTGTTGAGACTCACATTTTTATGCAAAGTCATGTACCCCAGATCCCCAGATCCAATCTTGTCTTGGGATCATGCAGTTGGCCGGACACCCTCGATCCCAATACATCAGATTTCCTATATGGAGAAAGAATTTTCATCTCGCCTCGATGGGGGAGCGCACTAATCCTTTGATTCCATAATTCTAGTTTGAACAAACAACACCACTTCCTGATGGAGCTCCTGGGACATCAATACGTTCATCCCTCCATTCCGAAGAATCAGATCACGTCAATCACGGATCTAGGTACTGGTACTGGGTATGTGAGAGTTCACACAAACGCAAAACAATAACCAAGAGTCAAGAACCGAAAATCATTTAACCGAACACGCAGAATCTGGCTCAAAGAAATTGCGCGAACTCTTCCCACCAGCATTCCACCACTACACCTGCAAGGCTTCGACATCTCCGCGGCACAATTCCCTCCCCAGCCCCAGTTTCATGGCCCTGGAAAAACATGGATCCTGCTGAGCGTGCAAGACATCCTCAAAAAATGGTCCGCAGAGCACAAGGGACGTTATGACTTTGTGCATATCCGTCTTCTCACAGCAGCCCTCAAGACCGAGTCTTACAAGGTTGCGTTGAAGAATGTGCGCGACTTGCTGAGTATGTATAATCATTGACTCCCTCAATTTGAACCATCTGACAAATGTTGAATGCTAATCACTTATGCTACGCCATAGAGCCCAACGGCTACATCCAATGGGAAGAAGTTGACACCACAGCCTTCCACACCGAAAAAACTCCCCAAATTCCCGCAGTTGCCAAGATGTCCCAATCAGTTCGACACGCCATGATCAAGATGGGCATGAGTCCCTTTGCGCCCGAGCGCGTCTACGACGAGCTCTGCTCTAGCGAATTCCGAAACATCCACCGTCAGACGTACACTACAAAGGGCAAGGAGTACCTGCATGATGCGGCTCAGGAGTGGGTAGTTAGTGTTATCCGAGCCCTGGTTGTCCCTTCCATGGTCATCACGGGAGAAGCTATGGATGAGGCGCATGCGAAGAGTCAAGTTGAGAAATTGATTGCTGAATTTGAGGAGCATTGTAAACATGCGTTTCCGCTAATCAACTTTACTGTTGTTGTTGCGCAGCTCTGACCAAGATGGATGGGGCTGGACAGTTTCGAGCGAGGGACTTGCTTACATTTTCGATACCATGTGTATCATAGTTACTTTCAATTCAATGCTGGTGGTGACTGGGGATCGCGAGAGACATGAAAGTTCTATGCCCCAAAATGATCTGCTAGGCCTTTTCTTCGAATTTTACTCGAGTTACCTCGCTTTCTGAATGACAATTGCCTGATTAAACTACATGAGTTCCATCAAGTGTACGTCGGCATTTCCACCGGTTTATTGGAATTCTGCGACTCCATTTCATGTATGCCACCATACGCTCCAACGCCCGAGTCTATCTCATATACTGAGCCCCGGGGTGCCTCATGAATAGGCCTTGAATCCGATTCTCTTGGTTTATTTGACCGAACGATCACATTGGCGCCGGTCTTTCGCCTTCTACGATAAACGATGGAAGAGATAACCAGAAGCGCAATGGTCCCTAAAGCGGAAGCGACTCCAATTCCAGCTTCTGCGCCAGTCGAAAGCTCGCTGCCTTTTGCATGGTGATGATTTGTTCCACTTGATTTTGAGCCGTCTGCCGTAAACGTTTGCGATGGGAAATAATCTGACTTCCAGCGAATTGAAATCCCCTTCGCATTGATGCCGTAGATTCCTGAATCGCCTACCTTGGACAACACGTTGCTTAGGTCTGTTCGTCAGATGATATACACGTCTGGCCGACAGTGGCATAACCATCGGGGCACACGCTCGACGAGAAATAACTCGTAGGCTGGTAGCCGGACGGGAAACAAATAGACCAGTTGGACGCACCTGAGACTAATCCACTACCAGGAATAGTTTGAGCTGGTTGACCATAATACGTGATACGAATCGGTGGTGCAGTCGGCCGGGGGTGAGAAGGTCGTTGTCAAGGGGAGTGCAGCTGTAGTGGTCATGCTGATCACGAAATTTAAGAGAGCACCGGCGACGAAAGAACGAGGCACATGGATTTAAAGAGGGCCAATTTTATCCTTTCATCTCTATTGCACAAGCATTGAGTCTATAGCTGGGTGAAACCGTCAGCTGTTACCCTTTCTGGTCCGTAGGCGAACCCTCCGATCTGCCAGATACCTAAACCCGAAGATGATTTCTGGGGCGAAGTAGAAGTAGTCATTTCGCTTGTTCAAATCAATCCCCATGCGCTCTATCAGTATTTCACGAAAATAGGTAGGTCATCGTCTCTTGTTGGGACTTGAAAATTCCAGATGAGGGGTCGTAATCTGAAGGCGCCACGGGGTCAAGGTGCCTTGCGAGCACGGCCGCATGCTGGTTATAGTATCTAGCTGCCCGTGACCACCTCTGAGATATTTCTGAGGAGGGCCTTGGAATTGTATGCTTACCTACGACTTAACGAGGGGTCGAGATGCATGGCGCCTGCAGTAACATGCAGGTTCTTGCTGAGGTGCCATTGAGGATGGGATTTCCACCAATCGAGTCAGAGGGAAACCCGTATATACAGGAGTGGGCTCGGAATTTGATGTATGGACCAATGTATAGAATCGTAATGTCTGTGGATCTCTTCTCCAGCTATGCTATTATACTACTACGTTGAATCGTATTTACATTAAAAGAGATATTGGGAATGAGTAATTCAATATATTGTCAGTGCATACGGTTAGGCCAAACGAGTGAGCATGTGTATCATGGTGCGCTGGGTGATGATTTCAGTATGAAATCGGTCACCTAAGGAGACTGATGGCATGGTTTTATTGGTAAGAAGTCTCTATCCTGTCACGTAGACCCTTATGGTCTAGGGGAACAATTGGTTCCTCTAGGAAAGTCCATATGCGGGATAGGAGAAGCTGAATTGGGGCTAATCTTTTTGCCTTTTTGCAGATTTTTCTTAATTTCCAGGCTGATGGCTCGATTCTGTCTGCCAGCAACCAACAGCCTTTCTTCTTCATTTTTTCTGTGACAAACGCGTTTTGTTTGTATACTTTGTACACGTTGTATCCAATTCTTTTGTTTACCACAAGGTGATTACCCGATGCGGTTAGCGCATTGCGTGCTTGCTGAGGTAAGCCCCGCAATGACGGAAATGACGGAGTGCTACCATTCAACTTGACTGACGAACCTGGGGAATTTCAAGCTCTTACTTCATCCTACATCCAATTCAATTGACAATGGCTTCCTTTATTACACCTCAAGTCTGCCGTGCCTTCAGAGCAGCTCCCAAGGCTGCCCCTTGGGCTCGTCTTTCCACCCAACTGCCTCGGGCTCAGCCTGCCTTCCGCCGCTTCTACGCAGCTCCCGCCCAAGAACAACCCCGACTGCGTCTCGGGTCCACCGGTATGGGATTGCATCTTTATCCTAGTGGGTTCGATATTCAAGCTCACCATTGATTTATCAGCACCTAACTTCAAGGCCCTCACCACCAAGGGTGAAATTGATTTCCATCAGTTCATTGGCGACAGCTGGACCATCCTGTTCTCCCACCCCGCCGATTTCACCCCCGTCTGCACCACCGAGCTTGGTGCCTTTTCGAAACTGAAGAATGAGTTTGAGAAGCGTGGCGTGAAGATGATTGGGCTGGTGGGTTGTCATGTCTCTTGTGAACAAGGGTGTCTAGTTACATAGGCTAACGCGAATGCCAATTTAGAGTGCCAACGATATCGGTTCTCATGGCGAGTGGATTAAGGATATCAACGAGGTTGCCTCGACCGATGTTCAATTCCCAATTATTGCCGACGCCGACCGCAAGGTTGCTTTCCTCTACGACATGATCGATCAGCAGGATCTGGACAACATCGACCAAAAGGGCATCGCGTTCACCATCCGCTCTGTCTTCATCATTGACCCGAGCAAGAAGATCCGGCTGACTATGATGTACCCCGCCTCCACCGGCCGCAACTCTGCCGAGGTTCTGCGTGTTATCGATTCCTTGCAGACCGGCGACAAGAAAGGCGTGACCACCCCGATCGACTGGCAGGTGGGTGACGATGTTATCGTGCCCCCCTCGGTATCCACCCCCGATGCGAAGAAGAAGTTCGGAGAGGTTCGTGAAGTCAAGCCCTACCTGCGCTACACCAAGTTCTAAATCGCGACGGGCCGGATGAACCTCGGAGGTTCGCGCTATGTAAAATAAGATATGACGAGTCAATCAAATCACCCACGCTACGGGAACTTTGTAGAAAAGTGTGGGCCGGCGATCGCGAATCTTCCAAGACACCCCGGCTTTCATGCCGGATGGAGTAGAATTCGGGTAAATCACGACAGACAAACTTGGAACATGAACCAAATCGAACACTCCACAGAGTTCGGCAAACCCATGCTTGAAGACGGATCGAATGACCTGCACTGTTGGAACCCCTGACAGCTGGCTATTCTAGGAAATGATAATCCGGGGGCCTGCAGGATCGTCGTCGATAGCTTACCGGCTCTTCCTATTTTGGGCCACAGCCCAGCATTGGCGTCCTTATTCTGAAAAGGAGCCGGGGGTATTCCACCTATCCCTGCTCTGCATTATGATGTTCAGAACTCGGTTATGCAAGCGAATGCCATAGTCGCCCTTCTTTCTGAACGGGCCAAGTAGATCCATTCCATTCCTCCGAGCAAGGATCGCCTAGAAGAAAATGACTCCTGGAGGCACGTGGATCTCGCGACTGCCCCTCTCTGTTTTATTCAGAGATTCTGGGACATGATATCGCATTATCTTTGTGTCACCTAACCTGCCATTCATCTGTAGTACAGCGCGGGTGGATGCTTGCGCTTTGTCTGTCGTGACCCGTTTCTCAACCCCGCCTGGTGGTCACTATGGCTCCCTGGACACGCCTCGTATTGGGCTCACTACTGCCTCAGCTGCTGGTCGCATCTCCAGTACCTGATGCTGTGCCCGACCCGCTGAAACTCGAGCAACGCGACGATACATCGGATGATTATCAATCACCTCCGTTCTATCCCACGCCGCATGGCGGATGGGTTTCCGACTGGGCGGAAGCCTATGAAAAGGCATACCAAGTAGTCAGTAACATGACGCTGGCGGAGAAGGTCAACCTGACCACCGGAACTGGTTTCTTCATGGGACCTTGCGTGGGACAGACAGGAAGTGCTCCTCGGTTCGGCATCCCGAACATCTGTTTGCAGGACTCGCCGCTAGGGATTCGAAATTCGGACCATAACACTGCATTTCCGCCTGGGATCACGACGGGTGCGACATTCAACAAGGAGTTGATGTACGCTCGTGGCGTCGCAATCGGCGAAGAGGCCCGAGGAAAGGGTGTAAATGTACAGCTAGGTCCTTCTGTTGGTGCTCTCGGACGCAAGCCCAGGGGTGGTCGAAACTGGGAGGGCTTTGGTGCAGACCCTGTTCTACAAGCCGTCGGAGGCGCGCAGACGATCAAAGGGATGCAAAGCACCGGTGCGATCGCCGCACTAAAGCATTTCATTGGGAATGAGCAGGAGATGTACCGCATGAGCAGTATCATTACCCAGGGATACTCGTCCAACATCGACGATCGTACCCTACATGAATTATATCTATGGCCTTTTGCAGAGGGCGTCCGCGCAGGAGTTGGCTCGTTGATGACTGCCTATAACGATGTAAGTTTGAATTACAGCATTTACGGAGATTCTTTAACACTATTTAGGTCAACAGCTCTGCCTGCAGCCAAAATAGCAAGCTCATCAATGGGATTCTCAAGGATGAACTCGGTTTCCAGGGATTCGTCATGACTGACTGGCTTGGGCATTATTCCGGTGTCGGATCTGCACTAGCTGGTCTCGACATGTGTATGCCTGGTGACGGTGCTGTTCCGTTGTTTGGCGATAGCTATTGGGGACCAGAGCTGTCTCGATCGATTCTGAATGGCACAGTTCCTGTTGACCGCTTGAATGACATGGTATGTACAATAGTTAGCGTCGAATGCATACGCATGCTGATACAAATCTAGGTCACCCGAATCGTCGCCACGTGGTACAAACTTGGCCAGGATAAAGATTATCCCCTTCCCAACTTTTCTACAAACACCGAGGCTGAAACTGGGCCTCTCTATCCCGGAGCTCTCTTCTCACCTAGCGGTGTAGTGAACCAGTTCGTCAATGTGCAAAGCGATCACAATATCACCGCCCGAGCAGTTGCGCGGGAGGCCGTCACTCTGCTGAAGAACGAGCAAGGCATACTTCCCTTGCGACGAAACGACACTCTCAAAATCTTCGGCACCGATGCAGGCGGCAATCCCGATGGACTAAACTCATGCACCGACCAAGGCTGCAACAAGGGTGTTCTGACTATGGGTTGGGGTAGCGGAACCGCTCGATTGCCTTATCTCATCACACCGCAGGAGGCCATCGCGAATATCTCGAAAACTGCTGAATTCTATATCACCGACTCCTTCCCTAGCGATGTGACTGCCACACCTAAGGATATTGCAGTCGTTTTCATTAATGCTGACTCGGGAGAGAATTATATCACCGTTGATGGGAATCCTGGAGATCGTACGAAGGCTGGTCTCAATGCTTGGCACGACGGAGATGACCTTGTCAAGGCTGCAGCAGAGAAATTTTCAAATGTTGTGGTCGTTGTGCATACTGTCGGTCCCATCCTTATGGAAGAGTGGATTGATCTCAAGTCGGTCAAGGCTGTTGTTGTGGCACATCTTCCTGGCCAAGAGGCTGGAAACTCGCTCACGGATATTCTATTTGGCGACTTCAGTCCTAGCGGCCACCTGCCATATTCGATTCCACGCAGTGAATCCGACTACCCTGACAGCGTGGGCATCATTGATCAACCCTTCGGTCAGATTCAGGACACCTTCACTGAAGGTCTATATGTGGACTATCGGCACTTCCTCAAGTCAAATATCAGCACGCGCTATCCCTTTGGCCACGGTCTGTCATATACAACTTTTAAGTTCTCGAACCCGACTATATCTGTGGTAACCGCCATCGACAGCGCCTACCCACCGGCGAGACCCACAAAAGGCTCGACCCCGGTATACAACAACTCTATCCCTGCGGCTTCTGAGGTCGCATGGTCCTCGACAAAATTCACTCGGATCTGGCGTTACCTCTATCCCTACCTTGATAACCCCGAGTCCATCAAAGTATCGGACGACTTTTCCTATCCGGAGGGCTACAACACAACGCAACCAGAGTCTCGTGCCGGTGGCGGCGAGGGTGGAAACCCAGCGCTCTACAAAACTGCATTCACTGTGCAGGTCCAAGTTACCAATAACGGAGCCCGACGAGGCAAGGCCGTGCCCCAACTCTACGTTGAATTGCCATCTAGCTTAGGCTTGGACACACCCGCCCTTCAACTGCGTCAATTTGAAAAGACGAAGGAGCTCGCCCCTGGCCAATCTGAGACTGTGACTCTTGAGATCACTCGAAAGGATCTGAGTGTCTGGGATGTCGAGGTGCAGGATTGGAAAGCACCCGTCAATGGCGAGGGCGTCAAGCTGTGGGTCGGTCGTAGTGTGGCCGATCTTCCAATTATTTGCGTTGCTGGTGGACAATGCTCTACCCAGTGAACTTCTCCTCCGCGGACCCCCTATTTGAGCACTCTTTTGCCATTTATTTCTTTTATACCACCACACACGGTCTCTCCAGCCCAATGGAGACTACTAATCCGAATTTTCTGACCTTGGTACTCTAATCCCTTTCTTTTGAACTGTATATACTTTCCTAACATAATATGTCCATATTTATCACATTATTTAACATGATATTTTGCATTACAATATCTCAAAATGCCTCCTTGCTGAATGTCTAAGCACTGACATTTTGCACATCTTCAAGCACAGGCCTCTTCTCACGATCCAAACCTGTGACAGTCTCTACATGTTCCTTGTTCAAGTGAGTTTTCAAGATAAAAATGGAGCAGAAAACACCAACGCCGGACATGCAAGTATATAGAATCCACATGTTTCTCATGCTTCCTGCAAAAGCCTCCTTCACAGCAAGCAGTTGCGCAGAGTTCTCGATAGTCTTGATGATCTCGACACTCGCAGCCGCGGAGCCGCCGGTCATCTGCTCGGCCAAGCTTTCTGACATACCAGTAGCCAAGAGACCAGACTTCATCTGACTCATACTATTCTGGAAGACGACGCCTCCAATGACGATCGATGTTGCCGTGGCCATGTTACGGATGAAACCCAGGGTAGCTGTTGCCGAAGCTGTCTCGTCTTGTGTGACCATTGCCTGGATAGCGATGATGGGTGTTTGAAAGAGGAAACCAGCTCCGAAACCGCTGAGAAACTGGAAGCCGACTATTTCTCCCAGCGAAGAATCAACGTCGAGGCTGATGTATAACCCAGTTCCGATCGTCATCAATATCAATCCTATCCAGACCAATTCGAGGTATCGACCCGTGCGGTGGATGATCGCTCCAGTGACCATGCCAGAGAGTGCCTCTGCAAGTACGACGGGAAGGGTTAAGATACCAGATCGCATTGGCGATGCCTCCTTGACGGACTGCAGATAGAGAGGAATGTAATATTCACCCGCAATAAAAACCTTTGTACCAGTGTCAGTGTGCTATCTTTCAACGTGCAGCTTTGGCGACTCACAAATCCATGGGCAAACCCCACTGCCATTGCAGCAACGTTCGAAGGTTTACTGAAGATACCCAATGGCATGATAGGGTACTTAGCCAGGCGCTTCTCGCTATATATGAATAGCAAAGAGCAGAGAGAGCCGAAGACTATCAAGCAAATAACCTGTGATGAGCTCCACGCGAAAGTGACACCTCCGAAGTCCAGACCGAGGAGCAGCATCAATGTTAGACCAAGGACAGACAAACTTCCAAACCAATCAATGGCTTTAATGCCGTCCATCATGTTGGTCTTTGGGTTATGCACGTCTAGGAAGAAGAAAAGCAGAACGAATGCAAATCCAGAAACTGGGAGATTGATCCAGAAGTTCCATCTCCAGGTGACATACTCGGAGAAAGCACCTCCCATGAGTGGACCGATTCCACCGGCCAGTGCCCACATGCATTCCATGAGTCCAAGATAAAGACTCCTGTGCCTGTCAAAGTATCAGCACAGAAAGGACAAGCGGAAAGGATAATCATTTCAACATACCGCACACTAAAAAGATCGGAAATGACAATGGTCACCAGCTGCAGAAGACCACCACCAGCAACACCCTGCAGAGCACGGCCAGCAATCAACATCTGCATATTGACAGCAACAGCGCAGATAATCGAGCTGACAAAAAACCACGCAACCGCAATGAGGAGGATCAACTTGCGACCCCAGATATCCGAGAGTTTAGCCCAGATACAAGCACCGGCAGCATTGGCAAGCAGATACGCGCCACCAATCCAAGTGTACCCCGATGCTGAATGCAGTTTTGCAGCAATTGTGGGGATGGCCGTCGCGACGATCGTCTGATCAAGCGCAGCCACAAACATCGACAACTATGACTTTGAATTAGGATCGGAGAATTTTCTTGTTTTCGAATCCACTTTGGCGCATGGTCTTACAGAAAGAGCTATCATGATAGCCACGATGCGAAGTTTTGCCCGGCCCGTGGCGGGGCCATCTTGAAATTCCATGTTGGATGTCATTTTCTTTTCTCCGCCCGCCTTGTCGAGGGTACGTCCTGGCGCGGCGATAAATAGAGGAAAGAGACGAGGAGTCAGAGCTGGTGGCTCCCGGAAATCTCTTTGTTCTGACTCGCGACCCCGCTGCCGTGGCGTCCAATACGGTGGGTCCGCTATCTTCCGAGGGAAAGGCTGACACGAGACGGGGCTCAAGCGTGAATCCGTCCGTAGCCGTTGATGAGATCAGGCTTTCTAAGAGAAATTTTGGTCAAGATGATGAGTGAGTGGTTGTACCTAGTTCCGTAGAATCCCTGATTCCCGAGAGATGATCAGATATTTCCACCTTTCGTATCGTCGATATAGGTTCAAGGAACATCTCAACACAAACAAACTTTTCTTTAAATCGAAATTTCACTAACTGAAGATCTCCTCGGGGCTGATTCAATGGGTCCCATTTAGATAGCTGCATTAACGCAGCAAGTCCCTTTCAATGTCAAAATAATGACTAGTCTGTCAGGGAATGTGGATCATCGGGCTAGTTCGTCCGCCCCCAATGCACCTATTCTTGACGAGCTTGAATAATCTACAGCCATCCTCAGACGCGACCCCAATCCTGCTAGCGGAGTTCCAATCAACTTTTGGCCATCTTGCCCAAGACTTGCCGTCTCACTTTGCATCCAATCTAGAAAGAGTCCGCAAGGAGCTTCCGTCTCTCGTTTCAAGAGCACCAGGCATCCCTTTTGTTCTCAGCCACAGCGACCTTAATACCATGAATATCCTGGTGAATCCCGAACCAGAAGTACCACAGAGATCAGAAACTGGGCCGAATTAAGGATTCTGCGCTTTGGCTTTGCGCTATACGGGCTTGGCAATATTTTATGCTAGATGGAATTAGAAGGGTGGCACTACTACTACGATCGGTACCTTGAACTCGTGAGCCTTTTCTGGCAAATTTTTCGAGAGGAAGTACAAAAGTTCTCTGACTCGGATTTCTATTTTATTCGAGTTGCGAGAATGGCTAGACTTTTCTACCATTATAGTTTTTATTTTGACGCGCATGGCGTAGTGCAAGGTGTGCAGATGGGTCAAGCGGATGGGTCGCTTGCGTATCTGGATGCTTTCTGTGCTGCTGATGTGAAATGGGAGGATTTTTTATTGTGAATCTGCTTGTTTTGTATTCCAAGACAGGCAGTGTGTTATAGCTATCCCATGTCAGGTACAACTTGAAGTATTTCTATACTAGTATCTCGTATGTTGATGAATGCGGATGAGACAAGGATAAGTCTGAACAAATAGCATTCAGCAAATATGCAGACAGCACATACATAAGGAGCATAATGACCTGGATTCCACCAGTTACTTGAACTATTCTTCTTTCCATGTTTCACAAACAAAAAGCTTCTAAATCCTCCGATCCGACACAGTATAAACGAGCTGCAGAAGATCGAACCAATAACAGACCCGCGATGCCAAGTCGATCTTAGTGGACCATCGAGCAATTTTCCATTCAACAGATCATACTTCCCCCACCTCTAGCACTCGAACAGAATCATTTCCATAAAATCTAGGCCATTTCCAAGTATTTCACTCGTTTTATCCGTCGTCACCCATCGAGAATGCAGTACGTCATGTGACGTCAATTGCTATAAGCGCACCGAATCCGAACCATCATTTTCATAACTTCATCTTTACTTATCCAGTCCTCAATCGGCTATTTGAATAAGATTAAACATAAAGTGTCACTACCTCCACCCACCCAGCACCAATTGACCTTCCCCCTCAAAAATTGGCCCAACCCAGACAATCTATACCACGACCTCGATCACGACCCTGATCCACTCCTCTCCAGGTCCCAGTCCAACATGCCCAACGCAAAACCAAAAATAGTCCTCTACTGGCACCGAACAGACCTCCGCCTCCACGACTCACCAGCCTTACAAGCCGCCCTATCCCTAAACCCAACCACCTTCATCCCAATCTGGACCTGGGACCCACACTACGTCTACAAATCCCGCGTCGGCCCAAATAGATGGTCCTTCCTCCTCGAGTCCCAAAAAACGCTCTCAAATTCCTACAGCAAACTCAACCCCCGGCAGCAATTATGGCTCATCCGTGAAGCGCCGCAGAGCGTTTTGCCGAAATTGTGGAGCGCGTGGGGGGGTTACGCATCTTGTTTTTGAGAAGGATGAGGATGCTTATGCGCGGGAGAGGGATGGGGTGGTTGTTAAGCTTGCGGAGGAGGCGGGCGTGGAGGTTATTGTTAAGAGTGGACGGACTTTGTTTGATGTTGATGAGATTGTGAGGAAGAATGGGGGGAAACCGACGATGAGTATGGCGCAGATTCAGAAGGCTGTTGAGAAGATTGGTAGCGGTGTGCCGGAGAGACCGATTGATGCGCCGACTAGTATTCCCGATCCGCTGACGCGGGATGAGATGGATTTGAAGGGGGTGAAGCATGACGGAGGAGGAGGAGGAGGAGGCATGGGATCCGAGTCCAACTCCGGGACGGATATGAACGCGGATCATCGCTCCACGACGGATAAGCAGTATGCAGGGATAATGGGACCGGGCAATGATTTTGGCGTCCCGACATTAGAAGAAATCGGCATCAATCCTGCCGAAGTGCAGACACCGCATCGAGGAGGTGAAACTGTTGCTTTGGAACTCCTTGCCGGGTATATCGAGGATGAGGAGTATATTGGACGATTCGAGAAACCGAATACATCGCCCGCGGCATTTGAGCCGCAGTCAACGACGTTGCTTTCGCCGCATTTACATTTCGGCACGTTGTCCGTGCGGAAGTTCTGGTGGGATGTGCAGGATGTCATGGAGAGGCGGAAGAAGGAGAAGAAGAGTAATGCTTCTATTCCGACGAATTTGCCGGGGCAATTGCTCTTTCGCGAGATGTATTTTGCGGCTCATGCGGCTGTTGGAGAGTCCTTCTGTCGGACTTATGGTAATCCTATGGTGAGGTTTATTGATTGGCATTTGCAGAGTAAGAGTCCTGAGGATATTGCGCATGGGGAGGAAGGGGGGAAATTGTATGAGGTGGATTCTGATGAGGCTGAGGTGTGGTTTTTACGGTGGAAGGAGGGTAGGACTGGGTTTCCTTGGATTGATGCTTTGATGAGACAGCTCAAGCAGGAAGGTTGGATTCATCATTTGGGTCGACATAGTGTGGCCTGCTTCCTGACGCGGGGAGGGTGTTATGTGAGTTGGGAGCGAGGAGCTGAAGTATTTGAGGAGATGTTGATCGACCGTAAGTGTTTTCCAACCTACCTAGGTACGAAGTACCTCCATTCAGATCTCTAACACAAGTGATCCGATTACAGACGAAACGGCGTGCAATATCGGCAACTGGATGTGGCTCTCTTGCACGGCTTTCTTCTCCCAGTTCTACCGGTGTTACTCGCCCATCGCCTTTGGCAAGAAGTGGGATCCAGAGGGTAACCTGATTCGGAGGTACTGTCCGGAGCTAGCGAAGTTTGATAAGAAGTACATCTACGAGCCGTGGAGGGCGCCAATCGCTAATCAGCGGAAATGGGCGTGCAGGGTCACTGGTGATGGCAGCAGTTCGACCAATGAGGATGGGAAGATCTATCCTAAGCCAATGTTTGATTTTGATGAGCGACGGACGATCTGCCTCGACGCTATGAAAAACGCATACCACGTTGGGCTGCATGGGAATGATAAGGAGCTCAAGGATGGATCGTGGCGGAAGGCCTTTGGTCTGGATGAAGATGGAAAGAGGCCTAAAAAGAAGCAAAAGACGTAGGAGTAGGAGTAATAGAATGATGTAGTGGTTATTGATGGTTAAATTTTCTGTTTTAAGATTGTGCAAAGCGTTCATCCGTAGTAGTATATGATATACAAGCGCCCCAACCGATCGTGTTTGTCATAATTCCTCCCAATATATGAATCCAGTATTAAATGCGCCGTATGCCGTGTAATAAATGAGTCTCAGAAATGCAATATATACAACTAGAAGAAGAAAGAGTAGACGAAGACTAGGACCGTCACGATGGTCGCAATCTCGTACTGGAATTCGAACCAGGCAGCCTGGCCACCAAAGGCAATCTTCTTGCTCTTCTTCGTCGGGTGCGCCACGCCAGTCTTGGGGTCCCGATCCAACAGATCCTCGCGCTGAGGCACAGTTGGAGGATCGATGGCGTACGAAACGGGGGTCCACAGTGAAGTGCAGATGAAAAAGAAGGTGAGCGGGGGCCAGAAGGCGTGGGTGATCAGGCAAATGACAATGCCCTTAAACCCGCTCTCCTTGTAAAAGCATCGGTAGGTGGAAATTGCGACCGCGATGATGGTAACGTAGACGAAGGCAAAGTGGAAGAAAGCCATGAAGTTGAAAAGAACCACGCGTAGGCGGACGAATAGATTCTTCCTCAAGTTGGCATCACGCTCGTTCAGTTCAGAGCCCAGAGAACCGGTTGGCTTGAATGCTTGGGTCTGCCCACCGAGCCACTTGGGGAGAATGAAAGCTCGAACAATGCACAGAGCGATGTAGGGCGACATCCAGAGTTGGTAGCGAGATCCACGCTGGCCAGTGTGGTAGCCAGCCGGAATGAAAAGCGCGAATTCACAAAGACGGTTGGCGATGGTCGAAGCGAAACAGGTCCAGATGAGCCAGTGCAGTTGGTCTTGGTTGGCGTAGGCCACCAGCTGCTTGCCCCACAGGAGAATAATGGGGATGGCAAAGAGGGAGGCCGTGAGGAGAATAGTATACAGACTGAGGGTAGCGTAAAGGAATCCAGAAAAGCGCTGGGCAATGGTCATCTTCTTGACGGCATCACCCCAAGCGCAGAACTTCATCTTGAAGGCCGTGTCCACGGTACCAATGGCCCAACGTGTACGCTGCTTCAGGTGACCGCCATAATCCTCGGGGACAGTACCAAACTGGAGAGGTTCGTGAACATACGCAGTCTTCCAGCCCTTTCCGAGCATCAGGGTTGAAGTCGCGACATCCTCTGCCAGCGAACCAAGGGGGAAATTGCCAATTTCCTCGAGCGCCTCGCGTCGAACAACATAGCCCGAGCCGGTGCACCACGCGACATTCATCGCGTCCTTGATCGGCTCAATCACATGCACGAAGAAGTCGAGACTTTGCGCGAGAGGATCGGACGCAGGGGTGTTGTAGAAAAGCTGGGGAGGGCATGCAAGGGCCATCCGAGGGTCCACCAGCAAGTGGGGAAGAACGGCACGCAGCCACTGTTGTTCGGGGATCTAAGGCCGCCCGTTTAGTTCATGACTCGCAGAAAGGACGGGATAAGGGAAATTAGAGTGCTTACCATATCAGCATCGAGCGCGGCCATGAATTGACTGGCGCCGCCGGGCAATGTGTGAACCTGATCGAGACCATAGTTGAGGTTACCGGCCTTGAAGTGGTGAGGTTTGCCGGGGATCTTTTCACGGGCCATGTAGTAGAGGTTGGGATTGGTCATGGCGATTTGACTGCATGAGTCTTCCAGGGTGGCTGATTGACCGTCATCCAAGACAATGACTCGGAATCGTTCCATCGGGTAGTCCTGGTCGAGAGCGCCTCGGACGGTGTCCAGCACCACCTCATCATCCTCTCCGCAGCAGGTGATGAAGACATCGACGGTGGGACATTCATTGCCAATCAAACGGAGCTTCGCGCGGCCTCGCTTCTTCAAGGCCATCATGGTCCAACCGTTGTGCATCAGAGACGGGATGGCGGTGACGACCTCAATTCCAACGAAAATCCAAGCACCAGCAAAGCTGTAGCCGGCGGCATTCTGGGCCATGATGATACAGTAGATGCGAAGACCCAGATAGAAAAGGTACAGAGCAGTATTCGTGAAAGTTAGTAGCGGGGTGAACTTGAAGACGAAGCGCTTCCAGCCCTTCCAGATATCGACATCGTCGCGGTCATCGAGACGGGCAATGGAGCCCGAGCCAGTCTGCACCCATTCCTTCGCGAAGCCTGGAGTCGCTGGAGTGTCGACTAGATTTGTGAGGGATGCGGCACTCTGGAGCTGAGAGTTCTGATACTGTTCGAGCACAGAGATCTGAGTTAGCTTCATGGCCACCATAGCACATATGATCTGCTATACAGCAGGTATGCCTCGTGTCTCTCAGGAATGTGCACGACCAAAGCCACAGCCACATGGGAATGAGAAAAAGAGTAGGAAGAGACGGAAGAGACGAAAGAGACGAAAGCATACCAGAGTGGGGGAGGCCGAACGAGAGTCATAAGGAGTGTTGGGAAACGAATCCGGCCCACCGGAGAAGCGCGGTGTCGGTTGCAGCCATGAAGAAGAATATTCGGGAGGACTGTAATTGTGGTTGTAATTCTGGTTGTAGCTGTGGCCCGGTCGGATTGGCATGATGGGGCGAGTGGATGGAGATGCAGCCGATGCAGCAGAATCCGGGAATTGAAAGTCGAAGGAAGTGGACGAGGAGTTGGGATGACTGCGATAATTTTGATAATTTTGAGGAGGAGTCAATTCAAAGGACTCTTCCTCTTCATGATAAGGACTTCCATAGGGGCTGGGAGGGTATTGCGCCTGGCGACCTTGACCATGACCATGACTTTGACCATGACCGTTCATGTTGGACAAGTCGATCGACCGCACCTTACGGTTGCGGTAATGCGAGAATGCGATGGCGGGGAAAGAATGGGGCCCGGAGCAAATAAGAATGAACAGAAGCAGGACGAAGTAGGGTATGAGAAAAGAAGGAAAATCCAAACACGGCTGGCAGAGTAACAGCAGAGTAACCGCACAACAACGAGAGTAGCGAATGTGATGTAGCAAAAAGCAAAGACGGGCCAGCTGCAAGGGAAGAAAGAAGCAATCTTGGAGTGCTTGGAGTGCTTGGTGCTGGTGCTTAGGGCAGGCTTATCGGGTATTACGTGGATACATACAGGTACGAGTGTATTCAGATCTGATTGGCCATGATTCTGATGATTCAATTACAAAGTACCACTAACTTCCACTAAAAACTAGTCTGGGCGATCTGACGAGGGCCGAGGCTTTGCCATCATAGATTAGTAAATTAGCCCGAGTATTAATAGTCCTCCCTGCTGGAAGTATGTACACCTGCAGTAGGGACTGGACGAATAAATTGTTACCGCGTATGAATAGTATTATTGTATAGTATGAATAATATGAATACTATGAATAGTATTAATAACATGAATACTGTACATGAATGGTATTCTTCCACTGTGTCGTCCGCTTGCGTCACCATTGTCCGCAGTCTACTCCGTACATACGGAGTACTCGTACATGAGCTACGAGTACACGTACAGATTTGTGTACTTCGTACGGGCGAAATCACTAAAATAGAATTTTACAACCAATCCTCGGGGAAACATTTTTCTTTGTCTCGCAAATTGGCCGGGTGCCTGGTTAACCCACGGTTCCTGCATTTGCCATTGACCAACCGTTGGGCCAACCGTTCTGCCTTCTGACTGGTCGCGTGTGAGAACCAGCCTGCAAATCACCTGCAATCACCAGCAAAGACCCTGCTCGTTGATCCACTTGATCCACCGGGCTCCACCCGGTGGGCCTGCGAGGGGCGACAGGATCAGGTACGACTGCACCCGGTTATCGTGGATCGGAGGATCGGAAGATACATCACACCCACAGCCACCACAGCGGTGTATCTCTGTGTATCTGCAGATACACACAGCTGTAGAGAGAGTCAACCCTCACTGCAACCCCGATAATTCCGGATTTTCAGCCTTGGCAATTACCCTAGGGTACTGTACAATTCTCTTTCTCTCCGATCCTCACTGCTCATTACCGTTTTGGGCCCTTTCCGATCTGCACTGTTTTCACCTCCCCCAGCTCCGAGTCGTCTCTCATTTCCCCGGCTTGACTTTCTTTAACCTTCCTATCCGCATTCCTCTCCAGCATACCAACCTTCATTCCCACACATGGCCTTGTCGTTGATCGTCAACGCCGGCCTCATGGCCCTGCCCATCGGCGGGTGTCTGGGCACGTTATTCGGCATCGACGCTCATCGCGCAGCCAACGGTCAACGCCCACTCTTCGCTCCCAACCCCAATGATCCCGATGAGAATCGTGGTACCGGCGGCAGCACTGGAGGTGGTCAAGATAGCACCGGAGGTGGTTCGGGGTCCAGCGGCGGCGATGTCAGTGACAATGGGATCCAAACTAACCCCTACTGTCAACTCTCATATGGTATCACGCCGCCTTCCAAGGATGGCGAATCTTTCACGCGTGAGTTCTTACTGACCTTGACCTCCCTATCCCATTTTGGAGCGACCGGTTAATCTTTTCAATAGTCAATCCCAATCAGTGGAATGTCAAAAAGGGTTCCGATAAGGGCGCCCTCTGCATGAATGTAAGTGCCTCGACTAGTCCCTCATGAGACTAGACCCCTCGTTAGACCCTATCGCAGATGCTAATCTCGCCCCCAATAGGTCACCACATTCAATAACATGACCTACCCGACCAAATACTCAGCCCCCGACTTCTCCGTCACATGGCAATTCGATCCTGGCCCAGAGACCGACCCTGTGTATGCCTTCCCCAATATTATGGTCGACAAGGTGCTGCCAGTGGGCCTCGACGACATGCAAGAGCTGTACCTCAACGTCCACTGGACCTACGGTGTCGGCGACGAGATCGCAACCACCACCGACGAGTCCGAATTGACCGCCAATAATGTCAACACCAACGTCGCCATCGATATGTTCTTTGACAGCGACAAGGTGACCGCGCAGGACAGCACCAGCGCCAAGTACGAAGTCATGGTGTGGTTCGGCATGTTCGGCCCATCTACCCAACCTCACGGCTATCCCACGGTTGTCACAACCAACACGGTCAATGGAACAAAATTGTAAGTTCACGGGATTCCCAACGACCCCTCCCCCTTGATACCCCGACCGATACTAATTTTTCCCCAAGCAATCTGTACTCCGACAAGAACGCGAATACAAATCAAAATGTCCTGACCTGGGTCGCGGAGCATACGGTCGAAGAGTTCAACGGCGACATCTATCCTCTCATCACCGATCTGTACAATATGACCGGCTCAGTCTACCCATCCAGCACTGACTACCTGGGCTACTTTGGTTTTGGATCGGAAGCCTTCTCTGCCGACAAGAATGTCACGTTCGGGGTCACCAACCTTGAGATCGGCATTAAGACATAATCACACAACACACATGTACATATAGACAGCGCTTCTTTTCCCCACAATATTAATGACTGATACGATCCCACTACTATACCAAGCTTATTTCCAAGCGTTGTACGGAGCAATAGACCCGTTTTCTATACGAGCTAGCGCCGATCCGCGTCAAATTTCGGTGGGGCTAGGCGTTCCATAGTCTCCCCGCTTTGTATCTGACACAACTCAATTCAATCGTCTGTCCATGGGAGCTTTCAAGTTAGTAACATGAATGTATTGTATGCTTTAAGTAGTCATTGACGTACTAAAACTTGAATATACAATGGGTTCTCCAGTGGCGTGTCAATGCGCCGGCGTTGGACGAACCGCATACCGCATTCGGAAAGACGCATTGGGTAGGATGGCACATCGATTGGGATCTCCCGTCCAGATAATCAAGATTATGCAATTGTACACGATTCACTGATTCAAACTCAAAGAAAATAAACTACAATGTAGAACGACATCCATGACTCACGCCAGGACGATATAAGCGTTCCCGCAGCCTTGTCCCCGCATTCCACTCATCAGGACTCTCCCTACTTTGTCCGAACTAGCATGTAGAACTCACCTTTCCCCAACAACAACATCTCCTCTGAATAGAAGCACTGCACTAGAACCACCCCATCCCAACATGGAAAACATAACAGCATACCACTTATCAGTATTCTCATACTCACCCACCACCACCACCAACAAGTCGCAAGGAGGCAACCCAACAACAATCTACCTCGGCAATCCAACTGCAACACAAATGCACTCCCTCGCCAAATCAAACACCCACGAATGCGGCTTCGTACTCACCAACAGCCCCACCACGCCCGACCATGACGATTGTCACCTCGCAATGAGATACTGGGTCCCGAACCACGAAATGGAAATGTGTGGCCATGCAACCGTTGGCGCGATATGGTTACTCAATGAATTGGACCAACTACCCACATCCACCAGTGGAAATGGGACTGAGCTTCGGATCTCTACGAAGTCGGGAATAGTCAATGCGAGAGTTCTGCGTGGGCAGGGGAAGGGAGACGGGAAGGAGTCCAAGGCCACGCGTGTCCTTGTCTCACAGCCTCGAGGCATAGTGCAGGATTTGCCATCTTCTCCCGATGACCCGAACGGGCTGAAAGTCCTTCGTGAAATTGTCGCTGCGCTAGGTCTCGATCTGACTGATCTAGATCTAAGCGGCCTAAAAGTTCAAAACGCATCAACATCCCGAACAAAAACCCTAATACCGCTTCGTAATTTAGAGACTCTTGCATCCATCACCCCGAACCAAGAGTCCATTCGCGCAATCTGTGAGAATATCGGGTCAACAGGTTTATACCCGTACGCCCTTGTCGATGTCAAGGAGCAGATTGTCATGGCGCGCCAGTTCCCGAAGTCTTCGGGGTATATTGAAGATCCGGCGACTGGGATTGCGGCTGCTGCGCTTGCGTTTGGTCTTTTGGATGCTGGGGTTTTGTCTGATGCGCGTAGGTCGGTTTTTGTATGGCAGGGGTGGAAGATGGGGAGGCCTTCGGAGATTGAGGTGGTTTTTCGACAGGAGGGGGGAGGAGGGGGAGGAAGGGTCTGGGGGAATTGTGGGTTGTTGGATTTCTGGGAGGGTTGAATGGTTGGATGTTGATACTGCTGATTTTTGATATGCTATCCTACGCGTGTCAGTGCTGGTTGGTATCTACATGGTAGTTACTAGTAGATAATAGTATTGTGAAAACACGTTGTATGTCTGTCCTCCCAACACTATCTGTACCCGGCCTTCTCAAACAACTTTAGAACTTGAATTCAATTTGAAATTGCTGCGATGATCGGTACCCACCTGGGCACTAGGTAGTCATGTCGCAGCCATTTCAACATGATAGAGAAGCAAAAACAAACTAAAATGACCATTCGCCTTTTTCCAAGCCCCACACACGCCCGGAGACTGACCAACAATATCTTTCTACTGCGCCCAGCACTCTCGTCGGGCGCTCAGCTGTGCCCGGCGATCCCCGACGTTGTTGCCTCCAGGGCGTACTCACCCATGCCTAGATCACTATACCGACCGTGAACCTTTCTGGAACGACGTATTTTCGCATGATTTAGGAGTTGGAACGCCCAACAAGTACCACGTGAAGTGGTAGTTCGCGGCTGTGAGGCTCTGTTACAGCTTGAGTACGTTGTTTATCAACTTGCATCTCTCCTGTAGCGGCCGGATCGCTTTTTTCATACTTGGTAAGAATATCTAATCTAGGTCAATGACCGAGGGCTTCACCACTTTAGGTAAGAAGTGTCTAATATACAGTCTCATTTCCAGATGAGAATGGATTTCCTCTGTTGCGACATGACTGGAAGTCGGGCATTCAAATCGACGGCAGATGCCGAAGCTAGATCGGCGCTTCAGCGCCACAGGGAAATTGAAAAGTACCTCGCGTTGGAAAAAAAAAGATCAAGCAAAATCATCAAGACAGTTTTACTCGGTATATGGCTCTATCTGAGACATGCGAAACTCCACTAACATAGATCTACTAGGCATCAAAGGGTCTGGAAAGTCGACCGTGATAAAGCAAATGCACAGTATCTACTCCAACGGCTTCTCCGAAGAAGAGCGTCATAAATCACGCCCTGTTATATTGAAATACCTTCTGGGTATTTTCAAAACTCTGCTAAGTAACATGGATACGGAGAGAATGTCATTCGGTACAGAGACTGCCAAGGTAGTTGGACCTTATGAAGCTTCGGCAGTATTAATCCCCACATTTGTCACTTCAACTTATCGTTTCATGCTAGTTGTCCGTGGATCTGATTGCCAAAACGGATGCGGATGCTGTCTTCAGCGGAGCTCCAGTAGATGCAGCTATTTGCGATGCCATGAAGAACGTGTGGCTTGATCCTGTAATGGGTACGGTTGTTTCGGAGAACCGCCATATCTATTACCATGACAATTGGATTTAGTAAGTGGCTTCCAAGACCGATTTTGGATGGCAATGCTCAAAGTTCCACCTACTAGTTTTTACAACTCTACCGATCGTCTTACTACTCCCGAATGGCTCCCCAATGAGCAGGATACCCTCCAAGCACGAATTCGGTCACTGGGGGTTACTGAAATTTCCTTCAACATAGGTCCGATCACTTGGGAAATGGTCAAAATAGATAATTGCGGAGCGGGGGTACGGGAAAAGGGACTACACCATTTCGAAGATGTCCATTGCGTGCTTTATGTCGTTCCACTTTCCGATTATGATCAACGTTTGATCGAGGACGATAGTGCGGTATGTTCATACTGTAGTAATCGTGCATATTTTTCCTTCCCCGGTGCTGTTTGCTTATTTTGGTATAGACTATGATGCACGAGATAATACTGGCCTTCGAGTCATCGATCTATTACAACCGATGGTTTAAGGACAAGCCTCTCGTTATATTCTTGAACAAAGTGGATATTTTCAAGGAGAAACTTGCTATTTCACCGCTCTCCGAATATTTCCTGATTTTGAGGGTTCGAATACGGACTTCTCGGCTGCTGCAGGCTATTTTGCTAATCGTTTCCGAACATCGGCAACCGCCAGAGCGAAGGAGCGTCAAGTTTATACATATTTCACAAATGCCACCGACACAGCATCAATGAAGGCTACGATGGAAACTATCAATAGTTCCATAATTTGAGGAGCCTCAGCTCCTTCTTTCTTTTGCTTTACAATGAGCCGAATCAAACAAAGGATGGTAAATCTTTAGTATGGTGTTTCAAGTTCTAGTCCGGCAACTTTAATGCAGCTCGACAGTCTTTAAATACTAGCTGTATATTTTCCCGCTTACGATTCACGAATTTAACCACGCGGTCTTTTCCAATTCCTTATTCATAAACCTTGATATGCAGTAGAAGCGTTCGTGCAAGTGTTTTAAACAGTACTTGCAATCACGTGATATAATCGGCTGTTTCTCGGCTATCGAAACCGACATTTGAGTCACTTTCTTTCCGGAGTGTGTCTTACATGTCTTTTGATTCTAAGGAACCGCATCGATTGGGTTCTTTGAGTTAGAAAAATTCATTCTCGTTAATAGCTCTGAAACCTGTGACTTTCGCCCGTGGGGGAATTCCGTCATCCCATCTCGCCTCGAGACGAACAGCTGTGCATGCGATCTTCGGCAAACATTCCATCAAATTGAATTTGAACGAAGAACAAAGCATCGCCAACATAATATAAACCGACTCTTTCAGCATGCTGATTCAGGGGGTTCAGTCTCTTTGGGGCCTAGTGTACGATATTCGCACGATCTATGGCCTTGCAGTGGCTATATTCTTACTACCCGTCATCTTGATCATTGTTGCACGAAATGGAAATGTTTCGATAACGCACAGGAAGCTCAAGAAGACCCATGAGAAGCAAAGGGGAGTCTGTGAACAATATGGAAGATCAATATCATCCCATGTTCGGCCTCCCGGAAACTACTAGAAACATCGGGCTACCACGGATAAAAGCACTCTATCTCCACCCCGTCAAGTCTTGCGGACCCATTGAGGTCGATTGTGCTGTACTCACCAAGACTGGATTCCTCTTTGATCGATGTTTCGCATTCGCAACGGGCCCCCTTGACGACGGTCCCGACTTGACCGAGAAATGGCGGTTTATCAGTCAGCGCACTAAGCCTGCCATGTCCATGATTGAGACTGAAATATGGCTTCCTACCGTGGGTGATCATGTTGGCTATCTGGTCATGTTGTTTCCAAACCCGGAAAACCCTTCTTGGGCCGATAGACTTGAGACGCTTTTTCGCACTTGGGATCTATCCGCCATTCCCAAAGTATCACTCTTCGTACCCCTCGATGTTATAGCTGAAAGCTTCGACGGCTACGTAACGAAGCCGAAGGCCTTCACTATTCATTCTCGTGAAGCCATGGGCCTCGATATGGGGGAGCTTCCTTCTGTCGCAACAGCCATTCCCACGCTGAAAAAGTTCTTAAAAATCCCTCATAACCAAGGCCTGTCGCTTTTCAGGTGTACTGAAGATACCCTAGTCCGCACTGATAAAAACCTCGCACCGCTCGAACACATCGGCACACCGGCCGTCCATGGATACACAGATCAGCAACCTATCAACATAAACAGTCTATCCTCCGTTCAAGCCGTGTCCGAACTCCTCCCCGCCGAAAACCAACCCTTGAATGCACTTCGTTTTCGGGCAAATATTTGGATTGAGAATTCCGCCGCTTACGATGAAGAGACGTGGAAACGCTATGCCATCTTGCCAAAGGATCCTCGTGACATGTCAAAAGCCCCGGCAGTCCCAACTCTCTCTGTTGTATGCCGGACTTCGCGATGCACAATGCCCAACGTTGACCCGGAGAAGGGAGTCTTTGATACGGATAACGCGCCTCCGGATAGGAAGAAAGGAAAGCCACAACCAAGCACAACCTTGGTACAGCACCGTACCGTTGAAGATGGGAACAAACAGGCGCTCGGATACCTCGGCATGCATTGCGTTCCAGAGGATTGGTGTTTGAAAATGGCCAATGATGGTGGTCAAGGCTTGTGTGTTCGGGTCGGTGATGAGATCGAGGTTCTTGAACGGGGGATACATCTATATGGATCCACTGGTGGTGATTACTAGGAGTCGCCGGTTTTCTATCACGTTATTTTTCCTATATAAATTATAAGATGCTGTGCTTTGAAGCGAGTACGATTTCGGTCATTCTGGATGCTTCATATTATCGGTTTCTTCAGTAACTAAGCGCAAATTTGAAAATTTCGCTTTGATCCTTCAGATCATCTTGTCTTGTCCAAAATCAGGATTCAAAAATCAAGTACTGGTTCTTCATACTAGATGAAAGAAAAAAAAACTAATAACCAAACTTGCTTTCTCGGGAATCAGGCGTAGGTCGGGTTGGGAGTTGAAAGAAACTATACGTGAATTCCTTTTTTTTTTGTAATTGGGCTCTTAGAAATCAATCTGTTTCACTAAGTGTCGTAAATTTCATCTTACTAGAGAACGGCATACCTTAACCTTTGCTTTGAATATATGCCTACGAAGGCGAGGGTTGTTAGCACTTAGCCCCGCCATACATAGCGTCGAGAAACAACGTACACCATAGAAGTGGCAAAATATCATTGGATAAGTGACAAAAATAGACACAGCGTACCACTCTTGTCAATGAAATAAAGGGATATTATCTTCAGATGAAACAAATGTTGATAAATGAACTTGATGAAAGAAGGTCCCCGAATGACCCAAAAACCTCCCCTTTGAACAAAAGCATAACTATGCGATGCAGCGGCCCCAGCCAGCACTCTCATCTTCTCATCTACTTATTTTCCTACTATTGACCAGATTTTAATTTGCTAAGTCCAAATCTGACTCGATCTTCTTCAAAATGCCTCGCCGCCGCGAAACGACGCCACGTCCTAGACAGGATCAAAAACGGCGACGAGATACTTCTCCAGAACCATCGAGCTCCCCGCCTCCAGCCAAGAAAGGTGGTACAGGGAAGGGCAAAGATCACCTCAAGGGAACTGGTGGATCTCAAGGAACTTCACGAACTACCGTGACACGCAGCTCTCTTCGTCGGCCTTCCCCGCTGTCGCAGGAGGTGCAGACAGCTGAAAGTAGCGAATATAAAAGATGGCCCCGTCAAGATCCGCCCATCACCAACGTGAATGATATTCCCAAAAGCTGGAAGTGGCACCCGAATGAGCCTGATCTTGATCCAAAGTCTGCTTGTCCTCTAATCCCACTTCCGTGAACAATCAGAACTAAATTTATCCTTGTAATATAGTGACATTGATGGCCATATTGCCCGAAACCGCGAGCGTATCGAGGATGGAATTCTGCCTGCAGTCTTCGAAATACGACTGAAGCAATATGAAGCGAGGAAAAAATACATAGATGATATGATTGCGTCAGAGCCTGCAGGCCTCGACAAGGCTGTGGTCACTCGACTAAATACTCTGAAGACTATGAAGACGATTCTCGAACGAGATGGCGATGAGAGAGAGCAGCTTCCCAATGTCAACGCTCTCATCAAAGCTTATAGATCGGGAAAGCTTACCTGGTCCCATGAGGCAAAAGTCACCTACTGGAACAAAGGGAAGCAGCTATCTAAGCCAAAGGACTTCAGATTTGACGATTTACTCGACTTTCATAAAAAGCATGACACAGGAAAGGGCTTCTGGGTTGAAGGGGTGAATCCATTTTTTCCCTTTCCCCTTAATTCTCATATTCACAGCCGAAAGTTTTCAGCTAACCTCTACGGCGCGTGATCGCTAGTTTTCAGGTCCGGAACCTAAACGCCTAATGGCCCATATGCGTATCCCCGCGAACCCGGCGACCAATATATGGCCCACCCATACGGTATGAATGGGCCTCTAGAAAGAAAAATGGAATATCATCGTACTAATTATTTTTGAATTTTCTTAGATTTGGTTTGAGCTCAGAGCTCCAGGTGTGACTGGCATGTATTGGAGCATGGATTTCTTGGAGGATACCGGGGCAAATACAATGACTATCTGGGATACCGACCTCGATCAATTGATCCAATTCAATGGGAATCCAGTTCCAGTGCCTATTTGCCTGGGAGAAACGGTTATCCACACCGCAAGCGATACTGTTGTAAAAAAGTCGGTTATCGTTGAAGCTAGGGTTACGGCGGGAGAAATGAGAACCAAATGGTTTACACTAGAGGCTATTGTGAGACAGGCTCCTCGGAAGGGCGAATCGGCTTGGAGACTCAGCGGTTCGTGGTGGAGGGAGGCTTTATATACAGCATCGTTTCCAGACAGTCAGAGAGATTTAATTGCTTGTGACAATTACTGGGAGTTTCTTAAATTGGTACCGGATGTCAATCCGAACAATGTGATACCTATTTCGCCTCCTAAGCGAGGTGATAATGTTCCTGGAAGACCACGGGGGAATGCTTTCGATCTATTTCTCTAGTGGCCAGTTCTAGATCTTTCAATTTTGGTATGGCTAGTAGAGGGTTGCGATTTAGTTTTCTTTGGTGGGAGACTGGTAAAGTTGTGTGCGTGGATCTTGGCTTTTTTCTCTCTCTTATGTCGTTTAGTACAACTAGGACAGAACTTTTCAATAGACACAAACTACTACTGAGGTACTGAATGTCAGTAATATTTATCAACTTGAATACCATACCACTAGTACTTGATCCTAACAAATCAGGGTATTGAGTAGGATACTGGGTAGAATACTGGGTCGTATGATGTTTACATCTTTGATACTATCTAACTGCTACTTATACCACTGATATACTACTAGTAGTCACTCGGTATGAGACTGCCAAAGCTAGGAAATAATGATATCATTGATTCATAACTATGAGTTTTGGCTTGTGCTTGAACTTGTGACACTAGATATTTGTTGCGATATTCAAATTCTATCCTCCCATCTGACGTTTGACCGGATTGCTGTATCTCAGGGCACATGCAAACTCAGAGACGATTTTGCTTGCAACGTCTGCAAACGTGTAGATGGCAGTTGTTACATTCGTAGATGAACTTGGGTAGAACAAAATTGCATTGCTCACATCTGAATTCCCCACCTGGCATCGCCCAGCCCTGGCGGTGATCACACTCGTGGCGTTGTCGCAACATCTCGACCACCTCATTCACAATGGCAACCCCTGGCATAGCATTATTTCGAGCTGCAATTCGGTTGGCACGGTCAAACAAGCGACGCTCATCCCATATCGGGCAGGTGCATGTTTGCCACTTCTTGCCACAAACGTAGCAGAATTCGTATCTGCAACGGCAGCTAGAATGATAGCAAGGTCAGTTGCAGTACCAAAGTGGATTGATCAGATAATAATTACGTGATATGGTTGCAGTCCGTGTCAAGCTCCACAAGATTCCGGCACTTAAAACAACGCTTCCAACCCTCGGCCTCCGCCAGTTGGAATACCGGGTCCAGCTTTGTAACGCACTTTCCTGGTGTGTGAAAGTCCTCTTTGCAGAGTATGCATGTTTGGTGCTTACACTCTTGGCATGTGCCACAGTTGCCTTGCTTCCGGTTGGGGGTATGTACGCTGAGCAAGTTTGCTTTGAGCAGTACGTTCGAGAAGTATCGCTGATCTCGATGTTTTTTGCCTCTACTCTGCGCGAGGTCTCCGGCCCGATAAGTGTTCGCACAGGCTCCAGGGGCATAGGTATACGGCAGCAACGTGGTGGGAACAGAGATTCGTCTTTCAGGGAAGCCGAGAAAAGCTGAATAAGGCAGACCTGGCAATAGTAGTGTGAGCAAGGTGCTTCGACCATTGTGAAAAAGATGCCTTGCTCGCCGCATGCAACGCATTCGAGACTGGCTTGCTTGCTTTCATTTCCATTTCCATTTTCATCCTTAGAGATATCCACTGCACTGCGCTTCAAATCAGGCTTTTCTTCGGCCATGATTGTTCCAACCACCCGGCACATCTGTTGCTCGTACAATGAGGGTGACGATTGGTCTTCGGCTGCCGGCGCCATATTCCCGCTCATGTGTAGAGCTATCCGTCGATCAGTCCGCGATCGATCTTCTTCCTTGAGAATGGCTGAGATGAGGGCGGCGTCAGCTCGGGGAACTCGTGCCACCTTGAGGGCGAGTTGACGGTCATGGATAGATGCGTCTACATCGTCGATCTCTTTTTTCCATTGTTCAAGAGCGAATTGTTCGTCGGTGATCGTAACGAAGTCGGTGGGGTTATGGGGCTTGGCCGTTGTTCCCAATATCTCTTTGAGATCGTCCTTCATCAGCTTCAAGCTCTCTGCGTATATTTTACAGCCCATTTTGATGGCCTCCGGTCATGGAAAACAATCAGTGAATAGCTTCTCGACGCGGGAGTGGCGATCGCACTAGTACCGTGAGAGTTGAATATCACCAGAAGTTCGGCTCGATTAGCGGAATGAGAGTAGGTACTACTAGACAACAATATGTGAGTAGACAACAACTTGAATGTGAAGGGGAAGGGGAAGGGGAAGGTGAGGAAGGTGAGGAAGGTAGGAAGGTAGGAACCTTGGAAGTGAAGCAGTGAAGCAGGAGCGTTCCCAGCGCGCCTCAGATTCGATAGGCAGCCAGGAATTGCGGTGAATAGGACAGTACTATTAGTAGCCAGGGCAATTTAAGCTGACTGCCTAGTAGTAGTATATAATCAGCCTTTAAGGACCTTAGCCTCTTCAAGTTGGATAAGTTAAAGATAGCACCTAATAAATGCCCTAACTAGTACCTAAAGCAGTACTGTAAAGCAAACTTGAAACTAATATTAGGAATCTTAGAAGCTACAATAAGTATACTCGGTTAGGTACCCGGGAAGATTCAAGTTTGAAACCCGAATGAATGTGTATTGAGATAGTACCATAGGCCACAAAACCTTTGCTAGAAATTGGCAACTATTACTGAGCCGTAGGCAGTCTCATACAAATTTACTAGGATCATCGCCGGCACTCTGGGGAAAAGGAGAAAGCTACTACCTGATGTCATACTTCGAGCTTCTTAGGTGCCTGAGGCTGCCAGGAACGAGAATACATACTTGTAGACTAACACGTGATAGGTCGAGACCTGATTGACATATGATTTACTGTAGAGCTGTACATAGAGTACTATGTACTCCAGGGCTATTCGTCCGGGATCATGGTAGCGCGTGGGTCTTCCCTTTCGATAGTCTCCCGATTGTCACCGTGAATCTGGCAAGGAAATAGAAATTCAGACATCCCCACAGCCTCGGAACAAAAGATGAAATCAGAGAATGCTCCACTCGCGGCGCGGCGCCCTGGCCCATTGCATCATCGCCTCCCCGGCTCCCAGATCTCGTGCATCCACTGCTCGTGGCTTCAAGGATCGCCCCATCGATCGGTCGATCCAGCTATACTTGAAATTTGCGTGGACGCTGATCTTTGTTTGCTCAACATGAAATACTATCCATTCGTCCACAATTTCAGCCTAACCATGGATAGCCTTCAATAAACGATTCCTAGTCAGCTCCTGCGGAATCTAGGGCTAGTCATGGCTGAGCGATCATCCTGCATTCTTAAAAGGCTCTTTGCCCTGAGAACTTCCCTTGGGAGAGTAACTAGAATCTTTGCGCATTGTCGTCATTGTCACTATGGAGATCCCTGACATTCCCGACAATCGTCCACACAAGTCACCTTCGGTGCTGTCGTACTCACCGACCATTGTCCTTGATGGCGCGACAGACTATGGGTTTGAATCGCAACCCAAGGACAGCGACTACCAGGACATGCGAAAAGCTCCGCCGGTAGATACGCCGCAAGACATGCGCCAGGAAGTTACCCAAGATCTCAGTACGCCAGAGCCACAAGAAAAGCCGAAGGAACTGAACGCAATGCCGAATGGCACAGAACAGTGAGACAAAGATCTGCAATGCAAAGTTGCAGGAACCCGCCGCTAACCTAATGGCGTAGTCTTCCTCCCCCACCTAGCAGCGACGGCGACGTCGACGAGCTTCGTCCCAAGTCATCGCTCAAAACCCTTCGCCGAAATTTCGCACTAAATGAGCTCCCACTGCTCCAAGCGACGAACCCATACGATGGTTCTGAGCAATTCAATCCGGTCAACGAGGAGGATGGCGACACATTCGACTTGGTTGCTCCATGGGAGGGCGATGCGGCCCCACTGCACTCTCTTGAGCGCCAAGCGGATACGATGTTTTCGCCCGACCATATGCTAACCATCTTGCGAAATCCGCGCTATTTGGCGCGCTTTCGGAATTTCCTGGTCTCGGAGCGCCCGAGGTCTATTCCCACATTGACATATTATCTTAATGCCTGCAAGGCGCTGAAAGCAATCCAATATGCAAATTCCCTTGTACGATTGTCGGTAGATGTGCCGACGGCCGGGATTGAGCAGGCTCAAGAACCCGTTGGCCTAACTACAAACACAGCACTCGAAGCCCGTGTTCAGGATGCACTGAATGCTCTGACTGCAGAGGAGCTTCCCGCATTCATCACAGCGACATGTATCAACATCACGAGCAAAGTTGTCGAGGAACGCGTGCGAGGAACCCTGCCAGACAAGTTCCAGGGAACATCAGACGCCCTGGCGGAAGTATTCTGTTTGACAGACCCCTCGCGCCCCGATAACCCAATTATCTTTGCATCGGGAGGTAAGTAATTCACTGCCTTGAGTATTGAGGAAAAATTGGCGTCTAACATCTGCTCAGAATTCCACCGCACTACGCAATACGGCATGGACTACGTCCTTGGACGAAACTGCCGCTTCTTGCAAGGCCCCAAGACAAACCCTAACAGTGTCCGACGCATTCGCGAAGGCATCCAGTCAGGTCGACATCACTCAGAGTTGTTCCTTAATTAGTAGGTCACTTGCTTCTCTGCCTTCTCAACCCAAAAGCTAACGATAGACGAAAGCCGCCGCGATGGCTCTCCATTCATGAATCTGCTTCAATGCGCACCGCTTTGCGACAGCCAAGGAAAAATTCGGTATTTCATTGGAGCTCAAATTGACGTTTCAGGCTTAGCGATGGAGGGCGCGCAAATGGAATCTCTCCAAGATTTGCAGGACCGAAAAACTTCAGAAGAGGAAGAGGAAGAGAAAGAGGAAGAAGCTTCCCAGCAAGATGATGTATCGCACCTCAAACCTAAGCCAAAAAGCGAATTCCAAGAACTGGGTGAACTGTTCAGTCCCCGGGAGCTGCAGAATGTGCACAATTACGGAGGCAATCTGTTCCACCCTGTGGCCGACCGACTCAACCCAAAGAATAGCCGCCTGTGGATCCAAAGCCCTGAGGGCGAGAGCGAGTCTCGGTTAGGGGTCCCATCATCTGTTTCCAATGGCGGAGGCTCTTTGACTGGTGTCTACAAACATGTAAGCATACCCGCAAGCTCAACCTCCTTTAGATATGCTAATCGCGTTTGGTATAGTACCTTCTTGTCCGACCATACCCATCACTCCGCATTCTCTTTACATCGCCCTCCCTTCAAATCCCCGGTATGCTTCAATCGTCATTCCTATCCCGTATTGGCGACTCGGGACCCAAGCGTGATAGCATTCTACATGCCATGATGGCCGGACGCAGTGTCACAGCTCGGATTAAGTGGGTAAACCGCTTCAGTGATCATGGTCGGCATCGCTGGATCCATTGTACGCCGTTGCTGGCGAATAATGGAGAAGTGGGAGTTTGGATGGTGGTGGTTATCGATGATGAAGATGAAAGTATGGTACGGTGGAGTGGAAATTGGCCGAGTGCCTAGTGCTTAACGAAAACTTGACTTTCTTGTATATACTTCGCTTATTGTATATTATCTTAAACACATGAATAATCCTACGAACTTTATCAAGAGTTTCGAGCTATTGATAACGAGTATTGCTATAATATTCAGAGCCTAGTCTCTACGCAATAAACCCCGTAATTTCAGACTACACAGTAGAGATTTAGTACACATTATACGGCTTGGGATTTTACCAAGTTATATACTACTCAGCACCCCAAATTGTTAGGATCAAGTAATTTGTAGTATAGGTCATGGTAGAATAGCTTCCCTGGGGGAGCGACAGAGCCTTCTAGGGAACACTACTAATTTTAGTACTAGTAGTAGAAACACTGGGTCGATTGCGGCTATAGAGAACCACAAGCAGCCGGTGTGAATATCAGGTCCACTCACTGTTTTCAATGAGCCCGGGTAAATTGGATCAGTAAACTTCATCCCAGTTATAAATGTTGTATATAGTCATGTCCCTATGAAATTTCTAATAAACCCTTATATTAATAAGCTTAATTTCCTCAATATATATCCAACAGCACATACAGCAACCTAAAAAAGCTCTATTATTACTGCAAGCTTTACAGGCTCTGGTTGCAAATACGGCCACAATTGGCAAATGAGACCAATATGGCAACAACATCGGCACCTCCGCGCGCAGCAAGATCGGCCAATGAGAGGGCGCCACAGCGTTGTGGCAATTGCCGCGAGATAGGGCATAAGCGTAATAGGTGCCCGCTTAATAAAAGTACTTAGTTTTTGCAATTTAATTAGTGTTGGTGGGTTTATTCATATAAAACGTAGTTGTGGTGGAGATGGGTGTCCGGATAGCTCGGGTGGCCGACCCATGAAACACGTTATACTCCACGACGGACTTAACATGGGCCATCTGACTATATCCGAGATGTTCCCCTTCGGATATAAATAGGACCCCAGGTCTCGAGTAAATTTCTTCTCGAGTCAAGCAAACTGTGTTACTATTTCTACATAATGGCCTCCTCGTCCCTAAAGTATACTTCCAAGCTTGTCGGCCAGCGGGTCCTGGTGTTTGGAGGCACGTCCGGCATTGGGTTCTGTGTCGCCGAAGCAGCCTTCGAGCATGGCGCCCACCTCATAATTTCCAGCTCGAATCAAAGCAAGCTCGACAAGACAGTTACTAGGCTGAAAGAAACCTACCCCTCTCAGAGTGAAAAGCAAACCATCACTACTCACGTCTGCGACTTAGCCGATGCCGCGAACCTCGATGCCAACATCCAGTCTCTTTTCGAAGAAGCCACCAACTTCGGCACCGTCAAGCTTAACCATGTTGCTTTTACCGCGGGCGACATGCTCAGTCGACCACCTCTGGAAGGGTTGACTCCCGATGTCATCTATAGCGGCATAAATGTCCGCTTCGTCGCCCCGGCCGTGATGGCCAAATACATCCACAAATACGTGGAGCTCTCCCCAGCTAGCTCTTTCACTATTACCAGTGGTGTACGCAGTCAGAAACCAGCACCGGGTTGGACTATGGCTACAGCCATTAGCTCTGCTGCTGAGGGTCTTGCTCGCGGTCTTGCTGTGGATCTCAAGCCTATCCGGGTGAATGCCGTTGCTCCCGGTGCGGTGCACACGGAGCTTTTTTCTCTTTTCCCGGATCTTGACGGTGCTCTGGAAATTTTCCGACAAGCATCGACCACTGGTACAGTTGGTAAACCGGAGGATTTGGCGGAAAGCTACCTTTATTTGATGAAAGATCAGTTCGTGACTGGCACCGTGATCCAGTCCAATGGTGGTTGTCTGCTTGTTTAAGTGATTGTAATCTTAATTTTCAAAGTTCAATTTATTTCCTAGATGAAATTGTAATGGAATTTTGATCCATTAAACACTTTCATAGCAAAGCAAGGTGTATATTACCCATTTAGTGTGGTGTGGGGGCAGCAAACGGATTGAAAGGCACGAGGACTAGGTAGAAGGACAACAGCAACAAATGAAACAAAGGGAAGGAAGGGAAAGAAAACAAACCAAATGAATACCTTGTCCCAGTTTTGACCTGCGACCTGGAAAAAACAAACAAAAAGACAAGGTAGGCACGCATCGGTCCCTGTGCGCCTCTTCAAAGTCTCCTCACTCTTCCCCCCGAATGATCAAGGCCAATACCATTAGACCATTCGGAGGCTTATTGCCCAGAGAGACTGTTTTGACAGACATTCTTAACCGATACTTCGCCCACTATTTGATTTATCCTCAGCTGTCCCCATTCTCCCTTCTCCCTCTGCGAGATCGCCAACATGTCATTGTATAGACGAGTATAGACACTCGGGCCCTTCAAATGCCATTAGGTAAGCACTCTTAAATCCGTTAACTTCGGCCCGCCCGCCGCCACGTCAGATTCCGCCCGGCGAGCTCTTTGGCTTCTGCAGCCGCGCTGGTCGAGGTGGGCAGTCCACAGGCTTTGAGAGAACACTCGTTCACCTTTATATCACCATACACTCTACAGGGCCTCGTCAGAGCCCACCTACCCCACCATGCAGGGCTTCAGTGAGTACCCAGTTCCGCCATACACGAGGGAGTCAAAGAGCTAACTGGTCTACAGATATGGGACGGTCAGTCGCAAAATGGGAATCATGGCAATAATTTTCCACTGACACAACCACAGATATGTCCCACCGGACCAAGAAGGCATCACCTCCGCGAATAAACTGGCCGGCAAGCACCCTCTCGGTGCCCGCGCCCGACACCTCCACACGACCGGCGCCCTGATCGTTCGATTCGAGATGCCATTCGCAGTATGGTGCACAACCTGCAAGCCGAATGAGACTATAATCGGACAAGGCGTTCGCTTCAATGCGGAGAAAAAAAAGGTCGGGAACTACCATTCGACGCCGGTGTACAGCTTTCGCATGAAACACACAGTATGCGGTGGGTGGATTGAGATTCGGACCGATCCGCAACACACCGCATATGTGGTTGTGGAAGGTGGGAGGAAGCGTGATACCGGCGATGATAAAGAGGCACAACCTGGGGAGATTGTTATTCGGCCATGGGGTTTGGGCGAGCAGGACCCTGCTGAGAAAGATCCGTTTGCCAAGCTTGAAGGGAAGGTAGAGGATAAGCAACGGGCGCAGACTGAGTCGAGACGGATATTGGAGTTGCAGGAGCGCCAAAATAGAGATTGGGAGGATCCTTATGAGAAATCGAGACGATTGCGGCGCTCATTCCGGACTGAACGAAAGGGTCTTGAAAAGGCGGCGGCGAATCGAGAGGCGCTGCAGGATAAAATGAGTCTGGGGATTGAACTTGTTGATGAAACTGAAGAAGATCGCCAACGGGCTGGATTGGTTGATTTTGGTGATGACCAGTCTGCTATCGGGACTGATGCTTTTCGAGCTACAAGAACCCGCCCTATGTTTGAGGCATCTGTTCCCGAAACACCCTCCGGGGCAAAATCGCAGAAAACAAAACGCAGCTTCAGGGAAACAAAGGCTGATAAATTGGCTGCACGGCACAAAGCGTCCCTACGCCATGAGTTAACTGGAAATACGCGTGCTGTCGTGGATCCCTTTCTGAAGGATGTTAGTGCGAGTGAAGACATCTGGAAACCGGGTATTAAGAGGAGAAAGACCGCGAGCAACACTCCCGGCTCTCAAAAAATGACACACTTCGTTTCTAAACCCGAGGAAGGTGACCATACGCCAAAGTCTGAGACTGGTTCAGTCACACCCGAGACCGACTCGCCAAGCGTGGACGTTGACAGGGATGCTCTATCTAAGACATCACTTCCAATACTTGTTGGATACACTTCTGACTCGGAATGAAAGAAAAAAAATTATAAGCTCGATTGGTTTTTATTGTTTTATACCCTGGGGGCGTTGAGTTTAATTGCAATGAATCCATCGCTTTTGATGCTTAGACAACAGTCTTGACTTTATAATAACTCGATGTTCTGCATTACATGGGGTATCTTATTTTCATCTTCATTTAGCCCAAGGGGCCTTTGTAGGGCCGTCTCCACCGGGCGGAGCTGGGGGCTGGGAGTTTGCCCACGGAGCCCGGGTGGGAGCCATAGGACCCGGAGGCAGTCGAGAAGTATCTGGAAGAGCTGCCATGCTGGGGCCAGGGATGGAACCCGGGGCTGGGGGACCATCTCTTCTTGTCGCTGCCCAAGGCGCCGCTGTCGGGCCCATTGGAGGGGCTCGGGATCCAGCTCCTGCTGTTGCCCATGGCGCCTTCGTTCCGCTATCTGCACCTGGTCGGGCCGTTGCGGATGTCGGTGGACCGGCATCTGGTACGACAGGCCGTCCCTGTGGGCCAGAGGTGGCATGTACAGTAGATGGAGGGGCGACGGCATAAGGATCGCGGTCCCAGCTGAACAGAGAGCCGAATGGGAAATGCTGCACCACAGGGTACTTGGACAGAACTTCTGCGTTCCACATTTTGATCATTCCCTGGTGATGATCAATGTTCGTTTCAATTTGCATAAAATCAAGCGAATTGACATATCAAACTTACCTTGTTGATTTTCCCCCAGCCAGCTCGAATACCTGATATGTCGTAAAGCATGGGACTATGTTCCCAGAACGGGCCTTTCTTCACGTCATAGATGAATCCGATAGCAGAAAAGTACATGTTAGTCTTTCTCTCTCGCTCCACGATGTTTTGCTTGACTACGCCGGCTGGGTCGGGAGCATCCGGCAGCGAACCCTCCTCAGGGGTCAAATCAGTCTCATTGATAGCTGGTGACAGTTGAGCAGATCCGAATATGTAAGGGAGAAAGGCGTGGTCGTCGAGGCCCCATACTCCGTGGGAGCCGGCAGGTTCGAGTGTATATGTTTTGATAAGTAGTCTCACGAGGTCCAAGTACCTAAAATCAGCGTAAGGAGGTATTTAAGTATTGATGGTTTGCAGCGTGGACTTACGGCTCGATCACGCCAAGCACAATAGCTCTCTCTTCAACACCCGGGCCGGACTTGGGGAACCCATTGAGCTTCCAAATCGACCCCAAGAATGCCAGGAAGCTGAGCTCATGCCCCGTACCGTAATCCAACCTCTGTCCACTTCCCCAACTTCCAAGAAAATACGCTTTAAGCTCCGCCTCGGCAGTGACGCCATCTGCCTCCGACGAAGGTCTCTCCAAGATCTCCGCGGGTAAACATTCCTTCAGCAAAGAAGACGCCCGCTCTTCCAAGACCTCGTGCCATTTTCTGAAGCTGATGTTTCCGAATCTGCGCGGGCCGCTGTCTGGTGGAACCTCCAGTACAAGGTCTTCGAGTTTTGAGAGGAGGTCTTGCAATTGTCGGACCGGTGCAGAGAACTGCACTTCTTCGGCATTCAGGGGCCATGATTGTGAAGTCCCGTCGGCAAGTTTTTCCGGAAACATCGACCTGTTCAACTGCAGGGCGAAAGTCATGATATCCGTATAGCCCTTCGAGATCAAGAAAGGAGGAACATCTTGCGCCTCGTGGATTTTCTTGACAGGTTTCATAAAGTTGTGTGATGCTGCCGAATCGAGCGTCGGTAGAACGCGGACAGCGCGGCCGTCCGTGTTCATTTTGATGAGTGTGGTGATAGAAATGTAGATGACTTTATCCAATCGTTAGGAAAGCTGTGGAGGGGAAGTGGGATGACGGCAGGCGGGCACAGATGGGCTCCACCCAAGCTCTTTCACCTCCGCTCCGCTCCCGCCTCTACCGCACGTCACACGTCGCATGTCCCATCGCGCATCGCGAAACTCAGTGGCAATCGCCACCACTCCCTTGCGATCATGGCGCCTGCCCGAAAAAGAAAAGCGCGTTTCTCGACAAATACGTCCCTCGATTTCCTCAATAATGTGTCCACCACAGCTCCGGCTACCAGGAGACAGACCGCGCGACACGACGGCGTCTACGATATCCCCACCTCGCCCGAGCCACGAAAGCCTTCCCGCAAAAGCGAGCCACAACTATCAAGGAGACCTCGTACCCGTCAGAACAAAAGTACACCGACCCCTGAACCTGCTGAGCCCCCCCGAGTCAAATCGCGAGCCGGAGAGCGTTGAAGAAGTGGGCGCAGAGCAGCCGTCATCCGACGCGGACTATCATGATGCTGAGTTGAAGTTGTTTTCGAGTGACGAGGAGGAGGAAGAAAGAAATAGTCGTGCAGATGATCCTCAAACCGAAGGAACCGAGGAGCTCTTCGAACATTGGGAAGTCAATGGCGACGAGGGTCAGGAAGACGAAGATGAAATCGAAATGGACGCAGAAGACATCGCAGAAGATGCAGACACTTTGCCGAGGCAAGACAGCGCAGAACACAGCGGACATGCCGATCAGATCGTAGGGGGTCCAGATGACGATTTACCGGTCCACTCTCAGGGTTCTCATCAACTCGTACCATCACGAAGGAACATTGAGATAGTGATCGATAATAGTCCATCGGCCCGGAGCTATCTATCCCATGGGTATGCTGAGACTATTCATGATGAGACCATTCACAATGTCAATGATCATGAATTTGAATCCCAAGCGCAACCAGCCAAGCAAGTATCAGACAAGCGGAAAAAAGAAATCGATCCCAACATACAACTTATTCGTGATCTCCGCCATTGGTTTGTCCGAGAAGTCAAGAAAACCAGTGTGGGTCCTGAATGGAACAAGCTTAACGAAAAAGGACGAAGCTTGAAAGCATATGCCATATCGCCACGACCGAAATATCTCGAATCTCTCTACCAGTTGTTCGCTGAGTATCGAAATCTTTACAAGGAAGCTATAGAGCGTGGCGGTCTCACCGAAATTCTCCGGAAACAGCTCCAGAATATCAGAGAATCCATTGTGACAGAAGTCAGGCAGCTCTTCGAGCATACATCAGAGGTACTGCAAGAATCCAGTGTGCTTGATCAGTTTGAAGCGCATTTTATACCGAAAATGGTCATCTTGACTCAACTCGGTTTCCGGATATACCGAATAACAGACGGGCAGACCCGTGACCAACTGTATCGGACATTAGATCTGCTGTTGGTATGCATAAGTCTTATCAAACGATACATGGGACTGCTCACGCCAAGTTACCGATCTGGGACCCTTGTCCAGCCACTTCAACGTGTTATGAAAGCTCTGGAAAATGGACAGCTGAGGGCCCACTGGCCTGGTCCGGCCAACGACCAGCATGATTGGGCCGATATCCCACCTGTGACTCATCACTGGACCGTGAATGAGGAACGAGTATTGAGACATGGGATGGTTCGATATGTTGAGGACAGTCAGTATTTCACTAACTTGAATTCTTCTGTGGTAGGAAACCATTCTCACTCCAGTCTAGATAACCCTTTTCTTCAAATTGCCACACACTGGGGGCATAAACTCCCTGGTCGGAGTATGAGGGACATGGAAGGTAAAGCCAGAGCGATGGGACTGATATGACATGATATTAAAACTTGTATTTGATATCTCTTTTCTTCTTCTTTACAATGATTTGATGCTTGATGCGCTATACCCAATATGAATTTTGGCTCAAGTTCGGTTCCGGCGGATCGGGCTGGGCGAACCACGGATTGCCCTTTGTTTTGGTCAACGCGTTGCACTTCAGGGGTTCTCAAGCTTCAAGTTCGGTTTTACATAGAGATAATACAATAACTGAGTGCAATATATCACACCGTGGGCGTTCATGCGCGTCCGGCGACAAGGTTTAGAATATAATAATGATCGGCATAGGGTCTTCAGCCGTTTTGTGTAGATACTCCCAACAGCAGAGACGACGATCCCTCCCCCCCCCTCCTCCTAGCCCTCCGCCTTCCCCCCGTCTCCACCGCTTTGCTCCCGCCTCCTATTCTCTGCTTTTCACTCCAACCTTTTGCGCCATAACGCGACCTTTGTCTTTCCTCTTGATACTGTGGTCGCCGACTTGGCCGATTATCAGAATTCGTGCTGAGGCTTTCCTTTGTCCTCTCGTCCAATTCCGTGAAGCTCCTGGAACAGCTCTATACGCGCCGCGTAAGTACCATCTTTCTTTCTTTTGAACACAGACCAGCGGGTTGGCAATTTCTGGGCATTGAGTGCTTCTGCACGGCCTCTGTCTACAATCTGAGCCTCTGCAGTGGTCTATTCAAGGCAACCAAGGCACCTTTCATCCACAGTTTCCAGATTCTTTATCCCGAGGCCCAGAGCTTTGGCTACAACCCAGGGGCATTGAAGAACAAATGATCCTGTGGATGATGGTATTGGGCCTCAAAGCATGCAGCTTGCAGCTCTTTCTCGGCCTAACATATATATGGATACCACCTACCCTGTTACCTACTAGGGTCTCATGCTAATTGTTAATCACATCTCTATAGACCCCTTTTGCTACCGGAGAATCGTGTCGCCCAGTCGCCCACCACGCTAAATTTACATACTTCCTACAATCCAACCGTACCAATTGGCCGCGACTATGGCCTCAACCGAAGAGCCTACTATTCCCATTTCCTCCGATGTCGAGGTCGACACCGAGGTCAACACCGAGGTTGTGCCTCCGGCCACCCCGGTAGACTCCACCATTCTGTCGGGAGGTGAGGAAGCCAAGTCGAGCCCCGAGGTACCCAAGGAAAACATCCCAGCTTCTCCTTCGGCCGCCAAAGGCAGCACTGGTGCTACAGCTTCTGCTAAGCGTCCAGTCTCAAGCTCGACTGCCTCCAAACGTCCCACCTCGTCCTCCACCTCCACTGCATCGTCGAGACCTACAACTTCGACCACACGGGGCACGACATCGACGAGCAGCACCCTAAACAGACCTCCAACTCGTCCTACCACTACCACTGCCACCTCCGCAACCCGCAAGCCTTTGAGTACTTCGACGACCTCTTCTCACCGGTCTCGCGCCTCGGTTAGCAGCTCCGCGGACGAGAAGCGTTCAGTCGCTAGCTCCGGAGATGAGAAGAGAGGCATCTCGAGCACTGCAAAGCGCATGTCGATGGCTGGCACCGCATCTACGCGTACTCCCCTGAAGACCTCTTCAACTCTCGACCGCAGATCGAGTGTTGCTGGTTCTGCTCTGGACAAAAAGCCCGCAGCCTCTACCACCCGGACCGCCACCTCGACCAGCAAGCCCGTTGGGAAGCTCACATCCGCGACTTCCACCACTCGCACAACTCCTTCATCCACAACTGCCACTCGGACTGCCACGCGGCCTACCTCCACCACCTCTACTGCGCGGTCTGTCGCATCCTCGGCCACAGACCCGAAGAAGCGTCTTAGCACGCTTGGCACTTCCACTGCTAGAAGTGCTGGTGCTGAGGAGAAGCTCCAGGCTCTCCAGACAAAGCTGTCTGAGAGTGAAGAGACTGTCAACAACCTCAAGGCCGAGCTCGAGACGGTGAATGAGAAGCTGGGGCAGCTGTCACTCTCGGGAGAACAGGCTGCTGAGAACAGTGCCGACACTGAGGCAATTCGTGCTGAGCACACCGCAGAGCTTGAAAAGCTCACCTCCTCGCACGCTGAAGAACTTCATTCTCTTCAAACCCGACTCGAAGATGCGGAAACCCAGTGCAAGGAACTGGAAGAGCAGTCCCAGCAGCAGCTTGAGGAAGCCAAGCAGTCTGCCGCTGCTTCTGGTGACGACAAAACTGCCGCTGCACTTGAAGAGTTGAAGGATACTCACAAGGCCCAGCTTGAAACTCTCGAGAAGGAACTCGCAGATCACAAGGCTGCTGCTGCTGCTTTTGAAGAGCAGATAAATGCCTTGAAGGCTGAGATTGAATCTGAAAAGGCACTGCGTGAAGAAGAGAAGTCTCAGTCCCGCGTTAATGTTGAGCGTGAACTTAAGGGGTCCAGCCAGGTCATTGAGAATCTTGAAACCGAGCTTCAAAAACTGTCTGCCTCCAACAAAGAAATAGCGGCTGCAAAGGAAGCCGTTGACGCATCTGTTGCACAGATGAAAGAGCAAATTTCTACTCTGGAAGTTAAGCTTGCTGAGGCCGAATCCTCTACCCAGGAAAGCTCAGAGCAGACTACTAGTTCCCTTGCTGAGAAGGATCAACAAATCACTGAACTGAAGCAAGCTATTGAAAAGGCTCAGGCTGAGCTTGAGGAGGCACGCGAAGCCGCTGCAAAGGTCAAGGAGCTGGAGTCTACCCACGAAGCCGCGGTAGCCAACCTGAAGGCTGAGCACGACACTACTTTGAGCTCCCTTTCAGCATCGCATGCAGAGGAACTTATTGTTGCTAAGGCCGCGGCTGAGTCAACTGGTACCGAGCACTCTCAACAGCTCGAGGAGCTGCGTGCTTCGCTAGATGCTGCCAAGGCAGCTAGCCAAGGTGGCCACGATCTTGCTATTTCTGAGCTCAAGGCTGCACATGAGTCGGAGATCAAGGCCCTTCAGGAGAAACTCACCGCATCTGAAACGGCACTCGTTGATTCTCGTCGGGCTGTTGACGAGGGCAACGCTCATGCCCAGGAGGATGCCGTTCACGAAATTGAGGCCCTTCGCCAGAAGGTTGAATCTCTTGAAACTCAGCTGTCCACTGGAACCGGTGAGATCAGGGCCCTGCAGCAGGAAGTTCAAAGCAAGCAAACCGAGGCCGAAGAGCTTTACCACAGCCTGAAGAACCTTGAGGGCGAGGCAAAGTCCAGGGAGGTTCAGAAAGAAACCAAGCTTAAAGAGCAGGATGATAAGCTGAAGGCTTTGGAGGACAAGGCTACAGATGCTGCAGTCCAACTTGCCGCTGCTATTGAGAAGCATGCTCAGGAATTACAGGCTGTGAAGAGCGAGCATGTCGCTGAGCTGGAGCGGGCTAACCAGGAAGCCTCGGGATCCCAAGAGGGCGCTTTGAGTGAACTTCAGCAGAAGCACGACGACCTCTTTGCTAAAAACCGGGATCTGGAATCTAGCCATGCTACTCGCGTCGAGTCCCTCGAGGCTGAGTTGAAGTCGACTCTGGAGCGCCACGCTGGAGAACTTGCGACTCACACTGAGGCTCGAGGCAGTGACGCCAAGCTCCAGCAACAAGCTCAAGAGGCTCAGGCTAAGCTGCAGGCCGAGTTTGAGGCACTGCAAACCGCCGGCCAGACTGATAAGGAGACGCACGCCAAGGAGATTGCTGAACTCCAAAGGGGCTTCGAGGAAACTAAGGCGAAGTTCCAGGCTGAACTTGAGGCTTCTCAGGCCTCAAAGGCTGCTGATGCCGATGCTGAGCACGGAAAGGCGATTGAAGAACTTCTCACCCTCCAAGATACTAAAGTTGCTGGTCTGAAAGAGCAGCTTGAGGCATCAAACAAGGCCAACATCGAGGAACTCCAGAAGTCGCACAATGCCGCCCTGGCAGCAGCCAACGAGCAGCTTTCTCAGGCCAAGTCTGCTGCAGCGGATACATCTGCCCTTGATACCTTGAAAGCGACCATCGTGGAGCTCGAGCAGAAGCTGGTGGATTTCGAAAAGGCCCACTTGGCAGTGCAGGAATCGGCGACTAATGCTTCTCGCGATCTTGAGGAAAAGCACGCTACTGAGCTTTCCAACATCCAAACCGAGCATGCAGCACTTGCTGAGAAGCATCAGGCAGCCATCGCTCAGGTTGAGGAACTACAGAAATCCGCTGCTGCGTCCAGCAGCAACCAGTCCGATCTGGAATCTATCAAGGCCCAGCTCTCCCAGTCCCAGGCAGAAATTGACTCGCTCAAGACTAAGCACACTGCCGCAAGCCAGGAACTTGAGGAAGTCCGGGTTCAGAACAAGGCCATGGAGGAGAGGCTTGCTTCTGGCGAGCGCGACCTGAACGACCAAATTGACAAGAACATGTCTCTTCTCAATCAACTCGGTGATATTGAGAGCCAAATCTCCGGTAGTCGTCGACGTATCCGTGAGCTCGAGGCTGAGCTCGCTGCTCTGAAGACCAACAACGACAATGACAAGAGCACTTCATCCGGGCTGAATGCTAGCCGATGGGCATCGGCAGAGGAGGGTAGCGAGAACGCTGAGGAGGGAGGTCCAGCCGCAACGGAAGGTGAGGACCTTGGCCCATCCATCGAGGGAACGGTGGGAGATCCCCGTTTGAAATCTTCATACTCCTCAGATCTGCCCGCATTCCATCCATTTACATGAGGTTGAGACAAATTTGATTCTTACATAAACTAATCAATATCTGTAGATGGCAAGCATTCAGGAACAGCTTAAGCACATCCGATACGCGAATGACGAGTGGTATGATGAGCATCGCAAGTTAGTGTCCACCTACATACAATTTATCCCTACCCACCGCAGGATCCGTGCTAACGATGTCCCTTGCAGACTCATCGGAGAATTAGCTCATCTTTCCCGCCGAGCTACCCCCGACACCCGCAGTCTCTCGTCAACCCCCCCACCCAGAAACGGCAGTTTCAGTTCAAGAATCAGAAAGCAGCCGCAGTCGTTCCGATACTCCTGCCGCTCGGTAGAAGTATTGGGGACGGTCGTGATTGTTAGACCTTTTGCCAGGGAATGTCAATCAATCCCTTGCAGGACGGCATGATTTCCCTTTGTTAGATCCATTTCGCTCGTTCCTCGTCTTGGCTCGTTGTATGTAATAGGACTCAGGATACCCTGCTTCTGTTGGAGCCGTGCGGCTTTTATGTCACATACGTTTATTGTTTAATGCTATCACCTCGTCTGCTTCTACGGATGAGTTGCTACGTGTATATGTATATACTCCACTCTTACAACATAAGATTATTCCCTTTTTGGAGTGAACGTCGGACACCACTAGTAGTAATCGTCAATCGTGAAGTTCAGCTGCATTGCATTTCCCTCGCCGTCATCGTCATCGTCAATGCCTATGGATGCTAAATCTCCTTCCAGGGCTCTTTAAGCTCGAACATCGCTCCGTCCATCATGGTGATGGATCTTCAAGGTCGTGATATCGACATCTGCCAGAGTTCGTACCTATATGGCATCAGCCGGGGGAACTTTGAACAGCTTAAACTGCCGGGTATCTTGATACATTAAGAGCAATTACATTCCCAAAGTCCGGGTTCTCGGAACGAGCAAACAGACTCGTCCCGCATGTGGTGCAAAATAGTGCGGAAACAGCTTGCTGCCGAAGCGATATTCTTTGGTTCTGAAATATAACACCGGACAAAACATCGAGATCTTTCGCAATGGTTTATGATAGGACCACCACATGGTTGTTTTGAATTTCTAAAGATCTTCATTCATTACATCATAACGAAACAAAATTCATTCGAGTCAATAGGCGAATATAAGAATGGTAGGGTAGAGTATGCCTTGTTCGCCCCATTTACCGTCCCTACTGCCCTACCCACTTGTGTCCCCACACCGACTAGCGCTACGTCAATCACGACCATCGGGATGTTTGAAAAACCCGCTCGCCCGCTTTTCTCTTTCATGACCTTTATTTTATACCCGACCATCACTCAAACACGGCCGCGCAATCGGTCAACACCTAATTCCTGAACCCTGGGCCCTTGCAATCATGGAGATCCTCGAGAGAAACATCAAAGTGGCCTTGGTCGGTGATGCGTGTGTTGGCAAAGTAAAGAAACCCTATTTTCCCGATCATCAACGATATCACTGACCATATCCGGTAGTCGAACTGGGTATCTATGTTTCTAGATGACTATATTTCAGATGATTACGTTCCAACAATTAATTACCAAAGTCGCCTGCGTGAGTTTGGTTCTGTAAGTTCCATTTAACTGCTATATATGGTATCATGTGACACTATGAAACCCTCCCTAATATTCATTCTTAGACGATTGGTGTTTGTACCTTTGATATCTGGGATATCTCTGGATCACATAGCACGCCCCAAAATAGGGCAAAATGGATCGAAGATAGCGATGCCGCTATTATTATGGTGGATCTCGCTAATCAAGACAGTATCAATAACACAATTTCATGGTATCGTATGTTCTCTTTAGTTTTCCAAAGCCCGTTCCAATACATATCAACAACTAACTCATAGATTCTAGGAGAGATTCTGTTATCCCAGCAATACTCCGATAACCCAAAACATTTGCCGATTATGGTCTTTGCCTATAAGGCCTATGAAGATGATACTAAATATAAGATAAAGCCGACAGAGATCTCTTGGCCCGAGGAGATGGGTTCTACGCCATTTCACTACAATGAATATCGGGATACGACTAATTGGGAGACGGATAAGACTCACTTCTCTGCGATGCTTCTAGCGGATACATCTATGCGAAGACCCTTTGGATGGATCTTGGAGCAACTAACCGGTCAACCCGAAGTAGTATGTGCTTCGAACTCTTTTGAATATTCTATTCGCTCAAGGTAAACTGACCGTCAACTTAGGGTTTCCAAGTCCATTACCCTTCTGGACCCGGCTTTTGGTATCCACCTTGCCCTGGTGAACTTGAGGAAAACCAGAGACAAATGGATGAGGTGTGTAAACTGCCTATGCCAGAAGAAAGTGATGTGGAGTTGTGATCAAGATCCTTTTCTAAGCCACCTCTTGGCTATCGAATTATGATTGTAACCACTGTATACCTTATCTATCCAGATTATCACCTCAAATGCTGTGTTGTGTCTATTTATTTGTTAGGCTATATGATCTTCCCTGCTGTACTTTGGTCTTATAATATGATATCGACGCTAATAGTACTTCCTGTAGCTACTATCTGAATGTGAGAAATGCTACTTTAGTTTATACGAGAAGCAGCCTCTTAGGTATTTTCTTGACAAGCGGTTCAATGTAATTTTAACCGAGCTAAACCGGCCTGTTTTCTTGCTTATAGACTTGAATGGCAGACGTAGCAATTAAGTCGGATGGATCGACAGAACCTGCCGAAATTTGGTGTCGGGGACCCAATGTGACCCAGGGCTACTACAAAAATGAAGAGGCCACCAAGGATGCCTTTTATAGTATCGACTCGGATGGAACAAAGTAGTTCCGTACCGGCGATTTTGGAGTCATCGATAAGGAGGGATATGTCGCTATCTAGGATCGTATCAAGGAAATGATCAAATATAAGGGTCTGTAGGTTATCCCTAGTGAGCTAGAGGGAAAACTGATCGTTCATCCGGACATTGAAGATGATGGGGTGGTCGGTAGGTATATAGGTGGATAAGATGGCCACCGAGCTGCCGGTTGGATTTGTGGTGCTAAGTGCTCAAGCCCAAAACTAGGAGGTCAGTGCTGTCCTGTAACTATGAACGAGCTACAGGGCAGTTCCGCCTTTGCTCATACAGTATACAATTCTTTTAACCACTCCTTTTCTGGACTAATTTATGGCTTGGAAGATAGCTGCTAAATCATTGAAAGACAATCTCATATCAATATTATTGCCTATGTAGCGATTCGTTTGAAAATAGCGACCTGAGCGGTTGCCAGAGGCTTTTTTGCCGGGATAGTTTTCGCTCGCGAGTGGCGCGCCGCATCTCCATATAAACAAGCGGAGTCATAACATAGGAGGGGGGGTTGGGGCTGGTAGGAGGATATTGATATATCGGTCTCTTTTCCAGTAATTCCCGAGTTGTCGTCGTTTGTTGACGGACCCCCGGGGTACATCGAAGTAATCGATTGCGTCTGTGGAGCTGTATCCTCCCATTTCGAGTTCATTAATTGGGGTTGTGATATGTTCGCTTGATATTCAAGATTGCTGAATGGAGATCCAGACTCTTCAGCCAAGTGCGAGGTCAAGGTATGGTTTATTTTGGATTTGCCTATTATCGGATCATTGGCATCCTGTCCTATTTCCATTGACAAGTCGAAATCCTTTTGCGTCCGGTGAGAGCCGGACAAAGTAAACTCGTGACAAAAAGCATCGTACTCTTGGAGAATGTATGGATACCTGTCTTCCTGCAAGTCACGATGCGGAAGCGTCTCGACGACTTCTTGAATCGACCCAGTTCTCTTCGCCAACTCCTCCCCTTCAGCTATTTCTTTCAAGTTCAAGTCCTTTGTCGTGATGGTATTGTTGTTTCCTCCAAGATATAGCGTCTCGTGTTCTAGAGATGAAAGGTTCTTCTCGCTGAGTTCATTTCCTTGGGTATCATTCAACGATGCACGCGACACTCTCTTCGACGCCCATCGCTTCAACGTCGTCACTGTGCTTCGCCGGCGAAGTTGGCGCGGGGGTATTTCAGTTTGATCGTAGGCTGTCGAAAAAAGATGCGTCACTTAATTTCGATGCATCATCGCGAAAAATGGGAGTTTCTGGCATTCTGAAGCTGCCGAGCTTGTGATGTATGCTGGAAGGGCAATGATTGAGAGAGGTGGTAACAACGCTAGGCTCAGAGGGAGGTGTGCCGTCGTATCTAGTTTCCGATGAATCAAATGGCCCTGTTTGCGTTGTTATTTTGGTGTGTTTTACTCGAAAATCGATTCGTATCCCCCTCCTTTTCAGAGATGAGAGAGCTGAAGGCGAGCAGGCCCGTGGCTGCAAGATAAGACACGGCGGGGTGTTGTATGCACGCAAACCCGCAGCACGAGACAGCCTGCAGTAAAGGCCTTTCTTTCGTCTTCCAAGTATAAGACGAGATCTCAGAAAGATGAGACAGCAGATGGGAGGCGGATTGTGTGGTTTGAGGATGGAGGGCCAGGGGAGTCTCGAAGGCTATGCCTAGGCCAAGGATAATCACAGGCACGACGAACTCCCTCATGGTATGAACCGACATGCAATCGTATCCCCCAGATGTACCATTGCAGCAAGCCACATGCACGGGGCGACTAGCCCACGCCATACCCATTATCCCCCATTCGCTCCATAGAAATGTAGGAAACCGGTAGCGGAAATTAGAAAATTTGGCGTCTGGTATCAGTTTCAATGTCTCTCTCGATCAATACAGTCGAAACCTGACCAGTCAAACTTAACATCAACATACCTGGTGTTGGTATCTGTTCCCCGGCCTGACCGCTCGCTAAGTCACGCTCGAAAGAAGTGAGACACGGACCGCCCACCATCAGCCGCCGACGAAAGATGGCTTCCTTCTTTGACCGAGCTGAGACAATCAACCCAATCAACACTTGTCAAGCGCAGGCTACTGCATCGTTCCCTGTGATCTCTGGTTGTGCAGCTGCCAAGAAGCAGTTTCTTTGAGTGATCTACAACGGTGTCGGCTTGGCCGAAAACTCCGTTCACATGATACTAAGGAGGTTCGGGAATTTGTTCCAATATTTGACAGTGGTTCAGACCAGAACAATCTGGAACGACCCGGGAATTATTTCAGCATGTATATTTACATATAGGATATCATCATAATATAAGAGGGTCGATGCTTTAGCCCGACACCCCATCACGGCCCAATCCCCAGCGACCGACCTCGCGCATAGCCTCATCACCACCTTCCACAAGACGACCATTGGCATTCGAAGGGTTCTGTTCTCCTAGAACCCCTGCTACACACTCCCAGCCTGTACGGCCACCACCCCAACGAAGAACTTCGTTTTTGTAGCGTTCGCCGGCGGCCCGATCCACGGATGTTCGGCCGGATTGGAAGACGTCCTGCCAGATCTTATTGGCAATAGCGCGGTCGAAGATGTAGCTATAATAGGTGGCGCCATAGCCGTAGAGGTGACCGAAGAAGCCTTGCCACGAAGTCCGAGGTCCAACATCGTCCGGGTCGGGGAGGCTAGAGTATTGAGAGAACACCTTGTGGTAGATGTCGGTGGTATCGATACCCTTAGTTGCGTCGCTCGAAGGAATGGAGTGATATGCTTGATCAACGAGAGCCATAAGGATCTGCGCCTCGTTCTCAACAGCACCGTATATAGATCCGTGGGCAGTCCGATCCAACTCCATACTGCGCATCATGTTCTCAGACAGAGGCTCGCCAGTCTTCCAGTGACGCGCATACAGAGAAAGGACTTCGGGAGCAGTAGCGAAGCTCTCCATCAGCACGGAGGGAAGCTCAGCAAAATCGGTTGCACATCGAGTTCCAGAGATTGACTGGAGCGGTGTCTGGCCTAGGATCGAGTGGACGGCATGGCCCATCTCGTGGAATAGAGTGCGTACACTTTGTTCACTCAAGAGCGTGGGGCGGCCCGATCCATTTGTGACCGGCTCTTGGAAGTCACAAACAAGGGCAATTGTTGGCAGCTGGCGCAGGGTCTTGGTCTGAGGATCGACTGCAGTCGCCATGCCATCATTCGGGTGCGCATTCTCATGCAGGGAAGCGCATTCTGCAACTTCATCGGCGGAAATTTCGCGCGAGCACCGCAGGGTGAAATGAGCTGGATTTGGCAGTTTGCTAGCTCGAGTAAAAAGATCGCAGTAGATGACCGCGATGTGCTTCTCGGACTCGTCTACGACATCCAGTCGGCGGACATCCGGATGCCAGGTCTCGCCAGGAGCTGTCTCTTGGGGAACAAGACGAACACCATAAAGTCTGTCAAAGAGTCGAGAGAGGCCTTGCATGACTGTCCCGAGCGAGAAGAACTCAGGGACGGCACTCAATTCGCGTGAGCGGCGAGACTGGGAATATTCCATCACACGTTTGTGGACATAGAACGCGTGGTCCCATGGCTTGAGGGCACTGCCTTTCATTTTTTGCAATTGAGATAGTTCTTCACTAACAAGACCCTGGTTGCTTGAGATGAGGGACGTCAGGAAATTCGAAACCGCTTCGGGGCTTTTGGCCATCTTATCGCTCAGGGTCATGTCAGCGAAGCTGTTAAAGCCAGAAATCTGAGCGAGTTCGGCTCGTTTCTTCAAGAGTTTCTCGAGGCGATGAATTTGGCGGGAACTAGATGTACGCGTTGCGAGATACACCTCTTTCCGCACGTCTTCGTCTCGTACGGATCGTAGAACAAGTCTAGGGACGACTCCCATCGTTGGTACCGGTGCCTTGTTATTCCACTTCTTGATTTGCTGGATCACAATAGGATCTAGCCCTTGAAGGCTGTTGGCACCGAACGTCACCTGTGATCTTGCTGGCTCTGCTCCCCCAAAGAAGTCTGAGCCAACCTGGCTGACATCGTTAGAGAGGTTCACGAATCGCTGCCTTTCAGCCGGTGGCATATGAATTGCTGAATTTGTGAAATCCCTCATAAGAATCTTGGCGACGATGGTTTCCGCCTCTGTCCAGTGCGACGTCACTTCCGGATTATCAAGAGCTTTGCCCAATTGCTCATGGAGGCCCGTTGTAGTGTTCAGCACATTCATATATTCGAACATGAGAGCGTACGCCTGCGTCGCTGCTTCTTGAATTCGTCGATCGGGGTGAATGGTTCGAATAAAGTCGGAAAGGTCTATCACGCGGCAAAGGAGGTCGCTGAGTCGGTCCAGATTCCGTGCCAGTCCTCGGTATTCATCCAGGGTCGAGGCCTCGAGAACCTTGGCTACAATAGCCTGACATTTGTGCAACGATACGTGAGCAAACGCTCTGAAGCCATCGGGGCTCGTCAAGTATTGGTTCTGAACTAAACCCGCCGACTTGGACGATGTTGCGTTTCGTGCGCGCGAGAAGTCTTTCCAAAATGGCTGTGAGTCGAATACGCGGCGTAAAGCATCGTCGTCAGCGTTCTTCCTCGGTGAGCTATTGTCGACTGGGACGTAATCTGGTTGCAATCGAGGAACAGGAGAGGCGGCGCTTGCAAAGGTTCGGGAGTGTTTGCGCAGGAGACATTCACGGCATGTCCACGCCCGCCGCCCAACAGGGCGAAACATGGTATAGATGGTTCAAATGAAAGAAATGCAAATAATAAATCCAAAATACAAAAGTCCACCAAAACCACAAAGGAAATCGAGGTCAAGAAGTCGAGAAGTTGGGGAAAGAAGGAGAGCGCGCGGGCAATGACGGAGTTTTCTGGGTTCCGCCGAGCCGAAGAATTCCCGCCTCAACTTCAACCCGACTTTGCTTCATCCTCAACTCTGTCTACCTCACCTCACCTCCCCCACACCCAGGATGTCGTTCCGCCCGATGTTGCAGCAAGTATGTAAACTGGTCTCCAGCCATACCCAATCATCTCGCTTGCAATTGACTGATCAATCTCGTGCTGACACGTTCCTAGCGGGCTGTGGCTCCGATCGCAGCCACCCTCCTCGCTGGAGGCATGGCTCTGTACCCCAAGCAAACAGCTTTTGCGGAAGATGCTCGCGACGTGAGATGCCCCATTCATTCTATCGGTCTACTTCGAATCTAAAATGATCATATCTGACATACGATGACTTTCCCGATGCAGCGGAAACCCATCTACGACGACATCACATCTGATATCCCCGAGCTTTCCAAGCCCGCCGCCCCTGCACCTGTGGAACAAGCTCCCACCAAGGAAATTTCCCTACCCCTGTTGCCCTCAACTCCCTCTTCGCCTACTCCGACAGATATCCTGACCGCTCAGGTCCGACAAGCCCGTCTCTTCCTCTACAACAACTCCCTTGCCGCAGAGAACGGCTTCAACAGCTTCCTATCCCGGGCCCTTCACATCGAAAATGCGTTCACCAACACCGTTGCGTCGCTCGCGCCTTCTGCTGAGTCGGGTGAGAACCTGACTCCAGGCGGTGTCTATGTTGTTGTGGCCGCCATGGCCGGCTCCATTGTGTCACGCAACCGCGGTATCCTCCTTCGCACCATGTCCCCTCTGGCCTTCGGCACCGTCGCTGCCTGGTCTCTCCTCCCCGTGACTATGCGTAACATCTCTGATTTGGCCTGGGAGTATGAGAAGAAGTTCCCTGCGGTCGCGGATCAACACTTGGCTGCTCGCGAGCGGGCAGAGCGTATCTGGTACACTAGCATTGCGCACAGCCAGATGACCCGCCAGATGATGGAAGATAAGATTGGTGAGGGCCGTAAGAAGCTGGAGCAGTTGGTGAGTAAGGGTCACTAGAAGGTTATTTTGGTTTTATACCGTCAGCCCACACGTGGCTTGCGGGGATTTCTTTTTTTGCATATGTACGTTTAGAACTCGCAGATCCGACGATATAATCCGGACCAGTTCCCTTTGTCAACAGAAATCCATCTTGAAGTCTTCTATTTCATTGCTTTCGAAATGGCTCGCCTGAAGCAGTTTGCAGGGAGAAGTTTATTGTACTGTACTGCTTTGCAATTGGTATTACTCTTGAAAATTCATAGTTCTCGGCGTCAAAGCTGACAGTAATGCATATCATTCCATCACTCTTCTTGGGATGGACCAGGCTCCCCTTCCACGGCCTCGACTGCCGGAGGGGTTGAGGCACCAGCACCTGGAGAAACACCGGCCTTTGGCGGCGGAGGAAGAGGTGTTCCTTTACGGGACGATGTGTAGTCTTCCTCCCGGCTCTTCTGTTCGCCTTCAGCAAAGTAATCATCGAATGCCCTATTGGGGGAGGCAGAAGGTCGTGTCTTTCCACGGCGACTTGAGGATGACCTTGCCTCCGGAGGCGAAGTCACTGCTGTCTGTGCAGCGAGAGGGGGAGGTGATACGATATTGGCGGGAACCAAGAATTGGCCTGGTGCTCCAGCTTCCGGTCCAATACCACCAGCCTGTGGGAATGCCGTGGAGCTTCCATCCTCTCGGGTCTCAAAGACGAGCTCTCCGGGTCCCTCGACCTCTTCGCCTAGTCCAACAGGTAGTCGATGTAACGCACCGAAGCCCAACTCCGCACCAACAGCACCTTCGCCACCCCAGCCTCGAGTGGGAACGAGCTCCACCTCCCGAATCACATCAAACTCGCTGTTGTATACCCACAAAACCAGGGTGCGGTCGAGATGATCTTCTACCAATTCCCCGAGGGCCGACTCTCCTCTTAACGTTCCGCTTGGGGTTCCAATAATATAATCCGAATGTGGGAGAAGGCCTGCACGATATGCTGGACTTAAGGGTGAAGGGATCCCGAGTACATGCCAAATGTTTTGGGTGGAGTTGAGAGGGGCTAGCTGTAGAGCGACGCCGAGGGACGGGTTTGTGGCTGGAACTGGAATGGTGACCGTATGAGTGCGTTGGCCCTATGTAACATTTCGTTAATATTGCTTGTTTCTTTGAATCATCAGGCATATTTGCGGTACCTTCGCACTCCAGACCTCCAGCGTCACACTTGAACCGGCGCAATTGCGAACCTCTGTCGCAAAGAGGTTTGGATCAGGATCCTCCTACATACAATAAATTAGCAATCATGGTTCAAATATTTCAGGGGTTATATTATCTCCATACAATCGCATGGCCATTAATTCCCACAATAAAATCAAACCATGGCTCCAAGGGTATCTCCTTGTCTTTATTGCGGAGTACTTGAAAACCAAAGGCACTGTCGCTAGGCCCAGCCCGGGATTGTTGTGAAGGCTCGCCGTCCAGTCGTCCGATAAACCGGTTGAGTGCGCCAAACATTATGTTGAATAGCCACTGAGCTGATCTGAAAGAAAATGCGGGGGAATAGTTGAGGCTGGAGAGGATGAAGCTTGGAGTTCGCGAGCTGGCCAAATACCGGTGCAAACATGGCAAACACTTTCGGCCATGCGCGTTATCGGTTATCGGGGGCAATTTATCTTGATCGACCATGGGATCCCATTCTATGCCACTGCCTGTCTCTTACAGCTGAATACGACGCCATGGCCGACGAAGATGAGGCACCTCCTGAGGTGCACCATTACAGTGATCTGCAAGAAGTACCATGGGATATCCAAAAGTAAGACTCCTGGCAACTTTCCCACTTGGAACGTCAATTAACCCATAACAGTTACTGGTCTCAGCGTTACCGCATCTTCTCCAAATATGACGAAGGAGTTTGGCTGACAGATGATGCCTGGTTTGGAGTAACTCCAGAGCCCGTTGCTAAGTGAGTAGCTTTCTATCCTTCCAATCTCACTCTCCATTAAACCAATCAATCCTTAGCCAGATCGCGGCACACATCGCAGAGAGGGCACCTGCAGGCCGCAGCATCTTGATTGATGCATTTGCCGGTGCTGGAGGCAATACGATCGCCTTCGCCAAGACTGGAAAGTGGAAGCGAGTTTATGCAATTGAAAAGAATCCTGCTGTCCTACAATGTGCCAGGCATAATGCGAAGATCTATGGGGTGGACAAACAGATCACTTTCTTCGAAGGGGACTGCTTCCAGGTCCTCAAAAACCAGCTTAAAGACCTGGCCCCATACAGTGTCATCTTCGCAAGTCCTCCATGGGGTGGTATGTTTCATTGATGCTCTTGTTCGCGGATATGGCTGACTCTTGAGTGTTTTAGGACCGGGATATCGCTCTGATGAGGTTTTCAATCTGAAGACCATGGAGCCATACTCCCTGGAGACTCTTTACAAGGAATACTCTGCCTTCAGTGAACACATGGCTTTGTATTTACCCAGGACCTCGGATGTGAAGCAATTAGCGAAATTCGCCCAGGGCAACGGCAAGGCGGCAGTGATACACTACTGCATGGAGGGTCACAGCAAAGCGTTGTGCATTTACTACGGTGGTTTTAATGTAAAATCATAATACTCTCTTTATTGCACTATATCCAAATTTAACAAGTATCATTTTCAAGGTTGATTCTAAATATCTTTCACTCGGCGCCTGGCAAGATTATGGTGGCTGTGTAAGACTTGAGCCTGCATAACACCTTTTATGACTGCGTATCCTTCATCCTTGTCTCTAATATAGATACTGCCCTCTCATCTACCCATCAAAATTCCATCTCCCGGCTCGAATGCTGAGCGCTTTTGAATCCCCGCTATAAAGCTGATTACCCGATCGGGTTAGCGCCCAGGCGCGCGGCTTTTCGGCCGCGGTGCCGCGCCTGAGTCCAGTTACATATCCTCATCCTTCGCTCCTCTCCCCTCCTTCGCTCCTTCTTTTACACCCGCAACCTTTACGCCGACCTGCGTATCCGATCCGGCTTAGTCGATATATAGGATCCGCCCCCCGATGTGCGCGTCATAAACCCCAGACTCTGCCTGCCTGGCTACCTGTCGCCCTTCGTTCATCCATCGTTTTACTCAGACACCACGCCTGTGCCCTTGCCATATCTAGGCCTCACTCACCTAGGGTGCGATCTCTCCCTTAGAAGCCAAATATGCCTCACGCCACTCAGAATGAGCCCTCCGGGGAGCCGGATGATGCCGACTTCGACAATGTGATGCGACAGCTGAACAATTACGAAAGCGGCCCGCAACTTGACTTCTTGTCGCGAGACCTCGATGTTGGCGAGAAGGCAGATGATGCTGTTGACTACGAAGATTTTGACGACGACGAACTTCCCGAGGAGACGCCCGCTGTGCCTCTACAGCCCTCAACGAACGATGCGGACGAAGATCCTTTTGCGAACCTTGATCAGGAGGACGCTGATCTTTTCGGGGGTGGAGATGACATATTCGGAGAGCAGGAGGGTGCGGACACACAGGGACAGGAGGACAATCTCGATGATCTTTTCGGCGATGAACCTATGTCCCCCGCTGCTGATCAGGCAGATCACACCCAGGGTCTCTTCGAAGATGAGGAGCCATCAGTGACCAGCCAACCCGTTGAACTGCCTCCTATTCCACCTGCTCCAGAGCCCGAGCCCCAGCAGATGGAGATCGAGGATGATTTTGAGGATGATGAGAGTGTCCTGTCAGAGGATATGGACCCAGCGACCCTACGCGCTTGGAAACTACAGCAGGAACTGTTTGCGATGTCATCGATAATGGGGCCTGAAACCCTCCCGGCACCACCAGAGAATCATGAGGAACTTCTCCGCTCGTTGTTCCCGAGCTTTGACCGCAGCGCCCTCCCGCGCTGGCTAGAGCTCATTCCTCATAAAAAGGCGATTTTCCTAGGAAAACAACCATTAAAAGTTCCGAAGCCAGTCCTTCCCACCAAGGTCAATATTGAACTAGCCCCGGATCAGGAGCGCGTCTTTCGAACTGGCCAAGCGGCTAAGCGTGGTCTTGACCATGAGTCCATGGGTATCGTGATGATCACCGAGGCCACACAGGAGGAAGAGGAGTCAAAGGAGGATATCGAACTAGCAGATATGGATGTGGATGAGGCACTTCCCGGCGGATTCACCATGCAAGATCTTCGCACTATTTGTGCAGATTGGGATGTCAGGGACGAAGACCTTTCTGGGGCAGAAAAGGAAAAACAACAGCCAAAGAAGCCCGCGGCTGATCTACTCGACGACGATGACGATTGGCTGTTTGATGCAGACCATCCTTCGAAGAAGCGTAAAACTAGACCAACTCCCATGGATGTCATTGCTTTGTCTCACCTCGACATTCCACTCCTCGATGACCCCGAACAAGCACTTTCGCAGATCGCAAAGAAGGTTACCATCGATATGAATGATCCTAATATTCTCGTCGAAGAGCTAAGGCCCGATTCCGTCGTCCAAAAACCAAAACATGCCGTCCCTCGTAATGGAGAGGAAGTTGATTTGAATACTACTCGCCGTCTGACTCAGCGATACAATATCTCAAACGACCAGGCCTACGACATGCTGAAGCAGAATCATCAAAACAAGATACGAAGCACACTCGGCAATGTGACCTTAGAGCATGCTCTCCCGGCCTTGCGACTGCAGTGGCCCTACTACAAAACGGAGCTGGCGAAGACTGAATCCCGATCGTTCCATCGGCCTGCCATGGTCTTCCGGCAGGGTCAAACTTCTTGGTTCAAAAACCCAACACATGTCAAACGAAAGCATTATAAGGGCAAAGACCCTAAGGCCCTCTTCGAATCAACAAAGTCCCTCTCTATGGCAGATAACTCCAGTATCCTGCTTGTGGAGTACTCCGAGGAAGCCCCAATGGCTCTCTCTAACTTTGGCATGTGCAACCGATTCATAAACTACTACCGGCGGAAGAACCCCGATGATCCGACCCGTCCAAGGGCAGACATCGGAGAGACTGCTGTTTTGCTACCTCAAGACAAGAGTCCATTCTCCATCTTTGGACATGTGGATCCAGGTGAAATCACCCCAGCAATTTCGAATTCGATGTATAGAGCACCGCTTTTCCCGCATCAAGCCAAGTCCAACGACTTCCTGGTAGTTCGCAACTCTACGGGCTCTGGGGGCAGCAATTTCTTTGTTCGCAATATCGAAAATTTCTATGTTGCTGGACAGCAATTTCCTTCCGTGGATATCCCCGGTCCCCACTCCCGCAAAGTCACCACTGTTGCCAAGAATCGTATGAAGATGCTTGTCTACCGACTTCTGAAAAAGAGTGCCGACTCCCGACTTTCGATTAGTGACGTTACAGCACATATTCCGGGCACTACCGACATGCAGAACAGACAAAAAGTCAAGGATTTCTTGCAGCACGACAAGGACACCAAGTACTGGAAACCTCTTGATTCCACTCTCCCCGACCAAGATACCATACGAGCATGGGTCCAACCTGAAGATGTTTGTCTTTTGGAATCAATGCAAGTTGGCCAACAGCATCTTCACGATACTGGCTTTGGTAACGATGCAGATAACAACAACGATAACGACGACGACGAAGAAAGCGAGAGCTTTGAGCAACAAATGGCTCCTTGGAAAGCTAGCCGCAATTTCTTGCTAGCATCCCAGGGAAAAGCGATGCTGAAACTCCACGGCGAAGGTGATCCCACCGCTCGTGGCGAGGGCTTCAGTTTCATCAAGACATCCATGAAAGGTGGCTTCAAAGCCATCGGTGAAAGTGTGGAGGACAAGTTGGACGCACAACGGCTGAAAGAGCTCGGCGGTCACAGTTACAATGTTGCGCGCCAGCAAAGGTCCTACGAGACTTCTATTCGCCGAATCTGGGATTCCCAGAAAGCCAGTCTCTCCTCCACTGTTGAGCATTCCGACCAAGAGAGCGATGTCGATCAAGAAGAGGAAGAAGACTTCAATAAGCCAACGCCACGATCCGAAGCACCTACTCCGGCTCCTTATCATCACAACGATGAGGCAACTAGCCAGTTCAGTAGGATGAGCTTCGCTACTCAAAGGGGCAAGGTTCTACGGATCACGCGTCAAATCAAGGCCGACAATGGCGAAATCGTGGAGAGAGAACAGATCGTCCGGGACCCGCGCGTCATCAAACAATACATTCAACACCGCCACCGCAGCGAAGCCCTCACCACCAAGCTGGAATCCCTCAAGCCAACAGGAGATGCCGAAGTTGATGCCCGCAACCGCAAGCTGATTGAAAATGAGCTGAGCCGGCTTAACCGTAACAAGGAACGCCGCTTTGCTCGAGAGAAGCAAAAGGGCATTTCTCGCTCTGGCGATTCCTCGGCTGACGGAAAACCCGCCGGTACCCAACGCAAGTGCGCCAACTGTGGACAGGTTGGACACATCAAAACCAACAAGAAACTTTGTCCTCTGCTTAATGGTACCATGAAGCCTGAAGACCGAGTCACTGATTCGGCCTTCTCCATGAGTGCCCCTGTTCTCTGAGGTAGCTTTATATTTTTACCATAATTTTGCCTCCTCTTTCTTCAATGTGATACCCTTCCCTATCTTGAACCCCGGATTGATATTTTGCCCTTTTCTGAGGTCTGCGGTTCTCTTTTCTTTCTCGGCCCAACGATGACGCAGTCAAAACTCGATGATAGAAATTGGCGTTGGGGAGAGACTATCTTTATGCGTATGCATGGTACTGGACTTTGCTTTTTTTGGTCTTACGCCAGCTTAGACTGGCAGCCATGGCGTATTGAAGCACCCTCGTGCTATTTGGCGTTTCTTTTCCCACATGTACAGTATGGCCTCGGCGTGCACCGTTGCAGCAATCTATCAAACAATGATACCAGAAGCTCTCCTGGGCATATTTCCCAATTACTATTCGCAGCTCGATGTAAATGGCCTTGCGATTGTCTAGAGATAGAGGAGGTGACTGCCCAGGTGGCAATGCCATGTTTAGTTGATATTCTGTTATTAATATACAGGAGCGAGAGAGGGTTGGACCCGGTAAAAAAAAAACCAACACGAGCTTTGTAGAGAGCAACAAGTGCCTTACAAAAAAGGGCCGGTATGAATAAGACAATTCAGGATAACCAAACACCAAACACCAAAACGTAGAAAGTCAATAGAAAGAGCTGCAACCAAACATCCAAAAAACTCATCTCAAAAAACCACTTAATAAGCGTAAAGGTCCATTAACTCCCTCCTGCCAATCCTCTGACGGCCACGATCTGGACTGAGGGCGAGTTCCGGGCCTATCGGTCGTCTATAAGTGTACCCCAAAAAGACAGACCTCTTGCGTATTTCCAGCGCTGTTTTGCCCGCTCTCCTGTCTCGCAATATCTTGTCACGGGCGCGTTTTCTCTCCCTCTTTTTCTTAGTCGCCGGCGCCTTTTGAGAGTCGACATTTGCAGGAGTGGTAGCGTCAACATCAGGTGCCGGTTGATCAGACAGCACGTGGATTTGATGGGATGAGGAGGCCTCTATCAGTGAATCATTCGGTTTGTCCTCGGACTTTTCTTCGGACTCCTGATTGTCACTGTCCCCTACGGACTCTTCGGCGTTGCCACTGGATTTCCAATCTTCAAAATATCGGGTGTCTTCCCAACTCTTGACGCGGGGAATCATTGGCGGTTGAGTCAAATGAAGTTGGTTCCACTGGATTCCTCTGAAGAATGGGTGGGCTTTGATCTCAACGGCGTCATTCGGGAACACATAATAGCTGTTGATGTGTCGATATCGAGGGTCCATTGAGTACAAGAAATTGGAGGTGACAGGCCGGCCGATCAATATGTCGTTGACATGGTATCTCGGGGAACACAGTCGAAACTCTCGTTCCTGGAGGATTTGACTGATGAGATCGATTCCATCCAGCGATACAATCTTGTCGGTGGGCTTTTCCCTGGGGAATTTCAAGCTTCTTGAGTGTTGCTACGGTGCCGATGTTAGAGAAAACGCTTAGCAAGAAACGTCTGGGGTTGAGACTTACTAGGATTTTCACCTTGGTGTCATGGCGATTCTCACAGGCAAATGGGGTAAACCCATAAAAGCACTACTTGTCACTCAGTAAGCCATCCTTTGCTGTGCAGATTCTCCACTCACCTCGTATATAATAACTCCCAGGCTCCACCAGTCACATCGCCCATCGTACATCTCACCCCGGATAACCTCTGGAGCCATGTACTGGCTTGTTCCTACCACGCTCTTTGCGAACCTTCGTCTCTCTTTGCTGTTACGCCACTCTAACAAATCTGTTGATGGCGGGCTGTATCTGGAGGGGTCTTCCAGACCATGGAGCCTTGGATCAGGAGAATTCTCCACATTCTCTGTCATCTGAGACTGATCTTTTTTATCGCCTTTGATAGTGACCCCGAGCCTTCCCAGAAGAGAGTAGCGCTGATTATGGTAGTAAACTTGGTCATGAGACCAATGTCCGTTGAAAGCCAGCCCAAAGTCAGAAATCTTCAAGTGACCGGAGGCGGAAATGAGGAAATTGTCTGGTTTGATATCACGGTGAATCCAACAGAGTCGGTGAGCTTCTTCGATACACAAGATCATTTCTGCGACGTAAAATCTGGTCCACTCTTCACGTAGAATGTCTTTGCGGATCAACAGCCCAAGAAAGTCTCCGCCAACCATGTAATCCATGACAAGGTAAAGGTTGGCGTTGTCTTGAAAGCTGCTTATCAACGGAACCACCCATTGAGACCTTTCGGATGCAACAAGGAAATCTCTCTCCGCTCGAATGTGACCCTCCTGGGAGTTGCTGATCATTTCGCGCTTTCTGATCACCTTCATTGCATATACCTCCTTCTTCTCTCCTGTCATCACCTTCCGCCGGCCATTTTTGGCTCCGTCTGCTGCGGATCTCAATGCTCCAATAGATCTGGGTCTAGGGTTGGACAAAGCTCTCTCTGGTCTGGATGTACGCTCTGCCTCGCCATCGCTCTTGATGTCGTCTTTTTCACGTACAAGGCGCACCACACCAAAGCTGCCTCTACCCAGTATCTTGATGGTCTCGTAGCCAGCGATCGAAGTCTTTCCTTCGACTCGGGTGCTTCGCATCTTCGTTTTCAAGTTTCGACATTGGCGTAGATATCCGTTCTCCTGGAGAAGCCAGTTTTTTCTGGTTTCGGCCTGGGCCTGGGGGAGAGTTGAAACGCATACATGTGCTGCTCCAATTCATGCTGCCGGTGCACCCTTGGGTCAACATTCTGGAAGATGGAATTGAAATAAAGCTCCAGGTATAACTTGGCCGCTGAGGTAGATTCAATGGTCAAGATGGATGGTGCGAGTGTTGGCGATCTGCTTCCCGCGGTAGTGTTGATATCTGAAGCACAGTCCAGCGAATATCGTCGTCCCGAAGTCGCATTATACTTTTCTGATGAGGTGGATTTCTCTTCAGAGGTCACTGGAGTCTGCGGGGTGGCAACTCCGACAAGGGGGGACTCGTTGCTACTCGGAGCCGTGGAGGGGTCGGAACTGTCATCGGCACCATCACCTAACTTATCTGGAGTGCTTGTTGTTGAATACTCCTGGAAAGGAATACTTGGTCTTGATCGTAAGTGGGCACGGCGAATAACTGTTGGGTGTCCAAATGTGTGGGAGAATCGTTGGGAAAATCTGTCAACTAGCGTTGAGTTCGGGTGGCTTGCTGGTTCGCTACCAATAAAAAAACAACCGGAATCTTCATTGGCAAGGTGCCTTTGTGTCTCGCATTCACCAGTCCGTACATCAGTCTCCGCCGTTGATATATGGCGATCTGCGGGGATCTCAGCAGGGTTATCGAGAGCGGTAGTAGCTGGCGGATGGACATCGATTGAGCGAGCGACAACGGGCGATTCACTTTCTGGGGAGCCATCGCTAGTCAAAGAGATGGGGCTGCCTCTTTCTGCAACTTCGGATGATGGGGTCTGGTCTCCTTCCGGGCTTGAAATATCTCCACAGGATCCAAATCCGACACTCGTCTTGATACCTGTGACTGGTAGTTAGTTTCCAGGTCAGGGGAAGTATGTCGATGGGTCACCACTAACCGTTGGAAGATCCTCCCAGTCCAAATAAGAATAGAATCTTCGATCCACTCCGAGTCAAGCGGACCTTCAGACGATCTCGACTTCTGCGGGGACGAATGATGGAATCTGACGCAGGAGAGTCTGACACTGCAGAATCAGTAGGGGACGTATCGAATCTGTTGCTAAAAGGAACGACTTTAGCTGGAATCCAGAGACCGAAGACACTGCGTCGTTTTCGTAGTTTCTTGTCTCGTGGGTTAGTCATGTCGTATATAGAGTAGGAAGCATTCCAAAGGGAAAAGCATGTGTATAGAGGGTGTCTGCTTTCACGACATGGCTGTCCAAATATAGAAGAAAAGAATGTGACTCGGGTATATCAAGAAAGGAGGGGCTGGGATGGTAATGTCGAGTCGGAGTTGGACTTCTGCCCAGATATGAAATGTAGAAAAACTTGAGCCATTCCAAATTCAAAAGGCCGCGAGAAGGAAACCGCGGAATGGAATGCATTTCACCAAAGGCAGGCACGGCGTTGAGTTTAAGTTAGGGCTACCATGGTAGCAACTTCCTAAAGTGACGAGATGTGCAGTACTACTAGTACATAATTACTACTACTAGTAGTACCACATAGTAGTTATACATAGTACTACATAGGGCATCCTATGGCGGAGCAACTTGGAAAAAATTGGAGTAGAAAAACCAGTTAGGCAAAATAGATTCAGATACACATGAACAGGTACAAATTACAACAAACAAATCAGGCACTTTTTCCATGCAAGGGGGGATAATCTCCTCGTGATGGTCTCGGCCTCCTCAAGAGAGTGAGAGACAGCAAAATAAAAGAAACAAGCCGGATATCACGGGAAATCATGCAATCAAACCGGAGCCACAAATAACACCCTGGGAAAAAATGGTAGAAGGCTCAGGACACAAATCAGCAATTAATTTACTTGATCTCCAGCAGCTTCACGTCGAAGATGAGCTTGGAGTTGCCGGGAATACCGGGAAGAGCCTTCTTGCCGTAGGCCAGCTGGGGAGGGATGGTGATGCGACGCTCACCACCGGGGGCCATGCCGGCAACACCAATGTCCCAACCCTTGATGACCTCGCCCTTTCCGAGCTTGAAGGTGAAGGGCTTGCCCTTCTTGTTGGAGTCGAAGACCTTGCCATCCTCGAGCTTGCCGATATAACGCATAGCGATAGTGTTGCCGCTCTTAGCAGTAACACCCTTGCCGAGCTTCTTGTCATCAATCTTGACACCCCGAACCTCCTTCACTCCGAGAGTGCCGGTGGGCTTGTCGCCGGAGGGGGTAGGACCCTGCTCAAGGTTCTTGGCGAACTGGACCTTCTTGTCGGTCTTGGCCTCCTTCTTGGGCTCAACGGCGGCGGCGGCGCCGTCGTTCTTCTTGAGCTTCTTCTGCTGAGCCTTCTCCTCGGCCTTGGTAGCCTTGCCCTTGGCGGTCTTGGCCATCAGGTCATCGAGGCTCTCCTCCTCAGCAGCGCGCTTGTTCTTGCCCTTGGCCTTGGCCTCAACCAGCTTGGGGGCCTCCTCCTCGCTGTCAACCTCGGTGATGCGGGGATCTTCCATATCATCCAGGTCATCGCTGTCGTCGCCGTCTAGGGCCATGATGTCGTCCATGTCGAGCTCATCCTCATCAGGAGACAGATCGTACTCATCCTCATCATCCTCATCCTCATCGAACTCAGGACGGCCCTCGTCGAGACCAATGACGTAGTTACCAGTGATGTAGATGGTGTGGTTACCGGTGGCCTTGAAGAAGACGCGCTCACCCTCGCAGACAGTGATGTCAAGGGGCTGTTGCCAGTTCTATAGACGAGTTAGAAATTTTACTATTATCAATAAGAAAGAATCAATGCTTACCGTCTCGGGGCTCAGTGTGCAGAGGACGTTCTCGTCGAGGTCGAGTTCCTCGTCAGACTCATCATCAGAGTCATCATCGGTAGCGGGGCCCTTGCCCTTGATAAGCTTGGAGATAGCAGCCTTCAGGTCGAAGCCACCATCGTCAGACTCATCATCTTCGTCGTCCTCCTCCATAGCCTCAGCCAGCTCCTTCTGGACGGCGGCCTGCTTCAGCTTGCGAGCCTTCTCCTTGTCGCTGGGACCACCGTTGACCTCCTCGTCATCAGAGTTCTCATCTTCTTCATCGTCCTCCTCATCGCTGTAGTCCTCATCATCCTCATCAAAGTCAAGGCCGGGAGGAGGGCGAACAATTTTCAGAGTCGCGCGAGAGGGCTTGCCAGCCTCACTATCGGCATCGAGCTCGGGGGCCTCATCAGGGTCGATAGCGGCCATGCTCACACGGAACTAAAGGATAAAGAGTCAATGGCGGGATTCTGGCGAATATCAGCAAGATTTTGTACTCACCGATGCGGCGGCATTGGGTACGGCGGCAACCATAGCACCGGGAGGAACCCGGAGGGCATAGACGGCGACAGGCTGCACGGCAGACATTGTGAAATGAATCGAGAGAAATAAATGCAGATAGTAAACAGGAAAAAGAGAGAGGGAAAAGAATGGACCACTGGGAAAACGGGCGTGGATGGGGAAAAGAAAAAGATCGAAGATTGACCCAAAGCAGTGATGGCAGATCCGCCGGAGCTCTTTTTTTTGGTTTTTTTTTCCCTGCCATTTTTCAGCCCGCCTTTCAAAGCAGCCAATCATATCCATTGAAATCACCTCACCGCCATATGATTTGCCTCCGTTCACCGTTGTATCCACCGCTTGCACGTGCCTTCCATTTTCTGCCGCAACGCGTGATGTCGCCGCGCGCGCTATCGATCATAAGTCTCTCGTTGAACCATTTAATGGTCATGGTGGTCTTTCTGGCCCAGTATGGGCTCTCGTCATGATGCCTCATCTAGTGCGGTGCGGAAGCGGATCGAGAATCGTATGTTATGCCACTCATTTTAGCCGACTAGGACCTTATCTTCTAATACAACATCACATAGATGACTTCAACAATGAGACCGGCGAGGAGTACGAAGCCTCCAGCTTCGGCGGCTTTGCAGATTATATGCGCCGAAAGAAGATCAAACTTCAGAATCTAGACGCAGAAATCCGATCGACATCCGGCGACTGTCCACCCATCTTCCGCGGGGTCGTTGCGCATGTTAATGGCTACACCCAACCCTCCCTCCAAGATCTCCACCGCCTAATTGTCAGCCATGGTGGTGGCTTTCTACAATACCTAGATAGTAAGACTATTGCTACGCATATAATCGCCAGTTCATTGACCCCGAAGAAACGAGAAGAGTTTCGACGGTATCGCATTGTGAAACCTGCTTGGGTAACCGACAGCATTAAAGCCGGTCGTTTACTTCCTTGGGATGAATATCGTGTGGTAGACGAAGGTCATGCTCAAAAAATCTTAAAGTTCGGTGATGGTCGCTTTGGCAGTCATACCAACACTCCCCAGTCGAGTTACAGAGACCAATCCAGAAAGAGCTGGTACAACGCACAAATACAATCGATGAGTTCAACTGGGGTGTCAGAAACTCCATCTAAGCCACCACGGCCATCTCCAAATTTCCCAAGTCAGCCCTCTCAATCCGACTATGGCGATTTCCCAAGCTTCACTGCCCTCGATGATGTCAAATCCAGTTCTCCCACTAAGGAGCCCCGAGATTCAAACATCACGTCCGAGAAGCCGATGACTACCAATACCTCTGATGGAATACGTCAGGCTTCCCCTGAAAGAGAACTGCAAATTTCGGAAATATCTGCGGTAGCAAGCGAACCCAGCCCTTCGTTGGACCCCCAGATGACCTCTGAGGAATACAACGCACAGCTTCTCACCGATCCCCGAATGCGAAATTCAAGCTTTGCCAATCCTGACTTCATTCAGCAATATTATCGAGAGTCCAGACTTCATCATTTGTCAACATGGAAAGCTGAGTTGAAAGCCCAACTTCAAGCAGCAACCAGGGAGAAGGCACAATCGCAACCTCCTCCAAGAAGAGCTGCACCTGGATCAAGAAGATACATTCTTCATGTCGATTTCGATTCATTCTTCGCCGCAGTTTCGATTCTAAAACGACCAGATCTCAGAGAGAAGCCGGTGGCCATTGCACATGGTTCGGGTCCTGGTTCTGAGATCGCCAGTTGTAATTATGTCGCGCGGGGTCACGGTGTGAGAAACGGCATGTGGATGAAAGGTGCTCTGCAGGCATGCCCTGAACTTCAGGTACTGCCTTACGACTTTCCCGCGTACGAGGATGCGAGTCGCAAGTTCTATAGCTCTGTCCTTGCTATTGATGGCATTGTTCAAAGCGTGAGCATCGACGAAGCGCTCATCGATATTACAAATCAATGTTTGGAGGCGGGCGGCTCCGACAATCAAGACGCGTCAGAAGAGTCTATTGATCGTGAGCGTGCATTGGCAGACGAGATTGCCCAAAACTTGCGGGATTCGATCAAAGAAAAGACAGAATGTGCTGTTTCAGTTGGGATCGGCGGCAACATTTTATTAGCCAAAGTGGCGCTGAGAAAAGCAAAGCCAGCAGGACAGTTTCAGCTTAAGCCGGATGCCGTCCTAGACTTTATCGGAGACCTGACCATAAGAGATCTTCCGGGCTTTGGATCCAGCCTTGGAAGTAAGATGGAGGAGATTGGTGTTAAATTCGTCAAGGATGTTCGCGACATCCCTCGAGAGAGATTGGTCTCCAGTTTAGGGCAAAAAACCGGTCTGAAAATATGGGAATATGCTCGGGGTATCGACAAGGCCGAGGTCGGCAACGAAGTACAGCGAAAATCAGTTTCGGCTGAGGTCAATTGGGGCATCCGATTTGTCAATCAGGAACAGGCGGATGACTTTGTCAGTTCTCTATGCAAAGAACTCCACGGTAGACTTGTTGAAAACCTGGTCAGGGGCAAACAACTTACGCTAAAGGTCATGCGGAGGTCATTGGATGCTCCCCTTGAGTCCACAAAACACCTTGGTCACGGCAAGTGTGACACGTTCAACAAAAGCGTCGTCATTGGCGTGGCCACCAATGCGTCCGACATTTTAGGCAAACAAGCCATCTCAATGTTGCGAAGCTTCAACTTCTCCCCAGGTGATCTCAGAGGTCTCGGTGTCCAAATGACCAAGCTGGAGCCGCTCAAGGCTGGGCCCACTACAACCCTTGAAAGTAGCCAGCGACAGCTCAATTTCCAGGCGTCCCCCGTACGCAAAAAGCCAGTGGTGAATGCGGACCCTGATGAATTGGACAGTCCCCAAAAGGGCGATTCTGCCAGGATCCAGGTCGATCCAGTCCTCAGCAACAGTGCGCATAAGCCAATGAACATGTCAGGATCTCAGTTCATCATGCCCACGCAAGCAGATCCTCAGACCATCTCAGAACTACCTGGAGACATCAGATCAAGACTTGTGGCACAAGCAAAACCCCGACAAGATTCCCGCTCTGGCTCTCCATGTCCACCTCCCCGTTCGCGAGAAACTGTTAATACCGATCTACCTCCTCAGTCCCAGTTGGATCCAGAGATCTTGGCTGCTTTGCCCGATGATGTTCGAAATGAAGTCCTGGGCTACTACAGTGTACCACCCACTACATCCGCCCCCTTAGCACCACCTTCACTGCCAGCAGCATCTATACCGCGACCCGCATCTTCTAGCGGACTCAAACTAAGAAGGCCAACATCCCCTCCTAAGAAGAGACGCGGTCGTCCTCCGAAATCTACGTCAACTGCCAACAGTCATTTGAAGCAGTCGAGTTTTGCATTGCCACGAGCTGCGGCTGTTGCAATTTCAACAAGCCAAACGACATCTCGACAGCCTTCTCCGGCTATACAAGAACCGCCCGAAGCCTCGGCAGAATTTCTAGCTGCACTTCCTGAAGACATCCGACAAGAAATTCTCGAAGAGCAAAAGCGAGCACGAATGGCCCAGACTCCCCATGTCTCCGTTCCAGCACCAACCAGGCCACCCTCCCAACCTCAAGCACCAGCCGCCCCTGCTCCTGCCCCTGCTCAGGTTGAAAAGGTATTACATCTACCTCCTCTGCCCGAACGCCCTGTCTTCACATCGCAGCGTCTATCTGCTTTGCCAGATCTGCGAGATGCAGTCGGGGCATGGCATTCAGCTTTTGCAACCGATGGTCCCTACGAGGAAGATGTCCAGGCCCTATGCACGTACCTGCGATGTGTCATTTTCGATGAAAAGGATATTGATAAAGCTTTTTCTGTCGTGCGCTGGCTTATGTGGCTTGTTGGCGAGCATGCCTCTCCGGATGATTTAGTTGAGAAACAACCCCCTCGATCTGCACAGAGTGATATCGTGACCTGGGCCGATGCAATTCACGTAATGCAAAGTGCTGTACAGCGGGCTTTGGATGAGAGGGGGCTGCCATCTTTGGACTTTGAATAGTTAATTGTAAATTTATACTTTATATGATGCAATGAGTGATGAATGGCTATCTTCGAGTATTTACTACCCACTCTTGCTAGTGGATACAAAAGTCCGAGTCTTCCCAGGTTCAAATGAATTTTCTGACTGAGGCCGATCCACCCCGAGATCGATCTTGCTAGTAGCCAGGACTTAGAACATTCAAACACCCGTTCATTTCAGGTTAGAACCTTGGAAAACGGTCGCGGGAAATGTTGAACTTGAAGTTCCAACAACTTACTAGTACTATATATATAGTACCAGTATGCAATATTGAACAAGCTTGGAATGAAATATTAATAGACGTTGAACCCACTTTTGCGAGCCACTCCCGCTCTTAAGATGCCAGTGATCAACTAGTAGTAGTATGAATCTCCGGAATTTCCAAAAAATACTTACCAATTGAAACTGGATAGTAAGGATCGGATGATAATTAGAGCTAATTTTTACAATGTTGGAAGATATTATAATATTTGCTTCATGTTGGTTAAGATCCCCAAGCTCTTCATACACCTGGGCTTGTGGTTTAGTGGTATAATACTCCCTTAGCATGGGAGTGGTCCGGGGTTCGATTCCCCGCGAGTCCATTTTTTGCTCTTCATGCACCTGGCATCTGATGGCAATATATTTTTGCTCGTTTAATTATGTCTTTTCGTCGTTGGGAAGATAAATTTCCAACCAGATGGTCTCCTTACGCGACCCTCCAAGTTGCCGGCTCGCGACCCCGAAAACCTTCCTAGCCAATAATGGAACTCGATTAGTATTAGTATGTAATAGTAGTAGATAAGGCTTCCAGGGCTCCTTCCAACTGCCCGGTATGGGCCTCGACGAAATTATTTTCCGTGTTGGCAGTCCCGAGCCCAGACGGTCACATACGGGGCTTCCAATGGGCTGGTGGTGATCAACATGTAACAGTATTTAATTGTGAAAGGAGAATTTCAGACGTCGGGCCCAGCCAACGAAAGTCAATAGATTTAATGGGTATCTTGGTGTGCACTAAGAGTCAAATCAACGCCTCAAAATAACCCTGGGTTATGAAACGGAACTTCCACTGGCAACTCAACATCTAGAACATAAACTGCCACTAAAAGTTAAAGGTGGAGGGGTCATTGGGGAGACTAGATAAGGCCTAGGTACCGGTACGTCAGCGAATGGGATATAGTTGGATGTCAGGCTGTCCTACCCATGAATCAAGATGGGCCCACCAAACTGAGCCATCTAAGTTCTCAAAAAGACCAGTGTCGTCAAATGGGGCTCCCAGCTCGGAAGGTTGCAGCATCCCCGACATAGGGGCAAAGTCCACGGCGTGGGTGCCGAAGGAGTCATTCCCATTCCCGCTATTAGGAGTGAGCGCAGCCGGTTCTGGCAGGTGATTATCTGTTGCATGGTTTCTTGCCAGGCTAGACTGGTCGTTCGATCCAAGCTGTCGGTGAACTTCCCGCCTGAGCTCCTCAAGAATAATACTGTAGCGTCGACTTGGACAGTTCTTCCGAGTGGCCTCGGCAAGATGCTGCTGACAAGTCTCCGCGAGTAAGAATAGCGAGTGCAACTTATCAACGTCTGTCGGACTTCCGGCCGAGGGGCTCGGAGCCAGGGACTGGCGATGTTGCTGGATAATGTGAATGTATACTACTAAAATGGCACAGAAGCATACGTAGTGGGTGAACCAGAATGACTGAATGAATAGCGTTTGGTGCGCTAGCTCATCGACAAGGGTCATGACATGTTCTGCGGCCTCAATGCACTTGTGCGCATGAGCACTGACAAGCGGATGCGGGTCTCTTGGCCGGCGGCTGAGGTCAGTAAAATCATCCAGGAGGAATGAGCGAGTGACGTGAATCATGGCATGGGAATAAGCTAGTTGAAGAACTTGACTTTGTCGGCAGAGGGGTGGAATTAAGCTCGAGGGTCGGACACTGTTGAACAGAGGTGGCACAGTCTCCTTCCATCTCTCTAGTTCGGAGGTAAGACGAACGGCTGTTTCCAGTGGCGAGTCACGCGAGTGAGGCTTGATACTATAAAGCCGCCGAGAAATTTCGCCCAAGATGCGGCCGAGTCTATCAAAAGTACCAGTGGTCAGTTCGCAAGAAAAAGCCAAAAAAAAGTCAAACCGCGACTAACCGGTAATGAAGCACAGACGCAATCATCATACTGTCCGGGGATCCTGTGCGTCTAGCTGGATCTTCCTCCAGAAGGTCGTCGTCATTCATCTCATCCGGCAGCTCTTGGTCAATGTCTTCATCATGAAGCAGTCGGGGCCGACCGAACATTATGCTAAGATATTTGTCTAGGACATAGACGCTCCAGAATATGCGTTTCCTAATCTCCAATTCATAGCAGGAACCACCCTTCTTAGATGGGTTGACGGCACATTTTCTATGCAGGCCTAATGCTGTGACCACCTGTAAGGCGGTTCCAAACGAGTACCAACACTCATTAGCTCGTGATGATGATAGTAGATACAGGCATTGGATCAGCCGTGTCTGTATTGTTTCCAAACGAGGCGGGCCGGATTCCAAGGAGGAGATGTACTTTGAAGCTGCGAACCAGCGCTCACTATGTGTATCGTTAGCTGATGTTTAGATCTGTATGCAATCGTGATCCGAATTGCGAACCTGAGACTTTGCCCATCTTCCTGGATTTCGGGAGCTTTGTGAACCGTACCCACGGCAAATATCATGAGAACGATGGCAGTTCTCGCCACCATGTTGCCTGTCGGGAGATTAGCCACTGAAGTGCGGTTCTCATACACCTGCTTGACCCATTTTTCCACACTACCCCTGTGCAAGAAGCGGTAGGTCACCATGGAAAAGTCAAAATAGATTGCCACTAGTTCCATCGCAGTTTCGTAAGATGGCAAGGGAAAATTCATATCCTGGGACTGGGAGTAAGGCTTATCCCCAAACATGAACACGGCAGTGTTTTGGGAGGACTCATTCTGCAGCTCATTGGGAATCTGGGTTTCATGCTGATGCAGGCGACTCCAAACGCGGTTGATGAAAGACACACCGGATGCTGGGCCAAGGTAGTTACCCTCAAAGTCGGTTGAGCCGGGCTCTGGAGAGTTGCGTTGCGACACGGTGTCTCTAGCCGTCGCAGTGCCAAATCCCGTACTCTCATGGGGAAGCGAGTCGCTAGATAAACGGCCTCCTGTCTCAGAAGGTTGACGTTTAGCAGATTTTCCTGGCGATGGAGTTGCAGTTCCAGTTCCAGGTAGTGGGTCAGGTGGGAGACCTCTCGAGTAGGCCGCGTCGTATCGGCATGGAAGTGATAGTCGGGTGCATCTTGTGCAAGGTAGGGTGCCGGTGCATCTAGTCTTTTTAACTTTACACGAGTCACAGGCCCGAGTAATCTTCTGCCGACCCGCGCTATTCTTATTTGATAGTGATCCAGAGGCTTTCCTTTTGCGACCGGGGGAGTGCGCTTCTGCAGTGTCGACTAGATTGTCGAACATTCCAGGCCCGGAACCCTGTTGCGTGGGGATCGGGGCGACTATGCTATTTGCAGCCATATCGGGATCGACGCTAGGTAATTTTTGCCAAGCGACACATGCAGTGTTGGCATTCGGGCCAGAAATCCTGTGGAAAGCGAGAGCGAAGGAGAAGAATCCGGGGGAGGTGGGAAAAAGCGAGAGTGGAGAGACTTTCGGCTGTTCGCCTCGGGTCGTGCGGCGCGGGGCTCTCCACCCCCGGATTTATATCAAACTTCAAGGAACATGAACAGCCGTTGTTGGCCAAGAGCGCCTGTGAGATGGGCCGAGGGGGCAGACGAGGAGAGCCAATATCGGAGCGCCGCGGCTCGGAATAAACCACTACATCCTGCATCTCGAGAACAGGTCACTCGAGGGATCAACACTGCAGAACGAGGTGGGATGGCGGCCAGTAACCGAGCTAAGGTGCCACTGCATTTAGTACAAGACTAGACTAGTTAAGGCATCTTGGTTCTTTGCAGAAAACTTAAAAGAAAAGTTCGGCAATGTGTCGGTCTTTTTAATGTTGAGCCATAGAATGGATTTTCAAAAGAAAAAAGAAAAGAAAATAGGGTACAGCTATTGGCTCACAACTACTTGTTCTAATACCCTATGACCAAGAAGTATGTCGGTGGACATAAACGCCATCTTGATGCATCCCAGAAAAAGAAGGGAAACCAGAGATCAAATGATCAAGTTGCGCTGCATGGCCGATGATCTCTTCACGCCAGTAATCTCGAAAGTCAATTCTGCATGTAGAGGAAGGCTTTTGTATTTTTATTGAAAAAATATTTGGCTGCTATTGCAATTTCTTTGTCACGACACAGTTGTCGGTTTCATCTGTACACTGACACTCGAAGTTAAGCGATGTTATCTTTTGGGGGGGGAGTTCGTGGCTTGGAGATGTCGCCCGATGAACGCATTAGTTCGTATCGCAGATGGGCTAGGTTGACTTGGGTTGATAAACAATACCCACATGTCTGCATGAAACTCATCCTCCTCCATTCCACAAGCCCCTTGGCAATGAAAGGAGCCAGAGAATGATGACGAGGGGGACGAATAGTCAGAGGCCAAGGCCAGGCACAGGACAAAAGAGGCATCGCCTGAAACATACAAAAAAAGGAAACTGTAGAATGATATCGCGTGAGAAACAAACGTGTGGCCATTGCGGCCGGGGTGTTTCGGTCCCTATGTGCAAAATTGAAACTCCCGAAAGATGACGGGCAGACTGAGGAATCACGATGACCCCCAGCAGCCAAATCTATCAAAGGTGCACCCGATCATCCTCTGATAGGACGAATGCGGCGCAGGATCAATACGTGTATAGGACCGCTGTGAAAGAAACGCAAACCAAAATGTCACTCCGGTGGTATGCAACGGACGCGCTTCCTGCCGCCTTACAGAGATAGGCGACGTAGAAAGACCAGATTCAAGGTCATTATTGTGAATTAGGACCAAAGAAGTCCCTCATGTTGGGATCCATCATGCTTGGATCTATGCCGTGTTGTGGATGTTGCGGATTCAAGATGTTGTGTTGTGTTGAGGATTGGGCGGGGAGGACTTGGTCGAGAAAGTTGCGGATTTCGTCTAGGTCGGCACCACCACGGACTGTCTGAACCATACTCTGTAAGGAAGCGGCATCGCCGATGCGTATGAGCCTAAGGAGCGATTCGAGGATTGACCTAGTATCATTCAGCTCCTCCTGTGTCCTTCTCGCGGAGGCTTTCCGGCGCTTGTCAGATAGTTCATCTGTCACGCATTCACGGCCATGAGTAACGCATTCCGTACACGGCATGCCGGTGCACTAGATAGCGGAAGAAGAGTCAACGTTAGAGAAAGTCCATAGAGCGAAGGAAATAATGTAATGAGGGCAAAAGGGCAAAAGGGGGGAAGTGAGTGAGTGAGAGCGAGAGAGCAGGGTAGAGGAGGGGAGGGAGGTGGGGGGGGGTGGGAGGTCGTTTGTACCCTTGTCCGACGTTTTTGGCACTCTTTACACGCCGTGGAGGCCCTTTTCATCTTGGCCTCCTCTGGGGGAATGCCTGTACCACCTCCGGGTGACCTTTCATCTCCAGGACCACCGCCTGGAGGTATGGTCCGAGGAGCAATGGGCCTAAAGGCGCGGCCTACATCGCCCATCGCGTGAGAAGACCCGTGTGGGTGGAGGTGGGTGGTAGGAGGAAGAAAGGGGAGAAAGAAGAGGCGAAAAAAGACAAATAGAGGCTCAAGTTGTTGACTAACAGACGACTCAAGAGGGACAAGCCACGATCGCAAACATAGTCCATCCCACACGAATCATATCAACAACGGGCCACAGCGTGAAATTTAGGATGGGGGAGTCGGGGTGGGATCAGAGCGATGTTCACTAGTTGGCCCCTCTTCTTTGTTGTATCCCCGTGCAGTAATATTTCTGCAGGACCAGACACCGTGACGCACTGCCCCGTCGAGCAGGGCAAAAAGGGTAGGTGGAGGGACGGAGAATGGGGACACGAAGATATCAAGACGTGTGTGGCGGAAAGGTGGAACTGAAAGTCTGACATTCCCCTAGGCAGGCAAGGATGAGGGGGGGTGGGCCACCCAGAGGACCAGAAAATTCAATTTGAATAATTACGACGATTTATGAGCATAGGATTATTTAATTCGTCAAGTCCGAACGTCAGGAACCGATCTGGCCATCGGACATGGGCCCTTTTGCTTTGAGAGATCAGCGGTGCGCATCTGTGTGTAATTATTTCGTGTTGGGCACTACATTATCCCATTCTTGCCCATCAGTGAGAGAGAGAGAGAGAGAGAGAGACCCAAAGATTCCCCATTACTGGAGAATAATCTGCCTGAATTGAAATGGGGTCGCAGTAACTAGCGACTCTACCTGCCGCGATCTATGCGTTCTATACTGCTTTGGGTGAACATCTCCTACGGCTTGTGTTAGGCTTAGACCTCGGGAGCCGACGAGAAGGGGCTCGATGTTGATAGGTTTGTTTTTGCGAGATCGGTTCGTCTAGGCCCTACTACTCACTGGAAAGCTCTGTATCTGTTGGCTCGGATGTACTCCGACTTCAGCACTTCAGCACTTCAGCACTTCAGCACTTCTGTATCAACACCATGCACCTCCAGGATGTTGGTGACCTCTTGAACCTCGCGTGCAGCACCATGAAGACCACTCTCTTCCCTTTTTGTACAGGAAATACGATTAGTGGGTAAGTTTCCGATGCGCGGAGGATTGGCCCGGAATATTTCTCCGGATAGATTGATCCAATCATATCAGTTGGTTATCCGTCATTCAAGTGTCACGCTCAACTGGCTACCGGCGATCTGAAGAATGGAAGTTGTTTTCCGCCTGATGATTGGCCCATCTTTCTGATGTTGTTAAGAGTGATCCCAGGGTCCCCTGTCTAGGGCTTTGGCCAGCTATCGTTAGGGCTATTCGCGATACCCTATCAATAAGTTTATAACCTTGGGTGTACAACATGTGGCGAGGGTCATCTGCTGCTTATACACATACCTACGTATATACCGACACTGCCTGCTTGCTTGGCACGATCAGTATCTCGCCCCCTCTCCAGTCAAATTGCACAGAGGAGCCCATAGCGTCCCCGGAAAAGGTTAGATGACGTCGATTTGTGAAGAAGATCATCTGCGTCCCATGCGTGGAGGCCCTGGGGAACTCAGCGGAATGCGGCCCCTTCTATCCGTACATACTAGTATCTTTGGGATATTTGCCACTGGGGCTTGCAATGTCAGACTGCAGACCAGCGATCCCCACTAACTGAAGCATGCGACTGACTCCACTGTGGCTGTACTGTCACCGCGATAACCGCTGGGCCGCGATGACTGACAGAGTGACCAAGTGCCGTGGGTATACATTTCTGTTAGACCATGTTTTTGCGGCTTCAATGAGCATCCATTTATATGGAGTTCCATTGAGAATGATATTCCGAATCCTGTGGTAAAGATGACCGTACACACTCGCGTGGGAAACTTTTCCCGTGCTAAGGGGCGAATGACGGCGGATAACGGCATGAAATTCGCCACCACTCGCGCAATACTCTCCCGAATGGGTGTGGATGGCGCTACAGGCCCAACACTAGAACACCGACTCGAAGCCATAATGAACGTCAAGACTTGATGTTTTTATGAGGGCAAGATGCTCCGCAAAGGACCGCCATATCAGCTACGAGATGCTTCGCTTCGCATGTTCCGAAATTACTACTGAAAAAAAAAAAAAAAAAAAAAAACTAGATTCTATACGATCAATGGTACTGGAGGCAGATTGCCAATACTTCAGCATACATGCACTGGAGTATTTTGATCTCAATCGCTTCCGCCATTTAGTCATTATACCTGTTAATCGATGCAGCACTACGAAGTACTCTACCCGATCTACATCGATTCTTTTGATACAATGATGGGTATTTGATCGAGATCTGATCCAGTTTTCCACTAAGAGCCATGTTATCGTACGAAATCTTGTCGGTCAAACCAACGCACATCTATCTGGCAGCACACTGGCATTCCTCAAATGGGGGAAATAATAAATTGAAGCGCTTCAATCTGAACGACTTAGTGGGTCGTGGCGCAAGTCTTTTAGTGACGCCAGGCTAATATTTCCGCTGGTATCTTTGCTTGACCAGATAGTATGATCCAGTAACCTTGGAAGGTACTCTGGCTTCATTTTCCATCATCAAGCCAAGTGGTTTGACCTTCGCACAAACCGCCGGTCCCAGCAAAACCGAAGACTGGGACGGACCCCCCCTGGCGTCCTGGAGTGGATTGAGGTACCCCTTTCCTAACACGATTGATTGCGGGATATTATTTCCAGTCGACCTTACTTGCCCAACCGAGCCGGGCTTGTCGAGAACCCCTCTAATTCATCCGCCGATGCCCACATTCTCTGACCAGCGTTTACTATTCTAGGTTAAATGCAGTCCGGCCCAACTACCGGGTTGTGAAGCTATACCGGGCTGTGAAGCTACACTAAACTCCAATCGGCCCAATTGTGTCCGCAACGCCGGCGAAGGAGACCCCCAGGACCGTGGCATAACGATCAGCGCACAAATAGGCCCCAAATGGAGACCTACGCCCGGTTTTAGTGGCTTGGATCTTCTTCTCATACGAGACAATTGGATTCTAGAGTGGTTCCTGATTGTTCCTAGATCCTGGTCTTTCTGTCCGTCGCGAGCTACCAGGAACCTTGGAAGTATACAGGCTTCTCAGTACCACGGTCCTGTGCCTACTAACTTACCATCATTACTTACTATGCATTGCATGATTCCAGAAATATTTGAATGAAATTCCCCAAGGTATCGGTGTATGGATCTCTGCCGGTACACGTGTCTATGCTGATCTCGCCCGAAGCCAATGCAACTAACCAGCCGCGAATCGTCGAAGCGAGAAAGAAAGTTCTAGCATTCGAGACGGACAGAGAGCCTATCCCAGCAGGAGGAGATTTGAAATCCTACTAACTAGGGCAAAGGAGCGGGGCATGTTCTTCTCCCACCGGATTGCCCCTCCTTATCCACTTTTCGTTGTTTTAGGGCTGGGTCATGATGGGATTTCCTACACTGCTATATGGAGGACTCGGAGACATGGATTCCGTAGGTACTACATAAGAAGCAAGGAAAATGAGCGGTCAAACCAATTTGCGGTCTACTGTGATGTGGTAGACTGTAGGAATTGATCACGATCATCGGCCTGCTAACGGATATTATTTCCACTGCCAGGACTTATGCAAAAATGAAAAAATGAAAAATGAAAACCTCTGCCGCCGACACCGCATCTTCTCCTGTGTGAGGCTGAATAGTTCCACAAACCATGCATTGGAAATGCATCCAAAGCCCGAAGTTTCTCGTCTATTTCATGCCACGATTGAATACCATGCTCATACTCTCGTAGAGATTCATCGATTCAAGTATCGCGCGCCTGCAAGACGCCCACATACATCCTTGTACGATGCGTACATAGCGTGATATCAATGCATATATGGTTAGAAGCGGGCTACTCCCTGCTACTCCCTAGTCTGAAATCCGGAAAGATATGGAGCTTGAATCCTCGAATACTTCGCCCTTCGTCAGTGGACGCTTCGTCTTACTGTTGATCTACCCACGCCCCATGCAACCTGTCAAAAGTAAGTCGTCCAATACCACGCAAAGTGGCGTTACAGCAAAAATGGCCCGGGGAGGATCCGAACACACGTAGCTCTCAGTCGGCGTCAGACCCCTCAAACCATTATAGGGCAAAAAGGCGCAATTTTAATAAAAGAAAATTGGGTACTATACTAATGTTTAGCCTGGCACGTAAATCTCTCATTTTCGGTTTGTGCCGGGCCCTAGTCCGACCCAGTCAGACAGGCATGCTAGGTACGAGTAATCCCCACACCAAAAGGAGCTCGGCCTTTCTTTTCCACGTCATCGGGCCTGCCGATGTGGTGTTCTGGACTGTTCGATACAAGGGGTATCGGCTATAGAACGTGATCGATCCATGCAGCACCCTTGTACGAGTTTAAGTTAGGATAGGTTCGGCTTGAAGAAACCCCCTCATTTCTCTTTGTTTCCGATAACGCGGGCACTGCAGTGTACTAGCGGGGCGTATGTACTAGTAGTGAATACTGAATACAAGTATACTAGTATATTTCAAGCCCAACATGTGGCGTGGCAAACTGGTAGCAAACATTATGGATGCGCTAGTGGTGGTGTTAAAACGATCATCGGGGACAACCCACTCACCCACCCACCCATACCGCCTACTACTATCAATGTGTTAAGCACCGGTCGATCGGTACAAATTTGAACCTACCTACCTAGTCGGGGACCAAAATTGTGATCGGCATCGGCGATCGCTGCGTAAAAGAATTTCGACACGGGCTGATAAGGTGTTGATCGACTTCTTTTTAGCTCGGGTATGGGAATGGTTCTATGGAGGGCTGAGAGATAAAAGAATGAAATTCGACCAGACTGGTCCTCAAGGGTATTAAACATCTGGAATGAAAGCTAGGATGGACAGAGAAAGACATATGTACTTGATAAAAAAGACAAGAAAAGAAAGGAAAGGAATCCAAGTGAACATGGAAGAAAGGGAAGGGAAAGACCATATCTCATACATGAAATAAGAGGATATCAAAACGTAAAGGCTGCATATCAGAATGCAAAGATGCCCAAGTCATCACCATTGGATTAGCAACCAAGTAGACCCCCGCAAATTAGTAGATTGCACGGCCTTCGTTCCAACGGCGTGATTGTCTAGGGCTTGCTGCAGATTCTTCCTTGGCATCGGAAGGCGTGTGATGGCCCGCATCGGCGTTATGGGAGGGGGAAGACAAGGAAAACCGTGCACTGTTACGACGGGCGCTACCTTCGAGGTCGTCGCCGTTCACCCCAACACCTCCTATGCCACCAATCCACTCCCAAGACCGCGCAACATCGCCGCTACGACCTTCGCGTACGGCGGCTCGGACGTTAGCGTTGCCTTCTACAATGCGCTGCACGCGGCGCCAAAGTTCTTCACGCCGTTTTCCGTGTAACTCAGAGCGGAGAACATCGTCCCGCATCTGACCGATGGGGATGTAAGGCTCCATTGCTCCCCCGCGTGCGTGGAGTGCAGCTTGCGTTGCGAGTCGGTCAAGGCTTGTGGCCACTAACTCGGGTACACGAGCGATGTCTTTGCGGCGGGCAAGAACCCGAGCACGAGCATAAGCTAGACCCGCGAGGCCCAAAACTAGAAATGAAAGAGGAAGTCGATACGCGAGGAGAGCGAGTCGGACGTAACGGCGGGCGGCGCAAGTGAGTGGGAGTCGGGCAGTGGATGTTGAAGTGAGGACGAGGACGGCGGAATGTCTGTAATCGCGAAGGCGTCTCTGTTAGTTCCGGTAACACCATGTCAGAACCAAGATCTTCATAAGAAATAGCCGATGGAGGTATGAAGCCCGGAACGAAAAGCGTGGCGAGGCAGACATAAGAGATATCTCGGCGAGAGGGTTAACTTACTGCTCAGTTTTACTGATAACTTCGTCCTTATCAAGGATTTCACCAATAGCTCCTTTCCAGAGGTCATCGAATTCGGTGTCACTGAGGCCCTTGCGGCGCATCTTCGCAACTTCCTCCTTGAGCTTGGGCTCGGGAATTTCAGGAGACGCGTCCTTCCCATCTTCCTGGAGCTGACCACATTCCCACTTAGCCCGTCTATCACGAAGCTCTTCCACAGCCTTATCAGCGACAGCCTTGACACGGCGTGCCTTTTCGCTATCGGCTTCACAGGTCGGGGGAAGTGGAATGATTCCACCCAACGAGAGAGGGTGTGGCTTAAGAAGGAAATCGTGCTCGCAACGAGCCTCGAATTCCGGGTAACAGAAGGCATGAGGCGGGCATGGTTCGCAATGCGGCTCCAGAACATTGGCCCATTCCGGGACATTGGTCTCTGCTAGGGACCAGGTGGGTTTTCCAAGACCGCAGAAACCAATCTCAATTTTCTCTTTGCGCCACCAAGCACCAAAGCCTCCAAGAATACTAAGAATCACGAACCACGAGGCGAAGATGCTGGTGGGTCCCTGCTTCTGCTTGCGCTTACGGACTTGTGTAAGTGGCGCGTATTGCTCCGTCTCCATGGCAAGCTGTTCTTCTGGAGTGAACTCTTCACTGATACCAACTTCATTCTCCTCATAGTCCTCTTCCTCCCCCTCCTCTTCTTCAGATTCCTCGGGTTCTTCCTGGGGAGGCTGCAAGCGAGAAGCAAAGTCAAACGAAGCTCTTGTGGGGGCCTTAATGCCATTCTCCTGCTTAAAATTGGTAGGAGTAGCCGACTTCCTAGACCGCAAGCCGCTCCTCGCCGGACTATCCGTAGACAATCGCCCACCACTCTTTCGCTTTCCATCATAACTTGAAGTCCTGTCCCGCAGGCTATCGGAGGGACTTCCGCTTTGGAAGGGATTGTCGTCAGTGAAGGGATTTCCATCCCGGGGCTCCGCCTTCACAGGTGTAGTTTCATCGATCTCCGTGGAAGGAAGCACCGGTGCCTCACTGCGTCGTATCTTCCTTGCTGTAGACTTGCGTGGCGAATTGATTGCCACAACGGGAGTTGCTAAAGTGTCGTCGCCGGTTTCCGTGTCGGAGACACGTGGGTGCTTACCAACTGAGCGCGGAACGGCGCTTCGTCGCTTCGTAGCAGTCGCGGGTGTAGCCGGTGCCAGATTTTCGTCAGTATCTGCGGTCGATGCGCGAGTACTTCGTCGTGCGCCGCCGCGTCGGGTTGTCGATGCTACCGTTGATGGCGTCCGCGGTGGAGGCACGGAATCGCGTTCTTCCTCCTCATCACTGGCGACGGAAGTAGAGCGACTGCTCATATCGGTGATGCCTGCACTTGTCCTCCTCACACGTTCGCGATCCCGTAGGAGCTTTCTTGCTTGCGGGAGGACCTCATCTTCCAGAATGCGGACCAGTTGGGCCTTTTTCGCCGAGGCAGGGTAGGGAATATCGTTATTAACGAGGATAGAGCGTAGACGGGGGACTGTGAGGGAGTTCAGGTCGAATCCCGACTGGCAAAAGTCCAGTTCGTCCTCCATGGCGTGTGGCCTGGGGTGCGCGAGGGGTTGGTGGTGATAAGGGCGATGCACAAGCCGCCAACAGACTCTTCGGCTGCGTGTCACAGGTGTCGACAAGGATGGTGTAGTGGCGCAGATGACGTTCAGTTCAGTTTCAAAGACGCGCAGAGGGGAACCACCGATCGCTCCTTGATTGAGAACTTGGCCTGAAGGGGGGGTCTTGGGAAAATAATGTGGGTTGTTTGTCCACTTGTCAATTCAAGCCGAGCCCGTTGGTCGGACTCGTAGTCAGGGCAACAGGCGGGGCCAGGGAAAGCTGTGACGATGGACCTTACTAGGTTGCCTAGGTGGGATGGAATATCAGATGTGTCAATAGTATCAAAGCAGACGAACGCTTATTTATTGAAGAAGGGAAGAAAGTAAGAAGAAAAAAGAACAGCAAGAGTTGCCGCGCCATGACGCAAAGGAAAACAAAGCACCGCAGACCACGTGACTGGATGAGCAAACGCCTAGTGTACATTTGATTTGTACATTTGTGTACAGCCCCAGACTTGAAGTAGTTGTATAGAAAATGGTATGCTACCTAGGTATAGTAACATCTACAAACAAAAAGATAGCGATTCAACAAGAAACACAAGCCTTAGCTTCAAGCCCAACCATATCACCAAAGGTTCGCGCCTAGCGCTGACATTTACGCCCAATTACTAGTATACAAGCAATCTACCCCAAGCATTAAAAAGCTTACAAGAAACAGAAATGGCTAGGAATATGTTCACATTTCAGAGCCAGTACACGCTCAAGGAAGGCCGAAAGCCATCAAGATACACAAAGCAAGTGTAATAGACAAGAGACAAGAAAGAAGAAAATATTCAACCGTGGGCTCCATGCCTTAATGCTTGTGTGTAAATAAAATCAAATCAAATCAAATAAAAAAAAATATTATCAAGACTCCCCGCCAATGAGACGCCGCCCATCACAAAATCAGACAAGGCCGAGGAATCCAAAGCGAAAAAGGGGAAGGGGATATTATTTTCGATCTCATGGGCATGTATGTGTGAGGATCATCAAACTTGGCCGAGTTTGGCTGGACTGGGCCTGTTTGATCATCGACTGCTGCGTTGAGAATCGAAGGAGCGAGTGTCGAGTGTGTTGGGGAGGTGCAGGAAGGAAGAGGAGGCGGATGTCGTAGTACTAGTACTTTCCATGCTCGCAGAGGGATGCATGGCGACGCCACCATACGGAGGGGCCGTTCCACCGGGGATGCCAGCAACCCCGGTAGCCATTTGTTCCTTGAGAGCGCGGTATTCAGCGAGTTGGGTCGAGAGTTGTTGCAGGACCTCGCCGATTGGCACGGCGTGGTCTTCGAGACGATCGCCGGCTCGGAAGGGGCGCATCATGTGGCGCACGGAAAGGGTGTTGATTGTTGCTTCGATGCGGGTGACTTGTTGGTCGACGAGACTGACCACGGTGGAATCGTTCAATTCGCCTCCGTGGTTCTTGACCATGTGGAATAGAGCGACGTTTGGCTCTCGGAGCCGTGGTTCACTTGGACTCTCCAGTGCACCGCAGAGTCGCTCCAGGCGAAGGGTTACTTCCCATAGGCGCCAGATCAAATCGGCCTTGAGATCGAGTTCGGAGCCTGGTGAGATGATGGCTGGGTTGTTTTCGGAGTCTCGTGCTTCCTCGGACGCTGTCATCCGACCTGCGAGTGAGTGCGGGTAGACAAGGTATAATGGCTCAGGGTTCTCGAGTCCCTTAAGTTTGCGTTCGCCTTGATCTTTGATCACGAAGCCTTGGCTGTTGAGCTGTTGCAATTCACGTCTGATGGTATGACCCAGGCTATCCATGCGTGGGTGGCTTTCTGTGGAGCTCGTCGATGCAGAGCGCTCGGCATCGGCAAAGACCTCGAGATTGCGCTGGATGTCGCTCATGAAGTCTGATGAGACGAAGATCTGTCCTCCATCGGCAACAGCAGAGATACGAGATGCTCGGTTGACCATCGGACCAAAGTAATCCATACGATTGGTCACCGGATCATTTTCGCAGACAGGTTCACCCCAGTGTCCACCCATACGAACAGACAGACCGCGGAAGATGATATTGTTCTCCATGTCATAAACGATGCGACACTGTGGCTGCTCGAGAATCTCCGTGGGCCATTCAGCCTCAAGTAGCTGGTTCTGGCAATTGAAGCACCAGAGCAGTGCCGCAGTTGTAGAGTTGAAAGCCACCATGAAAGCGTCACCTTCAGTCTTGACTTCATACCCACCAATAATCCCGAGTTGACGTCGAAGGATGTCATTGTGAATCTGAATAGCTGAGCGCATCGCATCGGGGCAAGTTTCCCACAGACCAGTGGACTTCTTGATATCAGTGAACATAATAGCAAGTTCGCCGATTGGAGCATCGACGCGATCAAAACGAGCTAGACGAGAGTCACCCGGGACATCACCCTTGGTTCTCTTGCGGAGCTTCGTCGTCTGGACAATCTGATCATCGGGGAACGCAGAGCGCTCTAGGTTCATGCTAGGGCGAGAGAACTTCTTGTTTCGCTTTTGCAGCTCACTCACGCCAAGAACCATGACCATGAGTTTGTTGGTAGCACCGAAGGAAATTGCCAAATCTCTTAGTTTCTGCGCGGCATACATGAGATTCGGATGCGCACCCCTGGTAGCATCAACAACAAGCTCAGGTGCCACGTAGTCCCACAACTCTTTGGAAGCGATGATGATCATTTCATCTTGCTCGGTCAATTTTGTGTGCAGGGTGGCCGGGGCTGCAATGACGGCTGGCATCATTGGGAAATGACCGAAGCATCTTGATACAGGAAGAACATCATTGAGCTTTCCATTGCGAGCCACAAAGCCGCCAGCCGCCCGAATGCGAGCTCGCTCGCTCGCTTCTGCAGGGTCATGGACTTGTGTCAAGTTTCGCAGCGAGCCGTCCGACCTCACAAGAATTGCCTGTGCGTCACCAACATTGGCAGCGTACAAGTCTATGTTGTTCAGATACAAGACGGTTGCAACACCACCAGCTTGAATGTCATCCTGATTGAGTTGCTTTGTATTGGACGATCTACGATTGTATTGCCGCAGTTCGCGATCGTCAATGGACCTGTACGCAGAGCCTGCCATGTCCTTGTTCAATGCCAAGAATGCTCGCCGAAGTGCATCGAGCGGTGTCTCATCCTGGTCTGGCTGGAGTCGTTTAAGCTCATGGGAGAATGTAGGAGTGAAATGCTCATGCAGGTACTTCGCAACGCGAGAACCGCCACTTGACATCGTCGAACCGTCGAACATTCCTACCAGTGTTTCAATTTTGTCTGGCTTCAGGCGTGGTACAATCATGTCAATGATGGAAAGGTGCTCTGTTTTGCCGAGTGTGTCTGCCATTCCATATGCAAGCGAGCCAGCTAGAGAGGCAGAAGTTCTCACACGGCGATCTTCATTCTCTTCAGGGATGGTTGGAATGGTCAAGGTCACATCCATCAATCCAAGAACACGAAGATGGGTCAGAGACGTGAAATCAGTCAGATCTGCACCATTTGTCACTGGCGGACCCAATGAAGCAATATTTGGCTTGATTTCCAAACGTTTATTGCCCGAGAAATTCAGGTACTTCAAGCTTCTGTTCCAGTTCCAATTCCAATCATATGGCCAATTCGAGACGTTGTATTTCAGCATATTACTACCCACGTCGAGAATGGATAGCTTGCTGACTTTGCACAGCTCTGCAGGGAGCACCTGGAAGCGATTTGCGTTAATATGCAGGATCTTCAGATTGCTGCCTTCTTCCAAGTCATCGGACGGGAGTGATGTCAGCTCGTTTCCAGATAGATAGAGCTCCGAGATCCAGGGCCATCTTTTCAGAACTCCTTGGGGCAATTCTGTCAATTCGTTGTACGAAAGGTTGACAATCCGCAGTTCCGGAAGACGGGCGAGCTCACGAAAAACCTCGTCATCCAACCTATTGTCGGCAAGGTAGAGATTTCGAAGAGAACCGGCAAATGTATGAGTGGCAGAATGTTGCGAGAAGTTCGAATCCTTTCGAGATGAGAAGCTTCCTTCTGTAGCATTGGAGCGCGATGCAGTAGACACCTTCCGCCCAGAATGTGACTGTCCAACAGATGGCACGACGGAAGCATTTCGGTACGAGTTATTGGGGGATGAACCAGACGCCAAAGCTCCACTAGAATTCTGACTGGGTCGACGGCTGTCTGGCTCATTTAGAGGGCCGAGATCTTCGTAAGTGGGATTCCCAGTGAGCGCTGGTGTTGAGACGGGCGTCGTGGTCGGTTCACCAGGTACCAAGGGCAGCGGTGCACCGTGCTTGGGGAAAGTTGTGAGAAGGTTTGTAGACACGTTCAGGGTTTCCAATTTAACACAGTGCCAGATTTCGTCCGGCAGGGATTTCAAATTGCACTCGCGAAGATTGAACTCCTTTAGTTCCACCAGACAGCCAATCTGGGGGGGGGTATGAATCCGAGTGGATTCTTGATAATGCTGAAGTGTTCCAGGCGGCGTAGTTTTCCAATCTGTGCGGGGATCGATGACATATGGTTCTTGTCAACAATGAGCTTAGAAACATTCGGCATGTGATCGAAGATGGCATCCTTGAACGCGGAGAGATTGGCGGATGCAAGGTTCAAGGATGACAATGTTGGCATATGGGAATCGATGTCAAACTGCGTCAAGGGATTATGGTCCAAGTGCAAGCTGCGCAATTTTGGCGCCGAGCCTCGGAAACGGGAGATTAGATTGTGACCAAAGAACACTTGCTCGAGCCTTGGGAGGCCGCAAAGATTGTCAATGCTGGTGATTGCATTGAAGCGCCCATCAATCTCCCTAAGATTGACCAGCTGTTGGAAGGACTCATCAAGTGGCCCGCTGATGCTGTTGTTTGTCATCCAGAGACGCTCAAGGGTGGTCAACTTTCCGATGGAGGGGATGGCTTCGATGTTATTGAAACTGATATCAAGATCGACAAGCGCTCGAAGCTTGCAAAGGAATTCAGGGAAAACC